CAATTCCCTTTGCGCCCGACCTTCACGAGGCCCGCGCCACTTTCTCTTCAGAAAATAAACCTCCGTTTAGAAAGAAAAGAGCCAAATTCATCTCTCAATAAGATTCTCAAATTTCAACATGTTATCTTTTGCTTCTGCGAAGAGAAGCTTTTCCAAAATTTATCTTGACACCACTTTCATGGGTCAGATCTAATGTTTACCTCAAACTTTGGGTAATTTAAACCAACTCCATCTACGTGCTTCTAGGGCCCAATTCCCTTTGCGCCCGACCTTCACGAGGCCCGCGCCACTTTCTCTTCAGAAAATAAACCTCCGTTTAGAAAGAAAAGAGCCAAATTCATCTCTCAATAAGATTCTCAAATTTCAACATGTTATCTTTTGCTTCTGCGAAGAGAAGCTTTTCCAAAATTTATCTTGACACCACTTTCATGGGTCAGATCTAATGTTTACCTCAAATTTGGGTAATTAAAACAACTCCATCTACGTGCTTCTAGGGCCCAATTCCCTTTGCGCCCGACCTTCACGAGGCCCGCGCCACTTTCTCTTCAGAAAATAAACCTCCGTTTAGAAAGAAAAGAGCCAAATTCATCTCTCAATAAGATTCTCAAATTTCAACATGTTATCTTTTGCTTCTCCAAAATTTATCTTGACACCACTTTCATGGGTCAGATCTAATGTTTACCTCAAACTTTGGGTAATTGAAAACCAACTCCATCTACGTGCTTCTAGGGCCCAATTCCCTTTTGCGCCCGACCTTCACGAGGCCCGCGCCACTTTCTCTTCAGAAAATAAACCTCCGTTTAGAAAGAAAAGAGCCAAATTCATCTCTCAATAAGATTCTCAAATTTCAACATGTTATCTTTTGCTTCTCCAAAATTTATCTTGACACCACTTTCATGGGTCAGATCTAATGTTTACCTCAAATTTGGGTAATTAAAACAACTCCATCTACGTGCTTCTAGGGCCCAATTCCCTTTGCGCCCGACCTTCACGAGGCCCGCGCCACTTTCTCTTCAGAAAATAAACCTCCGTTTAGAAAGAAAAGAGCCAAATTCATCTCTCAATAAGATTCTCAAATTTCAACATGTTATCTTTTGCTTCTCCAAAATTTATCTTGACACCACTTTCATGGGTCAGATCTAATGTTTACCTCAAATTTGGGTAATTGAAACAACTCCATCTACGTGCTTCTAGGGCCCAATTCCCTTTGCGCCCGACCTTCACGAGGCCCGCGCCACTTTCTTTTCAGAAAATAAACCTCCGTTTAGAAAGAAAAGAGCCAAATTCATCTCTCAATAAGATTCTCAAATTTCAACATGTTATCTTTTGCTTCTGCGAAGAGAAGCTTTTCCAAAATTTATCTTGACACCACTTTCATGGGTCAGATCTAATGTTCACCTCAAACTTGGGTAATTTAACCAACTCCATCTACGTGCTTCTAGGCCCGAACTCGTTTTGCGCCCGACCTTCACGAGGCCCGCGCCACTTTCTCTTCAGAAAATAAACCTCCGTTTAGAAAGAAAAGAGCCAAATTCATCTCTCAATAAGATTCTCAAATTTCAACATGTTATCTTTTGCTTCTGCGAAGAGAAGCTTTTCCAAAATTTATCTTGACACCACTTTCATGGGTCAGATCTAATGTTCACCTCAAACTTGGGTAATTTAACCAACTCCATCTACGTGCTTCTAGGGCCCAATTCCCTTTGCGCCCGACCTTCACGAGGCCCGCGCCACTTTCTCTTCAGAAAATAAACCTCCGTTTAGAAAGAAAAGAGCCAAATTCATCTCTCAATAAGATTCTCAAATTTCAACATGTTATCTTTTGCTTCTGCGAAGAGAAGCTTTTCCAAAATTTATCTTGACACCACTTTCATGGGTCAGATCTAATGTTTACCTCAAATTTGGGTAATTAAAACAACTCCATCTACGTGCTTCTAGGGCCCAATTCCCTTTGCGCCCGACCTTCACGAGGCCCGCGCCACTTTCTCTTCAGAAAATAAACCTCCGTTTAGAAAGAAAAGAGCCAAATTCATCTCTCAATAAGATTCTCAAATTTCAACATGTTATCTTTTGCTTCTGCGAAGAGAAGCTTTTCCAAAATTTATCTTGACACCACTTTCATGGGTCAGATCTAATGTTCACCTCAAACTTGGGTAATTTAACCAACTCCATCTACGTGCTTCTAGGGCCCAATTCCCTTTGCGCCCGACCTTCACGAGGCCCGCGCCACTTTCTCTTCAGAAAATAAACCTCCGTTTAGAAAGAAAAGAGCCAAATTCATCTCTCAATAAGATTCTCAAATTTCAACATGTTATCTTTTGCTTCTGCGAAGAGAAGCTTTTCCAAAATTTATCTTGACACCACTTTCATGGGTCAGATCTAATGTTTACCTCAAATTTGGGTAATTAAAACAACTCCATCTACGTGCTTCTAGGGCCCAATTCCCTTTGCGCCCGACCTTCACGAGGCCCGCGCCACTTTCTCTTCAGAAAATAAACCTCCGTTTAGAAAGAAAAAGAGCCAAATTCATCTCTCAATAAGATTCTCAAATTTCAACATGTTATCTTTTTGCTTCTGCGAAGAAGCTTTTTCAAAATTTATCTTGACACCACTTTCATGGGTCAGATCTAATGTTTACCTCAAATTTGGGTAATTTGAAAACAACTCCATCTACGTGCTTCTAGGGCCCAATTCCCTTTGCGCCCGACCTTCACGAGGCCCGCGCCACTTTCTTTTCAGAAAATAAACCTCCGTTTAGAAAGAAAAGAGCCAAATTCATCTCTCAATAAGATTCTCAAATTTCAACATGTTATCTTTTGCTTCTGCGAAGAGAAGCTTTTCCAAAATTTATCTTGACACCACTTTCATGGGTCAGATCTAATGTTTACCTCAAATTTGGGTAATTAAAACAACTCCATCTACGTGCTTCTAGGGCCCAATTCCCTTTGCGCCCGACCTTCACGAGGCCCGCGCCACTTTCTCTTCAGAAAATAAACCTCCGTTTAGAAAGAAAAGAGCCAAATTCATCTCTCAATAAGATTCTCAAATTTCAACATGTTATCTTTTGCTTCTCCAAAATTTATCTTGACACCACTTTCATGGGTCAGATCTAATGTTTACCTCAAATTTGGGTAATTAAAACAACTCCATCTACGTGCTTCTAGGGCCCAACTCGTTTTGCGCCCGACCTTCACGAGGCCCGCGCCACTTTCTCTTCAGAAAATAAACCTCCGTTTAGAAAGAAAAGAGCCAAATTCATCTCTCAATAAGATTCTCAAATTTCAACATGTTATCTTTTGCTTCTCCGAAGAGAAGCTTTTCCAAAATTTATCTTGACACCACTTTCATGGGTCAGATCTAATGTTTACCTCAAACTTTGGGTAATTAAAACCAACTCCATCTACGTGCTTCTAGGGCCCAATTCCCTTTGCGCCCGACCTTCACGAGGCCCGCGCCACTTTCTCTTCAGAAAAATAAACCTCCGTTTAGAAAGAAAAAGAGCCAAATTCATCTCTCAATAAGATTCTCAAATTTCAACATGTTATCTTTTGCTTCTCCAAAATTTATCTTGACACCACTTTCATGGGTCAGATCTAATGTTTACCTCAAACTTGGGTAATTAAACCAACTGCATCTACGTGCTTCTAGGCCCGAACTCGTTTTGCGCCCGACCTTCACGAGGCCCGCGCCACTTTCTCTTCAGAAAATAAACCTCCGTTTAGAAAGAAAAGAGCCAAATTCATCTCTCAATAAGATTCTCAAATTTCAACATGTTATCTTTTGCTTCTCCAAAATTTATCTTGACACCACTTTCATGGGTCAGATCTAATGTTTACCTCAAACTTGGGTAATTAAACCAACTCCATCTACGTGCTTCTAGGGCCCAACTCGTTTTGCGCCCGACCTTCACGAGGCCCGCGCCACTTTCTCTTCAGAAAATAAACCTCCGTTTAGAAAGAAAAGAGCCAAATTCATCTCTCAATAAGATTCTCAAATTTCAACATGTTATCTTTTGCTTCTCCGAAGAGAAGCTTTTCCAAAATTTATCTTGACACCACTTTCATGGGTCAGATCTAATGTTTACCTCAAACTTGGGTAATTAAACCAACTCCATCTACGTGCTTCTAGGGCCCAATTCCCTTTGCGCCCGACCTTCACGAGGCCCGCGCCACTTTCTCTTCAGAAAATAAACCTCCTTAAAAAAAAGAGCCAAATTCATCTCTCAATAAGATTCTCAAATTTCAACATGTTATCTTTTGCTTCTCCAAAATTTATCTTGACACCACTTTCATGGGTCAGATCTAATGTTTACCTCAAATTTGGGTAATTAAAACAACTCCATCTACGTGCTTCTAGGGCCCAACTCGTTTTGCGCCCGACCTTCACGAGGCCCGCGCCACTTTCTCTTCAGAAAATAAACCTCCGTTTAGAAAGAAAAGAGCCAAATTCATCTCTCAATAAGATTCTCAAATTTCAACATGTTATCTTTTGCTTCTCCGAAGAGAAGCTTTTCCAAAATTTATCTTGACACCACTTTCATGGGTCAGATCTAATGTTTACCTCAAACTTGGGTAATTAAACCAACTCCATCTACGTGCTTCTAGGGCCCAACTCGTTTTGCGCCCGACCTTCACGAGGCCCGCGCCACTTTCTCTTCAGAAAATAAACCTCCGTTTAGAAAGAAAAGAGCCAAATTCATCTCTCAATAAGATTCTCAAATTTCAACATGTTATCTTTCGCGTCTCACTGAAATAACGCTCAAATAAATTTCGACGAAGCTGTAAATTTTTCCATTCAACGAGCTGTGTTAATTTATTCATGAGAGTTCGGGAAATCGGGAGACAATATGAACCAATTCGTGTTCGAAAAAAGAAGTTGGGGTAATTAATTTATCACAGAAGGCAACGTGGTGGGCGTTGTTAATGCAGCCCAATGAAACGGAATTTTCGTCAATATCAGTTTGTTCATTCGAAGAAATGATATTCTGAAAAGAATAAGCGTCAGCACATTTTGCAGTGGTAGTTGAGAAAGATGAGGCAAACAGCGAATCCTCCGACGGATAACGGAATTATGACGAGGAGCACAATGAGCGAGCTACTCTGCTGTCGTGTCCCTGACCATTCCTGAAACCAAATACATATAAAAATGTTCTATTTAACGGGAGGATCATTGACTCCGCTCAGAAGTAGATGTGAAAGCTTGAACACGACGAAGCGAAATTCATAGTTTATAGTAGTTCATGGATTCTCATATTGTGGTTGATTTGCACGATTTGAGGATATTTTGCATATTTGCAAGATTTAAGAAGAAATTCCTGTTTAGGGTGTGTATGCTAGGTTTCCACAGTGTCCTCAAACGGGCGACAGCGGTGGTCAGTAAGAGTGGCTGGCTGCAACAGCGGCACGGTTTGCTGCAATAGGGGCGCAGGGGGAGAGTCGAATTTTTTGTTTTTGTTGTTTGGAAAAAGAGCATAAAATGACAAATTGTCTGAATTCTCGTAAGTTTTGTGAGTACTTTAATGCGTGCGACAAAAAATCTTTTCGAATGAAAATAGAGACGAAATAGCTTCTGCAAATTAGAATACCTCCCAAAATGCCGTTTTATAGCAAAATTCGTCAATCAAAAATTTCCAAAGGAAAAAATGCACTTCTCTTAAGAAAGTCTTTTCGAAGTTTTTAATCAGAAAAACAAACTATATATTTTGTGCGATTTATGTTATAATCAAAAATGTCACTTTGATGGGAATTTGGGCCAAAAACAGTCTAAAATCACATCAAATCTTTGTAAAGCGCAAACATTTTGAAAAAACACGGGATGTGCAAAAATACTGAATCATCAAAAATACGGAAGAAAACACTGTATTAAAAGTGAAGGAATTTAATGTCGTGTTCAAAGTAATTTCCGCGAAATGCAAAATGATCTCTGACTCTCCAAAATTTAGTGATCTTTTCCTTTCTCTAACGGGTATTTTGCATTTCGCGGAAATTACTTTGAACACGGCAATATGGGTTTGGCACGCGCAGCATCGTGTTGCGTTAGAAGGAATTCGCGTTTACTCCATTTTTGACGACCATTCTTTTAAGCCGTGTTAGAAAACTGTGGTTTCCCTTAAGAGCAGCTGAGCGACTTTTCGACGCCGACTTAGGCAGACGAGCGTGAGATTTGCTGAGCCGTGTGATGACTGTGGGACCACTCCGTTAATGCAACTTTTTCGTTGCATCAAGTCCTTCCTCGCATCGGTGCTTTTGCTTTATCCAAAAAGATTCTATAGCAATAATGGGTTCTGTTATTTTCAAGTCACGAATTTTTTCGAAAAAAATGTGCGCATGCGGTTTTGACAATTATTCGAATGCCTCATTCAAAATTTCCTCTGAATATATAGCTCAGACACAAAAATAGGAAAATTTTTTTTATTCAATTCGTTCCTTTTGTTGTTCACGTCAGATGTGATTGACTAGACGGTGAAAAAGGACTTCTGAAGCTTCAGCCAACAACCGCTTTTGGCTAACCAAAGTCCGAACTTTTCGAAAGAGTTGAAAGCATGGTCTTACGGTCCGTCGCCTCGCTTCGCCTCCTTCGCGTGCAGTCTCGGCAAAGATGGCGCACGGTGCATTCTGCTTTTTTGCACTCTGGTGCGAAACTGGAGTCTGCGCCGTGCAGCTTTGGTGCTTTTTTGGTGTCGCACTGGTGATGCACTGATTTGACACCTTTGCACCAAAAAGTCAACAAAATCGCACGGTGCAGACCCCAATTACGCACCAGAGTGCAAAAAAGCAGAATGCACCGTGCGGCATCCGTGCTGAGGTCCATCCAGTTGCGCTTTGAAAAGCTAAGAATACAGCAGATGTTGTGCTGGAGCACGGAGACCGTGCTCTAGGTGGTAGTCTCGAAAGGAGAGCGACCACTTTGAGGGAAGACTTTACACGAAATGCCCCGAATATTCTTCTGTTTTCACAAATAATCTTTCTATTATTGCAAAAGTTATTTCGCTGTAATTTATGTGTAGGGCTCTCAGCTTTACAAGAAGAACGATCATGCGCTTTGAAAAAGAAACTCATAAATGACTAGCAGCTCAAATGATATCTCTCCACTTTACCTCAGGCGAGCTAGATCTGACATTCTGACCCTTCATAAAATTGTCTTCGGTATCGATCATTTTCCCCAGTTCGAACTTTTTGCCCTCAGGTCCAATTTAAGGCGAAATCCACTTCGACTGCTTTCTCAAGGTCAGTTTTCTAATGATTTTTTCTTTAAAACAATTCCTACTTGGAACAAACTCACTTCCAAATTTCCATTCAGCCACCACTCCAAGTCTTTAAAAAATTTACTGGTCTATCTACCATTGCACGAGTTCTTCTTGTCTATTCCTCCACGACTCAAATGATGTATAACTGTATAAAGTACTTGCTCAAATTCTAGATCCAAGTGAACGCGTTAGGGTTCACGCTGATCTGTCAATAAATTATTTAATTAAAAAAAGGCCGTGTGTGGTAGTTGCCAGTTTTTGGCTAGACTTTTGTCGAGGCTTCATGTTGAGACCTGTCACTTTTTTTTCCGAGCAAATTGGTATCTTTAACTTCATCAAAGGCAAACGTTAGTTGAAACATTTTTTTCTTATAAGATAAAAAGGCGTCTTTCCGCCAAGTTAGGGTCCGAAGTTCGATGTGAAGAGTTATAAAATTTTTGAGGCGGATTCAGGAAAACGTGTGGAGCCTTTTTTGGAAGGATTCGAAGGTTTTTATTGCCTTTATTAAACTAGCACTGTCTTCAATATAACTTAGTGTTTATGGGGTTCTCGACACATGTCAAAATTTTCTATGCTAAAGTTTTTTAGAGAAATTGTTGACAGAATGTTGTTGCCATATTTTATGCGCACCCAGTATTTGAAACTTCATTTTCCATTTTCGTTTTTTTTGGAAGACAAAGTGGATCCCAAGAGCAGAGCTTCTGGATTAATGGGAAGAATTTCGAATTACTCTGTCAAGAAAATTGAAAGTGTGACGTGCGAAGGGTTTTAAAGGCATGAACAAGATGGATAACGACGACATTCTCTATTCTTTCGTTTGTTGAAGCCTTTCGGATCCCTCACCGGTCTGTCCTGGACTGGCGGATAGGGTCCGTCCTGTTTGGTGAACTGGACGACGTCGCGGCTGTCGGGACGCGTGTCGATCGAAGAACGGAGGAAGGCGAACGTGTTGCAGAAGTCGTCGGCACATTTACAAACCTTAAAGAAAATTGTTCATTACCAAAGATCAAAGTTTTAGACGCGCCGTAGCGCAACAGGTTGTGTGCCTGCCTACGGTCCACAGGGTCACAAGTTCGATCCCCGCCCCGACCCAACCTTCTTAAACAAGAAATGTTGGTAGGGGGAAACCACGGCTTCATAATCCCCAGCCGTCACACACAGGGACGAATATGTCACTGGAGTCAGCCCACTGATATCAGGATAGGACCTCGGCTAATCGACTTGGTGCGCCGACGCCGCTCTAGCGGTATAAAGGCGTAAGAAGAAGAAGACCAAAGATCAAAGTTTTAATTTTTTGTTTGTGGAAATGCGTTTCATTTATGTGTTATTAAAATAATTGTTTTTTTATTCGTGAAATCAATTGTAAAAAAATTACTTAGAAATTTTTTTGATAACAATAAATTGAATCGAACCTCTTGCCACTGGTCAACCCGTTCAATGCAATTTTCATGAGCACCGAGAAAAGATAGGTCATCGGCTGAGCCGCAATGCTGTCGTAACCGTGGAACATCGACTGTAAAACATTTTATTATATATTCTTACAGAATTGCTTGAAATTCCTATAACACCTCTAATCTGTTACCAAAATTTATTTTTTTTTCCTTTTGGGAAGGTTTGACTTACAAGTCATCGAAAAAAACATCAAAAAGAGAGCTGCGTTTGACCAAGATCCGGCCAAAAACCAATATGTAGCTCGCCTTTCAAGTCGGGAAAAATTGACTATGAACATGGACAAAAATATGAAGGAGTCAATTTTCGCTGTGATTTGGCTGTTTTTTTTTTGTTTGTTTTAAAGCTGATTAAGTTTTTCTTTCGACTGGTGCAGTAGCGACGCACAATTCGTTGAAAAGCGTGGTCCCCTGATTTTCAAGGCGAATTGCGAGTCCAAACGGCCGCGGTCGGACAGGTCCCTCGGGCATTTCCACACGAGACTTCTCGCCCAAATTTCCGCTCTTTTTGCTACACATTCGAAAATAATCAAAAGGGCTATCTATGCAAGCTATGTATCTTCTTCACCATTCTAAAAGCTAACGGAAAGAAGCTACTTGACGTCTTCAATCAAGAAAAATTCAGTGAAAACTTGGTGTTCAAACTCACCGTCGTCTGAACGATAGAGGCCGATGAAACAGAACTCTCCTTGACAAAGAAGGTTGTCATCGCAAGACTCTCGGTCGCAGAAGCACTTCACTGTGCGTGTTGCTGTAAATCCAAAGTTCAATGAAAGGATTTTTGATAAATCTGTAGGAGATAAATGAACGTGGCCTTTTCAGTGGTGGAAAATAATTGCGAGTATTCAGAGAGCTAAAGCCTTTTTCTTTTGTTTTTGTTTCTTCATTTTGTCAAATTAAACTTCTCATCCGTTTTTTTTCCGTTATACTTTTGCATTACTATTTGATATATAACAACTTATTTGGGCTCACTGTGCTCTTTTCCTAAGAATGAAAAAACTGTTACTTTACGATGTTTTCCGAAGATTGATGCCCCTGAAAAAACGAAAAACTCTCTTACTCAATTTAGGATGTTACTCTCAAATAGACATCAAAATGGATAATTATGTATGTATTTTTCAGTTATTTCTGATTATACTTTGTTTTGTGGATCACGCTTATCACAACCCAAACCTTTGCAAAAGCAGTTGTTAAAGTGAAGAAAAGTACAACTTAAGATTTCTCTGGAGGTATTTCTCCTGAAAAACTTCCACGCCTTTTTTCTTCGGCGCCGCTTTTCAAATAAGGTCTCATTCGAGTGGACACATTTACGCACACTTTGGCACAAGTATAAATGTTCGACGGACAAAATTGGGCAGAGCGGCTCTACATAATGTGTCCGTCGCAAGTTTGTGTGCCTCCAGGCACAATGGGCACGAAACCATTCTTATTTCACAACCAAGGGTGGAAATAAATTATTGGATCGAACGAACAAGACAATTTGATTTTTCATCCTATTATTGGGTCAAAGTAAGAAAAAGTTTTCAACATAGACGTTATCACTCAAGAAAAATTGGGACTACTACACAGCCAAATTCTTCCCTCATTGCTTCCAAGAGCTTCTGCATTATAAACAAACGAATCCTCATGTTGCGTCTCTTCAAATTACGAAAAAAGCAATAAATCAAGTGACAGCCGGCGAAGTTGGTCTCAATAACATGAGTACTCCTTTTTTTTTTGTTTTGTGACGTGTTAATCTAGTCTCTTTTTGGACTATTTCAAGTGTTAGAGACAATAGTAGAATAATGAACGATGAAGCTTGAGGCAATGAAAAGAAAATCCCATGGAGATTTCATATGAATAAAGCTAAGCGTCGCTATTTTGTCTGCTTCTTTTCGTCTTGAAATCCCCCTATATCTATGAAATGAATGAAGCAAATGAGGAGATTTTTTAGAAATATTCGATAGCGCTCTCCTCAATTCGTGAAAGGCTACAAATAATATCGCTTCAAAAAACATGATTTGTGATATAATTTTCAAGGCCCGTGCTTCTTATCTCGTGAAGAGCGACCTCCTCTAGCGTTTCTGCCGTCGGGAGATGTGGTAAAACAAGGGGTGAGACGAAGAAGAATGGCAGAGTCGGAAGCAAAAATTGGAGCTCCCAACAAAAACGTGCGAATGCAAATGCATACAACATCGGCACGCGAACAAGTGCTCTCGATAGGTTTCTAGACCGCCGGCCTTTTTTCTTCAGCAAAAACATCTACTGACATTAGAAAACAGAGAACATCTCCGGTTGGTGCTACGGCAAGAGCAAAGTTTCAATTTCCGCGTTTTTGCTTTTTTAATTTTGATCTTGATCAGAATGGATTATACCGACAGGAACGTCAACTATCCATTTTAATTAATAAAAAGTTCAAGTAAAAGCAGAGAAGGTAATTGAAAAAAAGGGGAAATGGAAAACTCGCGATTGTCGTAGCGCTCTTGGGTTCACTGATTGAAGTTTGGTTTTTTTTTTACAATGTAAAAATCTAGAACAGATTTTTAGATCAATGGAACTATCAAACTATGAATTCCACTTTTTTCGCTTCTATCAAAATTAATTGATAATGACAGCACCACCTATTCCTCATATTGAAAAATTCAGAAAAACAAATCGTTTTTGATTCCCTTTTAAAAATTAGTATTACTATTAGATAATAACCAAACTAAATTTTAAATTTTTTTCCATTTTCACTGTGTTTTCAAGATCGGAAAATAAATTTAATATGAAAAAAAAATGTTAACTTCGGTTTGTAACCTGATAAAAGGCATTCTTCTAAGCGACCAACAGTTTACAAAGAAGTTTCCTAAAATCTCGCACAAATTCATCTTCGGATACCAACTCAAAAACTTCGAAAGCTTCGAGGGCATAGCGCGATGGACGGAAAAAAGCGCAGCCACAAATTAATTGCGAGTACCCGAGGGACGGACCAACTGTCGGCTCGGCAGCCGATTTTTCTTTCATCTGCCGGCTCGCAAGCAAAAACGAGTACTCCTTTGTGCCATCTACTCTCGAAACGATGAGCCAACCATGATAATTGGCCCAATTTGCAAAACGCGAACGGCTTAGCTTTTCCCGGCACTCGAGAGGCTCGTTTTGTAGTGGGCCGTGAAATGATTGTAGGCTAAAATAGGAACAAAAATAAAAACTACTTCAAAAAGGCAGTGAGAAAGAAAATTCAGTATTAATTTATTATAGCTGTAGCTTTGTTCACTGGGACCTTTATTTATTAATGGCGCTCAGAAAACTGAATGGAGAGGACCAGAGGGTCAACAAAGTCCTATGAGAAGCCTCCGATATGCTGATCATATCCTAGTCAACGAAGAGAGTTCTGACTCACGAAAACTTTCATGAAATCAAGTAGCTTTCAATAATTGTCATATTAATAAAGACGAAATTTTTTCTGGTCCTTTTTTGTGCTTACTTCTTGTTGTGTCATAAAGCTCTATAAAAACAAGCGGAAAATGTCAAATGCGAAGTCAACTATAACTTTGACGAAAATGTGAAACCAACTTGTCAGAGCGAAAAATAGTAATTATAATACTGATCCCAAAAAAATGGTGAGTTTCAAGGACCATTAATAATTGACAACAAAACTCAAAAAGATTTAGAAAATTTCATGGAAAGAAGCTTTTAAAAATTTTTTTAAAGAGTTTAATTGATGGAACAAAAAAAGTTAGGCTATTTTGAGCTTATTTGAAATTTATCACTCAGTAAAGAGGAAAAAATATACGAGAAAATTTTCATTGCAAGCTTTAAGCAGATTCAAAAAGCTAAGCAGGTTTAACGAGCTCTACCTTTGCAGACGTCGAACAGAAGGAAAACGGCAATAAAGACCCATGTCGACAGTTCCCGGAGCATTCGGCTGGCGCGGCGTGGCGCTCCAGAAGACGAGGACAACGATGACGGCACCGTCGCCACATCAAAGCATCGGGCTAGCGGCCTCGTTTCGGCTCTGATAGTGCTCCACTTGCCGAAGCTTCACTTTTCGTCGGTCGGAGGTTGGGGCACACCTGCAAAATGCGTATTTTCTTCATTTTTCCTGCTTTTCCCATTCGTTCAAAAACGTGTGAAAATGACGTGGACATGAGCTCGTTGAACCTATTGGTGAGAAAAGAAGGTACTATTGGAAAGGCGAAGTGAAGTATTTAGAATTGGAAAAAATATAGCCTAGTGAGAAATGCTTGCTGGTGTCTTCAAGGAGACAAGAATTGAAAGAACAGCAAAATTATCTATAGACATTTATCATGTTCGTCAAATTTTTTTTGAATACTGAAGAAACTAAAAGATTCTATGTTTTAGTTTAGGTTCTTACGAAGTCAGTGATTTCACCAAAACCAAATTTCTGATCCAATTCGGAAAGAAACTTAAATAGAAGGAAATATTAAGCTCTTACTGAAAAAAAATAATCACTGGTGTACCCATGATTTTCAGATTCGTTCGGATGTTCACAGAAACTTTGTGGTAGGTTTAAAGGGGCAAAATAAAATTGATAAAGGCTCTCAGACTTCATAACTTCACGCCGCTGCTTTTTACAAAACAAAAAAGGATTTCTCACAAATTGTAAACATGAGCTCTGAAAATCAAATGGCCTCAAGGCAAGGATCAATAAGATTTTCTATAAGCGGGATAATTCCTGGTTTGAAGCCGAAAAAAACGTGTGGAAATGTGAGAGGGGTCAAATCTCGGCCGGAAACGACTAAATAGCAAGGAGAGGGTTCGAATATTTGGATGCACGCGAGACCCGAACGAATTGCTCAACACCACATGTAGGATTCGTGGAGCACGAAAAGCTGCCGCGGCTGCTGCGCGACGCCCCCTCGAGAAATGGGCGGAGTCGAAGGCGGAGTCACCGGATGATTCTTCGCTATTCCTTTCGGCTTTATCACTAACTCGGCTACTGAAGTTTTAATTTGAAATATATCAATTATCCATCTAAATCAAGAAAAATACAACTGAACCAAAAAGTACTAACTTTTATGAGCCAAACAAAATCGAATTTTCATCTATCTTTTAACTTAAAACTGTCTCCATGCTTTCCAATGAATTCCACTAGGGGTTAGAAAATACAGAAAGAGGAGATTCGACAATGAATGAACATCATAAGAAATTGAACGCAGCCGTAGGATAAAGCCTATTCGCTCGATGTTTCAATGTTTCGGCGAGAAAAAAAAAGAAAAAGTTCCATTCAGGAATGTTGTCAAAGTTACAAGTGCTCTCAAAAATTTTTCCGGAAATTAAACTGCTATAAAAAAAAGCGAAGCCAATCTTTTTCTAACTTTGAACCGTCTTTTATGTCCTTTTTTATTTAAAAAGTGAACACAAGATAAATTAGTTTGTTTGGAAAGCTTACCAAAGGAATATGAATTAATTTGCTGTGTCAAGTCCAACAGAATAGTTTGTCAAACTGTAGGTATTAGAATTTTTAATTGTCTTGGCCGATTTTTTTTTTCGAATCAAAAGTTTTTTCATGATCAAATGTTTCTTTTCATTCATATCGAATGTCATAAAATGGAAAATAGATGATGGGGTTGGAGGAAGAGTTCAAAAAATCTTTTCAAACGATGATGCTGATTGAGATACATTCGGCAGGAAAAGGAATAGAAAGAATTTGAGGACCTTTGATCCGAAGCCAGCAACAGAAAAGCTGAGAGGCGCTTTGGCTGTAAACGGATTGACGGAACTTCCGATTCGGCTAACGCGCTGCTGCTCGTCTCTTTTTGTAGCCGTTATCTTGCTTCGCCTCGAAACTGCGATTGCTTATTCACATAATGCATTCATTTTAAGCTCAAAAAATCGCAATTTTCGTCTCGGATAGAGGCTCGCGCTTTTCACATTGATCCTTCAATAACACACTCATTTTATCAGTGGAATTCAATTTGACCCTTGTTTAAAAAAATTTCAGTTTTGAATTTTTTTATATGTTATATCGACAGAGTAGCAATTTTTTTCAAAATTTTTTGTTTCAAACTCCTTTTTTGTGTTTTTTTTTCTGAACTCAGTAAGCTTTTTGTTAAAGTTTACGTGAAAATTTTAATCGAAAGAAATTCATTACAATTTTAAAAACAAAGGTTTAAAATATTGAAAGATAATTGAAATTTACGCACCCGTTTCTCTGCAGCCAGTGGCTCAACAAGCAAAAAATTAAAACACTATATTCGGAGCAAGAGTTCGTTCGCTGTTGAACACGCGTAGAAACGCGGCATTTCTTCATTCGAAAGGGGTCTTTTGAAGCTGCTTCTGAATAGAAAACTTCTACGAACAAGTTCCATTATTGAAAGTTCTTATAAGTCATAAGAACATGTGGCAAAAACCGATTCCGACAAAGACTTGCTCTGAGGAACAGATATATACGACGAGGCGGATATTTTTCCCACATCAAAGACGTCGACCTACGAGCGGAATTTCGAGTAGAGTGGCGCGGTGGAAAAAAAAAATACTTTGTCCGACTTCTGGGCGGCAATTCGCAAAAGGAAACATCGTTTCAGGTTACACTCCTCCTTTGGTGAATGAGCTGCGCGTTGTCAACGATGAAATCCAGGTGCGTCCAGAACAGAGTCCACTGGAAAAGTCGGAAACACCGAAAAACGCATTCTCTTATGTTCGGAAGGGCTTTGAAAAACCATGTAGTCTGTTCAAATTTTAAATTTCAAACAGCTAACTCCGCGCACAGGCGGATCGAGAAGTACCATAATGTGTCCCCAAAGGTATAATACGTGTACCACGACTTGGAACTTCACCGAACGACATTCCTCTGTTCCTCTGCGTGCTCGGCCGCGCCTTAAAATTTTTTTTTTAATTTAAGAACTCGACCAACACTTGTTCCTAGTGAAAAAGTCCATCTATCAGAAATGAGAACCAATTCAAAGCGAAACCGAAGCTCGCAATGATGCTTCGCGACGCAGCGGAATAGCGGTCTGTCGTTCGGTGAAATTCCAAGTCTTGGCACACAGACTACACTATACCTCTCAAAATGGATCCTGAAGGCCCCATAATGTGTCCATCGTGAGACCACCAGCATACCTTTTATCTATATCTGAGCCATCTCAGGTACTTCAGAGTATCTCTCAAGCCCCTCTCATTTTGCTCGAAATCCTCAGAGGTATACTCGAGGTAACATCGTGAGACTTCAGAGCTTTTATTTATACGGACTTAAATCTAGAGAAGAGCAAAACTTGACAGCTGTGCGCATTTTCCTGATGTGAAAAAAACATACGCAATTTCTTGTACGAAATTTTGAAAAAAAAAGTGCGCACTTTCCTTCATGCCCAATTTGCCTATTTTGAAATCTTTTTGGGTTTTGAAATATATTTTTATATTTTTTTCATACTACCCAGTGCCCCTGCTTACGTTTTAAAGTTGTTCCGAGCACTTTCGAACAAATTTATGAACAAAATTGCCAAGTGAAATTTTTGATATTTCAAATTTTTTTGTGCAATCTAATTTTTTTATAAACTGGTGCAGAGCAATGATAAGAGATGAACAGACATAAAAAATATTAACTTTATAACTTTTCAATTAGTTAAAAAGCTAAAAAACAAAAAAGACACCCCGCGCGTGCGCGCAGCAGGCGGCGCGCATTTTTTATTCCATCAATAGGTTTTTTTTTATCAGCCGTTTCTCTGCGGAGTCTTTCACGTATACTTAATTTCAACTTATCTACCCAGAGAAGCATTTCGTCAGCAGCTTTGCTTTTCACCACGATAATATAATATTGAAACAGGAGTTTTGTTATTCTGTCTAATTTTTGATTGAGAGTTCACGCCTGTTTAAGGTGGCCTGTCGTATTACGGTAGTTTGGATAGGTTTTTTCAATAATAAAATGAAATCTTGTGTACTTAGTGTGACGTAACTTACCTTGTAACCTCGAGAAATAGGTCCTTAACAAATTGCAACAAAAGAAAGGAAATTAAAAAAATTTCCTGGCTCCGAAACTGACTGCGCAATATTGACCGGCCACCGGCCGCCGTTGTTCTGTCTCAAACATGCGTGAGCTTGCAACCATAAAAGCAAGTTTTAGTTTCAGACTATTCGTTTAGATTATTAAAAATAAACTGTTTTTTTTTCAATCAGAATGAGGTTCAAAATTTTTTTTCAAAAAATATTTTTTCGATAAAGTCCATAGAAAATTTATTTTTCCTACTATTCTCAACCTCTTTACATCATTCAGAAGGAAACTTGCCTTATCAAAGTGTTTGCTTCGGAATACTCTTTCGTGTGTTTTCCAATTTTTTTTTTCTATACTTTCGACTCGGCTTCTAAAATGAGTGATTTTTGCAGGAATGTTACACGGGTTCTTCTATCATCCATTCCAGAAAGTCGTCGATCTACTAGGTGAAGCTTTTTTCTACTTTTTTCTACACAGATTTGGGTATTTTTTAGTTAGATTTTTCAAAGTATGCAATTTTAGTGTTTCTGTTATATTATATCTGTTAAATTGAAATTTTCAAATTTTATTCTTAACAAATACCTTTTTTCCGTTTGATTTTAACAAAATTTTACTTTTTCGGGTTGTCTCAGAAAATGAAGTCTTTCTGATTTGAAAGAAAGTCGTCAGACGTTTCTCGCCGAGTTTCAAGATGCATAGTCAAACCTTAAAAGTTTTTCTAGGGCTTCGAAATCTCGAAAGTCAGAACCGTCCTAATTAACACGGATTATACGCTGCGAGACCTTTATGAAATTTTTTATTGCTTTTTTTAACTTCTCAAAAAGATGTTCTGATTCAAGTATACCGGTGCGATTAGAACACTGGCTGTCACTTCGAGGGTCGCGTCACACATTTTGTCTAACTTTTTCCACGTGTTTCTGTGTTTGGTGACCTTGCTAGAAGTTTTGTATTGATCACCAAAAAGTACTAATTCAATAATTTTCGAGATCTCAAGATCGAACAAAGTTTGATTTTAACCGGGTTTTTCAAAGTCCACTAGGAGTACGAAGGAAATCGGAAACATATTTTATTTTTGTGATTCTTTTTACCATGACATTTCATAAGGAGAAAACATTTCTTTTCAACCCTGCATTCTTGTGATTCACATTTGCATTACAAGCTCTTTTCTACCCACAAAAGATCGTTCAGAAACGGAAAAATGACGATCGATTGGGAAATGACGCGACTTCGTCCCTTTTGCCGACGTTTTTCTCATGTTTTTTCAATTGTTTCCCATCGCTTTTTTGTTTGATTTCCGAAAAGACTAACAACGCAGTTTTGCAGCGGCAAAAAGAGTTCTAATTTCCTCCCGCTTAATGCAAGTTTGGCGACCTTCTGTTCACGGAAAAATGAAATGCAAGTAGATTCAGGTCGTTGGACAGGAGATCGTTTCCTATCGCCGACTTTTCTCAGGAACGATGATTTTTATCTTCTTTCCCCTCCCCCCTCCCACTTGATCTTTCAAAATGGAAATTAGCTCAGCTTCTCTTCCTAGATGTCCTTTAGACTCAGACCGATTCTTCTAAAACTTTTTTTCTCAACATTTTCAATTTTTCGTTAATTTCCTGAAAACGAAGCTTTTTTTCCGCAAGATTATAGGAAAAAAATTGGATATGCTAAATATATTCAGACTGAAATCAAGTCAAAAACCGTTTTTTTCCCTCATCAGCAACATATTTGGCTCTAATAAGAAAAAGAAAAAATAGAAAAATAAAAGTTGCAGAAAATAGCTGGGCGAAGGAAGAGCGCGTTTGCGGCAGTTGGTCCGCGTCCGCGGATTGGCTTCGCTCCGGAAGAAGGCGTCAGCGACGACGACGAGTTCGGGCAGCTAAATAGGTCTGTCTCTCCAGAAAAAAGAAATATGACCAAACTTCTCGACCAAAACTTATTTCGAAAATGCGAGAGGAAAGCGAGAGTAATGTATCAAAACACGAAGGAAAGACAGAAACGTCGAATAAGAGGATTATCTCTGAGCGAAACAGGGCACTGTTCCGTGAGCGAACAGAACAGACGCAGAGCAAACAAGCGCCGTCGGCATTTTCCTTGCCAAGTTTTGATTCCCACGTCGTTGTGCCGGACGAGCAGAGAACGCAAGAAAGCAGTCAGTGAGGCTCGAAATGCTCAGAAGCGCTTTTTATCTTTTTGTATCGAGGCAGCGACGGTTCGCCTCGACGCCAATCAGAGTTTTGAAAGAGGCTGAGCGTCGCTAAAAGCCTCCACAGGAACATACACAACAGAATTACAAAAATTTCTTTCTTTTTTCGCTGTCCCGACACTCGTTTTATGATTCGGGCAGATCTTATCACCATTTTGCAGCATCTGATCGATATTCACGCGCCCCGCCTTTCCACTCACTTATAGTTTTTCTTCACTTTTTTGAATCAATATGTATATCTTCTCACGAATTTCCTCATCTGATCAAAGTTTGAATAACTTCCAATTTTCTGTTCTTGCCTCGTCTAGCCCGCTGAACCATTTTGTCTATCCAAAAGAACAAAAAAAAAAGATAATTTTTGAAGAAATACGATGATTGCTAGACTTGACTATCTTCACGATTTTGGTGAAATCGAATTTTTTATTTCACACATTTCATACGACAGCCAAAAAAGATAATAATTGTTTTTTTTTTCATTTTTCATTTCATAAGGGTCTGGCTTTCACTTAATAATGGAACGCTTTGAATTAGCAATGAAGTTTTGTGGCTCACAATGGAACGATCAGAAAATGATCGCATAAAAACGCTCTGAGACAAGCCGTTCTCCATCGTTAAAATTCATGCCGACGGCTTTCTGCCAGTGAGGTTTCACTCTTCATTTCTTTTCTTTTTCCTTTTTAATTATTCTAAAATTATTTTTGAATCACACTTTTCTCAATTTTTGTTTTTATTTTCAACTCCACCATAACATAATTCTATTTTGTTTTTCAAACTTTTCAACTATTTCGTCGCTTAACTGTGATCTTATTGAACGCGTCGTTCAGAGAACCGAATGCAAAACAGTTTCTTCGAAAATCTTCGGCTGCGTCCACGTTGATTTAAGGGAAAACAATAAAAGTGAGCCGGATAGCGTCAGGGACCAAGGTGATTTTCAGTGAATTTTCGTTTTCTTCCTTCCTTCTGATACTAGTTTATTCGGAAGCTTTTTACGCAGTTTTTAGAAACTTCGTTTGAAAGAATTTTTCAAGAGTTTTAAATATATTATACTTTTTTCCTGCTGTTTTTGAACTGCTTATAATCAATCCTTCCCAAATTGAAAGGCGAGATCGGTAGATTGACAAGCGGTAAGCGTTGCCTACGCGACGCGGCTTTTTTGCGGGAAACTCGAGACCAAACGTCTTTCAACGAAAATTCCAAAACAAGCTTGAAAAAAATTATCTAGAAAAACTATCGGAATGAGAAGGATTGTCTGCAAAAGGATGGTTTGAACCTTGTCAGTGGAAAGTTTAGTACTGGAGCGTGTGCCTGTTGAGTTCCAAAGTTGAAAGACGGAGGCTGGCCGGAGCCCCCGCACGTCTGTTTTCTATTCATTTTATCTCCTACAGTGCGATAGTACCTGGCGCCGAATAAATAAAAGAAAGTGTCAGCGTGTTTGTGTAATCCCGCGCCCAACAATTTTCCTGGCTATCGTTCATCCAATTCCTAAGAAGCTTGATACTTTTCATGTTTGTGATAACTGGAAAAATGGCTTTGTTCGCTTTTAATTTTAGTTCAAAGAGAAGACTAACACAGATCTTATGATATTATCTATTATGCTATTATCATTTAATCTGATTTTCTAATAAACTCTGTCAGAACTATAATTTTTTTCTATCCAAAAGATTTCCTTTTAAAAACCGTACTTCCCCTCTGCTTTTTGTTATGATTATTTATTGAGTCGATGAAATCAGTCGTGCATCAAGTAATCTGAAAAAAATGACTGCGCTGAAACAATATTTTTTTCACAAGAATGTTACGCTCCCTGCTAGAATGAAATTCAAAAGAATATAATAATTTCAACTATAGTAGAGAATTTTTTTAAATCAAAAAAATAATTTCTTAATAAAAAAATGTTTTTTTAATGTCTTTGTTGACAGCAAAGGCTTATACAAACTGTAAAAACTTTTTATGCCTGCGGTTGCTGCGAATTTCTGTTTGTTTTTTTTTTCTTTTGGACAACTTCTTTTTTTGTATATGTAGAATCAAACTATTTTCTAAAGATTTGAACGCGTTTGAATGTTGATAAAGCGAGATCCTAGTAAAGTTTTCCAAAAAAAAGAAAAATAAAGATTCCCTAAAAAGAGAAAAACAATGAAAAAGTTATCCGCTGTCCCTGATATGAACATAAGCTCAAAAAGGGTAGGTCTTTTTTTGTTGATGGGAGAGTTCTTTGTTTGTTTAAAAATAAGAAACAACAGAAAAGTCGTTTTATTATTTCGAAAAGGCTGTGCCTTGCTGAATTTATATCAATGCAAAAGATGAGGAAGACTTGTGAGAAAATAAAAGATGGCTTTCGAAGGATGACATTTGGCCGGAAACTGACGGTGGTGGGGAGCGTCGACAATGGAAACACGTCGCTCCTGCACATGGGTGACGTCATTTCGCTGTATACCGAGGAGTCGCAGGAACAACGAGGATTTCTTTCTACTCTCGGGTAGGTCTCACTAGCTCTTCAATATCAAGTTTATAATTCAAAAAAAAAAAAAATAGATTTTTAGACTGGTCGATGACCGATGCATAGTAGAACTGAAAGATGGACGCCCGGAGAGTCCCCCTAAAAAGTTTCGAGGTCTGGTTTTTTTTTTAATGATAGCTGTTTCTGAAACATTTTTTGGAGATCTAATACAAGCTTGGTTGAAATATTGCAGACTGTTTATTCCAAGTCTGTCCGGTGAATCGGTATGCCGCTCAGAAGCAGCTCTGGACGGAGCAGAAACGTTTCCAGACCGGAGAGTCCGTTTTTGACGATGAAATGATGAGCAAACTGCGTGTGGCTGCAGACAAGGTCTATTTCTTTCGATTATCTGAAAGAGTTTTGTTGAAATCTTATTGAACTAGACGCAAAGACGAGAAAAAAAAAACAAATTGACGTGGTTATAGATATCACAATCGCTGTTAATAGCTATTGGGTTTCAGGAGAAGGAGCAGAACGAGTTTGAGTTCAAGAAGAACGCTGGGCAACGTGGTCCAATACGGCACTACCGTCCAGTTGCTCCATGTCAAGTCCGACAAGTATTTGACGGTCCAAAAAAACTCGCCTGCAAAAAGAGAGAGAAATGCAATGAAGGCTTGTTTACCTGGACGTCGAGGCCACGAGTCATTCCCTTCCAGGTATACCTCGACCGAGCGGGCAACGAGGGCAGTTGGTTCATCATTGAGCCGGCTTACAAGCACTACGCCATCGGCGACAACGTGAACTGACCTTTTCAAGAGGTCAAATGATATATTTCCTTTCAAGGTGGCCGCTGGTAACAAAATATCTCTGATTCCGTACTCAGTCTCGTCGAACCAGGCTTCGACAGGCCATTGCAAGCACCAGCTCCATCTTTCGCATTGTCGTCTCACAGATCATCCTACTGCTGCTGAGGTTTCCTCTAATCTTGATCGAATTAGATTTTCAGCTTTGTTCTGATGGAGTAGTCGTGTTTATAGTGATATACAAATATGAAGAGAAAAGAAGTTTCCTCTGTTTATTTTTTCATTTTCATTTCATGCTGTTTTTCAAAAGTTTGAAAAAAATGAAGGCCAATTTTTTGTGTAAACTTTTTTTCAAAGAGCTAGTTCGAAGTTTCAATATGAATTGAAATTGAGTTACTCAGGTGAACTGCCTGAACGAAACAACAGAATGGCAAGTTTACATGTTTCTTCTTTTCAACGAGAACCAACCAGACGTCGTCAAATCCGTATGATTTTTTTGTCAGTTTCCTGGGGACTTGGCAGTTCAGGGCGACGTGATCAGGCTGTTCCACGCCGACCAGCAGACTTTCCTGACTCTCGACACTGTTCCGAAGACGTCGCCGCCACAAGACGTCGTCTTTTTGAGGATGACCAACCGACCTTCCGCGGCAGACGCGACCAGCTCCCGAGCTCTTTGGGAAGTCCAGGCTAGTTTTTTTTTTCAAATGGACACTGTTTAAAAAACTTGAAATTAGTAGATCGAAAAATATTGATTTTACTGACGTTTCCGTCGATAGAATATTTAAAAAAAGATATCAATCAAGTTTAAGAATGAAAAATTTTCAAATAGTTGAAAACATTATAGCGAATTTAGGTTTCCGATAAAGTTTTATTACATTAAATCAAATCTTCGTCTGAGAGTTGTGAGCTGAAAACTTTTTTCAAAACTTTGAGAGGTGTGAAACCCTATTGAACATCAAGATTCGGTTAGCGGAAAAAGAAGTATAAACGTTTTGTGAGTTTCAAGTTCATAGTACTACGGCACTGTTTGAGGTCGTACAATCGATGCACTACCGTGGCGGGTCTGCCAAGTGGAGCAAGGAGTACCGTTTCAAGCATCTGGCCACAGACATGTACCTGACCGCAGTTCCGGCCTCCACCCCCGTCAAACCGGCCACCAACGACAGACGTGCGAGTCTGATTTACACTAGGTAAAACGATGGTTCAGTTTTCAGCTCCTTTAGTCTCGATGAAAAGTCGTCCAACTTTGGAACGGTCAGTTTGAGTGCATGATCTGAGTTTCATTGAGTGTCGTTCAAAATAATTTGTTTTGTTTGCACCGTATGAAGAAATAGCTATGCACTCATTTCTCACAGTCAGAACGGGAAGCTGATGTTTGGAAAGCGAGTTAAAAATGTTTTCTGACTTGAATTAGCATGTTTCTGAGAGAGCTATTTCTTCACAAGCATGGCTTGAAAGCTTTTTCGCTCGAGATCGAAGTTTTGCGCATTTCTGCCTTTTTTGGTGACCAACTTCCCGTCGTTGATAATCTCCCTTTGGTTGAAAACATCAAACAGAATGCTAGAAAGTCCATTTTTAACCATACTAATTGTAGTCAATTTTTCCTGCAACTAATGAATGGTTTTCGCTCTAACCTCCGAAGGTCCCAAAAAGGTCTGAAGTCCTCGTTTTCAGAATGAAGAACGATATGGTTTCCTTCAATCCGAATGCGCTTTACAACGAAGGACCATCGGGTTTCCCTGAGCGAAATCCCAATTCATTAGCGCGTTTAATAGGTGATTCAACTTCCTCGTCAGGAACATTCTTTCTTGTTCCTGTGAAGTGCGACTTCCCCGAAGTCAACGACGATCTTCTGTTTTCTCTAGAACCCAGTACTATCACGGTAATCTTGTCTCCCGCCTTACTAAATAGTTTTTTCTTCAGTCAAACAAAGATGTTCCGAGAAGATCCTATGTGCGGTTGATCCACAGAGAAACAGAAACATGGGTTCATGCAACAAACGCAAACGAAAAACAAAATCTCTACTTCAGCAAGTTTTTTTTTGATTTTGTAGACGTTTTTCATGTTCTTTTTTTGTTAACAGTAAGAACGAAAAAGGATGGGTTCGAGTGATTTGCGAGAAAAATCGCGTCGACAAAGAGACATTTGCTCTTTTGCCGGTATCGCCCAATGAGGTTGAAACTTTGATAACTTCTCAGGTGAAAACTGGAAACAGGTGCGCGATTTGGATTTCGCGAACGATGCGTGCCGGGCTCTGCGAAACTTCATCAAACTCATAAAACAGGGCAGCGTTGTGTCGAAGGAATCGCTCAAGTTAGTTTCAATCGGAAGATTGGAAAATCTGGAGCCTCTCTTTTTGACCATTTACATATTTACAGTGTCACAACAAATCTTTTGAAAGAGTGTATTTACTTCGTGACCAACACTATTAATCATATATTGGATCCACTGAAGGTCGTTGATTTCTCGCCTTCTCGAGATCGCCAGAAACTTTTGCGCGAACAGGAAGTTCTCGACCAGGTAGCAAACTAAAGAAAAGTCCTTCTGATCACGGTTTTTGGCAGGTTTTTTTGCTTCTGAAGGCTCCGTTCATGCCACGCCAAGGAACGACGGAAATGTGTCCTTTGCTCAACTCTCCGTCCGAACTGAGCGACAGTCGCAACGAAGTCTTCAAAAACATGTTCCAGCTCTGCTATTGCTTGCTCAAGTCTTGATTTTACGCCTAGCAGCAATTAATTGCATTTCTGACAGATATTCTCAAGTGAACTACAGAAAGAACCAAGAATTTCTTGCCGAAAAGTTTGGTCAGATACAGGTTTGGAGTTGGCAGTGTGAAGGGGACGGAGTAACGTTTCAAGGAGCAAATCGGGTTCGATTTGATGGCAGAAGACACGATGACGGCCGTCTTGCACAACAACCCGAAGCTGCTCGAGAAGTACGTCAAGACGCCGCACGTCGAGCGCTTCGTCGAACTTGTCAGGAACAACAGACAAGGAAAGTTAGTTCTGCTTTGTATTTGTTTTTTTTTTTTGGGTATTCCTCCGATCAGAAATAGGTGTTAACTTATCGAAGTGTACTTTGAAGCACTTTTAGTTGAATTCTGACTGAATTTGTTTCTTCTCGGTTCTGAAGACAAGAACTTACAGTTTGAAATCATTACTGCAAGTTGTTCTTGATATGAAAGAAAGAAACAGATCAAGTAGAGAAACGTGTTTTGAAGCGTGCTGAGCCTTACAGTGAGATATTTTTTTTAAAACTCTTTTGACGCCGTTGGATATTTTATGTTGGAAAGAAAAATGCAAAAAGAAAGTTGTAAAATTGATTCAGGTGCTCATCACTGACAAATAATATAAATTACATCCTTAGAAAAGTTTTCGAAAGTTGCAGTGATTTCTTCGATCTGAACACTTTTCTTAAAAGCAGTTCGAAAGGTCTGATATAGCTGTTGTGATAGTGATAGGACGTAAACATTTGTTTTTCATTCATTTATTTTTGTAATGCAGAATTCAGAACTTTTGAGACTTTGCATGTTGAGATTTCTCGACTATTTGGCGGATTTATGTGTTTGTCGTGGAGAAGCCAACAAAAAGATCCAGGAACTGATCTGCAATTCAGTTCTCAGTAGTAAACATCGCGACATCTTCATGGAAACTAAGATGGTCTGTTTCGTCCTTCACAGCTACTTGCTTCATCGTCTTCGTTTGCAGGAAGATGGAGAAGTTGTGATTGGCTGGCCGCCTCACTTCAAGAAACTCGTCGAAATCGCCGAGTATTCTGCCGGCTCGCCAGGAGACGCCGAACTGTTGGACTACTATAGGTTCACACGATTCTTGAGGGAAATAAGAAACGGAATTGCAGGCATCAGCTGGACTTGTTGGCTCAGATGTGCCAGGAACAGCAATATTTGGCGATAGATCCCCCGCCAGAACGCCGACTGATGAACATTTCTCAACAGCTGCCCGCCGAGCTTGTCCTACAGTGAGCTGGAACTTTTCTGACCAGTGTATTCGTGCTCAGATGCATGTCAGACAGTCGCCTGCCCTACGAGGTAAGAGCTTCCTTCACGAGGCTCATGCTCCACCTCCATGTCGTCCGTGGAAGTCCGTTGTCGGCAATTCGCCACGCACGGCTCTGGTGGGACATACCTGAGGAAGTTAACGTTGGCTCGTGAGTTTTTAAAATATGATACCATCTGTATTGAAAATCATTAAATTGAAAAGAAGGAATTCGGGTGAGCGTGCGATTCAGTTTTGATTTTATCGAATTAAATTTTTTTTTTCATTAGGCTTTCTGAACCTCAAATTTGTTTGTGAGTAGCCTTTTTAGGTACGAATCGACGTCAGTGGAGGCGTATTCCGACGGGAGCCGCATCAGAATCGGGGACGCTATCGCACAAAAAGTTTTTTTTCCTTTTATGGTGGTTGACTGTCCCGATGATTAGGTGTTGGCCACGGTCGACAACTATCTGCTGAACCTGAGGCAACAAAATAAGGAGAATTCACATGATGGCGGAAACATGCGAGCAAATAAGCTCACTTACGAAGTCGAGATACATGATGTTTCCTATAATGAATCGGAAATTCAGATTGTCAACCTAGCCAAAGCTCTCGCTCAGTTCAATTTCTACTCCTTCCACAAGTTGCTCCAGCTAGCTCAAAATCTCTTGGCGATTTTCAATGAGAACCCAGAAAACGACAACACTTGTTAGAAAGCAGCGTGATTGGGCTTATACGTTTTTTTTTTTTTTTAGCCAGAAGCATGATGAAGGCGATCCGGAACATGACCAAGTCGATGATTCCGACGGCGACGAGAATTTCCGAAAAGGCCAAAGAAACGAAGTTGGCGGCTGACGAGGCTGGCCGTTCCAAGGAAAGCCGTCAACTCATCGTTAAAACCAAGCTCATCGTGGCCGAGATTCTGCAGGTTTGACCTTCATCCCTTCAGACTTGAATGCATAGTTCAGTTCGTGATGGACGTCCGTCGGGATTACCGCATAACGATGGCCTTGTCTTGGTTCAAAAACCGCTTCCCTTGCGACGGAGATGGCTCTCTCAAGCAGTCGGCCAGTGAGTCGTGTTTGTGTGGAGGCCGTCTTCAGCTCCTTTCAGACATCAATGAAGCGATGGCCAACCAGCTGTACGAGGCGATCTACCATTCGTCTGGACACGAGCTGCATCTCGACGGCAAGGACGGCCATCTGCTTTTGGCGATTCTCTTGCAGGTGTGTCTTTTCCAGCCTTTTCCGTTTGACTAATTTGAAAAACAGATGACTATGTCTGACTATCCTCCCTTGACAAGTATTGCCCTCAAAGTTCTCTTCCGACACTTCACCCAGTATCAAGAACTACTCGAGGATCTCAAGCAGGTTGGAAGAAATTTCAGACGAATTTGAAGAATATTTTAGGTTCAACTTCTTGTCTCAAACGATGACGTCGAGAATTATCGTCAAGTGGATCGGGATCTCTTCATCCTGAAGAATCTGACGGAAAAGTCTGAGCTGTGGGTTCATGGAGACCGTCATCATTCGACGGAAACCAAGGAACACGAGAGAGAAGACAAAACGTGAGTGAAGTCTTATTTGATTAGCTACTTTCAGATTGCAGGACAGAAAAAGACTTGGAGGAGCATAATCTGGTGACGACGCGGGCCTTCGGATCCAAAGATTCTCTAGAAGCCGTGGTGGCAATCATTGACGAGCACTACGGCAATTTCAAAGAAGAATGTCTGAAGCTGCTGACAAGAGTAATATCAGCCGAAAAAGGGGTTGCTCACAATTGTTTCAGCTACTCATCAAAGACGATCGGAACGACGCCGCGATCGCTCTGCAGGAACTTAGCGACAAAGCTCCACTCATCGCGTATCCTCTCATCCGACAGGTTCTCCTACTTTGTCCTTCAAAGTCATCGAGTCTGTCTCAGATCCTTGTCAGAATCAAAAAGCTCTGTTATCGCGATGACAAACCGGACATGATGAATCAGCAACTTCTGAAGAACATGCGGGTCTATGAAGTCGTCCTCGAGTTCATCAGCATTCCATACGATAAAGTTGGTTGCAAAGCTAGTCTCTGCTGGCTGATATGATAGATCTTACGAATAAAAAAGGATTTGAACAGGGGAAAATGTTTCCTAAGTAAAAGAGCTTTAGGAAAGACTGAAAATCATGTTTCAGAAAAACGACTCGGAAATGCCGAAACTGATCACTCTGTCGCACGAGTTCCTTCGCAGCTTCTGCAAGGCCAACAAGGAAAACCAGAGTCGTCTGTACAAATTTGTGTCCATCGAAAAAGATGCGAAAGAAGGAATGCTGCGAGTCGAAACAGTGATTTTTTACTATTATAAGCTTTCGTAAATTGCGATAATGCTGTGTTATAACGCAGTAGAAGCTGAGGAAAATGTTCAAGACTTCTTCTTTTTTTTTCGTTAGATCATAATAATATAGAAAACAATGCATGAATTTATTGACAACGATGGTGTCTTTTTCCGTTGATTTAGTTCAAATATCTCTTTTAGGGGTGGCGTCTGATGCAAGGGATGTAAACCGTATAAAAGGGTCGCATGCGCTGGCAAAAAAAAATTTTTTTGCAAGCTTGTGAAAAAAATTTAAAAGGAATCGGGTTCGAAAAACGTTTTTTTTTTCAAAGTGCAGAATGAGGAAATAAACAAATGTCTACTAATTCCTAACCTTTTTCCTCCTGAACAGGTCGAGGAAGTGGCCACATTGGTCTCGATTTTCCGCAACAACCGTGAATTGTCGAGCAACGTCTCAGAAGATTTGATAGCACACATTGTGAATTTGATTGAACACAAGGTTATTTGAAAAATACTTCTACGACCTAATTCGCTATTTTCAGTCGCGAAACGCGGTTTTTATAGAGCTGCTGCAGTCTTTGGTGTGTGTATACGAGAAAGAAATCGAAGGGTGTCAGGACAAAGTCGCCACCGAGGTCTGTCCTGAGTCTGAAGCAAGAAAGTGAAATCATCCAGAAAATCTCAGTTTCTCCACAATTGTTTTTTAGTTCAACTATTTCTGTCCGATTGACTTAAAATTCAGAATTAGGAATTGTCATATGAATTTTTATGGCGATTTTTCAAAGGATGTTGGCTGATATTTGAGTTTTTCGCTTTGATTTTGCTAAAGATTATGCATAAAAACCTGTTTCCTGAAAAAATTTCATGACCTCCTTCTTATTAGCCTTATCAAAGCTTCATTCTTTTTTATTTCAAAATAAAAGCCACGAAAATTTCCCCGATCTCAGTTTAATTCAGATTTGCGCGGCATCCGACGAAGTCCGGCAATTATACGTAGACAACGCTTCGTTTGAACAACTTGAGGATCTCATGCGGAAATCGTCCGGCTACTTGGACAGCACTGACCCGCTCAAATACCACATCGAATTAGTCAGGTAAATGGAGCTCTACCTTTATAGTTTGGGTGTATACTACTTTAGGCTCTTATCACTTTGCACTCGAGGCAAAAATGGGAGCACGGAGTTGAAAGTGGCTTCTCAAATTCCTATGGACCACATCGTTCGCGTCGTGACCTCCCAATACTGTCTGATCGATGTATCCCTCTTTGGCCAACTGGACTTCATGGCGAAAGTTTAGGTCAAATCCGTGTACCTCCAGCTCTTACTTCACTGTTACATCGACACGGACGCCGAAATGAAAGACGCTTACAAGCCGGAATACGTAGAAGCACTATTGAAGAACATGCTCGATGACGTCAACAAGGTAGTACTGAAAGGCTCAGTTGCTCTTGAGAGTTTTTGCTCGCAGTTGCGCCTGGAAAACGTTCGCCATGACTCTGATACGATACTGGAACAATACATTTGCCACACTGTCACTGAAATCCTCATCAAGTTTTTTGAAACGCCGTATACGGACGCTGCCAAAGTCGACATTCACGTAAGTATATGGACAGAGGGCTCGATTCGCGCCACCTTCAGCACCACAAAAAGCTCTTTTCCTCTCTTCTTCAATCGCTGAACAATCTGGAGCGCGGGAGACTTCGGACGACGAGGTTGACTCGGAATTGGTACCGCGTCGCGGAGTGCATCAAACGTCTCACCAAATGGGGTCCGACAGCTCTCTAGAAGGGCTCGACCATCGAAACTTTCTCGGTTTTCAGCAGAAGAACACAACATCGTCCTGCCTGCCAACGTCTCCATGCCCCCGCTCTCCAACGTCGTGAATGTCCGTCAGCGATGGCAGTGTGCGGCCAACTCGGCGAAACTAATTGGACTGAACAAGGTACGTATCTTTCACATTTTTCGCCTTGGTTTTTGACGCTTTTATTCATTTTGCAGCCAGCCATAACGCTTATTGTCGAGGTTTGATATATTATTACAGTACTTCTCATCCATGACTCCCCTTCTATCTTCTTTACATCTTCTCTTCTATGGACCTTCTTGATCAACTACTACTTCTTGACTTTATCTAAAACATTCGTCCAAAAACTTTCCTAACTTTTTCTTTTCGAAAATAATCGGATCATTTACAGAGGCTGAACAGAACTAATTCTCTGAACCCCGGACGAGGTGGTCTTCGAGGCTTGAGGACGTCGGAACACACTTCGGCCAATGTCGTCACTTGCTATCACGTCAGTTTTGACATTGGTGCGGAGACGGATTTCGCTTTCAGATGATGATCGGCGAGTTCAAGTTCTATCTGCAACCGCTGCACGCCGCCGAGGGCAGTGTTCTCGTGGAGGTCCTTCACACGCCAGAACTTCTTTTTCCTGAGACTTCTCCTCTTCGACTTCAATGTGCACGCGGCGGCGTCGTTGCCAAGTATCTTTTTCTAACTCTAACTTCCTGCTTTTCGAAGAACTTAAACATCTAAACTCTTTCAAGTCTTAAATTTTAACTTGTATAGTCAGTTCTTTCCGACTTTAAAAAGGTGGGAGGCTGAGAAGTGTGCGTGACGCGTAGCGTGTGCGTACGCAGTTCTGGGCACGAGTTCAGTTCAAGCGCCACCAACAATTTGAAAAGCTCGCTCGCCGCTCTTTTTGTTCTATATTTTTAATGCACACATAAAAGAGATCGATAAATGGTTAAAAAATGGAATGAAACGAGCTCTCCAAATAGTCGCTGGCGGTTGAATTGAACTCGTGCCAAGAACCGCGTACGCGTCTTGCCCCCTTTTTCGCCTCCCTCGCTTTTCAAGTCGGCAAAAATCGACTAAAATTGTCTGCGAAACGGTCCATGCTTTTAAGTCTGAAAGTGATGCGCATGTACAGATTTAATTCGCGAAAAAAATCGAAAGTATTTAGATATCATAAAATTTTTCAACTTCTGTTTTAATTTTTTTTTTTCAAAAATTTTTTTTTTCGATTATCTGGTTTATGAAGCATCTTTTCACAAATCTTACAGGACTCATTTCTCGAGATAATTTCACTATTCGTTCTAGACGCTCAGTTTTCTTGAGAGTCTGAATTTTCAAGCTGACTTTTGTGGATAATTTTTCTCAAACAGAAGTCTTTGAGGTTGATCCAGCATTGCAAGACTTTGATGCACAACAAACAAGACAACTTGTGCACGAGAGTCCTTCAAACTCTGTGTAAGATGTGCAACTGCAGCAAACAACAGTTCTCCACACAAGTAAGGCTTTCAATCTTTTTTCTTTCCTTTCAAAATCTTCTTGAACAATAATTGAGTATCCAGAGATACGTTAACGCTAAAATGTGGATGAAGGTTAGTCTTTTTCACATTTTGGACTATCGGGCGCCTTAGTTTTCCTAAAACTCTACTAATTACTGGCGGTCTGCTTTCATTTCGGCGTTTATCTAACAAAACTCGAGAAGTGCTTTGGGCTATCTTTTCTATCCCAGTTTGATTTTTTATTTGTTGGTATCTTCAATGAACATTTGCACTGCAACGAGATACCATCATCTTTTTTGAGCCTAATCAAAAAGCTTGAAGGGTTATGGGAATGCATTTGTTTCGATCAATTTTCGTAGAAAGCTTCATTTTACAGGGTCAGCAATTGCGCGCATTGTTGCTCCAGCGATACTTTGGACATCACAAATCGCGGCAGCCTGTCGATAAGCAGACGTCGGCGCAGAGTGAAATGGATGTCGAAAAGCCCGTAGAAGTTTGGTCGGAAGAGCGAGACTTGTACACGATCCAGTGCAAGTTGAACGATGCCGGAGCCTCAGACCTCGTCATTGATATAATTGTTCACGAGCCTGCGCGAGAAATCTTTTTGAAAGCTTTTCATCTTGCTCGAGCTCTCCTAGAAGAAGGAAATGACAAGGTTGCAAACCACACTCTTCATTGCGCGTCGTAAATAGGCACTTTGGTCAGGTTCAACAGTCGTTCTACAACCGTCTCAAGCAAAAAGACACTCACGAGCCGTTCTTCAAGGCGATTTCGGTACGAATACAACTGGCCCAGAATCGGCTGAAGAGCGACATGATGAGCTGCAACGAGAGCAAGCCGAAGGCGGGTAAGTCTGAGGAGCATCGGATCGCACGGAACTTGGCCCTCGCCACAATTAACGCTTTTAACGTCTTTATATAATTTTGCAGCGCTCTCAGCCAACGCCAGTAGAAGATGTGAGTTTCAAATTGTTCAGAAAGCCGATTTTTTACGTGCTCTCACTGCCGCTTTCGTCATTTTCTTTGTTCTAGCTCGCTTCAGCACAGTTAATCCATGTCCAGATAAACTTTGTATAGGACACCCCAAAAAGAATTGGAGTCTTCCTTTTGATTAAACTTGTGTTATGTGGATGTGAAACAGTTCAAACCTACCAACCAACTCCGCGCTTGGCACTCATAATCAGCTGCACCCTGCCTAGCACTTGTCGTTCTCTTTGAGGTTCCGTCCGACCCAACATGGTCCGTCAGAGGTCAGCTGACTCCGGTCTGCGATTCCGCGGCTTTGCCCCATCGACGCCAAATCTGAGAGCCGTCGACGAAACTCGGCGGCGACTGTCCACATCAAGCTGTAACCAAATTAATTACTCTAACGTTATTCTTACCGTTTTTACTTACCTAATGTGTTGAACCTTCATTTTTTCGTTTTCTGAGCACAATTAGAAAAGCTTCGAAATTACGTGTAGTATCTATAAATTAACGGCATTTAAATTTTTTTTTTTTTTCGATACTGTCCGTTGTTAACATCAGACTCGCGGAGAGTTATTGTTAATTTTTTTAAATCTTACAAAAAAATTTTTTTCTCCACCGTGAAGTTCAATTTAAAAAAATTATTCATTTTAATCAAAAAAACGTGTCACTCAGTTATTAATTTTTTTAAACTTTCGGAAATCTAGTGGGTTCAGTCAAGCATGTCATCACTGCCCATGCTTTAGTTTTTGCACTACGAAAATATTCAAAAATGCTAACCTTCTCTGTTAGTCCTATTCTGTCATGTTTTTTTTTTCCAAAAGTGTTCTTCAAAAAGTAAAACTTTTTTAGCATCGACAGTCTTGACGCCTTTGATTGACACCACAGAAACGTTCCATGCACCGCTTTTCGAGGCGCCTCAACGTCATCCCTCCATTTCGGAAATCTCCAACTTTTCCTATGACGGAGCTCCTTCCATACCAGACCTATCGCCTTACCAAGATGAAGAAAAGTGATAATATTTCAATTTCGTTTTCGACGTACATATGAGTCTCAGAGCTGTTGACTCTCTGTCTGCAGAAGTGGCCCTCGTCGAGCCGATTCTTCGCGTTTTGCAATTGCTTTGCGAGAACCATAACAGTCTGCTTCAAAACTTTTTGCGTCGACAGTCCGACAGAACGAACCACAATCTTGTGGCTGACACTTTGAGTTTCCTCGACACGGTTTGTGGCTCAACCAAAGGCAGTCTTGGGGTGTTCGGCGAGATCGGGGAGCACAACTTCTCTCTGATAACACAGACGTTAACAACACTCACCGAGTTCTGTCAGGGCCCTTGTCACGAGAATCAGGTCAGTTTCGCCTTTTTTCTTTCAAAAACTTGTTCATTGCTAAGAACACGATGGCGATGCAAGAAAATGGGCTGAACATAATCATTTCGCTGGTCCTCAATGATATAAAGCCGCTGGCAGACGACCACATGGAACTCGCGCTCGAGATCAAAGTGCGTTTTCTTTATCGATTGGTCCTTCAGAATATATTTCATGAGATTGCAGAGTCAAGCATCAAAGCTTTTGCTGGCAATAATGGAGTCGCGGCACGACGGCGAAAACGCCAACCGCGTTCTCCGTAACATGGCTAACATGGCCGGCGGCCCGAAGCAACTTGTGAATGCGATTCGGCAAGCCTACGAAATGGCGAGCTCCAATCAGTACATGGTCAAATCTGTGAGCCGCGAGTTCATCCGTCGCGGCGAAGGCCAGGCCGCCAGCACACGCAACGTCGTCAGTCCCCAAATCACGACCTCCACAAGTTTGAGGCTTGCTAGATATCATGGACATCGAAATTTCCAGTAAACCTCCCTGAGATCTCTGTCGACTCTTCGGGCACCGTCTCTATACTCGATGAACCGAAGAAAGTGGTCGAGGAGAAGTTTGCCTTGACAGATGACGACGTGACCAGCGTCGACCCCAAGGAGGTCGCTTTTTCAAAAATTAGTTTCGCTTCAGATTGGATCGACTTTTGTGAATATCCTATGAATTTTTTTCTAAAAATTGACCTGCAATAATTAGCCTCATAAATTTCATTGAAAAAAAGAATAAATTACAATTTTTTTTAAATTTTGATCGATTTAAAAGAAAAAAAAATCAGGTTGAAGCCACGTTAGTTCCTCCTTTGCTTGCTAGAAATTTATTTGAGAACTAAATTTGGAAGTTTGAAAAAAGAACAGAAATAGAAACTATTTCAGGTTGGGCACAACATCTACATTCTCGCCCATCAGCTGGCAAATCACGATTCTGAGCTGGCGGATTGGCTGGACGGCAGTGACGAGAAGAAAGAGCCGAAAATTAGAGAAGCCTTGAATTACTACAAACAGAGGACTGCCCAAATCGAGGTGCTGCCTTCACTTTTAGAATTTCCATCTTGTAAGTCCAGATTGTACGACGCGATAGAACTCTGGAACGCGTCGTGTTTCCGATCAACGAAATCTGTTCTTTCCTCACCAAGGAAACGAAAGCCAACGTCTACAACAACACGGAAAGAGACAATCAAGTACTATCTCTTCTACTTCATCTGTCGAATACCAAAAACTCGGATTTAATAAAATATTTCAGGGCTCAAAAATAACCGAGTTTTTTGGTCAATGGGAGCATCTTTACGACGAAATGAAATGGCAACGGAAACTTCAAGGTAAGTCCTTAATCTAGTCCATATTGCTACTCCAGTTGAAAAAATCATTAACGATTATTTGGAAAAAAAATAATGTTTTTTTCAGGTATGTCGATGTTAATTTCTTGTGATTTTTGAATGGAATGAATTTCTTGAAAGCTCTATCGAGTTTGAATCTCCAAATATTTTTTTCTAAAAAAATGAATCAAGGCCGTTTTTTTAGATAAATTAGTCATAAACTTTTTGTTTTTAATAGGTTTTTTTGTGCGTGGATCTTGTAATTATTCCAAGAGATTGGTTTCTGCTTTTGATGAACGTTTCAAAAAAAGTATTTCAGCAAAAAGTTCAATTTTTATTAGTTTATTTTTATAAATACGAGCAATGATCCGCTTGAAAATCGACAGTAGAAAAGAAAATGTTCAAAAAATAGTTTTCATTGTAATTGGAACGTTTTGAGACCGGAAATGGCTGTCGTGGTGCGCGGTGAGACTGCGGCTCTGGTCGAAACTCTCGTTTCTTTTTGCCATCATTCTCAACTGCATCATCGCGCTGTTCTACCCGTTCCACTCTTCGTCACGTAATCAGCAGATATCGACTTCTCTAAGACTTCTCTTTTTCAGTCGAGATCTCACCTTCCAACCCTGTCGTTATCATCACCTTAGTATCATCTCTTCTATTCCTCTACTCCCAGTGGGAAAAAGAGTGAGGAACCGCGAAAAATACAATTCTAATCGTGTTTTCAGCTGCACCTTGGCAAAGAGTTCAGGTGTTACTACCGCCATAGCTTTTGTTCTCTTCAGTTTTGTGTTACTTTCCATATCTTTATTTGGAACAGTACCAACACTTTATGTCTTCGGTGTCGCACAGGTTTTGTTGAAAACAACAAAAGTCAATATAAAGTTTTTCAGCTTTTGAATAAAAGTGTTCATGTAGTAGCCTACGTGAGCAACAAAGGCTTAGAAGATCGTACGTGGGTGGAAAGAGTGACGGACACAGATCTGCTCTATCTTCTCGGCTGTCTCATCGTTTGTCTCCTCGGAATTTTCGTCCATCCGGTTCTCTATGCTATTCTGGTATTTTCCTCACAAAAATATCTTTTCTGAAAAATGTTTCAGCTCTTCGATATTGTTGCAAGCGAACAGACCCTTCGAAATGTAATAAGCTCGGTCACCAGCAACTGGCAATCCATCATTTTAACGGGTCTACTCGCGTTGATACTCATCTTCTGGTTCTCCATAATCGGCTTCACTTTTTTCCAAAAAGGTTCTCCAAATAGACACCCCAGGCTACTACTGATTTGAGATTTCCTCTTGGAAGTGGATTTGGTGGAAGAAGAAGATTCTTCGGCGACTCTGATGACCGGAGACCCGGCCGCGGAGACCTGCTCTTCGGAAAAATGTGCTCCAACGGCGACGGCGGTCCAAACGGCTGGTGGGGATGATGGTGCGCTTTCTAACTCTAATCAATATACAGGAAAAAAAAATTTCGTTCATACAAAATCGGGAAGTCTTCTATGAATAAGTCTCGAAAAGTGAAGAGAAAAATTGTCCTCTATAAAATGTTTTCTAAAGAGGAAAATTCGGTGAAAACGAAAAAAAAAAGAAGCGAATAGTAATGACAAAAACACAAAAATCTTGAAAGTTGGTCTTCATCTTCTCAAAAGCCACTAAATTTTGAACGTGCCTGCAGGTTTTTCATATAAGCGACAGTCTCCTAAAGATTTTCCGACTTTACCCAAGCCTGTTGAACCTCAAAAGCTTTTTAATAACACTTTAACTATTTGTTTCTCGCTTTTGTTCTCATTCATTCATCTCGTCACGAAGTGCAACAGTCAGACAAGTCTGCTACAAAATGTTTCAGAGGTCATCTAGAAAGTTGAAACATCATAAAAAATGTATAGCTCCACTGATAAGTTGTTTGAGAGTCCATCAAATCAAACTGTTTCAAATCGGGACGAGTAGAGTTCAAATGAATGATATTATTTCAAAATCGGGATGTTTTTGAAGGTGACAGCAAATTCCGATCTTGTGGGACTCTTCGAATGTGCATAATCCACACTTTGAATTGGGGACTACGTAATGGTGGTGGTATCGGAGATGTCCTTCGAAACGTTTCCCCAGAGGTTAGTTTCAAAATAACTTCGAAAAAGGGGCATTTCATTCAGGAGCCAATGTTCTACTGGAGAATCGTGTACGACCTTTCTTTCTTCATCGTTCTGATCGTCATTGTTCTCAACTTGATTTTCGGTGTGATTATCGACACATTCAGTGATCTGAGAGATCAGAAGAACGATAAAGAAGATACATTGAAGAACACTTGCTTCATTTGTGGCCTTGAACGCGGAAAGTGAGAATAAGCGGCATTCACAACTTTATTTTGAAACTTAATTGCAGGTTCGACAACCGCACAGTGACTTTCGAAGAGCACAGGGAAGTGGAACACAACATTTGGCACTATCTCTACTACATCGTGATGCTCCAAATCAAGGATGAGACCGAGTTCACTGGACCGGAAAGCTACGTCGCGCAGTGTATCAAGGCGAGTCAGGGCAGAGGTGCTTCTTCTAATCGGACCTCCAGGACCACAACTTGGACTGGTTTCCTCGGATGCAAGCGCTGTCGCTCTTAAAAGACGCCGACGTCGAGAATGAGCAACACCAGGGCAACAAGGAGATTTTCGAGATGATCAATCTCATGAGGAACAGTTTCGGTGTTCAAATTGATGAGCTCAAACAAGTACGTTTTTTCGATCATCTAAAAAATCTCATTCATTCATTCATTTTTGAGATGTTCCTGGAGTTGCAATCCCAACTGCGATGATGCACTCATTCCGCGTACTTTTTTGTTGGATGAGTTTCGAGTTGACGGGTTCGACATTTGGTTCAAGATTTTCTAACTTCTTGAGACTTCTTTTACAGCATTAAAACAGTGTTTTAGATGTAAATGTATATTCATGTATCACAAGTCAGCCTAATTTTCCTTTCATTTTCTTCTCGGGATACTTTGCTTTACTCCAACACATGAACCCTGTGATTGTGAACTTATGAAGCCTTAAAAAATTTTTTTTCTTCTGATATCTTTTAGATTGCATAGTTCAATTGTTTGGGAAATCCTCAATTCATATTTTGCAATCAGCTTTCATGATTATTTTTCCTTCCTATTTTCGGGTGGCATCAACTCGTTTGCATTGTAATGGAATTTTTAAATTTAAAAAAAAAAGACTTTTTTGATTCAGAATGGGACGTGGAAAATTGTTCATTTCACAATTTCAAATTGTGTCTGATAATTCTTTTGATAAAAAAACTTTTGATGCGGCATGGAAATATGTCGTATGACGGCGCGACGAATTTTCGGCATCGCTTCTGCAATTTTTGAGTGAAAAGTTTTTCATAGCAGCTTCATAAGGTTTCCACGCTGAGTCTCTTTGCCTCGGCGGTGGTTCAATCTGGTTAAGTTCAAGTTATTCTTTGCATCCATCCACAGTTTATGAAAGGAATTGGGGCTTCAAGCTATGTGGTCAATTCAACCACTATAGAAGGCGTATATTGACTTCTATCTAAGTGTTTCTAAGAGTTTGTCGCCTCTTTACAGCGACACCAAATTTATTGATTTATTCACTTTATTTATATTCGTCTTGAATATGAAATAGACTTCCGAGTGCGCTCTTCTGACCTAGAGTGTTGGTGATTCGCTCAAAACTCTCTCAGACCTGATAGTCATGAAAAACAACCAAGATTGTGTGGGTGGGAAATTCTTCGGGTTTTTAGCTTTGTTTTTCTTCTGGTAAGAACCCATACAACGCTTGAAGGAACAGCTCTCCACTAATTGCTTCCGACTGCTTTTCTCTCTTTTTTGATTTATTTGTCAGTCCGTTGTTTTCCTTTTCGGCTATAATGAAACCATCTTTGTTTTTTTTTTAAATAGTACAGCCGGTTTTTTTCTTTTTCATTTCCAGATAAGCATCTCACATCCCGAATCGAAAAAAATAACGATTTTCACTCTGGCCGTCGTTTATTAATAATACACCTACGTCTCATTTTATTAATATGTATCAGAATTTTTTATGAGTAGATCTCTGTCGACTACGATAAAATTTCTCGAACATTTCACGACGTACTTCGAAGCGAAATTTGTCGAGAGGTTACATTTCGAGCTTCCTGGGGCATTAATGGAGCAGCCGAGAGATTAGTAATTGCGTCGTGTCCGACAAAAGACTTTCTCCTTCTGTGTTTTTTTTTTCGATAAAATATTTTGACCCTTTGATTCATTTGGCGTGTTCCTAGACGAACTTCCCCGTTGAATGGCTTCTTGTGGGATCTCTACCAGCAAAAACAGCGTTGAAGCCCTTTCTCAGCGAGAAATTGATCACTTCTCGTCATACCGCTTCTTTATTCATTTTTTATTCAATATTCTTGCCAAAGTTTCAGACAGTTTTCTGCAAATACCATTTTGAAAAAACATGTTCTCTGAGCTTTTAGTGAGGACGATTTTGCCTTTTTCTTCTCTTATGATTTTTATCAATTTTTGAATAGCTTTTTTTTTCTTGTAATCCCATACTGAGGTGTGTGCACTTTTCCTATAGCAATTGAGTTATGAAGTCGCCTATCTTTCTGTTACAATTTCGAATTCGAGGCTACCAGACACATATCCGAAACGAACTTTTCATTGAAAAAGGAGAAATGAGCGTTACATCTCACTCAGCACGGATGCCCCACGGTGCATTCTGCTTTTTTGCACTCTGGTGCGTAATTGGGGTCTGCACCGTGCGATTTTGTTGACTTTTTGGTGCAAAGGTGTCAAATCAGTGCTTTTAGCGTGCTGCACCAGTGCGACACCAAAAAAGCACCAAAACTGCACGGCGCAGACTCCAGTTCGCACCAGAGTGCAAAAAAGCAGAATGCACCGTGCGCCATCTTTGCCGAGCAGCAACGGAATCTGTTTATTGAATTATTTTTTCTTGTTTTTTTCTCTTTTTACGATTCATAACAGAAGTTGCGTTGAAAAACGCAAAATAAGCTCGGATTTAAACAAAACGTTTATGACACAATATATTTATGGAGTTTTATTTTCTGCAGCGCCTAGAAAGAACAAGCTGTCCGAAAAACACGAAAACTGCTGATATTGAAAGGTAAAAGTACGAGCCGCAACTTGTATTTTTTTGTTTTTTTAAGAATCGAAGAAAAAGTTACAAACCAACAAAAAAACAGTTCTTTGTGAACTAATAAATCAATATTATAGTCAATGTTTCGCGACTTGAAAGGCGAGGGAGGCGGGGCAGGGGGCGGGACGCGTAGCGTGTGCGTACGCGGTTCTTGGCGCGAGTTCAATTAAAGCTCACCGACTATTCAAAAAGCTCCGTCACCGCTCTTTTTTTATATGATCTACTATTTTTTAATGCACGCATGAAAAAAATCAATGAATGAATTAAAAATAAATGAAAAGAGCGATAAACGAGCTCTCCAAACAGTCGCTGGCGGTTAAATTGAACTCGTGCCAAGAAACGCGTACGCGTCTTGCCCCCTTTCCCGTCTCCCTCGCCTTTCAAGTCGGGAAACATTGACTATATTGGCAAAATTGAGAAAATTTTCATGAAAGGTAAAATCGCTTATTTTCTTTTGTCACATATGTTATATTTGGATGGTGTTTTCGAGAATTCAAGTCAATTAGCCAAATTTCAAGTAGTCAACCCATTTTCGACCATTTTCGACCAATTTCTGAAAAATCTCACATGAGGGCCCACCTTGCCCTAAAGTCTTGAGAACTTAAGGAAAAGAGGCAAAGGAGGTAGGATGAAGGAATCTCAGTTGTCCTTGTTTGGGTGAGTGTGCACCGAACAAGCAGAGACTTGACCTCGTGCTCTGCAAACGACTTCTTCCGAAATCGGATCGGAAAGGCGCTGAAAGAAGATAGCCGAAACGGAGGACACGACTATCTCTTCTTCTCTCCGCCGCCAATATTCGCATATTCAAGTAGTTGGCAACAACTTTTCGAACTTTCATTCACAGCCAGACGGCTTCTCTCTTTTTCTTTTTCATTTCAATTCTCAGTCTCGAGCAAAAAAAACTTGTGCGCGCGTCATTGTTTCGCAAAGAGATAGTCTGTTTCTCGATACGCAGGTATTGGACCTTCTTCGAAAAAGTTATTGGTTCTTGAAATACTTTGTGAACCGTTTTGAAGCTTTTTTTGTTGTTTTTCGATTCTGCCGAGCCAAAACTCATTTCATTTTCTACTCTCTCTTTACATTTTGGAAGAATAAAATATGAAGGTTTTTGCTCAGCCATTAGAAAATTCTCTAGTCTAACTTTGTTAGTTTGCGAACTACTTCAATTTTCAAAAAAAAACAATGAATATTTTAACTTGAAGCCCCATTTTTCGATGTTTTTCGGAGCTATAATACTATAAGAAACAAAAATCATTGCAAGAGTATTTTTTTTTTGATTTATAATTGCCGACATACTAAATTTAGTCTCCATCAGGCCTCACAGGCGCTATCTGCGCAACTTTTATTTGGTTGTGGAGAATTCAATTTTTGCAGTCAAAAGTGGTATTGGTCAGCTGAGTCTAACCGAGATCCTAGAAGTGAGCTTCCAAATGCATACATTTGAAACGAAAAAAAAACTGCGTAGTGCGCGAATAAGATGGGTGTCTTACTAGAATTTCTCCGAGTAATCTGGCAAATTTTCAGAAAAAGTTTTTCTCGGTTTGAATTATGTTATGCCCTGTTTGTTTTGTCGTGAGTCGCTTCAATCGGATCTCGCTTTGATCAGAATTTCCAGATGTCATATGGAACGGCTCGTGGGGACCAAGCCGACCTCGCCCTGCGACTTATGCGCAAAAATCCGGAAGTGTCGCGCTTCACAAATGAGATCCGCCGCAAACTTTTCCAGTTGAGAGAGGTAAGAACTTCTTGCACGCCGATTTTGATCCGAAACAACCTCAACGAGATTGGAGAACGACTTTTTTGTTCTCTTTTAAATCGTTCGCGTAATCTCTCTTCGAATTGTGAAAGACGAGGATTAAAAAAACATAATGTTTTGAAGATTTTGAGAAGGTTGGAATAGCTGAGCAACTAGCTGAGCTTCTAGTGATAAATTTTTGGAAAACGAATAAAGATTTGTTCTAGTCTTGAGGGTTGATCACCAAGAAAGTCAAATTTGTGGACGAGAAGCTGGCTTCCTTTTTCTTTTTCTGACATCTGTTTTCAAATCAAACGCACGAAAACGACAAAGAAGCAAAAAGAGGTTCGCCGAAATAAAAGAACTAGTTAATGAGACGTCCGGAAAAAAGAGGAAGTTTGAAAATTTTGATCAGAAGCTTCACCACGTCTTCTGCTGTCTACTGCGGGAGGAACTCGTGTAGTTGACTACTCCGAATTAATTTATTTCAACCGAGCGTATTTCGAAGAGCAATTATTGGATGTTTGGTGCTTTTGGGAGAAAAAAGGCTGCTGCGAAATATCACGGTCCAGAGAGTTCTCCTGTTGTTGGTTCGGAACTTTGACCTTCTTGGCGCTTTTAAGATGGAATATTTGATTCGACACGCTCCAGTGCAATCTTTTTCGTATTTGAGAATGAATAATAAGGTGTTTTCCTTCTTAAAAATTCGTGTTTTGAATGAAGTAGCTTGAGATCCAAGATTCAAAAAGCATCCTTTATGAATGCAGATCAAAAACTGGGATCTTTTCTGCATTCCTTGGCGATCATTTTACAAGAGAAATGGAAATCTGGTGAAAGTTTTGATTTATTGGATTCAATCAACACAGCAATATCGACTCAATTTTAGACGTTCTAATTTTTCTGCATTTTTCTGGTTGCAAGATTTTTTGAAGATAATATTACCGGCGTCAGAGAAATTTTCAAAAAGATGAGAGTCAGTAAGATAGAAAACATCCGATCGTTTATTGTCGTGCCGAAGTAGACGATATCGAGTTTTGAACTTGATTAAAAGTTTTCAGAACCATGCACGAGAATAGAGACTGGTGTAGGATCTCTGGTCAATGAACACGACAATTGAGACTGAAACAAAAAGAAAACTTCGTTGGGCTGTGCACAAGCCGTTAGTAAGATAATGAAATGATTTTAAAAAAGTGTTGTTGATCAAAATCACAAATATTCGAATCTTGACCTTATAAATGTTGCAGGAAAAGTCAATTTTTAATCGATTAGATTATATCTATATTTTCGAAATGTTTAGCGGAAAATAGTTTCCCTCGACTTGGTTTGAGAAAAAGTTACTTCACTGTGGAATTTAAGCTGACGATCGGTTTTACAAGCAAATTCGTTTTTATTATCGTCATTTAATCAAACTCCTATTTTGGTCTAGCGCTTCAACTAATAAAAGTCGTGAAAACAACGGCCAAGTTCCAAGCAGCCCAGCTTTCCCCTCCATGAAGGCTTGGTTTGTAGATAGTTCCCTAGACTTTGCAGCAATGTCAAAATACTGCTCTTCGCTACATACCGTTTGTACATACCGTTGACTCAACTTGATTTTGGTTTTCTAGATTATTTTTCTAAAAACCTAACTTCTCTATTTTGCCGGCTTTGGTGTTTCACGAAGTCTGAACGAAAGATCAACTGGAAAATTGTGGTTGGTTGGACAAAAGAAATAAAAATGCGAATACCTACTTTCATAAAGTTCTTTTTTGAGACCAATTTGATTTTTTGAAACACCGGGAAATACCTCCAGCATTCTGAAATTATTCTGGTCGGTGGGTCGGCGATGCTCGGGAATCCGACCTTCTATTAATTATGAATGTTTGTCAAGAAAACTAATTGGGGACTTCTGTCACCAAGAAGAGCTTTGATTTGTAATTGCACCTCCGCGCACCCGACATCCGCTCGGAGTTTACTTGGCGCTTGTCTCGGGCTTTTCGTTTTCCACCTACAGGTGCTGCGTAAAGTCGCTTTCATCCCCGTTCACCACAACATTCTGTTTTTCCGCCACATCAAAAAAGTTACCTTGGTTCGATTTTTCCAGATCAAAATATTAAGCTACCTTTTCAACTTCAATTAGATCCAATATTATCTTTTCATATAGAAAAAAAGGAGAATTTGCGAAATTTTAAAAAAAAGTGAAAAAAAATTCTTGTTCAATAGGAACATTTGTTGTTCGCGCTCTATTACCCATTTGTAATTTAACCTTTTAACCTTTATTTTTAAGTTTCTAATTACGGTAAAAGAAATAGAGCGATGTTTCTAGTCGCGAATAAAATATAAAAAAAGAATTCACCTGCTGCAAAACTTTGATTTGATTGAAGATTTTTCCCCATTTAAAAAAATTACTGGAAGAAGAAGTATAGTAGCTACTTTCAGATGAACAACCTGACTGAGACGTGTAGAAGATACGTCGACGAACACCCCGACCTGACCAACGAGCCATCGGTTCTCGTGCCGATCTCCGTCCTCTACTTGCACATCTTCGTTTTAGGCATTTTCGGAAACCTCGCTGTTCTGTGAGTTCACATGCCAACAGTTGGACTGAAATTCGGCTTTCAGGTACCTCACAATGAGAAACCGTCAGCTCCAGACCGTCCAGAACATTTTCATTCTGAATCTAGCCGCTTCGGATGTCTTGATGTGTCTGACTTCGCTTCCAATCACGCTCATCACCAATGTGTACAAAACATGGCTGTTTGCTTCACCGGTTTGTAAACTTCTTCCACTCGTACAGGTTCGTACTTTGATATCTGAACGATTAATGTTCTCATACATTAAGGGTGCTTCGATTTTTGTTTCTACGTTCTCTCTGGCGGCAATCGCACTGGATAGGTACCTCGTGAACAGAAGTTCATAGTAAATCGTCTTCAGGTATAACCTGGTGGTTCGCCCTCATCGGATCCCCCTGACGTCCCGCGGAGCTTCGATGGTCGCGCTCTCCTTATGGGTCATTTCCGTCGTCGTTTGCATGCCCTACGGCTGGTACATGGACGTCATCAAAATCCCTGGCCTCTGTGGAGTGGTTCGAAATCGACGGAAGCACTCATTTTGAGATTATTTCCAGTTCTGCACTGAGAAATGGCCTCTGGCAGAAGTTCGGAAAGGGTACGCGTTCATGGTCCTCATCACTCAGTTCTTGTTTCCTTTCACAACAATGGCCTTTTGTTATTATGCCATTTTCTCACGTCTTCAGCACAGGTATGCATAAAACAAAGGAGATGGAAATATTATTGACAATTAACTCTTTCAGAGCTGAGAAAAAACTGAAAAAGATCTCCGAAAGGACTCAGCTTCTGGAGAACAGTACCACTGCAGCTGTAGTTAACACTGTTGTTCAAGTTAAAAACGTAAATTCTTTCTGAAAAAAAAATCTGTCTTCAGGATGTGTCCAAAACTCACTCGGCTTCCGAAGGCAATCAACGAATCCTTGTTTTAGCTCAGCAAAGAAGAACTACGACCATTTTAGCGTCGATGGTATGTTCTATATTGAACCAGAAAAAATATTTTCCAATGTGTTGACTAGCAGTTTGCTTTATTCTCCAGGGAATTGCTGTTTTGCTATTTCATCATGATGATAAATTTTGAAATTATGGGATATTCTATTTCCTGTTTTTGAAATTGTTCTCCTTGATTTTTTCCAGATTCTTTTCGCAGCTGTTTAGAGCATTTGCAAACCTTAGAAGACTTTTATTTCTCTTTTTTAGGTTTTGTTTTTCGGCTTGACCTGGCTTCCACACAATGTCGTTACGTTGATGATTGAATACGATGAATTCTTTTTCCACACAAATGAAGGCGTCGACCACACCTACATGATATCGACGTCCGTCCATTTGTGAGCATTCCCCCCTGTATTCGAGGCAATTTTATTTACAGGATTTCGATGCTTAACAATGTTTCAAACCCTTTTCTGTATGCCTGGCTCAACCCAGTGTTCAGAGAAATATTGCTCAAAACAATCAAAGGATCGAATTCAAAATCGAGCTTGAAACAAAACACCATTTTGAAGGTCTGTGATCAAATTCGTTCTAGAGCGAGTAATAAAAGGTGTTCCCACTTAAAAGATGCGATGAACCAACGCACCGGTTTTCATGCGGAAAAAAAGTAATTGCAGATGAGTTTCGCGACGTCGACGGCCATGACTTCGTCGGTGCCAAGAACCGCTACGCCCTGAAGAATTCTGGAGTTCCCAAAAACTACGCTCATTTGCAAATCGGATTGTTCCACATATCATGTCACTGTAATTAACTCGAAGTAAACTTTTAATAATAAAACTACAATGCGAGATTATGCAACTTTTCAGAAATCAAAAAAAATTGAAAGTTACTTACTTCATATCGAGAAGGGATTACAGCCAAGAACTTCCCTTCAGCACGAAAATTTCTAAAAGCTTCAGAAAATATCGCAAAATTTCCACGTTTTCAATGTTCTCATAACCATTGACTTCGAGATAGATTAAAAAGAAGAAAAATTATAGCGTTTTTTAAATAAAATTCTAAAACATGCTGATTATAAAAAGCTCACACTACCCTTCCCTCTGTTTTCTGAGAAAGTGAATTGAATTTTTGTTTTTTCTCTCTAAAATTCTTCAGAAAAGATTATAAATGAGAGTTTACGGTACATTCAAATTAGCGGAACTCAAAAAGGTCGGGCACATTTTTTTAATAATCATTCTGAAATTATTTAAATCGCTACTGAATCAGGTTAACACTAAATTCGATCTACATTTTTAAACAAAAGCCATTGCAAAAAGAAGGAATGTTTATTGTCCCCAAGTCATCATTTACATTGGTAGAGCTCGATTAGACTCATTGAGCAAGTCCTTGGAGAGCGGCGAGTGTTATCTTCTCCCTCATATCTGGCGGCGTCTTGCTGAGGCTTTTTCTAGAGAGCCATATTTAAGGGCGGAGGTCCCTGGTGCATGCGAATTTGTCAAATTGGCGACACGCCAAAAGAGTCGTCGCTTGCCCCTCCCTCTCGTGAAATCCATCGAATTCGTTTTGAAAACCATTTCTGCTCTGATTTCTGTTTGCCCCATGTTTTTTTGTCAGCTATCAGAAGCTATCGCTGTAGAGTGTTTATAATTTTTTACGGCAAAAAAATGAAACTCCGCGGGAAGTCGATTATCCTACAGATTCAAATGGACGCTTGACCGTCTCATTCAGCCATCCGTTTAATGATATTACATTTCCTCAATTTTAATCCATCTTAAGGTCCCATTAGGTTTTGATATATTTTTCGCGCTGGTTCACACTAAAACTTGCGTGGAAAACATTTACATATCAAAAACAATAATGTGACGTTGAAACAATTGTCTTGCGCCTAGTAAATTTGTCATGATGTAATTATTTGTTGTGAACAACATCAAATACTTTGAATTACCCCAGCGAAAAACTCCTGAATATTTGAAATTTTTGTTAAATTTCTTCAGAAATTTAAACTTTGTTGAACTTTAGCTATCAAGCTACCTGGAAAAAGCTCAAATGTCAGTGCTGTTTTTGTTATCAAATGTGAAAAAGAAACTTTACTTCAACGAGGATAGTTGAGGTTGCAGCCGCCGATGCGGCAGCTTTTCCTGCTGCTGCTTCTGGCGGCTTCTCTCGCCTTCGTCTTGGCCCAGACTTTTTCGTGTGCTCCGCGTTGCCAATGCTATGCCGATCCTGAACATCCGTCCTACATGCATCTCGTCTGCAAATGGGATCAGGTCTGTAATTGCTCACACAGGCCACTGACTTGTATGGTTTCCGCGTCGGTGCTTTTCGCCCAAAATTATACTTCCTTTGTCAGTTCTCTGTTTTTCGTTGGGCCAGTCCAAACAAAAAAGTTTGTGAAATGACAATGGGGACTTTAATTGCACAACAATTTTGTCGACTCCAAAATTCAGCTTCCAAGATTCCTGAAAAAGAGTTTTTTGGTGAAAAGGAAAAGAAGATTTTGAAGACCAAAGACTAAATAGTTTCTAGTTACTCTCATAACAAACGGAAAACTTTACTGCACTACAAATATTACGAAACATCTTATATTAATTTGTATAAATAAGAATATCATATATATGATTTACATCAAATTAGGAAAAAAAATAGAAAACGAGCTTTCGATCTTTTTTTTTTCTTTTCCCAAACGTGCTCTGACGTATTTTTTTCCTATAGCAAAACACTTCAGGGCAATTTAGTTGATTCGTAAATAATTAGTCTATTTTTTTTTGTGTTACTCTCTATCAGTGATAATCTTTTTTCAAATACTTTTCTAATACACGCTTTTTTAAGCGCTTTCCCTCCGTTTGAATTTTTTTTTCTTTTATCAGTAAAAACGGTATAAGTTTATATAATCCTTTGATTTACACTGCTTATTTCTGTTCCTAAAAGCTTTGTAAAGTATATAAAAATGGATCGCGAAGACCCCATAATATGTCTTGAGATCTTCAGCATACCTTTTAGCCATATCTGAGCCATCTCGGAGGTACTTCAGAGTCTCTCTCATTTTGCTCAGTCCTCAGAGGTATACTCGAGGTACCATCGTGAGACTTCAGAGCCTGCGATATACCTCAGAGGGTATCGCGATACCTTTTCTCGTTTCGCCTATGCCCCTCCTGAAACAAAATTTATGTAGATTTATCAGTTAAAATTTTAAAATCACGGTAAGGTTGTTTTTTTAAACAAATTCTCAATATAAGTTTAAAATATCATGGAAATTAACTTAAGATTGTGAGATGCAATTTTTTTCGCATTCTTGAAAATGGATTTCAGGTCTAATTTAAACTTTTTTTGCGTCCAGCTTTTTGACTTCGAAAAGCACCGTGAATAAAAACACTCCAAAAATTTTCTAACTTGTTCCAGCTGAACACAACAAACTTGAACTCTTTGCCGCGACCAGACCTCGTCCGAACCCTCACCATCAGATGCCCTCATCAATACCGGAAGCCCTCAACTCCTCATGCGGGAATGTTCCAGGTTCGATTTTGCCAATATCTATTTGCAGTTGATTGAAACTCTTCAACCACAGGGTCTTCAAAACCTTGAACGACTCGAACTGGACCGGTGCCAAATCTCCTACCTTCCTGAAGCTCTTTTTGCGGTTGGAAAATGTAATTTTTTTTTGGAAATTAGTTTATTTAAGGGCCTCGGGCAACTGTACTCATTGATCGTTAGGAACGCGAATATGACTGATATTCCGAGGGTGCGCCTCTCAAATATTTTCGACTAAATTTTTATTTTCTCAGGAACTTTTCGCACACGTGCCCAATCTAATGACTTTAGATTTATCTGGAAACAAGTTACGCATTGAGCCTTACTCTCTGCGATATTTGTCGTGAGTTCATTGCCGGTAATCACTATTCAATCATCTTCTCAGGAACTTGGTTCATCTGGATCTCAGCGAAAACGACATCGCTTTTCTGACAAATACCTTGATCCCGTTGACTATGTTGCGTGTAGTGACTATCGATCGGAACAAAATCACAAACATCGATTTTAGGAGGTATTATAGAACACCTTCAGAAAAGAAAAGCACTTCGTTTTTGAGTGTAGGTTCGTATTGCGACTGCAGATTTTCGCTTGTGAGTCCAAAAAAAAAGTCCAGAATTTTGTTTCTAGGCATCTTGTTGTAGTTTCAGCTTTAGAATCAACTCGTAGAATTTTTTGAATTACGAAAACCGTTGAAGTTTAGCTTCGATTTTTTGTTTTGTTTTGAGAACTTTATTTGGATATTGTAGATTACCCGAAGAGCTGACCGATCTGTCATTGCGGAACAACTGGATATCGACAATTCACTATGTTCCCAACAGCGCGAGGTCGGTTATATCATAGTGATTTTCAATTATGCTATCTCAGGCATCTCCGTCGGCTTGACTTGGCCGGGAATCGTCTCGAGTTTTTTGCGGGGGCAGGCAGTTCGGCCTATATCAATGTCCTTCCGGCCTCGCTCAGATTCGTGGACTTGTCATCAAACAAAATAAACTTTCTTCACGAGTCTGCCATGCAACACATGCAAAAGATGGCTGTGCTCGATTTGCAGTTACCTTTCAGTTTAATTTCATCGAAAAGAAGGCTTTTTAAGGAACAACTCACTGCGCGAAGTCAAGATGGAGAACCTTCTGGGGTCGAAAGTTAGTCTTCGCGTTTACTTGTCAAAGAATCCTCTGCGATGTCACTGCAACATCCGATGGATGTTACACGCGACTGAAAAAGTTAGTATATTATTGAAAGATACTTATCTTTTTGAAAGACATAATTATATAAAGAAAAACCGGATTTGATAAAAAGAGTTATTTCGCACTGATCTTTTATTAATGACTAAAGTTTTACCTTTAAAGGTGATACAGCACGAATTTCTTGCGCAATATTAGTTTTGCATAGAACTAATTTCATGGAAAAATATTTTCCATGCAAATTATGAGGAAAAAGTTTCATTTTTTTTTTCTGTTTTTACGAACTAAATTTTTCAGGTCCTTTTTTACTTTTTCCGGTATCAATATGTGCTTACGTGTGAAAACTCAGAGTTCATTCAGGGGTTTTTTTTCCAAAAGCTCGAAATTTCGGAAATATTTGAGTAGGCAATAAGATGAAAAAAATTCTTCTACTAGTTGGTATTTCGCCGATAAACCACTAATATCTTCAAATTGAAGCTTTCGCCAACTGTGGCCGACGTCTCAACCGTAACTTGCGAATCCATCGTGGATCCTTCGCGAGTGTCCCTTTTAACACTAGCCGATGCGAGAAACGAGCTTCTTTGCAAATACAAAAATGTCGGTGAAGTCAAAAAAAAAGTGTTAAGGAAACTCTTGCAGATATGTGAAGCTGAGTGTCCTTGTTGTTCTGCTGTGGAATGCCCATGTCGCAGAGATTGTCCGCCTCCATGTCAATGTTTGCGGTCCGCCAATACGGCTTCCACCAAAGTTTGTTTGCAGAAATGTTTTTAAAACAGTGTGATTAAAAAATTTATTGGGGTTTCTTTTTCGGCTATTTTTTGACGCAGGCTGTTTAGCGGCGAGATCCGTCTTCGAAGAAAACTCCGCCGTCGATGGCACAGTACCTGGGATCGTTTAAGTTAGGATATTTTTTTCTTACTTGGAACTTACTTTGGACAGATTCCTTTCTCGCCGCCGCTTCCTTCTTGGCCTGGAGTACCTGGCTGTCCGTGGCTTCCATCTTGTCCAGGATTTCCAGGCTGTCCGTCTGGACCCTTCTGGCCAGGCTGTCCTGGTGCTCCGTCTTGTCCTGGCTTTCCGACTGGTCCTCGTGGTCCGACTGGTCCTTGACGTCCAGGAAGACCTGGATTTCCTGGCTTGGGACTGTCGTTGCGGCCGGAAGGACCCGTTGGCCCGACAGGACCGCTGCTTCCTGGTTTTCCTGGGTTTCCGTTTGGTCCTTTGCTTCCTGGAGATCCAGGAGCACCATCTGGTCCTTTGCTTCCTGGCTGGCCTGGAGCGCCATTGTCTCCTGGTGGTCCTGGGGGTCCTGGAGGGCCTGGTGGTCCTGGTGGACATGGCTGGCAAGGTGGTGGAGTCAGCGGCTCGCAAGGAGTCATTGGTGGACGGCCTGGGTGACCTGGGCTTCCGGGAGCTCCTGGTCTTCCGGGTTTTCCATCTTTTCCTGGAGCTCCGACTGGTCCAGCAGGTCCAGGCAAGCAGCAGCCATCACATGATCCTCCAGTCTCGACGGCAGCATCGGGTTTGTAGGCAGGGGCGTCGTAGCCAGCATCACGAGCGGTTCTGTTGTGGCTCCCCAGCTGAGGCATGGCGACCGCCGAGGCGTAGACAGACTGGACGGTTTCGCGGCACAGACGAAGCTCCGAGTGCATCTGCATGCGCAGGTTGCTCACGTAGCTGTAGACGAGCGGCAGCGTGACGCACACGGACAGCACGCCGACCGCCGAAAGCGTCACGGCCGCGTATCCGATGAGGCGGTAGGCCTGAAACTGGATCTTCATCAAAATTATTTAAGGCCTGGAAACTATTGAAGGGTTTTTTTTTTCAAATTTTAAATTCATCACTTCATTGTACATTTTATTGTATAATCTTGACCACTCACTTCGCATGGAAAAAAAAATAAAGTATTGAAAAATAAAACAGACGCTTTAGAGCCTAAGGAAGATCCTAAGCCTTCACATTGTGGTGAAGGACCTCAGACGTCTTCCTTAAGCCCCGAGGCGCAAATTAAGAGAAACAATGTTGAAAAAAGACGCACCTTGATTTTTGTGTCGACGTCCATATCAGCAGAAGGCGTCAGATGGCTGATTTTTCCGAAGAAAGCGTCGCTTTTATAGTCTTGATGACGGTGAACCACAATCAGGAGTTGGACAGATAGGGTAGTAACTTCGGTTCCGCCTAGGCCAAGCGGCGTTTTTTTTTCTTTTTCCACGATTTTTCCGACTTCCCGAGAAGGTTTTGTTACACATCGAACTGTGATTTTTCCTTCGCGGCCAGCATCTTTGTTGAGTTACCCAGAGAATTTTTGTCCGAAAAAGGAAAAAAGCAATTATTTTGCGTTGCTTCATAACGTATATGAAGAATTGAAGATTTAACAGATAATAATATATTTTCAGACCGCGCAAAATGTGATCATCTGCGATTCGATGCGTTTCGATAAACTAGGCGTTTTGCCGTCTTCTCTCACCGAGCTCAGACTGAACAACTCCGATTGGAAGCATTTTCCCGTGAGTCCCGATTCGTTTGGTAAAAGAAAACAAGTTCAGCGTTTCAGATTGCCAGTATGTCCAGCTATACTAAGCTGTCATCTTTAAAAATTTCGAACAGTCCCATAACCGATAAAGAATTGGTGACCTTGTTACTATTTTTTCCCTTATTTTCGTCTTTCAGGAAACTCTGCTCTCGGTGGCCCCATCTCTAACGCATTTAGAGGTGTCGGCAGGTTCGCTGACGTCGATTCCTAAGGTCTCACTAAGTTCTCTGACTCGTCTTCACCTTCACTCTAATCCGCTATCACAGCCTTCCACAGAACAATTGCACTTCCTGGATGGCTTGAAGAAGGTTTTGCCAGAGTGTGACTGGACAAACCGGCTTTTTTGAGGTTTCTCTCGGCGGCAACGCGACCAACTTTCTCTGCAGCTGCGAGCTGCCAACAGACCTGCAACGTTGGGCGAGCCGTCAAGAAAACAGAGAAAAGGTGGACAAAGTTCCATGAAAACAGAGCAGATTGGCGATTTTCCAGATTTTTATATATTTCAAAACAACAAAAAAAACCGAAATTTCTTAGTCTCTCATCTTATATTTCTCACGAAAACGAATTGCAACTTTTTTTGGCTAGAATAGTTGATAAAACAAAACTTCAAGTATTGTTACGAGATTTTTTTGTATAAGTTAAAAAAATAACAAATATTTAGTCTGTTTTTTTCAAAAATTTATTCACGGAATGAAAACAGGGAAGCTTTTACTTGCAAATATTCATTTTTCCGCTGTTAGATTTCTATGTGAATATTTTACAAAAAAATCGAAGAATTTGAACAAAAAAAGGTTAGTCATATTGACTTAGAAGTGGAAAATATTTGCGAAGTATTTTTTTATGAATTTTTTTGATTTTCTATGGACAAGCTCACGTTTCAAACTGTAAATCAATCAATGTTTATTGGTTTTTTTAGTCAGATGAAATCGACTAGGCGGTGAAAAATTTGCTCTTTTGAGCGGCACTGCCTTTGGCGAAAACGAAGTCAAAACGTGTAGTTTATTAAATTGAAAGCATGGTCTTACGGTCCTTCGCCTCGTTCTTTCACTGCCACTTTTAGTGAAGAAAATACACGGAAGATTGTTAAATTTTTTGACCAAAAATTGTATATTTTTCTGAAATGCAGAGGCGTCGCTTGTTTTTTTTTCTCAGCGACAACTATTAAAAAAGTCTCACATAGTAAGAAAATTTTCCATTTATTAATTGACTACTCTGGTGTTTTAACTTTTGTGTCTATCAGAATTTTCCTTCACAGATCGATGATTTCGACGAAGTATACTGCGAGTTGAAGGGTTTTGGCGTTGTCCGACTTGAGGACGCTTTGCCGGGAAACGGCTCTCTGTGCGTCGAACCCACCGAAGACATGTTGAAGTGGATGAACTTTGTCGACAACACCCAACAGAGACAGTTCGAACAGGTCTTACTTGCCGATTTTCGAATTTTTTCTCGACTAAACCTTTCTTAGACGTCTACAACCGCAACTTCAGCTGTTATAACAGAGACAAGCTCAACTATTGCCGTTGAAGTTGTCACCGAAAAAGAGAAGCCAAAGTCGACCACGTTCCCTACTACGAGGCGGTCAGAAACCTCGACACCGAAGAGTACAACGTCTTCTTCATCAACAACGGCTTCGAAAACTAGGAAGAAGTACCGTGACGTCGAAAACGAACCTTTGAAAGTATTATCGATTTCTTCATCCGTAGACCATGCTACTTTTGCAGTTTGTGAACATTCTCATTTTCATCTTGTTCATCTGCGTCATAGTTTTGATTATCGCGATTGGATTCACGATTTACTTCAAGTTTGTTTTTTTCTCTTCGCACAAGAGACAAATTTCTCTCTTTTTAGATTCCTGAACACGGACACCGGAAAAAGCAGACGTCATCACGAATCAGAGCCATTGAACGAAACTTGATGAACAGAAAATTATCGCCTCAGTTCATTTTAATCGGGTTATTATTTTTTCTGCAAAGGTATTCAAATCTATCGAAAATGAAATTCATAAGATAATAATATAAATCCGTTTTCTTTTTAATTTTTTGAGTTTTTCATTCCATAAACTATATATTTACTGTGTTTTGACTTTCTGTTTTTTTCTTTCTTGTAATTAGAAGAAAGGAAAGGCCGCGTCGGTCTCATTTAGTCATGAATATAACGAAAAAAAAGTTCATAATGTCATTTCGAGTTGTTAGAATTTTATATCAAAACTATCGAGACCTCTTTCTCTTTTTTTCGATTTATCGAACAAGATGAATATGTTTTAAAACCCGAATTACAGCTTAGTTTGTTGTGGTTTTTCGACGCCGTGATCCTTGGTCTCCGGCAAAAAGAAAATAAGAACACTGCAAATGACACAGCAGCCAGCGTAGAAGAGGAACGAAGCTCCAGAATAGACGATCTGGTCCTGAAACTTCGAAATTCGACAGAAAGTTTGAAAACTGACCAAGGCAGGCACGTGGGGTGAGACCATTGCTCCCAAGTTGCTGATCGTCGCGCAGACGCCGAGGCAAATGTTGCGGCAGTTTGTAGGAAACAGTTCCGCTCCATAGACAAAACAGCACATGAATGCGCAGGCCATTGCAAACTTGGCTGTCAGCCAAACTATGAGGAAAAGTTGCGGGTCGGTTTCTGAAACGAATAAATCGAACAAACCGATCAGAATCCACGTTTTTCACAGGTTCAAGTTAAAATTTTTAAATTTCAAAGAAGCCTAATGGAACTTTCAAAAAGTAATTTAATTTTGAAGGTTCAAGTTGAATTTTATCGCTAAGAAACAGAAAATTCATTCAGTCCAAAATACTTTATTTGAGTTCCCACTTACCGCGGTCGAAAAGAAACATGGCGATCAGAGCGATTGCGCATATCACGTGACTAAGAAGTACTGTTGGCTTACGACCAATCCTGGAAACTCCCAAAACTCAGTTGCGACCTCGAGACCGAACCAGTCAAGTGCCGCTGGCAGTAGGAAGTACGAAGGAAGCTCGACGAGTCCTGAGAACAAGTACGACAGATGGGCGTTGCTGCCACTGACGCCTGTGGCCGAAAGAGAAAGACCGTTGTAGATCATGAAGTCGATTATCCTGAGTAACAATATAAATATAGACGAGTCCCAGGTTTATTTTCAGATACCAAACAGACGCAATGCAGAAAGTTCTGTGTGAGTCATTTTTTTTTTTTTTGAAAAGTTTTTCTCTCATAATTTAAAGTTTTACGAATTTTCCAACTTTGAAGAGAATTTCGACAATTAGAGAATATTGAGGTTATAGAATCGCATAAAAAAACGTCGTAGAAACCAGAAAATCGTCTCGATAGTTGTATAGAGGACGAGTGGAGGCGTGGCGAAGACGTGGCGCAAAGTTTCGAGCAACGTCTTCCCTTCGTCCTCGTTCTGCACATCGTCCAGCATCCGTGAAATATCGAACTCAACTTTCTCTTTTCCCAGCCGGGAGGCCTAAAAACGTTTATGATGAACGTTTTTTTTAAAATAAATACTGACAGTGTGAACCCAAGACAAAACTTCGGAGCTCTTTTTCTTTTGTATTAAAAGCGAAATGCTTTCCGGTAGTGTGCTGAATGGGAAAGTATATAAACGCTTTCAATCGACAGCTGACAAGAACATGACTATGCCGAAAATAAAGGTCGGCAACGACGTCGCCAGCTGCAAGTATCTCCAAGAAGGGAAGAAAATCGCGAAAGGCGTTATTATGCAGTAGCCGAGAACCCAGGCGACGCCGAAAAGAACTGAAGCATAGCCGTGGCCGGCAAAAGCCACCGATTCACAGCACAAAACCCAATTGGTCATCGTAAGTGGCTGCAACCATTTCTACTACGTAAAGAAGCTCAAGGAAACATACCGTGAAAAAAGAGCCTTGGAAGAAACGACCCAACAAAAGAAGTTCAAAAGTTGGCGCAACAGATGCAAGGGACCCACTGATTCCGGCGAAAATCAGACAGAAAACAATAACAGGCTTTCTTCCAACTCTGTAACTTTCAAACAAGATATAGTCATTTGATCAATAGCTTGAGAGAGAGAAAGAGCACAAGTTACACGTGCAGGAGTCCATGCCTCTGGCTGACTAAAAAAAATTCTTTAAAAGCTTAAAAATAGACACGTTTTTTTCGAAGTACGAAATTTGAAACTTTTTTTAAAACATGTTTCCTATGAGTTGGTCTTTTTTATTATTTTTTGATTGAAAACGAGAAAAAATTCCACAAAATTTCGGTTTTCTTAGATAGTTAATATCATTTAATTTTTTTTCATTCGGCACTTCGAAATGTTCAAAAATTTTTCGTTCCGCCATTTTATTTTGAGATCTGATATCTTTTTGTATACCTGTCGGCTATAGTCGAGTAGACCTGGCCAAATACTAAATTTCCTATAAAGTAGACCGATGATGTCATTTCTCCCGGGTCGATAATCATACGTTCGATTTCGAACTGTAACTAACTTGTTAATTTTTTTGAAGAAGTAAAAACTGGAACCTCCTTTTGAACCGTGATGAAAGAAGAATTAGAATTGGAAGTAGCTGGCGCAAGATACGACGGCGACATGGTGGCCATGGCGGACAGGACCCAGAGGAAGGCCATCGAGCTGACGATGAACACGGGGTACGGATGCCAGCTAGAAGTCGAGCTCGGGTCGCACTCGAGTCTCAGAACTCACATTCCAACGCTTGTCAAGAGTCCGTCTGCCGTGTACGGCTTCTTGTCACCGGCCACTTCCACTTCCGGATTCAGAATAACTGTGACCATTGTGTGAACGCTGCAGAGAAGATTTTATTTTTGTGCTATTAAAGGATCATTTCCATATGCGTGCTCATTCAACCGTAGCGAAAAGAGAAATGATTGATCGGCTGAATGGATAGGAAGCACTGAATATACTGTAGTTTAGGCACCGACGACTTGAGACCATATTTAAAAGGGCCATATGATCAACAGAAATGCGAATATTCTCATAAAAACCTTCTATATTTATCGTTGCGACGTAGCGGTAGATGAAGTATCCACAGAGATTAAGAAAACGTCGCTACCAGCCTGCGAAAGAAGCGTCGAATGGCAGACGACGTCTCAGGAAATCGCAGTCTTTTTCGGCTCCACAGGCACTTATTTCGTGTCTGCGGCGTTATGTCCCAAAACGATTCGCGATCGCAGGCAATTCGGCCTCTGCCGAGAGGATTTCCCACTGATTTCCTATTTTTCGAACATGTCAACCTCCGCACTGTTTCTGACGGTTATGACCTTTGAACGCGCCGACGGACAGAAAAAGTTCATTTTTCTTTTTCTGGTTTTACCAAACGCGGAAAAACAAAAATCCCACAATGTGTTTATAAATAAATGAAGGACGAAGAAAAGGCAATGAGATGGAGAGAAACAACACTTTCAAAAAGCTGAATTATTTTTGTACAATTCATTCAAATATGGAATAAAATACACGAGGTCCTTTTAAAACCAGAATAAGCCGCTGAAAAAAAGAAACCGGGTTTTTTCGTTCAAACTTAGAAACTGTGCCGTGAGACGTGGATTTCAATGATTGCGACATTGAAAGCTAAGATGACGTCCGTGCGAGACTTGGTGTTTATGCTCACCCTGATGGTCTCGGTCGTCGGTCCTTGGATCGCCTTCACCAACTGCACGATTCCTGAAAACGGACTTGGTAGATAAAAACGAAGGAACTTGACTTTTCTTCTCTAGCTGGGATCTTCAAAGTATCTAACCGGTTGCAAGAAATTCTCAAGATGTGCCGTTTTTTACTCAATTGTGAAAATTTAGAATTAGGGAAAATTCATCTTAAAACATTTTCATCGCAAATTTAATTGGCTCTTACTATTTTCTCGGCTTTCGGACTGTATTGAAACTTCGAAAAACTGTGAAACCCTATAAAAGAAAAGGGAGAAAATCTGCCTTTTTGAACACTGAAAAAAACTCAATATACAAACTATTTTATTTACGAATCTTTTTAAAAACTTTTTGACAATGATCATAAACTCTTTATTTCTTTAAAAAATTAGGTCTCTAGAAAATTTTCATTCCTTAACCTTGAAAAAATTGGGAGACTTGTTGTTAAAACGAACCGATGTTCCTATCCTGCTCAATCCGAAAATGCCGTTGACCAACGCGGTCGAGACCGTAGTCCACAGAAAAAGGAACGCCCATGTGAGTATGTATCCGCGACACCTGAAAAGCCTTGCCCGTCCCTTCGAAATGAAGCTCTCTCACTTCCAGCGGGTTGGTCACGAACTTCATCGACGGGATGGCGCGAAACTGGTAGAGAATCTCGCGAGTGTGATTTCCCATGCAGGCCGTGTCATCAGGTCCGCACACTTTTATGCATGAATATCCGTCTTGTATCCGGCTGCATCCAACATTCACAAGTTTTAACTTCTTTATCGATTAGACACGGATCGGTGTTTGAGATCATTTGAAACATAGACTTATCACAGAAAGTTAGTAGGAGGTTTTAGTATGGTTAGACAGAGATGGCAAGAGAAACCGTCTAGTATCGAAGGACAGGGGGATGAATGGTGGTGTGTCTCTTGTGGGCAGAGACGTCGACGACGAGGTTGGCGGCGTAGGTGTTGACGGACTTGCCGCGTCTGGAGAGTCTCAGGACCAGCTCCAACTGGATCGACTGCGGTCCGTCGAGACTGTCCCTCAGCGTCACCACCGCGCTGTTCCTCTTGTCTCCTTTTTGGAGCAAGAAGTTGGCTCGGACAGCCGGCAGAACATGCGGCTTCTCTGACCAATCACACAGTTCAAGCAGTTAACGAACAGAAAGTTTTCAAAGACTGAATGACATGCTCCATATCAAATTCTGACTGTCATGTTTTTGAAACAACGACACTCAATATTAGTAAGTTAGGAATTTTCATAGAATGCTTGTTCAAGCTCTAGAGGTAGATTCCTCATAGCCATTAACTGTGTAAGCTTTCAGTCTTGAAAATAGGAGTTTTTAAAAATTTCCAATTTTAAATATTGACGCCCAAGAACAAAAAAGTTGCGCAGGTAGCGATTATCCGGAGTTTGCATCTAGAACTGCGGAGAGTGTTTGAGCAAATTTATGAGAAAATCTCAGACTTCACACTAAAATGACCTCCCTTTCAGACAGGCTGATTTTGTGCAAGAATTGTTAGTTTTCGTGACCAAATGAGACAGAACACGAACCGATGAGAGCATGCTTGAGATGCAGCTCGAACTGGACGTCGGAGTCGGGCTGATTGGGCGCAGAGACCTTGAAGAGCGTGATGGAGGGTCGGTGCGAGGAGATGGGCACGGCCCGAGCCAAGGAGATGAACTGCCAGGAGACGTAGAGCGGCGTCCTCGAGCACTCCTCGGGAAGTCCACACGACACTCGGTTGCAACGACTGTCACTTCCATGTAAGGCGCATGCGAGCCACTCACTTCTTGTTATTGTAGTCGTGCACGTAGTTTTGTGGACACTCGATCCGGTGGCATTTAAACGAGCCCAGGGTGTTCACACACACTTTATCCGCTCCTCCGCACTCGCCATCTTGACATTCGTCCACGTCTTCAACAAACACTTCTTTGTCAAGTTCAACAAAAATTATTGTTTTCGTTGTTAAATTAATCTAGAAATATGGAAAACTGGACGAGTCTGAACAGTGTCCTTTTCGTTTTGGCCGTAGCTTTGTTTTGGTTTTTTTTTAATTTTTGGCTGAAGAGACAGAATCTGCTTGATCTCGAAACATATCAATGGAGAGAAATAACTTCGGACAAAAATAGATTGAATTCCTCACCAACACATGTTCTTCCGTCGGGCTGAATTTTGTAACCAGGAGGACATTGGCAGAGATAAGAGCCTTTCGTGTTCACACATCCTCCCATGCACAGCTCGTTTCCTGAAGCTTCTTTCGCCGCGAAAACCCTTCACAACTCACCTGAGCCTGACCAAATCTCGCACTCATCGATGTCTTCGCATTTGACGCCGTCGCGACCTAACGCAAAGCCTCTGTTTTTGGTGAAATGAAAGAGCTGTCCGAGTAAATATTCACCGTTCACAAATACATTGGAAAGAGCCAGGTATATTGATACACTTTTGCTCGCATTTGGCCACTCCACTGGTACATTCATTTACGTCTGAAATGATTCAACTAACTTTCTTTTGAGGGATAAAGAGCGAAAAAGTATGAAAAAACCTTCGCATCGTCGTCCATCTGCGGCGAGTTGAAAACCTTCCTTGCATTTGCACTCGAATGAGCCAATCTGATAAATTATTCTTCTTTGGACCCATAGACCCAAACCAAGATAATGAAAAAAAGAAGACATTCGGTTACTGGAGGTTTCAAAATCTTGATAACTGACCGTATTGATACATTCCGCGGAGTGATCACAAACGTGGCCCATGAACTTGAGACATTCATCGATGTCTTCGCACCTTTTGGTCTGAAGAGGAATACGTAGCTGGAGAATGATGATACTGTGACTTGCATTATCATTGAACTCGTATCCAGGATTGCATTTGCATTTGTAAGATCCTGGCAGATTGGTGCAAAGCAAAGGTCCGCAAACCCCCGTCGCGCACTCGTCGATGTCTGAATATTGTTCAGCGAAAAGCGAACATTTGCAAACCTTCACAAAACCCTGTGTTGACGTTGACTTCGAACCCATGGGCGCAAAGATTACCCTTTTGCTGACACCTGAAAACATCGTTCAAAAGTCAGATTCACTTGTAACCTATGTAACCTGTAAGATCCAGGTGTATTCACGCATTCTTCAGCAGGACCGCATCGATTTCCAGACACACATTCGTCGATGTCTGTATGAGCTTTGAAACAATAACTCCTTCAAAAGTTACCATTGCACATTTGATTTTTGGGGAAGTAGCCCAGAGGACATTGGATCGAAGTGCATTCTCCAGTCTGCGGGTTTTGAAGTTCTCCATCTGCACATTTTTTCGGATCGCATCTGCAAAAATTTCAATCTTAAAAGGAAAAGGAGCCTTCTTAAAAGGAAAGGAGCCAGAGAAAAAAAAGCTGAGATTATTCGTTTTTGAATTCAATTCTTATTTTTGATCCAGTTTTTTTTTGTTTTCGAAATATTGACTCTTTCTTTTGTTTTCTATGTTTACCTATAACTTCCTTGAGTGTTTCTGCACTGATAGGTAGGGCCACAGTCGTGAGATCCGAGGTTACACTCGTCGACGTCTGAAATTAGGTGAAAGTCGTCGGAGAATTCGGCATCTTCAGTGTTAGTCACTGCAAACCGATGCATTGTTCAGTGGCGGAGTCCATGGCGTATCCCGTGCCGCAACTCAAAATTCGAATGCATTTGAAACTTCCAGGAGTGTTCAGACAGCGTTGGCTCTCCAGACAGTCGTCCATGAGCAGGCGACACTCGTCGACGTCTGTATACCTCGGCCGACTCGTTTAATTGTTTGATCAGATAATTGATGTGTTAAAGGATTCTTATGCCGTGTTCAAAGTGATTCCGCGAAATCCAGAATAGCCGTCAGAGAAAGAAAAAGATAACTAAATCTTGAAGAGCCAAAGATAATTTTGCATTACGCGGAAATTACTTTGAATACGGCATTACAACGAAACTACTTCCGTAAGCAGTGCACATAGGGTAAAAGCAGAAAAGCGGCAGAAAAAAAGGGTGAAACCATAAAACTATTTGACTCCGTTCATCGCTGGCTTGTAAAAAAGGTCTTTGTATCGAGGTGTAAAGCTAACCTATTCATATTTTTAAAACGACTTCTGAGGAAATTCGTATTAACTCAAGCCAGCGATGAAAACTTGCCGAGTTTGCAGAAAGGCCTCACCGACGCAAGTTCCGCGAGACAGAAGCCATCCTCGTGGACAGCTGACGTCATTTGTCGGAGAGTCCTTCAGTCGCATGTTGAGTCGCGAAGAGCCGACGTCGTCGCGCAGTCGCTTCGGAATGAACCTCTGCGTCGCGACTCGCGGCAAACGTCGCTGACATTGATAGCCGCCGACGGTGTTGACGCAAACCTCCGTCGGCAAGCAAGGAACGACGCGACCCAGGCATTCGTCTCTATCTGACGAGATTCAGAAGACTTCAAGAGGGAAAGCGAGTGCAGAGAAATTCAATGAGATTTCGCAGGTTTGAGAGGTCGGGATAGGTGTTTGAACAGCACAGGAAAGGGAAACGCTTGCGTTGGCAGAATTGAAACGAGTACTATGAAACATTACAAAGTCAAATTATAAAAGATCGTTCATTAATTTTTTTACCTTGATTTTTATTTAATCTTTGTTACTTCTTTTTCCATCGTTCATAAAATTGAACTTGAAAAATCGAAAAATCCGAAACTTCGTTCTTTTTTTCAAATGAAAAAAATAAACGATTGCTGTTCGTTTAACTTAAATATCTTCTTTATATTTTCCAAGAATTATTTATCGAACTTCGTTTATTTTTTATTGCTATAGATAGAAATTTTTATAGAATTAGAAATTTTCCTGATAAGTCGAAAATCACGCTTTTCATCAATAAAAAATGGCTTTACTCGTTTTTACACAATAAAACTTTTCTTAGCGTTTCAAAAAAAGTCTAACGTTTCTATTACAAGCCTTTTTTGAAAAGAAGAGATGAGTCAGGTTACTTGAAGATGTGGTGAGGAGGAACATGAATTCGTGTTCCCATTCCTCCAAAAAAAAAAAAAACGCTTTTCAAGTCATAATGAAGTGTAAGAGCTTTAACAAAGAAAGACGATTTTCTGACATAATAAACCAACCGACGCACGACATTCCATCGGGCCCGAGGTCGTAGCCGGACCGGCAGCTGCATTCGACAGTCTCGCCTCCTCTGAAAGCAAGAAGGATGAATTCGAGATGATCTGCTAGACCTGTCGTGACAAAGATGTTCGCAGTTGGTGTCGGCGCAGCGGTCGCCGAGTTGCATGACGGCGTCCATCAGAGGTCGTCCTGCAAAGGAGCTTCTTCCAACCGAGAACACTCTGATCCCACCTGTGATGATTTCCGAGGCGTCCGTGATCTCGAAAGGACCGTTGCAGCATTTGTTGAAGGAGCGCAGACAAGCTGCTGAGAAGCCGGTCGGAGCGATACAGGCCTCGTTCCGACGCAGAAGATCTTTGGCCAGAAGACAGCAATCGCAGCACTCCTGTAAAGATTTCTTTTTATTTTTTTCCGAAAATTCTTGAGTATCCAGGAGAAAAATTTCCGACTTATTTTAACCTTTGTCTTTTCGTTTTTTTTTTTGCTTACATAAGACTGAAAAAGCAGAAGTATTTTTTTCTGCTTTCTGTTTCAAAAATCACAAGCCTTGTGTGTAAAAAAATTGACTCGAAAGTCAGCATTTTTAAAGGCATAGGGGCAGTAAAAAATGGGGTTTCAGATGAAAGCAGTATCTTATATAGTTTTTCTTTGCGAATCGAATGGTGTACTCAAAAAAATTACAGATGTGACAACTTTAGAAGAAAAACGCGATTTTACTTTCCCGCCTTTAATTTTGAAAAAAGCTATGGATCGGTATACAGACAAATGTTTACAGTAGCCGTGCACGCGATGTTGCGGACGTCATATTAGACTCGCATTTTTGTGAGAAATAACCGGATATCTGCTTCAAATCAAGGGTTTCTACTCTGAAAAAAATCGATTAAGAAAAACAGAAAAACACACATTGATAATAAAGAAAAACACAAATAATCGCTATCCCAATCGAAACCTGTGTAAAATCATCATTTTTTTCCCGAAAAAAACGCTTTTTTTGCGATCAAAAGTTTGCAAACTATACATGAATAGAAAGCTTTTGTGACGAAAAGAACTTTGGTGACAACAGAAAAAATTGAAAATTGAAAGAAACGAAGAAAAAAGCGAAAATCCGGAAGATGGCGAAGCCTGTTGTCCATAGAGCAACTTTACTGCAAAGTGCCCTTTTCGCGGGAACTCAAGCTTTCCTTTCTCCGGCTTTGAAGAATTTTTTCTTCAAAACTAGGAACTTCTGTACGTTTCCAAGTTTACCGTTCGATTCGCAATGAAAAGCTCTACAAAGTACTGCTTTGAACTGAGACACCGTTTTTTACTGCCCCTATGCCTTTAAAGAAAGATCCACCTTTCTCAAGCCTCCGCCAAGAATATTGATGTTGGCTGGACAGGACTCTTCTTGTCTCGCGATTTCGTTTCCTTCGTCACAAGAACTCTCAAGCAGCGACCGTAAGCAGCAAATGGAGGCTGTTCTGAAGCTCGAGAGAGGTGAGAACGATTCTGAAAACCCACCGCAGACAGGTCATACTCGTCCCTTCGCTCTTTATACTCGAACATGTACTCGTCTGTTTGAAGTGACGCGAGCCACCGCCGCAGCATCTCGTCAGTTCTCCCGCATCACAATCTGGTCATTAAAGAAATTTATTAAAAAGAAGATTTTGGAACGAATTTGACTCAAGTAACTCTAGTGCCGTCTGGCCAATGACAGAGTTTTTTGCAAAAAAAAATGGAACCTTTATTTTATCGAAAAGCGCACTTTTAAGTATCAATTCAAACTGAACGCAGAAATTTGATGGCTTTAAGGCTCAGACCAAAGAGTGCTGGTGCTACTAAAAACGCGTCCGGTTCGCGTTACAAGGTCCGAGTTTTTACAGTAGGAGTTCGTGGACTTGAAGACAAACAGGTCAATCATGAAAAGGATAAAAGTAGCTGCCGGTAGCTACTTTTATTCTAAATCTTTATGGTATCTGGATATACCGGGTAAATACATATCTCAAGTTTGCTATTGCTGTCAGGTAGTCTGGCAATGCTTCCCGCAATTTTATTTTTTTCAGCGTTAGCCGATAAGATCTTGGAAGACTTGGAACGAATTAAAAATAACTGGTGCTAAATAACCGACCGATTTTCCAGCCAATCAGGAACATACCCGGTAGCATCCAAGTACCATAGTGATAGTACCAGATTTATTATAAACGACCACCAATTAGCATATCCCTATTGAACTTAAAGTAGCTACCCGGTAGCTACTTGTATCTTTTTTTTTCTTGACCAGCATTTGACGCTCTTTTATCTGCTCCGCTAGATCATGATCGAGATATTATATATATATATATATATATTTTTTTCAAATTCACGTCTTTTGTAAATCTTAAACTATATTATCAAAAAAAGCCATCAATCAGAAAAAAATTCTTTTGACTCCTCCGATCCTTTTTTTCGCCTCTGATAACGTTGTCGGCAAAGAACCAGAAACCTCTAGATTCAACTTATCACGGATAGGATTATTTTTTTCAGTTTCGAGATGATTAAAAATAAGACTTTTCCAAAAAAAAACATACCAATAATAAAAAGAAGAACTAACAAAGCTGCGCCGAAGTTTGAGACGGCTGACATGTTTGGAACACAGATCCGGATGATCAGCTTCCAGTGTTTTCAAACTTTTCGCTCTGAAAAGACCATTGGTTGGTTTAACCGTTAAACTTTAACGATATGAAACACATGTTCGGAAGTTTAACGCGAATAAAATTTTCAAAATGTTCAGGTGGTTTTTTGGACCATGAAACGCGGCGTAGGTGAACGAGTTTTGCAAGAAAATTCTCAAAAATTTCAGGAATCTAGGAGTCTTGTCGTTGTTCAGAACAAATTCATAGAGCTGGAAAAAAACTCCATGAAACTTATCAGGTTCCTGTGATTCTTATCGCTTACTCTTGACAGTCTTATCAGGAAACTATCAATTAGAACCTCAAGTAACATTTTCCAGAGTTGAGCAATTAAACGCAAGGACTCTGGAGAAGAACAGAACGCCTTGCCGAGGAGTTTATCGTGGAATCGCCGGAGGCCCTGTTATCACGACCTGCAGACGTTCCCTTCAGTGGAAATAACGACGATTACGTTATTGTATTGCGTATTTGTGTGCTTTTCTGCACTCCTTGAGCACACATAAAGTAATGGAATAGTTTTGAAGAGGATTATGGCCCCAGGCGAAGGGTGTACCGTACAATGTGATCAGAGCACAACTGTTTCAAATGCTGTCGGGAAGATAGTGGATCCACAGGTTTCATTCAGTACGGTATTACGAGCAGAACTGCTGACGGTGCGCCCCGGGCGACCCGCCCAACAAAGTTTTATAAAATGAGGTAAATCAACAAAAAAAAAATTAAACTGAAGCAAAAAAATTTCCCGAATTGGTTATTCGATCTGGAAGAAATTACAGGAAAACGCATTTATGAAAGAAGATCTAGAATTTGAAGTGGCGGCTGACCAGGATCACCAGCTGACTTCGGCAGATTTCCACAGAAACAGCGAACCGACAAAAACTATTGAATTATTCCATGATTCAGCAGTGAATGTTCTCTAGGTATGAGTTCCGAATTGTTTCAAAAAAAGTGGTGTTTTCTACTTTCCCAAATAATCGCTTAGACTTTCCGTTTACCTATAGATTTTTCCGTAAGAAGCAAAGCTACACTGAACAGAAAAAAGATGCATTAAAAAGTAGTGTCGGTAAGAAGAGATACAAGCATGGACGACAGGGAAAAACAATGTAAAACTGAAAAAGGTTTATTCGCGGCGCCTGGCAACACGGACAGTTGCTGTCGGGGGCGGCCTCAGCCCCGTAACCTGAGACGTTCGGTCTCTCCAATCACAAGAAGAAACAGACACATGCGATGAACAAGGCCACAAAAATTTTATTTTGTTTGTTGTTCTAAGATGAAGCTTGGCTCGAAAACAACGAGTTTTTGCAGCATTGTTCCGCTTCTCTCACTAGCGGATGTTCTCGTTCAATAATAGGTTTATGAAATGGTAAATTATATACTTCTGAGAAATAAAAAAAATATTTATATTTTTTCTCGATTTTTCGAGCATGTGTTCTATCTTCAAAAACTCAAACAGAGAATTACGAAATTTCATGAGGATATATTGTTTTCTAGCTTCATTCGTGGTTTGAGTCAGCAAATCAGGGAGAGAGAGAGAGCTTGAGCTGAGTCACGGCACAGGAGGAAAATGTTCAATATTTTTGAAATAAATTGTATCACTGCTGCATAATTTCCTAATAAAAAAATCGCAAATATATTTGTAGAGCTTCTTAAAAAGTAAATTTTTTTTCCACAAGAAAAATGGCGAGTATGGTGGGCGGTGCAAATAATGCAACATTTTGTTGGGATGGACACATATTGGAACCAGACGTGCTCCTGAATAATGTCTCTTTTGATGGCCGACAAGCGGATTTCCGTGTCCTTCTTGTGTCACAGCTGTTGGCCAACAATCAGTTAAGGGGAAAACATTCGCTGATCAATCAAAAATAGAAAAGTAAGGAAATTTTCCAACACCTTGATATTGCGAATTATTGTTAGTGGTTTTTGATTGCGAAACTCCCATGCGCGAAAAATTCATGATATAAAAAAAAACTCCGAACCAGCTTTTCAATGATTGAATACTTAATGTGAAGAAAAAATTCCAATCAACCCGATTTTAAATCTGAAAAATATACGAAAGTGCAACTTTGACGTTCAAGGCCACTGAGTGAGATTACTTCCGTGGAAGTAGCAAATCAGGTCGGTCGAACTTCTTCATTTCTGAAGTTCGAAAAATTTTATTACCCTTTATCGATTTTTAAAACGACTTTTCGAAGACCAATGGTTCAAATATGTTGGAAATTTCTCAACAGGTTTTTTTACACTAATTCTTATTCAAAATTTGTTTGCATGTTTTTTTTTTCATTTTTCACGGGTTGCGGTGATTTCTTCTCAAAAATTACCCTCAATTTTCTGAACTTCTCTCAAACTTGAAACAGAGCTCAGAAAATTGGTCATAGTAACCGCTAACCGCTCAGCTCATAGAACCCTGTAATCGTCCACCTTGCACAGTTTAATAGGTGCATAATCTAACACTTTCGGGTTATTTTTAGACCACTTGCTGCACATTAAACAGCACGAAACAGTGTCGCAAATTCTAATTTTTTTTTTCCCGTTTCAGTTCCGGCGCTGATAGCCTCTTGAAGTCAACGAAAAGTTTATCAGAGATTAATAACCTGAAACTGATTTTACATCATCTGCCAGAGAATTTCAATTTTCAGTTTTTAGTTTCTGGAAATTCTAGTAAATTTGCTCCAGCCTTCTTAGACGCTATTTATGGTAACCTTTAGTTTTTCAATATATATATATATACATTTCCAAATCTCTCATTTCTCTTGAATTTGTGAAAAATGAGGAATCAACCTACAAAACCATCCTGTGCAGTTCAAGGATTACTGTGTGAAAAGTTTTAATATACACATTTGCAAGTGAACTGAATTCAATAAAGTCTGGAAAGGGCACGTGCCACTCCGAATTTGTGTAAAACGTGGTGTTTGGAAAAGAAGTAGGAGGCGGTCCTGTCGATCATTCAGGCCGACCGACAATTGGCCTCGATTCTCGTCAACCTTTGCCCATTTCGAGAATCCGCCGTACGCGCCAACTTTCTTTGCATTTGCACCGAGGTTTTTGATTTTTTCTTTAGTGATTGGTTTTCTTTTGTTGGTTTGATCAAATCGTTTCCTGTTGCTTGTGGAAAAAATCTTTCTTCAATTTTTGTTTTTTTTTTTCAAACAATTTCATATCTTATTGCTATGGCTTGAACTTTTTAAATAAGAGTTAGAACTTTCTCTACCAACTTCATATCACTCAAGTCGAATTCCAAAAACTTCGAAATATCGCCCAAAAAACTACTTGATGAGGTGTATGAAGGAACTGGAGATAGTCGCAATCTGTATATCTTTGTCGTTTTCCAGAATAAACGATTCAAAAGAGAAAAAAACGATGGAACTTTGGGAAATAGTTTCTCAGATTCTGCAGATGAAAAGTTGAAGGATCTTCATCCATTGTTTCCAAGATTATTTCGGCTCAAGCTTTAGAAAACCTAGAGCTACAGTTAAAAATACTTCCTCTTCAAAAGTTCGAAAAAAAAAACTTATCTACGCCATATTCTCCCAAACACTATGCATATCTAAGAATATAAGCAAAACTGGCGAATGATTCATAAAACCTGACTTTTTGCAATAACTGGCAGTGTTCAACATTCAGTTTAAAAACCTTTTTGTTTGTTTTTCTCAAATAAATCACTTATAGTTTATGGCGCAAACTGAGTCACTCGTAAACAATGAAGAAAAAAAAATCGGTAAGTCTCTTTGAGAATAAATTACAGACTTTTGCTTCGAGATTCATCAAAAACGGTGTGAAAGGCAAATTGAAGAAAATTTTTTTGAAAGAGTCAAACTATTCGTTCTGTTTTCCCTCTGACCGGCTTATTTCGGAATTTTCACCCATCGATCTGGTTTTCACCTTCCCTTCGCCCATACTGTTATTTGTCAAAATCGCAATAGCGTGTTTCTGAACTTTCTCGAAATGGGTTCTCAGGTGATCCGTCCAAAAATGAGAAAAAAAAACCTGGTTTTAGCGGAGACTTGACTCCGCCCATAGATCTTTCTCGCCGAGAGGTTGCCAGACTTTTGAGAAAATTTATTCGTTGATTGTCAGAGTTTACTGTCGTTGATCACTTCGTCGGAATATTATATGGCGCCCCGGTATTTCAGCGGCATCGCGTCTCTGCCCACAGCATCGCGCGAAAATCGGATGACCACGGCTTCGATACAACACTACACCGTCATCCACGATGGGTATGTTCCAATTTCTTCGAATTTTCCTTTCTCTCGAGTCATATTTAATGAGTTGTAACGTTTTCAGTTCAGAAAATACTGGGTAGCAAATTTTAAATTTTTATTGCTTCCAAATTTCAACAATACTAAAAGTGAAGATATTATCCTGTGAAAATTTCATCTAAGCGAAGAAATTTTTGAACTTTTTTCTTTAGATTTTTTTGATATTGATTGATGCAAAAATTGAAACATTAACTTGATAAATTCCATTCAATTCAAAAAAAAAGTTTTTCAATAGATGGAAATGGCCTTCAGAAAAAAGAAATCAAAAAATGAAGGCATATCTGCTTTTCTGAACCGCCTAATTTATATGCGTTCAGAAAAAACTTTCTCACATGGAATGCCTTCCGTATGACTTCTAGGGTCTCTTTTTCTCACTATTTTGAAAAAAAAAACGAAATGTTAAAAGAATTAGAGACTGGAAGAGAGTTCGTGTACAGCTGAATTTTCCAATTTTCAATTTTTATTTCAAAACTTGCTGACATTTGGAATCAATCAAACTGAAGCTTTCCATTTCAAAGATCTTCAAGTTTTTTCGCGAGCCAAAACACTTATGATGCATCGTCCAAGCCGGTATTTCAGCGGTTCTGTTTGCAGGGGCTCAAAATCTAGTGTTTACCTTTACAAGTTGCTCTTCTCCTCTGCTAGACCATTTTCTAGCTTCTGATGTGAAAAAGTTAAGATGAATTACCCGGTTTGTCATAGTTGCAGGTATCGAGCGCCGAATGAAGTGAGCGTTTCAGACGAATTGAGGAAAGTCGTAGTTATGGCGGCTGCCTTCTTTTTCATCGCTATCGTTTGCGTCTTGTCTAAATTACAGGTTTTTTTTGCCACTTCTGCTCACATTTGATTACTTAACACCGACTTACTGCCATGTTCAAAGTTTTTACGCGAATTGCAAATTGTATCTCTTAATCTCAAATCGAATTGTATCTCTTAATCTCCGAAGTTTAGCTTTAGCCGATTCACAGCTAGCTCGAAAAGCAAAAAGGCGTGTCTAGTCTGCGCTCTACATTAACCAGGCCTTGTCTCTTTTCCTATCGTGTCAAAACTCTTTATTCGATGGTTCAAGCCAGGCGTGAATCAGCTATATCCGTTGAAAAGTTTTTTTTTTTAATTTCAGAGAAAATTCAAAAAGTTTGACGTAATGTTAAATTGTTTTAAAAATACAAAAAGATCGTTTCAAAACGAATAAAGCCGGAACCGTCTTTCACGAGTATTTATTTTTAGGAGAAGAACATTCTACCAATCAATTTGTCACAATATATAATAACTCACAAAACATGATTTTAAAAAAATGATTTATGCAGTTCGCGGCAGGCGTCGTGATGCGGTGGTCGCCAATTTTGTGGCTTCTGGGGATCTGCATCGGCGTCGGCTTGATGAACGGCATCTTCTACGTGCGCGAGAAGCGACGTCAGAGGAAACGACAGCTTCGCCTTGATAGGGTTAGTTTTCATCTAAACGTTTCTGCACTGTTTTGTGAACGGCAGTGCGTCTTCAAAGTGTAGAGAGAGCCATTATACAAGTAAACAGGAAGCTTCAAATTTCAAAGTTTAAAAACTTTTTTCACAAAAAAAGCTGTAAAACATTTTTCAGAGCGTCATCCTTGCACTGCCAATATCCCGTTCGTTTCCATGCCTGTCTCCGGGACCGCATTCACAAAACTGCAATCGCGGTAGAGGAAAAAAGTTTGAAAAGGCAATTTTGTAACTAAACTGCAGTTCCAACTTCTCATCGTCACTTAGACAGCCAATTACCAACTTATGATGATGTTCTTCAGGAAGAAAAGTCCCACGAGGTAAATTTCTCAAAATATAAACATGTATAAGAGATAGTTCAGTCAAAAGTAAACTTTCCAGGAGAACCAACTCCCAAGTTACGCAACTGCCATCGCGATGCTCACGCCGCAAGATGTTTAGCGATTTTCATTTATTTAATCGTACAACGGGTTTTATGATATTAATGAAGTGCTTCATTTGAAATTCTGAAATAACGGAGAAAAAAAAAAAAAAGAAAATTTCAACAAATTCACGGGGTTTTACATCTAAAGATAGGAAAAACTAATACTAAAAAGCGATAAACCCGGAACAACTTTTTAAAAAATCCAAGTAAGCATTCATCGGGGAAGCATACAAAAAAGGCCTATTGAGATTTCTTGGTTTCAACCGAGCGGTACTTGGCCTTACCGCCTTTGTAGATATAGGATTTGAAAAAGAAGTTGAGGAACAGGATAAGGTAAGTTGTGTCCATGAACGTAGCCAGTTTGAAAACGCCCGAGTCAAAATCGCATGGCACCTGAATTGAATGTCCTTGTGTAATTTTTTGTAAAGTTCAAAATATTCAAGAGAGAACAAAAGAAGTTTGAATGTGATAAGTGGATATAAATGACATGTTTCCCTTGTTTCAAATTTCTTCTAACATATAAATCTTCTGCTAATCTAACGAATACTGAAAACTCCAACTAACATTCTGCACGTGAACGAGGAAAGCAATGTGCGCGAGGATACTGCACGAAATGATGAACTGGAGGATCTGGATCGAAGTGATGAATTGCGCGACAAATCCAGGCACACGGATCTTCATCGACCGCAAGAAATAATATCTGTAGATAATTTAAGTGAAGGTGAATTTTTGGAATAGAGGCAGGGACAAAAACTCACGAGTACATGAACGCATGAACCAAAACGTTGAGATAGATACCATATCTGTTGAAACCTGGAGAGTTGGGATGCGAGTACCACGCATAGATAAGAGTCAGGATATGATGGTACCTGAAATAAAGAGCTCATTATTAAAACAACCTCAGAAAATAATTGCTCGATACGCTACAAAATTGGCTCTTTTGCATGAGACCTAATAGAAATCATTATACTTTCAATCTACACATGAAGAAGAAAAAAGTTTAAAACAGCTACCCGTAGATTTCAAAGTGAACAAAAAATCTAGGAAAGCCATGTTTAGTTTTCGGGCACCATAACTTTTTTAAGTCGCCAAGAAAATAATCCAATAATTTTCCCATAATTTATTCGCTGTTGACAAATCAGCTTCGATCATCAAACAAAGAAAAAAATTAACCAGTGAAGGAACATGAGAGGGCGTTTACGAAGGACCAAGAAAACCGTATCGACGAGTTCGAAAAGCTTCGAGGCCATGAACAACCACGCCCAGTAGCCATTATCCCCCTTCGTGAAGTCGTACAGGTAACAGTATGAATCTTCAAATTACAAACTTAAGGCTCTTCTGTTTCGTCCAGTTGTCCGAATTTATCTCTGAATTTCATTGATTGTCCAAGATACAAAAAGTTCGCCGGCATTGTTCTTTTTCTTTTTTCTTTTAAAAAATTTCGCACCAATTTCTATACCCAAGAAAATAATTCACTATCTCTATTTCATTTCAAGTGACAATTGGCCACTGATAACGAAACATAGAACCTCGATTAAATTCAACACCAAGGTATTATAACAAAGGCGAAAGATAACTCACTAACGACTCCTTTATTGGTTAAGACAGAGAAGAACTCGGGAGTCATCCGAATAGTTGCCAAGATGGAGAAAGCCGCGAGGATAAAGTTCCAGATGTTGAGCGGGACAAAAAGCGAAAATGGCTGTCGGTTACGCATAAACCATTTCGTGCCGAACACCACCACCACGTAGAGAATAGAAGCCTGCAAAGAACTTCAAAGTGGATCCTGACATTAATACTACCTGCAGGGTCAGGTCGAAATGATCAGCGTAGAACTTTCGACCTTCATTGTCGGGAAAGTTCTTGCCGCCATGTGTCGCTAATTCCAGGAACTTTTTCGTGTTGAATTTGACATCCAACAGCCTTTGCACGATCGGATGGCTCATTTTATTACCTGAAAGCGAGCAAATAGCTTTATGAGAAGAGTATCGAAAGTTAACATTAACGAATGAAATGAAAGTGACACGAAGAAATGAAACGTTGCAAGATTCACTCGTAATCATTTTCAAATAGGCAATATTTAATAAAATACTAAAATTTCCTTACTCTTGGTGTCTTTGTTTCATTACTACAAGGTTAATATGTTTTCAAACAAAACCATGAGTAATGAAGAATTTTAATTTTGAGAGAAGAAAACTGAAAAATCATGTCGGAAAAAATAATTAAAAAAATTAAAACTGATTGAAAGTCATCGACTTTATTTTTTTACATTTTTGCACAATTTATTGCAAAAAATAAAAAAAGTTTTATCAAAGTTGTAAAATTTTAAAATTTTTGAATTTAATTTTCCTTTTTTCGTCAAGCAATAAAAAGTATAAAAACTAATAAAGAATCGAAATTTTTGGTAAAACAGAAAAAGCAGCAAAGTTGAAGTGTGATAGATGGATAAGAAACGACATCAATGAGGAAAAATTCTCTAAGCGACACGAAGGACAGAGGTACAAAGAGCGAGAAAGTTCTAGACTACGAGAGAGTACGATGATCACGGCGAAGCAAAGCAACTGCAGTCAGAAACCTATTTGAACCGCCCCATCACCCCATCTCAGCGCCGATTTTATCAAACGAAGCAACGTCCTTAGAACGAATACTTTCAGTTCGAAGAGATAACCAAGAAGGTGAAAGTTCAAATACAAAAAAAGCATCGTTTTGGGACGTGGACATGCATGTAACCACTTTTTTTCGGTTTAACAACCCTGAAAAATTTTAGAAGAACCAGAATTTTTTTCAAATTTTAACTATTCTCAGTTCCCTAATCAGAAGTAATCACCCGAATAGAAATTATAATTTGATTCTTGGACTAGAACTAAATCGATACTAATAAACTGATAAGCCTGTAAATAAATAAAGCGAGGCACGGTTAATTTGATTTTGAAAACCACGCGAGATTTGAATAAAATTTACTATACCAGTAAAAAGCGAAATGTGCCGTTTAACAAAACATTCAGAGTTACTTCCACACAAAATGCAGCTAGATTTGCGTGGTTTCATACATCATAATAAAAATTGCGCGCGGGACATTAGAAAGAGAGAGCAGCAAAAAAAACATACCAAAAAAGAAAAAATATATAGTATCACGGCTATAAAACTAAATAGAGCTAATGGCGTGTTCATCGGAGAAACGGAACATGCTTCAAAACAAAAAATCGTGTTCATCGGCGCGCTAAAGTTGCTCCAAAACAGTACTAATTTTTGTTTTGGAGCAATATTCTTGCGTTTCGAAGCAATTGTTATTTTTTACGATGAACGCGCCATAAGAGTGCGCGGTAATATTGGAATTTGTGCCGTGTTCAAAGTAATTTCCGCGAAATGCAAAATACCCGTTAGAGAAAGGAAAAGATCACTAAATTTTGGAGAGTCAGAGATCATTTTGCATTTCGCGGAAATTACTTTGAACACGGCATTGAATCCACGCCAACCGCGCGCGGGAAATTAAATGTGTTATACGTAATGCACAATATGCATGAAAAACGACGCAACATAATTTCTTTATACCGTGTTCAAAGTGATTCCGCGAAATGCAAAATACCCGTTAGAGAAAAAAAAAAAATATAACTCAATTTTGGAAAATCAGACACTGTTTTTCATTTCGCGGAAATTACTTCGAACACGGCATTAATGATACACATCCGTTCAGACCCACAGGGACCCGTCCGGTCAGCACTGCGTTGTCTCCTCTGGCCATACTAGACTTTCTTTCAAGCAAAATGAGGACAATAGAAATCTTCAAAACCACGACGTCAGAGAAAATATCCGCGCCAAAACCGCGGTCCTTGGCGACCGCCTCTCATTTTTCGAAGTGAATGAGGTTTCTACTGGAAACCGAGTCTTTAAAGTCCCGTTTTTTCGGGCTTCACTCTAAAAATGCTGTTTGAAAAGTTTGGATAATATTGCTCTCCTTATTTCTGCTTATTAACTGATAAATTAAAACACATGGAAAAGTTTCGTTCAGTCGGCTGAGAACCTGGTCCTTCAAACTTTTTCTATAGTTCTCCTCTCCCAATCCAGATTTTTCCCACTAGATTCATTTTCGCCGTGTTTCAGAGTGAAATGTATCCGGACACTGCTGAAAAAAAGAAAGCCACCGACTTTTCATTTGGCTCGAAGCTCTAGAGCCTTCTCCCTCTACGTTATAAAATGGTGAAAAAAACATTCTTTGTTTTCTCGATAAATTCTCCGATTGTTATAGAAAATGAGAAGAAATTAAAAACTCGTGCAGGTTTTTTGTGATTCAGTTTGAGAAGGGATGCCCCTACCCATAACTTTTATTTTCGCCACATTCGTCATCAATATGGAGGATAGGTTTTTACTTATTAACGGCTTTGAGTGCAAAACAGGCCACGCCTTGAAAGGGGTGCAGTTCAAAACAATATAAAATTCTTTCTGCCGTCTTTTTTTCTCGAATTTCGTCAGAGATTCATTTTCGACTTTTTCGCTGGCTATATTCAATTTTCAAAAAATTTACAATCAAAAACCTTCTCAGCTATTTAAGAAACAACCGCATCCATTAATGATTACAGTCCACTTCAAAAAGTTGTTTGTATGAGAAATCAGGAGAAATTTCCAAATAAACGTCCTCCTCGAGTGTTCTTCTGCGAACTACAGTAGCCGAAAGAGGACGGAAGAGGAACAAAACGAGCTCTTTGGGCCAACTTTGGCGATACCTTTCATCGACGAACGACGGCTTCCGCCTCTGACTCACTCTGGCCTTTCCCTCTTGCTCTCCATGTTTCTTGTGATCCGATATACTCTACTATGATACTCACATATTCAAAATCCTCAATAAAACGAGTATTTCTTTACCAGCTCCAGAAGAATAACTTTGTCTTCAGATTTACTTATTTCCCTTTGAGAACTCCGAGCTCACCTCCAGAAGCTGCGCTTTTTATGTCGACTTTAAACTGTCTTTAGTACAAAGTCTTTATAAGAATTTTAATTTTGAGAAAGCGAATTTCTTTGAGCCATCATACTGATTCATTTCTAAGATGGAGTCTATTTTCAAACCTTGAATAATATTATTTTTTTGCAAAAATTTGTTTCTAAAATCTTCACTCCAAGTGGTTGCTTGCTTTTTCGAGGCTACCGCCTGGAACACGGTCTCCGAGCTCCAGCACAAGAACCGCTATCTTTTGAGCGCGGCAAGGCACAACTGGATGGACTACGCGCAGAAGAACGAGACGAAGGACCGTAAGACCATGCTTTCAACTTGCTCAACTACAAGTTTGAACTTCTAGTTCGTCAAAGGCGGATGTTTGTTATAGTTTTAAAATTTCCTGTTCACCGCCTAGCCGATTAAATCTATGAAAAACAAAAATGATTGATTGAAAATTATCTTAATTTCTCACTGCTGGGATTGAAACCTTTCAAAGTTCGATTAAAATTGAGCTTGTAATTCTTTATTTTTGATGTAGTCGCAATCGTATTTCGTATTCGCTTTCATTTAAATGAATAGAAAGTTCTCTTTGAAAAAAACAAATTTTTATTTTTTTAACAGGTTTCATTACCGCTTTAAATGTTGAATTTCACCATCACATCTATTTTAGAATTTAAGAGAAGTCCATCAGATAAATGTACCTTCTGGCTCTCTCCGAAGATCTGAAATTTATTCCAAAAAGTTTGAGCCAACTGAAAGAAATAAAGTGCTTTTTTTCAGCTTTTCAAAATGTTTCCTACAGCTTTGCTCGACTTAAGAAGCTTTCAAAGTACTTCTGAAGGCTCGAAATTAGTTCAAAAAGGTTTCAACCAGACCAGTAGGATTAGATAGCTTTATTGAAGTTATCAAAACGTATTTTTAGATTTTTCTTGTGAAGAGTTGCTAAAACATTTCGGAAAACTCATCACTTCAGTCTCATCTAAAGACTTTAGCATTTGAATTTATCAGGAGATCGGCGAAGTTATATTGTTTTTTGGTTTCCTTAGATTATGAATTTCGAATTTCGTTGACGTCGGAGCAAAAAGAAACTGAGCACGGCGACAATCGGCAATGCATTTCAAGTCGAAACAGCTCATAATGGCAACTCTTGGGGCGTCGAATTGCACGCATCCTTCTCTTTGGCTCCCATTCGCCTGCATTTTTGTCTTTTGCCGCATCCTTCTCCAGAAGCTTTTTTCTTTTTCTTCTGTGAAGTCATGCATCTTCTGCACATCATCATCTTTTTTGAATATGGACCTAAACATGTGTTTTTGGCGACGACGACGTCTATCCTTTCGAATAGCTACTTCCTCCGGAAGCCCCTGTGTAGTATTTGGGAGCTAAACGTAGAGAAATAGAGAAGAATAATCCTCTTTCTAATAACCTCATGCAGTGGGCGTTCCGAGCTTCGAATTCCCCGAACTCGAACACAGTTCGAATTCTTTTCCTTATTTTTTAAAGTGAAACTTCTTATAATTAACTCGATTTTCTCGAACAGAGTCATTTTATCAGTTGGCCTCGCAGTCAAAAAATTTGACTTTCCGCTGGTGGAAATTTTCTTCAGTTCTGACAAGTTTCGAAAAAAATTGAGAATAAAACAAGGTTGGTGAGTTTTTTTTAATTTCTGGTATTGCAAAGTGTTGTTTGTACTTTGCTGATATTACTATAGAATAAACTTATTTCTTATCATTATTTTTTCTGAGTTTGTTGTTCCTCTAGTTTAAAACAAAATCGATGATAACCAGAAAATGGCTTTTGACAATTTCTTCAAATTTAAAAAGTTAAATTCGAAAGGAATATCTGGCACAGAAATTCTGAAACCCTTTCACCAAATCTTGAAAGAATTTGTTGTGCTCTCTTTTCCTCCACCGAAGATCTCTTCTTTACGTGATATAGTCCGTTTTTCGCGACCTGAAAGTGCGGAACTTCTCTGCGCCCTCCTAGTCTCTCGACGACCCTCTCTTGTTGACGCGCTATTTTCCCGTTTCTGTGACTTTGCCAGTGAGGGAACAGAGAGTCTTGAAAACTGTCAAGTCGCGGCGGACTAACTATATTTTCATTTTTCTCTGATCGGCGAAGAAAAAGAGAGTGCAGACTGGTTAGGCTGTTCCAAATCAAGAGGAAAGATGTATAGTTGCCTCTCCAGGGGTATTGTAAGAGGAAGCTTCTATTTTTTGTGGAAAATCTGTAATTTTTTTTTACTTAGCACCTTCCATATAACTTTACTAAAACAAATTTCGATCAATTCTGCACTGTGATAAAATTGAAGCTATACCAAAATTAAATTTTTTTAGTACTGAGGGTAAAACTTTCCATCCTCGTTTTTCACTTCTTTTTTTCCTGAAAGGTCATGAAACAAGTTCATAAATAATTTATGAAACTAGAAGGAAACATTTTTCCGATAGCCTTTTTTTCCGGATGAAAATTTAAAAAAACTCGCAAAACTTTTTTTGATACTTGTTCGGGGCTTCGGCGCGAAGTCAGTTTCTAGCATGATGAGAATCAAATTTCCCTTTCTATATTATTTTTTTCTTTTCTCAATCTCTGTTTTGCGCGTTTGAACAGGAATATCATAAAAGAGAATTTTTCAGAAACAAAGATGAACATGGTAAGGATAAGACACATAATGCAAATGCGACGTGCTTGCAAAGCGCCGCCACTGTTGCCGCCCAAACTGCGCAAGTCGTAGAAAGTCGGAACAAAAAGTTCCAAATTTAACTTGATTCAGAGACAACTCTGAAGGCTCCGATCGTAGAGGCGGCAGGGACATTATTGACGTCCATTTTCGCATCAGGTGAAAAATTCTTTCAAATATTCAGTTTTTCTTAATTTGCTTTTCTTTCGATTTTCTGCAATAACTCAATCTTATCAGGAATGTTTTTTCGGGAAATCCGAGCAGTTCTGTGTTTTTTCTCAATGTCTATGAAAGCGAGCGCGGCAATGAAGTCACATGGAACCTGGTAAGGAGCGATCTTAAGATCTAAACTATGAAAAAATATTACATTTTCAAGTTTTAACTGAAACTTATTCTGATACGAGAATGAAAAGAAAGGAAAACATTTTCAGTTTCCAGGATGCATGACTGCTGATTTTTCAGTTTTTCCCAACGACAAACGCAAAATGAAAATTTAAAATGTTTCTAATATTTTTTTCTTACTGCATTTCAAATGACAAATGCAGCATTTGTCTCTCGACATGAAACGCCTGAAGTTGGAAAGACGATGACTTTTAAAAAGCATTGTCGTTCCAACACTTTATCTCGAAAGCTTCCTATCATAAAATTTTCTAGGTCACATCAACCGAAAAGCTTGACAAGGAACAGGATTATGAGCTGGAGAACATTCTCAGCCTCGAGTATTACTTTGAGAGAGCTCAACCGCTACGAGTCGATTTGTTTGAGAGATGTTCTTTCAGACAGAAACTTCATTTTCAGAGTTGACGAGAGCGCAACAGGAGTTATAATTGGTGGAACGACGTTTCTCATCTCCCAGGCTCTGCTCTCTGAATTCTCAACTCATCTCTTGTAAGTCATTTTCGGGGTAACAAATTTAGGGAAAAAGGTTTCCTTTTCCTTTTTGAACTTCTAGAGAATAATAAATGCATTTGGATAACTATGGGAAAGGAAATTTGCAGAAACGAAAAAGGAGAGGTCGTAGGTCTCTTCGACGTTTGGACGACAGTGAGGGAAAAGCCGCAACCGGTGGTCCTTCAGTTGGAAGCGCGCAATATTTCTGGGAGACTTCTCACTTCAACTTCTACTGTGAGTTGGAATAATTTTTAAGAAGACATATAGTGTTTCTGATCCAGGTCTACTTGGAAGTTTACCAAGGCGACAGAAATGAAAAACGACTTCTGCATCGAAGCGAAGGAGTTAAGACTTCGCGGTTGCTCTGGCGGCCATTCACCTTACAGTGTGTGGCATCTAACGAAGACAGGTTTTTTTTCATCCTGGAACTTCTCAAACTATTGAAAATCAAATAGGGATCACAACGAGATTTTTATTAAACTTTGAAAAAGTTTGAATTTAATATTTCACGGTCCTAATATTTAAAATGTCATTTAAGATATTTTTCGAGAAAAAAAGGTCCTTATTTCCCAAATCCACCAGAAAAGGCAGAAAAAGCAATGAGAAAGCCGTTTTCCCTTCGTTACTGATATGCAAAAAGTCCAGGAAAATAGAAATCGTGTGTACTCAAGAGGACGATCGAACTGGATTAATTGGAAGCTGTTTCTGTAACATCGACGACGTCAAGCCTCAGGATTCGTTGCAGGTGAATCTCCGCGCAAACCTTCTGGAAACTCATTACAGCTTTACAACGAATCGTACAAGCAAGGGAAGAAGTCGTGCGGAGAATTACGATTCGTGCGTTGCTCTCAGCTGCGCGTCTTCTCTTTCTCCGACTACATCAAGTTTGGCGCGACGTTGCGCTTTGGCTTCGCTGTCGACTTTTCGTCAAAAGAAACGGCGTCTCGTCACGAATACTTACAGTACGCAAACGACGTTGAATTTGTCGTGCGGGCTCTTAGTGGAGCTGTTGTTCCTTACAATGGGTAAGGCTTTTTTTAACCTCTGTTTTGAACTCTCTTTGAAAGCTTTTTGGTTAAACTTGAACTAAACTTTTAGTTCAAATCCGCTGTTGGCGTATGGATTCGGTGCCAAAATCCCGCCGTTTTACCGCGAATCAAACAACTTTTGCCTGGTTATTTTTATTTTTTGCGATTTTCATTCATCTGAGTGGATCTTGAGAGCTTGGAAGTCGACGCTTCTTGTTCGAATGCGACACAACTCGTCGGATTCTTCTCAGACGCTTATCGGGTCGTCCAGCCCCTGCCCTCGGCTCACTTTTCTCACATAATTTACCACACGGCTAGGTACTTTCTTTTTTGGACCTCTAATTGAGAACGAAGCTCGAAGTGCAATTTTCCAATTTTGTTCTAGTCTTTGTTTAGAGGATATCAATGTAGTTATACTGAAAAGTAAACTTCAAAAAGAGGTCTCCTTTGAAAGATAAGCCGTCTGGTACAAAAATTTGAACATAAGTTCACCCAGATAATAACTTACTAAAAAACGTTTTTTTTTAAATAGATCATTTTTCGAGTAATGAAGCTTTAAAGTTTGCGAAATACGCAAACTGTGATCAAAAGTTCAACCGGATATAAAAAACGTTTCCTAGTAAGTTGATTGGTTTAAAAACTTTCCACTATTATATAAAATGTTTGAGGAACGCGCAAAACTTACCAAGTCAAGGCCTATCAACAGCTCCCTACCTTGTTATGTTCGTCATAACTAGAGGAGCTATAGACGACCTCAAAGAAACAGTTCAAGCCGCCATTTTCGCCTCCAAAGCCCCCATGTCCGTAGTTTTTGTCGGTGAGTCTTCTGACGTTTTCTGCTAGACGTTCCAAGCCATAATTCTCAAATCAAATCGAATAAAATTGTTTCCAGGTGTCGGTTGCGAGGGACTCGACGATATAGAACGGATCGGCAGCGCCGGCAAAAGACTTGAGTACCAGGGAAGAAAAATTGAGCGCGAGAGCCTCCATTTCGTTAATGTCACCAAAACACGGCTGGAGAACGAGGATCCAGCAGAGGCGGCCAATGTCTTTGTCGAAAAAGCATTGTATCAGGTAGCCTTCCTGTAGTTTCCACGAGGAAGAGAGAGCTCTGCAGATTCCCAGACAAATGTGTTCCTTCATGATGCAAAGTAATGTTCTGCCAGTGAAGACAGGCGAAGATGGACCAGATGTCAGCTTTTCGATAGCTTTCTTAAGCTCAAAAAGGAGTTACAGACTTCTCAAAGACCGTCTTCGTCAGCTAGTCGCCACAGTCTCAAAGATTTCGACACTTTCCGTCGTTTTGACGGCGCTAGCAGAAGGGAAAACAGTTTTTCACAGGAGCTGCTCCCATCGCCTGAAGAAAGCTTCTCGACAAGTTCGCCAAGGAATCGGACAGCTCTTCTTGGATCGAATTGGAATCCGGAGTGAGTAGCATTATATTCAAGTTAATTCTCTAACCTGATCAAAGACCAAACATTTTTGTTACAGATTTTTTGAATGGTTTGAAATTTAATAAAACATTTTTGAACAGAATTTTCAAATTTTTGCACGAACCTCCTCATTTTGCGCTTTGAGAGAATCTTTCCTTCAGGGGCTCCAGACGTACTCCAATGGACTTGAGGTCGCTGTCGATCAGCGAAACCGGTCCACAGACCCGCAGATATTCCTGAAGGACCTGCCAGACGTGTCCCACCGTGCCTTTTCCGAGTGGCGTCAACTCCTGAAAATGGAAAATCTTTTTCCTTCTAATATTGTTATCAATTTTGAAAAAGACTTCTCAAATGTCATTATCTCTAAAAAAACTAGTTGAATGAATTATTTTTTTCTCGATTGAATTTTTGATTGCGCTTTTTGGTCCAATTGAAGTATATTTTGACAACTTCAACAATCGTGGCTTGTAAAAGTGGTGAGCCTCTTTCTATAATAACTTTGAATTAAAAAAATTCAAAATTTTTTTGAGAGTTGAGCTTTTTGAACTGCATTTCTCTTGAAGCACCAAAAGCCTTTTAGAACCTTCGATAGCGGTCCTCAGTGAGGCCATGTACTGCAGAACTGCGGCGACCAGACTTGGTACAGTGCAGTGCGCCGACCACGCTGCCGCAATGTTTCCAATCAACTCAAGTCTAGATCGATAGTTCCATTCTGCCCGTTTTTTTTCTCCGGTCCCGATTACACCAGCAGTTCGCGTCACATTTGTCTCTGATTTTCCTTGATCATGCTGTTTTCATTTCGTCCACTGATACGACAAAACTGTGAAAGAAAACTCCTAAAATTATTTGAAAAATTCCAAGTTTTCCTATTATTTTATCGAGTTCAAGCCTACAAAAATAAAACATTGATAGGTTATGAACTGGCAGTTAAAATAATAACTAAATTTTAAAAAAGTATTTGCTCAAAGATATTTGATCAGTCAAAAATTGGTTTGGGTTTTTATGCTCATTCGTGTGTCAAACAGTATTGTATTTCAAATTGCGAAAAATTCCACATTTCTCGAAGTTTCCTATTGAAAAATCTGGAATACAACGCAAATTGGAAAAAATTGCAATTTCTTTTGTTGGAACTACTAAGAAAAGTGTGAAGCAATGTTATCGATATGACTTCATTTTGAAAAAAAAAATGATAATAATTTGTTGAATCTAACTTGTTAACAGGGGAAAAGTAACAGCGCTTAATCATGGCTATAAAAGAAAGTCGTACAAAAGCCTTGATGTCGGAAATATCTTCCAAAAGAGAAGATGAAAGTTAACTGTTGGTAGTCATGTGACGCTGGGCCAGTCTTCTTCCATCGCAGAATCGGAAATCAATTCCATTGTTCGCCCCGTAATCGTTGATCGTCCTTGTTGACTTTTCTCTTTGATTTCATGCCTGTGTCATCGCTAAATACCCAAAACACACCTTTTTCCATTCTCCCAACTTCTTTTTGTCCATTTAGAGAAGCTGATTCCAGGGAACAATTTATATAACTCGTTTTTTATTTTTCTTTATTTTCCATCTGAAAAGTTTCGTGGAAAATAATGAATTGAGAGGTCGACCTCTTCGCGATTTCCTGGTCAAAAAAAGAATTATCGATTGCTACAGTCCGCCTATGGAAACTCGTCAAACGGTTGTCATAGGTTTCCAAACTTTTATTTAAGAAAAACTTGAGATTTTCAGATTCTGATAGCGAAAATGAAGAAAACGGAGCCAGCACAGCAAATGACAACGATGTTTGTCGGGTAAGTAACTTAGTTCTTACTTACAAAAAAACGAGTTTTTTTCTCAAAAAGTTTTTGTTTAAAAAAACTGTTCTGAAAAACATTTTTAAACAGCTCGCCTCTTTTATCTCTGAACCTCCGTTTCCAAATTTTGAACGCTGAGTTCACGTGATATGAAATGATTCGTTTAATCAGACAGTAAATCTCCCGAAATTCGGGACTAACAGACGGCCTCTTCGCCTGACGTTTCCGGCTAACAAACTTTTTTTCAAAGCAAAAAAACTTCCAGGTTTGCGGAGGAGCAAACGCAGCGATGCACTACGGCGCCCTGAGTTGCGTCGGCTGCAAAGGATTCTTCAGAAGAGCTCTAATGAAGGCTGACCAGCTCGAGTGCAACGCCAAAGGCGCCTGTCTTGTCAGCAAAAACCGTAGGTCCACCGAAACCTCAACCAGATCCTCGATGTTCAGAAAGAACTCAGTGCCGAAGTTGTCGTTTTAACAAGTGCCTTCGCGAGGGAATGAAGCCTGCGTGTGAGCTTTCTAGAAATTATAAAGTGTGAATCTGCCCATAAAATGCTTGAATTGGTCACATATACTCAAATCGAGAATTCAGATGTCCGCCCAAACAGAGATTTGCCTCCACGGCCACGAAAGAACGCCTCTCCTGTAGAGGCATTTACGTGTGAAGTTAAAAAAGACCGGCGAGATGAGTGGATCAAAAAAATGACGGTCGAGATGCGAACTGTGCTCATGACTCTTCTTAATATCGAAGCAAAAGTGTTCAAGGTAAGCGGCTGAACTTGACCAGCATTTACGAAGTGAAGGGAGACACGAGTATGGATGCGTCGCAAATCTATCCTCTCAAAAGCCTGCAAACGCTTAGAGAAATTGTCGAAAATCCCTCAACGCTCAGAGGAAAACGATCTGAAGTTTGTCTTCGATGAAACTAGATAAAACACTGAAGTTTTCAGATGAGGTACGAGCCCTACCGAATGGCTAAGAATGAGGAACTTTCTTCTATTGCATACCGTCGCCTAATCGCCGCCGTAGATTGGATCGAAAATCTTGCGCCTTTACTCGGTCACTTGTCTGTCGAAGACAAGGTTTATTTTATTTTTAGAAAAATTTTCAAGAAAACCCAGTTCAGCTGGCTTTGATAAAAAACGCCTTCGCTCCACTGATGGTCTTCAATTTCGCGGCTCGTACGGCAATCATCAGCCAGGACAAAGACGTTCTTTGCCTTTGCAACTTTTCCTATGTTCCTCGGAACATGTCAAAGCTCTATCCAGACGCCTAGTGAGTCTGAGCAGAAGTCCTTTTCTGGCTTTGACGGCTGAAACCGACAGAAATTTAGCCATCTTGGGAATGGTCTTGTCAATCGCGCACTCGACGAACTAGTGGCTCCGTTTCGCGAGTACAAAATGAAAGAAGAGGAAATCGTTTGCGTAAACGCTTTGATTTGCCTCAATCCTTGTGCGTTTTTTTTAATTGTTTCGATATTTGATTTGCGTTCAGTAGCCAGAGATCTCTCTCCAGGAGTTTTTGAGAAAGTTTTGGAACTGCGCAACCGGGTCCAAGATTGCCTTTATTCGATAATGAAAGAAGTACGCATGAGTCCCCATCCGAGTGTCTGCTTTGGACACATCCTTCTCTCTCTTCCTACTGTCACGGTAAACCTTCAAAACTGAGAAATTACCGTTATTTCTGGTGCAGCTTCTTGCCAATGCCATGTGCGAGAACCTCCAGTTTTCGCAAACTTTTTCATCGCAAGGAAGCATTCCTCTCCTCACGGATATGTTCGGGTAAACCTTTTATTTCCTATCTTCATGAGTTTTGACTTTCCTCGTTATTATACCTCAAAACGTTTATTTTTATGAAACAGGTTCACAACTTCGTTTAAACACTTCACATTGAAAAATCGAATTCGCAATCTAATGGATTCAGGTGCTTTGTCGTGGAGCCTTTTGACTATGGCACAGCTTCTGGCATGGAGCAACTAACGTTGGAAGCCTCGACGAACGTCAAACACGTCGGTACTCAAACTGAACGACTTCCGCAGGCTCAGAAACGCCGTGCTGACATCAGCGCCGTCGAAGAAGAGCCCCCCGTGCGGCAGCATTTCCGCCTTCTTCACGCGCCTACAAATTTCACGATCACTGAAATTCTTGACGATCTCAAGGTGCTCCATCATCTTTTTTTCTGAAAAAGCTCTTTTGAGCTTGCAGAACGGAATCGAATGCTTCGAAACACCTGTCTATCAAACAATGGAAACAGCTTCGACGTCCTCCAATGCGACGCCGCCATCCTCTTCTGCCAACAACGACAAGCACCACCATCCAACATCGTTTCAGCCCAACACTTCACAAAACTTCTGTTTTCCGCAGCAGCATGCTCAAAGTTATAGCATCTCATCTGGCTACCATGATTACTCCCTTCAGCCTGGGTATCCGTACTATCAACCACCATTCCAAGACACTTACCTTGCCGTAAGTCTTTTTTTTTTTGAATTTTGTAAAAATATTCAAATCTTTTATAAAAACGCTGAACTCAAAAACAAAACTATTCTCGTAATTTCACACGCGCTCCGTAAAAAACTTTGGCTTGTCAGTGCTATTTATTTAGTGTGAAATATATTCGTGTAAAAAAGATAAGAAACTTCGGTGCAAAAAATTACGCTTTCGCTGGAGATTGCAATGCGGTATTGAAAAAAAAGTTCTAATACTCAAAACTGGATAACCGAAAATTGGAGAGAAAAAATGATAAGTCTCAGCCGCTACCGATGGCGCACGACTCCGTGTACGCCAATTACCAGCCATACTACAACGCGGACCCTTACGACGGATATCCTTGAAAGTGGCCGCAAAAATGTCATTTTTCGTTGTTACTATAAAATGACCTCCTTCACCAAGTGACCATTGCCACTTCACTCGATCCTTGCCTAGCTTCCCACAGGTGCATAATACTGTCAAATCTCACAAAATTTTAGTAGTTTCATGCTTGTTCTTTTCTATTTTGTCCGGGTTAGTTCCTCTATTCTCGTCATTTATGAATTTCCGCTAAACCTCTAGCAAGATTTTGTTTTTCCTAGAAAATAAATCGTGAAAAACAAATATATTCCTTTGAGAAATAAAAAAAAAACCCACAAATTAGCGGCGGTCGGCTGTCTCGCCGAACTGGTTCCCTGATTCGACCACAGCCGCAACGGCAACCTTTCCTCGAGAATAAGGCGCGGAAGGCGCCATGCGATTCTTCCTTTTGCTCGTTATTCTGATCAACTCTTCTCTGGTTGGTTCGTTTCAGTTGTTCCACAACTTAAAAAAATATTATTAAAAAAATATAGTTCAATGAACGACATTCAATTTAATGAACGAACGGTTTAGTAGCGCTATAGCCCGCCTCAAAGAATAACAGAAGATATTCACAATACTTCACAAAATTCAGAAAAATATTCAAAAAATCATCGAAGAGCAGAGAATAAAGCCAGTATGCACTGTTTGAACAGTATTGGGGTAAATAATAACTGTTTTACTTACGTAATAAAAATCATGGTTTTTGTTTTTAATTAAATTTTTGCGCGTTTGGTTGTAGAAATGCGTCGTTCTGCAACTTCGCGCATTTTAATCAGAAAAACTATCTCATGCACTGACGGCACGTGTTTGTTGCCAAAAGTGCGCCTACTGCGGGCACGCGCGGGGTCTCTTTTTTATTTTGCAGCTTTTTAACTAATATAAAGGTTATAAATTTAATATTTTATCATGTATGTTTATCTCTTATGATTTCTCTGCTCCACTTCAGAACAATCAGAACGCACAACAGTTCGAAATACCAAAATTTAACTTGCAAATTTATTTTCATAAATCTGTTCGAAATTGCTCGGAACAACTTTAAAACGTGAGCAGGAGCCCTGGGTATTAGAAAAATATAAAAAATATTTTTAAAATGTTTTTTTAAAGCCTCCGGTATTTGTACAGCTTGCCTCACGTAAATTGACAAGAGATTTATCATTAGGGCGCGCTAGCTCCCATCCCTGAGTTCATTTTTTTCTCTCTTAACTGTGAATTTTTTTATTTTTTTAAGTCATAAAATTTTTGAGTTTTTTGATTAGTGAGTGCTAATTTCGCTGAGCTATCCAATTATCACGAATTCATCAATCCATGTATATTGAAGCTCAAAAAACAAAATTCAATTTTTTTCTTTTTATTTTTTTGGGCGTCCCGACAGTCACTGCTTCTCCATGTAGGAACAGTACGGCGCCCAGCTTGTCCATCAACTTTTTTTCAGTTTCAAAGAAAACCTAGTTTCTGTTAACCTAAATATAATTTTTTTAACGTACCAAAGGCGTCACTGAAAAAAACTACTCTCAAAAATTTGAAACTTTGCGTTAAAAAGAAAAAAATATCTGAAGTGTAAAAAAACCCAGTGAACTAGAATCGATCATCTTTGCAGACTCTACAGTGGACATAGCATCAGAAATCATAAAGAAATTTGAGATGACAAAAGAAGATAACGCCGTATTCAAAGTAATTTCCGCGAATTTAAAATTTACAGTACTAATTTTTGTTTTGAAACAGTTTTCTTGTGTTTCGAAGCAATTTTTATTTTGTCCGATAAACATGCCATTGAATTTCGCGAAATCACTTTAAACCAGGCATGAAAAAGATCTCAGGCACTGGTGCGCGCACGCGCGGGGGTACTGATTCTTTTTTCGTATTTTCGATTGAAATACAGTTTCGAAATATATTTTTTACATTTTTGTATTACTACCCAGTGCCCCTGCTCACGTTTAAAAGTTGTTCCGAGCACTTTCGAACAAATTTATAAAAAAACATTGCCAAGTGAAATTTTGGCATTTCAAATTTTTGTGCGTTCTAATTCTTATAAACTCGAGCAGAGCAATTTTAAGAGATGAACAAACATGGAAAATATGAAATTCATAACTTTTTAATCAGTTAAAAAGCTAAAAAACAGAAGAGACACCCCGCGCGTGCGCGCAGCAGGCTCGCGCACTTTTGGCAACAAACACGCGCCGTCAGTGACTGAGATAGAAGAAAAAAAATTACTTAAAGAGGTGTGAAAAAGCGCGCTCCAATGATAAATCTCTTGTCGATTTACGTGAGGCAAGCTGTACAAATACCGGCCGGAGGCTGTTTTTTAATGGAAAAGACGAAAAATGTATCAGTACCCCACGCGTGCGCGCACCAATGTCTGCATATTTTGTAAGGTATATACCTTTGTGGATACACTATATGGTACCTTTTCGATTGGCCTATGGATTCACCAGTTTTGGGTCAACGGCTTCTTTTTTTTTGTATTTCAGAGTAAAAAAAAACTATAACGCACTTTTTCCTTTTTTTTTGTAGTTTACAATTAATTTTATTGCAATTTGAATTGAAATTGAGCACACCATAATTTAATAGGCGATCTTGAATCATCACGGGTAAAAAATGGATTCAAACAGCCGAAAAGCCGGTCTTCCTCATTTCTTGAGAAAGTGCCTGAGATATGCAAGATTTAAAATTCTGATCTTTGCTTTTTCGGAAGGATATCAGTATATTTCGTAAGAAAATTCTCTGTTTTGGGATTATCAATTTAAGTTCCTTAAGGCTTGAGCTTTAAAAAAAAAACTCGCTCACACAAAAAAAAAAATGGTTTCTATTATTCCAGCTATCGACACTGGCTCTATTAAAGTGAAAGTACGTTTCGAGAACATATCTGAACAGCGTCAGAAAGAGGTAAGTTGTTGAACTTTTTTTTTGATCTTCTAGGCGCTCAAGTCCAACTTATTATCTCTTTTTTTTGAGATATTCCGACAACTGAAGGTACGAGCTTTTAGTAGCCAGAGTGAAACTTACGAAATCGAATCCAAAGGACAGGTGATTTTTTTTATGAAAAAAAAAATGCTATGGCATCTTCTCATGGCAGAGCGCTTCTTGAAAAAAAGAGGCTCATAAGTAATTAAAAATGTTCTAATTAGAAGCTCCGACAATTTTTAATAAAAAAATCACTACTAATGGCAGTCTCGCCTTTTAAATGTTTATTTTATCGAGTTTTTGGAAATTTCGGTTTTCTGACACCAACTGGAGCACAGCTATCAAATATTACGCCGATGCGCCGAAATTCTTCAAAATTTTCTAAGTTCTAAGTATTTCGTTTTTGTCTTTTTTTAACTTTCTTTTTCTAGCTTTTTTTTCATATTATTAGTATGAATAAATACGATCAGTCCCTTCAATGTCTGTCAAAATTCTAATAAACATGAAAAATATTCAAAGAAGTCATTTTTTTCGTAGGACGTCGTATAAAAGATCAACTTTGGTCAGTTTGCAGGATACCAGCCAACCTCCTTCAGCCTCGAGAGAACCGCGACTTTACGAAATATACTCGTTAAGAGCTCCTAGCCGAAGTCTTTTCTTGAATGCTCTCAGGCGTTGGAAATCACCTGAGAAGAGTGATGAGGATGAGAAGCCAAAAGACAAAGCGAAAAAAGATGAGAAGTTGGAGGATGAAGCAGAGAAAACGGAAACTTTTCTCGACGATTACAAGCTTTTCTACGATGGGACTTCTAGAACATTCATCCTGAGGTCGAACTCAGGGAAAGTCGTTTCCACTACCCTTCCACCTGACCAAAACTTGACCGAAGTCTTTGCTCAAAACGAGTCGAATACTACCGAAGAAGAACAAGTCCTCTTGAAGGAGGTGCACGAAGAAGAAAAACCGACTGTAGACGGTCGCGTTGGTCCTGACTTTGAAATTTTCGGTGAGTTACTTTCAGAGACACTTTGAACGTTCTGATTTTTCAGAGACGGCCGTCGTGAAAAAATCGGCGATCCAAAGGGAACTCGTTCACACTTGGAGCGTCGACAAGCACATGATGGAGCGCGAGGAATTCGCTGTCGACATCTCGCACGAAGATTCCGTCGTCTGGAGAGAACGACTCCAGAATATCTCCATTCTGGAGCGTCGCGAGGCCAACGCTCACAGGTCGTTCCTCAGTCAGAACCATCCCAACTTTGACTTTGCAGAGACTATGGCAGCAGCTACATCATGCCGGTGCTCAACAGTGTCAACTACGATAACACTACTCTTCCTTTGGCCTTTTCAGGTTACTTTCCGAGAAGTACATAACTTGATTCCGTAAGCCAGATCAATCACTATTCATTATTTTAATCATAGTTTTATTTTTCAATAGGGGCAGCGCTAGGACGACTAGTCATTCATAAGAAATTCACGATCATTTTTTATCTTTCACAATTTTTTAAAGCGTGATCTCTTAAATTTTAAACGGTTTTTTCAATGGCGAACACAATTTTTAAGAAAATTGCCTGCGCAAGTTTATTCTGATTCACTGGCTTGCTGCCTTCAATTTTAAACGAGTTTCTCGGTCAGCTTTTTTTCAAATTTATATTAGACTTCTATTATTTCAAGATATTTTTCATTTTAGCCACTCCAATTTGACGCGGCAATACTAAAAAAGAAATTTTGTCGAGGAAATGAGCGAATTTGCTATGTGAATTAGCCTATATTCAAACTGCTGCAATATAAAAAATAAAATTAGTTTCACTATTCTCTTTGCTATAACTTAAACTATAATAAGAAACAATTTCGAGTGTTTCATGAGGAATTTGTTCATAAGCGACCTGTGAACCAGTAGTCAATGTTAAGTTGCTGGTTTCAGACATTCCGGTGAGTGTTTCCGTCGCATTCAACGTGCTATACCTGGCGAACTTCGACAGCCAACTCATGGAGTTCTCGATCGATCTCGAGATGGAGTTCAGCTGGTTCGACATGAGGTGAGGATCGAATCTGACAACAGCGAAAATTCGCACCCAGACTGGCCAACAACTACACCAAACCCATCAGAATCCGCGAGAAGCCCATAATAGACCAGATCTGGCGGCCCGACCCTTACATCGTCAACTCCAAGTACTCCTACCTGCACTACGTCTCGTTCCCCAACGTCCGGATGCGCATCACTCCGCAAGGACTCGTCACTTACACGATGCGGGTCTCCTCCGTCTGCAACTGCTTCATGCGTTTCTGCCTCTACCCGCACGACAGACAGACCTGCGACATGAAGATCAGTTCAAGTCCGCGCCAGACTTGCCTTCTTTGCAAACAACTTCTTCAGTTGCCTATTCTCGCGAGTTCCTTCAGTTCTACTGGCACTCAACTCCAGTCCGTTTCCAGTCGAAAATCACGTTGCCAGAGCTCCACGTCACCCGAATTACCACGGAGGGATGTAGCGTCGAGGGAAAATTGAGTGGGTTCTGAAGAAGTCTTTTGCTAAAGAAATCTCAGAACCAAAATTTCAAACCAGCGCAAAATCAATTACTTTTGACAAACTTATCAAAACCGACCGTTTGGTCAATATTCAAACAAAAGTTTCTGATCGATAATATGATTGTATGGAATTTAACATTCGACGTTTCAGAAAAATAAAAAAAAGTTTCAATTTTTTTTTACATTTTAAATTTGAATAGAAAAAAAACATTATTTTCTCACTGTGAAATGACCTGATAAAAATTCTTTTATCTATCTTAGTAGCAGAACTCTTTCGAAAAAAAAAAGTTCAATCATATTCCTCGAGCAGTTGAAGATAAAATTTTAGTGAAACTATGGATACATATTAGGTTTCATTAGTTTTTTTCAGTTTCAAATTTTGCATTTGAAAACACTATTTTGTTATGCGTTTTTGCAGTCAACTCCTCGTGTCTCCGGATGGTCTTTGCCCTCGAACGAGACAGTGCGCGATTCGTCGTGGAGAAGTAACTGAAAGGTCTCGGACCCTTCTTGATGTTACCGTTTCAGATACATTCCTTCAACTTTGGCCATGATGTTCGCTTGGGTGGCGCCTTATGTCCCATACAACTACGAAGACGTTCGCATCATCACGCCTATCACTGTAGGAGGCCTCCTTTCTGTCATTCAAACGGAAGCCAAAGTTCTCAATTCTTGACGAACAAAAAAGCTACTACAAAGCTTTAAATCAATCTTCCTTCATAAAATGGATAGGTACACTTCAAATCAACTGAGGTTTGAAAAAAAGCTTTCTCGTTACAGTCTTTCTAATTACCGAAATAAATTTCTAATATCGTCTTCCAAGAAGCCAGAGGAATTTCGATTTTGACATCAAAATTCAGCATAGAAGAAAAACGTAGTCAAAGTAAGCTTTAAGGGGCTCATTCGGGCTTGAAAATACGAAATTTTCATTTATTAGGAAATTGGAAAACGACAAAATTTTCATCAAGGTCTTCTTTGCTCATGGTTTTGGAGAGAATATTTAAATCTAATGTAGGTGCCAAAAGGTTGTTTCGTTGTGGGCGGGAAGATGACAGATTTGTATTGAATGGATTGGGCTAATAATGAGAAATGTTTGAGGTTCTTCTGACGCTCGTTCAAATGGAGAAGGGCGACAAAGAGATCAGGACGTCGTATCTGACCTCCATCGACGTTTGGTTCGCCGCGATGAAGTCCTTCACAGTGCTGTCCTTGCTGGAGAGCTTGTGTGTGATGGCGCTCATAAAAAGGTCGAGAGCCATGGTCTGACCGGAGGATCTCTTTTTGTCAAGGCTTAGGAAATTCAGGACAAGAACGCGCAGAAAGCGGCCAACGAGTTCGAGAAGGCCATGTGCCAGGCGGAAGGCAGACGGCTCAACCGTCTGTACCATCGCGTCGACTCCGTTTGTCGCTTTGCCTCGCCCATCGTCTTCGTCGTTTTTTTCGTCTACTACGTCCTATTCGTAGCCCAAGGCGCTGACGACTGCCTGCAACTTTGATATCGGTTTTTTTTTCTCTTATCAGTAATTTAATATCTGTGAAGCTATAAATATTTGTCCATAAAAATTGAGAAAATAAATTTTACTGTATGAAATACAAAAAAAGAACTCTATTTGAAAATTTGTTCTTGATTGTTCTTTTTTGTGATCAACGACATAGTAAGATTTGACTCTTTCACCGTTTTTCAGGGACATTTCATTTCCTCTATGAGTTCAAAATTGATTTCAATTTTTTTTCAACTAGATCTTTTTTTCCAAGCTTTGAGAATAATCAAAAAGAAGCTGTGAGATTTTGAAGGCTTTTTCTTATGAAAACCTCACAGGAGTTCATTCATTAATTTTCGAATAAATTTTATTTTGCATAAAAATCTTCAGCAGCAGATTCGCACAATCTCAAATAAATTCAGATTCTTTGCGACCCACTTTCAAATCAATTCCCACTTCTTATTCTTAATTTTGAGATCTGGCAGGATTGCTCTGAATTAAAGACTTGTTTGTTCTCATCTTATCTCAAATCGATTGCATCTTGATATAACGATCGCCTCCATCAGATATCGGAGCAGGAAAACGCGAGTGCGGCTGTTTGGCTACATTTTGTGGGCCACTTCCGATCATTTCTAACATTTCACGCCCATCAACCGCTTTTTGCGTCTTGGCGTTGTGTCCCACGTGTTTTTCTTCATTTCCTAGCATCTTTGGCGTCTCCTCGAGGTCATCCGCACTTTGCCATGTCACGGTTGGTTTGTTTTATGATTTTAGTTTAGATAATGTTCGAGAATATATCTAGAATCAGAATTTTATTATGTACACGCGAGTCTGTTTTTATCAGACGCTCAAACATCCACTGAAACAATTTCCTTTTCAATAAATACATAAAGCTTCAAAACTAGGCAACTTCTTATGATTTTTTTTCTCAAAATTTTAGGCTGTTCGTCCAATAAAACAGTTATTTATTCCAAAAAGTTAAATTAATTATAAGTTTATTTGTTTTACTTTGATGTTCACAGTTATTTCCTGGTAAATTTTAGAGAAAGGCCAAGAGCAACTGAAAATAGCCGATTTCTTCATGAACTTATTTCTTGATAAACTAAAACTTTCAAATTCATTTTTTTAGAGTCAAAAAGTTAATGGATAAGTGTTTTTTTCGAGTAATTGGACTGTCGGCAGCGTTTCTGAAATTAAAAATAGAATTGGAGGTGGTGTTTAAAGATATTTGAATGTTGAAAAGATATTTTTCGGAAAATTTTATTTATTAAGATTTTTTTCTCAATCTAAACGAGAGAGTTGTATTGAACCATGAAGTGAACTTTAAAAAAAATGGAAGATTGAAATTAGTTGCTGGACTGTTTTTTTAAAGTTGAATATTTGGCGATTCTAAGAGTACAGGTCTGGGAGCTCCTCGCGGCTGCCGACGAGCTCGCAACGCAGCGCCGCCGAGGTGCCAGGTAGCAGTTGGCCGAATCCGACGCTTTCCTTGGTGGCTCTCGTCGTTTCCCTCGGTTCTATCAGCAGAAAGACGTTTTTCAAAGAGGGCTTCAGGCGGAGGGTTCAACTTTTGCTACCAGCTTCTGATCACAAACTCCTCGGAAGAGGCTTTTCTGCGCTTCACAGCCGCGTCGCACCGTCGACTGCACGGTTCTTCTGTCGTATTTAGCGACGAGGAGATCCATGTATGGCCAAAAAGTTTTTTTTTCTCATGAAAGAAGTTTCAGAATTTGTGGGGAATCATTCTAGCGATTCTGTTTTGGGGATCCACTGTTGGCGCTTTTTTCATCCAGGTATTATTGAGAAACGTTTTTGTGGTTAAACCTAATTGGCCAGAACTTGAAACAATCTGACTTCTCTGTGAATTTATTTTTTTCTGTTCGTAAATACTGCTCCCATTGTTGTATGACTTCAAGATGAAGAAGATGAAAACGTAAAAAAATTCTGACTAATTGTCAACATTTCAAAAAAATTTGAGTTTTTTGTGCGAACATAGAATGTAAAATGATTCTCCAGAAGCAGTAATCAAAAAACTTCGTCAAAATTTTCACGTTGCTACAGGTGATCGGAGAGAAATTGGGACGGAAAAATGGAATAATATTTTCTTTCCTTCTGGAGATCGCGGCGATCGTTGCCACGCTGATCAGTTGGTGGGTGAGTCCTTGCGGGGCAGTGTGTTCGAAGACGTCGCAAGTTCAGATCGAGAACTACATCCTGTACGCGGCCGCGCGATTCGTTCTGGGCGGAGCGATCAGCATCTCCGTCGGCATCGCTCCGATGTTCATCACCGAGTGTAGTCCTGCCTCCTGTCGAGGAATCATCTCCCTCGCCACGGCCATCATGATGCAGATCGCTCTTGTCGTGGGGGCCGTCGTCGCCATGCCCGAAGTCGGTTTCTCTTTGGTTTTCGGCAGCTTTCCATCTGTCTATTCAGGTTTGGGGGTTGGAGAAAGACTGGTGGCGCATGTACGCCTTGGAGTTGCTCATCCTGATTCCAGTCACAATAGCGACGTGTTTTTTCAGAGAGTCACCGAGGTAAGTATTGGAAGTCGACTTCGAACGCACAATTTGCAGCTTTCTCACATCTCGCGGTAAAAACGAAGAGGCCATGAAGAGCATCGAGTTCTACCATGGAGTCCAGAGAGAAGAAGCCTCTAAGTTACTCGAAGAAAATCATGAAGCCACGAAAGACGAGACCAAAGAACCATTGGGACTTTTTGGAATTTTCGGAGTAAGAGCTCGAAAAAGCCTCACAGTGATGACTCGATTGCAGGACGCTCCGGCGCGTCGCGGAATGCTCCTAGGCAACGTCATCATGTTCGGAATGTGCATGTGCGGCATAATCGGTAAGTCATCTCCCAGTTTCTCATGGACATTATCTGACAGCCATAAACGCGTTTGCCTACAAACTTCTTCTGCGAGTCGGTTTCGCTCCTCTGGAGGCGTCGATTGGCAACGCGGTCATCTGCGCCATGACTGTCGTGAGTCCTGAGAATAGTTGTGCACATCCAATCCGCACAGTTGGGCGTCTTGTTGTCGTCGTTGTTCATCGAGAGATACGGACGTCGCAGTCTTCTACTCGTCACATTCACTTCTTTAGCTGTTATCAACGTGATAATCTACGCATGCATGTTGATCTTCGAGCATAATCAGGTCGGAAATCGTATGATTGTTTGCTAATGATTGACACAGTTGCTAGAAAACCTGATCCTTGAACACTACTTTTCAAGAAAAAGAGCAACTGATAGACGGAATCGTATTGTCGTAGAACCTCCACAGAACACTAAATGAGTCAAAAAAAAACTCAAAAATAGGAAAGAAAGGTAGAGTATAGTCCATATCAACTTAGAAGGGGAGGGAGGCGGAAGAGCGCGGGACGCGTAGCGTGTGCGTGCGCGGGCCGTGACGCGAGTTCATTTCAAGCGCCACCGACAGTTCAAACTACACTCACATGCTGAGGAGGTTAACCCAGTCATGCTAAAGGGGTCTCAGCGGGTGCCCCGTATTAAACCCGTATAAGCACAGTTAGTAGAACTTTTGGCAATTTTTACCCCAGCTGAGATCCCGTTTTAGCACAGCTGGGTTACATATTTTTCTTACACCCGTTGCTCCCCCGTTTTAGCCCAAATGAGACTAAAATAACCTCAGAAACATGGGTTTACACCCGTAAAAAAAAAAACTTGAGACACTTGGTCACTTTGCGAGTAGATTGGAAACGGTGAAGTATTACGTAAGCGACGCGGCTTTCGGTGGGAAACTCGAAATCACCTGCGAGCCATCCTTTTTTCTATGTTTTCCTGCTTTTTTTTTAATTTTTGTGGTTTTGAAAATCGTAGTTAAATGAATATAAGTATAAAAACATTAAAAATATCATTTTCTTCACAATTTTTCTATGTTTGTGTTTGACCTCGAGGTTTTTGTTTGCCAAAAAGCCACGTCGCGTATGCAACGCTTCACACTTGCCAATTTACCCATCTCACATTTCAAGTCGGAAAAAATTGACTATATTCTTAATTGAATTATATGTAGGGACCGCAAGGCCACACCCCTCGCTGACCAAAAAAACGTCGTATATTTCGTTGCATTTTTTTGACATTTCATTGTTGTTTATGCAGTTTCCCTGAACCGTTTTGGGGAAAAAAATTGAGGGAAACATACAATCGGCTATGCTCTACAATTCTACATAGAAGAAATAGCTGTAAATAAAAAAAGGATTGGTTAAAATGACGTTTTTTCGCGACGCCTTTGTGCGAAAAAGTGGAAAAACGTTGAATACTTACAATCCAGCTCGTAGGCAAGTTATTTTTTTTTCTTATTTTGTTAAGCATGTAAAAACACACCATATAAGTAAAAATAAAAAGATTCCTGCTTGTGCTTTCAAATATCGAAGCGTCGGAAAATCGCAACTTTCAAAATTTGGGAACTTTGGCATTTTCCGCGAAACATCGTAAAAATTTTTTTTGAACTGTTCTCTATAAATTTTTAAAACGTTTTAAAAAAATAAAAAAACAAAACTTTCATTCCAACCTTAATTTTTAAAAAAATAAGTTTTGATTTTTTTGATTTTTTTGAAACACTTGGGAAAGTGTTTTAGCCGTCGTAGGCAAATTATTTTTTTCTTATTTTTGATTTGATTTACTTTTTTTCTTCAGCATAGTCAAAAAAATAAAAAAATCCTGCTCGTGCTTTCAAAAATTTGATTCATTCGAACAATAAAAAAACAGCGTCCTGCATTTGCGCGTTGGCGAAAATTGTGCATTCGACCGACCCACGAAAAATTCCGAATTCGCGATGTTTTTCAAAGCAAAAAAATAGCGTAAAACTTTTTTTGAAATGAGTCAAAACGTTCAGTAATGTAATTCGGAAAAACAAAATAGAACTTCACATGCTTTTTCCAGAACAAAAAAATTATTTTAGTCTCGCCAAACTCCCACTACCAGGATTCCACTGGAAAAACACGTTCAAAGTCGGGAAATTCACCTGAATAAGACATAAAAAGTGGATTTTTAATGAGTTGAGCGCATTTAAAAAGTGCTGTATTGCTACAAGAATGGTTATAAAAAGTCATTAATAATTAATTTATTCGTGTTTCTATGGATTCACAACCTCTTTATTGGTTCCGAATTCTGAATCGAATCTTGTTTCAGGGAGAATTTGCGTTTATCCATGCTTCCTAATGATATTTTAACAGTTTTGAACATCAAAAGCATTGAAAACTCCGTAAATATTAATTTTGCTTTTTTTGCCGTTGAAAATCGTTCAACTTCTTCTTTTTCAGTGTTTATTTTTGCTGGTCCTCATCTTTGGACATTGTTCTATCATTTCCAATAATGAAAAACTATCATTAGTGAGTTTTAGTGCCAAAAAAATTAACAAGAAACTTTTTCTCTAATTTTTTTACTGGTCTTTGAGAGCGCGGCGCACCCTTGCAACGCCCACTTTTTTTCGCGACCTCGACCAAATTTTTCTACAGAGAATTGAAATCGCGAAACGCGCGCTTTAATGGCTGTAACTTCGTTTAGAGTCAATATTTTTTTCCAAGATCTCTTTTTTTAAAAAGTTGCCAGGACTATGAAGTACACGGTCATATGAAAATCATTTAAATCTGATGGTTTCTAGAAAACTGCCTGCGGTCCCTAATTATATGAACTTGAAAAATCGACAAAAAAAAACTTCTATCGGAACTAGAACTATTCAGACGTTTAAAAAAGGGATTTCAGAGCAAGGCGCTCGGTTGGGCCGTCGTCATTTCGATTTGCATCTTCAATGTGATATTCTCGACCGGCCCCGCTCCGATCTCGTTTTTCATCACTGGAGAACTTGTGTCTCAGCCAGGCCGAGCTGCAGCCTGCACTTGGGTCATCGTCATGCTCAACGCCTCGTCCGTTTTGTGCAACCTGTTCTTCTTCATTTCTGTGCCTTCAGGCGTTCAATCGTCTTGGCGATTTACAATCCGCTGGAGAAGCTCGTCGGCGGCCCTAGTTCCTACTTTCTACTCTTCTTCCCTCCTTGCGTCCTTGTTGTCGTCATTTTGTACTATTATCTACCGGAGACCAGAGGAAAATCTCCTGAAGAGGTTAGTCAAACCTTCTCAACTTTCGGCTCAGCCTCATTGAATTATCAGGCCGCAGAAGACACTGCTTACCTCCCTAAACTTTGCGGCCAAAGAGAAACATCAGAAGAGGATTCCGCATAAAATTCAGCTTTGAAATCATAACATTATATTACTGAAGTTCGTAAATTTCAAACGAATAAAAATTTTATCAGCGAAGCACGTCTCATTGGTTTTTCTTCTGCTCGATTGGGTTGAAATAGACGACTTTCTTGTCCTCCTTGCGCATGTTCTGACTGATCGCCTGCGTCGAGGCCACCATCGTCCCCGAGCAACGGCTTCTACAATACCAAGCAGAAGGTGAAAATCTCTATCAGAATCATCTCAGCCGTTCTTACCAAGTCAAACTCACCCAATCAAAACGCTTGCCAACGTGTGCGGCAGAACATCTTCTGCCGGTTTTTTGTAGGCGAATGGAACCTCCTCTTGGGGCGAACAAAGCATCGTATTGAGTACTTCGCAGTGTCTCTCCAACAAATATTCAGCCTACGGAAAAATAAGAGGATAAAATAAATTTTAGATCTGTTGAAGCGTCCTAGCTTAAGTCTCAACCAGGTTTTTGAAAAAAACTTTCTTCTCCATCAGAATATCCTGGGGTAAATAGGAGAAAACTCATCAATAAACGCACTTTTACAATTTCGTTCAAAGAGGTGAAAGCTGGAAAATGCAGCCAGCGATCTTCTTTCAAATCAAATAAATATCACTATCTAGTCTTGAATTAGTTTGAAGAAAAACCGACCTCGAAATCGTCAGGATCTTCTCCGAACGGATTCACTATCACTTGACTGATCCGCAGCCAGGCGATGTACAGAACGTTTAGAAAACAATTACTAATACCTTGAACTATTATTGCCTCAGCATGAGAATTAGTTTTATACCTGTAATAAATGATTATTTTCAGCGATTATAAGAAGTGAAAACTAACTGCAAAATTATACGAGACTGTAGTCGAAAAATATTACCGAAAAGCGTACAATAAACAAAAAAAGTAATCGTCTGAAATATTAAATTTGAATACTTGGATCATTGCTGGAACGTTTCATAAGCAAATAAAAACGACTTTTTGGAACATTTTTTTGGGAAAAAAATTGAGGAAAAAAAACAAACAGTCTAAATTTACTGAGCGTGACTAGTTTCGTCTTTTTAAACCTTTTTTTGACGATCAGTTTTTATATGGAAAAATTATTTTTCCAGATACTTGGTTCCATTCCAAACTGTTAAAAAAATTCAAATTTTTCTGAATAGAATCTTCGTGAAAACCAGAATTTTTTTTTCTTTTCCTCTTACAAAAGCCGTTCTTTTTTTTAACTTTTTAACAAACCTGAGTCAAAGCCAATGGAAGAGGCACCCAGTCGTAAGATAAAATGTCTCCGAGTGTCCCCCGTGTTGATATTATCTGAAGAAGCTCCAGAAAAAAACTCCAACCAGCAAAAAAGAGAATCTAGAGAAACCTACTTCTTCTACAAATTGATCATAACCTTCCTCTGTCATGACACTTGCTTTTTTATTTTGCTTTCTGAAACGAAAGAGATTAGGTAACATCAAAATGCAAGATAGGCAATGAGGAATTCGAGGCATAATTTATCAGAAATGTGCTATTCGCGAGTTTTCTCGCTTATAATTGACTAAATTAATCTATTTTTTTATGGTCTCAGATTCGCCATCTCCCCCTGCCGAACTAGGGGGGTCGAAAAATGAAAACCTTTGGAAGGGAACTGAATATGATTTGGAGGGCGAGTTCTGAGTCTAAAATTGCCCCCCTCCCCCTTACCCTAACAGTATGAAGTAAAGACTGAATTCAGAAGGCTTAGGCAATCTTCGAGAGCGCCCCCCCCAACTTTGAAACAAGCACTGCAAGCCTTGTCCTTATTAGCCCACCCCCTAATCATTTAAGGTTCCGTGTGCGAATCTGCAAAATGCGTGAAAACTCCTAACAAACTTTGCAAGCTTCCTCTTCTTTTCTGCAAGGCAAAATATAGAAAACCAAACCTGTAACGTTTTTTAACGATTTGAAGGATCCACAGAAAAGGGATCCAGTAATGGCATGCGGTTCTTTTCATCCGCGAGCTACGCATCAGGGAGAGTTCCTGGCTGGAAGAGGTTGACCGTGGAAATAGAGGGAGCGAGACCTCGTGAGAAGGCCGCACTCGACGATCTTCTCCATGGTGGGGAACCAGTGGATCCGGATGTTGCTGGAGACGTCACGCAGCAGAAGAATGTAGGCGAGCATCAGGTAACGCACAATAGTTCTCCGGATCCGCAACGCGACGTTCGGCGAAACCTCAAGAAATTTTGGAATTGCCACGAAGACAACAAAGAAGCACGGCGCTGTCTTTGAAGTGCACGTTGAACATCATGGCGACGTTCTCCGGCCAGACTAGAAGTCCGAAGGTGGCGTGCCAGCGCGTCAAGTTGGTAGACGTCGAGAAGGAGAGCAGGAAGATGAGCGTCATTTCGATGGGCAAAGAGTCCATTTTATACAGAAAACGCTTGTAAGCGTCATCAAACGAACTGTCCTGATGGAGTATTGAAACGGAGTTGGAGTGGAAAAGACAGAAACCTTGACGATGAACAGGTAAATGCAGCTGGCGAAAGCGTTGAGGAGAATCCAGACGACGCTTTCGCGGTAGATCAGCTGCCAGACGCTGCCGTGCCATCGCAGAAGCAGCCTCACCACAGTTGTAGCTGTACTATACGAGCTTCTTTTCGTTGAAGTTCAAGCTCTAACCATTGGCCGTCGCTGCTGCCAACGAATAACCCACAGTCATTTAGAAATGATTTTCTTGCAACGCGAACACTTTTTTTTTGTTGGGCGAACCCATTTTTTATTAGGATTTTTTTTCATCGAGTAAATACAATTCCAGGATAGATAAAAGTGTAATGAAAAACATCAAACAACACAAAGTTTATACATTTTTTAAGGCGGAGAACAGAGTCATGTGGATTGATCAGTTTGTACTGAATCAGTTTGATTGAGGAAAAAGTGAGAGAAGCTGGCATTTAATAGAAAGGTCCACGAAACCATTACGAACAGCTGTTCTTTGGTTGAGTTGCTTGGAAAAACTATCAATGATCAAACTGTGAAATATGCGCAAGGGAAAAATTGACTTTTTTCAGTTTGAGACCAAAATTGAATAGACGTAGACGTGAGTGGTATTCATACGACCAGAAAAGTTAGGAAAGAGTGCTGATTTTGACTATACTATGGGAAATAGTTCAACGCAAACATGTCGAAATAAACTTGAAAATTCTACTTTGTTGTTAAACGATTTCCCAGAGTTTTCAATAAGAGATGTGGAACCCATTTTAGTTTGTATTCTCAGTAATAGCTCTATTTGATGCAGATCAAAACGTTAACATTTGACGCGTAGGAGAGTGGGGAGGAGTTGGGAAAAGAAAGACGTATCTTCTATGTCTACTCATCACAGAAAATGGCCGAGTATTCGTGAGGCGCCTTGATCCCGGCAGTTTCAATAGGCCGCCACGCCGACTACTCAATTTTAAATTTTTTTTTTGTTTGTTATGAATGCTGGATTTTTGAGAGCAGTCGACGGGTTTCCACAAAGGGACAAAAACAGTAACGAATAAATACCGCGAATAAGACGCTGAGTGTACCTGATGCACCAATCACTGACAATTGCAACCGAATATGAGAAAAATTTGAATTGGTTGAAAAATATGCTGTTCCTCAAGTTTTAGGGAGAAGAAAGAAAAGAAGGAAACTGTGGGAAAAGAAAGCTAGTGAATAGAAACTAAAATCAAGAAAGGGGTTTCAAATTTGCAAAACTCTGACAACAGATATAATTTGGCAATGATTATTCACAAGTGGAAGGAATACCATTAAAAAAAAACAGCGCCCCGAGATAAGAAGGATTTGCACTTCTAAAATTATTTTCCGAATGGAACAAGCGAAACGTACACGAAGGCATCGAGTTTGAATCAATCGATCATCGGGCACTCAAAAAGAGAGAGAAAAAACAGGAAAAAGGAAAAAAAGTTCTAAGAACAGTTCTGCAAAAAATAATGTTACACTTATCCTTAACTAGTTTGAATGGTTCAAAAATCACAACTTGAAGTTTTTGAGATGTGTATGGAAAGTATATATACCTAGTTTTCACTAGACAACAGTATATCACCAAGAACTAGGAATATCAAAAAAAAAAAGGAAAAGCTCTATAAACATTTGCAGCTGTAGGGGTATGGAAAATCAGAACTATCAAAAACACGATTGCCTTTAGGCCTTGAGAGGCAGAAAACAGATACACGCATTTGAGAAAATTTTGGAGTGACTCTTAATATCAAAATGACTAACATAATACTTTTGGAAGAACTTGGACACATAAGTGAAGAAAATGTTGTGGACGTAGACCTTTTGGGATGGACGAGGTTAAGTTTTTGACTATTTTCTTGCAAAATTGAATTCGGAAATCTGCAAAAAGTAGGGAAATTACTAACCGCTATGAACTTCTACTTGGTTTTCATGGCCCGAAAAAAGGTAGGACCGATGAAATCATGAACTTGAAATTACAATGGAAGAAACCCAGAAAACGTGATGAGGCAAGACGTGGGGGCTTAAAAGCATGGAGATGGAATCAGATCCAAATGAGCAAAATGAAGCGAGTCTCGTTAAGTGAATTGAATTGCGTTTACCTTACACAGATGAAGACTGTTTGTATATTACGAAACAACTGACTAGCTTTGGTGGCAAAAATATCTAGCAAACGTAATCAACGAATCTATGTGGAAAAGTGAAAGACATTCATGAGTTTCCTGTAGAGTAGAGTATTAGACTTCACTAAAAAGGAAGATTATCGAATAAAATGAAAAAGAAAACAATATTACAATATTATTAGAGGGAGTAAATGTTTCGAGTATCCAAAGGTTTTTTTTCATTTCTGAAACTCATCCCATAAACGTTAGTTTTGAGATTTACTTCCCATACAACAGTAGTTTCCCCGTATGATTGTAAAATAAAGGAACAGGTTAATATAGCACAATTTTGTCACCCGGAGATGCAAAAGCACAGAAGTTAAAGTGGTTTGAATAAAAATAGAACAAAAAAAAAGAAAAAAAAATGAACAAGATGTAAAAAAATGGAAAAAAAAAGTGAGAGGGGGAATTATTTGCAAGGGGATTTAATTGATACGGAGAGAGCTCAGACGAGAGCCAGTGAGCAAATCGGCAGTGCCAAATGGATCGTAATAGCGGATTCCAGAAGAGCCAGCAGACGCAGCAGACGACTGAGAAGTCGAAGAAGGCGCCGAAGAGACTTCCGGAGCGACCAGGTGAGTATTGAGACGGTCGCCGATCGATCCGATCCCTTCAAAGATACCTCGAATAGACGAGATTATGGCCACAGCAGGGGACGACTTCAAACCTGTCGAAGGAGAGAAGCGCTCGTAGTTGGTTGGGCTGCTGCTGTCGACACTCGGAGGACTCGCGGAGCCTCCAGAAGCTCGCGACGAAGAGCCACGAAGGCCTCCGCCGATGACGCCAGCTCCAGCAGCGCGGCCGCAGACGCACCCGCAAGTGCAGCCGCCACGTCCGAAGCCGTTCTCTGCAGACTCCGTCTGGATGGCGCGAGAGACCATTTGCTGCAAAGATTGTCGGTTTTTCAATAAAAATATTTTTTCTGCTTTTTTTCGAATTGTTGAAAAAAAAGCCTTCGGTGGCTAAACTATCCTCTCACACAATTGATAAACTGTTAGAAAAAACTTTCGTTTTATGTCTATTCTTCATTTTGACCTCTCGAATTTGTCATTATATGCGATCTCACGAACCTTATTTTGCAGACCAAGAAGAGAATTGATGGATCCGTTTCCAATTCCACCGCCACCCAAAAGGTCTCCGCCGATGCCGACCGAAGAAACGCCGTTGCTGCCACGGTTCGACCAGGTGGTAGGCGAGTACAAAGGACTCCAATGATCGTTGGTAGCGCTCGATGATATCTGAAAAAATATTGCAATTAGAGATGGATGGGGAAGTTTGAAAAACCTGAGAAATAGAAGACTGCGAGTCCCAGAGCGAAGCCGGCCGATTGTTCGAAAGAAGAGGACCACCGGCAGAACGAGCGTTGTTCACAGACGAGACGTTCTGGAAGCCAACCATCGGCTGGTGGGCCGACAGAGTCCGCGTAATGGATCTTGGTGCTCCATAATTGCGTTGGGCGTTTGGACGGAGGACGTCCAGCTCCGGGAAGTGCTGCAAAATTAGCCAATTGGACAGATACAAAGTTTCATCGACTGACCTGTTTCACAAACCCAGGATAGTCGTAGCGTGGAAGATTGCGACGAACCGACACATAAGTGCGATTGGGGAACAGGGCGAAGACCCAGTTGTGCGAGTTTATAATGTTCAAAAAGTCTTGACGTCCTGAAATATTCGTTTTAACAAATAATTCAGATAGAGGTACGGGAAAACTTTATCTCTCATCGCATACCCTTAATGTTCAGTGATAATAAATTTTTCTTTTTCTTTCTCTTGACTTTATAACAGTAGTTCTTCAAAAAACTGATCGAAGATTAATCCTAATACTTAGGATCGAAAATTGCTACCCCTTGGAATATTTTCGATTTCCTCTTCCTTATTTTGGGCTTGTAAAAATCAAGCTACTACTGATTCTATCTGAGTCGCGCTCATATTTGAAAAGTGAGACGTCAACATCCAATTATCAATTTGTTAACAGTATTTCCAGTCTCATTTTTTTGGAATATAATTGAAAACATCCTCCTACAGCACAGGTGTCCTTTTTGTAGAGGCCCTCTTTTCGAAGCATTACATTCAGACACTCAATTCTATTTCATTCCATTGGTCGATTGTGAGTCGATACACACCTTCGCCGATTTGGTCACGAATTTCTTGCTGAATATCTCCGTTGATGTAATAGTCGTAGAGAGACTGAATGGCGGTGGCTCCACCCCGACGAAGAAGATAGGATGCCAAGCGGAAAACGCACAAATACGTCGCAGGGTTCTGAATTTAATCTTGACTATAACGATTTTCTAATTTGATAAACATTTATCTCCCATGCATTACTTTTGGCATGCTCTCAAAATTAGAAAAAGTCAATTCAAATCGTTGCGCACCTGCAAAATGATGGTGTCGTCGTTTTGAAGGCGGAAGATGTGGGTGCGACGCTCGACGAACTGCCGACGTTTCAGAGACGAAGTGCCGACGTAGCGGAACAACTCATCGTCGCCGCAGTTGGACATTTGCGAGTGGAGACTGTAACCGGGACTTGCGATGTCTTGAGCCCGCATGAAAAACAGGCTACCTGCTCAGTTGGATCTGCTGAAGTCCGTGCCTCTGAAAAATGGCCAAAAGTGCAGGAATGGCACGCGCTTCGAGAGTTGGCGAGTAAGCGTCTTTCGCGTTTTGCGGTGTTGGCATCGCCTTCTCCAAGTCGACTTCTGGTGCGTTCGCGAACAGAACTTCGGCTTCCTGAAACTCGACAAAATATAAATTCTCGTTCTTTAAGGAAAAGCTACCGGTCCATAGATGGGCTGGACTAGCGTCGCTGTGTACTCGTTAGTTTCGTTCAAAGCTGCGTGGAAAGACAAGGTGAAACCGACTCTCAAGAACATTGGTCAGATCGTTGAGCATCTGCAAAAAGCTCATACTGAAAAGCCATGCGCAGCACGGTCCAAAACCTGATCGCAGAAGTCTTTCAACTGGAAAGATATGACCATCTTGTCTTTGCAGGTGATGAGTCCGGCCTTGGCGGATAGCCAGGTCAGGATTCCAAATCCCTGGATTGTTTCGGCTTTGGGCGCTTCGAGCGGCGCAGGCGGCATCATCTGCTGTTGAGCGAGCACGTTCCCGTGATTGTTGAATGTGCCGTTGCCCAAGATTCCCAGATTGTTCAGAGGACCTTAAAAAACAAAGAAGGCTTATGAGTGCGCTTCGAATTGACGGGTAGACAGTTTTATGTTATACATTAAAAATGTCAGTTCTTTGATAGCCTCACAAAAGTATTTAAATTGAAAAGTTCATTATTAACAATGGTATGTCTGTCTACAATCAGAGTATAATACATTGAGATACGTGAACAATTTTAGATAAAAGATTTCCAAGATTTTCTATGTTTTAGTCTACGTCAGTCAACGCGTCCGAATCTGCCGTTAATGGACTTGCCTAGTTACAACATTTCTTACTTGGAAAAAAAAGATCTTTTATACAAATTTGAACTAGTGCCTTTGATGTGCGGTTATACAACTCTAATCCGGACGAAGTTCACGACCAAATTTTTTCTTCTTAATTTACATATGCCATTTTCCGATTTTTATTAATTTATCATGTGACTTTTTTCACATCGAGATGACATTATAGAACGTTTCCTGAACCGCGTTCCAAGGGTCCTAGACATTTCTTCAATCTTTATTTTTCTTTGTGACAAGCGAGCGGCAAACCGGCTTCAATTCCTTTGAATTTTGAAAGTTTTTGCTTTCCTGACAGCTCAAGTTGCTCACCGGTTCCAAACTGCTGTTGAGCTGCGATGTTGGCCCACAGATTTGGGTGCTGAGGTGTAATTGGCTGTGGAGCGAACATTCCGGTCAATTCGAACGTCATCTTTGCTGATCTGGAGTCTTCACGCGAGCGTTCCGTCGAAACACTCTTTGAACGTGAAGCTTGCGGTGATTTTGTATCGAAATTGGCGCTGTTTTCTTTTTTGGTTTAACTTCTCTCGCTCACTGACGATCTTCCACGCTTTTTTCCATAGACGTGGAACTATCGCCTGAACATATTATCGATAAGGAAAAAAGTTAAGATCAAAAATACTGAAAACAAATTGATACGTAAAGAAATTGCAGAGTATAAAATAGGAAGAATAAAAGAACAGGGGGAAATTTTAAGGGAAGGGATTTAGGAAAGAGATTGGCAGAGGAACCAGTTCACAACTCGCGCATTGTCACTGTTGTGCGAGATCGTTGATTTGCACCAGCACTCGCACCATTCTCGTCTCGGAAGAGACACTGAGAGGAAAGAAAGAGAGGGTGCACGCTAATCAATATAACAAAGATGGGGGCTCGACCATGCTCACCTCGCTAGCGAACGGTCCTCCACTTAGGAACGCGATTAGGCACTAACTTATAGATTAGAAATATAAGAAAATGTGAGTTAATATATTTAGTCTTATTAAAAAAAGAGACTAACTGAAAACATTCGGTTGAATTTTTCTCGTAGAATATTTTTGAGAGAAAAAAATAACTGTATATTAAAGACAAATTGTTAAAAAAACCGTTTTTTTAGAACAAATCCACCCACCGATTGTATTACGGAAATGAGAAATAATTTAACGACGTAACTGCAGTTTAACTTGTACATTCAGATATATAAAAGTAATAACATAAGAGTATATTCATTTTTAATTATCAGGAAAAGAGAAATTAATAAAAGAAAAAAACATACCAGAACAAGAGCCAACAACGTGAAAAGCAAGGTAAACAAGAAATTTTCGAGCGCAAACAAGTAGAGCGGACTAGTTCAAAATTTGGCGTCAAATGTGGTGAGAGTAATGGTCGCGGTGTTGGATATTCGAGTAAAAAGTGGTTCGTAGAGCGACAACGATACAGCAACTAAAATGAGAGACTTTCATTCTCACAGAAATGAGCGGAAAAGAGAGAAGCAAGCCTCAACAGCCCACTCTTTCGGGGGAGAGAAAGCGCAAAAACGCAAAAGAAGGAAGAAAAACTTATTTTTCGAGCGTATCTTCCATTCGGTCTCTCGGCGTCTTCTCGTCGTTATCACTGCCGTCTGCGCAAAGCTAGCAATTGAAAAAGAAAAAAAAATGAAAATCGAAAGAGACAGAAGCGGTGTAGACGTGTATAGGTATGGTGCTTTTTCGAGATACGTAGCGAGAAACTCAGATGATTGAAAAGGAGGAGCGCGTTTTTCGGTGAGCGATTGTGGTTCGAGGCGGCTTTGACGGTGGCCAGAACAGAGGGAGTGAGGAAATGAAACAACGCGGCGTTGGGAGAAGGTCAGACGACACCAGCGTCGGCCGACATGCAGAGTCGCCGGCGAGACATCATTCGATCGTGCAGAGACGGTCGAGAAACCGCAGACAAACATGGAAGGTCTATATGAAGGGACATGAGATTTTCGAGGAGACAACTACAACCTGATCATTAAATAACGCCTTCGCTCATAGACTCGAGCAAATAAATAAAGGAGTTTCTTTTGTTGTTAATTAAGCTATGTAAAAAAAAAAGAAAGAAAGGAAAATTGAAAATTTCAAGAATATTAAATAGTATTAGAAAGAGCAGTATATCCAAGAATAAAAAAATAGATTAATAAGGATAATTGTATAAAAATTCACTAGCTGATTTGCAAAAACGTTTTTTTGTCCAACTTTTTTTGTGGAAGAAAACTTATGTATATATAACATAAATATATATATATATATATATATAAATAAAAAGTATACTCACCACGCTCAGAACATCAAATGGTACACTTTTAACTAGAGCGCCTTCTGGTAATCATTTTGAAAAGGAAAAAAGTTGTGAACAGGTTACAGACGTTTCAGAAATAGTTTAACTGCGCTTCCGAGGATCTTGAAGATCAAGAAAGACAGCGAAAAAGATAGTCTACATTTTAATAAAAAAGAAAATACTTTTTAAAAAAAAGGAAAAAGAGTTGTATTAATTGATTGACTTACGAGAGTAGTTTGAGTTGCATATTAATATGTTTATATATTTCTATAGGCCATTCCGCGCTAGCTTGTCACGTTTTTCTTTCCGCCAAAAGGCCAGGTCAAAAATACGCGACAAGCTGGCGCGGAATAGGCTATAGACCGTTTGCCCGAAAATATGGTTTCCAGTGAGTGCGAACGCATTAGCTACGATTAATTAAAATCTTAATTAAAAAATACACTTAAAAAAACCCCCGTCCACTTCTTGATGGACGTTCAGCGATTTTTACAGACGCCATTATAGATAGCACTCCCAAAAGTCTCCTTTTGGCGCATTCCGCGTGCGTGCGCGCGCCAATTCAAATTTCGTCTCTTGGACTAGATTTACAGGCTTCCAGTATATGGTTCTTTTTGTATAATTTTTCTTGCATAAAAAAACTTCCAATTAATTTTACCCGGGTATCATATCTATGATAACTTGATATACGGGCAGAGTACCTGAAATTTTTGATTTCTACCGAGTAGCCTGGAAATGCTTCCCAGGTTTTTTTATTATTATTGTTTTTTTAGTCACTTCGGTTTTCTAATTTTTTTATTCATTCTGTTTTCAGACTTCCTTTGAAATTTGTATAAGCTTTTACACGTTGTTCTCCATTCGCTCATGAGAAACGAAGAATGAATTTCCAGCAGCACATTTCCTTATCATGCGAGGAGCTTTGAAAAAAATCTTATCTCCGCTCAAAAAAACTTTTCCAAAAAACTTTTTTTCACGGACCTGCGCGGCATTTTTTTGAGAACAGATTTGGAAACAGCATGAAAAAAACTTCATTTAGTGAACTGGGTCTCATTCTGAAATCCAACTGCGACCAGACACCATTCCTTGGTCAGCTAGAGCTAAAAATTTATGCTCGACGTCTCACGATGGACATATTATGGAATATTCAAGATTCATTTTAAGAGGTATATTTGTGGGCACATTATGGTACCTTTCCCATTTGCCTGTGCAAGTGAGTGAAGGCGAAAAATTTGAATTGGCGCTAAAACAAGAAAAAAACTTTCTTAAATAAAGTTAGATTCCCTAAATGAGTCAATATTAAATAAAAAGAAAACTGGAAATGAATAAGTAAGAAAAATTATACAAAAAGAATTCTTTCTAGTGCCGTGTTCAAAGTAATTTCCGCGAAATGCAAAATGATCTCTGACTCTCCAAAAATTTAGTGATCTTTTTCCTTTCTCTAACGGGTATTTTGCATTTCGCGGAATCAAATTGAACACGGCATAGAACCATGTACTGGAAGCCTGTAAATCTAGTCCAAGAGACGAAATTTGAATTGGCGCGCGCACGCACGCGGAATGCGCCAAGAGGAGACTTTTGGGAGTGCTATCTATAATGGCGTCTGATTTTTACACAGTGAAAATTATTGAGTTTTTGTTCACGAAATTGTGCTTTCTCTCCGGGATTCTAAAATAGATAGTTTGAAGAGCTCAAAGATCAATTTGAACGCGTCACAAATCAAAAAGCAATGAAAAGCGATATGAAACAAACGAAAATTAGTTAAACTTCGAAAAGCGAAGTCGAGTGAGAGCAATAATTTTGGCGACCTCGAAGTTTTTGATCAAAAAAGGATATAGCTTATTCCGCGCCAGCTTGTCACGTTTTTTTTTTCCGCCAAAAGACCGTATACCAAATAAGATCAAATTTCTGCTTTTATAACGGCAAGAAACAAAGATCTCGCAGCGAAGTTAGTAAATTTTGACCTGGCCTTTTGGCGGAAAGAAAAACGTGACAAGCTGGCGCGGAATGGCCTAACTCGCATGCTGAGCAGGGTAACCCCGCCGTGCTAACACGGGGTCTCCGCGGGTGCCCCCGTATTAAACCCGTATAAGCCCAGCTGATAGAACTTTTGGCACTTTTTAGCCCAACTGAGACCCCGCTTTAGCCCAGCTGGGTTACCTATTTTTCTTACACCCGTTGTTCCCCCGTTTTAGCCCAACTGAGACTAAAATAACCTCAGAAACACGGGTTTAATACGGGTACACCCGTTGAGACACCTGCTCAGCATGCGAGAAATTGTATTTTTCTTTTTCAGCCATTTCAAAAAAAAAAAAAAAATCTTGAGATAAGTCATGTAAAACAAGTGACGTGCAAAATATTCAAAGTAATGGAACATGGGTTCAACCAAACTGAAAAAAAAAACCATTTTTCCTCGTATTTATCAAAAGAAAAATGCAAAATTTCGAAAAGAATACAATGAAAACACATCCTGATTCTGTACAGTATTCAGGGTATAAATTGAAAGAAAAAGAATTTTATCGAAAATATTCAACTGATCTACAAAAAAAGGTCATTGGCCGATCTAGATGAAAAAAATATGCCGTGTTCAATTTGATTCCGCGAAATGCAAAAGGATCTCTGACTCTCCAAAATTTAGTGATTTTTTCCTTTCCCTAACGGGTATTTTGCATTTCGCGGAATCAAATTGAACACGGCAATAGATTGATTAGCCAAAACAAACTTTCGTAGTCGAAATTTTTTTCTTTGATGTTTTACAACAGCTTGATATATTTGCTTCAAATCGTTTCTAGTTTTTCTATTTTCATCTTCTCGTTATCATCTGGCACTTCTCTGTCGTCATCGGGCTCCACATTGTCATCTCCAACTTCATCGTCATCTATAAAAAAAATTCCAGTCCTTTTTTCATTCAAACAATTATAGCCCGTTCACGGCTGGCTTGGGACAGCGAACGGGCGGTTCGATTTTTGCGGCGAAAGTAGATCATGACGACTATCCATGCGCCTTCCATAAAAGCCCATTTTAAGACTTATTTATTTTTCTCTTATTATTCGTCAATCTAAGAGAATCTAAAAACCAATGAAATGAATGCAAACATAAAATAAACTCAATAGAAACAGAAATAATTCACCAATTGAGGCTCTTATTAGAGGCGCATATTTTACCGCCATGATCTACCATCGCCGCTTGGTTTAATACGGGTACACCCGCTGAGACACCTGCTCAGCATGCGAGATTTGAGGCACTTTTTTTCTGACATATCTTTCAGGAAAAAAAAATATCTGCGTATGGAATAACTATTCCACGGTAGGCTTGGAACCGCGAACGGCCGGTTTATAGTCTGTTCAGATTTTGAATGTCAAATGTCAAACTTATTTTTCTTCTTTTAGATCAAAAAAGATCAAAATTAGTCCCGCTCGATAAAACATCAATGCGAAAAGATACCGTCTCAGCAGGGGCGAAGCTAGCTGGTTGACATTCAAAATCTGAACAGACTATAGATCGTAGCGGCTCCTACGCGCCTTTAATAAGAGCCCTATTTCACGAATAAAATCTGTTTCTACTGGATTAACATTTTGTTTACATGCATTCAAAACTGCTCTCTCTCTCTCCGTCACAAGCCAGCCGTGAATAGGCTATAGGGGTAATTGACACATAATGAATGATAAACGAGAAATTCCAATAGGACTTGATAAAATCACCTACAGCGAAGTTTCAGACATTTTTTTATCGTTTTGAATCTTCTCATAAAATCAGTGAGATCATGAAAAATAAGTGAAAATATGCAGAAACAGAAGAAGTACAAAAGGAAAAGTCGAAAAATGTTAGTCGGAAACGCTCTTAGTAAGCTCGCTAGAGATATTTCAGCGTGTTTGAAAAAAAACGGTGAAATCGCCGTTAGAAAGTTCGCTACTCTGAACTGGTGTTTGTCAACCGTATGCTATTTCGTCGTTTTCTCGCAGTCCGAAAGCGAGAAAAAAGAATGCGGAAAGCACAGCGTTCCAAAGCGGGGTTAACGCCTGCTGTGCTGAAAAGCGTGCCGACCTTGCACGAATTGCGGGGCGTGCGCCATCGACTTTCATTTTTTCCAGTTTCAATTCAATATTTACAATTTTTCTATTATTTTAAGGATACAAGCTTTTTTGCTGATTCTTTTTGTTTTATTTCGTTGCCAACCTATTCTAATTACTTCCTGCACAAAATTATGTTCATTCTTTCAAGTAAGTTTTTGTCTAAAGGCTTCTCAATAAATTTTTCCAAAAAGTATCAAAATGTTTCAGTCTGCTCTTTTTTTAATGAGTAGCAAACTGAAATTCAATAGGACTTCTCAAGATGAAGTGCCGAAATTCGTTTACCCTTTTCCAGTAGATAAAAAAGGAGAAATAAAAAAAGCCTTTGAAAAATTGATTTAAAAAATCTCCTTTCATTTTCAAGCGTAAATTCCTAAGAGCCAATGCACTAGGTGGATTTACGCGATCAGGCCACGCCCATTTTTGCAAGTTATCGCGCGCTGAACCCCGCTCTGGAACGCTGCGAAAGAGAATCAAAATCTTAGAGCGCTTTAGTTCAGAGTAACCCTTAGTTCATACGATCTGCAATAGACGTTAAGCATCTAACCTGTGATAAACTGCTGGAAGTTGGAGAGTATTATGTTAAAAGCTTGGAGATGGTTCTTCCTTTCGTTCAACTGCAACGGGTTTTTTTTTCTGTGAAAAACGTATGCGAAAAATCTCACTTTTGCTTCCAAGCATCGTTGTCGTTCGTGCTGTTGCTCCAACTCATCTCGAATTTCTAGTAGACGTCTAAATTGAAAATAATAAAAACTGCCAATCAAATTTTTTCAACCAAAAAGAAATTTCAGCGTGTAAATTAAGAAAAAAAAAATATAATGAAGAGTAACCATTAGTTCATATAGTCCGTCCGCCGCGACTTGACAGTTTTCAAGTGTCTGCGTCTCTCTGTTCCCTCACCGGCGAGGTCAGAGAAACACGAAAACAGCACGTCAACATGAGAGGGTCGCCGGGAGATGAGGAGGGCGCAAAGAAGTCCCGCCCTTTCAAGTCGCGAGAAACGGACTATACGATCTACAAGAGACGTTTAACCAAAAAATTTGAAAAGAAAAATTGAAAAAAAAACCTTTCCGTGTCGGGCCTGGAAGGAATCTCGTCTATCGTTTTAACAACGGTCGAATATTCTTGTCGATTCCTTAACATTTTCGATAAAATAAATTAATTGGAGACATTCACTTCCGCACTAATCTTGCTTCAGAAAGTCGTTTTTTAGCCTCTTCCATTTTTCGATGTGCTTCACCAACCTGAACATTTTGGTTTATAGTAGTTTGAATTTTTATTTCGGACATTTTTTTCAAATAGAGCCGATAAAAACTAATTTATTCGTGTTTTTTTAAACTATCTACTTGCTGATTTCTTCAAAAAAAATTTAATTTGAAATTGAAAATTCATTTTGGATCTAACTTTCTAATTAATTTGGTAAAAAAATAGAATACATATATAGTCAATGTTTCCCGACTTGAAAGGCGAGGGAGGCGGGGCAAAGAGCGGGACGCGGGACGCGTAGCGTGTGCGTCCGCGGTTCTTGGCACGTGTTCAATTCAACCGCCATCTATTCTTTGGAAAACCCGTTTTTCGCTTTTTTCGTTCCCTTTTCAATTATTTATTGATCGTGTTCATGTCTGCATCAAAAAATAATAGAAAACATTGAAAAAGAGCGGTTGCCGAGCTTTTTAAATAGTCGGCGATAATTAAATTGAACACGTGCCAAGAACCGCGAACGCACACGCTACGCGTCCCGCCCCTTGCCCCGCCTCCCTCGCCTTTCAAGTCGGGAAACATTGACTATAATACCTTTGAAAACGAATGAGGTGTAACATCCTGGGTTTTTCATAAATTTCTAGAAACTTCGATATTTTTGGTATTTAAATATCCTTCAAACTTATCAAAATCTCACTAACCATTCATTTTTGGATGATTAAAGATTTAGACTACGCATAGAGTTTTCGCTAATCAAGTCTCTCGAAGATTCTTAGACTACAAAATATCGTGCAAAATATCACATACGGCCGGCTTTTAGAAAAATAGAAGATCTCCATTTGGGATGATGAACTTCGGGCGTTACGTTGCTTTAATATGTTTCAAATTGATCGTTCTCTCCAAAAATTTGAGTTTTTTTTTAAATAAGAGAATATATTTTATACAGAAAGAAAGTTATGTTGATTTGTCTATATTCTTCTTTAAATATCTGGTGAACTGCCTGCAGCTTTAGGTCCGCTATCCAAAGATCAGTGGGATTGTGATGAAAAAAAAATTCCACACAGATTTTTATTCAAAAATTCCTCGGTCTGAGCGTCGCTATCGGGCCTTCAGACGTTCATCAACATTTTAGTTTTTATCGATTTTTAGCGACTGAGAAAGTAAAATAACTCGAATAACTTAATCTCTGTCTCAGTCAATTCCCAAAAACGGTTTTAAGTTAATAAGCTCATTGTTTTTATCGATGAGTACAAAAAATACCGCCATGACTTTCGCGAACTTTTAAGATTGGGGGAGCTAATATATTCAAATTATTGTTTCTTAAAATGATTGCTACTAATTTTTAGATTGTGACAGTATTTTTAGATATAAACTATCTTCTAATAGGTCGAGAATGATATTTTAATTGGACAAAAAGCTTTCTGCGAAATAAAAATAACATTTAAACGAAAAAAGAAGTGATGGAAAACCGGTTACCTCGTAATCGACGTTATTAGCAAGCTCAACGAAACGGTTTGTTTCAACTCGGTTCATGTCCGCGACCTGATTCTGTTTTGATATCGATATCTCCATGGCTTCTAACTAAAAAAAAATGTTTTTTTATGCTTTTCCGACAACGTTTTTTTTTGTCGTGAGTGTCTCCGCAAAGTTCAAGGTAGCCGTCAGGAAGTGAAAAACCAAATTACGGAGTCAGATATAATTTTGAATCTCGCGGAAATCCTTTTGAACAAGGCATTAACACCAAGAAAGCATTTTGAAACTAACTTTACTTCATTTATCTCCCTCTAAAACAAGAACTATTAGAGAAACTTCTAAATCGCATAGCTCGCTGAAGTTTTTTAAGTGTTAAGAAATTCAATATTTTCTCAGGGGGGCGTTTAAAAAGGGTTAAATATCGCGGTATTTTGTTATATAACCATTTTATAACGGCTCCCAGAACTCAACTACCTATTTCGCCAAATCATTTCAAACTAATAACACGTCCGTTTTGAAATCGCCGAAATTGCTTCGAAAATCAAAAATTGTAATTTTATTACCAATATAAAACTTGATTGGAAAGTTTACGAAAGTAAACATTTATCATTTAACACACGTTCTCCCAGAAAATCGATGAACTGAGAAATCTCTTAGTACAAAAATTTCAAGTTGGTTCCTCAGAGCTCGTTTCACTATCAGAGATACTACATAACCTCTTCAACTCATAACAATCGGTTTCGACAGGCTCCGCCCACTTTCAGAGTTGTGGTAGAGAAAATACCGTAAAAAGCTAACTTTTTTCTTGGTCGAAATTGGTTCAAACCAACTGTAACGCCAAGAGCATGTCATTTTGAACATTTTTCATGTTGGAAATTACTTTGGAAAAAATTTTCTTCTTCGCAGTTTTTGAGCTCTACTAAAACGGGGACCCCCAATGGCCTTGATTTTTATTTTCTTAATCGATGTATTGAGGTCTTGGGTATTCGAAAAAAATATCCCTATATTCAAGTTTTAATTGTCGTAGTACATCACCATCTCAAAGAATGCGTCCAACTTGAAATTGGTCGAAACTTCAAAAATCCATAACTTCTTTGAGAGTTTTATTTTAGTTGAGTTTTTGTTCTGGATGTACCACAACCAACTTGTTTTCAACTCAGGACAGTAGAAAGTGGAAAACGGAAACTTGAAAAATTTTAATTTTCAAATTTTCGATTTTTGGACTTTTTCGTTTTTCACCCAGCTTTTCCGTTTTTCAGCTCTGCTGAGGAGAAGACTCTAGAAGACCTGGAATTATAAAATTGCTTTTATTGTGTTTATACTTTTTTTCTAGCTTTAGGAAAAGCTTTTTTTTTGTTAGTTCTAAATTAATGAGCTCGCAATTGCCAATGAGGTATAATTTTTCGAAATATTTACCAAAATTTTTAAGCAAAAATGACCAATTAAAACACTAGGTAGCGCTCTTTCCGTGGTATATGTGGGTCTTGACACGATTTACGCTGAAGTTTCTTCAGAGTTTACCGGATTGCATTGTAATGAGCTCAGTACAAATTTTCAAACCTTTTGCCACAAGAAACTATCAAAAAGGGTCTTCAAAAAGTCCAGAAATACGAGATACTGAGCGGATTCTTCCTTTTTTCTCCGAGTTTCAAGTGAATTTTTTTTTTTACCGACACGTATATGCAAGGTCCAGAAAACACATGAGAAAAGTTTCACTCAGAAAATCGAACACTGGAAATTCTCAGGCCGGAAAATGTACCTTGAAGTGGAAAATTTTGAAAAAGACAAAAAAAATTTCCTTTTTCATAGGCAACATGCATTTTTTCAATGAGATGCACACAAGAAAAGTTTTGGGAAAGATACCAATCAATTTCAAGAGAAAAAACTGAGTTTATGAATCTTTTCCTCTTTACTCGATTTTGAGGTCGTCAGCTTCGGCGCTTCGGTGGTCAACTGCACCACTTAAAACTTGAAGACGGGAATGTTTTTTCTGAGCTAAGCAAGACCCTATTGATCATTTTATCAAATAAAATTCCAGGCCTTCTAGGGTCTTCTCCTCAGAAGAGCTGAAAAACGGAAAAACTGGGTGAAAAACAAAAAAGTCCAAAAATCGAAAATTTGAAAATTAAAATTTTTCAAGTTTCCGTTTTCCACTTTCTACTGTCCTGAGTTGAAAACAAGTTGGTTGTAGTACATCCAGAACAAAAAAACTCAACTGAAATCAAACTCTCAAAGAAGTTATGGATTTTTGAAGTTTCGACCAATTTCAAGTTGGACGCGTTCTTTGAGATGGTGATGTACTACGACACTTAAAACTTGAATATAGGGATATTTTTTTCGAATACCCAAGACCTCAATACATCGATTAAGAAAATAAAAATCAAGGCCATTGGGGGGTCCCCGTTTTAGTAGAGCTCAAAAACTGCGAAGAAGAAAATTTTTTCCAAAGTAGTTTCCAACATGAAAAATGATCAAAATGACGTGCTCTTTGCGTTACAGTTGGTTTGAACCGATTTGCTCGACCAGGAAAAAAGTTAGCTTTTTACGGTATTTTCTCTACCATAACCCTGACAGTGGGCGGAGCCTTCGAAACCGGATGTCATGTATTAAGACGGTCGCATAGTATATGTGACATGAGTTTCAGCTCGAAAAAACAAACTTGCAAATTGTTGTACCAACGTATTTTCGAAAATCTCAGAGAACGTGTGTTAATTGTAACCATAAAGGTTTTCAATTGGAATCAAAAAAAAAAGATACCTGTTTCAAAGCTTTAATAGCCTCAGCTGTTTTATCTTCTGCCGCGAATTGAATTTCTCGCAAAAAAGATATAACATGTTGGAAACGCCGTTCTTCTCCTACCCCCTCCCCATCTGCCACAAGTTTTCGAAAGAAGACTTCATCCTTCATTTGAATTGCTAAAAACCATGTACGGTGCTTCAGTGTAAATTCATGCCGTGCTATAAGTGATTCCGCGAAATGCGAAATAGCCGTCAGAGAAAGAAAAATATAAATAAATTTTTGGAGAGTTTGAGACCATTTCGAATTTCGTGGAAATTAATTTGAACACGGCATCAAGTGAAACTTCAAATTAAACTTGGTATTTCACCATTTCAATGGAACAAAATTATTGTCATAAGAGTGTTATCGAAAATTTATTGGCATAACAATAGAACAAAAAAATTTAACAAATTACGCCTTCGACTCTGTCTTGACGTGACGCTTGTTGTGCTTCTTGGCGAAACGAAGATTTTTCAAGAACTTCGGGTCGACACCGCTCATCGACATGAATCTTTGCTTAGTTGGCTTCTTGATACCGTTTCGGTGAGCCTTTCGGTCTTAAAAAAAACATTTTATTTGTTCAGTAAAGTTAAAAGCTCACTCTGGTTGTGATTGGTGTGGTTCTTCGACTTGGCCATGTTAGCAAGAAATGTACCTGAAGACAAAAAAATATGAGGCTGAAAAAAAACTCTGAATGTTGATCACAAGAATTGATTTAGCTTTGTTATGAATTAATAAGAAATCAATAAAAAAAAGCCGATTGAGATGAAGTTATAAATTATTATAAAAGTATTTTAAAAGTATTGTAAACTCGATCGACCTCCGTATGAAAGTTGCTCGACATCTCAAAAACAATGACCGGTGAATGGGAAACGCGGTACATTACCAAAAACGTGTTTGGATGACTTCACCTCTCTGACAAAATCCCAACAAGTTTCCTTTTAAAGTTTCTTTTTTTCTCATGCCGAAAGAGCGAAACCATCCATCCGCGTTTCCTATCTTTTCGGCTTGTGATTTTGAACCAGAAAGACTGTTTTTCTACACTCGTGAAATTAGTTTCGGAAACGCCAAAAAAAAGAACAATAGAAAATGGAGCATATGAATATATTATCCCTCTCATTAGAAATACAAGTTTCAGAACAGTCCTTACGCCGTGTTCAAGGTGATTTTTGCTAAGTTCAAAAAAAGCCGCCAGAGAAAGAAAAAAAGATTACAAAATTTTTTTCAAAATCAGAGTAAATTTTGCATTTCGCAAAAAAATCCCTTTGAACACGGCATCGAATAGTTTTTTTGAAAGTAGAAAAAAATAAATCTGAGAAAAGCGCTCACACCACAAATAATTTAAACATTTTGAAAGAGTCAGTCGGTTTGCTCAATTTTTTTATTGGTTTTTTTCTTTTTGAATTTTTTTGAAGTTGTTTGCGTCTCCAGAAGGCTAAAAATTTTTTTGATTTTTGTATATGCCATGTTCAATTTGATTCCGTGAAATGCAAAATACCCGTTAGAGAAAGGAAAAGATCACTAAATTTTGGAGAGTCAGAGATAATTTTGCATTTCGCGGAATCAAATTAAACACGGCAATAGCCTATTCCGCGCCAAATTAGATCAAATTTCTGCTTTTACAACGGCAAGAAACAAAGGTCGTGAAGCGAAGTTGGTCAAATTTGACCTGGCCTTTTGGCGGAAAGAAAAACGTGACAAGCTGGCGCGAAATGGCCTATAGTCTGTTCCGATTTTAAATATCAACCAGCTAACTTTGCCCCTGCTGGCACAGCACCTTTTCACGTCGATCTTTGATCTTTTTTGTTCTAAAAGATGGAAATAGAGGTTAAAAAATGCAGTAATATTATAAGTTTCTCGTCATCTAGAGATGAAACATTGACACGAAAAATATTTTAGGGCGGGGTGAGTTAATTGACATTCACAACCTGAACAGACTATAGGTCGTTTGACCATTTCAAAAATGACAAAAACAGTGTTTATCCAGTTTTTGGAATATTTTTGTCAGTGAATGTAAAAAAAAAAACTCGGATTTTTTATAAATTAACTAATCAAACTTTCATAAAACAAGCTTCGAATTGATAACATGAAACAGATAAGTTATGTAAAACAGACTTCGAAACTGGTTACGGAATATTTACTTTGAAACCGTTAATAACAATAATGTCCAAAAGCCTTTCGAACATTTGAAAACTTGAAAAAAAAGCCATCATCAACAAACACACAAGATAGTTGCCTATATCGCAGGCGATATAGCATATAGCTTCATGCTGCGATCTCGTCAACATGTCGTTGCGACTTCGTCAAAGTCTCGCTGCCAAATCGCTCCCTCTCAAAAATTTGAAATTAAAAATTCAATTTTTTTTTTGCTTGGTTTTTGACTTTTATGATGAAATGAATCAAATTAAAGAAGAAAAAAAACATATTCTAAGAAAAGTTTTTCGGAGAGCGATATAGCGCAAGACGTTTGCGAAGTCGCAGCGAGAGGCGAGCGATATTGCTCGCGGCTCCTTCGCAGTATAGCATTATAGCTTATTCCGCGCCAGTTGTCACGTTTTTCTTTCCGCTAAAAAGACCGTATACCAAATTAGATCAAATTTCTGCTTTTATAACGGCAAGAAACAAAGGTCTCGCAGCGAAGTCAGTAAAATTTGACCTGGCCTTTTGGCGGAAAGAAAAACGTGACAAGCTAGCGCGAAATGGCCTATACTCTCGCTGTGATATAGTCCACAATATTGGGTGAAAGCATGTCAATATTTTGAGAAAAACTTCCCCTGCGTCGAAATGGTAACTTAAATTTATAAACTATTTATATTATAAATTCAAAAAATAAAAAGCAAAGGTGGAACTGAATGGCACACTTCACTAAAAGTTTGAAATTAAATTAAGATATATATATATATATATATATATATATATCATTCCAATCATGCTTATTTCGCGTCAACCAACCATGTGAAAAGAAAAAGTAACCTGAGAAAGTTTAAAAAGAAAACAAGAAAAATTTTGTTTTATGCCGTGTTCAAAGTAATTTCCGCGAAATGCAAAATGATCTGACTCTCCAAAATTTAGTGATCTTTTTCCTTTCTCTAACGGGTATTTTGCATTTCGCGAAATTACTTTGAACACGGCATTAGCTTTCATTATCAAACTTTTTAGATCGAAAAAGTTGCAAAAATATTGAAAAACAGATTAAAAATATAAAATAAGAAAATTTTTTGTTCACGAATAGAAATTTATAAGACGCATGTTACTGTAGCAAAAATTTAGTTGTGAGAAGGAGCGCTAGAGCGCAAAAGCCCCTTTTCGAGGACGCGAAAATAAAAACGGCATGCAGAAAGCAGAAACCGTTCACAAGAATGTGATCACTTTGAAAACGTGTGAACGTGAATGTGAATGTGAACGGTTTCTGCTTGCCGTTTTTCAAAGTGATTTCGGCAACTCTAAACTGATTTTTCATTAGTTCAAAATTATCTCGCGATTACGTGAAAATAGAATTCCGCGAGCCATCATAAAAATTTCGCACTACAACGATATATCGCGCCATGTTGATTTTAACGCGCAAATTTCTAAATTTAGTAGAAAATGCGCAAATAATTTCATTCAAAATTTGGAGTTTTTGGATCTCTTTGCCTAATTTTCTCTAACAGTTCTTTAAATTTATCTAATTTTTAAACCTGATAAATCAATTGAGAGGTTAAAGTTTGAGAAGCCAGTAATTTATGTATGATCAAAAGATGTTCAAAGAAAACAGAATCTCTAAATTTTTCAAGTTTTCGCCTGCTTTCTTTTCCAGGGACTCGAAAAAAGTGGTTGTGTCAAAAAAAGGCGTGTCAACGTTTGCAAAACACGGATTGTACAAATTCTACGAATTACAATTTGGTTTCTAAATTTTATTCGAAAAAAAATCGATAAAAATAGGTAAAAATGAAAAAATGAATTGGCGTATACAAAGACATATTTACAACTTTTCCATAAAAATGTAGAAAATTCAAAGGATGCAGGAGAATGAATAAAATAAAATTCAGAGAAAGACGTGAATATTTTTAAACAAAAAATGAAGTTAATCCAAAAATCTGTAAACTATTAGGGGAGAAGTGTTACACATGTACATATAAAATTCAAAGGCGAAAATTAGAAAAAAAAAGAGAATTTAGTTATCCATTCTTCTCTTATTGAGACAGGAGAGAGGGAACATCTTATGCGGAAGAATGAACGTGTTGCACCGTCTGCATTTTTGAGTCCTGTCCTTGTAGCAGTTCTCGCTCCTGAAAAAGTTTTAGTTTCTATAGTAGCTAATTGGAAACTCACATCCACTTGACGTCGCAGCGCTGACAGTGGAACTTGCCTGCGGATCGCCTATCTCCTTGGTACGCCGTGGGAGCATCAACTAGGCGCTGAAAGAACTCATTGAGACTTTTGGGAAAAGGTAAAAACCGTTGGACAGTACTGAATCCTGTGACCTGGAACCCCACAGCGATGGCAGACGTAGTTGCGAAAAGGCAGTTGTCTCATTGTCACCAGGAGCTCGAATACCTGGATTTTTTCTTATTTCGAATGTCAGTTATATAAATTCCTTGTTTGATGGTTTAAAAAAAAGTTTAAAGACAAAGGTCACCTCGTTTTCAACCTCGTCGCAGATACTGGGAGCAGTAGTTCTGATGGGCGAGCCGTTTTCGTAACCACTGTCCTGACTGGTAGAGCAAAACGATAACTCCAACTGGAAATTTCAATTTTCGAGTGTCAAGACAATGATTGGTAAAAATTCCTTCTCCTGTTATAACACTAGCAAGAAGAAAAAAAGATTCAAAAGTCTTTGTAAAATTGTTTTTGACTCTCCAATAGTAACAAAGCATTGGCAACACCCGAAAGTCAACGCTTTTTGTATTTTGCTTTCATTGAAACCTCTTCGCACAGCTTCGTTTCAGCTTGCTTCCGTTGTTGATGGTTCAGAAGGAGGTTCGCCGTATGATAAAACATCGAAAGTGGAGCTTGATTCATTTCTGAAAACAGTATTCATTCGAAAGAGAACTTCAAAATAAAGAAAAAAGAAACGAGGAGTCAGACTGAAAAAAAATTTCGTTCATGTTTATGGTTGAAAAATAAAAGTAATCTGGAATTTCCCGGAAAAAAACAAATGAATCATCAACAGAAAAGTTTGAAACGAATAGAAGATTGGAATAACAATTTTTATTTGAAAAATATCACTTGATAAGAAAAATGAAATACTTAAATGAAATACTTAATTCAATGAGAAAACTTATTTTGCCTTCTGAGGAGCAGGTTTGAGCCATTTACCATATTCGGTCAAACGAAGGTGAACTCATTTATCTCTTTCTTGCATACGGCCTCGGGCGGGCACATAGCAATATTTATCTTTGAAAAACCACATTTTTCAAATTTTCCTGGAAAAAGTAAACCGCCTAATATGATAATTACATGATAACTTCTTCTACTTGAAAAAAAAATCTACACTAAAGCCGCTGACTCGCGCAGATAAAATCGAAGTAGGCCACGCCCCTTCGTTAACTTGAGAATTTCGAACGCGTAAAACGCGTTCCGGTGTTCTTTATGTAAATTTCGTTATTTTTTTTCGAACTTCGAAAGTTCTAAATAAAATTTTTCATTGCTTTTATCAATCTTTCTCGAACAAGTTGGAAAATTTTTTAAGCTTCCCAAGCCACGTAAAATCACTTCAATGAAGTAGTATAAGTTAGAACAAAAAAACTACCACAAAGATGACTATCAATTTCATGAATTCCAGTGAAATTGATGGCGTTACAAAATGAAAACAAAAATGATCTTATGAGTAAATAAATACTTCCACAGTATTTCGACTAGAAGATAAACGTAGAAAAGTTTGGCGGTAAATATGAGCAATTGTTTCGTCACTGATAGGAACAGTTGATAAGGATCAGAAATGCAATCGTTTGTAGAAATACACGACAGACAGACGGAACGAAAACAATTTGAGGCCATTAAAACTATTAAACGCTGCATAGCAATGAATCATCCAAGACGATTTTTTTTCGTCTTTTCCAACGTTTGCGAAATGTAGATAATATCAATTTATCGCATACATTATTGAAGTTTCGAAAATATAACAAAGAGATGTTTTTTTGAAAAATTAATAATGGAGAAAGTCCAGGCATGAAGTGAACTCTGGTTAAGCGAATGCATAAACAGAAAGAATGAAAAACTTCGAGTTTATTTATTTATTTTTATTTAATTTCCGTGTTCAAAGTGCTCCCCCAAAAAGAAAAACATGCCAGAGAGTGAAAAAGATAGCTAAAGTTTGGAGAGTCAGAAACAGTTTTGAATTTTGCGGAAATCACTTTGAACACGACATAAGAAAGAAGCCGAGGTTTTGGTATAAATGAACGATGAAAAAAGAATGAAACTATTTACAGGATGACGAAACGGAGGGCGGGCCATTTTCGAAGTTGTTCGTCGGCGCCAGTGCTGCAGCCTGCAGGATTTCGACATACGTGCATGTGCATTATCAGCATTAAGATTCACAGAGGTACATTTCTACTTCTATTATCAATGATATCATCATCATCATAATCTAAACAAGAGAAATGCTTCTCTATGACGAACAAATCGAAAAATGTTGCATCGCTTTTCAGAGATTTTTGAGTTCTAATTCAAGTATCAAACTTATTTCAATCATTGAAAAGCAAATATTCAAGATTCAGGAGAAGCGATTGAGTGGACCGGAAGGGTACGAACACGAATTTTTTTGTGTATTAAGAAAACTTTGAATTCGGTTTTTGATTTGAAAAAGTATAGAAATTTGAAGAAAAGAGGACAGAGGCTGAAATTTTTTATAAAAAATTGTGGATTTGTTCGACTATCTATTAAAGAATATATTTAGAACGAATTTTATGTAACGCGCGGCCATTTCGGGAAAACTTTGAAGTTCGGCTAAAATAATGGAACCAAAAAGAAGGAACACCAAATAGTTCAATAAAAAAATCGGAATTTTTTTAGTTCGTCCGGTCAATTTATCGTATAAAAAGCACGAAACCAGCCGAGTAACTCGTTAAAAAAATGTTTAACTTTTTCAAAAAAAGTTTAGCGTAACGTGAAAAAAACCGACAAATGTGAAACACGAACAGTTTCTCGAAAAATAAGAATTTTTGGATTAAAAAGTCGCATTTTAATTTATCAAGAATAAATTTCGCAAAGCGTTGTATAAAATATTTTTTTCACGAATTTCGATGTTTGTTTCTGTTTTTTGTGTACAAGGTTTTAATTTCTTCGCCGGTCCCTTCAAAGGCGCGAGCGCGATTTTGCTACGAAACTAAGCGTAAGTCCGACCTCGATACCATTCTCTGTTAATGAATTCATGCTTGGGCGTCAAAACCCAGGAATAAGTTAAATATTCCTAAATAGGTGATTCACGTCTATATAGCTTGAGACGGAAAAAAGGCGTGGCCTGTCTGCGCTCTCCACCAACCAGGCACTGTCTCTTTTCGTATCGTGTCAGGACCTTTTTTTCGATGGCTCAAGCGAGCAGTGAATCAGCTATATGAACAGATTCCGCGCGTATGAGAAAATTTTTTGAAAATTGCTGCACAATTTATGCATAAGTTTTTCTTTTCCAGATCGCTAATTGAGCCATCGATGTATTTATATATTTCAAACGTTTTAAGGACGCTCCTATAAGAGTTCCTAAAACGGGATCCTTCATAGGGCCCCAATAACACTCCCTATAGGGACCCCTCAAAAGTTTCTCAGGATTTTTTTTTGCCGAAATTCAAAAAAGATGGGCTTACGGTGTTTCCAGTAGTCACATGGAAAACATCATGAACAATGCGGTATATACGCACTATTTGACGGCGTCGTCATTTTTTTATTTTTTTAATATTTTTTTCCCAGTTTATTTTTGCTGGTATGAAAAACCAGCGAAAAATTCGAACCATGACTTTTCCGATTTTTTTCATATTACTAGGGAACTTTCCGACGGCCACCTTTCCGACGAAATTTTTTCCGACTTTTTTTCTCGAGGAACTTTTCGTTTTAAATCTTCCTATCTAAAGTAGGCAAGTTATTCATGTTTACAACACAAATAAATAAGAAAAAAATGTGAACAGTTGTTTTTAATCCGAAAAAAATATAAGGGAAAAAAATTCAGAAAGGATCTCGTCGGAAAAGTGGCCGTCGGAAAGTTTCCTAGCGATATAGTTTGTTCATATTTTAAATGTCAAGTATAATGACGTCATTCGAAAGCGCTCTGTGGATGGCTCGCTCTCTGATTGGCTTTTCGGGCCATTAGGGGTGGAGCTTTAGAAGTGACTTGACATTCAAAATCTGAACGGACTATATGAAAAAAATCGGAAAAAGTCGCCGTTCGAAAAATTCACTGGCTTTTTTTCATACCAGCTTATTTTTTTGGTAATTATTTAATTGTCTTCAAAAAAACATTGAAAGTTTTTCATTTTCACGTGATTCAAACCTTTTTTTAAATTTGAAATAATTTAGTCTATAAAATATTTCTGCAGTGTTCAACGTCACGGAACTTTCGTAAAATTTTAGAAAATACTGAAAATGGGTCTTATAAAAGTTTAGCCGATTGGTTAGCTAGCTAGCTTAGAAGCGAGTCTACGTTATTTTATACTTTAAGTTGGGCTCTTATAAAAAGCCCGTCGTGGAGTGTCGAAAAGGCTGTATGAAAGCAGAACCACATACCTAATGCTGTGAGAATCCCATCTGAAAAGTTTTTCTATTCACGTTCGAGAATGATTTGAAGTTAGACTTGATCGTGAATATATTCAAACGAAAAATTAATAAATTAAATAACTAGATTAATTCTTTAAAATTTTATTTTTTTTTCACAGATGCCTCTTACCATCGAACTGGATCCAGTTTTCTATACTCTGTTTGGTTTTTACTGAAAACACTGTTCATGCGGGACCCACAAAACATGTTTATGGAAGTGCACTAACTGTTTTTGCGATTTAGTTTGTCAGCGCGAGTTTCGGAGTATAGAACCATGTTCTTTTTTTATTATTTTTTTATTTTTCAATGTTTCATAATGCCGTGCTGAAATTCGAAATCACTGTCAGAGAGTTTAAAAAAAACAACTATTTTTGAAAGTTCATTTGAATTAGAATTTCGCCGAAATTATTTTTGAAAAATGGCGTGAAATTTTTCTCATTTATTCTCTATTCTTCTGCTTTTTTTAAGATCTCCGCTTTTTGAATATATTTTTCGGAAATTTCATTCTTAAAGTTCTCATTCGATTTTTTTCAGTCATTATCACTAAAAAGTAATTACATTTTTTTATTTCTAAAATCACTAAAAGTGTCCGTTCTGCAATGATCCTTGGTCTTCCGCGATAAAAGTTTTTTTTTCAAAAATATTTCATTTAATTTTTTAACCAGGCTTGTGCTTCAGGTGGGATGGCCCGGGCTTTTGGTCTCATTTTCAGTAAAAAAAACCTGCGCGGACTTGGGCCAGACCAGGCTTCAAAAAAAAAAGATAGTAAATAAAAAACAGACCGGCCCTCGCACAAGTCTACCTTTAACAGAGGATTTCCCCCACAACGGGAATTAAAAAAATCAGACCAAACTTTTTCAAATATGGCTAGTTAAATGAATAAATAAATGGCTAGATGAGGGGCCAAAAGAGTATAGAAATGATACAGTTGGCTTTTAGGAGTTTTTACCGCTTCTTTTTTTAAAAATCCTCTAGAAATTTGTATAATACATTTATGAAAATTTGGGAAACTAATTGAAATGGGGGGCTAAATTATTGTTTGATTTGTTATTTTTAAGTCTTATAATTTCGCTCAACTTTTTCGCACTAAAATGAAAGTTTCACAGTAAAGGACAGAGACGTTTTTTTTTTCAAATTTTGTTTCACTTGTACCATCGCCACATTTGAACCTCACAAGGCCGAAGAGATGCCTTCAGCGGGACACAAAAAACATCGTTTCCTCCCTCTCTTTGTTGACAGCGCCACTCGAGTTGCGGCAAGCACACCGAGCAGTTTTTTCGATCGATACGTGCCCCAAAGCGTGCGTCAAACCTATTGAATATCCACGTTTTTCCCGTTCACCAGCTTTTCTCAAACAACATAAACTTACAACTTAGGAGAAGCTCTCATTTACTATTCCTCTGTTTTTTTTCCACATAACATGCTTCTCTTTGCGTATTCATACGTAACTTTCCAATATTATTTTTTCTTGTTTCCTCAGTACATTATAAATGAGACAGTTCAAGTCTCAACGCAATATCTGAAAAGGAACGTAATATCATATTCACAGCTCTTATCTGCTGTTGACACGAGCGAAAGTTCCGCCTTGTTTCAAACATCTTTTCTGAAGTTCTTCTCTCCGAACGTCCCTTTTTCATAAAACTTATATATTATTGGATGCTCCTCATTCAAACTTCAATCGAGGTATCCATACAGTCAGTCACTAAATAGGGTACGCCGAGATAGCTATCGGAGTGCTAACCGACAGCACACTTCTAAAGATTCCTTAGTCCTCCAGACAGAATCGGGATAGTGTTGGTAGGAAAAAAAAACCAGCGAAGTTTCGAACGGCGACTATTCCGATTTTTTCATATCTCAAAGGAAATTTCCGACTAATCCCTTTCCGACTTTTTTCCCTTATATATTTCGGTTTATAAAAGATCAATTAGAATTTTTTTTTCCTTGTTCTTTGTGTTTTGATAATGCCTATTTTATATAGGGAGAATCAGAACGAAGAAATTATCGAAGAAAAAAGTCGGAAACTTCGCAGCCGGAAAGTTACCTAGTGATATGAAAAAATCGGAAAAGTCGCCGTTTGAAATTTCGCTGAATTTTATTTCATACCACCGTGATAGCATCGGAGTGCACACAAATGATATAGAAGCACCAAAAATTTAGACTTTTTATCTTATTTATCGGCTGATCATTATCATATCTCGACTGAATTTGAGAGAACACTTTGTTAACTGATTCCGTGGATTTGCCGATTCAATCATCTTGTCGTGTGTTCTTCTTTTCGCTTTTCTGAAGAGTTAAAAGTATTGCAGAGTTGGTATTTCAATGCGTACAGCGTTTGTTTCCTCTCGTCGGGCGGCCTTCATCCTTCACAAAACAGCTTCCGGTAATCATCTTATCATGCATCTTGTCGATATTGCGGCGATGATTCATTTGAACATTCGAAAAACATTTCGAAGATGAACAATTTTTGAATGATTCTTTAAAGTTAAATTGAATCAAACTCTGAATTTCAAGTTTACGCCCGAAAACTATCGTTCAGTTGGGGTTTTTGAAAAGAAGTTTCGTTCCATCGACTCTAATGGGACCATTTGAGGGCTGCCAGTCTCCGCCTACAATGGCTTCGCCACGAGTTCAGTCGTTTCGAAGGCGAGCGAATCTCCGCCGCCAGGTCTCGCCAAGGAAATAGAACAGTGTTATTCGCGGCTCGATCTCAGCTTCGAAAACACAAAAGAGGCCTTCAAAGTTTGTTCACTCTTTTGTTGGAAGTATATTTACATTAATCAAGAGCAAGACGAATTCTGAGTTGATACGAGCGCTTGTCGTTTTGCGATTGTGCAGCGTGGGCTGGCTCGTCCAGAAAAATCAAGCCATTCTGGCTACCCTGAGAAACGTCCTCGGCAGGTATTTCCCAGAACCTCCGATACCGTTAACCCATTTCAAGCACTCTTTTCAAGAAAGTCCTCAAAAGCACTTTCTATGGCCATTTTGTCGCCGGCGAGACAAAAACCGAGGTTTTTTTTTCACCAAACGGGATGACCTCTTCTGAGTTTTCAGGTGGAGCCTGTGGTGAGCAAGTTACGGCGTTTTGGCGTCAAGTCCATCCTCGACTACTCTGTCGAAGCGGACATCTCTAGCGAGGAGGCTACAAAAAGAACAGTTAAAGGCACTTCTGATGCTAAGATTGAGACGGCGGTACGAAGGCCGAGCCCATTTTTTTTGCCGCTTGAAATGATCATCTACGCAGAGGTTTCAGGCGATGACAGAAATAGTCGACCCGGCGACTGCAGAGACGACCCGCGAACGATATTCCGTCCACAAGGAGTTTGCCGACCGTCGCGAAGGCGTGGCCAGTGCCAGGTCCATTCATTATTTTTGTCCCTCTAATGAATTGTTCTATGTCGAGTTCAAGCTGAATTTATCGATTTCAGAACATATTTCTACGAAGGCGAGGAGGTTTGCGATCAGAATCGCGACATTTTCCGCGACTCCATCGACGCTGTCGCCGCTGTCACCGGCGGCGAAGGATTTTGCGCCGTTAAAATAACCGCGTTAGGAAGACCTCAACTTCTTCTGAAGCTCTCAGGTTTCATAGATTTCCTTTGCAATCTTCCGTCGAAAAAGTGAACAAAATAAAAAATTTCTTTAAAAAACTAAAAGTTACCACGTATTTCTTATACTTTCTCGTATTATAGAATATATGAAAAAAATAACTACAGAAATATTTCATTCGGACTTTCGATTTTTTTTTACGTTGAAGTATTTTATTTTGGACCAATCTACCAACATTTTTTGTTCAATCACTGAGAAAAGAAAAGAACGTAGTTTTTTTGAATCATTTAGATTTAGACCCTAACTTCAGGAAAGAATGATATTTTGATTTATCGAATGATTTTTATAAATTTGAAAACTGATTGTTTGCAGAATCCATAGCCCAGACACAAAACTTCTTCAGAGCTCTCACTCAGGTCAACAAGATCCAAGTGGCGCGGCTCACTGAGCAGGACTTCATCAATAGGCTCAAGGTTTTTTCGATCTTTTTTTGTGAGAACTCATTCAATTTTTTGAATTCCGTTTTGCTCTAATTTTTATCATTATTCACGGCGTAGAAAGAAGTGTATAACGGTGGGAAAATGTGTCAGCTTTGAAATCAAGTCTTAGATTTTCACGTCTTCAAAACTGACCTATTTTGTTTTGAGAATTCTCAAAAATTCCCTTCGTGTAGTCTTATTCATACTCTCACCTAATCTGAAGACGTGCGTTTGGCTGAATAAAAGATGAAATAATGAGGATCGACTCAACTGAAATCGTTTGAGGAACTGGGCGTGAAGACCGACTCTCAGTCGGCTCGCAAATGGTTCCGCACGGTTGACTTCGATTCTGACGGCGAGGTCGACTTCCACGGCTGGAATAAACTTCTCGACGACAACACCAAACTCGGACAGCTCTTCAAGGTTTCCAGCTGTGTATTCTGCTTTGCAGTTCTATCGTCTTCAGGTCCTCAATATCAACACCGGAGAGCTTGAGCCGCTCATTCAGAACTTGTCCAACGAGGAAGAGCTCGAGGTTTTTGCTTCTCGTTTCTCTGCAAACTTCTCTCATCTGTAGTTCCGAAACATGGTGCGAAGGACGTTGAACGTCGCCGAGTACGCCATTTCGAAAGGTGTCAGAATCATGGTCGACGCTGAACAGACCTACCTGCAGCCCGCCATTTCGCGCATCACCATCGAAATGATGAAAAGGTCAACCAATTATCAGTTCTTTAGTTATTTAGAAGTCTCAAATCATTCCATTTTGTAACTTTTAAAAAGAACATGTCATAGTCAAGGAAAACTTCAAAAGTTGGCTATCTTGATAATTTTGAGTTTTTTAGGCCCTTTTCTCTTGCAACCTGAAAAGGTGTGTTGGTTGAGAAAGCATCTGAACTTCTCTAGGTTTTTTAAAGGTCTTTCTCAGAAATTTCCAAGGTGGAAGTGAAATGACGGCCCTCTTGAGTGTAGAATCACTTCTTTCCAGTGAAATTCTGCTTATTCCGAAATTTTGATTGAAGGTACAACAAGGAGCGCGGCAACATCTTCAACACGTATCAGGCCTACCTGAAAAGCGCCCTGCAGAACATGGAGGCCGACATGCAGGTCGCCAGACGCGAGGGATGGCATTTTGGCGCGAAACTCGTCCGCGGCGCCTACATGGAGCAGGTTGGAGCAGTGCGGCTCATCTTCGAACTTTTTCCTTTTCAGGAGAGGAAGCGCGCCGAAACAGTTGGCTACGCTGATCCGATCAACGTTAACTATGAGGTTGACTTGTGTTCTCATCTTTTTTATTATCAATTTTTGAACTTTTCGATGCATTTTTCTTCAACCTTAGGTCAGCTTTCTCGGAAAACTTTTTCGAAGTCTCTCAAAATAATCTGAGTTGATTAAATTGAATACAAATATTTTGAAATCAAGCGCAAAAAGTGAGCCGTCACAAAATGATCTTACTGGTACCCATCCTATTCAAACAAGTGAATTGCAGTTTTTAAAGTAATGCTTCACCACCGTGTCTATGTGAGGTTGATAAAAATTTTTCAATGATTTTTTTTATACTAATCCATTCGGGCTGATTTGGACGATGGGCCGCTCTCGAACCTTTCATTTTGAAGATCCGAAATAGAAGCGCGCAAAAATTTTGTTTTTCAATGTTCTATAAGTAAGACTTTTTTGAACTTCGCGAGTGCTTCTTGTATTTTAGACACCAAATTCCATACTTTGTTTCAAAATCTGAAATACTTTTACTTTCAGTCGTAGCGTTATTTTTTCTTCAATCTACTATTTTTTTTCAATCACGTTTTTCAATTATTCAAGTTAACGTTTTTATGTGTTTCTTTTTTAACCCCCATATATCTAAAACTCAGTTCCATCGATACTGAAATCGTTCAGATGACTTCGAAAATGTACGAGTCTTGTTTGACGAGAATTGGGGATGAAATTGAGCGTCGAGGTCGGAATAACGTGTCAGTCATGATCGCTTCTCATAACGAGGACACTGTCAGGTTGCTTTTTTAACTCAATTCACTTTTCTTAAGGTAGATTTTGTTTTAGTTATTTTTAAAGGAGATTAGAGTGAAGAAAACCAGTTATTAAAATGAGATGATGATATACAACGGGAAATGGAGAAACAACGGCAATATTCTTTTGCAGGTTCGCGGTGAATTTGATGAAAGAGCGGACGATTGCTCCGTCGGAACGACTCATGTGTTTCGCTCAACTCTACGGAATGTGCGATCAGGTCTTTTGGCTTTTCTTCTGTCTTTTTTCTGCTTTTTTCAATCAATTTTTTATTTTTTCATAGTTGTAGAAGTAAATCTCTGCTGAATCATGGTATAATCGAAGAGTTTGTCGTCGGCGCGGGTTAGGGTTCACAGACTGAATAAATTGAATTGAATTGAATTGAATTGAAATTAAATTTTAGAAGTAATCGAACAAGAACTTTTGAAGCTATATAAAGAACAACCGCCTTTAGCGAATTAGAAGACCAAACATGTAGTTTATCAAGTTGAAAGCAACGTCTTAAGGTCCTTCGTCTTGTTTTCTGCGCGTAGTTCATTCAGTTGCGCCTTGCCGAGCACAGAATGTAGCGAATCTTGTGCTGGAGCACGGAGAACGTGTTCTAGGTGGAAGCCTCGAAATGAGAGCGACCAGACGAGATTTAAAAATTTACACTGAATAACATCTAGAATTGCGCGAACGGCAGAAATAAGGTGACATGAGATGATGGGTGACTTGGCAGGTTTCATTCTCCTTGGGCCAGGCCGGCTATTCAGTCTACAAGTACCTGCCCTACGGACCCGTTGAAGACGTCCTTCCTTATTTGAGTCGTCGGGCTCTGGAAAACGGCAGCGTCCTCAAGAAGGCTAACAAAGAAAGGGTTAGTTTTTCCACAATTTGAATGGCGATTTCTAATTATTTATTTGAAATAGTACCGTCGGAATACAAATTGTAAAATCACCTCAATTAATTTTTGACATGGCTCATCTTTTTTATCTGAAAAAGTTTATCTTGTGAGCTATTGTTTGATCGATTGAATTTGCTTACCAGTTAGTGTTTTATTTATATCCGCTTGAAAAACTCACCAGATCCTTTTGTCGATATTTTCTTTTCTATAATTGATAATTTTGTTTGGCTGTACTCGATTCTGAATAGTTTCTTGAATATATTAAAATTTACTCTGGGCATTCTCTGTTTTCACAGCCCAGAAATATACTTTTCTTCCACTCTTTGCTGAAATCGTCAATCCAAGTGAGAGGAAAAACGATTGGAAGAACCTTTTTTTTTGTCATCCAGGCCTAAATTGTAAAAATAAATTGAGGTTTTTGAAACTTTTGCTAAAGATCATTTTTATTAGGAGTTTGGACATTTCTAAAACGTGTCCTTTTTTTGGCGGTTCCTGAAATTTGCAACCTGCAAGGCTTCCTCGTTCTCGAAAAATAACGCTTCAAAGTATAGGAATTGCACTTTTGACAGGGTTTTGATGAATTTATCTAACTTCGAAGAGTCTTCTAACGAAAACTAAAATTTTTTTCAAGTTCAGGAGTTGTGCCTTCTCATTAATTTTTTTTTCCTCTATGGCTTTTGGACTTTTTCCGATCACATTTGAAAACTTTCAGGATCTGCTGTGGAAGGAACTCAAGAGAAGGATCGTATCCGGAGAAATTTCTTACAAAGTGCCAACTAACTAACAACCCGCCTTACGTGTTAGTTTTTTTCTTGTTGAATCTTTCTAAAAGTTATTTGGAATACGAGTGATCCATGTTACGAATCCAAGTATGATATAATATCCTGCACGCATATTTTGAGAGCTTTGCTAATCAATCACTTTTAATCAAGTATCTGATAAAAATTTAGTTAACAGGCGATCGAGGGTAAAATTAACGAGATTTTTAAAGTCGTTTGGTTTTGCATCCAATGCCCAAAAATTCCCTCCAAATGATTTTTTTTTATAACTTATAAAAAAACCTCTGCTAGAAATTATTATTGTTATGAGAACTAAATTTCTGAGCCTTTTTTTCTTTTTACGTTCATCTACAAGGTTTCTTCCAAGTATTTTTGTTCAGATTTAGGATAACAGTTTTCATTTGTTCAACTTTAATCTTGTTTTTTTTTTACTCGTCTCAAAGTTTTGCCACTTACCCCGTTGAAGTTTTTCTGCCCGATGATTAAAGTTTATCTCAATTTGATCGAGTTTTTAGACACGCGCATTATATCAGTTTCATTCGAAGAAAGAAGCTGTCTGGAGTTTGTATTTCCGTTTGGAGGAAAAAAAGAACGACTGGCGGCTGGCCTTGACAGTCACGATCTCAAAACGAAATAGACAGTCGTTCATCATTTTTACTTCGCGGACCAAATGCCGCTGTTTGGCCCAAGAGTAGATTGTAATAGACACTTCGGCCGTCTTTAGATCTTTTGAACTGTATCACTTATAATATTTGAAATTGAAATATCAACATCTTCTGGAAACATATTTATGAAAATAGAAACTATGAAACCTTTTTTAAGAATTATTCTGAAACTTTTTTCATGCGATAGAGGATAGTGTAAATATTTAAATATTCATAATCAATTTAGTTGTGGAAATAAGCTCACTAAGAAAAACGTTACGGCCAAAAAAGAAGCGAACGAAGCGTTGAACTGGAGGCTTAATCGTACGGTTCACGCGATGCTGCACGCATTCATTTCAATTATTTTTACGCATTTCGGAAACCTTCCAACAGAAAATTTTTCGATTTTTATTATAATTGTTTGGTAGATTATTTATTTTCACACTTAAGTTTGAGAATGTGTTGATGAACAGAATAAAGAAATTAAGAAGAGTTTAGCGATGGTATTTTCTGAAATGTGATGATATTATAAAATTTGTCGGAAACTTCCGAAAAATTTCATTTTCTTTTGGATTTTCGGAAAGAATAAAGGAAAACGGAATATTATTTAGTTTTGTAGAGCGACTTTGGACATATATGTTTAGTCGAAGTTTGGGATTGAACTGGTAGGCGCCTAAAATTTTGCAACAAAAAATCGTCAATTTGGTGGTGTGAATGAAGACTCTTCTACTGAGAGGCAGGGCCTTGCCCTCCCTAGCTGAAAAATTTACATGAACTGCAACGCATTTCAAAAACTTATCTTTACAACAAGGCTGTTCAAGTGACACAACATTGGGGGCAAGCCAAGACAATCTGACCGACAACGGACCTCTCAGGTCTCAAATTTATGACGGGCTTCATGTCCGCTCTCTCATGGCTGTGTGTCCGTATGAGTCTGTCGTTTTTTCGCCGCAATCGTTCTTTTCTTTATCGTTTCTGTGACACGTTCAACTGTTGTTTCAACTGCCTTCGTATGTTCCCACAAGAAAACCATCTTTCAAATGGCAGCGGTGCCTTTCTTCTCTGATTGTCTTTGATTTACCCATCAGAAGACTCTGTTGAAATCAAGGCTTTGAGAAAAGTGAAAGGATAAAATGAAGTGTCATCAGTTGGGAAAACGGATAAATTGAGATGTTCAATGGAGAAAACTAGAAGTAGCAAAAACTTCGAACACTTTTTTTCCTTTTCAAATTGGGTTTACTTTTGTTCGAATGGATTGGGAGAAGCTAGATTGGCCAAAAGACGAAGGAAGTCTCAGCCGGCTCTACTCTTATTCGTGAATTGATGATGTTCGCAAGTTGCTTTGTTGATCCAACCACCGGTCCTGGACAGTAGCGTGTAATTTACTGTCGACAGCTCTCGGCCCTAATTACACGATTCACGATTGTTTTGTCCGCTTTTTGTTCCTTGGATTGGTCCAATTAGCGGATTCACTCCAGTCCGCTTTTTGTTCCAGTTACTGTTTTTTTCCTCAACTCCTCCTTTCAGGTGTCGACCGACATCTGAAGAAATGAGGTTTCTCGGAAGTGTACCTAATCTGTCACCCAGTTCTCCGCCATTTAGAGTTCCTCGAGCTTCGGAATTGAATCTCGGCTGGTCATTCATCATGAGCGGTCTCTAGAATTGCACGCCAGGTTCTTTGTCTTTTGGCTTTGCCCATACTGCAGCGGATCTCGTTTTTTTGGGTTATAGGTTCTACAAACTATAGGCAATCTCCGTGAAAAGTAAGAGCAAGTGGTAGAACAAAGCGAATATTTGGTTGAAGAGGTCTAATTGTGAAAAGTAAGGATTATCGAAACTATAACTGCTCAAGGTCCTTCTCCTTTTTGGCTGTAATAACTGGATTGCCTCCACCTGAGGAGAACATTTTCTGCCGTGCAGACGACGTCAAGATGCTCGTCGAGTGTTTTGGAAGTCGTCCTGATTTGCCGCAACGAATAAACGAATCACCGAGGTCTCTCGCCGCACACAATAGGAGCCGTCCATCTGTCTGCCGCGTTTTTGACCTCAAATTACCGCCGTCCCGTGCCTCGCTTTGGTTTTTTTTTCTTACTTCATGTCTTACTATCTCAGGAAACGAGGCTGGTTTACGATCGTCCAGAATCGCTCCTGCAAACCGTCTAATTGTGCCTTTTACGGCTCGGCGCGATTTCTGTGTTTTCGAACAACTGGTGTCCTTTCTAGTTTCATCTAACCTGCTTTTTTTATTCTTTAAAAAGTCGGGAGTTGGAACCGTATCAAGGTTTTCTTCGGTTACTTCTTTTTCGAGAGCTTCTCAATCAAAGTGTCATTAAATTAATTTATTTTCGTTTTCTTTTTATAATGTCATCTCCCTCTATATAATATATAGACTATATTTCTCATCGTTTTTTTTTTCCAGAATTGCCGTTTTTTCTTCGAAAGCGCATTATCAGTCTCTGTTTTGGTTCACCGATGTCTCTGAGTTTTGATAGATAATGATCCGTTTTAAAATAGCTAGCTCATCTGAACATATTACATTATCTCCAAAAAAGTCTTGTACAATTCTCGTGACGTTTTCAAAGTGCAAATATTCTTCCAATAGAGTTTTGAAGCTCGCAAAAAAAAGAGAGAGAAAACAAATCAGTTCTTCTCCCGTATTTCTGAAGCTCACAACTCACGCTAAAGCGTTTTTGAGACCATTATACTGTTTTTGATGTTTTCCGGCGCTCGTCAGTCTATACTTTGTGTCAGATTCTCTTTAAAAAGTATAGCTATAATAAAACATAAAATTTAATGCTGTACTAGAAATTTGAAGAAATTGCTTTCGGTTCTTTACTGAGGTTACAAAAAAAAAAGTTGCAAGATACAATTTAGGTCGACATTTTTTGGTGTTTGATCATTTTACGTAAAGTTCATGTTAAGAAATGATTTCACAAAATCGGAGAATTCGATTTCTTGACGCAAAACCAAGGTTTCTGAAGAACTTTTTTTTAAAAAGCGGCAAAACGACGTCTATTTGTAGAAACCAGATCGACTTTTAACATGTTGAGAAGAAGCTTACTTTTCAGGAATAGATAAGCGGATTTTCCTTCTAACTACTATTTTTTTTTTGAGATTCCTATTTTAGCTGCTTTCTTGAAGCATTTTTGCATTTTTTTTTATTTGTTGATCGTTGTGTTAGTCCTTCGAACGGAATATAGACGAATCGAAGTGAATACTTAAGATTTTCGCAAAATGACTTCGATGTAGTTGAGGGAGTACATTCAAAAAAAAGCTATTCTCCCTTGAAAAATAAAAGAGGAAAGTTTCTTCATTCGGATAACCGCCTCGATATCTAGATGAGCTGTTGTGTTTGAGGATAGCACGGTTTGTGGGAAACGAGCGACGAATTAGCCGCGAGTGGGCAGCCGGTTGCCGCGCCTTCGGATCTGCAATTGATATGCGCCGGCGAGAAGACGTTATCAGCAGAGCGCGGTTCTGCTTGAACGCCTCTGACCCACATGTCCTTCTCTCTCGCAGTCCTCAGCAGTCCATATCACCGTCATTGTTATTCTTTCCCGATTCTCTTCTCTCTCCCTCTCAAATGTTTCTATAACCTGAGCAATAAGTTTCTATGAGTCCTTCAATCCTATACCGGTGAAATGGATACCATCTTTCTTCTCAAGGGAAATTTCCTCTTCCTATACTCTCTCTGGAAAACTTTTATATGTTCTTTTGCATATCCGGAAAATCCTAGATTTGTTTATTCAGTCTCTGTAAAGTTTTCGAAATCATTTTCAAACTAAAGTTCCGGAAAATAGTATGAATAACGACGTATTCTTACAAAAACTTAAAATTCCAACAACCTCGAAATTTATCCTTTTTTCAAATTTCTTACCATGTTTTTTTTATCGCATCTAACGGTAGCCAGTTGAATATAGCTAAGATTAGGGTCCGCAAGCCATTTCTTCAAAACGATCCAAAAAATATGCTTTTTCCACTATTCGAAAGAAGAGATTGTCAATTTTCATAATTCGTTTAGTTTTTGAAAAAAGGTGCATTAAGAAAAAAGTTATGGCCAAAAAACTAGCGCGCGCGGCGTAAAACTGGAGGCAAAATCTCACGGTTTACCCGCTGCCGCACGCTTTCTTTTTAACTGTTTTTGCGCATTTCTGAACCGTTTTCAAATCGGTTTTTTGTTCTGAGAGATTGTCATAACTGAGCTTCATGTTTTGGTATGAATCTTTCGTACAATTCTCATAAGAATTTTTTTGATAAAATATCAAAAAAAACTACTTAGAAAAAAGGTCAGAAGGAATTTTCCCCTTACTTTCCTTTTTTCTAATCAGAAAAATTATTATCATTTGGTTTGAAAAAAAGAAAAAATGAAAAATAATGTTATTTCGAAATATAACAGGAAAAAGTGCAATTTGAATACGAAAAACGGCTCCTGCAACATTTAAAAGTGCGCATCGGTGTGTTTGACGCAAACACAGCTACGAACGCTTGCACGAATTCTTTCAAAATTTCAAAAAAAAATGCCATTTTTTCGAGGTTTTCAAAGCCGTTATTTTTTTCGTGTCGTTTGATTTTTTTCATAATTTCTCCATTGATAGAGTTTTGAACGCTTAATAACATAATCAAAAGTATAGACGCGATCCTATTCTCTTATGCGTCAACGAGGCAGGCGAAAAAAAGGAGGTTTTGGTAAAACTTAAATATCATTTGATTCGCTGTCCCAATAATTATTTTTCATTCTGAATTTTTAATTTTTTTGAACACATTTTGAGTTTTTTTAAATCAAATAAAAAGTATACCATGTCGCTGAAATTTTTTCGCATTTCAGCCTCAAAGATTGGTGTCACTTTACAAGCTTCGATTTTTTTTCGCGTCGTTGGAATTTTTTAATTTTCACTCAAAAATAAAGAAAGTGTTAATGTATAACATACTCAAAATTCGGAAGCGTTCCTCACTTGGTTTTCAGAAACGCGACGATTTTCTGAAACTTGTCAGTTTTTTTCGTGTTAAATCTTATTTTTTCGCTTATTTTTGAAAAATACATAGTTTAAAAGTTTTTCAGCCCTGTAGAGCGTTGTCGATTACATAGATTAACAGAAACAATTCATTTTTAAAGTGGGACTTTAGCTAGTATAAACGCCTCAAAACCGTTTTTGCAACAAAAAAATCGTCATTTTGGTGGCGCGAAGGGGAGGGCTTTGCGCCCCCTAGCTAATATTACATTTTTTTCAAAAAAAGCTTAGTTTTTTTGATGGGTACATGAACAGCTTCGTTTTAGTTTGGAGAAATGAAGAAGAAGTTAATTAGATTTTTTTTGATGATTTTTGGCCTTATTCTTTTGTTGAGCACTCGTAATTTTTTGCTTCAACTTCGGTATAGTCAATTTTCACCGACTTGAACAGCGAGAGAGGCGGAGAAAGGGGCGGAACGCGTAGCGTGTGCGTGCGCGGTTCTTGGTACGAGTTGAATTCAACCGTCAGCTACTAATTTGAGAGCTTGTTTATCGCTCTATTCATTTTTTTTTAAAATCTTTATTTGTTTTTCTCGTTTTTGCCTTAAAAATTAGTAGAGTAGATACTAAAGAGCGGCGACCGAGCTTTTCAAATTCGACCTCAGATGAGATAAGTCGAAAAGGTAGTTTTTTAGAAGTTCACATGTATATTTCATCTGACTTTCTCGGAAGGCAACAATATGCCGTCGTAAGCCTCCCGGTCATTCGAGCATATTTTTTATTATCCGCCGTGTGTTCGTTGGACCAACATTCCGATGCGAATGTTATTTATGCGGTCGTTGAAACGAGTATTCGGTGAGAAACGGCTTCCCGACGGCATTTCGCGGCTGGCAAAGAACCTCTGAAGAAGTTGCGTTGTAACTGTCGCCTGCAAAAAAAAAGAAGAACATCTCGATTTTGACCTTTTTTCCAAACAATCACCTTCCAAGCTGATTCAATGCATAAGAGTTGCAACATACGCGGCGAAACTGGTTAACCCGGCCTTCGTTTTGAATTTAATTGCCAGACTGGTCAATTAAAACGGATAGATTATGCAACACGCCCTTCAACTCATCCGAAACGCTTGATGTAGCCGTTCCGCCTCATCACTCGGGCGCGACTCTCAATCTTCATTCATTTTTTTCGCTTCATATTTAGAAATCTCTCAGAAAATGTTCCGCGAGAAGAAAATTAGGTAGGTTTTCGAAAATTCCTCTTTTCGTATACATCATGCCATTTCTTGAACAAAGGATGATTTTTTTCTTCTCACATTTCAATCTGGCAGATATTTAAATACAAACTAATTTTTTTCTCTTTTTTTATTTTTATAGAAACTTTTTTTGAATCGTTTTTTTAGCCTGGAGAATCGTACAGAAATCATATTTTGATATTATTTATTCAAAGAGTTTTTCGAAAGTGGGCTAGCCAAGTCATGTCTCATTTCAATTAAATTTTTCAGCTCTGCGTTTCGACTTTTTCACAAATAATAATTTTGATGGAACAAAGACAATTAATGTGACCGAGATCAGAAGAATTCTGGTTCTGGGTGAGTTCATCGGCTATCTGGCCCGACAAGATTTGCTGGAAGCTGCCGCAGGACACCCGCCTTTGTCCCCAACTCAACTCGGCGGCTCCTTTCAGCTGTCAGAAACATCAGCGACACTGTTCGGGCCACGCCCCTTTTCGGCTCGCAGCTGGAGACATTCCAAGGCGATCCGCGCAGTACGTCCCCACCCTTTTACGACTTCTTTGTTGACTCCTTTAACACTTCCTCTATCTCACCGTTTTTGCGATGATCATCGTTAGTCATTTTTCTTGATGAGACTCAACTTTTTTCTTTGCGAAGAAATCATTTTGGAAAGTGTTAGACGTTCAGAAAACTTTACTCATTATAATCGATTGATTGAAATAATGACAGTTCAAAACGGATGTGTTTTATTTTTACGAAGAAAATTTTTTCAAATTGAGTAAAAAGCAAAAATTAGAGCTTTTCAATGAACTTCTCGATCAAGAGAAGCATTTTTTTAACCAGAAAAAAATTATTCAATCCGAATCGTATGAATTTAACGAAAAACCTGAATACTATTTTCTGTACGACTTGAGAAGAATTACGTCCGAAAGCAAGAACTCATAGTTTAATCATTACTGTTCTTAATTTATGTCTTTTTGAAATGTAGAACTCATCGTCTGCTACAGTAACCCTGTTTTGCGACTTCGTCCGTTTTGCTTTGTTTCAAACCAGATACTTTCCTTTCACTGTCTAACTTTTTCCAAGGACACGAGCACTCTCTGCCGATTTCCGAAGGTTTTTGTGGTCCCTTCAAATGAGATGAGCTCATTTTCATGGCTCAGCTTTCACCAAATTTTTTGCCCGGAATGTTACATGTGGGCAAAACGAAAGTAGTTTTGGACTCGTCGAGCCGCCTCATTAGGACTCTGCGAGCTCCGGGGTCACGCAATCTCGGCTCTATTCATGTTTGGATGTCAGCTTGATCCGAAAGCTCTTGTACAGCCTTCCGAACTAGGCGATCGGAACCGATTTAAAAAAATGGCTGCTTTGAAAGGCTGAACCGAAATTTTCAATTTATTTTTATCAAATTGGTTAAACACTCGAAGGTCTTTTCCAAATAAGGTGAAAAAGAAATTCCCGTATTCACACCTAGTTTCCAAATTTTTGACAATAAGTTACTTTAAAAGAAGATCTGTGGAAAAGTCCAGTCTTAACACCTCTACCGCATCCAATTCCTTTGAAATATTGTTTTTTTTTTCAAACTTTCGCCGCTCACGCCGATCCGGTCAGTTGAAATCTGATCGCCGTGGATCTCGAAGATCTTCCTGCGAGCCAAGCCACGCCCCCTCCCATTCGGAGCTTTTCTTTGTGCTCCTTTCTTCCAGAAACTCATGCGCGAGCGGCCAGTTACAAACGAAATGAAAAATTTTTTCCGCGGCCAATCCATTTGGCTTTCCCATTTCTCGCGTCGAGCTCACGTCTGAGCCGTTTTTTTTCCGTACTGAGCAAATTCAGAGCAGTCGAGAACCTATTCGTCGAACTTTCCATGAGTTATATTTTTTTGAGGAGCTTTGTAATAAAGAATCGTTTTATATTTTAACAGCCGATTTTTTCAGAGGAAACCTTAAGATTTTTTTTATTTATCTTTATTTTCAAGCTTTTAAAAATTTTCTACAGTCTACCTGTTTTTGGTGAAAGTTTTGTTCTTCATGAAAAGAGAAAAAACGTTTTGGACAGTAAAATTTATATTGTACTCATTCGGAACGCTCACATTCAGTCACTCCTATCTATCAACAATTCAGTTTTTTGAAAATTGCTTCTGCTTTTCTTGCCTTTTCGGCTTTTCGCCCTCGCCTGTTGGAACTCAACCTGAATTCGAGCTCAACTTCCATTCGAAGTCTCTTCTCAATTTCTACAGGCTTCCAGAAACAAGAGCTCGAGCCGATGGTGCGATGTGGATGATGAAAGCTGCGCTCGCGGTGCTCGTCGCCGTCGACGTCGTCGCGTCGCGCAGGCTTCCCGACGTCTTTTGGAACTCCACCAACACCATGTACGTCGTTATTGAGCTCTTGATACTGAGGTAGCAATTACGAAGAGCAGAGACGCGTTCATAATTATAATAATGGTTGGCGGAGGAAAATGAAGTTATCGGAGGTTAGCATAACAACCGCTTGGCGTATGCAAATATCGGCCAAGCGGCACTTACGTAATTAAGAATAGCTGTGACGGGGGCTGTCGCCTAGAAAACGCCTTGGCTCCTTCGTTAGGTTGGCGAGAATTGCAAATTAGGCCCGTTGGAGCGCATTATCTGTAATTGTTCGGCTGCCAACACGGCCTCCTGCAACATCTGACGAGAACGGCTCCAAGGAGACTATCTTTTAGACAAACAAACCATTTTGAGAATCTAAAAACAGCTTCTTTATTTTCAGAGGAAGAATTGCTTTAGCACTGAGACGTGTAACTTACAAAAGTGACCTTCCATGTTAGATGAAAACATATGAAAGCTTTGACAAAGGGGATTCTTGTTGAAAACGTTTGAAGTTTGAAAAAACCGACCGAGAAATCCGCTTTTACTGTTAAATGACTCGGTGATAATGCTCGGAAAATAATAATGGTTAAATATTCAGCGCGATAAGGTATCAAGTAGAAGCCTGTGGATAACTGTCCAGAAACTTCTTCAAATTTCTTCAATCTTCCTATATTTCAGATGAAACTTTGTCTCGTTTGACACATTAATGGATGTTTTGAGCACTCGTTTTCAAATTGGATGAAATAAACTGGGCTTCTCATTTTTTCAAAAATTTTTTTGTGCGATCTCGACCGATGTCTTTTTTCATATATTCTTCAGAAATTTCTCTTCTTTCCGGTTTTTGCTGCCGCTGAAGCATGTACCTAGACTCTTGGATCAATTCAAATAGGCAGACGTTTGGAGTCACAATTGAAAAAGATCTCTCGAGAAATACTAGTTGAGGGCTGTTTTGGTTGTTCCGAAGAGAAGACTCGGATCTTCGGCGCGATCTCGTGTAGTTCATCAACGGTTACCCTTGACCGTACCGACGTTGTCCCCGATCAGTTATCGATTGCGTCTATTTTACGACAAATGAGCTCTGGACCGTGTACACTACGCAACGATGTCGGTTATCTAGATGATCTGCGAAAAGATGGAGAATGACTTGGATATTGGTGCATCGGATTTCGGAACGAAGCATTCATGAATATGAAAAATTATTTTTGTTGATTGAAAAAAAAAATTGAAAAAGAGAGTGGGAAAAACAGGAAAAATATAGAAGTAATCTTTTTCAGGACTTTCGTACATTGCCGCTAGATAATCCCGGAAAAAACACGTTTTTGAAATCTTTATCAATCTCTTCAAATAAAGTTCTCGTGTTCAGTTTCTGAATTTTTTCCAGTTCAGGTCTCTGGCTGCCTGTTTATTGGACCGATGAGAAACTTTCTAAACTTTTGAACTTTCTTTCGAAGTCCGTTCATGAAAATTTGCTGATTTTTTTCAGTTTCGAGTGACTAGTCTAGGTTATTAGCAAAGGCTGGAATTTAAAAAATACTTTGACTGTGTTGAAACTTTTCAAAAATTTCTGTTCAAATGAAATTTCTGTTCAAAACTTTATAGGATTGATTTTAAGCTTCGATGTGTCGAATACCGACCACGTGATGAGCGTCCTGATCGGCGACCGGCTCACGATCCGTTGCCCTCGACCAGACAATCTCCGGCCCTATGAGTACTCTTACATTTTCATGGTGAGCTTTTTCAAGGCTCCAGCCATTTCCTGCTCTTCGAGGCGTTCACAAGACCGCAAAAAAGCACGTTCCGGGTGTTTGATTGCCTTTTGAAGCGTTCTCATGCCTCCTAGCGGCAAATTGAGCCATTTCTGAACGCAAGAAGTCCCTCCAAATTGGAAAAAAAAACTAATTTTTTGAGGTTTCCGAGGAAGAGTACAGCCACTGTTTCCTGAAAGAGCCTCGGCTTGTCGGGGCCTGCGACAACGAAACCAACGAGGTGAGAAATGATCAAGGTGTTTACCGAAAAAAAGACTGCAGATATCGATGAACATTGTCTTCCGCCAATTCACTCCAACACCTGGCGGCTTCGAGTTTGAACCTGGTCACACCTATTATCTCACCTGTGAGTGAAGTTCTGGAAAGAATAGTTGGAACTTGAATGGTGTCTAACCAATTAAGCTCCCGAAGGGATCTTCGATGTTACAGACGAGAATCATGGAGGCAACCAAAACTTGCATAGTTTATTTTACTTTTTCCGAGGGCAAAAGGTTTAAAAAATAGAGACTTTTGATGTTCAAAATGTTGATTTAGTACATGAAAGCGTCTTGTGGGTAATTTCATGGAAACCCTGAAGTTTGAAGTATAGTTATCATCATTGGATGGAATAGTTGGAAGTTCTGGCGCATAATTTTTTTTTTCCAACGTTTCTCATCAAAGTAAAATGTTTAAGCAACGTCTGATGGAAGTCAAAAAGGCATTGGAAGGAGAAAAGGAGGTCTCTGCGAAACTCATCAGATGAAGGTCAAGTTTGACGTGAGTTCATTCATCTTTTTTTTTGTACATTCAAAGAAAGAGATTTCTTATAAACGAAGAACCAAAAAACTCGATTCAGGTGTTCGCACAAGACGGCGGCCGTCCGAAGTTCGCCGCGAGGATAAACAGGTAAATTTTCTTTGTTGTAATGATCCTTCGACCAAGGTGATGTCAGAATATTTTCTATTCTGTTTACGATTCAATTCGAAACGAAGTCGAAGTTCAGAAAAGACGAGGAGACGTCCTCGACGCCAGTCATGTACGTCATTCACAACGACGAGGAAGACGACGGTAATTATTTCTCATGACAAGATTGTTGCCTTAGCTCGCCATTTGGGAGAAATTTCATACCTAGTTTCAGAAACTGGCAAATCAAGTTTACTTCTAAAAACTAAATTCCATAGAAGGGAAAAAAGGTCGAAAAAGCGTCAAGAAATTGTAACTTTTGAAAAAGTATTTTTCCACTATTATAATAAGAGGGAGCAATCTTGAAAGGTCTGAATGGAAGAAAGATTTCGGATAGCGAAGAGCAACTCGAAGAGTTCAAAGAGAAAGATTGCAGACGACAACGCGGCGGCGACGACGACGATGCTGGCAGCTCTTCTCGTCGCTGGTTTGGCGTTTCCGAATTTCGCCCATATTTTGTGATTGATCGGCCGCCGCACCGTCCGCCATTTCTTCTGTTTCCCCACACCCAAACAAAAACTTTCTCCCGTGTTTACAGCTCTCGTACTTTGGTACAAGCTCCACAGTCATGTACTTTTGTGTCTCCGTTTATTTCTCTGATTTTTTCTTGGTAAATTGCCTTGTTTTTGAAGAATAATTTCGAATTCCAAAGATATTTTCGTTTTCTTTCTCAAAGTCTTGATATTATTTTGAAATTGATGTTTCTGTTCACAGCGTGAAAAATGGATAGTATGTTCCTACCAATTCCCATATGATTTTTAATTTACGAATTTCCAATGCCACGGGTTGTAAATTAATCCAGTGTTTTTTTCATATTTAACATTCCTTTCGGTTTTTTTGTTATTTCATGTGTTGAAAAAAACTGTGATTGAAAAAGTATTAATAAAATGATTTTGAATGTTAAGAAACCTTGTCTTTGAAGAAAAGAACACTTCAAAAAGAAAAGAGGTCGTCAAATTCTTCTGTATAATCTCGCGTTCAACTTTCTGTGCCATGGAAGTTGTGGAGGAGCCGATGGTCAAACCCCTCGCGAGGTTCTTTTTTTGAGTATAAATAATTAATTTCGAAGATTGAAGCAAATAGAAAACTTTCAGATAGTGTACTTTTTCCTTTAGAAAAAAAGACAAAGTCCAGTGCGATCGAATTTTATGGATTTTCGGAAACTTTTTTTAAATGTCAACTTTTTTTAAATATCTTTTTCAAACTAAATTTCTCAACTTTGAGACCGAAGAAAAGTCGATGGCCGTCGGTGAGCCTTTCTCTGTGCTCCTTGATCGTCGCCGTCGGAGGCGCTTTCAACTTCGGATTTCAGCTTTTGATTACAAATCCAGCGCAAGAAGCCTTTATCCAGGTTCTCCGAAAAAGGTCAAATTATTCGAAAGATGATATTTTCAGTTTTTAAACGCTTCGAGGTCTTTAAGAGACGACGGCACTGACAATCTCAAGGATTTAGAAGTTTGTTCAGTTCTTTTTCGCACCAAAAGATTTTCAGAACGAATGGTCTTCTATAGTCGCCACATTTTTCCTAGGATCTTTTTGCGGGGCATTCTTGATCCGTTTAGTATCAGAGAGGTCAATGACTTCCTACTCTTGTAAGCTAAACTCGGTTTTTTAGGCTGGGTCGCAAAAAAGGCCTCATTCTTTCACACGCCATCCAAGCTTTCGGATGTCTCCTTACAATTCTTAGCTATTTTGTGAGTTTATTCGCGTTTTTGAGACAAAAAAACGATCAGACCGTGAATCACTACGTCTTCGTCGTTTCCCGAATCATCATTGGGATCGGTATCACGATTTCGATGGGAATTTCGGCCATGTTCATAACGGAATGCAGGTTTTTCTTTGCAAGAGTTGTTGAAAGGCGTCGAGTTGAGCCCCTGCGAATGTCGCGGCGTGACTTCCCTGGCCAACGGAACCATGCTTCAATGTGGCCTTGTGGTCGGCGCCGTTGCCGCGATGCCGCAAGTCAGTACTCAGAAAACTATTTCGAAGCAATCGTTTCGGATTTATCACTTGATGCTCAGCTGCTGGGTACGACCGAGAGGTGGTTCTGGTTGTTCGTCATCGAGCTCTTCGGCCTTGTTGGCGTATTGTCCGCTATGCCTTTTGTCAAGGAGTCTCCTGGGTTTTGCTGAAACCAAAAGTTGACACCGGAAATTGTTCAGGCATTTACTTGCTCACAATCGAAATTCCGAAGCCATTTCTTCCGTTCAATTCTACTACAACGTTACCCAATCCAGAGCGCGGAAAATTGTAGACGATATGAGTTCGTTGAAGTCTGGACAGAAAGAATCTCTAGTTTCTGTTTGGAAGGTAAGTCATTTTTTTTGAAGCTTTTTTTTATTGATCTTTTCATATATTTTTTCAAAGATTTCAGAGAGAGAGTGTGTCTCGAAAATGAAGAATCGTTGAAAAACCTTTTCCGATTGACTAATTACTCTAATTTCTGATCATTTTTATAATATGCATTTTATGAAAAAGACTCGAAAAATCATGCAAGCATGTCCCTTTTTGAGAGGTAGACAAATAGAACATTGTTCCGACTGGGACCCAATCAAATTGAGGATCCCTGGACCCGACGCGGGACCCTCATCGGCTGTTTCGTCATGTGGAGCATGGCGATGAGCGGAATTACAGGTTTTTTTTAAAGTTTTGTTACAACTTTCCTGACCTTTTTTTTTTAGTAATAAACGCTTTTGCCTTCGAGATCTTGGTGAACACGGGTCTGAATCCCTTTGAAGCCTCCTTGGCCAATGTTTTCGTTTGTCTTTTCTCTGTGGTTAGTCAGTTCGACACAATCCGATGTTGTTTGGAAAATCAGTACTCATTCAGCTGGGCATTCTGATGTCAACGACGATAATTGAGAGTCACGGACGTCGTCCTCTGCTTCTGTCGACTTTCGCTTGTCTGGCAGTAATCAACGTCGCCGTCTTCGGCTTGATGTTTGCCTTCGGAAGGACCAAGGTCCCATCCGTCGGCCTCGCCCTCGTCGCCGCCATCTGCGTCTTCAATTTCGTGTTCGCCATGGGTCCCGGGCCGCTGTCGTTGTTCATCTCTGGCGAACTGGTCGGCCAAAACGCGCGCTCAGCCTCTGCCACTTGGGCCAACGCCACCATGGCAGCGACGTCAGTTTTCCTTCATTCATACTCAATGATTCATTTATTTTTTAATTAGCTTGTCCTCATATTATGAATTTTTAGAAGATCAGTCCTTCTTGCGGTGTACATACCTTTTAAAAATGCGACTTCTGAATCCACTGCTTACATCGCTTTTTTCCTTTTCCCCATGGTTAGTCTCAGCTACAGAGCTACCAAATGATGAGAGAAATCTTTCAGGTATTTGCAGTGTTCGTTTTGTACTTCACTCTCCCTGAAACCAAGGGAAAAACTGTGGAAGAATTGCGCGAAAAAGCGTTGAGTAGGCGTTTATTGAAATGAACCTGAGATTAAGAATTTGCTCGAACTGAATCTGTGTTTATAGCTTTATGAAACAAGGACTCGTATGAATGAAGAGCATTGAAGACTTGTGTAGAACATGCAAAAGTTATCAAAGAGAGGAAGTGAATTTCAATTTTACGAGGAAACCCTTCAAGGCAGTGTTGTGAGACAAGACAAGGGAGGAAAGCACTTTGACCCGTTTTCCGAGCGGAGAGAAGAGGAAGGAATCACTTCTGACGGCGACAGACAAGGCGTCGGAAGGCCGAACGAAAGTCCCTCGAGAACGCCGCGTACAGGATCGGGTTGACTGCCGAGTTGGAGTAGCCAAGCCAAAAGGCGACCACGTACAGGCGGTCCGGAATGCAACCAGCCTCCACCGTGCACAGAGAATACGCCTCAAATCGTGTTCATTTTTTTGTTTGTGTGCAAAATCTAGAAGCCGAAAAAGCTTTTTTTGGTTTTCCGTCCTCATCTCAGAAAAATTAGGCTTCATAGTTATTTTTTTGTCTGTTTTTGATTTGTTACTGTATTTTTTTCTAAAAATAAAAACCTAGAAGTTAGCAAAAAAATGCATTGCAAAAAAAAAGAAAGTGAATAAGATGGAAAAGAAAAATTTTTTTAGAAACTTTCAAGGCTTTGTGGAAGAGAACTTCAAAAGCTTTTTTGAAAACCTGTAAAACATAAATGGTAGTGAAGGGGATCCAGCAGACGACGAAGGCCGCCACGACGACCGCCGTCGTTCTGGCGACCCGAAGTTCAGTTCTTATCGAAGAGCGAGTCAGTCGTCGTCTACAGGTCAAAAAGTCAAAAGATATGCAAGAAATGATCTGAGGATGTCCTCACTGGGTGATATGATGTAGAAGATTGGTTTTCTTGGCCTCGATGACTCCAAAAACAAGTGCGTGACTGAGGAAAGTTCGCAAAGTCGGCGTCGGAACCAGGAGCTCGGCCGGAGGTGGGCTTGTTCCTGCGTTGGACGTTTTCTTGGACGTTTCTGAGTTAGGTTTTTTTCGAGTTTTTTCAAGAGCTAAAAATTGAAACCTTTCTGTGAGAAAGATTCTTCTTGCTTCGAGTCTTCCCTTTTGAACTGAAATTTTCATTTCCTAAAGGCCTAAAGTAAAAAAAAAACCTTTTTCGAAGTGCGTTTCCGATGACCACGATGTACGCGCATTGACGTGCCGTCTCTAGCAAAAACGGTAGTTTTTCTACTGGTAGTGAGAACGGTGCAGAATATTTGAATGTTGAGCAAGGTCTTTAAAAAAAAGAAGATGAGAATCGTATGAGTAAGCAAACCATGACTATGGCCGGCAACACAAAAGACGCGAGCGCCGAAAAGATTATGTACAGGGACGGGAGCGTCGTCGGCATGCACTGTCGTCCTGCGTCGACGGCGTTCTCTGGGGATTCGCTGAATACGTGAGGCCACGTCTCCAGGCCGAAGAGCACGCAAGCGAGCGCGAGAGAGCAGAGCCACACAAGAGAAGTCATCAGACGGACCACTCTGGAAGGCAGAAGTGGGGGGAGCTCGGAGAGAATCCAACTTGGTGGAGGAGATTATAGGGTACTTGATTGGCTGTCGCACGGCCATGTAGCGATCGAAGGAGATGGCCAGTAGGTTGTAGATGGACGCCGTAGAGAACCAGACGTCCAGACTCAGCCACAAACGACAGCCGACGCTGCCAAACGCCCACGTCGACATGTGCTCCTGGAATCTGATCGACGTCAGTCAGAGGGAAGGAAATTTGCACCTGGGCGATGGCGAAAGGCAGGATGAGAATTCCAAGAAGCAGATCGCTGATGGTGAGCGACAAGACGAGCGAGTTGGTGGACGAGTGCAGGGACTTTTGCGACATAATCACGTAGAGCACGAACAGGTTGCCGATCACCACGCACACGTTCACCGCAGCCAATGGCGCAGACGCGCCCAACATTTTGCGGTCAGAGATCTGAGCTGCTACGTCACTTCTCGATCTGCAAATTATCTTTCTTCGAATTTTCGAATTTTTCAATTGAAAAAGAGGTTAAACGTGTAGCACTTCAGTTCAAATGAATAATCTTTGTGCGTGTTGATTCGAATACATCACGTTTTTTTTTATTTCAAAAAATGCTTTGAAAACATCTGGCTTGTCAACGTGTTCTCTCATCTAAAGATTGGAAACGAACAAATAAGTGAGTTGGAAGTTTTATAATAAGTAGTGTTTAAAAATACATGATTCAAAGGAAACCGAGTTTTCCTGAGCGCCAGAGCTCTGAAAGGAAGAAAAAGAATGGAAAGTGCAACGGCCTTCGTCGAGGTTTTTCGTTTTACTCCACCGTAGTGTGTTGAAAATTTAGATTATTCATAAGAAAGAACATTAAATAGCTGTTCTCAAGTAGAAGAATCTGCTTTTCAATGATGCCTCGACGAATATCTTGCAAATAAGTACTCGGCAGAATAATGCATGACATTCGGCGATTTTTCCAGCACCTTCTCTTCCTCGACAGGCTTTGCCCTTTTTTTGAAGTGAAGTTTAAAGAAATTAGAAACATTCAGCGCAAGTTTTATTTATATTGTCCTTCTCGTCTGTTTTTAAAATATATAGATTCCTCCCTCACCGTGAGCATCCCATTAAAACCAGTATTTATTCCAGAAACGCGAGTTTGGGTCGGAATGATCTCAAAAACAACCACAAAAACAGAGCCTTAGGCGATAGGAAGCTGTCTTTCAAACTCAATATTTAGGGAAACGCAACTGGGACGATGATTGAAAAGACAGCAAAAATGAAAGAATCTATCGTCAAAATCATGTGATTTTCGCCGTCGAAGAAGTTTTAACTGGTATTGAAAAGCAAGAAGAGCAGAAAAAAAAAAATGGTCTCGTTCCAAGGAAGTCACAGTTCATTCATAAAAAATTATTCATTAACTTCGGAGACATCTTATTCTTAGACTTACAATAATAGTCTGAGAAGCCACAGGGTCGGAATCGTCTTCAAAATGAAAACATTTGGATACCGATCTTGTCGAGTCTTTTGAAGAAAGTTGAGAAAAAACCGAGAGAAGGAGTACCGAAAAGTAAAAGTTGAGTTGGGGCGGAGCCACGTCGCCGATAGACTAATCATGTGACCTCAGAAGCCTTTCCCTCTACATTCCTTTGCGTTTGCTGTTTATCCGAAAATTCAGCAACCTGAGTTGAATTCAACTCTCGACAAGGTCAACTAAGGATTGAAAAACTGCAGCGGCTTTTAAATGGGAGGAAAAACTATTGGAGCTCTACTAAGCGGCGAGGGAAAACGGGAGCCAAGGAAGAGGAAGCCGGAACAACAACAAAGTGGCCGAACTCTTGTCAAACTGATTCTGTCGGTGAATGGCGCTTGCGTAACCAAGTTTGGCATTCGATGCGCATTCTCGTTTGAAAACGTTGAAAAGCAACATAGATTTACAAGTACAGGGACACTCGAACTATTTTTAAAAGTAAACTAGGGCGAAAAAAGTTTTGAAAATTGAAGAAAAAACAAAAGGCATTTTTTTTTCCTTAACCGTTTTGAAACTGGTTAATGTTTTTGACGATTTCGTGTTCTTGAATAAAACTTTCGAAGAAACGCATTTGAATGAGTCGAAGCAAATGGCAGATTAAATGCTGAAGCTCCATCAATAGAATAGTGGTAGAGGCAATTAAGAGAAATTTCGTTTTGTTTTTGAAGCGTTCTCGAAGGTAATAAATCGGTTCAATTTTTTTCCCAATTTATTGGGAGTCAAACTAGAACGGTGAAAAAGAAGACACTGAGAGATATGCGAAGCACTGGGAAAAAGGCAGAGATTTTCCTATAATCAATCCAGCTTCCGAATACTAAGAACTATGGTTTGCAGAAAACGAGCCCTTTTCCCATTACACTCTAGGAAATAAGAATGGAAGGAAGTCGGAAATTGTCGGAGAAAAAAAAACATTGATTTGAAATTATAACATATATCGTAAAAGCACAAAGGAAATATGGAGCCAATCTGCGAAATCGATTTCGAAAGGTGCTAAAGTTCTCCATAACATTGAGAAAAATATGAAAATTATCAAGACAGCTTTCCAGGTCCTAAGAATGCTCTTTTTTTAACCAAGCCAATTATTTGCCTACCCTGCCTCTAAAGTTCAATGAAGGGTGATCAGCCTTTGTCGAGACTTTTTGTCCTGACTCACGAAAAATACACCTGTTAAAACTAATCTGCACACTGGACATTTCATTAGCGAAAAAATTTATAGATCTGGTGAAAGGAAAAAAAGAGATTCAAGAAGAAAATCTAGAAGGAAATCTTCTCCCTAGAGCTTTTATGAATTTCGTAAAGAACCGAATCTTTTCCTAAGTGTTCTGACAACAAGATGAACGGCATCTTTGAAAAAAAAAGATTTTTTTCTCTATTGGCTGCGTTTTCCCATCTCGAAAAACTTCAAGCTCCCAATAAAGCAACTTTCCATAGAAATTTCAAGGCTGCGCAAAAGTTTTGCGGACTTCTGAAATTAGATGCAGGTTTTGAGAGACTTTGAATTTTCAATCTAAAGGAATTAATGGAAGGTTTTTTGAGTTTCAGGCCCATTCAAACGTTTAGTTTTAAGAATCAGCAGGCTCTGGACCCGGAAAAAACAAATGCGACGCGCCTGAAACTCGAAAAAAAAAAATGACATTTTCGGTTTTTTGTTTACAATTCCCCTAATTTTGATCCGACATAGAAAGAGAATCGCCTGTTTTTTTTTCATTTTCGAGGGAACCTAGACAGCTGCCAACGAATTGGATTCTCCAGGAAACCTCAATTCCCAATTGAAACATACGAGAAAGAATGTGGAAAATTTCATTCGAAAGCCTGTTTGGAAACGAAAAGCAGCTACCGCGTGGACAAACTCCGTGATATCAAAAAAGACAAGAAACGATGTGAGAAGTTCAAAAAAATGTGAGGCGTTTGGAGACAGAGAAGAATTGAGGAAGCAGAAGTGTCCGGAAGATATTCGGCCGAGCAAATGATTGCGGGAAGCTCGCAGAGGTCCAGCACTCTCAGAAACTTTCCCTCCTACCAAAAGCAAGAAAGAAAACTAATAAACTTGATGCAGTAAGAAAATTTGCTCACTCTTTCATTTTCTTTCCCACCCACATGTCAATCTGAAAATAAGTTGAGAAAAACCAGAACTTTTTCTCAGAAACCTCGATAACAATATTTTTTCTTTCAAGTTTTCCATCTGTTTTATAGTTTATCTGGTATTTTGAGATTTATCTTTTGACGTTAGAGGCTTTTGTTCATTGAAAGATAAAATCAAAAAGTAAAAAAACCATTGAAGAGCTAGAATTTCAGGAAAAAAATTTGAAGAATTTTTCAGGAATTCTTGCACTTTTTCCTGTATAAAATCCAACTAGACTCGCAACCACCGAGTTTTTTTTCCTGAGAAATATTTTTGGGATAAAAAAATTGACCACAAATAATGCAAAAAAGCGTCTCGATTGGATTAGATGAGTCCGGTTGGTTGATTCGCTGGCGTGTTGATGCGTCGAAGAGCTGTTTTCATTTTTAATCTTTCAAGAATTATTTTGTGGTTAGAAAGCTTCGGAATTTGAGAATAAAATTGAAGACACACGACTAATAACTTCTCAAATTATTCAAGTGGTCAGCTGCCGGCACCAACCTTTTTTAGCTGTTGTTGCTTCACTGTCAAAAATAAAAAAATTGGAGTTTTAGAGTCAAATTGACTCAGTCTATGTTCTCGGTTTTTGACGGTCAGTTAAACGAAGTTTCGCTCAATCATTCGACTACACAGCCACGTCACAAATACATTTCCTGCGTTACTCGGATAGATCAGAATAAGATCGAACGAAAACTATAATTACAAACAAAAATAGAGGAAATTAAGATTTATATCATCAGCTAAAGCAAACTGGAGCTCGGCTACATTGACCAGAAAAAGTTTTTCAAGCAAAGCAGTCTGTATAACGTCGCACTTTTCTGGATAGCAAGCTACTTTCCTAGGCACAACGCTATAATTACGAGCTTTCTCAAAAATAAAAAAATAAAACTGAAACTTGTGTCTTTCAGGATCTAAAGGAAAGCTTCTTTCTCGGTGTTCGACAGAAATTTAGAGCTTTTCAGTGGATGACGATTAAAATCGAGAAGTTGGCATGAAGCCAGGTGATTTGGAAGCTGAGACTCGGTTTTTTGTTCCTTTCGAGGGCTCTTGATCCCCGGCTGCTCAGCCTCATGAGCATAGTTTCTCCTAATCTGTCAGGGAGGCCGACGGACCGTCCACCCGAGTACTGCAAATACCAACAGAGGCTCGGCTGTTTGTCGTCACCCGTCGCCTTTCGTTTCCTTCTTTCCCTTTTTACGCTGTATCTTTTTCTCCGCTCACTTATCCTTCTGTACTAATTAGTCGAGCTATTAACTTTTCTCCTTCTTATGCTGGTTTTTTCCTAAGACTTTATAGAAACGTGTTCTGGCCGCACAATCTGATATTCTCATGATATTCACCAGCCTTTTCAATTTCTTCTAAGTGTCGCAATTTTTTCTGAAGCTGCTCCCGCTTTCTCTTATCCGACCTTTCATTTGTAGTTTTGATCCACAAATTCTCGAAATTTTTTCAATCTGTTCTAGCTGTAGTAACGAGCATGTAAAGATGACATTTTTTATTCCTAACAAAATTTTGAGAAGAATAAAAGATCGAAAATAGCCCTAGAATTGTATACTATTTGAACTAGCTTCCGTTTTCTAATTCTTGCCTACGTTCCATATCCGAAATCTTTTCCACGGAAGATCATATCGCTCTGAATTTAATCCAAATAGATTCGAAAAACCAAATTCAATGTCTCCCGGAAAGTATCTGAGAATTCTTATTGCTCTTTGAATTTACCAAAATCTTTTCTAAATTATTTTTCTCAGGCATTTTAATATCATATTCCCTGAAAATCTCCCACTTTATTTTTATTCATTATTTTTTCTTACTGCTCTGTGTTATCTTATGACTATTTCTGACCTCTCTGGTCCTTCTTTACTCAGTGAAGACTCTTCTGACCCTCAGTGGGCAGTCAAGAGTGGATGCCAATGCGAACGGCGACTCTGTCGGATCTCGAGGTGAACCCGCGTGTGTAAACAGTTGTTCTTGGCTTGGCGCCTTTTCTTCGAGTTTTGACTGTTTTGCGGTCTTTATTGAACCAACCGGTCTGAGAAATCGAATGGGCAGACCAATTGGATTAATAGATAATTAAGTATTTATCAATGATTTTTCGATAGTTCTATTTGAAGTTTTTTTGAGTTGGCACTGCTACATCTTCAAAGATGCTCTCAACTTTCAGCTATTAATTCGAATTCGAATTGCTGGAAAAAAACACAGAATTGAAATTTAGAAAACCTTAATTATTAATTTTTATTAAAAAAACCTTAATTATTAATTAAGGCTTAATATGATAATGTCGTGATTTACCACTATAGACAAAATCTTCAAGTTTTTTGCTTTCAATGAGAAATGAATTTCGACATCACATAACATTTTGGAAACAGAAATTGTGTAGAAGAAAAAAAGCTTTTAATTTAAAATAATTCTTTGGAGTTGCAATGAGAAGCTCTAGGAGGCGGTGTATCATATAACGTATATGAAATATCTCAATCCTCATTTTTCGCATATTAACTTTGCTTTTTTCTTAGAAGAGAGAAGAGAGAAAAAATACGAGTTTATATTTTTGAATTCTCAGCTGTTCATGTCATGGGAAATTGGATTTTCAATACCCCAAACGCTGGCCGGTATTACTAGAAATGGAATCTTGCGGCCCTCATTCTCATCTTTCCACTGAATGCGAAGCTCTTTCCCGATTTGAAAGTAACAGAGTTCCTTTTTTGGAGCAATCTTAAAAAACTGGAAAAGTTGAATCCATCAGAGAGCGTGTTTGTTTGTCGTGGCGCATGATGCCTGTACTCATCTGAGCTCCAGCCACTTCGCTCCGGTCACTCACCACCACGTTTCGTTCCGTTTCGTTACCCCTTCACACCCTCAGGCTCCACTCGATATTCGACGCGATCGACTTCAGAGTCGCCCACTTGACGTGTCCAAATACCGACACCCTTTTCGATACTTCGCGACTCTGACAGTTGTTCTTACAGAATGGCTCTGAAATCTAAATGTGATTTCGAAACCTCAAAAGACGATACAAAGGAACGAGAAATCTATTTAACACGACAAGCGATACGAAAAAATTAGAACTACCAGCATGATGTAGAAAAATGATGACGAAAAAAATTCTTGTAAGCGACCCGAGTTTGAGAGTAAATGAGAACAGCGTCGTGTGCCACAATATAGAAAAACGCTCTCTGGTGAACCAGTACTCAATTCTCAAATGAATGAAGAACAATCAAATGCCAGACTGTATGAAATCGCGGCAAAATAAATATACTCTAACGTAAATGTTGGTGTGACCCGCAATGAATCCCCAAAAAGTAGACTTTTCATTGATATTTTCGGTACAGCCCGCGTTCGACTTGGATGGCCCCTTAAGGCACCCAGTCGAAAAAAAAAGTCTCCCTTTGAGCTAAAGTAAAAACTTGAAAATGGTTGTATTGGGAAATAAACCATTCAGAAATCGTGTACAGAATAAGTACCTTGGCATTTGAAGCTGAACGGGGTGCACCACTGGTTACAATGCGGGGTGCACCGAGAGTTCAGCGCAGGGGGCACAGCTACTTTTGTTGGAGTACTTGTTCTATATTTTTCTATCGAATTTTCGCATCGTTTTCCGTCCGACATCGTTGTAACAATCTCGGAGAGGTTATAGCCAAATTTGACTTTTTGATTAAACTATAACTCATTTTCGACTTCATTGATACTCTTAATCCAACTGTTCAGTGAGAAACATACTGAAAACTATTTTTAATCAAGGAGAACTCGATTAAAAAAAGGTTCGGCTTTTTTTGTCTCCTATGAGTACATTACTAACTTTGATTTTGCCAAATTTTCCCACATTTTTCGTACTCGTTTTCATCATGGCTCAGTTTTTTTTCTTTCTGGAAGACAAGCATCAAGAAACAAGATAGTCGAGTTTATCATTAGGTTTATCGGACCTTGCGAGCCGAAATAGGACTTTGGCGCTATTTTGGAACAATCTCCCATTGTCCAAAACAGCCGCACTGCTTAACAACGAAAAAAGCGTCGGATATCAAGCGTGCAAACAGTGGAACACGGCTGGAGGGAGTCCGGCAGCCGCGGGTGCTGCCGCGCCTAATCGGGCTGATCCGCAGAACGAATGTCACGACGCTCAAACAACTGACGTCCGGTCGACGTTCCAATTGCCCAATGGCGTCTTTTGTTTTGTCCTTGACTAGGCTTTTCCTCCGATACGCTCTGTAACATATAGTCCGCCTTCTGTCACATGAACAATGTCTAACACTTTCGTCTTCTTGTGCGCTTCATTTTGTTCTTCAAACCGATAGGACGTGAACTCACGTCGAGGTTTGATGATTCTGGAGTCTGGCCATACCACTCTTTGGCATACAATGAAATGTCCAGAGAGTCTAAACCCGCACTACTTCCTATTTGTCAAGAAGGGACGCCTAAAAAGTCGCTTTTCTGAACACTGCGCAAGAAACTAGAACCTTCAAGCTTTCGTTCGGAAAAAATAAAAAGTTGGTCGGGAAGAGGCTTTTAGGGTTTTCATCTAATTAACAAAATTCCAATTTTGACCATTGCTTGAATTTCAACTCAGAAAGTTCACTTTAAAAATATCCGGTTTCACCCTTTGTTTATGATTATTTTGGCTTTTCTCGCCAAAAATTTTTGTCGTTCTAACTTAATACAATTTTTTATTTGAACCTAAATTTATTTCGGCTACTTCTTGTTGCCATTTTGAAAGACTCTTGAATGTGTTCGTTTTTTTCCTTTCTCCTTTTTTTCCTTTGGTAATTTTTTTCATCCTTCCAAACCGAGATCCTCTTTCATATTCATATAAATAGGGACCGCCAAAGTCTTTTTTTTTTTGCTTATAAAACCTTCGGACGGAGAAGGTTCTATTTCTGGCTCTATCTTCTAGTCAACTTTTTCCCACAGCAGTTTCAGTATTATTTAAATAAGGGGTTTCTTTTAAAAAAGACTACTGAAACTTTTTTCTCCTAAACAGGGTTTTGTTTGAAACTTATTTTTTTCATCGGACTGCGCATACTTTTTTTCACTAATTTTGTTTCTTCTCTTCTTTACTTACTCTGAGTCTTCAATCTGGAAATCTTTGGTAGTTTTCATTTCTTCAAATATTTTTTCGAAGTAGTTAAGCTAGTTTTTGATCTGAAAACAATTCACTCAGCAAGAGTTATCAATAACAATTATTTTTTCTATCTTTTGACAACTTATTATGTTTTTCATGTCGTCACGAAGTGATACTAAATTCTACCTATCTCATCTGTTTTTTTGAAACTTTGACTGAGGAATCTAATTCATTTTCTTCACGCTCTTATCAAAATACCGTTCGCGTTGTGATTAAATTAACTTTCGCTTTCAATTTAAGCATGAACTGCATTATTTTGCCGTCGTCGAACTTCGAACCAAGCTCAAAATGAGGGGTTAATCAAATACAAAAAGATAAAAAATGTTGTAATCCGCAGCTCAGGACAAAGACTGTTGTCCGTGTAGCAAAGACTCTCAAAGTTGGAAAAACCCTCGAAATGGGCCGCTTAACTCGGTCGTCTGGGTGCTCGAGGCAATTAGTTGTTCTCGCAGAACAGTCAGCCGTTTTTTGCAAGGGAAAGACAATGGTTGTCCACGAGACCTGGTCACTCGACCTGTTGACTTTCGTGCTCCGCCGTTCGACTCACCGTTTCGGCTCCCAACGGAGCCTCGGACTCACCTAAAACCTCACTAATTACCGGAGGATTCCACGCATATTTGCTAGAGCATTTGTGTTCGGCCGCCGACGCCGCTTTTCTTCCATTTCCTTGTATTTCCATTGTTGCGCTTTGTCGTCAAGTTTCTTTTCAGCCCACTCAGTTTTAAAATCATTCGTTATCATTGAATTATCAAATTATTTGAATACTCTGTTTTCCCGAAAAATATGAACAAATTATGAGACTTTTTTCCATGCTTAAAAGTAGTGATTTTTAAAATCACATTCCTGTCAGATTCTGAAGTGTTTATGCTCTATTTTCCATCGCCTCATCATTATTTTCTACTTTTGCCTTTTCAAGCTTTCCTCCCCTTGTCGATGCTCTTATCTATAAGTATTTATTTATATAATTTAAGAATAAATTTTTTTCACTTTTCACCGTATCGTACATCTACTCTCTCTTTTATCTCACCTCTCCTTGATTTGAAAATGAATTGTGAAGCTTCTGCCTAATGTACGTCGATCGGCCTAGTCCACTTACTGATTTTATCTATTAGTTCTTTTGTATTTTTCTGTGATATCTACTCGTTCCTCTGTGACTCAAAAATTTATAATTTTCCACCCGTTCTTTCGCTGCATGCAGCTCTTGTTTCCATGTGATTCAATTATTTTTTGATGCTTTTCATCTTGAAATTATGAAGATTCAGAGATACCTTAATGCGGAGGTGACGATGCAGGTACCGAAAATCTCCTTGTCGCCTCATAGGCTACTCCTTTTGGGCTTCCTACTAAACTATTGTCGCGCTCAAGATGTCTCTGATATTCCCGTTGTCTCTCTTCATGCTCCAGTACTACAGGTACCAAAAATTTACACCTTTTTAAACCAAAATGTATTGCTGAAGGTCTCCTCAACAGAAGGCTTTCTTCCGGAAACCGCTGAAATAGGAACAACCGTCCGAGTTTCGCCAAACATGCAGTCCGAATCGCTTCAAATTCTTGTCAACGATGACGATTTGGTTAGTCTTAAGGGATTCCATCTCATAGGAATGAAGGAGTCGTCTGTCAACAATGACGTTATTTCAGCATCCAGGAATGCCGCCGGCCACCTATCAGTACATTCTCACGGGCCTCGGAGCGACGATATTTGCTGTTGATCAGCGTGGCTTTGTGTATTTGAACGTTCCAAATATAGATGCAGATCCACCCAATCCGTCTACTTATCAGCTGAATGTGAGTTGGCTAATTTGGCCATTGTTAAGCGGCAGTTGTTCAGTCCGTATATCCTTTTTCGCTCCAACTTCTGCAGAATATTTCCCTACGCGTTTCAGTTTGGTCTTTGCAGGTCGAGGCCCGAGAGGTGAACACGACTCCGAACCGCCGCAGCGAGCCTGTCACCATCACGATCCACATCCTCGACGTCAACGACAATTCTCCTGTCTTCGAGTTTCCCATTTACACCGCCAACACCACTGCTTTAGGCTCCGACCGACCTGTTGTCAAGGTTCAACTTGATGTTCATCTTTCTCAAAACTGAACTTCTTTAAGGTGTTAGCGTCTGATGCAGACTCAGGAAACTACGGAAAGATCGTCTACAGCATTACACAGGTTCTTTTTTTTGCGAATCTTTTGATTTCACAAAGTTTTAGATCTCAGAGAGGTCTTTTCTCAAAGTTTTCAGAACCAAAGAAGGAGAAAACAGTTTCAGGTAACAAACGGAGCCGAAAACAAGTTCCGCTACGACGAGAACTCGAACATGCTGCTGGCGACGGACCACCTGACCCCTGGAGAGCGCTACCAAGTCGTGATCGAGGCGACCGACGGCGGCGGCCGTTCCTCACAAGCCATCGTCATCGTGCTCGCCACGGATCCGTCCTTCATGCTGTCCTCCTTGGCTCCGTTGCCTGGGATGGAGACCTTCTTGCCGAACCCCTACCACACAACTCCCACCACTGCCAGCACCACCAGTGCAGGTAACTCAAGCATGAAAGTTTTGATCAAATTTTCGAGTGGAATTGCTAAGTTCTTGAAATAAAGTTTGCTTTCAAGAACTTTGCTCTGAAAGGCTACGTTTTTCGAAGCGAAGTCACTGATATTTTGAAGCGTTAACTAAAAAAAAAAGTTTTTGAAAAATTTCGTCGTTTTATTAAATCATTTCAGGTCGTCCACCCAAAATAAGAAAAAAAAAAGCTCATGAATTTCCGAGAAAAAATGAAGAAATTGAAATCAGTTTCAAGATTAGCAAGAGAAAAAACGGTGCGATTTGCGAAAAATTCAGAATTACAGAAGTTTGTACAGTCCTTCTCCTATTTTATAGTCATACTATTGGCCTTCCGATTTGAAAGAGCTAAAACCTGTTTGTAGTGAGAAAAAAAAAAACTCAAAAAAGCGATTAAAATTAACTTTGTTTAATTTTGAAGTACATTTACAAAAGTCGACGGAGGGGCTACTTGTTCAAATAAGGCTCGTTTAGTTTTTGAATGATTTCCTCTGATTAGATTTTGTGAGAATGGGAAGATTTTCAGATTTTACGGTTGAAGTAAGGTTCATTTATTGTCTCTTCTGAAAATTATGCGTCTTTTTTCATATCTATGATTTTTCAGAAACAGAAGAGACGATACAAACGTTTGTCACCGAAGTCAGCGAGAACACTCCGCCAAACACGGTTGTCGTCAGTCTCGGAGTGAGTTTTTCGACCAAAATGAAAATCTTGAAAAAGGAGCGTAATAGGAATTTTTGGAATTGACAGGGTGACGAATCCAGCGAACACACCTATTTCAATATTGTGGGAGGCAACGAAGATGGGAAGTTCTCAGTTGATGAAATGTGGGTTTTGCATTGGAATATTTCGGTGAGAAGTCCAAAGAAACCGTCTTTTGTCCAAATATCAGTTCTTCAAAGGTAATTTGCATGTTTAGGGGCACCATAACCACGGCCGGAGAGCTGGACCGAGAAAGGACGGCCATGTACTCACTGCAGATCGAAACTCGCAGCCGCAATCCCGACCAGCATCTCTATTGGACATTGGTCCAAATCACTGTTCTTGTTAGTTTTCCTCGTTTGGATTATTTTCATGCTCTTCACAGAATACTTTACCAAATCTCATCGACTCTGTGAAAAAAAAAGTCGAAGGAAACCTTTTTTTTAGCTCATGTTCTACCTTCGGGGCATCATTTTTGTTCTGAAAAAACTGATTAGATGAACAGAAGTTTTTCGCTTTCCGGAACCTTACTATTTCAATTACAGTCCGTTCTAAAAATTGATTCTAACTGATTTATTTTAATCATTTCTGATTTTTTCTTTCTTTCAAGCTTAACTTGAGACAAAAAAATAATGAAGAAATGTTTTTTTGCCATTATTGAAAATTTTTGTTTTTATTTTTTTGAATGTTTTTATAATATAAATAAAAATAATAAATCTTCATTCACAATTAATTAGAGAATTTTCAAACTTGCCAAACCTATGTTTATCCAAGAAACTTTTTTCCATCGACAGGACGTAAACGACCACGCGCCACTGTTCGTCGGACCTCAGCCGATTCGCCTGAGACTCAGTATCGACGACATCGAGCAGCTCACACCAAATATGCTTATCGGTATGAGGATGAGCTGGAAAAGCCTAAACAAAAGAGTTTTTTTTTCAGGCAAAGTGATGGTCGAAGACGCCGACGCCGACGACAACGGCAGAGTGGAGCTGAGGATTCTGCCTCCGCACAACAAGCTTTTCGCCATTTCGAACGAAGGCGTCGTTTCGGTTAACGGAGACTTCACCGCCGTCCATTTCGGCGAACACGACGTCGTCGTCGCGGCCCGCGATCACGGCGACCCTCCCAAAGAGTCGCGGGCGCACATCCAACTCTCCGTCTTTGGCACTTTGATAACGGTCGCCACGGACGCTCCGACGGTAGGAGAGATCAGGAAATGAAGCCAAGCAGTGAATTCAGAACGAGGTATTTGAGTACACCTCCAGCATCGAGGAAGAGTCGCCCACGCCTCCAGATGACTACCTCCAATCAGTCACGACTGCGCCGCAACAAGGACAAGGTATTCTTGTGTTCAAGAGAAAATCAGTAATGATTGTAATTTTCATAGGTAATTCACTAATATGTAAAAATAAGTGAGTCGAGAGAAAAGTTGGGAGAAGAGGAGATTTCACGAGTTTCAAAACCAACTGGAAAGAAAAAAAAAATTATGGACAGGAACTAAAAGTTGTTCGGATACTTTAATTCCCTCATTAAAACTTCAAAAAAGAGCAGATGGATGCATAACAAAAAACTTGGTTCATTCTTGATTTGCTATAGTTTTTCTGAATGTAAATCTCAACTTAGTTGTATTTTTTGGGTGTATGGCGCATCGTGAATCGCAAGATGAGTTCTGAATAACATGAATAAATGTGTTGGGATGAGTAGAGATCAGAAGGTCACAGAAATAAAAACTCTGAAAAAGGTAGAGCTGTACTTTGGTTTTATGCGGCCTCTCTCAAACCACCCATTCAGTGTTCTCTTCGTTCCCATCACCTTCTCCTGTGGAAGAGCCTCCAACAACGGATATTCCTCAGTTCCCGTCTGTTCAGCTGCCGGTAACTTGTTTTCGTCCTTTTTTCCAAAATGTTCTTCTGTTTCCTTGCATCCGCTTCATTTTGTCAAACTCGAAGAAAAAAATTCTAGAAACCCGATATGCGCTTTTCACCCTTAAAAATTGTCCAGAATCAGTTTCCACCAATCACTTTATCCGTTCCTTCCATTAAGGCGAAAAACTCGCAAGAGATGCAGCAAGTGGGAGTTGCTGAACAAGAGCACGGAGAAGACTTGAACCCTTCGACTTCGACGACGTCATCCAAGGACTACGAACCTTATGAGAACACGGAAGAGCCGACGACGTACGTCGACGAGTCCGAGGCAAGTACCCCTGCTGAGGAGTACGACTCGACCCTCGGCTACGAATCCACCGGTGGATATGAACCCGAGACTGGCATGAGCCTCGAATCAAGCACTCCTCCACCTGTTTCACCTGTTGAAAGTGCAGAGATTTTTGTTTCCGAAACCACAACTCAATCCACCACTACCACCGCAACCTTCAAAACCACAACCGTCACCTCCGCCACACAGGTTTTCCTTTTTTCCATCTCCGTTGCGTCTTCGAAAAGCCCCTAGACTCGCATGAAACGTTAACATCACCTTGCGACCCGCAAGAATGTAGTTCTAGCATGGAAAAGGGTCATCCTCTGTTTCTGAAGAGTTTTGTGTTGTTCAGCCTCCGACAGAGCCTCCAAGACGTTTGGCCCCAGTTTTCAAGCCGGCGCAGATAACTGTAACGGTCGACGAGAACGAATCAGAGATTGAAGTCACGAAGGTTGTTCCCTTTCAACTTGAAGAACACTTTGAAACTACCGAATCAGAACTGTTTAGAATTTGGAAATATATTCTATATTTGGATTCTAAACCTTTATAAACGGGAGAAGCACTTCAAAAGTTGCAGTATTCTGTTTAAGTAGAAAATGTCGAAAACTTGTTGGAAATTCATAGTTTATGTTTAAAAAAATGAAACTTTGAAAAAACAAAAAAGATGACAGGCTTGACGCGAAAATCGTTGAAGTAACAATAAACTCGATTATTATTGATTACCTTGTTACGACCTTTCTTCATATTTTTTATTGATTAAAAAAGAATTTCTCATAAAACGACTCCATGTCTGAATTTAAGCCAAAGGGAAAGTTATATTTTTCAGTTAGCTTGATTGATAACTTGAGAACAGTTTTTTTTCGAACTATTTTCTGTGTTATCATGATAATGATAACGATTTGAGGCTCACGCGACCTACCCAGATGGCCAACCGGGCTCCATCACCTACGTGCTTCACAAAGGCGACGCGACTCTTTTCGCGTACGTAGATTCCTGACAAACAGTGAGAAAAAACCGTTCCTTCCAGGGTCTCTTCGTTCAGCGGATCCGTGACTCTTCTTCGACCGCTCGACGCCGAGGAGAACACTTCTTTCACCATCCAAGTCTCTACCGCCGAGGTCCGACTCTCCTTCTGGAATCTCAAACTCTGGCTATCCTTTCAGGCATCTTTGTTGGCTGTGGATGCTAAGCTGGCACATTTTGTGAGCATCACCGTCAAGGTCGGAGACGTCAACGACTGGATTCCCAACTTCGAGACTGCAAACTACAACTTTGCTGTGCAAGAAGACACTATACCTGGCACGATCGTCGGGCAAGTAGCCGCCTTTGACCAAGACCGCGAGGTGAGTCTTCTGAAACGGCAAAAGGATTATTCTGTCCCCAAGGAGCCCAACAACCGCATCCGCTATCGGCTAGTGAGCGCTGGTGGACTCGAGTCTCACTTCAACGTCAACGCTGAAAACGGTCTCGTCACTCTCGCAAGGCCAATCGACGCCTTCAGTGGCGAAAAGATCACAGTAGTTCTGTCGGCTCAGACCGAAACTAACCTTGCTGTTGCAGTTGCGGATCGAAGCTTCCGACTTGGGCATTCCGCCGCAGTCCTCGACGGCGACCGTTCTCGTGGAGGTCGTACCGACGTCTTCGCAACTCATTCCCAACGGCTCTCCACTCACCCATCAGCCCTCTGAGAACGAGCTACAGTTCAGTCTGCGGAATTATACGTGAGAGAAGCTCTCGGCAGGACCGTCCAAACGGCGTCTTTTCAGCGCGTCAGTCTCGGAGGCAGTCCGACCTCCTCACCTGGTGCAGGTCCTTTCTGTCAACAACAAGCCGACCGACACGAGGTTCGTCATCTGCAGTATCGTCAGCGGGAACTACCGCGGAGCCTTCGGCGTCACGGCTGGCAACGACGGAAACTGCGAGCTGCGTACTCAGATGGAACTCGACCGGGAGAGTGTTGAACGGTGAGTTTTGGGTAGAGAAAAACAGTATCAATCATTGAGAGAAGCTTTTGACTTTCATTATCAAGCCTTCCGTACACTTTTCCACGAAAGTTAAAAAACTCTCGGAAAATTCAAAGTTGAACTATAATTTTCAGAAAAACGTCAAAAAAGAAATTCAGATCTTCCAGACAAAAGCCGATTTTATTTTCCATAATTCGGATGATTTAGCTTTTCATACTTTTGGTCTGATCTGATAGTCGAAGAGTTCCTAGAAAACGAGGCTGAAAACGTTCCTGAACAGAGTTCTTATTCGGACGCTTGCAGTTACTTGCTCAACATCACAGTCACGGCAGGCTCGCAGACGGACTTCGCCCTGGTGTCGATCACGGTTCTCGACGTGAACGACAACGTGCCTCGGTTCGTCTACGACTCCGACCTCGGCCTGTCCACCTACTTCGGCGGTGTCTCCTCGAACGCCAACGCGTTCACACGTGTCTTGGCGGTGAAGGTAGAAGCTCCAGAAGTTGGAGATCTCAGAAGCTGAGTTGAAGGCGGAAGACGCCGACTTGGGTAACAGTAGCGTCGTCAATTACGCCCTCGATCCGCTCTCCGCTCACACCAAATACTTCTCGATCAGCCCGTTCGGAGAGATCAGCACCAAGCAGAGCATGTCTCAAGTGCTCCAGAAGAATCGTGTTGCCTTTTTCGAAATCAGAGTTGGTTTTCGTTTTTTTTTGTTGATAGAAGGTCTTTTCTAGGATTCAAGAGCGAATAATTTAAGCAAAACCAGTGTTTGTACTTTGGTCGTGTTTCCAAGTTGTATATTTTTGAAAGGCAAAAATGTAATTTATTAGTCAATAACGAAAATTATGCCGAGAAGACCTGAACTGATTGAAATCAGCAACAGTGCAGAGCTCATTCAGGAATCGAGTGTCTCAGTATTTATAACTAAAAGTTATAATTGTTTGTATTTTTTTTTTCGTTCTTTGTGGTAGAAAGTTTTTGAAAGATTACTCTTATCTTTCTCGAGTTTGCTTGAATGTTCCAATACCTTACAGTTTCTGATCTACCTTTCAAATCGGTTATTGCAGGTGTCGGCCTGTGACAGCCCGATTTCCGGGCAACAACTGTGCTCCAAAGCCGACGTGGTCATCAACGTCATCACTCCTGTAAATCGCTTCAAAATGGTTACTTTAGGACTCAATCCACAACAACTGCGTGCGCATGAGAAGGTTCAGCTCATTCTTCAATATTCAACCCTAAAAGTTATACCATTCAAATTTTTGCAGGATATGATCAGATCGATCCGACAGTTTTCGGGTTCGTGCAACTTGCTCAACATCGAGAAAATGGTCGAGCACAGCGCCATCGACAATCAAGTATGCGTCTCTCGTTATCAGGAAACTTCATTTTTACCATGGAAAAAAATGGGGGAATAACTAGATTTTGGGGATAATTCGGACAAATTCATTCTGAATAGAATATCATTTGTATACATTAGGGTTCTTAGGTCAAAATCGATATGTAAATAATCTCCGATTCAGAAATTTTCACACGGGTTTTGGATACCGGCAGATAGTAAATAAAATATTTTATTTCTAAAAATTTTTAACGGTTCAAAGGAAACTTTTTTTGAAAAATTCTGAATGAATCAGAAAAAAATTCTTCATTACGTTTATTTTTTTCTCATTTCACTGACATAATTTTTTTCCTTTCCTCAAACGTCTATTTGAAAACTGAAAGACACACAATTGCAAATTTATAAGTTTTTTACTATGGAAAGATTGGAAAAACAGCCAAAAAAATCGTTTACAGTGAAAGTTATTTGATTCATGTTCCTTTTTCCTTGTTTCTAAAAAAGGAACTGGATTTCCAGCCTCGCACGGACATCTACTGGTATGCTGTTAACCCGAGCACGAAGAAAATTTGCAAGAAACACGAGTTCCGCAAGCTTTTCGAGAGTTCTTCGGTGGCGATGATGGCCGGCAAAGTGCAGCCATGGTTCCGGCTCGACCGGATCGTCGAAGAGGCAACTTTCTTCTAGTTTTCTCGGTCACATACTTTTCCTCAGGCTGCTGACGACTCTCTGCCCAACAACGGAATCTTGCCATCGAACTGGAAGACGGCGAGCATTTGTAAGTTTCAGAGCCGCTGCCATCAAAATATTATTGAATCTTTCAGTGTTGATTATTCTGGCAGTGGTGATCGCCCTCGGCGCCGTGATCGGAATCTGCGCTGTCTGCGTTTTTTGGTCGCGCTACAAGGCATGTTCAGTCTCAGAAACTTGAACAACAGCAATTTTGCAGGTCTCACAAAGGAATCTGAACACGTTTACTTCGCACTCGTACCCTCAGAAGATGGGAACCGTCTACCTGCCGAATATGGCGATCGACCCTCGGATGGACAAGATATATGAAACTCAAGTGAGTATCTACTAGTTGAGGGAGTTCTTGAGCGGAACTCTGCAGATGCTGGAAATGCCGATGTCCGACGAAGATATGACCATGAAGAGCGGCTCGATCGGGGCGGCCACTCAGCAACGCGGGATCTCCTACCGAAACTACGGACGTCAGCAGAGCGCAGCCTATGAAGGCGACTTCAGCATCGAGGAGAGCATGTACGCCATCAACGTGCCCGGTCGCATCGACCCTGTCACCAAGTACGCTTTTCTTCTCCGTATCCCTGTGCTCCGACGAAACCATGGGCTGTATGGAGGAAAGACTCACTGACAAATTTTGACTTTTTCTGAAAATTCCCGCGTTCTGTGGTAGATTCGTTTACCCGTTTTCAAATTGAGGTTAAACAGAAAAAATTCGGAAAACTCTGTCGCTTTCTAAAACTTTCGAAACAATTCGAACGTTTTTTTTAAATCCAAGTTTTTTTCCTGTTTTTTTTTCATTGCAGTGGCACTCGTAGAGTCTTTGGTTTCAAGAAAATGCATCCCAAAACTGCAGAAAACGTGCTAAATGTGGAAAAAGTGAAAAAAGAGGTATTCAAAAAGCCGTTTATCTCATCTTCTCTCTACTTCTTCGATAGATAAGTAGAAGTTTTAATTACAAAAAAGACCCCCTTTTCACTTTGGAGAAGAACTTAGCTAAACGGTTTTTTTTTCCACTTGGTACACAATTTTCAGCTCAAATGTGTAGATTTGCTAATCCTCTCGAAATTCTTTGAAACAGAGTTTTTGCAGCCGAGTGGTACTTTCTACGAACTTGACAAGAAGTGCGACAAGTAAGGAACCGAGTTGACCTCTTAATATTACTTTCCTGCTGCTTATTTTCTAGTCGCTCTTGGCCTTGCGGTTATCGGTCTTTTGAGTTGCTTCTCCCTTTTTTCTCTTTTCCAGCAGCTTCTACACTCTATCCTCGAACTCGTTCCCATCTTCACTGTTTGTTTTCAGACGGATACAGACCCTCGTGATCCCGACGCCAGACTATCCCAACCGTGGCGCGCCTTACCATCACAAGAGCGTCTTGTGATTCTTCATAAATCAATTTTTCCAATCATATTCATTTCCTTCTATCGTTCAATCAAAGTCGAAACGCTGTTTCTGCTCGTAGTATGTGGAAAAAGCTAGGAAAAAAATTTTAAATATGGAAAAAGTTCAAAAAACTGAAAGTTGCCCTTTCATTAGTAACTGCAGAAACAAACTGCATTCCTCATATTTCTTTTCAAACGGTTAAGTAGAAGTGAACGAAGTCAAGGAGTTACCTGACAGTCTCAAAGCCTAGTTTTAATAAAAATAAAAATGAATTTCCGATTTTTCTTTTAAAGAGTTTAAATATATCTGTACTCCGTTAACTTTTTCTTTTTTTTTTAACTTCTCACTATTCTTCCTCTTGCGGTTTTAATGGCTCAATTTCAACATGTGCACATTTTCAAAAGTTTTGTCTTTCAAAAGTTGGACTTGATAATTTCTGCATATTCCTAAACTTGTTCAGTGTCGCAGGAGACCCCATTCTTTTACTGTATGAGTTTCCGTGGCGATATCTCTTTTGATAATTTCTTTCAAGTTCCTAACTTCCCTCATCCTTGTACCTTTCTTGCTCATCCCAGTATGTTCCTGTTAATTTATTATCTTTCTATACATACATATTCTTTATTTATTGGTGCTTCGTTATCTCGTGGACATATCTTTAAAAAGTTTTTCGCACTTCCTTCGTCCGCTCTGAAACTGGCTGTTCCTTTTTCCAGCCGCCCCGTGTTATGTGGGCAATCAAAAAATCAATTCTAAAAAAATAATAAAATTTTAAAAATAAAATTTTGGTTCACACAATGACTGCCAGAAGAAGAAGTAAACGTTTGAAAGGATTTCAACCATCTTCAACTTTTTGCAGATTTTTCAGCTTCTAAATGATCATTTTTAGTCAATTTACATAACTGTTTTTACTGTTTATTGCATCTTCAATGTAAGAATACATGTGCAATCGACTTTCATTGATTTAACTGTGTTTAAACGGCGGCAGGAGCTGTGGCTTAGACAGAGAAGTTGTAAATTTCGCTCGTAGAACATCAGGTACAAGAGAGGTCGTAGGAAGAAGTACGGTGCCGGCTTTCCAAAGGCCGATGGCAGAGATTGAGCCTTTTCGCTGCATACAGCTTCCAATTTTATCTACCCCGGAGGGATGAAAGGCTTGGTCGACCTCGGGGGGACTCGAACCTACGACCTTGCGGACGTTAGAAATGAGTTATGCCAGCTGAGCTATGCCGCCCCCTTTTTACATAAAATGTATCATTATTCAATAATTTTAAAAAATGGACGAAAGGTCGAAAAATGCGTCACATCAAAAATGTGGTCGGAACGGAGGGTCGAACTGGTCGAACCAGTCCGCTCACCATTGTAAATAAAAAATTACTTAAATAAATGCCTATATTGAACAAAGACCGGAAAACATTGACCGACATCAACCCGCAGAGTTTGTAAAAGTACTGGGAAATCAGGAATTTCCGAGGAATCTTTATAAAAGACATTTTGCCAGATAAGATACTATCAAGAGAAGTAGGTTTTGTAAATTTAGACTCGATTGAAATGATCATTTAGAAACTCAATACATGCAAAAAAAAAAATGAAAATGGTTGATGGTCAAAAAAGTGTCCCAGAACGGTTAAATATGTATATACAACTCTTGTGAATCATACGTATGATTCTCTTCACAATGAGTTCAATTTTTTCTTGGAGTTGTTTATCTCAAGTTTCGAAAATAAAATACCGAAATACTTTATCATAGAGGAATCGTGAGATGTAATCAAATGTACTGATCGTCTTCGAGAGAGAACATCCGACAGACTTCGAGGACGCTGATGATCTCGCTCATCTCTTGGTTGAGAACTTTTAAGCGGGACGTTAGCTCGCTCTGCGGCCCTGCGCCGCATCTCGACTCCAGTAAGTCCGCCTCTGAGCCAAGGACTTTTTCAAACCATATAAAACACCTTGACCTATTGGAAAAGGCGTCATTGGAGTTTGAAGCTTTTTGCAACAGAAGATTCAAAAAATGGCTTTTTTTTCGACACATTATGTTATGTTTTCTCAGGAACTGGATCGAACATTCAAGATAGTACAAAAGGTCCACAATAATCGCCCAGTTACCAAAATCGAAAAATTTTCGCGCTTTTTCTGCTCGGCAACGCTCTCATTTTTATGTGCAACTTTTTTTTTGTCGGCGAGGGAAAATATACACATTGAGTTCAGATTGATCCGATTCCTATCGAATGAGCTGAAGTAATTTAGAAGGAAAACGAAAACAATCAAGAAAAAAAGTAAATCTTACCGCTGCGCTTATGTATTGGAACATATCGTCTTTCCAGCAAAACGGCACGTTTCCCCGCAGAAGGTCGCAAAGACAGTCTGATACAAATGTTTTCCTTTTGTTCAAAAGTCATGTAGAAAACCTTCCTGTCGCTACGTTCGCCGTGCAAATCGCGGCGGCGACTGCGAAGACGACAGCCAATAGACAGAGTTTCACACTCATCCTCACGTTTTTCCGAGGTACCCTGTCAATTTTGACCTTTTAACGTAAAGAAAACTAATGAAAAAAGAATTTTTCATGCTCATAATACAACATCGATGCTCAAGTTCAAAACCAACTAAAACAATAAGTAGAACTCAATCTTTAAGAGATCGACTGAAAAATTCCAAAAAAAAAAAAACGAAAAAAGTCCTATTGTTAGGACTATGGTCAAAATTAAGCGGCATATTTTATTGTCTCGGAGAATTGAGTTGGTAAACAAGATGCCTTTTATCTTGTTGTAAGTGGGATGAACAAAATGAGTGCAACCTTTTTGGCTGACGTATGATCTTGCAATATTTCTTTGTTTCTGCAAGACGGAAAAAATACATTTTTATTACACATTCAAGGCACCAAAAAAACCTCAATTTAAAAAATTATTAAAAAACCAAAAAACTTCAAGAGTCATGGATCCAGACCTTGAACTTGAAATGAACAAAAATTAGAACATAGAATGTTTTTTTTTTCAAATTTGCAATCAAGGGATCGGAGCGATTTCTTAACTTGTTTCCTGATTTTCCTTCTTGTCTCGTTTTAACCTCCCTTAATAGTAAACGTTAAAAAGAATTTTCCCAAGAAAGCGGGATACGCCTATGAAAAAAAAACATTTTTTTTTTCGTTCTGGGTTAGTGTAAATGGTTTAATAAGAACTTTGTTTCTTTCAAAATTATCCCTTTGAAAAAGGTTTAATTGAAAAAAACTTAAAAAGTCTCTAAAAAAAGTCACGTATTGTTCGATGCACCTGTCAGAATTAAAAACTGCATGCACCAGAAGCAAAGCCATTATCCTAACGATGAAAATTACGAAACAAAAACTTTCACTCGACTTTCCGAATGAAATTACAATCACAATCAACCCCATAAGTTATGTTTTACTTTTTTGCAATACATCGAAAGTAGGTTTTCTGCATTCGGAAAAATTTTATAAAGTAGGGGATTGAACGCGATAAGAATTATATATTTGGAAACAGTAAGTTTTGACACAGTAGGATAATATAGGAGTAATAAAATACTTGAGCGAAACTTTGCAAAAAACTCGATATTCTCGAAAAATGTACAAACCTTTTCTAGCCAGGCGTCTGTATTTATGCCTTTCGCTGAGATTCCACCTGTCGGCAGAGTCGCCGCCCAGCAAATTATGAGACAGCGTATATACAACAGCTTTTTGTTTTTTTAAGCTGAATTTTTTAAAGAATCAATCAAGTTTCAAACTAATCGGAAAGTTAGTCTGGCATAATGTGTGAACACGATGATAAGAGATTCCGATTAGGAGCTTCATTTTGGAAGCCGTATTAAAAGTGTTTATTTCAAGAAAAAAAGAGTTAAGGCATGTTCAAGTGAGTTCTTCTGAGGTCATGAGATACATGAAAAACTGAAAAATTTTTGAAAAAAATTGTGAAAAACCTTTTTTTATTTTTCTATTTTTAAAAAAAGTGATTGAGTGATTTTTTTCTGAGGATTGTGAAGTAGGAAAAAAAATAATAAAAAAATCCCACATAACTGTGAATAAAAAAAAGAATTAGTCTGGAATTTGCGACATCTCGACTTTGCCTTGCTGCGGATAGTACACCTGGAAGGTGAAAGCGCTCCGAGAGAACGAGCCTGGGTTGGCGACAACGGCTCCTAGAAACGACTAATTGGGTTTCGTTCAGCACGTTATCGCTTCACAACTATTCAATTATGACAGATGAAAGCGTGTTATTGAAAAGAAAAATTGGAAGAAAAGCGAAACCAGAGCCCGCGACATTCTCAACGAACGACTCAAAGCGGTCCGCCGCGACGAGAACGTCTGGGAGCGGATGTAAGGCCAGAGCATGACCAAACTCGGGCAAAGTCGGCGAAATGTGATTGGGCAACGGACAGAGGTGCGCCTGAACCACTCTGAGCATTTTCTCCGAGGATAAAAACAGTAGAGTGCAGAAAAATCCACTTGTGGTTCATTTCGAGAAATCCCTTCGAAAATAAAAACATTTATAAAAACTTCAAAATGCCTAGCTGCCTTCAAAATAAACGTTTTTCGAACAAGGATTCAAAAAAACTAACCGAAAATCCTAAATATATAAGAATTGCTTGTCTAAAATTGATACCTTTCCTGAACTTGAATTTCTAGCCTTTCAAAAATTGGGCTTGTACAGAGGCATGTCTGACAAGACAGGTCTTTCTAGAGCGAGATTGGCATTTTCCATAAATTTGCTCAAACTCAGTGGGGAGTGCATGAAAACTTTTCATAGCCGCTAACTTAGCTAAATTTAGTTTTAGGAACTGGATTTTTCAAAGCTTGTATTCAATACAAAATCAAGCATGCAACAAACGCTTTGTAACTTCGGAAAATAATATCTGCAAAACTAAAGTTTTCGTATGTAGAGCAACCTTCATCGAGACCCTCAAAGAGTTTTTGAACAACTCTATGAAAAATCTCAAACTTTACACTAAAAATCTTCCTTGTGAGTCCACTTTCAATCTTTCCTCTCCAAGTTGGCAGAAAAAAGTTCAGTGAAATGAGAGTTGAACGAACCTGGCTCAAAAGGGTCCTAGCAAGTCTGGATGGGATACTTTCGGGTGTCACCATGTTGACTGTATGCCTGCAATATCTTTCCTGAGACAATTTCCATTTCCGGGTGTTTGATGATCGTCGAAAGGCCCGCATGGATTCGCAGGTGTGTGCACCTATGACGGAAGCCGTTCCCAGGGAAGTTACCAACAATTGCGAGTGGCCGAGACGTCACGCCACCCCACGCAAAAAACATCTGCTGTTGTCGCGGCTAATCAAATTGAGAGCGCCGCCTAGGCTTCAAGAAATTGGTCACTACTACTTCTTAAAAATATTTTTGAACTGTTCGAAATAAACATGATGAAAAACAAAATTGCCTGTCTGCTTGTAATTCTGCACTTTGCTTATACTTTAAAAATGTGCATTCAAAGGTTGGAAATAAAACAAGTTCAAACTGTGGGCTTTTATAACAAAAGTTTCATTGCTTCTCTTTTTGAATATCTGTTCTAACCGTTCGCCTATGTTTAGAACAAACAAAAAAGGCGTTTTCTAGAAATAATTTTTTATATATCGCTTGCCACAACTTAAAACAGTCTCAATCCTCTTTGCTCTCTCTCTTTTTTGGTTACGTGATATTCCAGTTTCTATGAGTTCACCAGCAAAAAAAAAGAGACGGTTCAAACTTTTTCGATTCTTGCTGATTGATCTGTGCCAGAAATGGACAAAAAGAACTTTCTTAAGCAGTTATCAATGTTTTTTGAGCACAAGGAACGTGTTTATTAAACTTCTCTTTGCTTTTTTTTTCTGATATTATCTTGGTTTTGCGACTTTTATTGAATGAAAAAAAAAAAATTAATTTTATGTGTATAATCATCTTTTTCATCCCACCGAAAAATTTGACTAATCTGTGAACACGAAAGGCGAATGAAAACGGACCTGCACATCTTCTCGGCAAGATTGCTGCGGAAAACGACAATCTCCTGACTGGCGTATTGGATTCGTGCAGGATTGCTGGCAAAGGTGCAGTTGACGACGGCAGAGACGTGTTCAAATAGTGAAGATGGCAAATTGGGCCGCGGAGTAACCTGCGAAAAGTGATCGAGAGAGATTCTATCCGAAACTTCGAGTCAAATACCAAATCGACGTATGGGTCATCCGGCCCCGGAACAAAGACGAAGTGCGTCTGGCGATAGGAGTCGCTGAACTCGTTCAACTGGTTCGCCAGCCTGTAAATGGCAGTTTTTCGGGAAAACTGTCTTTGGAAACCATCTGAATCCGCGATCCAGCAGTTCCATGGTTTCCGGCTGGCGCGTCTTCGAGCAGAAGTTGCCGCAAAAAACGAAGCAGACCGGCGGAATCTTCGAGTATCCTTCGAGCAACGAGTACATGGCCTTCAGAACCTGGACCCCAAGAGATGACATCTGAGAAGGATTTTGAGCTACCCGATCTTCGTCAAGAAACACGTCAGCAACGAAGACGATCGACGCCTCCGCGTGCTGGATCAGCGCCGCCCGCAGACGATCGTTGCACCGGAAGGCCAACTGAACACATAGAAACATATTTTTCTTCATGAAGACTTTGGGTTCTGGAGTTTCTGTCTGAGATGGTTTTCCATTTGAGGAAGATATGACCTTTTCCTCGCCGCCGAACCAATTTTCATTCGACGCGAGTTCTTTTCGAGTGACGTCAGCCGATTCGACGGGAACCAGCGCCACTTCGTTGACCAGCAACACGGTTCCATCGTAGCTTCCCTAGAAGTCCATCGGAATAAATCCCATTTTTTATTTGAAAAACCCATCTTTTGGCTAAAACAGAGGCAGCAAGGGGAAACATTTATGAGACGTGAATAGGAATTTCAGAGATAGTGAAATTCAATCAAAATTTATTTCACACGGATACAAAAACTTCTCTCGGATCTCGGTAACGCAAACCGGACGTTTTTGAGCATATCTAGAGATCACTTAAGAGTGCTGATGCTACTGAAGAAGTCACTAGAAATGCCGCCGACATGTCCGATTCGCGTTCGGTTTGCGTTACTAATGTCCGAGATAGTGTTAATTATAACTTCGAACTGGAAGAACCGCATTTGGAATAATTTACAGCTGCTTTCAAGAATAACTGGTAAAAAAATATTTATCCAGCAAAAAAATTAACTGAAATTGATTTGGAAAAAGTTGAGTATTTTTTTAAAAAAACCCGTTTTGAGTTCAGGGAATACCTTCGTAGGTAGTTTTTTTTTTTCAAAATACACAGAGCTAAAACCAATTTATGTTTTCCCCGTCTGCTCGAGAAAACAGAGGAGATCAAAGAGAATGAACATTTTCGAAACTATGCGTCCAACGATCAAACCAAAACCTCATAAATCGCGATGGTTCCTTCTGCAAAAAGAGCGTGATGAAAGCGCGTGTCGGCATTGAACTCGACCTCCACGGACCCCGTGAGATCTTCGATGTGGTAGCAGTCGGCCTGAACCGAGGGATTCCGGATCGAACTGAGAGGGGAAAGACGACTTTCTGCTGGGTCAGCATCCCGAGGACGACCACGCTTTGCAACTTCTTCATCGAGCTCAGAAGCACTTCGATGCTTGTGAACTTGATCTGCTTCAGAGAAGCACATCGGGCCGCTCTCTGAATTTACTTTGTAGAACTGTTGGTTCGGAGGTCGAAAACCTGTTTGACCAGCAGGAAGCGCTGGCGCAAGGAATGGGAGAAGGACTCCGAACGAGCGGCCACAGACTTCGTCTTCGCTCTGAACTCCTTATTTGTCTTTGTACCATTCATATGCTGAATTCGTGCAAAATGCAGTCCTATCACAATCAACTCAATGTGTTATGTTTTACTTTTTTGCGAGAATAAATTTGGTTTTGCGCATTCGTTTGTTTTCTTTTTAGGAAACTCAGAAAAAAAGAGATTTCCCTAATTTCCCTCAAAACCCTAGCTCGTGTATTCATTCTTCACTTTCGCCTATGCAAAAATGATCTCATACAATGATGCAGAAATCGAACTAGGCCTTTTTTGATGTTTTTCGATCGAAAAAACTCATGCACGAATTCAAATGTGCTTCTCCATTCCAACCTCCGGACCATTTTCCGAAGATCGACGTTGTAATCGTAAGCGTCCATTGTGAAGGCATCGAAGACGTTGAGGAGCTTTCCACTGCAAAGGACTACTTTGCACCCTCAAGAAGCAAAAACCTACGCGTTGTCGACATTCTTCGACCGACACTGCTTAAGAATGTCGCGGAGGACGTCTTCTGTCACCAGCGGAGATATCACTGAGAACTTTTCGCCGTCTTTTGAGATGATTGGACGAGAAACTGACATGTTTGCTTCCTGAGGACGTCGATCATCGTGTTCATCCAACGACTGCGCTGTGCCCTGTCGTTTTTCGAGAAGAGTTGGACGCACAGGTTGACGGCTTCTCTGAATATTTCGCTCAAAACGTTTCTTGCTAGTCTGAACCTTTTGAGTTCGAACGCGTGCATTTGAAACGTCTTGGTGATCTCTCGACGCAAAGCTTTCTCGTCAGCCTCGCTCAGAGCTTCCATCCTCAGACCGACTGTCGGATAGTAAAAGGTTTCCATTGTCCGAAAGTTTGGTATTGCAATAAGAAAACATCGGAAAACTAAATCCTTACAAACTCAGAGGAAAATTTTGAAACAACGATTTATTTCGACAGGAGGGAACAAGATCAAACAAAAATGTAGTCGGTGAATATTAACAAGAAAAAAAAGTTGAATAAGTTATTGAGAATTTCGCGAAGGCGGCTATGAAGACGGCGGCGGACGGAAAGGCGCCGGCGCTCCTCGGAGCATCGGAGACATCCCGGTCATGCCCGGACCTCCCATCCCCGGCATTCCTGGAGGCATTGGTCGCGGACCGCCGAACGGTGGCATCTAGAAGTCTTGTGAGATTCCGTTAAATAATAGGTTCTAGTTCCCGGCGGATGCTCTCAATATTTTCCACTCAATACACCTCCTCCCGGAAAATGTGCCTAAAACTTTTATTCAATCCCTACCGACTTGAAAAGCGAGGGAGGCAGAGGATTGGACGAAACGCGTACGCGGTTTTTGGCACCAGTTCAATTCAATCGAACATTTAAAAAGCCCGCCGAATGCTTGAAGAGCCCGGTCACCGCTGTTATAAAACCTATTCTTTTTTTTTCTAATGCACTAATGAAAAAATCAATAAAGAAATGAGAAGAGCGATAAAAGATCCCTCCAAATAGTGGCTGGCGGTTGAATTGAACTTGTGCCAAGAATCGCGTAGGCGCACGCTGCGCGTCCCGCCTCTTTTGCTTTTCAATTCGGAAAAATTGACTATACAATCTTTTTCCAGATCAGATGTCAGGTAATACTGATCCGTAAATGAACTAATTTTCTGAAATGAAATTTGCAACGAGAAACTATTTTTCTCGAATCAGAATCAGGCGCAGCTCTTCTGCACTTGTTCAAGACTCGGTTATTTTTTGATGAAAAAATTCAGTTAGTAAGTTCATCGTGAAAATCCGTTGAAAAAAACCGGTTTCTGGCCCTGAGGCTTATCTATTGGAAAAAGCGGTATTTAGCTAAAATAGCTTTCAAGGCCTTATCCATCAACTTTCAACTTCTAAATGTGTTTTTTATTGCGAAAAAGAAACGAACGCCTTGTCCGTGGAAACCCATTCCCATGGGCGCCATCTGCGGCATCCCCATCGGATTCATTCCTGGAGGCATCATCGGCCGCGGCATCTGCGGCGGCATCGCATTCATTCCCAGCGTCGTACGAGGTACTGCTCCAGCCATCTGAATCATTTGTTCAAATAATAGTTTCTGCTTCACAAAAAAAAACTCTATTTGTTGCGAAAGCTCTGGCTGTAGCATCGACGAGTTTCTGCGCTTGATCTTCCATCCATTTCTGAAAAAAGAGACATTGGAGAAAATGAATTTTGAAAAACCTGATAGAACATTCTGACATTTTCCTTGTGCTTTCGTCCGCCATTGTGCGTTTTACGAACTGATGGCGAATCGTGGGTTAAAAAAGTATCACAGTAATCGCAATAGTACTTCGGCATGCCTTTAATGAATGAACAAATAATAATTAAAAATCAGATATCCCTGCTTTAAATAAAAAAAAATTGGCCCAAACCAAAAAGTAATTAAAACAAAATTTCAAAAAAAAATTCTTTTATTAAATATCTCAAAAGAAACATGTTAAAAATAAAATTTGAGCTGATTTAGGTAGCATGGAAACCCGGAAATTTTTGAAATCCATATTCACCCGTTTCAGAATGACTGAAGAGAAACATTTTTAAAATACAGACACTGAGAAGAGAGGCAGGAGAAGAAAAAGCTTCGAGCTATATAAAAAGATGAACAATCACTAGACGTAAGGCGTACTTAATAACTCTTTTCGAAGAATCCAAGGGAAAATGAGTGAACAGAAAAATGTACAATATATGGACAGGTTCAGTCGATTTTCAGCCATTTAGGTACAGGTTCTCCACTACGTCGCAGAAATTTGTGCAACGCCGAGTTGTGAAGGGAAAAATGCTTTCCGAGGCGCATCCTGGTCGCCTCGGACATCGGAGCATAACTTCTTCCTTTGCCTTTCCCGAGACATTTGAGCTTGTTCTGAACAACCTGCAATTAATTTCTTTTAGAACTGAACGTTAACAACTAACATCGTGAAATCGTCTTCAATTTCGTGTTCAAAGCGATTTCGGCAATATCAAAATTGACGCATTATTTGTTTAGAATGATTTCTGGAATTAGGTAAATTTTCACGCGTGAACTTGACATTTGGAAATTATTCTCAACGAAAATTTTAAAATCCCGTGTTAATCTACCATAAAAAAATCAAAAAAATTTCTATAAATTTACGCGCGAACTCCAAATTTTGCAATTATTTGCGCATCTTCCACGGAAATTTCAAACTCGCGCGTAAAAGTTACTATAAAAAAATTGATATATCGCGATTTATCGTTGTAGGAATTTTTTTACTCCATCCCGGAATTACATATTTTCCTGTTTTCCGAAATAATTTCAAACAAATAAAATGTCTTTTTTTTAATCGCCGAAATCACTATGAACACGTCAATAGAAAACTACCGAAAGCGGAATTGTGGAAAAAATAGCGGAAATAGCCCGGAAATTTAAGAATTTTTTCATTACAACATCTGAAACCAAAAATTACGAACCCGACAATGGAACCCTTTGCTTTTGCTGAACTTGATATAGTTAGCGAAATCGAAGGCAGGCAAATCCAACTTCTCGACGAGTTCGTGAAGAACCTAAGAAGGATAAAAGTAAAAAGACTTTCGTAGGTAGATGAAACCTCGGCAGGCTTTTCTAGAAACTTCTCTCCGTCTAGAAAAACAATTTGTGACAGCGGAAAAAATTGAAGCCATCTTTCCAAATGTTGAGTGTAACTGAAATTCGATGAAGAGTGAATTCACTGTCAAAAGGAGCTATTACCGGCCCCCAGAAAGACATCTCCTGGCGATTTTTTTCCACGCTTCAACGTTTTTCAACGAGGTCCCTTCTTCCGCGAAGCCTTCGTTGGCGTCAAGAATGACGTCTAAGCTGCCGGCGGACAGGGCTCCACTATCGTTGTGGGCGATCAAGTGCTCAAGACGAACGATGGGAGGATTGAAGAAGTAAAATTCCAACTTGAAACCAGGAGTAGGCTCTTTTGGCTGGGTCGTAGAGGACAATCAAAACTTTTGTGTTGGGGACCAGGGCAGCCGCTTGTTTTGGGGCGTTCGGATTGTCAAAGTATGTGGCACTTTTCTCAAAAACCACGATCGAGTGGCGAAAATGACGCGAGTACCTATTAGGAAATCATCTTCAAAAAATATAAGTACATATCAGCTCTCAAGTCAAGAGCTATTACTCACCATTCGATGCCGTTCTCGTAGTTTGAACCACCAAAAAACTGCAGCTCCTCAAAACTTCGAGGATCCGGAGAATTTTGACTTACGTCTGGATGAAGGGTTAGGAAAGAAGACAACGCGGTCGTTCCTAAAAAAGGATCTGGCTCTTCAAAAAAGATAATGCGAAATGGTACCTGTTTTCTGTGGTCCAACTATGAGCAAATTTGGAAGAACCCTTGCAGAGCAGTTGAAAGTTGGAGGAACAATTGTACGATGACGGGAATCCGTGCATGGATCCTGAAATCAATAAAACTTCATTTCAATGGCTTTGACTTCTTTTACCGTCCAAATAGGAAACTTTTCGCCGGAGAAAAGACGAAAATACTCTTTCGCTGAAGCCAAAGGATCCTGCCACCGCAATCGCAAGTTCGTCCAGCAACGCACAAAACGAAAAAGATTTTCAAAGGTATAAATAGCTAATCGATCGTGGGCGTAGTTCTGCTGATGCGTCATAAATATCGATACCTGAAGTTGACGACTTGAAAGAAGCCTAGGACTTCGAAATTACCGGATTGGTAACAATCGTGAAGAAAAGGTCACCGCCTCTCAACGAAGAAATCACTTTATCGAAGCCGTCAGGATAATCATCGAAAAATTGAGTATGGGTATAAAGACCACAAGTTTGTCGTGGTAAAACCTATAAATTCCTATTTCATCGAAAACAGTTGATCAAGTTTTGAAGATTTTTTACTGGAGAGGAAGTCGCATAACGTACCGAAACATTTTTATAGATAAAACCACGTCTCTCCGAAGGCGGTTTGAAATGAGGATACTCCTCCGTAGCGGTAACACTGACGTTCCAAACCTAAAATGCCAATAAGATTTGAAAATACTTTCTCAAAATGTTTCAATGACCTTTTTCCAAGCTTTGTACATTTCTTCGTGCACTGGAAACACACCGTCATGCTGTGGAGCAATCGCATAGCCATGTTTCACAGGCAGCTTCATGCTCTGAAACCGTCCGATTAGAAGCATTTTGCTTCGAACGGCTGACCTCCGCGAAAAGTTTATTCTGCGACATGATAGCCTCGAGATATGTGAAATTGTGCTCATGGGCATGATTGTGTCGCCACATGTGTGGGAACCACAGAAAATTCGAAGCCATTTCTAGCGATGTAACTTTTCAATCAGAAAAAAGCTGTGAAGACGTACCGACAAGGTACTCGTCGCCACGGTCTTCGTCAGAGTCGCCATTGCGAAAGTAACTTCCCGAGAAACCCAACATGAAGGTGAAGTTTTGAACATATTTACGGAATTCATTTTGACATCTCAGGAGTGCCCTTGAAACATGAAAAATAAACAAATTTTAAATTGGGAACGTACCGGACATCTTCCTCCACTATACGTGTTCCTTGTGCGCCCACAAAAATGTCATCTATGTCTATCTGAAATTATTTCATGTTGATATTTCAAAGAAGCTTTCTATTATGAAACTATGCAGTTTTTGAGAAATGTTCTTGAATGAGAAGTGGAAATGGTTCAAAAGAAAAATTTAAAACCTCGACGAAGCGCTCAAGAGAGAATGAGGAGCTATTTCCAAGGGCCCAGTTGAGGGTATCATAAAATATCAACTGAAGTTTATAAGTTATCTGATAAAAGCTTCTTTCTCACCTTAACAGTCCAATCGGTTATGTTATGACCGAAAAGTACCCGCTGAACGCCGTCTTCTTGTCCTTTGTCCCAAATTGCTGCGAATAACTTGGACTTTTCGTCGCTCAAGACAGACAAAAGCTTTAAAAAAGGCCAGTTGGTATATAAATTGAGTTTCTAACAATACCGGCTCAAACTTTGTTGAATCGTCATTTTCGAAAAGCACCCACTGGTTGGAGGAAACGCCTCTTCGTTCAACACCGGCCTTGGCTACTTTGTTCAGACTAGATTTCTCAACAAGAAGTCTATCAACAGTCTGATGTTGCCACAGATGAAGGGAAGATCCCTATAAACCGATTTTGAACTTCAAATCGCTTGCCCCAAAACTTGCCTTCACTTGAATTCTCTGGTAGCGGTCGCCTGACTTGCTTCCAATGAAGGATATTATAGGAACGTGGTAAACATAACAATACTCATCTAATGTTTGTTTGTTCCATTTAGGCATGTTTAGATATTTGTAATAATTTTCGATTATTATAAGGGAATATCGACCTTCAGTCATTTTATTCAAAAGAGGCAAACTTTTTGAGATAACCTCAGATTTAAAAGGATACTTACACGCATTCAACATCTGAATTATTAGTTTTCCGTGTCTAGAAAAAGCTGACTCCAAAAGAACTAAAACTCGCGGATCAGTTAGGGAATTATTGAGAAAAGTGAAATTCATATCATGGTATCGTGACGAAACATTACAAGGACATATATAATTATTGATAATTGCAGAAGAACGACGAGAAAAGGGAATTGGAACATTTATTGGTAAAAACAAATTGAAACATATTATAAATGCTAAAAATGCTACAAAACATTTTGCAAACTTGAGAAGTCTGTAATTGAAATAAGGCAGCATCCTGAGCTTCTTTCAAAAATTTTTGTAAACATTAAAACATCAAAATTAATTAATGAAGATGAACAAACTAAATTATAATCAGTTGAAAAAATGTTCCTATAGAATTAGATAACTAGAATTATTGAAAAATGGGTAGTGCGATCTATCAACGTTTGAAATCTGAAAAAAAAAAATTTGGAAAAAATTTGTCGGTTTCAAAGTAATTCCGCGAATATCAAAATAAATAACCGTCAGAGAGTGTAAAAGTTTACTAAATTTTAAATAGTCTTAGTGAATTTTTTTTTCGCATAACTACTTTAAACGCGGTTCAAAATCTGTATTGATAAAATGAATTATAATAAAAATCGCGTTCAAATAAAAAAAAATGGCGCCGGCGTTCGAAAAATCTGCTTCCTTTCTTTGGGGGGCCACTTGGTTCACTAGAGCGCACATTGTCTCGACGAAAACATAATTTTTCTAAGAGCGTCTACGAAAGGTAGTGCCGTGTTCAAAGTGATTCCGCGAAATGCAAAATGCCCGTTAGAGAAACGAAAAGATAACTAAATTTAGGAGAGTCAGAGATCATTTTGCATTTTGCGGAAATTACTTTGAACACGGCATAGAAAATGGATTTGCGGGTAAAGGAAAGTGGCTGGAGAGGAGACTGTACAACACATTGGCTTTTAAACAGTCTTAATCTTTCTCAAGGCATCTTTATATAAGGCCGGAAGAAATTCACGAATCAACAGCAATTTTCAGCCATTTTCCAACACCTAATACCATTTTTTTCTATTACGTAAAAAAATTTTTCTATTTTTTTAATTAAAAAAAGGGTAGGTTTATCTAAATGGTACATATTTGTTTGCGGTTATGCACAAGGTGTAGCCGTAAACCGAGAAGTAGCTGCCCAAGTATATGTCCAATCCTCTATCGTAAAAAGCGTACAAAAAAAGTTGCTCATAGAGTAATGAAAGTTTGCCTATGTTTCTATTTCTATTTAAATTAATCATTTTTTTACTTAGAGGTTTTTTTATTGCAAGGTCACCTGATTTCATTTTTTTCGGGAATTTATGATTTATGAATTTTTGCATTTTGAAAAAAAGTTTTTACTAGAAAAACTACGATTTCGATTTAATAGACAAGCCCTTCAATACGCAACGAGATACTATAAGCATTTTTACCTGCCATGCACATGATAAAAAAGCTGCGATAAAACTCTTTCTGCTACAAAGTGAGCTTTTGCAAAAATAATATATTCATCAAAACATTTTTTCTTAAGTTTTTGGGATAGAGCTTAATTTTTTTTTTTCATACCGCAGTAGATTGTAAAAAAATTAATTTTGGAAAATCACATTTCTGCAAAATGGAAATAAAGTACCAAATACAAAACTGTAGGACACCGGGCAGGACAGCAGTGGCTGGCGGCCGCGCCGAAATGCCCTGCATCGTTTTTATTCTGGACACGAGCGGCTCAACTGCCACACAAACCTACACCGGCTTCACAATTTTCGAACAACAGAAAAATTATATCGAATCTTTCATCAGAGTGGGCCACTTGGTTTATTTGATTCAAAATTAGTATTTTTTAAGCAAAGAAGCAGAGAGCCTCGACCCCAAAACGATCGCTACATATTACTGACAACTTGTGAGAGATATCCGCAAAACGTTAAGGTTTTTTTTTCTCTTCTGGTTGCTACACAGAACTGGTGATTATAGTCATCTGGCAAAGATGGACCGCCTCAAATTGCTGAGATTCTGCGAAAGTTGACCCCATCCGGAACCTCAAATATTCAATTGGCTCTAATTGACGCCTTCCAGTTCGTTCATGTAAACCGTGCACAGACAGGTTTTGAAATCAGTTTTCAAACAAAAACTATAAAACGGAAACCTAGCCGTTGTTCATAAAACGAAAAATAGCAAAAAAGGCTCTTTAGCGATCGATAACTATGGCTGGGGAAGAATGGTGCAAAACTCGGAGCAAGTGATTTTCATAATGCTTACCGACGGCCCTGGCGCTTCTTCTATCCCCAAAGATTTCAAGGTTCAAATCTCACCATATATCAACAGTTTACAGGGTCATTTTTCAGTTGGAGTACGAAACTTCTTTCTTGAGAAGCGATTTGACGAAAGAAGCTTATCGATGGGATCAACGCCTGTTTATATGTGTAGGTGTGTGAAGAAGTGTAGTCTTTTAGGAGCGGATTCAGGTTTTTCGATTACCTTCGATTCCTACGAAGGTCCCTCGGTTAGACATTGACGTTTTGCCAGCTGAAAAGCTGTGCGCGGCAACAGGAGGTTTCTTCTTGTTTCTTTGGTGCTTTAATGATATTTTCAAATTTTTCAAATTTTAATCAGTCTTCCAAGCAATCCTTATTGGACGTTCGATCGGAAAGGAAATTTTTAAATTCCTCGTTTAGTTATTCGTTCAACCAGGAAAAGAAGTTGTTTCTGGTCCATGGATCAGATTCTCATCAAACGAGAGGAGAGGAAAAAATTTTCGAGAATTTCAGGACGCTCGTTCTCCATCACTTCCCACAAGCAATTTATTCCATCCATAGAAACCTTCTCAGCGGTTCTCCAACAGCACACGATCGCAGTACGATTCGAGCCACTGAATCCTAACAGTTGGTTCTATTTCTCACCTTCAAATGAGCTAAATATCAAAATAAACCGTACTTTTGAAGTCAGAGACCCATCGGAGGTCGATCCACTGAGAGCAGTTCGGATGAAGTATCGAAAGTCGGTTGAGATGAAGCCAGTGACACAGTTGGTCATCAAATCGAATGCTGGTGTGCAATCTGGTTGAAATTCACTCTATATGTATCCTTTATAGTTGGCAGACCTGTTCCCTACCATTGGTGCATTCCGGAATCGTTTTGGCCAGTCAAAAACATGTTAGAAATATCTAAAAACCTCGAGAAATTATTTTTTTTTTTCATAGGGACTCTCTTCCACCTCGTAGCGCCCATCCTGTGATCATGCTGGCTCCAGAAGCTGTTCCCGTCTTTGTAAGTATAGCAAAAAGAAAAGACACATTTGATAAAAAGGGTTTGGCGACAAATTTTTGTTGTTTTCTGGTATTTGACAGATATGAGCAAAAATTTTCTCCTGGTGTGTTTTGAATTATCAGATCTGCATTCTCAGCAAGCTTATAAAATCAAATCAAATCATTTATTTTGTTGTTTTAGTCTGATGTAATCGACTAGGCGGTGAACAAGAACTTTTAAAGCTATAACGAACAACCGCCTTTGGCGAGCTAGAAGTCCAAACGTGTAGTCGAAAGAGTTGAAATCATGGTCTCACGGTGCTTCGCCTCGTTCTTCTGCGCGTAGTCCATCCAGTTGCGCCTTGACGAGCTCAGAATGTAGCGGATGTTGTGCTGGAGCCCGGAGACCGTGCTCTAGGTGGAAGCCTCAGAATGAGAGCGACCACTTCGAGTGAAGATTTTACACGGAATCTTGAAAATGAAATGAAATTTCCGAAAAAAAAAAGGGTGATTATATACCACGCATTGGTGTTCGTCGGTTTTCTTTTTGAATGTTTTCCAAGAGGTTCTAGAAAATATTTACTAAGAAACTTCAAAGAAATATACATTTCAGTAACCCTCTTACGAGGCCCCTACACTCTTGCAGTAACTACTGAACGACTGAGAATCTTGCCAGGATTTCAGCGTGTTTCAGATAAATCCTGAACTTCCGTTTGACAAAATCGAGATGGATCTGAACACGCCGACGAGTGAATACGTACAGGAACTTCTACAAGGTCGCCGCGACTTTTGTGTACCGGTTTTGAAAAAACGAAAATGAGTTTGATAGTTACTACTTTGAGATGTTCGTCGAAGGGTCGGGCTCGACAGCCGGGTATGGACAGCCTTTCGGATGCCTCAAGTCGACCTCCAACGGAGCCGGCATCAACTTTATCATGCTACCTTACAACTTTCCCATGTTCTATTCGCTGCATGAAGACCTCAAGGCGATTCAACTTTCTCAACTCATCAAACGCCCTCGTTTCAGGATCCGTCGGTTATAATGAAATCGAACTGGCGTCTGAAGTTTGACAGCTACCTTGCCGGAATACCAGTCTATCAGTCTCCTGTGAGTTTTTCGACCAGCTATTTCAACAGACAAAATGTGTGCAGGCTGTTAGAAAAGCTTTCCAAAGATATAAAATTCGCGGTGGTCTTATGGAGGAGCAGATTTCAATGAGCACGATCTATGCCCCTGGATTGGTCACTCTCTTGAGTCGTCTCAAAAATGCCGTTGGTTTTTTCATCTTTTTTTTCTCCACCATGGCCTCGAAAACTAGCCCGTTTCCGTTCTTTTTAGGGAAAAGAAGAGTTTGATCGTGTGACTACAATGTGCTCGCTGATATTTGAAAGAGAAATGAAAAAGCCCCCCGAACAGACGGTCAGTTTTTTGCCCATTTTGTTTCTTCCATATTGTTTTGCTATGTCATTTCTTCTTGAAGGGACCTTTTCTAGATTCGTGTTGAGAGAATAACATCGAGGACCGGTGTATTGGGAATCGTTAGAAATGACTTTGACGATGAATCCAGAGGCTCCGAACTCGAAGAAGTCGATCCGAAAACGTCTTCTGTGGCTTTCTGTGGAAACCTGACTGTAAGTTTCGTTTTTTATTGCGTTTTAAACTTCTTTTTTTCCAGATGCCACTTTCGGCCGCGAAAGTACAGACACCGACGCTCGACAGTATATACCGTAACCCGCTGACCGCCTCCACTCTTGAGATGATTAACAACCTGACAAGGTATGTTTACTCTCTGTAAAAATTAACCAAGATTAATAAAAATTTTGTTAAAGGCTTCAAGCCAACTGCGAATTAATGTTGGATGTCCGAAACGTGAATATCCTCGACGGAGCCAAGCCAGGATTGAGAGCTCGGTTCCACAATCTTGGTTCTTTGCTTCTTTTTTTTCTCGGCTTTTTCTTGTACCAAAGACTTTTTTCAGAAGAGTTACACAACTTGTCAATCAGTTCTATGGGCAACTATGATAATTACATCAAGGTGAAAAAGCTAACGTCTCTTTTAAAAATAGATACATTTTGTTGAAGACAAGGCAAGAGATTGGTTTGGCGCCGTTGCGGGAGCTGGAGCCGCCAGTGCGACCTCAGGCCTTCGGGAACCCGTTCAAAGTCAAGAACCTGACGTCGGGAACCGGCATCGACGAGGTCTGGATGACACCAAAGCTTGGGTACATTGGGTCAGCTTCAGGTGATGGACAGCCAGGCAGACGCCTCGATGCGACGCGAAAAGCGGGCTGGTGAGAGCATCAACGACCGCGGCGCAGTGCCTCCGAAAAGAAGGAAAGGACCGCTTGGCCTTGACGCCTTCGTTCGCTGGCGGTTGCTCTTCTGGCGCTCCTTTGAAATTCAACCTTTTTTCATTTCAGAGAAGTGCAGAGCATGTCGTCTGGAGCCGGATCTGTCGTTTCCTCACTTTCTTTGGAAGATAATGTTGTACCATCGACATCCAACGGATCATCAGTAAGTCTGAATTTAAAAAAAGGAATGAATGTCTATGGATAGGAAATCATCGATTACTCGCCTATCGACGAGGTTGTCACGAATGGATTGGACGCAATAATTGAGAAAATGAACCCGAAAAAAGGAGAGGTCTCTTTCACAATCCATTTAAAATTTACCTAACTTTTCCGTTTTAATGACTTTTTTCAGAGTGAAGAGGAGGTTCGAAAGAATGGAAAGGTGCCTCCAGTTGTGCAAGAATTCAAAGATTTGCCACTGGAAAGTTTAAAAATACCAAGAGTCGGACAGAAAGCTTTGAGTCTGGAAGAGATGACTGAGAAGAAGCGTTCAATTAATCGAATCGTGCGACGTCCAGCCAATGGTTTCTCCTCAATTTCTTTTAATCATGAGCTTTTCCTCCAATTCATCGTATATTCCAATTTTTAGCCAAAGCCTATGAGGAAATTGTGGCCTCTTTGGCAGGGACGACCGCTGACCAGTCCGTACTTCTTCTTTTCGCCCTCCGCGAGTCGCAACGGTATTTTCTCATTTTTCTTTCAAAGAGGAATTCTGCAACGTCTCTTGATTAATTTCGTCGGAAACTTCTGCAAGTCATCCCATTTTCAGCTTCAAATGCAAAAAGCTGACTGATCGGATAAAGGCGCGGTTGAAAAACGAAGCCATCGTGACCAACTCCTAGTTTTAAGCTTTCCCCGTGGTAACGGCGGCAAGGCCGCTCCAGACAGTTCAAAGTACCCTGTGAATGGATCTCGTGCCGGCCCTGAGGTCGCTCCTCTCAAACTTATCTTTCTCTTTGTTCTTCATTTGTTTTTTTCTCGAGTGGTTGTGAAGAAGCGTTGGCATCTCTCGCTTTCCTCATCCGGTTTATCCTGACCGAGTGTACAACATTCTAGTACTTTATTTCTTCGACCGAGTTATGTGCCTAGTTTTTCATGGAATAATATGGGTAAGGGCGGTTTTCACTTTTTCAAATCTGCTCTTATATATCGACTACCAATTTTGAATAAATTAATTGTCTTTATTCTTTGAATATTCTAATATATTTCTAACCATTAGTTTTTTCTTCACAAATTTCGTTATGAAAGTAGGTTTGATGAAAAAGAGATTTATCATAAATTTTATTTCAAACAGAGATCAGTTGGTAGTAACCGAAATAAAATGCAACCGAAAAAAAATGTATGGTAGGGAGAAGAACTCTTTCGACTAGTTGAACCCGCGCTCCAAGAAGCGTGCTAGCATCGTGCGACTTGCGGAAGGGCGTCGAATAAACGTTACTCGGAGGCTCGCAACTACTTGCCTGTAAGTCATATATTGTTCCTTGATTTCATAAAAACATCTTTTGAGTAAGATTCTTCATTTCAAACATCCAAATAGGGACCGCAAAGCAATTCTTGAATCTCATCCGATCGCTTCGATTTTGGTATAAACGCACAAGAAAAAAAATTCACCTTGCTGCCTTCTCGATAAAAAAGTTGTTTGGAGGCTATTCTTTCGTGTCTACTTCTGCTCTTCTGAAAAAAATCTTTTTTTAATAGTTCCATTGAGGCTTGTCAAACTTCTCTAACGTCTGACGACTCATTCATTAATCTTTTATATTTTTTAGCGTTTTCTTCTGTCCAAATGACCACCAATTCCTTGAAAAGTTCATGATCGCGACTTCCATTTATACCAACCAGAGCTATGAAAAAGCAGTATTGAGCAATTAAAAGTAAGATCCAAATATCTAGTGCAGATATTGTCGACGTTGATGGAAAAGTTTTCAGAAAAGACGAGACCTGCAATTCAACTCTGATAGTTTTAAACTAGATTATTTTTTTTCTATTGTTTATTTATACTAACCAAGACGAGCTGCGAGAGCATTGACACGGTTATCAACAGAATACGACAGGTGACTTCGGAACGGGAGATGAAGGACGCGCACGTCGCCAGGAGGAACAAGGCCGAAGACGGGAGAAAGAAACGGATCACGCAGATACTCAAAACTCTACGCAGCTGCAAAACTACGCATGCTGACGAGTGAGATCCTGTAAATTTCCAAATTTCTTTTTTTTTTGAAATTATATTTGTCAACTTTCTTTCAAAGTTCATACCGAAGCTCCAGGAATTAGTACCGTTTCAGTTCTAATCTTGGTTGGTTTATGTATTTTAAACCTTTGAAAGTGTGGCTCTTTTCCTCATCCTTCAGTTTTGTACTATTTCCATAATCCGTGTAAGTCTTGACTCAAAGTGGTCTCATTTTGAGGTTTCCACCTAGAGCACAGTCTACTGGTTCCAGCGACAATTCCGCTATTTTCTGTGCTCATCAAGTTGCAACTGAATGGACTACGCGCAGAAGAGCAAGGCGAAGGACCGTTAGACCATACTTCAACTTGATCGACTACACGTTTGATATTCTAGTTTGCCGAAGGCTTTGAACTTTTGAAGTTATTAAAAACGGTTGTTCGTTATAACTTTGAAAGTTTTTGACCGCCTAGTCGATTACATTTATGACTAAAAATACAAAACAAATATTCATTGCTGATCTTCTGACCGCGCCGGTGAGTGGAAAGATTACGCAGACTGATCAGAACTTTTACCTGATTCAGGTATCAAACCTACTTTGAAGGGAAGAAGAAGCATATTTTGATGGCAAAGAGACTTGATGCGTTTTTGTTCGTGGAGTTACCTTAAGAAAAGCCTGTTTCGAAGTTATTCGACTCTACAACTACAGAGCTAATGTATAAGTTGGCTATTTTGAGCCGCGGGTGTACCGTTATTGCCCCCGAGTTGACCCACTGTAGTAGGAGCTCATCTGTCGATGATTTCGCTAAACATGATGCTAGTTAAACAATTTTATTTTCAAGTGGAGTTGCACTTTCAAGACTCTATGGATGGTTTCCCAAAAGGTATTAAACAGACTTGCTAGAAAGCAGACATCGCAGTTGTGCACGTCGAATGGAAAAGCCTCATCGAAATGGCAAGGAACACTCATTTTGTGCCTAAATTCAAAAGAACATATTTAGCTACTCTTCAAGGAACCTAGTTTTGCGACCGACGACGGCGTCACCCACGAATGCGAGGTGCACCGGCGGAAGAACGACGTTCTCCTCGGCCTGAAGCTTCGTTTGAACTGCCCACCTTAGGAAGGCTTACCTGCACCGAGATCTCCGACAACGGCTCGAACACTTCATCTGTCTTCATCAATTCGTGTCTCACTGGCGTCACGTTCACGCCGCGAAGCCATTGTTCACTCGTCAGCACCGCTTCGAATGTCTGAACTATTTGAATATAGGCTTACCCGATGAAGAGTTGTATATTTATCTTGCTGATCAAAGCGATTCCATTTTGGATTAATGAAATTTGGATCCAAATATTAATGACGGACGTAGAGATAAATTTAAAAAAATTCTTATGATTCTTTACAGTAAACTGAATTTTTTCCTATAAGGACAGTGATGAGAAAATAATGATTGAGTTATTTTCGAGAAATAAATTTTAAAGCTTTGGTCCTATTTTTTTCGTTGTTGTTTGAAGGACCTGCTTGTCAAAGTCGATGTTCGCAACCTTTTCGATGTGGACGCTGGTCTCTACGACGGTCGGCTCACAGAAAGCTCAAATCCTCATCTTTTAGAGCTTTAAAGTTTCAACACTACAAGTAAAAGTTTTATTTCCTTGTACGGCCGAAAACTTTTACGAAACTGTACTACATGCAAAGAATAAATTTGCAGGCCTGCAAAAACTTTCAGTTTTTGAAAAGGACGCCTCTATTAATCCTGATTCTTTGCTATATTGCATCAATTTTTTTTTGTCTTGTCCGAGAAAATTTCTTTTTTTTCAGTCTCTAGAAAAATGGTTCTTGTTGTGAAGGGCTAGCAAGCATTCAGATCAGACTTACCATCAAGGAAGAATTTCAGGAACAAGAGAATGCAAAGGCGAAATGGCATGAAAAAGCCGCGAAAAGACTCCGGGGGCAGTTCGCAGAGCCTCTTTTCTTGCAACAGCTGTTTTCAGTTGTGTCTTTATGACACATGGGTTTACCCTCCACATGTACCTTCATCCTAGCGACCAAAATTGTCACTTCTCTTACTAGAAAGACCAAATTATCGCTTGGGGTTCTTCGTCTTTCCCATTATTTTTCGCTTTTATCAAACCATGTTTAGTTTTTCGTGAATAAGTTTTTCAAAATAACTCTTTCCTGTTATGATGGGAAAAAAAATATAAAATGAAAAATTTTTAGTAAAAAAGGACGAAGACAGTGAATCTTGGCTGAGAGGTAAAAATTTTTTTATCGTAGTCGCCAAAGTTCGATTACAGATGAAAATATTCAAGTACGTCTGAAAAGTAGTCAATATGAACAAATTGACCGCAAGAATCAAAATAAATTACAGTACTTGTACAGACCTAGAGGAGAAAAAAATTTGAATCAGTCGAGAAGTTTGCCGCTTTGGCTGGGACTACGGTAAAAGGAGGAAGTCGACACCGGTCGCAGTCGAGGGCCGCAGTGTGAGGAGGGCTGAAGATATCAAAGTCAGTCGGTGGCAACTGTCAGATGCAAGCTGAATCTCCAGGTTTCTGACAAAGGTCTCTTAGAGTCTTGGAAAAGAAGCTGTGAGATTGGTATTTTTCAAATTTTTTTTATCTGTGTGGAGATCTAGAAAAAAAGTTTCAAATAAAATTTTTGGTGAAACGCGCAAAAAGCCAGTAGACACTAACCAAAGGAAAAAAGGTCCGTGAGCGCAGGAAATCCTAACCACCTCAAAAATTCTCCAATGGTGATAACAGCAAAGCCGAGACAATGATTTTAGACTTTTTATGCCCTTCTCAGGAGGTACAAACCCAAATCGAAGGTTATACTTACGATAACTTACGTGGCCGATTATTTCACAGCGCGTACCGGGCGAAGAGAAATGCGAGTGGAGCATCGTCCTCAGGTCTCGAAATTGACGTGTGAACAGAAAATAAAGCTGCAAATGAGATTCTACTCCAGCGTCATGTCTTAATTTTATATCTGATCAGTCTTCCCCAGTTTCAAAATTAATGAAAATAGTCTTAGGATCCCCCAGATTTTCTGTATTCCAGTCCAATAGCTATGTTCACAAATAAGTTCTACCATCGGATTTGCCAAAGAGTTCAAATTGAAGAGAAGATTGATGACGTCTTTGAAAAGGACGAAAAGTTCAGAGTCATGGTGTTTCTCCTGGTCGACGAACCGAATCAAAAGACCTCCTGAAAATGCTTCAATGTATTATCGGGCTGTGATTATAATCTCTCGCCTGTGTGGCACAAGAAAAATGTGATGACTATGGACATGAGCAGAATAACCGACCGGCGTTCCTGAAATTTGTCTTTTGAAAAAGGCTTGCACAAAAGCTCAAATCGGATACATTTAGAAAATCTCAGATCATTATCCTGACATTTTTTGAAGAGTTGAAAAAAGAAGAGAATTTACGGTTGCTTGGCGCTTCTTTTTTTCCGATCCGTTTTATTCACCTGAGCAAAGCGACTTTTGTGCTCAAAGGAGACGTCGCGACGGGAAATGTGCGACAAAATCCGAAGATTCAAGACGGAGAGCAGCAGCAAAGGGACCAGGTAAACCATAACCGGATAGAGCATGTTGTCCAGCTGAGAGATTCAACGATGGATACCCGAACTCTGCTTTAGAATACTTACAATGCGGTGGTAACGCTCGCTGCGGGCCAATTCTGACGGTTCGTGCATCAAGAAGAAATAATTCTCAGAAGTTGAGTTTACGGGAACCTGAAAACTCAAAAAGTTTCAAAGTGACTTTACAACTGAACGAATGTCGGAATAAAAAAGTTTCAGACCTGTTCCCATTTCCAGTTGAATTCTGCCCACTTGCTGACGTTGAACAGAAGAGCTACCAATGCAATGAAAATGAGAGGTTTGAAGGGTTTCGACGGCGAGTAAATGTTAGAAAGAGGGCTAAGAATCGCCTAAGATACACGAGTTCGGGAAAAAAGCGAGAAATCGCCGGGCACCTTATGTCTTTGTATGGAGATGTAGCAGATAGTCCAGATGCTGGCGCAGTTGAAAGCCAGAAGCAAAGGCGAGAGAAGTCCTGTCGAGAGATACGCCAACTGGCCTGAAAAAAAAACTACAAGCAAAAAAAAAAAGTTATTTCCTCCGTGTGAGTTGAAGAGCGGTTCTAATTACATTGATGTAGAAATGCGCAAAAAATACCGAGATTACTGTAAGGTTCAGAGCTGCTGAAGTCGTGTAAGGCCGGTATGACGAGAACGAAGAAGGAGAAGAGAAGCTGGAGACAGTCCGACATCGACAGGACGATCAGCGCCTGATTGCTCTATTTGATTTCCAGAACTTTTTTTTCAACTTTTTTTAGCTATACGAAATTTCACTATTATATAAAAATGAGTGTTTTTCTTCGTGTTAAAAAAGTGGATTGGCGAAAATAACGACCACTTCTTCGAATTTTTTTTTTGTTTAAATATTTTCTTTTCGAAGAAGTCGATTATTAATCCTAATTGTGAAATAATAGAAAAAAGTTTTCAATTTTCGTTTTGAAAGAACTGTGTATAACCGGACATCATAAGAAATTTGCGACGAAGCGTTTTCTCGAAATTTGAAGCTTCTGCTGAAATTCGGTCAGAACACTTTTGAGTTCCAACCTGCATAATATTTTCCAAGAATAAATTTCCTCAAATCTATTTTTTCATTTCTCCGTGATGTTACTTGAGACTGCGGCGCATTAATGAGGTCTCAGTCCAACTTTCAGAGTTTTTTTTTGAATATTATGACCTTCCTTGCCAGTTAGGCAGTACTTTGATTATAAATCAAAACTCGGCAGGACTAAATTTTTCTTGACTCTTCAAAATGGCGGAGACCCTACGTAAAGAACTCTAGTACAATTAGAAATTTTTTTTGAGATTTTTGGTGAGCTTGAAGAAACTTCCGAGCGCAGCTATTAGAATTTAGCAACAGAGGAAAGTATTTGAATGAAGTTCTAGTGGCCGAGATTAACTCACAGGAACTAGAGGATGGTGTTTGTGCGAGAAAAAGACCAAAAGGCAGCAGATGTTAAGAAACAGGCCTGAAACTTCATTTAAAGGTTGCGACTCAGTTAGGTCTGTTTTATTTCTCTCAGTCTTACCTAGGGTGCAAACCAGCGGCATGAGCCAGAGGTCGATGACGCATCCGCAGAGCCGCCAACCGTTCTCTTCGTCCAGGCACATCCAGAGTTTTTCGAGGTCTCCTTGGAGGCGAGAGAAGTCTATGACTGGACGAGGATTAAAACGAGCCTCCAAGGCTTTCGGACAGCTTTCAAAACTCCTCTAGGTCTTCTTCGAGCGGCAAGGCTTCTTGGCGTCAAACCAAAATGAACTTTCAATTAAAAAATTGTTTTTGATTTCTTTTTTTTTCGAAAACAGTCATCTTGAAAAATATTTGTTTCATAAGAAAAAAAAAATAAGGAATTACTTTTGAAGGATATAAAACAAAAAGGAAAAGAAGCGTTACTCCCATCGCTGCGGCTTGAAACTTTTGAACTCTCTCTGTCTTCTTAACCTCCCAACGTTTCTACGTTCCAATTCCTGACTTAGCTGGCGAAAAACAGTTAAGCGCAGTAGGATCTCGCTCAAAGCTTTGTCGAACCATATATAATCCGTTAATAGGTAAAAAAAAATCGTAAGGAAAATTATCTCGTTTAAGTGTCTTCAAAAAAAAAAAACTTAAATGGCGAAATAGAAGGAAACCTTCAAATTTCAATCTGATATGTCGCTGAAGACATTAAAAAAAACCGTAGGAATGAAGCCTTTGGAGAGTGAAGCCGTAAACCTAAAATCGAAAGATTTCTTTTTCGAAAAAAAAGGAGAAACAAATTCTGATGTTTAACTTAAAAATGAAAATTATATAAAAGGCTGATAAGGTGGTTCTGTCTCGACACAAATTAAATTTCTCGCAATTCAGAGAGTTCTCCCAGACGAGTTCAATATGAACGAGTGGGTATAAACTAGTTGACTGAATTTTTTCATTATTACTTTCACGGAGCATTTCAGTTCCTCCTATTTGATTAAATCCAGTCGTTGCGTGTCAAAAACATGTTATGTCTACTTAGCCCCTAATGCCAAATTAAAGAAATAACCGAATTTTTTTCTAAGAAACCATTTATGAACGTGGAAAACAGAGAAGGAATGATGAAGAGTGTGTGCCACTCGCCCTTTCAAAAATTCAAATGAAGGCCTCGCCGTTTTTGAATCAACAAACAATTTAGTCCAGAGGCTTCGATAGAGCTACAACAAACTGCTAATGCTCTACTTGGGTGAAATTAATTTTAAATCAGCTCTGAAGGGGGAAGAAGTGCTATGATATTGTTATTTAATGAAAATATGCGGATTTCAAGGCAATCAAAAAATAAGCAAAGCTCTCTTCGATGATCTCATGTTCTATCTGCTAATCATTTCTGTGGGAAAGGACGGTATCTTCCCAGTCGAGGTGAATGAGGTATAAACACAACTTGAAAGTTTCAGTTTTCGTTTGAAGTTTCCTGTTACAAGATGCATGTGCAGCCTACCATTATCACTTCAGCAATTTTCGCAAAACTCAAAATCATCCCTGACTTTCCAAAATTTAATTATGTTTCTCACTCTAAGACGGCTAATCATTATTTGAATTTTGCGCGCAATCTTTGCGGAATCCGTTTGAACACCTGAAGGTTTTTTTTCGTGAATAGTACGTGAACACAAGGCAACCGCTCGCATTTGATTTTACGCCATTCACTTTCCTTCGTAATGTTTTTTCTACGTTTTCCGTTTGTAGTTTTTAGTTTATTTCAAAGTTGTTCATATTTGTACACTCCTAAGTTTGTTTTAAAAATTTTCGAATACTTTTGTTGATTATCAATTTTTTTTAGCGCAACAGGTTGTGTTTCTGTCTACAGTCCAGAGGGTCCCAAGTTCGATTGCGGCGCGCCGTCGCGACCCAACTAAGCAGTTCAAGAAATGTTGGTGGCGGGAAACCAGCTTCCGAAATCCCCAATTAAGTCAGACCGAAACAAGGACTATAGGAAAGTACTTCTATTGGAGTTTAAATTTCAGTAATGGAACACGTCTCGTTGTACAACTGTCCAGAAACAATAATTTTTCCCTTTTTGGATCATTATAACTTTTGTTTAATAATCATCGGCTCTGCGTCTGTTTCCTAAGCCCGGTCCGGCCTTAGCGGGGCCTCGAGCAAAAATAGCCGGCTTGGCCCAAAAAGCTCAAACTCCAAACTTTCCTCAAGTCGATTATCAACTTTTTTAAGGCAAAAGTCACATTAATGCTCATTTCAACAAAAACTTAATTCACAAAGTTCAGCAAAAACTATGATTTTTAAAAAGTAAAAAAATAATTTTTTTCGGTAAAAATTTTTTCAATGAAATTAAAATTTTTTGCTAGAGCCTGGCCTTGCCCAAGCCCATGAAGGCTTTTTCTCAAAAATGAGGCTCCAAGCCCGGCCTGGCGTACAAGCCTGGTTGGAAGGCCTTGGAGGAGTGCGCTTTCGCTCCATCGACAAAAAAAGAACAAGGTCCCCTGGAGAGTTCACTTGAAAGAGCGAGCAAGATTTACACACATGGGAACCTCTATCAAATATTTATAATAATAATCAAATTAACGAATGATTATCATTTTGATGTTATTCTTGCATTTGTCTTTCGATATTATTGCATTTTGATTATTATGCCAATTATTATGCCTTTCTACGTTAAATATAAAGGAATAGTATAACGAACTTTTTCTTACTAAATTCTTGTTTATAGTTTCGTGTATGCGTCTTCTTTTTTTCTTACATATTTTGTATTTTATTTATTTTGTTAAGATTTAAAAATGGTGTTGGCGGATCTTGGTCGAAAGATTCGCAATGCCATTGGAAAACTCGGCCAAACTACCATTATAAATGAAGAGGAGCTTGACCTCATGCTCAAAGAGGTTTTCGATCAATTGTATTCATTTTCTACTGATGGCAAACCATTTTTTAGGTTTGCACAGCCCTCATTGAGTCAGACGTGCACATTCGACTTGTGAAACAATTGAAGGATAATGTGAAGTGAGTTTCGAACTGTTTTTTCGAGTGAAAATTTGAATAGGAAAGCGATGAACTTCGATGAAATGGTGGGCGGTGTCAACAAGAGAAGACTTATTCAAAAGACAGTTTTCAACGAACTGTTGAAATTAGTTCGTTTATTTTTTTTTTTTAATTCTCACATGTCAAAAAGTCGAGAAAAAAATTTCAAAATAGGCGAATCTGATCTCAGGTTGATCCTGGAGTGACGGCTTTCCAACCTACGAAAGGTAAACGGAACGTGTTCATGTTCGTCGGTCTCCAGGGTTCTGGTAAAACTACGACATGTACCAAGGTTCTCTTTTGGGAAGTTTGATGTCTATAGTGTATTTTGAGATGGCATATTACTACCAACGGAAGGGATGGAAGACGTGTTTGATCTGTGCGGATACCTTCCGCGCTGGAGCCTTCGATCAACTGAAACAGAACGCTACAAAAGCACGCATTCCCTTTTATGGCAAGTTTTTGCTGCTCGTCTTCTGTTTCTCAATCATGCAATTTTAACATAACATGTTTCCCGGGGTCCCTATCAATTGGTTTTTTTCAGGTTCTTATTCTGAAATAGACCCCGTAAAAATAGCCGCAGAAGGAGTCGAAAAGTTCACGGTTTGTAGCAATAACTCGTTTTCTTTCAACTTTTTTCGCTTTCAGGAAGAGGGCTTTGAAATCATTATCGTGGATACTTCTGGTCGACACAAACAAGAAGCTTCGCTTTTCGAAGAAATGCTCCAAGTTTCAAACGCTGTGGTAAGTTGATTTTTTTTTATTAAGATATTTCGTGCACACTTCTCAGTCTTTTTCAGTTCTCTAGGTTAAATTTCCAATTAATTCAGTCTTTAAAATATTAGAATAAAAAATTTTTCCTCTCGTTTCAAGCCTTTTTGCGCCCAAGATACTGGCTTGTATTAGGATTTATTATTCTTCCTTATCAAATTCATGAAGCAATTTTTATCTCTCTGCTGAACATAATGAGGTTTTTTTGCGCCTCTGAATTGTAGAAAGCTTGAGACTTTAGATTTTCGAGGACTATTATTGGACGGTTTAGTTGTCTATTTTTGGCTAGCAACAACTCAACCGGGACTTTTCCTAGCTACTATGAGTTGCAGCAACCAGACAACGTGGTGTTCGTGATGGACGCCTCTATCGGCCAGGCCTGCGAGGGCCAGGCGCGTGCCTTTTCTCAGACTGTCGACGTCGCCTCCGTCATCATCACCAAGCTCGACTCCCACGCCAAGGGCGGTGGCGCTCTTTCCGCGTCAGTCTATCAATTTATTCTTGAATGCATACAAAGGAAAAGAAACGCTCTATATTTTTCACAAGAAAAACTAGAGTTCTCGACAAAAAAACTTTTTTGCTGCCTATCTGCTCCTTTTTTGAGCCTCTCCCGTTTAGCGGACATTTACCATCCCGCCTTCACCCGAGTATCCCAAAAAAGGAAAAAATGAAAGATTTTTTGCTTGGATTTGTTTTTTAGAGAACCGTGATCCAAAAAAAGGTAACTAGAAACTAAATTATAGATGAAACTTGCCAATTGTTGTCGATAGGAAGTTGACTTCCGATTTTCAGCGTCGCTGTCACGAAATCGCCCGTCATATTCATCGGTACCGGTGAACACATCGACAACTTCGAAGTGTTCAAGCCTAAATCTTTCGTCCAGAAATTGCTTGGAATGGGCGATATCGCCGGCCTGGTCGACATGGTCAACGACATCGGAATTGCAGACAACAAAGAGCTCGCCAGCAGGCTAAAGCAAGGTTTTTTTTTTCACATTTTCGTCAGAATTTTTCCCTACTTCTCTAATTTTTACAAATCATCTCTCTTTGTTTTTCATTTTTCTTATTAGAATCTCTTTTTTGTTAGATTTTTTTCTGGAAATTTAGCGCGAGAAGGTATTCATGATAATCCCTGTTAAACGCGAATGTGTTTTCGGCATCAGCGGTTAGAATAAAAACTTGTTTATCAATGAAAAATAGAAATTTATATGAGTTTGGGAGTCATAGGACTCTTGATGCTGTAAGTTGTTTTTTATTTGAACGTTCAAATTATTAATATTTTTTTTTTGTTTAACTAAATTCTTTTTCAGTAGAGTCTTTTTTTTTCTCGCCCAAAAGAAAGAATTTCAGGACAATTCACAATGCGCGATATGTACGAACAGTTCCAGAACATAATGAAGCTGGGTCCGTTCAGTCAAATAATGGTGAGGCGATAGGCTTTTCTAAGATTTTTCCTTTTTTTTTTCTGTAGAGCATGATCCCCGGTTTCGGGCCCGAATTCATGTCAAAAGGCAACGAGCAAGAGTCCGAGAACCGTCTGAAAAAGATGATGACGATTATGGATTCTATGAGCGATAAAGGTACCAATTTTCTTGCACCAAAACTTTGGAAGAGATTTTAAGAAAAAGATGATGATCATCTTGAAGTCTCTTGTTTCTTTTTTTAATCAAGGCTTGAAATGATTTTGTGTACTGTTATTTGAGTTTTTTTTTTTCATTTTTTTTCTATAATTGTTCAAGTTTTTGGCGGAAAAGACGCATTATAAGCAGATATCAGGAATGCATCTCGATTCCTTCTTTTAAACTATGGCAAATATAGCTAATCATAAGCACTTATCTCATAATTAGAATAATGAGGAGATGTATTTCATTCGAAAGGTAAAATATGCATTGACAAATCGAGAAAAAGCGCAAAAAAATTGAAGTGAATGAAAAAAAGTGAAACCCGATTTATGCAACGCCTCAATGAGTTTAAATCTCATATTGACCTCAACATTGACTGGAGGTAAGCTATGGAAAATTGTTCGTTTAGGTTTTCTCCAAAAAGTATCTGTTCATCTTATAAATTTCTTATCATAGTATGTAGTACTGAGAAATATTTCATAATACTAAAACCTCAGTTAAACATACCATTCAAATTGATGTTTTTTCAGAACTCGACCACCCAAAAGCTTCGGATTTGTTGACGAAGGAAAGTGGACGAATCGCCAGGGTAGCGAGGGGTTCCGGAACGAGTCAGGTGATTTCATCACCGAATTGTTTGGAAACTATCTTATATTTTAAGAACGAAGTTCGCGAGCTACTCACGCAGTACAAAAAGTTCTCAGACGTTGTCAAAAAAATTGGATCTATAAAAGGATTGTTTAATGTGCGTAATACCTTTATCATTTTCTTCGTATTAGAACTTTTTTTGGAAAAAAATTTTTTCAGGGAAAAAAATGGCGATATCAACCCGAAAAAAATGTGAATCCGCAACAAATGGCCAAGCTCAACCAACAGGTTCATTTTCTTTTCTATGGTGTCATCCTAATATTGATGATTACTCCGTTGTTACAGAATAAGCTTGGAATTTTATTTCCCATCGAAAAAAATTTATTCAACTGTAGATGTTTCAAGGCTGAAGCGTTTTTTTCGTTCTTGTCTTCGCCTGTAGGCTTATTAACGCTATTTTTACTTAGTCTATTCTTAAAAGTGTAGTTATCTCAGTAATGAGGGTAAATTTCGTAGTATCAATGATCATAAAGGATAAATTGATAAAAGGTTTTTTTTTCCAATCATCCATCAAATAACTTATTTCAATGTTTGTAACAAAAGCCTTAGTCATGGCTTGTAAGCTAAGGACTGATGGTCTCGACGGGAATCCGACGAAATATATATATACTTCTTAAGTGCCCATTTCTTCCTTTTTCTTCCTTTTTAATTTATTCAAAATTTTTTTGCGCTATGGTGAAATATCAATCTCAAGAAAATCTGATCTTTCCAGTGAGAATACTAAGGAGACATGTTATTGGAATCAAAGCGCGACTCGATTGGCTTAAAGTATTGTATGGCTAGGAATGTTGAAATACCAAAATAGATGATTTCTTGAGTGATTAAAAAAAAAGGAAATAACTTTTGAAAAACTCATTTATCCTATCATTTCGTTTTTTTATTATTAGAAAAAAACACTCAAAGCAATGTATTTTATTTATTCATAGAAAGCTTGGATGAAAGAAGAAACGTAAAAAAGTGAAAAAAGTCGTGAAGTTACCAGAGAAATATGATAATTTTGCAGATGGCCAAGATGATGGATCCAAGAGTTTTGGCGCAAATGGGAGGCATGGGAGGGTTGCAGAACATGATGCAGCAAATGGCCCGGTCCGGCCGCATGTAACCCCTTTTTTTTCCTTCTTTTTTTTCACCTTTCACTTTCGCCTGATTTCTGGTCCATTTCAAAGTTTGTACGGTCGGAACACAGATTTTCTACTCTCTTTTCATACATTTCGCTGTTTCTTTTTGTGCTATTGATAGCGTTGTTCCTGTCAGCTGGGGTTTGTCATGATGTATGTAAAAAAGAAATTCGTATCACATTATCAATAAATATATTTATGTTATAAAGCCTAAGTTTGTATGTTTAACCCGTCGAACGTGTCCGAATAACTGAAAAAAAAAACATTTAGTTCTTTGAGATGTTTGTCTTTAGTTCTATGATGGTTAGGTGTGAAAAAAGAGTCATAAAAAGGGAAAATTGAATTTTCAAGATGAGATCTCGATCTGGAAAATCAACACAAGCGAAGGAAGAAGTGGAAGAAGAAGTGGAAATCGATGTCAAGACAGATATCTCAGATTGCAAAGTGTTTGAGAGAAAGTTTGTCGTCTCCAGTGAGGGTCAGCTCTTTCATGAGGCTTTCTGATATTTGAACTCGAAGTTTCAGCTCCGGAAAGTTGCCAACTCTTCAAGTTGAGGCATCCGAAGGGCGGAATAGCCCTCTTCCATTTGAGCGCAGATGCTTCGCACGAGGTTCCCTTCTACTTTATAAATAAAAAAAGATCATTTTTTTGACATACAGAAAAAAAGGACTGGACAGAGATAAAACAAAGTTTGCACATGTGAATCGTAATTTCTACTTCGTATTTCTCCTTTGAGAGTTATTGGAATTAGATTTCGATTTCCTGTTTTTAAATCTAATGAAAATTCAACAAATTCAGCAAAGTCCAAACGACCTCAAAAATTTCTTTAAAAAAAGAGTCAGCTTTTTTTGAGTTCCAAAAAAAGTGTCAAAAGTTTCTCGAATTTTCTTTTTTTTTTACTTTTTTTCCGCCTCCTTTTCTTAACTCCTCAAAAGGTCCTTTCCAGAAAAAAAAAAGTATAGAATGAAAGGCGCCTTCGAGGCCTTTTATAGACCTTTTTTCCAAAAGCCCATTTGGACTTTGCCCGTGTGAACCGGTCCAAAAGACTCCCAATTCAAACAATTAAGGAAAACGGATCAAATACTTGTTAGCATAGTCTTTGGGTTTGAGAACAGTCTCGCACCTTCGTGGCATCGACTCGATAAGTGTGTTTAACACGCTCATTGGGATCTTCTTCCAAACTTCTTCGAATTTTGAGGTCAAAACAATCGTTTTGAAAACAAACTTCTTCGAAATGTCAGGTCGAAAAAATCTTTTTTAACAAATTTATGAACAAAAACCCAAAAAAAAAAATCCATTTTCGCTACTGCAACGCATTCATCTCAAGCTTGGAACTCAGCGAAGTTATAGGAAGTTCTGAGATTTTTTCATGAAGAACTGTTTTTGAGTTATAAGTAGCCTCAAAAAGTTGTCGTGAACAAAAGGCGATTAATCTCTATTTTGCTCGAGTTGTTTTTTGAAAGCTGTTTGGCAATATATTTCTTGCTAGAGAATAGAGTTTATATATCGAAGTGAGGTCCATCTCTTGCAGATCTTACTTTCGGGAGATGAGCACCGGTCTTGGTTTTATGGCGATTCCGTGGTGAGAGACGGTCATGTCAGAATATTCTCTCCCTTTCACCCGCTATTTCTCGCTCTTCCCTATCTTCACAAGACCAAGGTTATTCCAATAGATGATTGACATGTTAATCTTTCTTAGGACCGATTTCTTGAAAAGGAAGAAATATTCGCCGACGATTCTTTCCCGGCCATTAAGCGGCTACTCAGCAACCGACAGTTCTTGGCAACGATTCAAAATGTTGCCCAAGTGCGAGGTTTTGATAATTTTTTTGGAAAAAAGAACCACACTAAAACGAATTCCACTCCGTGATCCGGATTTTTCTGAGAACTCGTTTGAAAAATATTTCGAAAGTGCAAATTTTATGTACTAGAATCCCCGGAATTCCTCAAACTCCATCTTTTTCGAGAACCGATGACTCGAAATTCTTTTTGGCTATTGCGCAAAAATATATTTTTATGATTAGAGTTTTTCTAAAGTTAGCGAATTTCACATGTCAAAATAAATGTTCTTCGGAAACAAAAAACTCGTTCTGATCCTCGATATTCTCTAGAGGTTTGCGACACTGTGGTCTATCGCTTCGACCTCGAAAAGTTCCTGGAATGGATAGGTAAAAAATTTGAAGCTTTAAAAGAGAACGTCGTTGCACAGCTGCATAAATCTCTGCAAGAAGGTTCGCTTTCCATCGATTTCGACTAGGGAAATTTAATAAACCTTCAGGCGATGCTTTGAATCGTTACGTGTTCGGCATGCTCAGCGACTTTTTGTATGCCGAGGTTAGATCTTTTTCCCCTTAAGTTGTCATTTCGTTTTAGATGCTTCCTTTGGTGAAGGATCACCTGGGCGTGGTCGACGTCGTCGCGCAGGAGTACGTCGACATGAGCATGAAGCGGAAGATTCTCGATCAAGACGAAGATGTCACGCCCGTCGCCAAGGTCTCCCCTTTTTTTCTGTATTCTGCAGTTTTGCGAGATGAAAAAAACGTCGTTGAAAGAATTCAGAAATCAAGATTAGAAACTAAATATGGGATTATGGGATCTGCTTGTTCAAAAAAATTTTTTTCTAAATTGAACTCAACCTTATGTATATAAGTAATATTTTCAGGGCGAAAGTTTTTTCTAAAGACTTTTAATATATGAGAATCATTTTTTTAACTTCGTCAAGATTTTCTTTTCCAGCTTCTGGCAAGTTGGTCTCTTTGAATTATTTTTGTTTTTATTTTTGGAAGTTCTATAATTATATCTTAGTGCTATGATTCATCGACGTATATCAGAGAATTTTCTTACCAAAACTCACTATAATTTTCACAGTTTTATTTCAGAAGCCTCGAGAATCGCGTGTTCTGAAGGATTTGCAGAAAGCCAGCAAGGGCACTAAGTCAATAAGTAGCTTCTTCGCGAAAAAATGATTTTTTCATCTTTTTTTATTCATTCTCTTCCACTAATCCCACGTGTACCTCACTATCTCACTTATCCTTTAACTATTGTCAATGTTCCTTATTGTTTTATTCCAAATAAAATTCGCCAAATACGTTCTGTACTTCTTCTAGTAACAGAAGTTTCGAACAGAAAATTTATCTATACGTTTGTTTTCCATCTTTCTAATTATTTTGTAGATGTCGCGACTCGCGGCATCGCGAATCATGCACGTCGGTCGCGGCCTCAATCAGCCGACGGCCTTTGGAAAGCGGATGGAAAGACTTTCAAATCGCGTCTGGGGTGAAGTCGTCTTTCCTACAGATTCCAAGAGCATGAAGGCCAGTTTTAAAAGTTTTTTTTTCATGTCTTAGTCAAATAAATCACTCCTTTTAGGCCAGAGAAATAGCCCACTAGAAAAAAAAGTACGTTTTGTCTGTATTATCACCACAACAGGCGAGTTTTTAGTTTTAAATATTTTTGTTCGTGTGAAAAAATGAATAAATTCCAATTGTTTGAGTGGTTTTGGCACGCTCCGATCGAGACTGCAATGTAGGCGGAAAAAAAATAAAATTGATTGGTTTCTAGTTATGAAAAATCCGTTTTAATTTTCACATTAGGTAGCATGAATTTTGGATCTACCAAGAAAATGTTTTCTGAATTGACGATTACGAGACTTTTTTGAACTTCCTGATTTAGATTCCAGAAAAAGTTTTAATTTTCCAGGTCGTCAAAGTCATGTCAGCCCAACCATATGAAACCAACGAACAGCTTTCCCCGAAATACTATCCCAATCTGCCTATGTTCCACTACCTCACAAAAATGCTTCGGTTTCACGGCCTCTTTTTCGACGATCACGTTGTCTTTCGACAGGTTTTAATTTCATTTTTATGAATTTTCGCGTTTAAAAGCAAGACGTTTAAATGCAGAACTCATTTGGCTAAATGAATCTTTAAGGTACAAGACGAGCTCAAGATTTTACGAGGGAAAGTCGTTCGCCCTCCCATCGGACAAGGAAAGCGAGCACAGTTGCGCGGCAAAAAATAACTTTTTCAAATATATCTCCCATGTTTTTTGTTATAGGACTGATAAATTTTGTGTCTTGATTGATTTTTTTCTCAAAACGTTTTCATATTACGAAATTTATCTATAGATCAACTTTTTTTTCTTATTTAACTCGGAAAAAGATTTATCTGCTGGCATGAAGCGCAACTCAGCCGGGAAGCCTAAAGAGAAGATGGACAAAGCTGATCCAAGTAATATACTGCATTCACCACGGCTCGAAACAGACCTTTTCTCTCTCACCAATGAGGTGGAAAAACGTGGAAACAGAAAGTTAACATGATATTTCCACGGAGAGGAACAAGGCGCGAGAAAACTGTTCCAAGTAGTAGTGGATAGACTATCCTCCGACGTTCTCTTTGCAAAAAAAATAATTTACAGCGATCGACAAGTTTTTCGGTGGCTCTTCTAAAAAAGCAGGAACTTGGAGTGCTGAGGTTTTTTTTTCTACGTTTTCGAAACACAGATGCCGCAAGAAGTTCTCAAAAAATGATTTTCATATTCTTTTGCGATACAGAAGACAAAATATTATATTAGAAGTTTCATGCTGAAAATTGAAATACTTCACCTTTTTTTCCTGGCAGATTTAGAAACTTCAAAGCCGTTAAAACCAATGCCGTTTGAAAGTAATTTTTCACATAATGATTTAATAGGAGAAGTTGTGGTCGGTTCACCTCTGACTTGAGCTTCGAAAGAATGTAAGAAAATGAGAAAATTCGCCTGGTTGGTGATGAGCGCAGACGACAGTGCCACGCCCTTTGACGCCCCAAGGCAGCCCTGAACAGGCCCTATCAATGATCTTCATAGGCAAAGTCGGAAGGGCCGAAAAAGACTCCATAGAAGTTTTCCTTTTAGGGTGACAAAAGCTCCTTTTTTGCGTCCTTCATCGGCTCTTATGCACCATTTTTGCTGACTCTTTTTTTGCTGCTTTCTCTGCGGCCTTTTTCCCCTTTTAACAGTTATTATCCAGACTTTGCCCGATATGTTCGAAAATATAATTTTCGCAGGAAGTGGCTTTTTCCACTAGGACTGAAAAGCTGAAAAAAGTTTTGGGCTTCCACGAAGTCGCTTTTTTTCAACATGAAAAGCTACTAAAATGTTTCAGGGTGGAAACGATTTGTTGATTTACACAACTGATGATTGCACGCCTCAAAGCAAAGTAGCATGTTTCGACATGGGTTTTACGAATCCAGTAACTATTAATGTTCTTGATTATTCAGATGGAACTTTGATAACCACGAAATCGGGCAAGGTTTTCCCAACAGACGTTAACGACTGGAAGTAGTTCACAAACACAAAAAATCATTTATTTTTAATGTAGGCTTTTGTATGACTGTATCTCCATTCGAATACAATCTCTTGTGAGCGAAGGCTTCAAAGTCGTCATTTTCACCAATCAGAAAGGAATTCAGGTGGTTCTCGAACTATTCTTCCCTATTTTTGTTGTTTTAGGTGGGCAAAGTAGACAAGAACTCGTTCAAAAGAAAAATTGAAGCCATCGTTTCCGAAATTGGAGCTCCCATACAAGTGAGTTTGTTATTCTGCCGCATTTCGAGATATCAGAAAACCTCCACTAAAAAAAGTTAAGGTTTTCGTCTCAATCGGAAGCGGTATTTACCGAAAGCCATGCACGGGAATGTGGGAAGCTCTGCTGAAAAACAACGGCGACGTGCAGATTGACAAGGAATCTTCCGTCTACGTCGGCGATGCCGCAGGTCGTCACAAATCAAAGGTTACTCTCCTTCTTTTCGCCATTCCTAATGCTTGCCTTCACTTTATTCTGAGCCTCATTGTTTTGAGATTCGACCGAAAAAAGACCATTCGTCAGCTGATCGATATTTTGCCGCGAACCTCGGAATCAGCTTCAAGACCCCCGAACAATTTTTCCTCGACCAGAAGCTTGAAGAACCTTGGGGACCGCCGACTTTTGAGCCGAGTCGACTCTTCTCCGAAAAAATATCAGAACTCGAACCCGCAGGTTAGTTCCTATAGTTGATATATTTCGGGTTTCTTTTATTTGAAAATGACACGTGACACAATTTGCTCACAGCCTGAATTTTCAGATGTCAAGGTCCCATCGGAAGAAAAGGAAGTGATTGTGATGGTTGGTTTTCCGGGCAGTGGAAAGTCGACTTTCGCTAAAAAATTATCCGAGGATCATGGATACGTAGTGAGTCCATTTTCTTGTGAGATTTCGTTCTGAACTTCCTCTCATTATTTAGTTCAAATATTTTCAATGAATTGCAAAGACTGTGATCGCTTTAGCCCACATCTCAAAGATTTACGGAAAACTTGAAAAGTTGAAAAGAATTCTTCTAGATTTTTTTTCAGTATCAAACTTTTTCAATATTTGATCCCTTCTAGATTGTAAATCGCGACAAACTTGGAACATGGCAAAAGTGCGTCGCTGCTGCCAAATATGCCCTGAATGAAGGAAAAAGCGTCGTTATCGACAACACCAACCCCGATCGTGAGTCCAGGTATTCATCTCCCAAGAAAAACAGGGAACTCTATTCAAACTTCAGAAAAAGATATACAGAAATCGCCAAAGAATTGGACGTTGAATGCCGTTGTTTCAAAGTAAATCATTAGATTCTTCCGCTTTTAATTAACATTTCTGTTTGAGATGTCCTGCAATTTGGCACAAGCGCAACACAACTTGCGCTACCGTATCCTTACTTCGAAAAGTGCGCAAGACGTCGGTATAATGGTCCTGCGCATGCATGGAAGCAAATTCCAGGTATTCATATCCAAGGCGTCTGACAGTACGGCCTGTTCAGAAAACCTTCGCCCGGAGTTTTTGAAGGAGCAGAATTTTTGCCGACTCTCATTCAAACCATAATTATTCAAACCAAATCAAATTTTTTTTGGTTCATAGAAACGGTTCAGAATCGGTTTGGATTTAGGTTTGGCTCAGGTCTTCTGTACCCCAACAAGGATTTTCTTTTCACAGACTTTATACGAGACATACAATATCTCAGTTTTAGAAAGATTCTGATCTCATGGCTAATCAGTCACAATTTTCTTTTACAGGAACCTGAGCTCGCCGAGGGGTTCAACGAAATCGCAACTGTAAATTTTATCCCAAAGTTCGATGACGAGTCGCGCCGGGAACTATTCTGCATGTACCTCACCGATTGATTATTTTTCGAAATCTACACAAGTAAAACTAATTTCACAATAATGCTGAAAAACACCTAAAAACTCACATCATCTCGAAATTCACTCTTTCAAACAAATACAAATTCACTCGCATTTTGTGTACGACAGATCGAAAGAACACACGTGCTTCCCTGAAAAACAAGCATGATGCAAGTGAAAGACAAAGAAAAACGAGAAAAAAAATTGAGTGCGCCCACAATAATCAACAAACACAAGCTCCGCCCAGGTTTGTTGTGGAAACATTGTTGTTGGTCCTATATAAACGTCTTTTCTTGTCTCTTGGCTTTAATTTATTATTGTTCATCAGGTACTATGATTTTTACCCTCCAATTCCCGTGTTCAAACTAAAAACAATTAAAAGCTTCTTCCCTCGCTGAGTTGCTCTTCGAAAATATCGAATCGATACATTTCGGGATTATCCGTATTTAATAGTTTCTTTTACTAATCTTTAAGTCAAAAATTTTTTTCAAATCTTAACGATTTAATGTATGTGCAAAAAAATTTTTTTAATTGAAAAAAATTGAGGAAGGAAAATATAATTCTTGCCATTGTTGCTCTGGCGTAATTATCTTCTCACACTCGGATTACGCGTCTATAACGCAAAACTGACGTTAAGAAATCGCTGAGGTCTATTTAGCGGTGTTAGCACAATTAAATGATTACTTGAAAGGCTCAGAAACGTCCGGGGCGCATCCGGTTTGCGTTACCGAGGTCCGAGCAGTAGTAATGCACTGTTTAAATTGAATCCGTTATGCCGTGTTCAAAGTAATTTCCGCGAAATGCAAAATACCCGTTAGAGAAAGGAAAAGATCACTAAATTTTGGAGAGTCAGAGATCATTTGCATTTCGCGGAAATTACTTTGAACACGGCATTACGTCCAAACATTGGTAAAACGGAAAAGTTCCTTCGAGGATCTTCAAAGGATCCTAAGAGGGAGGTAAAAAGGTTTCTCTGAAAGCTCCTAAAATAATGTAAAAAATTTTTTGAGCTCCTTTTTCATTGCCTCAGCGGATTCTTTTTGAATCCCCTTGAATCTTTTTAGTTGCTTTTCGGAATCTTTTTTGTTAAAGAATGTGAAAAAAAGATGCAAAAAAATGAAATAAAGTGAGGCAACAAACATCTGCTGGGGACCCTTTCAAGGTCTTTTTTTGATAAAAGTTTTTTTGAGGAGCTTTTTCAGTTTTGCCCGAGAAACATCCGTCTTCGAGTGTAAAAAAATAAATAAATTTCGTAGAGTCAGAGATAATTTCAAATTTGGTATTTATCCTTTTTCTTTCAATCTTTAATCGGTAAAACCTGATATATTCTCCCACTTTTCTGACGGAATCGATATTGATTTTGTGAAAAAAAAAATAATTCATTAAAAAGATATGAGCGATTAAAAAACATTCGAATGTGTGAGAAATTTTGATTTAAAAATATCTACATCAAATTATTTTTCCTCTACAAAAAAAACTCAGCAAAGGAGTCTACACTGACGTCTGTGAAAGCCCAAAATCACGCAGCTTGATTTTTTTCTATAGTCCGTTCAGATCTTTAATTTCAAGTAGAATGACGTCATTCGAATACGCTCTGTGGATGGCTCGCTCTCTGACTTGAATGGCGAATTGACATTCAAAATCTGAACAGACTATATTTGAAAGTTGTCCTTTCCGCTCCCTGACTACTATTTTGTGTTTCTCGGAATCACTTTGAACACGGCAGCTTTATATGAAGCTTGCGCATGCGTTTGCAGAAATTGTTATTGCTATAAACAAAATGACGTCACATTTTTTTTTCGACGAATAATTTTTACAGCGGAAATCAAAATCATTTCTGGCGCTCTAAAATTTCTCTATCTTTTTTGCTCTTTGGCTTCCATTTATATACCGCTAATATCATTTTAAAAATGGTGTATATGCAGTTTTTCATGTTGATAAAACCGCGGTTTTTTTTTTCTCAAAGCAAGATTTGCTTCTTTGCTCAACTTTTAAACCAAAATCCTCTTTGAACTTATTGGAAAACACACGTTTCGTTGCGATAAACATGGTGTTCGATCGCTTAACGCTATAGCTGTTCTTTCTATCCTACTTCCTGTCTTTTCATGAAAAATATTTCCTTCGTGTTTTTTTACCTTCTTCTCATTTACTCGATTCTACAAGCTCGCTGCAACGTTAATATATGGTTTTTCATCCATTTTTTGTTGCTCTTTCGATTTTTTTAATAATCTAAGCTTGATGATAAAGAATTTCGGAAAAATTTAACCTGAAAAATTATTTCTGTGTCTTAGGACAGCCTTGTTTCTTCACGCCTTTCTCCCATTAAATAATATTTTTAAGGAAAGAATGAAAAGAACCGCAGAACCGGAGAAGACGGCGACCGACCAGTTAGTGGATGGATGTATGCTGTTTGCTTCTATGCTAATCTTCCTTTACCTTTTCTGTGAATATTAAAAATATATTTTTTTAACACTGCATGCTAATAATGAACATAGTAAGATGATTCTCAGATCCCACAATTTCAAGAGAAAACAAGTTTTTTTTCCATCATAGCTATTGATAGTTTTCAGCGTTCGATTACGTTCCCAGTGAGAAGATGAAAAAAAACATCGGAACTTGGGAGTATTATGTGAGTTAGTTGGATATTTTTTTACTTTATTGTTTCAAAAAAACTATCGCAAGAGTTTTTTTCTTTATTTTTTTATGAAAAAAATTCAGTATAAAAAAACTCATTTTGTTCTGAAAACATGATAGTGAGAAAATTCATTCTATCAAAATTTTTTTTAATCCTAACCGTGAGAAGTAAAAATCATTGATTAATTGTAAACATTTTCGCCTAAAAAATTTTCTAGTTCTTATGAGTTTAAAGAGTTTTGGATTAGAAATTACTGAACCGAGCAAGAATAAACTTTTTAGGGCAGCAAGATGCTCGTTTTCACGCACGAAAAAACGAAAGGCAGGTCTAAGCTCGCTTGTTTCGACTTTGGTGATTTTCCTTGCTCTTTGTGTAACTCGTTTTTTATTTTTCAGATGGCACTCTCATCATCAGAACGCCGACCGATCCGGAAACACCGGAAGTCCAGGACGAGAACGCAACTTCTCTGGACGTCACTCCAGACGTTTACGAAAATTGGGAGTAAGGATCAAACCATTTTTTCTGTAAATTATTTCCAGGTTGCGATACAAAAACATGCCATCTCGACTCCAGCAATTATATGAAGATGGCTTCAAGATAGTAGTCTTCTCCAATCAAAAAGGAGTCGAGGTTTGAAAAAACTCTTGCTCAGACTTCTATTGTCCTTTTTTTTTTCAGGAGGGAACCATAGGAGTTTTGCCGTACCAAATGAAAGTAGAGAAGGTCGCTGAGCAGATTGGAGTTCCCATCCAAGTACGATTTAACGATACATTTAGAAATACGAAAAAAAACGAGTTTTTGTGAAAAGTTTTCTCATATAAAAATTAATTTTTCTTGGCGCTCGGTTTAAAAAAAACCGATTAAAGCATTCTTTCAATGTAGCAAAAAAGGTTCCTGAAAGTGCCAAAAGAAAAAACTGCCTCATTCTTTTTTGAACCTGAAAGTTACTCTATTTTTTCCAAAAAAAAAATTAACTTGAAACGCCCGCTTCAGCGAAATTGAAAGATGCGAGTTTCGCTAATATCACGGTCAAAAATAATCTCCCGCTGCAGCTGAAAAAGCTTTCTTCTATTTTTCCAGGTTTTCGTAGCCATGAGCCATAGCGCTTACCGCAAGCCTTGCACGGGTTTATGGGACGCTTTGGAAGAGAGAAACGACGGCGTCTCCATCGACAAGGAAGCCTCGTTCTACGTCGGCGACGCTGCCGGACGGCATCCTACTGAGGTCGGCGTAGTTCCTTTCTGCAACCATTGACATTTGCGCTGCAGATCCATCCAAAGAGAGACAAGTCGTCTGCTGACCGATTTTTCGCGCTCAACGTCGGCTTGCGCTTCCAGACTCCCGAGCAGTTTTTTGAAGGCCTCGAAGTCGAAGAACCATGGGGACCTCCTTCTTTTGACCCGCGGAAATTGCTTGCTTCTCGGCTTCCAGAACTTGACCCCGTTGGTGAGTCACCGCATGGATTTTTTGGTAAAAGACTTTTTTCAACTTCTAATTGGGAAAAAAAAGTTTTAAAACAGCAAAAAAAAATTTCTCTGATATATCAAACTTTGTGTTTGCCTGTTATCTATATAACTGCGAGAAGATTTGAGAGTTTATTTTTTTAAATAAAATAGCATTTTTAAGAAATGTTTATCCTATATACTTTTTTTCATGGATCAATCTGCAGAAGAGAGGCTTCTAATTTTTGAATTTTTCTATTATAATATTTGTAATCAAACTAAGATGAGCTTTAAGAAAAGATGAATGTAGAGCAGTAATATATTTTCAGATACAAAACTTCCTTCGGAAGGTCAAGAAGTCATCGTGATGGTAGGTTTTCCGGGCAGTGGCAAATCAACGTTTTCCAAAAAGATTGCTGACGAGTACGGTTATTTTGTGAGTTTTATTCGATTTGTGATAGAGAAATCAGGGAAATGTTCAGGAAGTGAGCCGTGACAAAATCGGCGGTCCTGACAAGTGCGTGGCCGTCGCCAGAAAAGCTCTCGAGGAAGGCAAAAGCGTCGTGATCGACAACACCGGACCTGATCTCAAGTCCAGGTGAACAGTACTCACCTGCAAGCAGAATTCAACCAAAAACTGCAGGAAGCACTACATCGATGTTGCCAAGGAGATGGGAGTCGGCTGTCGCTGTTTCGAGGTATGAAAGTGGAGAGAATCTCTTTGAAAAATGAATTCAGATGAACTGCGACTTCGGCCGCGCCCAGCACAGCGTTCGCTACCGTCTCTTGACTTCCGAAGACGCTCCTGACGTCGGTGTCGCCGTCCTTCAGGATCACCAGGACCGCTACAAGGTCTGCTTGAATCGTTTATGAATAACTCTTTGGGATTCAGAAGCCGCATCTGGACGAAGGCTTCGACTCCATAGTGACGGTGAACTTGGTTCCCGACTTCGAAAATGATTCTCTCAAAGAACTTTACTCCAAGTTTCTTGCTGACGTTTGAATTTATTTTTTCCGTCATGTTAATAGCAACTTCACTTATTTTGAGCTTGAATTTTTTTTTTCATAACTTTTTTGTATTGTAAGATACATCAAAAATACGGTTTCGATATTTATATCGATGTAAATAAATTATCATGAATTTCTAATTATGCTAATAAAACCAAAAATACATATCAATGTCGATGTCATAAAATCATTAATTGAGGAGGACTTCTTCGGCGATGGAAGTACCAGCTCAGGCAGCTGAAATTTACTTTTAGAATTTGAAAAAGTTAAATTTCACGATTCACTCCATGTTTTTACTCACACTATTCAGCCTGAAAGATCCACAATCGCTCGGGAAGTTTGTAGGTGGCATATAAATCTCCTCGTGCTCTCCCACCTGGAATTGAGTTATTTCTTATTCTCAATGATGAAAGAAGGAAATCGTAATCATGAAAATTAAGTGAATAAATAGAAATTCATTTTCATGAAGCCAAAAAATATTAACAAAACTCATTTCATTAAATCTACCTAATGTAGATTAAAACTAACCCTGTAGGCATAACCAGTACCGCCCATGAGATGAAGCTCGAGATGACAGTGGGCGAACCACCAGCCTGGATTGACAGCTCTGAACCGGATGACGATGTAGCCTCCGACAGGGAGCGTTATCGTGTCGCGAAGCGTCGGATTCTTGGTGTTCATGCCGACCACGGCGCCGTTGAACCAACTCTGGTTGCGCCATCGCGCCGCGTTACAGCTCACCTCAAAAGATTCAAACGTTTCTGGCTTGCCTTCTGTGTTCATTACCGTTGGTCCTGCGCAGCTCATGTCCGGGTTCATTTTGTCAATGAGTCCACTGCCGTTGTACGAAGGCCATCCAACCTGTAAAAAATTAGCCCTGGTTCTTGTCTCGAAGCACACCTTCATGACGTAGAAATGGTGCCCGTGCATGTGGAACGGATGAGCGTAACCGGTTCCCATGCCTCCACCAAGACCCATATTGAACAAGGTAATCTGAATCCCTTCTTCGTGAGTAAATGATTGGAAAATTAATGAGAAGGTCCAAAAACAAGCTGCTTTTTTTTCTGAATTTATGGTTATTTGAATTATCAATCGAAAATTGCAGTGCAAGCTCAGTGTTTGAAGTAGTCAAAGGAACTCTTTACCTGAACAATATTGCCCAGCTTGTGTGTGAGATGATAGAAACAGCGACATTTCGTGTTGGCGTCGGAGTTTGTGTCGTTCGCACATTCAGTGTTGGCGCAGTTCTGAAACATGTCTTCTTGGGTCGAACTGCAGAATCCTGACCGTGGAGATGTCGTCCATGTTGTCGCTGTGGTAGTAAGGCACGCCCCATGGGAACTGGAAGAGGAACTGGTCCATCTGCGAGTCGTGGTGCATGTTGATGAAGTGTTCCTGGAACTGACTTTGTAAGGCTCCAAAATTCAGTAAAACCTCGAAGCCGTCAGAGAAAGGCGTGTCCTGCAGGATTTGCGGATCGATCTCCTCCGGCTTTGGGTTCTTCAGAGTGTCATAGCTGACACAGGTGAGCCGCTTCTCGTTGGGATACTTGGCGAAAGGACAGTTCATCACGGTGCAAGGCTTGTTGGCGGTGCATCCAGGATGGTCCAGATTCGCTGCAAACCATCGAAGTTTGTTTTTCTCTGTCGTCAAAATAACGTTTTGTGGTGTCCTCCTGGAGACCGGCGTCCTCATATTCCAAAAAGGCGAAGGTGTAAGTCGTCGGGATGACGCTCCAGTCGAAGAAATATTTCTGTCAAAAGCTTACATTTGAGCAAAACTCTCCACGAACCTGCACAGCCTCGATCTGGATCATGTAGTTGCTCTTCTTGGGAGTCGGCAGCGTTTCGATGAGGATGTCGTATCGTTCTCCAGGGAAGACGATGACTTTGTCGAAGTGGGCTGGGACGACCTCGACGCCGTCGGCCGCCACCACCGTCATGTTGTGGCCCTCCGTCGTGATCATCAGCTCCTGAGCGACGCCTCCGTTCACGATCCGTAGCAAGATTTTCTCGCCTGCAGCCGTCAAAATAAATATTCGGTACCGCTTGACTTGAAATCGTGCCAAGAAACGCGTCCCTCCGCCTTCCCCGCCTCCCTCTGACATGGAGCGCCAAAAGGGCGCCACAACTCTTTCTCTGCCATACACTATTTCGTCGTTTTCTCGCGGCTAGATAACGACGAAACAGTGTGTCAGAGAAAGAGTTTTGGCGCTCCTCTTCTTTCAATTCGGGATGGATTGGCTATACATTGATAAGTTTTTATTTAAAATGGAAATTGAAAAAGCAATTCGAAGACGAGTTATTCATAAAGAATTTCATATTTTTATATTATCACAAAGTTTTTTCGGGAATAGCTGGGAGAGAGGTTTATTTTTCTTTGAAATGAGAACTGACTCACCAGATTTGACCTGGAATCGTTCGACGGGCAAGTCGAAAGGTCTTTTTGTGAGGACGTCGTGGTTGGCCCAACCTTTGTCGTTCACCAAAAGCGCCGAAATCGGAATCGCGCCACCAACGTTGCCTGTCACACACAGTTGAATTTTTGCATATTAAACTGGGAGAAATATCTCCTATTTCCAGGAGAATCGTTTTATCGACATCTTGCGATTTGATCTTTTTATAAAGCTCAAATCTCCTTTTGTGATTACGAGAAGGTGCAGTGAAACCTCCGTCGGCAGTTCGAGTTGGCTCCCAACACTTGGTGAAGTCGTCGTAGCCGTACATCCACTTCATCGTCTTGTCTTCGAGTTGCAGCCAAGAGTCCTCGCCAGACTTCGTCGCCCAGTCCTATTCCCAAGTAGTGGGTCACGAAAAACTCGAGTCACCTGCAGCATCATGAAGTATTCGCGGTCCGGCTTGACTCTTTTCCCTGCCAAAGTCGGCACTGTCTGGTCTGCGGGATCCACGACGATGAAGCCTGAACTGAGGCACTTTCTGAGGCTTTCGCTTGCACCGAACCGCCTAGGAGTCCGTCGCTTCTGTCTGTCTGCAAGTGGCCGTGGTACCAGTGGGTGCCTTTGTTGTCAGCTCGGAATCGATAGTCGAAGCTGAAAACATCAGAAATTTAATGGGTATTTTTTCAGAAGGCTAACCTATCTGAGACTCAAAAAATTTGATATTTTTACTAGTTTTCGAGAAAAAGGCCTCAAACTCAAAGAGCACCGTTTGGCGCTATTGGAACAAGTCATGGAAAACCTTGAATTGCATTCTTTTTTGTTTTAATTTCGCAAACTAAGAGCGTAAAAGTCAGGATTATCAGAATTCTCATCTTTTGCATGAGGCAGTTTTATATAAGTTTTCGGAAAAGGCTACAACACAAGAGAGAGAGTTTTCCTTGCTTGTAAAGAGCTCTCGTTTATGGAGAGAACTGACTGGTTCATGCTGTGGATGGGACACTGCTGGACGTAGGCGACGCCGTCCATGAACCACATTCCGTGTTTGTCGATGCCGTGCACGTGGATCGTCAGTCCGTCCAACAGAAGCATGTTCGTGACCCTCAAGTGCACACTCGCGTTGTAGGGCACCACGATCGTCTTGCCAGGCCTTAAAAAAGGTGCTTCTTTAGATTCTCAAATGAGATTGACCCCGTAATTTTTGTTCAAAGGAAAACGATTTTCGATGTAATTTCATTCATTCAGGCATCGGACTTTTAAATCAATGAAGGAGAAAACCTCAGCTATAGAAAATTCGCGACGATAAGTCGATCACATCTAGGACTAATCCTAAAAAAGCGTTTCAAGCGGTATGAATTTAACGACAGTTCAGAGGAGTGCTGATCAGAGTACATACAACTTTTTTTTCAGATAAGAGCAAATCTCGGCTTACGCTTTCCGACTATCTTATCGGGTGTCAAGTCTATAAAAATGTTTCCTCAGGCCGTGCAAACAAAGAAAAATGGCGACTACTCACGAAATTCCGTTGATGGTGACGGCGCGTTCGTGAAGGCCGTTGAGGACAAGGACGTCGGAAAGACGATCCTGGTCGTCGGCCATCGAGTTGGGCTTCATCGTGTAGTTCTGGAAGCACGGCTTGAGCTGGTCCGGCTCGCGCTTCGACCATGTCCTCTGTAGAACGAGGAGAATGTGGAGACCCCAGGGCAGAACTGACCGTGTCAGGGTCGTAGTCGACGGGCGTCGCGTGCATCGCCACATTGTCATTGTTGTAGCTCATCGTGAGCTTTCTCTTCACGACCATGTCCACCACATAATCACCGTTCTCAAATCTTCTTCCGTTAACACAGATCTTATTATTGCTTAAATATTATTTCAGAGTCATTCAACTTTTTAAGCTCATTTTTTTCTTCAGCCTTCGACTGAAAAATTTACGCCCTCGTGCGAATTCACAGTAAAAACTGTCACTAGGAAACCTATTTTCATACGAACTCATCAGGCAATGATAAATTTGCCTTTCGAAATCAGTAGCACTGCAATTTCCCTTTCCCTAGAAAGATTTCCTGATCCTCTAAAAATTGGATGAATATTACCGAGTTAGGCTTCATGAGTTCAAGGGGAGCGGCATATCTCGAATAAGCTGCGGCGGCAGGCAGCAGCGCCAGAAGACAGGCCAACAATCTCATGGAACCTGCTGCTCGGCGACGAATCGTAAAAGGACGACTGCACAGAAAGCGCTACGTCGACGTGACTGAACTTACCGCCTTGATAACGTCTTTTATCGAAAACAAAACGACAGGCGTTAAGCCTCTCGCCTGGGGCGATCACCTCGTCGAACCGCCATGCTCATTTCAAAACTATCACGCAATCGGTTTGGTTCTACTCAGGTTTCATCATGTCTGCCTTGTGTAGACTCCAACTTTCCTTTTGTATACAAACCCCTAAGCTGTTCCGATAACGTCGACTCCTTTAAAATCACGTATTTCTCAATCTTTCAGCCCGTTTCTTTATTGATTTACAAGGCATTTATTCCTTGGAACCTTCTCTGTCTTTGTTTTAAAAAGTCTTCGTTCGCTTTACACAACCAAAAACTGACTGATAAGAGAATTTATATACTAAACTCCCAAACAACCGGACAGTACCAACGGAAGAACTTTGTCAAACAGAAATAGGTGTCAGAAAGACTTGGGTATCGTCGAATTGTAGTGTTCGCCGAGACGATAGGCGCTCCGCAGATAGATCACCCTCAGAGGATCGTGTTTTTTGTCGTCAAACTCGTCGCCGTATCTACGGAGTCCGTCTGTTTTCAGCACCTGAACCGCCAATATCCAAGAAAGAAATTTTCAAAATAGAGCAGTGTAAAACTTTCAACAACTTAATGAAATAAGCTCTCTATCAGCACCATTTCCGATACGAACAGAACGACGATTAAAAATGAAGATAAAATTTTCAGAGTCAAAAGTGAAATGAATTAGACAGAATATTAACCAGGGCGTGGCCTCCGGTCGCAGTGGAATTTCTTAATGAGACAAACATTTCTAGATGTAGTTTCTCACTCTGATTTCAAATCTGATCCTAAAAGTTGCCGAGGATATCTGCGAAGAAAGTTATGAACCCTCAAATGTCGAAAAGTCCCAGTGCCTCCGATTGAGCTCATTTTTCAGATGTTCTATAGTCCTTCTGATGACATAAAACGAATTTCTATTCTGCAGAAATTTTTTTAGAAGAAGATATGGTTGTTTTTTTAAATTTTGTACTGTGATCCGGCGATAGTTGGCAAAACGGCAGCGAGGAGCAGACGGCGGAATGATAGAAACAAGGTTATAAGTTCTAGGATAGCACGGAAGAGAAATTTTCGAAAAAAGGAGAAGGACCGGTTACGGAGCAAAAAACATTTTAAGGAAGACGGAACACGGGTTAAGGAACCGAAAAATTTTATGGAGGAAAAGCGGTTTGCAGAGAAGATTTTTAAAAAAAACTGTATTAATTAGCGGAATACCCTGGAAACCAAAACTATCAAAACAAATTTGTCAAAGAAAATATTTTTTTAGGAGCAACTTGAAAACTTTTTCAAACAAAAAAATAACTATATGATATGCGAACCTTCCTTTATGTTTGGCGGAGCTTCGAAAAATCATATCTGGGTCTAAACTTTTTTGCAGAAATGAAATACGTTTTATGTCATCAGAAAGACGAGATATATACAACCTCTGAAAATGAATTTAACCAGGGACACTGAAATTCGACTTTCGAGGGTCCATAAGTTTTTCAAAGAGACAGTTTTCGAGTTCGAGAGACCAAATTTGAAACCAGCTAGAAAAACTAAATCTAGAGAACTTGGAATCATTAAGAAGTCCCACTGTGCCAGAGATCATTCCCTGGTAAGTTCCAAGTTCTACCAGTGAAGTCTACATGCACACAAATACTCAGTTCAGCAATACTTTTTCCAAAAAAGGAATGAGATCAAAAACTCGATAAGCAAAATTTTTACTGGCTGCTCCGGTAAGACCAAAAGAAAAGAACATACTTCAATAACTCTCCGCAACTCTCGTGACAGCGCGTTCAACTCGAGTTCTCCTCCCCAAACGCCGCCTTTTTCAGCCATTCTCTCAACGCCTTCCAAATATTTTTCGTAGCCATCGTCATCCAAAGGCTCTCCGTCATCCTGAAAACCAGAAAAATCAGTTAACGTAAGTTTGCTAGAACTCTTCTGACCCTCGACAAAAATGGTAAAAAGTCGTTTTTGTTTTTGCGCATGTACTCTGCACATCTGCGACGAAGCGTCTTGCCATTGACCTGAATAAAAGATTGATAATAAAAAGAACACTTCAGAGGCGAACCGGAACTCCCGAACGAGCCATTTGATGGGCAATCGCATTGTACATACAGTCTCCGTCGGGAGAGATTTCGAACATTTCGAGGTTCTTTTCTCCAGTGATCTGAACTTGGGGATCGATCAATTCGAGAGTACTAAGGTCACCTTGTTGATAGCGAGAAGCTCGCTGAACTTCATCGCCGTGCTGGAATTGGCGCGATCGGCGTCTAAGGCCTCCTTCATCCGCTGGACCGCCTTTCGCTCCTTTTCTTGTCGCTTTTTCGTCTTTTGATTCACTTTTGTCTTCTTGTAGAATCCCTTGCTCTTCTCTTCCGCACTATCGTTCTCCTCGTTCTCTTCGCCTGATTCTTGAGGCTCGACGGCTTCAGAAACGGCTTGGATATTCTGAGCATTAAATTCATGTAAAACTTCTGGCTTTTTCTAACATGCTTTTGGGGGGTTCAAAAGAACGTTTACATTCCTTTCTCCACCTCTGCAGAAACCTTTTTGCTTTCAAAATATTAAGAGATTTAATAAAAACATCAGAACTTTCGAAACCTCTTCTGGAATTATACACTCACCTGGTCAGAAGACTGATGTTCGACCATTTCCCGCTTGTGCCTTTCTTCCAGCTCTTTTTCCAAACGCTCTATCTGAAAATATGATTCAAAAAGCCAAGAAGAGTCAAAACCTCAGAAGAAGTTTCTTTTTGTTTCGCTTTGTTGCCACATTTCGCCGTCTTTTTCATCACATTGATTTTCTCTGTCAATGGCGATCTTATAATCCAACAACTTCTGAATTAACCAACCTCGAAGATCTTTTTTCTCCTTGCGGTGACGTGTTACAATCTCATCTTCATCATTTTCCTCATCAGATGACATTCTGGATTTTTTTTTAGTCAAAGACAAAAGACGAGAAAAAGAAGAAAATTAGCGAAATTTCGCGGAATGTTTTAGTTGAAGTTGAAAGTATGCAAATGTTTATTCGCATTTAAATATTCAATAATACCGTCATGCGTTAGTTTATCACAAAATAAGATATGTTTTTCATATCACAGTTATAATTATAATTACATATCACAATCATATTGCCCAAAAGCTTTTTTACAATTAATTTACATTATTTTTACAATTCGAGAACAAATTTCTCAATTTGTCGCCCCAAAGCCTGGGCGTTGGCTGGAATATCGGCCTCTGCGTAAACTCGCACAATATCCTCAGTTCCAGAGGGCCTAAACGGAAACATGAGTACAATTTCATCATTACAGAGTCATACCTGACAAAAGCCCGACCATTGGGGTACTTGAGGACTTCCTCGTTGATCTTGTGCTGAATTCCCGCAGGTTCCAGCAGCGTAGTTTCCTCCCAAGTTGTTTTGAAGCGCCATCTATCGTTCACCTGATGGAAAAAAATACGCATTTTTTTTTTGAATTACATTTTTTTTTTCTGGACATGCAAGGCTGTGAAACGAAAAGCAAACTTTAGAAAAAAAACTTTTGTTTTCATTAATATCAAGAAAAAAAATCGATGGAACCGGATTTAAAGAGACGAGAGTAGTTCAGTCCCAATCAGCATTTTTTTTTTTCAAAGCTCCTAAAGTAATAATAATACAATCTGCTCACTGGGACTTTAATCTGGATGCTGGGCAGATCGGTGTAAAGTTTGTCGACCCAGTCGTCGACGGACCAGCCGTAGTGTCGGAGAAGAACCTCAACGGCGAGCAGGTCGGCCATCGCGTCGCCCACGACCTCGTTGATGACTCGCGAGATCAGCTGCAGCCTTCGGAAAGCCATGTTGTCCGCTTCGAACCTGTGAAATCGCTTTTCAATTTTTTTTTTCTTAAAAATTGCATTACCTTATATATTGTGTTGTATAGTGTTCAATAACATATTTTCGGGGTTCTTTTCGTTTTAAGGTCACTGTTACAGGAAAGAAAACTCACATCCTAACGACCTTGTCGAACTTTTCGCTGAAAACAACAGTCCCGTGACCGTTTGCCTCGAAATAGATTCCTGCAAAAAAAAAAAGGGAAATATGAGAACGAAAAAAGAATTCTCAGACCGATGTCGTACTTCGTGGCTGCGTGGTGAAGATGCTTGACGCCTGTCGGGACAAAAACCGGAGACAAGCCCTGCAAAAAACTATAAGATCTATGCTTCATTAACTTTCTTCTTTTTTTCAATAAAATCCAAATTTTGAACCTAAAAAATATCTAGCAGGATGAACATGTTCACGAATTTCGAGAAATAATCTTATCGATAAAAAAAACTATTGAAAAGAGGCCAGTTCACTCCAATTAAACCATTTCCAAAATTTAGCCAGGTCTCTTTTTTTGTTCATAAAACGATGTTCTGTTTCAGAACTCTCAAACAAAAATAAGGTGATCTTCCTCGTTATAGACATATTTTTTAAAATCAACATTAACTCATCGGAAAAATTTGCATCAAAAATGAGCTTGATTGGCACAAAACCAGGAAAGAGATGAAAAGCACGAAACTCGATACGAAATGCCTTGAGCGGAATGCAAAAAAAGCCTACAATTTCTTTTTCGATGTATCGGCTCGCGTTGCCATTCGCGTACGCAGTTTGGATAATTCCCAAATCGAGAGTTCCTTCCAGCTCCGCCAAGGCGAGTTGCTGAACATTTTCTCTCGAAAAGAGACAAATAAATGAGGGAGACCTCTTTGAAATACTTCGCAAGCAGTACGGCGATCTTGTCTCCATCTAGGAGGTTGATTCCATTGCCGTCCGGCCTAGGATTAAACAGTTAATAATTAGGTAATCTCTGGTGGAACCTGAAATAAACGAGGCGGTCGGCATCGCCATCGAACGAAGCACATTTTGAGACCTTTTCCGTTTTCGCGATGTTGGCAGGCAATACTTGGCCAATTTTCACGTAGTCCGCTCCACACTGAAATGACGATGAAGCGAATTTGAACCAAAGAGGTTTAGCTAACGTTCAGGTTTAAGTCACCGTTTTCGTTGCGGAAATCAACATTAAGAAGACCCGCAGGGAGTTCGGCAAGGAGCAATCGCATTTTCTGGGCGCCGACGCCGTTGGCACAGTCCAGCACCAATTCGCTCGAATACTTGGTGTCGGAAGGTTCCTCGGTGAGCTGGAAAAGCAAGATGGCAAAAAAGGGCAGAGAGGAAAACCTTGCAAAGCTCGATGAAGGCGCTGCTGAGAGTCTTATAATAACTTTCTTCGCTGGGATCACCAAAGTTGGGATCGTTGGAGCACTTGACGATGTAGTGCAGCTGCGGAGTGGTCAGAACTCCTGAAATAGATTTCAGATTTTCATGGGAGAAATGGGGAAGGGCGCGCCGTAGCGCAACAGGTTGTGTGCCTGTCTACGGTCCACAGGTTCACAAATTCGATCTCCGCCTCGACACAATCAAGGGGTTTAAAAAACGTTGGTAGTGGGAAACCATGGCTTCCAAATCCTCAGCCGTCACATACAAGGACGGATATGTCACTAGAGCCAGTCTACTGATTATCGCTGATATCAGAATAGGACCTCGGCTAATCGACTTGGGACGCCGACGCCTCTCAAGCGGTACAAAGGCGTAGGAGAAGAAAGAAGAAGAAGAAGAAGAAGAAAAAGAAGTAGAAGATGGGATAAATAATTTAAAGTGAATATTGCAGATCTGTTCCAAATTTCTGCGACAGGTAGTCCTAGATATGAAGACTCAAAAACAAGAAAAAAAATCTGCAACGGCCATAGGGTAGTCCGTCGATAAAGTACGGGGAAAGCTCAAAAACTGATTTTAAGTTTATTAAAAAACTTTTGTAGTTTACTATATCATAATAAATACGAAAAAAAAATGTTTTTTGTTAAAAAAAATTGAACAGTTTTTAAGCTTTTTTTTTGTACATTTTGTTATCTCTCCGTATCCTATGGCGCTTAGCAGATAAATATTCTCGTTTTCGAGTGGCCATGCATCCAATGCATTGCATTGGGCTATCTACCACAGAAGTTTTGACCCGATCTGCAATGTTCACCTTACGCAGATCTCTTGGGATAGAAGTCAACCATTTGCACAATCCACCGCTTTTCAGAATACTGTTTATCTTCGATCGAAAAAAAAAAACCTTTGTCCGTGAAAGCGACGTTGATCTGCTCGACGGCCGTCTGAGCGGCGCGCATCAAGTGAGGACCGCTTTCTCTAGTGTCCATCGCACAAACGACGGCGGCCAGAGGCGTCGGTCCAACGGCTCCGGCGGCGTGAGCCCGCGAAGACGACAGCGAGACGAAGTCGACGTCACTCGCGTTCACAAACTCCGTCGCGTACGTCTGTCGTCAATAATTTAGATTTGAAAACTGCCCTCAACAAAAAAAAAGAAGAAGAAGTATATTTTAGATCTTATTTTTTGGAGTCGCCGCAAAAAAAAAACGCATTTCTGTAAACAAATGGAGCCAGTAGTTAAATAAATTATGCAAAAAACTGGCAAGGCCAACCTCCCAAACAGTGGCCAGCATTCCGCCATCTGGATCTACAATCTTGACGCCGTTGTCACAAGCCGGATTGTGCGACGCAGTTATCATGAGTCCAACGGTCTTGTTCTTCGCTCTGAAGAAATGTATTAACTACAAAAAGAAATAGAAAAAAACTTTGCACGCAGTGCTGCCAAATAGGCGCAGCGGTAGACAATAAAAGGAAGCTTTTCAGCTTTATTTCGAAATCCCGCGGTTCCTAAAAAAAAAGTAGGATGAGAATTCGAGAAATTGTCAAAAATTGGAAATGCATTGTTCTTTATAGATACTCAGCAAAATTTATTCATCAAATTCACCGTAAGCGAAGATTTCAGTGTCAGATATAGGATGAGCTATGTTTTTATGTGTCGTGTTTCCATTCCTAGAAAACTCCGGCACGATCTCAAATGTGGCCATAGATGGATTCTGAAAAATGAATGAGAAATTTGGATAAAATTTTTAAAATAACGAGTAATCCTTAAAAACGAACGAAATAAGATACATAACGAAGATAAAGAACCGAATCCACGAAAAGATATAAAGTTAATAAAAAAGGAAGCGCACGAAACAAAAACTTCTCCTTTTCAAAACTGCTCCATTGAACTTGAAAATTTCAAGTTCGCGCGCATTAAGAAATGCCATCTTTTATATTTTAATTTTTATTTTGTTGCAAAATTTTTGTTAATACAATTTTAAAAGGCACTTTTCAAAAAAATTAATTAAATTTGGAAGTTTTCAGGTTTTTTTCGAAAAGATCACGCAGAATAAAAAAAACGGATGCATATCTTATATAATATAATAATAATATTAATAAGTTTTTCTACATTAATTTTTTTGGATGGCAGTTTTTCTAGTCGTTGGGAGCTGGCCCTCAATTTTTTTCGACTTCTAAAAACTTTTTTTCAAGAGTATAGCTATAGGGTAGGAAGCACGAAGCCGTATGAAACGTAGAAATATCAGAAAAAAATAAATTTAAGTAATATCTGGTGGGCATCGTCTTCAAAGCTCTTCCAACAGTTTTTTACGAAACATTTGTCTGCATTCTATTCAATAGTGTTTATTTTTTTCAAAGAGAAAAATTTATTAGATAAATTTTTTTATAAATGACAAATCATTTATGTAGAGAGACGGTGTAAAAAAATTGATCACGGGTATTTTTTAAAAAAAGTAAGTAACGTGGTTTCGATAAGAGTGGAAGACGATCGATTCTTATCGAAATGTGGAGGTCAAATTCATTGGTGATCATTTTTCCTCTTGAATTTGCTCTTTCTGTGGTTGTTTCGCATGTGTTGAACGAGGTCGCCGGTAAGTCTGAACTTGGAATGTTTAATAAAAAATGTTAAAAATTACAATTTGAGCCTTTTTTGAAAGCATAGAAAATGGGTGGAAACTTGCCGAAAAGCAGCTCCACAGACAGCGCAGCAGTTCTCGTTAATCAAAGTCTGTCCCAAAACAGATTGAACTATCGGATTGGCTGTCGAACTTGCTGCTTTCGCCGGAGAAGGCCCTGAAACATTTGAATTTTGTTTTAACACGTTGCGACGCTTTGAAAACTCAGAAGTCTAGATGAAACCTTGAGATGGAGCAAGTTCAGAGAGTCGGGAGGCGTGCGTCGCCATCTGAAAAGAAGCGAAGAGTTGCCGTCGCGCGATTTCTTCCAACTGCCTTTGTTGAGTCAAGTTAATCATCATCGGAGCCAGTTGCATATAGTTCTAAACATGAAAAAAATTGGGAAACGGAGTTAGGCATTCTTTTTCACCTGGAAGAAGTTTTTCATGGGGAAACTCTTTACGGCGGTGCAGTCGAGCGGCTTCTCAATGACGGTGTCATCCACCTGAAAACGTTCGAAAGTTTTCTTTTGTTGCAGCTTCAACCTCAAATAGTCATTGTTTTGGTGGAAAGACCAACCTGAGACTTCTCTACGGCGGGGTTCCAGATGCGAATCTTCTTGGTGACGGGTCCATCGTTCATGATGCCTGAACCTCTTTCTGTTCGTGATTTGCGAGAGTCCGGCGGAACCGAGAATGCGAGAAGAAAGAAAAGAAGATTTGCATTCGTTTCGTTTACATACGAAATGATACCCCCTGCTTGCGGGCGACACAATATTCGCGGCCAATTTGCAAGGCAATTTTGCCGTCTCACCTGGCAGTTATGCTAAACATCCTACGGTAGGACATCTGCGCACGAGTTGCTTGGGAACTTTCGCGAAACTTCCTCAAGAGGGTTTGCAAGCGACCACTAGTATCCCAAGAAATAAGGACAGGGGAAGTCAAAAAGCAGAAAAAGAATGAGAGCGCAGACAAGTCTTACTGTTTCGAGTAAATTCCTTTTCATTAAAAGCTTTTCCAAAAAAAATTTCAAAGGATGAACGAAAGAATTAGAAACACAAGAAAGTTTAGAAAAGGTAGTTTAATCGCCGCTAACTTAAAGCCATTTTTCAAGAAAGTTTTCTAAGTGATAGAAACGAAAAGTCTCTATTGAAAGTTAAGAAGTTTTTGAAAGAAACCGAGGGATGGAAGGCCAGAAGATTGCGCTAGAAATGACATGAGAAATGCGCGGATTCGTCAACAATCGGCATAAAACAACACGGAGGGAAATTAGTGTCCGACTTTAAGAGGGAAAAAGTTGTGGCGGCTCGACCGCACTGATTGAAATGCGACAAAACCCCTGGTTACGGTAGTCCAAATTGCTGTCTTCTTCCACCAAGAGAACCAGATGCAAGGACTGTTTTCGTAGATTATTAAAGTAAAGTCTAAGCCTTCCTTAGACTCTAAGGATTCCATGTAATGCATTTTGTAAGACGTTTATTTTTGAAAAAATTAAAAAAGGGAAATTCTATATATTCTCTTAAACTGAAAACATCTACCAAAAACAAATTGAGTCAACCAAATGCGACTGTTCGCGTCTATTTCGAGAAGAAAGGTGTTTTATTCAAAAATCGGCAGTTTTTGAAATTTCGCTCAAAAACTCTTTCATTAAAATTCCCGAAAGAAAACTGAAAGTGTTAGAAATAAGATTAATTATTGAAGAGATTGGTGAGGAATTGCAGAAAGATGTTGATCAGAAGCTAATGACCGGAGGCAGTGATTGGCCGGCGAAGCCAAAGGACGCCGCCGTCCGCTCCGACGGTCCCCCGGGGAGTTCCGTCAGGAAACGCCGCCCATACGCTTTGACATGACAACTGCCGCCGAAATTCATTCTTTTTTGACGCCTCGCCATAGTGGGAGCTCCAAATTTGTAACTCTTATTTTCGTTCCACTCTTCCCTACAAAAAAGTTAAACTAGACTGGAATATGATTTTATGAAAGCGAAATTCGATATTCTTTGTTCCTTAACTATCATATCGAGTCTTCAAAAGAAAAGGTTGATGTTTCTAAATCGATTTGTGTTTGAACTGGATCATTTTTCTTGCCTGAAGGGTAACTCTTATCCTATCTGACCTTCCAAACACAAGTCATATGACCGATTGAGCAAGGAACATTTCAAAGAAAAGTAACAGATTGCCAAGAACTGAAGCCGTACATCTGCTGAGAAGGAGATTGCTAGGTACAAGAAGACAAGGGGATTACCAAAATGGCAGAGTATGAGGCCTCAAAGGCAACATGTGACCACGCCCTTCACCGAGCCAATTTGTCGCCATCTGCCGATTTCTAGCCAGATTAGGCAATTCCTTCTATCACACATTTTATTGAAAATCTTGGTTTACAAGTTTTATATCAAAATCGTTTAAATTTCAAAGAAAATAGACAGAATTTGAAGTTGAGAGCAAATGCGAAAAAAAAGAAGTTCTTCCGAAAAGTTTTGAAGCGCCGAGCAAAAAAACCTCTTCAGATGACAATGAAAAAAAAAATATAAGAACAGAAAATTGAAATGAGAAGTTGAGAATGCTCATCAGATCTGTTTAAAAACTCTTCTACTTCTTGATTGAAAACGGGTTTTTCACACCTTTTGAGTCAAAATATGTTTCCCGAGAAGCCTGATACAATCGAAGGCTAGCCTTCGAAAGTCAAGAGAATATTGAGCTGGGAAGAAGAAGACCATCTGATAGACCAATTGTCGCGGATTTTCGGGGTCACGCTGCTCAGCAGGAACCGTTCCATAATAGACACTTTCCTCGGTGTTCAATAGCTTTTATTTCCATGAAGGTAATTGAAAAACGAGTATGAATCATGGTTCTGACAAAAACCTTTCTTCAGGAATACAAAAAAATACTATTATTTGGCTTAAAATGAAAAAAATCAACTCATGTCTATCTACTAACCAAGGGTAATTCAAGTTTTGGTAGGGGTAATTTGAGTTTTCTCATTATTTAACTTTTTGTCATCAATGGGACAAAAATGATTTTCATTCTCTCTTTTTTTCTTGGAGCCTGTAAAACTTTTCGATCTCAAGGCTACCGTAGTTGGTTGAATAATATGTTGGCTGCTGGTAATGTGACCGCAACGGGTCAAAGAAAGACCGCTGCTCTTCTCCCAGAAATATGAGAATGAAGCCGTTTATTCGGTGAATCGAGATCGCAATATGACACCAAAAAACTAAAATAAAAAAGAGAATAATAAAAAAGAGCAAAAATATATTTACAGAGACAAAATTGTTTTTAAGAATAATGAAAATTAGAGGATGACCATAATAGAAAAAAAATCGATTGAGTATGTGAATATGTTGAGTTTGCACGGGAAACTGTGAAATGCTGTTTCTTTCAAGAATGTAAATCTTCGAAAATCATAGAATATACTTTTTAAAAATTTAAATCTCATGAAAATCTGAACTAATAATAAAAGGTAAACTCTGTAAAAATAAAGATAAAATGTATAACAAGAGACGTCGAATTACAGTACCGCTCAAAAGTATATTAAGTTTTGGTTTTTTGAGGATATCTCAGCGAGTACTTATCCGATTTATATATAACTTTTAGGGATAATGTAAAATATAATTTGAAACATATACGGTATACAAAGACATGTCCGCAGTCACTGTGACGCGTTTTAGGGGATTTGACTGATAACGACAAAAGACTCTTAGTAGAGCCATCTTGAGCTTTCAAACGCTTTAGGAACTGAGAAATACACGCCTCTGTCACGCCGAACATTCCTGCCAACGACATCATGGTCAGTCCATTTTGACGACCCACCACGATGGCTCTTTTGTCGTTATCAGTCAAATTCTTTTTTTCCAGAGGTTCTTCTCATGTCTAAAAACATGAAAAAAATCATATGGCAACATTATTACTTTGAAAAAATTTAATAAAAATAAATAAAAAAATAAAAGCATAAAAAACACAAAAAAATTGAATTCAATAAAAAAAGGCCTAAAACGCGTCACAGTGACTGCGGACATGTCTTTGTATACCGTATATGTTTCAAAGTACATTTTACATTATCCCTAGAAGTTATATATAAATCGGATAAGTACTCGCTGAGATATCCTCAAAAAACCAAAACTTAATATACTTTTGAGCGGTACTGTACGTTGTGCTTATGAGAGAGGAAAGAAAGGAGAAATACCGAACACAAAAATGACTTCCAAGCAAGATTCCAATCACCCCAGGAGTTTCGTAGGAAACTTCTATACCTGTTAGGAGCTTCGTTAATTCAACCCAACGAGGTCTGAACAGGCGCGGATTCTCCTCCACTGACAAGGGCCTAGGCCCTAGGAATGCTCTTGGGCAAGGTGGAGAAGTCGCAGCCGATATCCGACGTCGGCGTCTCCAGAAGCGGTCGATCGCTGGAACTTCTCGCCGTCGCGCTTACCCTCATTTGTTTCGCCATACATTTTCTGTTCCGACTGAAATCGTTTCCGAAAATAACTCAGAAATCGCAGTGACTGACCAATGACAGAAAACAACAACGAGAAAAGCGACGAAAAGGGAAACGGCCACGAATGGCCAGAAATAGCGGTCAACAAGACCTATAAAAGGGGTTGTTGAACTGTAGTCTTTCATTTCTGTTTTTTTTTTCTCCAGATTTTTGTGAAAAACGAACGCTCAGTGGATAGAATAGAAGCCAGAGCCAGAAACGAACGAGAAGAGCTTCTGCAGCTCAAGGTGCAACAGTCCTCCTCAATGGGGCAATCGTAGTAGATGTACTCCAGCTCAAAAACTCGGATGAGGAACGTTAATGTTGGGGCAATTACTTTGACGTTTTTTTGGTCAGTATATTTCTGCAAAGAATCATACGTGGACAAATGATAGACGCAAGATGTCACGTTCTCCTTGTTCGGTTTGTATTGAAGCTTGTAAACAATGTTTCCACGCTTCACCACGGTTGTCCTATTGATTGTCGAGCCACCTGCTTTCATACTAAAGTCCTGGAAACCGAAGGTGGCTTGAAGGGTTCTGAACAAAATATCAAACGTTTTGAACGGCTTGGACGAGATTCGGGCAGCATTCCAGCCCACATAAATATTCTCCTCTCGAACACTTCCGACTGATTTTCTTCAGCAATTTCCCGCTGTCTCCAGGCAAGTCTGCTCTCCATTCTTAAAATAACTTCATAGCCCTAAAAAAGAAAAATTCAGGACTTACCCGGAACTTCTTGTGGATCCACGACGACTACCGGGAACGCGAAAAATTGAGTCACCTCGAAGGAAAAAGAGTCTTTTGCAGAGAAGCGGTCGTCGTTGAAAAAGTATTCGGCGTTTTTGACCTGGTTAGGATGATTTTCGATCTTTCAAAACCAGAAGAAAAATAATTGGTCTAAATAGTGGAAGAAAGCTTTCAATCAGAAACTTTTTTTTTCAGTTTTGACCACAGAAAGAATTTTTATTTTTAATTTCTCACCTTGACCGAGATGTTAGAAGGAATGATGAGGTTGAGCCAAACTTCTCCGAAGACGTCCTCCGCCCGTGATTCGTCGGCCACGGCACCGACGACGCTTCTGACGACATCGGCCGTTGCGCGGGCCGAGAAGGAGTCGCGGCACATCTCCGCCGACGAAGACCATCCGCAGCTGATCAGTATGATCGAAACAATGGTTTTCATGACTAGAAAACCGCGCATTCAAGTTGTTGGTTGATAGCTTAATAAAAAACGTTTTATTTATTTATTTAGGTAGAAGTTGTTGTATATGAATTCCCCATGAAATAAAAAAATGATAAAAAAAGTTAAAAAAGTATCGATTAAAAGAGAAGAAAAGCCAGAATTTTTGACGCCAGCGGGCCTCGTTACGGTAAAAATCACACGGTTATCAGTAGAAAAACATCATATCAGTAGGATTGAGTGCACTAGCAAGCAAATTTGTGGCGATTAACATGCTATCAGACACTTTCATGATATGAACTGCTCAGTCAGTCGTTCGAGTTTTCCATTTGAGAAAAATTGAAAGGTTTTTTATCTTGCCGAAAATTGAAAAAAATTCTGGTCATTTGATTTATAACTCACAACTCAGAGATTGAAAAAGATACAGCGGAACAAAGTGGCAAGAAAGAGAAGAAGAAGAAGAGAGAGCAGAGCAACTACGATGGCGAAAAGAGCTGAAACAGGGCCGCCGCCGGGTTTCAAAGCCTCAACAGGACGGAAGACGACGACGCGACATTCTCGGAGGACAGAAGGCAGTCGATCGACGATCACGTAGTGGATAGGGACGTCCGTGAAAGGCCGATGATGCGGCTGCTGCTTCGCGACGACGAAGATTCTATCGAGGGACCACTGGAGGGGCAGCTCGAAGCGCTTCGGCAGAGTTATGAAGCACCTGTAACTGCCATCTTCAGTTTCCAACTCTTCATGTAGCCTGTCAAAGTCTGACTTCTCTGCGCTCTCCTCTCCCTCATTCTATTGTTTGCGAAACATTTCATAGTTTTCTTTAACCGCGCCGACGATAGACAAGAGGAAAGTCGGATCGTTTCAAGAGGGGAAGATTGGAAAAATGTCTCACTGTGGACATTGTTCACACACTGCGACAAAGCTGGACGACGCAAACTGGAGGTCGTTGAGCTTGGGCATTTTTCGTTGAGTTCTACACACCTTCAAGTCGATTTATGTACTTATCTCGAGAAACCTTGGTGCTCACGGGTTCTGGAGAGAGAAGACGATAGTCGAGAAGAGGCGGCGTTGTATGGCCGATTTGTGGAAAAACTATGGCGGAGGCTGAGTAATTCCAACACTCCAGACGTTGCTGAATGAGGAATTGAAACTTTTCATGAAAGACAGGAAGAAGACCTGATAGGTGACATCAATCAGAAGGATCGATGTGAAAAAGGCGAAAATGACTGCCAACATTGGAAAAGAGTCGAATGGAATCTCAGATGAGTGAATGTCGAATATGAGACCTCGCAACAGCTCGTTAGAAGACGTCTTCGCTTTTCAAAACGCTAGAGAAAGGATTCGCGTGAGATCGGAATTCGCAAATGTCAGGGGAGAATGAGGACCATTTCTAGATATGAACAGCCTTCCGTTCATCAACTGTGGCATTGAAGAGTTGCAACACACTCACATCGACCTTAAAAACAGTGTCGCCACGGACAATTATGAAGAAGTCGTTTTGTACGTTTTTACATAGAATATTCAGAAACTCAATGAATAACTTTTTCCGGGTATTGTAAGAGAAATTGACAGAAAACTAAATATAATAATAATCATCAAACTTATTACTTAACTAAAGCACCTTTTCAATAGCCTTTTTGCAGAGCATATTTAAAAGAAGAAGATTTTTCGATAAAGGATACGCATGGTAATAATTTACTTCATATTGCTGCTAAAGAAGGTGAGTCTTCCGAAAAAACTTTGATATAGAAACTTTTTCAGGACTTCGAACAATGTGCCGCGGCATATGCGCTCTGACCGGAGACCTCGAGTTATGGAATCAGAAAAACAAAGAAGGCTTGACACCGATCGACGTCGCCGACCCGAAGTGGGCTGAATAATCTGTTCGAATGCAAGATTGGCTGCAGAACTCGTCGAGATCTGCTGCTCATCTCAATGCGAAGCCAAACAGTCCCATCTCATCATTCTCTGGCCAACAGGGAACTATTGGAAGCGCGGCTCCAGTTTGTCATCTAACTGGGCCTCAGAATGCCTTATTCGTTACAGACAAAGTAATCCCAACTTCAAAGTGCTTCTGAGTCTCGACGGCGGAGGTGTACGTGCCATTCTCGAAGCTACGGTAGCTCCTTTCGACAGGCTTTTGTCTAGACAGATTCCAGATCAGATGTTGATGGCGATCGAAAAAGAGTTGGGCGAGCCAATCCTTTCTCGTACTCACTGGCTAGGCGGCACCAGCTGTGGCGGTATCATGGCCATGTGCCTCGGCTGTGGTAAAGAACATTCTATTTTGCTGAAACGGATCGATGAAATAGGCATCTCTCCGGACGAACAACGACGCGTCTTCTTCTACACTCGCAAAAAAACTTTTTGTGGAAACACTAAAATGTTTCCCAAACACGACTCTGCCGGTCTAGAACAGAACCTGAAAGACATCATTGGGTCCTACACGACCATGTCATGTCTTGCCACACACAAGTCAGTTTTCCAGTTATTTCATGCCGTGTATAACCAAAACTATACTTGCGCGCACTAATCTGAAACTCTTTAGAACTGCTTGGAGTTTGAAGTTACAGAGTAATGGTGACTGCGGCCAAATGTCAGTCGGCTCCGCCTTCGCTCATCCTCTTCCGGACTTACGCCCCGCGAGTCTCCGTCAAGGAGTTCGAGCAGTACGGGTACTTCGACCCTGACAAAATTCTCGCATGGAAAGCCATGCGGTGCACATCGTCAGCCCCAGCTCCAGCTTTTACATCAGAAAAAAAGCTTCAGAGCTGCGCCGGTGTACTTCTCGTCGTTCCACGGACTAGCCGACGGCGCCATCTTCTGCAACAATCCTTGTACCACTCTCATGACCGACTTCTTCAAGCTGAAGAAGGTCGAACGGTTCAAGGGAGTTGTGAGTATTTCAGCCGTTCCTGAACTGCCTCCATCCTTCTCGCCGACGAGGTGATCCACAAAATGTGAAATTCCAGAGGAACGATGATGAAATCGGCTGCGTCATTTCGATTGGAAGCGGCAGCGAGCCAGTGGTGCCTCTAGGCGGTATCGACATCAACCTATCGTTAGCCTATGTACACGTTTCACATCCTTATCCATCTCAGAAACGCTCTGGCGATTGGTCGTGACTTCCGCGAGATTTTCGGCAACGGCAAAAACCTTATAACTCTTTTTATGTACCAGTGCACTTCTTCGCACGCTGTGCCCGTGGGTCAGGCTCGAGAATGGGCCCACTCGCTTAATATTCCGTTCTTTCGCTTCTCGCCTAGGCTTTCCCGAGCTTTTGAACTGGACAGCCATCAAATAGACGGCATTTTTGACTTCATGTTTGAGACCGAGGTACGTACAGCTGTGATTAAGAAAAGAGCATATCGTAAAAAAAAAATGAGGACGAATTGGAGGTGTACCTGCGGACACAAGCACGACAAGACATCGCCGACCTCGTCAAGCTTCTCAAAACGATGCCGAAAAACGAATCGCCCAACTACAAAGATATTGTCCATCATAATAAATAATTCACATGACTATTCTTAAGACCGCAGACGAATTTTCAAAAAAAATTTTTTTTATTGAGTTTTGTATGGTTTGATAGCTGTTTCGATTCAAAACTCAGAACCGTTTAACTTTTCGAAAAAGATTGAGGATGAAAAAAGTTATGACGAAAAATGTGGCGCGCCGCGCACCATTTTTTTAGTACTGAAATTTTGGTATTATCCATTTTTTTGACATTTTTTTCTCGATTTTTTTCTTCTAGAACAAGTTTTGATACTGGTCAATTATGATGTAACAAATCATAATAGAGTGCTAAAATAATACTAATCAGCTAGTTCGCCGAAAAAGTCGGTATTTTCCAGAAAAAAAAAAACTGACGCTTGCGGGTATCGAACTCGCGACCTCAAAATGAAAAATCGCAGCGCACGCGCTGCGCCAAGCTGTTTGGTCTAGCGCGGGGAGCTTCCATCCGCCATAGCCTTGAGCCGTTTGAATAGCATAGATTGCCTATTTCAAAAAGAAAAACTTGAAGTAATTAAGCTATTTTTATCAGAATATGTTCGCAAATTTTTACTCAAACTTTTCGTGGAAATTCACTCCAAAAAAAGTGTTTTTTTAGTGCTTTTTGCCTCGTTTAACGATCGCTGCATTAAAACGGCCCCGTGAATTTTTTTGGCAAAGACGAATTTTTTTATTTTTATTCTTTTTAATTGAAAGATTTTTTTCACTAATAAATGCATATAATCGTTTAAAAAAACCTGCGTTGGACCACTTTCTGTGGGATAAACGCCGCTAATTTTATTCTCTAGTTTCAAGAGCATTTTTTTGCGTATTAAACAACTTTTTTTCAAACACAGAAGCTGTGGAGAAAAAAATTTAAGTAAGCCCATGGTCTAAATTTTGAAAAAAACAAAAAAACTCGATTATCTTCGCTTATTAACGATATTTTTGAATTATGACTTTCGGCACTCCTTAAAAATTTTTTTGGCAAAGACGAATTTTTTTATTTTTATTGTTTTAAAATTCCCGTTACTTGAATCAAAATCGTTATTTAGAGTGCGTTCGACCTGAAAACACATTAAAAAGCAAAAAACGACAAAATTTTTTAGTTCCATTCAAATTTTTGTACGACATTCCGCGCGAACGCATCAAAAAAGCGTGAAATATTTTTTAAACGAAAGAGGAAGCTTTTCTGTACATGTGTGTCAAATTTTATCAGCCAGTTCCACATATTTTGCAACTACAACAAAATGAAAGTTGAAAACCAAAAAAAGCCACTTTTTCTATCGCGAAAAGGGGCGTGGCTTTGCGGTCCCTAACTATTCTATACCCCTCAAAAAAAAAAAAATTCGGTATGATGACTCTGAACAGAAAATATTTCGAGTTAAATCGCAAACCGCTACTCCCTGACATCATCCCTATGACGTCGCACACGCAGTCATATTATTTGATTTATTTTTCACGTTTTAAATTTATAAAATTATATTCGACTTGAAAAACTTCCATATTATTTCAGGCCCTTCCCAATCTTCAATTTTTTCACGTAATAAAATAATTATGTACAGTACTGGCCATAAAGGTATTTCAAAGTGGTTATTCGAGCATTTTTGTTTGAGAACACCCTGTATCATGTTGAAAAACTTTGAAAAACCTTCAAAAATAGTTTAACACTGATTTCTTCAGCTTTCTCACTTTATCTGCTTTCCAGAACTCACTAACTTTACTAGGACCGATTTTGAAACCTCTGATTTGAACAGTTTTTCTGAACTTTCGGGCGTTCAAAGTAGTTTATATCTGAACAATCGCTTTTCAATCGTGAGTTTGAAAATAAATATTGGCTAAATTGCAGGCTCTTAGTTCCTGAAGACTGCTAATTTTTTGCTAAAGCATTAGTTTCACAAGATCAAAAAAACTTATTTTTCACATAAAATTTAAAGAAACTTTATACAGTGCCTATCTTTGATTTGAGAGCTAGAAAGAGGAGTTACAAATTTATCTCATGATCTAAAACATTTAAAAATATGAAAAAAGGGGTTTTTATCATCTTCCACAAGATTTGGAGCCCTCTAAGCAACACTTGCTGAAACGAAGTTTTGAGAACTCAGTAAAACTCACTGTATCTTCTGAATAGGTAAGCCAAACACAGTGGGTCTTCTTTTATTTTCATTCATCAAGGTTCTAAAAAAGCTCTGAATTCTGAATGGAGAAATCGAGAATGTTCTGATTTTAAAAAAAGGAGCATAACCGCTTCAAATCAGAGATTTCAAAATCGGTCCTAGTAAAGTTAGTGAGTTCTGGAAAGCAGATAAAGTGAGAAAGCTGAAGAAATCAGTGTTAAACTATTTTTGAAGGTTTTTCAAAGTTTTTCAACATGATACAGGGTGTTCTCAAACAAAAATGACCTCGTATAGTCCATTTGAATGAGGAGGCGTCAAAACGCAAGGGCCTTCCGAAGAAAAAGTCACTACGCTCTTACTATCGGGTTGGTGAGGGGCTGATTAGGTTTTTTGGAAAGCCGAAGACTTGTTTCACCGGGGAAAAAAGTTTCTGGTTCGAAAACGAAGTTTCTTTGAAGATATGATTTTTCGAATCTCAAGAGAAAAATCTTGATTTTCACGATTTTTGGTTTTTTGCTCCCAAATCCGGTCTGACTTGAGCAAATAAGTTCTTTTTCCGGGAAAAAGTTACTGCGTAGCTATTTGAAATTTTCGCAAAGTTTCAAGTCATTTGAGCCACTTTCAGAGAAGTTATGCTCGAATAACCACTTTGAAATACCTTTATGGCCAGTACTGTAGCCATATATTTTGATTACGCTTATTTCTTGTGTTCCGAATGATGGCATAAAGGGACGTCAGGGAGTAACGGTTTGCGATTTGACGAAAACTCCAGAAAAGACAGTCATAAGAGCCTAAAAAGTGATTAAACTTTTTGTTTACTCATGTTGAGAAAATCTCAGTGTTTTCTACTACTGAGTCATATTCGCCTTATTTTTCTGAGGAAAAAGCTTAAAAATCTTTTATCGGTGATTTTATTGTCTAATATTTTTATGATCCATTCATAAGTAAATTATAGTCAATGTTTCCCGACTTGAAAGGTGATATGGGCTGGTTGGCAAGGGCGAGGTGTTGCGTGTGCGACGCGGCTATTTGGCGGTGAGCCAAAATTCAAATGTGGGAGACAATTTGGAGAGTTCGGCCACCGCTTTTTTATTTCCTTTTTTCTTTTTCTTATTCAGTTCTAATGGAGTTTTTTTCGATTTTTATTTATTTTTCTCAATGTAATATTGTAAGCGAACACCTTTTTCTGTGTTTTTGCATAGAAAGTTTCTCGAAAGTGAAGCGAAACGTGAAGCATTTTCGGAAAACTTTTCGCTGGTTTTTGTTTCTTTCGTTTTTGATAAACTTCTCAATTTTCTTCTCAACTCAAACCTCTAACATCATTATAATTTTTCTGTTATGATTGGTTGCAGGTCGTAAGAAGAGAAAAATTCGTGAGAAGCTATGGTGTTTGAAAGAAAACACTTCGTTGATGGCAAACAGGTTCGTTTCAACTTGTTGAAATTTCTCATTGTCATTTTTCAGCAATTTTTCTTGTTTTAAATTTTTTTTTTTAAGTCCAATAAACTCTAAAGCTCATCGCTGGCCTTGTCGGGCGAGAAATTCCATTGGAAAAGGCATCGTCAGAAGAAGGAGACACGTTGATGAAGATCGGTCGCCGTTAGAAGAAACTTTTTATTCAATCTGTTTTGGTTAGGCTTTTTTATTGACGTATCATATTATCCGTGTAGTTTCGTTGTTCATATAACACTGGCTTCAACCATTGTCCACTTCAGCGGCATCAAAACGCTGTTTCCGTGATTTCATTCATTCATTCTTAATTACTCTCCGTTTTTCATCCATTTATTCTCGTTAGAACAATTTCAAAAAAACGTTTTTAAACAAGTTTATTGGAAGGAAAAAGCGAAAGAACAGGTTAACAAATCGTTGGGTGGTTGCTGATGCAGTACAAAAGAGACTTCATGATGTTATCTGAAAATTAATATTTATTACATAAAGAAAAAATTAGTGCTTGGTTATTAACTCGAAAATTGCATGTCCGTTAATGTAAAATTTTTTGGCGAACAATATATTCACGAACTTTTTCAGGAAAATCTAAGTATTTACTGTAAGAATAGTTAAACCAAGGAACAGAAAGAGAACAGAAACAAAACCTCCAAACCTTGGTAATCGTTCGTAACTCGTTATTTTCTTTCTCCATTCCGTAAAATCACTGCAGAAATCCTGAAAATCTTCAATTCAGAAGGTGAACCGACTCCATAAAAAAAAACCTTTTTTAAAACTTGTTATTGATTCGATAAAATACTTCGCAAAACTCCGCGAATGGTTACTTCTAAAGGTTTCCACTGCATGCAAGAAAAAAGAATGAATGAATTTGAGAAAAAAAAACCATGACCTTTATTGAAAATCGACTCTTCGTGAAACTCGGTGTGAAACCCTCAACTTCTGAGTTTTTGAAATTCTTCAATCGTATTTTGCTTGGTCTGAAAAGTATCATCAATGAATAAATACAGTAAATTTTTCACAGCACAGAATGCACAAGTAAAAAAAAAAATCATATTCCAACAAATCAACGAGCAACGATCAACTTGAATAAACATTTGTTTGTGCGAAAAAATATTATTATAGGTTCAAATAAAGTTCCAATGAAATTCCACTGAAGCAAATAATTAGCGAAAACATTATAAAAAAACAGAATAAGAAAAAAAGAAAAAAAGGAAATAAAAAAGCGGTGGCCGAACTTTCCAAATTGTCTCCCACATTTGAATTTTGGCTCGCCGCCAAATAGCCGCGTCGCACACGCAACACCTCGCCCTTGCCAACCAGCCCATATCACCTTTCAAGTCGGGAAACATTGACTATACGAAGAAACCAATCTCGTGAAAGTCTTCAAAAAGTTTGAAAAAAAAAGACTAGGACATTTGTAAAAATTTCCGAGACGAGCAAGCGGTGAATACAATTAAGCTCTTTCAAATCTTTAAAGTTTATGAAAACTTGTTTTATTCCACTTTCCTTCGTCATTATCAAAAGAAGATGATATCCGACGTCAGATTTCGTTAGAAATTAGTCATTTCTCGTTTAATCACCGAACAAGGAAGCGTTGGTCGTCGAAAAATGCAAGCAAATCTGATCAAGGACCGAAAAGTGCCCGTTATTTTCATTGTGGGTGAGTCTCACGGGTTCACATTTCACAATACCTCCTCCCTGTTTGAGATAAAACCGACTGTGCGCTCCACCGACAGCAGTAACAAAATTTTTTTGAAAAGTCGTTCATTTCGACGAATTATTATCTTGATATCAAGTTTTTTATTCTTTTCATGTTAATGGTTTTAAATTACATTGTTGATTGAGAGTAAGTTTTGAAACGTCAGAAAAAAGGACAAGACAAAAATTCAGCAGTGAGAAAAATGATAGCTAAGAAACATTATTTTTTCCAGATTTTGCGTTGAATGATCAATTAAAAATTTTAGTTGCGCATTGCATATTAAAAATGATGAACATAACAAAATATCAGTTTATTAAAAAAAACCTAAAAAAGAACAAAATTTGAGCATGACAGGGTTTTTCCGATGAAAATTGCCTCTCGTGAAGTTGCGGAACCAATACTCGAACTTCTCTTCATCGCAAGTATTCAATCCACCCTTATTGCTTTTTAAACGTCCTAAAATTTTTTTATTATTTAAAAATGTTTTTTTCAGACTATCATAGACTGACTTCGCCCGATTTCATTCAAAGCAGAAATTAAATAAAAACTTTTTCTGCACGAGATTACAACAAAATGAAAAAAATGGATGAAAAAAAAATAAGAAATAACAAAAATAATGAAAAAAATTATTCCGAAAAATTAAAATCTGTCATCGGCGCGTTATCGGTGGAGCGCAATATGTAGTCAACTATTTTGCCAACGGTGGGCAAAATTTTCGCAGCTCGCTTTTCGCTGGCAATTTTTTCATCAGCTCACTTTTCTTAGCTCGATTTTCACAGCTCTTTTGACATATAGCCAGTAAAAATAATGATGCGTTTCGAATGAAGGTGGTCCTGGGTGCGGCAAAGGAACGCAATGCGAAAGAATCGTGGCCAAATACGGGTTCACGCACTTGTCTTCCGGAGATCTGCTGCGTCTGGAGGTGAAGTCAGGCTCCAAAAGAGGCGCGCAACTGCAGAAGACGATGGAGGCCGGCGAACTCGTTCCTCAGGTCAGTCACCCCCCGACTCTAGTTTTCTAGCGCAAAAAATTCTTATAAATTCATAGGACGTGGTCCTGACGTTGATCAAAGAAGCGGTTACGAAGGCACTCGCAGCTGGAAGCAAAGGATTCTTGATCGACGGCTACCCAAGAGACGTCAAACAGGGCATTCAGTTCGAAGCTGAGGTTCGCTTCCAGTTCTCTCCTCCATATTCAATATGCGTTCAGATAGGCAAGGCAAAAACTGTAATTTACTTTCAAGCGAGCGAGGAAACTCTGGTGAAAAGATTGATGAAAAGAGCTCAAACCAGGTGAGAATCCTCTTGAAACATGAGAGAATCAGAAATAGTGGTCGGGCAGACGACAATTTGGAAACCATCCGAAAAAGGTTGAAGACGTTTGAAAGCGCCACTCGCCCTGTCATCGAGCACTACTCCAAGGAAGGAAAACTCATCAATGTTAGTTCATAGGCAGGTGATGGAAATCTCACCTTGCAGAATATACAAAGCTCTTTCTAAGCTTTTTCGGCTGATAGAAATTTTCTGGGTTCAGTTCCAATTCATAATTTTTACTTTTTTTAATTCAAAAAAATATAAAATGTCCATAAAAAAACGTATCTATCTGAATATCACACACTTTTTGCGCTTTAAATAACTGGATGATTAATATTTTTGTATGTCTTATTGTAACCTTAAATCGGTAGATAAATGGCGAAGGAAGTGTCGAAGACATCTACAAACTCGTCTGCGCCCACATCGACAGCAAAGTTCTCGTATGAATAGTTCGAAATGAAGTTTAGAATCGATATTCTTGGTCAACTTCCCTCTAAAAAATTCAACACTTTGTTTTTTTTTCCATTTTCAATCACCTTCAAACTGCTTGATCGCCCGCCGTTATTTTCCTGTTCTTTCACAACTCGCTGCTGGATTTTTAGCAGATCTTAATTTCTCGTTTTCTTTTGTGAAAATTGCTCTAATATTTCTGAAAATCGCTAAAAAAAAAAAGGGCGATCGGTCAGGAAATATGGAAAACGAAGATTTGTTTCAAAAGTTTTCCAATGCTTTGCGCCCTCCAAATGAAGTTCAATATTTATCCGTTTTCTTGCGTTATAATCCGGGTCCACAAGGAGGAAAGCCTACAGCCATGTGAAAAACCACCATCATTCTTCGAGTAGGTTTACTTTTATTGAAGGAGGCGAGTGAAAGGAGGTACGACCCTCGAGGACTAAAAGCAATTCTTGGAATATTAGAAAAAAAAAAACGGAAAACAAGTAAAGTGGTTGAACTCTAACAACAAAGAAAAATTTCAAAAAATACATGAGAATTCGAAAATGAGTTTAAAAGCACGACTTTTTTCCCTGTGGAGATGGAATAAAGAGCTAGGTCAAGGTGGCATATAACTGAAAAGAAAGGATCAGACGGCTTTATATCATCAATTATGCTAGATTATATACCGACATAGCTGAACTACTTCATAATAATACCGTTTCCATGTACATGTCGATCAAGGTGTTTCAAGGGAAAGATTTGAACGGCCTTGTGGCGGGGTTCTAGTCGGAGAGCGCTGATTTCATTTTCAGTTAATGAAAAAATAACATCAAGAATAGTAATTTATAACAAATGAACAGAGCCAAAAACTAAAATAAACTATTTTTCGACGAGGTAGAACAAAAATAATAACACTGTGGAATAATGAGAAAGCGAGGAAATCGGAAGCGACGAGGAAAATTTATTTCAATGGGGCACTCAATGAGGAGACCAAATGCGGAGGATAAATGACTAATAGCGAATCGAATTGTGATTTTTGCAGTTACCAGCCTGCGAGTATCTTGGATTTGTTGAAAGGAGAAGATAGCTATTTCCTAGTGTTTTTTTTACCCTTTGGAAGAAGCAAAAACACTGGGAAGAAGATCGAGTGAGTTTGAACATATACTCTCACACATAATGTTAAATTTGTACAATTTGCTAATGAGGCAAAATACAGATAACTACACGTGACTTGCCTGGGCCTCGGTATCTGAAAAAAAAAAAACATTAACAAAAATAACTCTGTGACGAAGGTTCGAGCAAAGATGATATTGAAAAATCATAATTAATCTCAAAAAAAACTTAATTCAACTTTTTTTCTACTTTTCCATTCCGAGTTATTCATTTTTGGCGCAAAAATCCTTCCCTCAAAACTGTATCAAAAGCAAGAAAGAACCTTGTCTATCAACATTGGCGAGGGCCCCGACACCAAACTCTCTCTGCAATCGTTCCCTCAGCGACCACTGATGACGTTCGACGCTTTCCTCCTGGTCATCAACGGCTTCCGCGGGAACAGGGGCGACTGGAGCCGACTCTACGGTCGACGATGGTAAAGCCGTCGACGCGCGAGTGACTCTCGTCTTGGCAGTTGTTGGAAATGGTCCAGGGGCTTTTGATGACTGAAAAATACATTTTTACTTCTTCAAACCTTCTAAAATTTACATCAACAGGATTTTCGATGCGATCGCCCGAATTAGAAGTCGTAGCTAGAGTGAGATCGAGAAGCTTCAAAAAGGGCAGGTTTAAAGAAAGTAAAATCTCAACGACGCACTTGGAGAGCTGCTGATCCATCAACACTTGGTATGAAAGATCGGTCTTTCTTAGAAACAGTTTCTTCGCTAGTCACTGTCCTACGCCGTTTGTAATCGTCCAGAGAGAGCTTGCGGATTTCCTTGAAAAATTTTTTGAGTTGACTTAAGCCCGACATTTGCAAAGGTAAGGATTTGTTCGATGAGTCTAGAAAATCAATAAGTTAAACTTCAGAAAATAGAGTTCTTAATAATTATTATCCTCTCATCAATAATCATATTTTTAATCTAGGATTAACCTAGGATTTCTACCAACTATTCTCAGTTGAATGTAAAAAGAATCGTGAAGCAAATATTTTTCAATGGTTTCCGCGAACAAACTTTGCACAAATAATCATAAAATTGTTTTTTGCAAATTGTCGACATTTTTTTGTCGCGTGTGCCACTTCTGTGCGAAATTTTGCTCCGTTATTTTTTTTACGCCCGTCTTGATTTTGAAACTTGACCGAAAAAAAAATTTGGATAATTTTAAACATAAATTATAGAATGTGAGGAAATAAACTTTTTTTGAATTCGATGTTGAAGATTCATCCGAAACTTCTTTTGGCCGAAGAACTTGAAAAGAATCCTCCTTCTTGGTCGTTGAAGCGGAAGGCAATTCCAAAAGTTTGCTCTTGGCTCTTTTTTCATCTGTCTCCCGTTTTGTCAAAGTGAGCGAACTCGGCTGAAAACGACGCATCAGATAGGTCAAATCGGCGTGGATTGAGAACTTCTTTTTTTTTTTACTCTCAGCTTTTTGGTGTCGTTACCTTGAGCAACAATGTTTGCATGACAGGTCCAACTTTTTATATCAAAGAATAGCTTTAGAAAAAAAATGTAGAAAACTTGGAAAAAATTCTCTGAAACCGAAAACTTTGAAGGCGCAAGAAAGTATGTGGTTAGTAAGATCTTATGAATGCGGATGAATACCTTTTCTTTGTAAGGATTCGTAAATTCCTCGATTCCCATCGCTTTCACTTGAACAGCGTTCTCTTGGAGCTGCTTGATGACGTCACTGACATTCACAGAGATGATTTTGTCGACTCGCTCAGACTTTCTCCGTTTCGAAGGGGTGACCATCTTAAATTTGAAAAAAAAATTGCTGTGAAATCTCAAGTCAAGTCAAGCCAACCTGTTCCAGGAATTTGGGAACTTCCAAAGATTGCCTTTTTTTCGCTATCGGCGATTTTTTGGAAGCTTCGGCTGCAGACAAAGCCTTTTCATCTGTAAAACGAGCACATTTGAGTATTTATTCTTTCTTCTCACCACTTTTGAACTCTCTTTCCGATAGACGACGTCGCAACGGCAAAACCGGTGTTTCGGCTGACATATTTTCAGACGCTCCTTAAAAAAAAACTTATTATTTGAAATTATAAAAAAAAGTAGCTGACTTTTGCTTCTTTTTCGGGCTTCTCGTAATGAACTAACATTCGTCATTGGCAAGCTCGTCTTAGCACGATGTTCTGTTCCAATTTTCTGCTTCTCAACAGCCTGCAATGCAATTATCAATCCGATTGAGGAAATAAAAATTAATTCTTCTTACCCCCTCTTTCACTTCTGGCGTCTTAGAAACTGTATTTTTCTGTTTCACCAGCCGTTTCTTATCTTGCTCTTCTTGTTTAGCGATTTGCTCCAAAAGGGCCTGATGTTTACGCTCCTCTCGACTCTGAACAAGGCAGTTTAAGAAACACTGAGAAATGAATCACCAATTTGTTTCGATCTGCCGGGAGAGTGTAATCAACAGCCTCAGCCGATATCACATCTTTGATTTCCTTCGGCAAATTGTTGGATTTCCGACGAGTTTGCTAAATCAGTTATGTCCATTATTCAAAAAGTTCACAAAACCTCTTTCTCAGTTTTCTTCTCCACCTTCTCCTTTTCGTCATTTTTCTGATCTTTCCTCTGATTTGAAACTTCGTTCTTGTTTTCATTGCTGACGCCGTTGTTTTCTCCTTTTTCTGTTTCTTTCTTAGCGTCGCCACCGATTTCCTCAGAGTCTTTATTTCCTTTGGAACTTCTACTCGGACGCCCTTTCTTTTTCTTAGGCTTCTCTTCATCCCTTGAAAAGTAAAGCTAAAAGGAAACGAGTTGTCTTTTCACTCACGTTGTCCTTTCATTGACTTCTTTTTTGGCAGCTTCTTCTTGAGTTTGAGAAAATTCGGAAGTAGACGGCTGTTCTTGTTGCTTAGCAAACTGCAAAATAAAAGTAATTCCGGGTCAGGAGCTAGATCGGAAACCTCTTTTGCCTCAAAGGCAGCTCGTCGGCGGCCAAGAGGTCGCTCTACTGCATTTGACAAATTATTATCCGAAATATTTTTTTTGCCCAGCGAATCAGCCCAAACTCTGTGTTGTTGATTGCTTCTCCGCTGAAAATTTAACTTCATCATTTTCGTATTGATCAAGTAGAGCTTCATTTCAATATTAACTAGAACGTTTTTGATACCCTTAATGGTAACGATAAACAATTTTCCCTGAGTTTAAAAACTGAATTTGGAGCACCAAAAAGAAGTTTACAGCTGCATCTGAATCTTTTTTCGTTTAAAGACTTGAGTGCTCTACGATACCGTCGAAATCATCCATCTTTTTTTTTCGCTTTCGAGCTCTTTAAACTTTGCGAATCTCGCAATGGTTTCGCGTGGAAAAACGATTCTAAGACCTTTCGAATACGAAAAAATTTCGCAGACTTTCTTGAGCATCGAAAATAGTTCCTCATAAAATTACGAAATGAGGAAGGTGCTTTTTGCAAAAATATTCAAACATTTCCAATTATCTAGTCTTTTCAGGAAGAAAAAGAAAACCTCGCTTTCGTAGGGACATTCTGCGATAGCTTCCGCTGGATGGATGCAGCAATTCAGAACGGTCTTCGACTCACGCCAGTCATAATCGAACGGAATCGTGATCTGATATTCAAATTGGAAGAAATAGAAGAAAATTTTGAACCTCTGTGTTGTAAATGAGAGGCTTCGTGGCCACCACCATGATTCCGAGCGTGGCGTTGTCCAGGACGTGCTTGAGGACACAGTTCGGCGTGCAGCTTCTCCTCACATATCGAGCGTCGCTGCCGCGTTTCCGAGTGTCGACGCAAATCAAAACGTTGCTTCCAGGCGAGCCGATGTCTTCGCCCTGCGGGCCCTTCATCAGTCCGTCGTATTGGAAGACGAAATCGATCATTTCGCCTGGTGTTTCTCTTGAACACTCTTCTGGCAAACAAATGTTTCCCGTCAGTTCGATCACAACTTGTCGTGGAGATATATCTTGCGTTGTGACAAGCCCTGAAGAAACACTTGTTTTTGATTGAAAAGACATCGACAACTTACCTTCAGAATCTTGAGAAACGTACAAACGCTGAGCCTTCAACGTGTCTTTTGCTTCTTTGAGAAGTTCAGTGGCGCCCGTTGTCGATTCTAACTGTTGGAGAAGTTTGATAGCTTTCCGTGAATATTCATTCACGTACTGAAATAGGGATTTATACAGAAATTGATATTGCACATTCTAACCAAAGTCTTCCGTCTTGACTTGGAAACTATTGGTGTTTGGACTGAAGTAACGGAATCCTTCTTGGGAGTTTTACTCTGAATTAGAAAATTGTAATCAAGCTGAAGAAAAAACGAATAAACTTTTCTTCCACGTTTCCCTTTGGGCTTGGCATCGACTGCTTTCTGTTTTACTTGCTGTTTCGCTATAATTTTGAGGAACTTTTGCTGGAAAAAAAAAATGAATTTAGCTAGTGAAAAAAGTAAATGAATACCTGGATCTTTCGGGCTTCAGCAACTGTGAGCTTCATTGCGCGAGGTCTACAGAGTTCGCACTGATAACCGTCGTTGTTATCGTTTTCTTTCAAAGACATACAATGACCGTGTTGCCAATCTCTGAAAACACGAGAAAAAAAAACTGGTAATTTGGGTGAATTTTTACTTGCACTTCTCGCATTCGATGGTGAATCCTTCGCTATGTTTTAAGCCACAATAACATCGCATCGTCCAGTTGCCGAAGTCGTCCTAAATAACTTCCAATTAGAAGAGAAAATAAGAACTTTCAGTGAACCTGTTCTTGAGGAGCTGCTTCAGCCTCACTTTCTGAATCCGAATCTGTGGCACCCGTAACATTATTACGAGCCACCGATCCATTGGTTTCAAAAGGAGCAGGCTCTGAAAATCGCAAATGGTCATAACTGTTGGAAACAATGCTGATTATGCTAATTTTTTTTTAAACTTAAGCTGAACTAAAACCACACCACAAAATGCTGAAATGGAAAGAAAATTTGAAGAAAAAAACTTTTTTTCTGAAGACACAAAAAACTATTTTTCATAAAGGCATGGATAAACTAACGTGGAGCAGCTTGCAAACTCTCAATTTTGGAAGAATCATCGAAAGCCGGCTGAACGGCTGTGGGTGTTCTATGCTGTGGAGAAAGCATGCGCAGTCCGTTGCCACTGAACCGCATAGGATGGTGCGCAGGAGGCGGAGCGGCGGAAGGCACCGGCGGCACACCGGGGACTTGCTCACTTTCGTTGCTTCCACTGCTAGCCGACCATCGGTTGCGGAACTAGGAATCAAATATTAGTCGTTCTTTTAAAAAAAAAAAGTGAGCTTCATTTAAACTGACGAAGATAATATTGTAAAACTAACTCAATTGCCAAAATTTTCACGAGGCAACACCGTTTATTGAATAGAGAGAGAAAAATATTTCTCTGATTTGGTCGATAATTTTAAAAAAAAACTTGCTTTAATTGGGTTTTTTGAGGATTTGTTGAAAATTTGATTCTGTCAAAATAAATGAAATTCTAACTTTCCTTTTTATTTATTTTGTCAACGTTAAAGCTTTTTTTGAAATCCTTCTCATCGTTCATGTTACTAAATCGTTACTATATTTCCACTCACAAGTCCGGAGCCTTTGGGACGACCTCGTGGACGTTGTTCAATGACCGGCGCTGTCGTGATGGGGATCACATAGGATGGTTCGGGTTCGGGCTCAGGCTCAGGCTCTGGCTCAGTTCTGGGCTGAGCCTGGCTAGAGCTGCTGTTTCCCACTTCTACGTCTTTCGAGATTTGGCGGCAACCGATTTTGACTCTGTTGTCTTTCCTGAACAAATCAGCTGAGCTGCAGACGTGCTTATAAACTACCTCTTGAATTTGGCGTTTAACTGTTTCAATAGTGTTCTTCAAGTCATTTTCGGTGTAATCCTTGTTCGCTGACCAATCTCTTTTATGTTCAACATGATCCCGTAGAGTGGTTGGTTCTTGCTCCGTGGATTTCGTCATTGGTTCTTCCATCTAAAATCATTTTCACTGTGAGGTTTTGTGAAGATTGAAATGGGTTAAAACGATAATATGAGAAAGTGAAGATGTGAATTAAATTAAAGCGTGGCTGCTTCGGGTCATGATTACCTAATTAATGTTTTGAAAGTGCATATTTTTAATAAAAAATCTGAAAACCTTTTTCAAAAATGATTCTGCTGGACGAACTGGCAACTTTACTTCCATCGGTTCTTTGGGCGGTAAATATTTCGGCTTTTCCTGAAAAAATACAAGCTCGAAGGGAAAAAGTAAAAATGAGTCAACTTTTTCCTGCAGCTTGATAATATGCGCATTGCGTTCTTCTGTTGACATTCGGTGCGGAGGAGTTGGTTTTGCAGAGAGATGTCGTTGTGGAGAGGAGGTGAAGACGCGAGGAGCTGGATGAGACCGCATAACGACGGGTCCAGAAGTTTGTTGCTCGCCGCCTTCCACAAAGTGAACCTATCAAAGTACACCCGAATGAGTGAAAAAAGAAGATAAAAACTTTGCGGGGAGACTCGGGGAAGCGATTCGGCGGCTGTTGTTGGTCATATTCTTCAGTTTCTTTCTTCCCACGATTAACCTGACTGCTTCCTGAATATTAATATAAAACGAGAAACAAAGTTGGAATGAACCTCTACCACGTACGACAAGCTTAGCGCCTCTGGCAGGAACTAGCATGGGAGCTGCTCCTGGAACGTGGGTTTCAATCACAGGAAGCGGACGAGAACTGGCAAGCTGCTGCTGGATCATGCGTTGTTCATGAGTCATTCTGAAAAAGTCCCTCAGAAAAAAAAACAGTCGACATAGCAAAAAACATAGACGCTCAAGGTTCAAAAAAAAAAAAAGCGAAATAGCTGTAAAAAGGGGTTTCGTTTTCGAAATCCTCGAATTTCAGTTCTTCTGAATTTCCAGATTGCTACTAAAAAAATGTTATTATAAAATTATTCCACATTTGGGAAAAATTTGAATTACATTAAAAAAATTATATCAAATTACTTTAACACTTGGAAAAAAACGTGAATCATTCTGACACTAGTGGCGCGTCACCCGGGCCTAGAGCGGGGACTGGTTTCTCAGATCTTTTTGAAAAAAAAAAATGGCGCTCTGATACTAATAAGTATTATAAAAATAAACGCATTTGAAAGAAACTCAAAAGGCAAAAATGAGCATAAACGCTCCACCAGTGTCTGACAATCTTGAAATTTTTGAAATTGCCTATTCAAAAACAAATCGAAATCATGGAATATAAAGATTGAAAACCTGTGAGGAGCAACATCGACACGACGATTTAGGTCTTGATGGTGCAAGTGGTGTTCTCGTTCAACAGCGTGATCGATAATTGGACGATTTGAAACAGGAACAGTGCGAATCCTGAAGCATATGATAATCTGTTTGAATGAAAACGACTCACGTGGTTGCTGGTCCACGGCCAGATATTGTTGTTGGCCTTTGAGGCAACACGGGTGGCCTACGTGCAATCGGATTCTGCGAATGTTGCACGAAAAGAGGAGATTGATTACTTGGTTGACCGATTCTTTTCGCCTGAAGGAACTGCGCATGCCCTTGAACATACTGCTGATGAGGCCCAACATCAGCTAAAAAATGTTCATCCACAGGAGAGTATAAGAATTAGCTCACGTCTTGTTCTTATTGCAGTTACTGTCTGAGGCCCACGAGCAGTATGATTCAGTATAGACTGCTTTCCGCTGAAAAAAATTATAAGATTATAACCAAATAGGGAAAATCAAACTTGTAACTGTATTCGTTCCTTTGAACTGGTTCCGGCGCATGATTCTGATGGGTTCTAGATTGTACTGGTTCTTGATCATTGAGAGGGTGGCCGGCTAAAAAAAATTAAGGGATGCGTCATTTAAAAAAAAATAATAAAAGAAACCTTCGCTCAAGAACGGCATCACAGGAAAAGATGGAACTTGTTCCGAAGCAAGGCGCTTATGTAAAGGAACATCGTAATTGTGATCCTTAAAAGTTAATTTTAAAATTTAATAGTGAACTTTGATATTTACCGAATAATTCAACCCAAAGTTTTTAAAATATGTATTGCGCTGGCGGATTTCCTCACAGTCATCATCTGAATCGATGCATACTTTCGTTTCTTCTCCTGTAAACATTATTTGAATAAATTCGAATGCGATTTTGAAGGCTATAATACTTGCTAATTATAATCAACTTCACAATAAAACTAAAAGTTAAAACTTCGTCTATTAATCTATTTATAGCATCTCAACTTTTTTTTGAAATTGAAATGATAAAATTTTTGTGTACACCAGAAAAAATATTTTGATGTACAAGAACAGTAATAAAAATACCCACCAATAGAGAAAGATGAAAACGAAAAAAAGCTTTAAAAAAATGTGTTCTCACCTCCTGAATGAGAAAAAGAGTTGCCGAGTTCTCCTGCCGGAGCTGATTTCAGTTCTTCATCCATCTATAATGTCACCTTTTGAATCGATTCCTCATGCAATAATTTTTTCTGAAAAAAATTGAGCAGTTTTTCTATTTTTATTAAGGCTAACAGGCTTTTCAAACGGATATAAGACGAATAAATTACCGAAAAAAAAGCAATAAATAAAATTATGAGACAAACGGGCAATGTAGAATTACGAAAAAAAAAAATCGAAGTCCCGCGAAACAAGGTACACTGAACCGCGTCGCAGCCGCGCTCTCGTGTGTCGCAAGCGCAGAATTGGAGAATAGCCAACATGGTCTTAGAGCGAACAGCCGGCTTGGCCGTTTGCCAATGGTATCTGGAGAAAATACGGCGCATTTTTTTTTCGTTCTGTATCTGGTTTTTATTTTTGTGCGCCTAAACCGCGGTTACGTTTGAAGACAAGTATATGTTTTTGACTAATATTTTTGATTATACGCATGTTATTTTAAATACTAAGTTTTTATAATAAAATGACCTCAAGTTCGTGGAATTATATCTGATTTTGTTTTCATCTTTTAAAACAGAAAAAAAAAACTCATTGGTTCTTATCTAATTTTAAACTAATGTGCTTTTACAAAATTAATGCAATAAGTTATTTTTAACCTCAAATTGAGAATGATCTAAATTTTTGAAAAAAAGATTTTTTTCTCATCTTAGATCCTGTGATTCTTTATCCTCACATAAATTCCAAAATATTTATATTTTACTGCGTAGTTTTCAATTATTTATTCACGGTTTTTTTTCCTTTTCTTTACTACGGCAAGAAAGTATGTACTACCACATAGCTATAAGTAATAAAAAATATGAAAAGAAAAACTATTTGAAAAAATGTTTTCCTTGGAGTGTGTTACTACTTTTTTAAACACTCATCACTTTCAAGGTTATGGCACAAAGGACCATCGAAGAAACAGTGCACGCTTTTGTTGAACGTGTTTTTTCTGTTTGGAGTGGTCTGCAGCTCGCTATAGATCAGTCGAGCGCTGGATCTGAAACAAGAGAGAAATACTTGGTTTGCTCATGTTTTCAATATTTTGCGTACAATTTTTTTTAGTGGCTGGTAAACGTCACCAGTGAGCATATAATTTCTACTCGTGGATTAGGAGCTGAAGACTTGGAAGAATGGTTAGCCACTATTCTGTACCACGATTTTGATCTTATTTTGGAGGATGATAGCGTGTATGGTACAAGTTATCTCTTGCTCGAAGCGTATGGGTATGCGACGTTTTTCGTTGCGATAAATTATTATTATATTTTACAGGTATATCAAGCACAATGATGAATCTAGACTGAATCAGCTCATTGCTGGTGAGGCTTCATGGTTTTTTTTTTTGCAAATTCTCGTATACAGTATAATAAAAAATCGTGTTGGGTTTTTCGGACAAGCAAAGAAAACTTTCGGAAAATGTTTATGTTTCATTTCATGTAAGTCAACGTAAATGCATCTTCAAAAAACAAGAGAGAATATTTCTGAAAAGTTTATTTTCTGGTGTAACCTCGATAACTGCCAAAATAAGAATCAATTTCAAACAAATGATGTGTTTGCATCTCGATAAAACTTGCTTCAAAACGCGTTTAAAATAACCAAATCTCCCATAATAGAAAAAAAAAGAAAATTAACTAATATCGATTTCGGCGACTGTGAGTCAACTTGTGTTATCTAATAAAATTCCTCATCTTTCAGGTCTTCCTACGCCTCAGCAAGTTTCTGAAGCAAACAAAAGTTCACGCCGTGAAGGTAACGACGAAGATGACGTTGATATGGACGCAATTTCTTCAGGTTTGCATATTTAATATACTTCAAGGTGCAAACTACGTTCACCCATATTTGGGGACAGGATTACATCAATCAATTTCCATACTTTTTTTCAAGTTTCAGGCGACGAGGAAGAAGAGGATCAAGAAGACAAGCCGGAAAGGACAAAGTTGCAGCACGTAACCGACAGCGACGGATGGACCACGATTGTCCGCAAGTAAAGATATTCATTCTTTTGCCGCCATATCGTCGTACAGAGTTAAATTCAATTTTTTCGAGAGAGTTCATGAGGTTTTCATTCTTTCGGGGCGCAAACTTTTCAATTTTGATTTTGCATGTAAATCGTCATGAAAGATTAAATGCGAACCTAAATAAACTTGGGAATGTACATTCTAGCGAGATTAGAGGTACATAGAGTGCAGGTTTCTAAATGAAATGACTTTGTTCGACGTTTTTGCTTCGTTTTTCTTGATTCCGAACAACATCGATGAAGTTATTCTTATTAAGTATGTGATATGGGTTTTCCTACCATTGAATTTGTTTTCATGAAATATGATTTTCCGCGAAAAACTAGAACCCGGTGCACTTCCGGTTGAAATAATTTCGACCTCTGTTGTAATTTTATTCAGTTGTTGTTGCTCCTGTTTTTGTTGTTACTGAAGTTTGGATAAATATTTCGCACCTGACTGCAGATTTCGTCAGACTCATTATAATGACATAATAGCCCAGGGGAATGTTTTGAGATCTCGAATTGTCGCTTCGCTGAGAAATCTCCCCTGGCAACCGCCGATAAGAGACCTCAGAGCTACTTTTTTACCTGTTTTCCTTTCATGGGCTCTTCATTATTTTGTACTTCTTCTTTAATGAGTCCAGTGGGTTGGCGGCATTCTCTTCATTCATCTTCAAAAAGAAGTTCAGTCATCAATAAAAAAAATGTCTTTTTTTGTTTTCAGTTATTCTGAATAATTTGAGACTGTTTTTCGAATGAAATCGTGCTGGTGAAATAATAAAAAAAAACCATAGAAGAAAAAAAGACTTGTAAAAGCTGCAAAATCTGCTTTAGAATCTTAGAGCTCTCTAATTGGCGCGTGGAATCTCGCTCGGGAGAATAACAAGCATAAGAGGATTTTATAATTGCTCGATGGGAAAAGGAAGTTGGAAAGTGAACGCGGCTTTCACGATGTTATTTATTTGGAGCCTACAGAACTGACGGTTCTCGACGAAAGTTTTGTAGTTTTACCAGATGGCACAAGAAAATCTTTGGGGACATTGAGGAAAAAAGCTTAGATTTTTACTTTTTTTATTTGAAGAACGTAGAATTCCGCACTATCGTCAAAAAACACCTTTTATCAAGTTAAAATGGGACAAATGCAATTTTGACACGCCAAATTTTGATTCAGGAAAAAATGGTTGGTTTTTCAAATTTTACAGTGAAATTCTCAAGTGAGATGTAAGTTCTGCGACTTTGACTTCTGTCTTCATTCTCCTCGCGATTCTGATCCGGTGACATTATTGCAACGCCGTTTCAGCCTGGTCAGACGATTCGGGAGCTTGAAGGAAAACGAAGAATCTCGACTGTGGGGAAGACGGTCAGCCGTTTGGCAAGTGAGTCAGCTGGGAGACTCTGCGTCTCTGTCGGCGAGCCCTCGAGTCTGGCCGTCTGTCAGCTGAGGTGTGCAGAGCCGCGAGTCTGCCCAGCTTCTGCTCAATCATATTTTTATCACGGCTCCATCCTGCTACGTTCTTTCTGGTCGTCATCGAGTTGAGGTCTGTTGCAGGAGACTGAAGGAAGTGATCGGCACCTGAAAAGGTGAAATGAGCGTGGGAACGTGCTCAGTGGCAGAGCTGCAGACGGCTCTGGGGGAAGCCAGCAAGCAGACTCACCAACTCTGGGAAGAGAACAAAGACCTTCAGGTCCGTTTGTTTTTTCCGCTCTCTTCTCCTTTTCGCGGCAACACCCAGCCTTTTTCCTTTCAACCTTTGTTCGCATCTCTTCATATCTTTTTCTCCCATTACGCTATATGATGAAACATCATTTTCCCTTCCCAGAGAATAGGTCATGAGACTTTCGCATTAAACTGCGAAACCCAGTTTCCTGTTGATATTACGTTTCTATCGTGGAAAAGTGTGTAAAAATCAAAGAATAACTTGGTGGATCCCTCTTAAAACACAATTCAAATTTTCTACCAGAATTACTGATATACCCACTGACCAAGTCGTGATAAACGAGGTGTATTTCACTGCAGATAAACGAAGAGAACCAGAGATGAAAGAACTCATTAGAAGGCTTTTATTTTTAAATTTGAAACTTGATCTCTTGGTTGAAATATATTAACTATTTTTTTCACTCTAGACAAAAATTTCTGATCCATATTTTGAGCCCTAAACTCAAAGGAGCCTCGAAAAATATACAATTCCTAGCAATTATAAACAGTCTTGAAATTCAAATCATTCGGATTGCACTTCTGGAAGTATTTCGCATTGAAAACGAAAAAAAAGGTTTTATTTTTGAAGGGTCGTTTCGTGAATGATCTCTCTGAGCTGCAACGGATACAACTTGCCATCACACAGTTGGAAAACGAACGTCGCACGGATCAGCTTCAACATGTTCGTTTCTTTTGAAGTCGCTCAGGGAGGGTTTCATTCAGAGGAGTTACTTTGAACTGGAACTTTTGGAAAAAAAAATCAAGAAAGTCCTGTGAATTCATCTCGAGGTAGCACTTTCAATCAGAGACAAAGTTAGGAGCAGACTCAATGTTATGACGAAGGAGGTATATCCTCGCAGGCAGTTCTTTGTCAGATTTTCAGGCTGTCATTTTCTTTACAACGTCTTATTTTTCTCCTTGCAAAATTTGTAGTGAGACCCATTTCGTGGGGAAAATAATCTTAGTAATCTACAAATCGGCTGGGAAATAGTCAAAATAAGAAGATAAGAAGTTTTATGTGTGCTGTTTTTCACTATGTGTAAAAACTGTTTAAAAAACACAATTTTTGTCTTATAATCTGAGGGAGGATAAAACATGAGAAGAAAGATCGATTGCTAACAATTTGAGGGTATTTTCCCTTTCTCTTGGCAATTATGTGAAAAATGAGCCCGAAACTCTGGAAAAAAAGACGAATTACCTGAAAAAGCGACGTTCACAACTTCGAATTTTCGAAAAAGTATCCCACGGTTTTCATTTTGCTGTTAATTGGAGTTTCGAGACAATTTTTATGACCTTGCTAGCTTCTTTTCTTTGATTGAGAACGAACCTGTAGTGCCCGCCTTCAGGCACGGCATTCTTTGGCAGAAGTGCAACGGAGAGCGTCGTCCATCTACGAGATGCTCACCGCCAAAAGAGCCGACATCGTCAAGAAGCTCAACGACGGCACCAACTTCGTAGCTCTGCTGCAGGTCCGAGTTCAGCCAGTTGTCCAATACTCCTTCCACAGAATCAATTGATCACGGAGCGGCTTTTTGAGTGGAAGAACCGGCAGAAGCTCGCCCAGGTCGGTCTCGTGTTCGACGATCGGGACGCCACACTCGACGAAATTCAGATTGAGTTCGTTTTCGATTACATGTTGCACATTTGTTTTTATTTGTATCAAATTTTACAAGTGTCATTTTTGTAGGTTTTTAGCTCGTTGTATCTATTACTCACTGTGCGTTTTTTTTTGGAAAAAATCCAAATCCTGTAAAAGAGTTTTCTCGTGTCATTCTGCATCAGAAAAATAATAAGGACCGAAAAAATTAATAAGTCGAAGCTTAAAATACTTCTTGAAAATAAAAAAAAATTAGGTTTTCCTAAAACATTTTTGTTTGATTATTTTTCGAAACTGCCTGCTTCTGGGCATAATAATGTTTATGTGAAGTTTTGGAATTTGGTTCTGAAAAATGTGGAGCTTCTTCTAGATTCGAGTTCCTGGCAGAGCAGAACTGGCAACTGCACATGTTCACGTGCTGGATGTTGGATCTTCTTCGCAGAGGTTGGTCTATTCCTTACCTCACTCGGGAAAAAAACCCCTTATCCAGTACACATTTGAGCCCCTCATGTTCTCAAAATTTTGTGAGTAAATTATCTATTCAAGGCGTGTCGGTTTGGACCATCTATGACCCTTATTTTTCTTTCGAGTCATCAACCGTTGTGGCCTCCCGGCTATGAATTTCGAAAGATTATTTGAAGACGAAAGAGTTTTTCTCGGGTTTCAGGTCCTCAGCTCAACGACAACAACGCACAGACGACCGCGGCCAACATGTCGACGCTCATGGACCAACTCACGAAACTCCTCTTCATGCTCGTTTCTCAGAGCTTCGTTGTTTCGGTGCAACCCGAACCCGTCCTCAAGACCCAACATAAATTTGTCACCGAGGTTTTTGCAAATATATTCATGCCGCACCAAAAATGTTCTGAAGGTGAGACTTCTGATTGGCGAAAAACTCGGGATCCGACAGCACCTGGTCAACACAAATGTGACGGTGAAAATAATCGCCGAAGAAGAGGCGAAGCAGCTGAGCTCGACGCACGTCAACCACAAGGACATGTTCGTTGAGGAACACGTGCAGATGACGACTTTTTCGTTCAGAAAAACAGTAGGAACCATCAGCAACGATTTCGAGAAGATGACGATGGATGAGCGAAATCACATGGCCGCAAAGTTCAACAATTCGGTTTGTTTCATTAAAATCTCCACAAATATCTTTTAATGTTTGGATTTCTCTTTTTTTTACAAAATATTTTAAAGTGTTTTTTTATTTGGACCCCTGCTGTTACTTGTTTAATTCTACATGGTTATGGTCTATCTTTTTTCAAGCTATATAAATTATCCGTTAACCAAAGTTTATCAAAGTCTATATTACTTACTTACTTACTTAGATACTTAGATGGTCCATCTTCGCTTTCGACATTTTATTGCCTTTTAGTGCCTTTTATTGATCGAAGCGTGGACCACACGTTTTCCAGGAGATCTTATGCAATCGGTCATCCAGTGTTGTCGTCCTGGTTGACTGCTATTCTTGCGAAAAAAATCCATCCGTGGTGTTGAACGTGTTATAGCATAATTGTGGTCTTATTATCCTTTTTGCCTTGCCAGGGCTAAAAAAGACCGCCCATTCTGTTAGCAGAAGCAAGCCGAATTGCGTGACCGGTGTACCGTTAGCCGCCATAAATGGCGTTGCCTCCCCATCACCGCGTAGAGGTGGTACTTGAAGGGGAGCTGTCAGTCTATATTACTATTCATATATATATTAATTTTTTTACATTTGTCACAAACTTTGAAAAAAATTTAAGAAATTGACGAGAATCGCTCATCGAAAAACCTCCGCCAAAAGGCGCCACGACGGACTTGAAATGCTCGTCCAGCATGCAGGTGTCCCTCCGCAAAATATTCTTGTATAATGGTATTTTTAGGCGGCGACAGATCAAAAGTACGCTCTTCTCTTCCACATCAGCACTTTCCAGCTGGGCAACCTGGGCAAGGTGTGTCTGACTAGGATGTTTCGTATGTAGCAACCGGTCAAATCTCTGTTTGATTATTTTATAAGAAAACTGCTGAGAACTCACTTGGAACCCGCTTTTAGTCTCTATTCTAAGCGTTGAAAAATTGAAAACGCAGTTAGAAAGTATCTCATTTTGACGAAAAAATTTGCAAAAGCTTGAAAGTTTCGTAAATTTGGGAGTCGTAGATTGATTTTAGTTTGACGTTTGGACGCTTTCCTTGCCGCTGATGGTGACGGTACACGGTTCCCAGGACTGCGACGCCCAGGGAGCCATCCTCTGGCAAAGAGCCTTCGCCTCCGTGGTGCGTCCTTTTTGCAATTTATGCTGTTTCTCTTCTTTTTTGGATTTTTCGCGACGGTGTTCCATTTAGGTTAAATGATCCTCATCTCATTCAAGTCATTTTCAGACGCGATCTCCTGGCTCGACAGACATTTCGGCTGTTGCGTGGAGCGACCTCGCCATTACGCTTCGTAACAAATTCTCGTTAGTTTATTTAAAAGGCTGAAAAAGAAAGTTGACAGACTAAAAGAGTGAAAAAATGTAGGATTTTGATACCATTTGCATGAGCATTTTCAAAATTTTTTTACATTCAAAAAGCGTGAACTTTTACAGCCCAATAGGATGTTTAAAGCTTAAATTTTCAAATTTATATCCCTCAAAATGTTTATACGATTTCATTTATCCATAAATTTATCATTATTGTAATGTGTTTATAGAGCTTTTTGCATGTGATTATGCCGGTCTAGAAAAAAAAGAGATCCTCGGATGAAGAGTTTTCGAAGAGTTACAAAATATTGAGCGAAAACCTTTTATAACTGCATTTCGCTATTTTTATAATACCTCAAAATGAAAAATTTAAGGCTGTTCACTGGCGCCCGAAGACCGTTGTCTGATACGGATTTGAATTATCTTTCCGAAAAGATACTTGTACCCAATATCCAGGACCAAAAACCAATCACTTTCCATCGATTCGCCAAGGTTTGAGAGAGTGTTCTTAGTAAACTGAAGAGTGTGCAGCACAACATGCGCGACGAAGTGAGCTTCTCTTTTTGGGAGTGGTTCTTCTCAATTATGCAGCTCATCAAGCAGAAGCTGCTCAAATTCTGGGACGAAGGTGGTCTTCTGGCTGACGAATTTGAACAAAGAAAGGCTTGAGGCTGGCTCATCGGCTTCATCTCCAAACACGACGCCTCGCACTCGATGATCATGTCCCCGCATTCCTCGTTCCTGCTCCGCTTCTCCGACACACAGACCGGGGCGATCAGCATCGGCTTCGTCTGCGAAGAGGAAGACGGACAAAAAGGTAAAATTTCGGAAAGTCCACTGGAGCTGCTGATTTCAGTGCCGTTCCACCTGGCGCCTTTCACCATCAAAGACCTCGACCAGCTCTCCCTTGCGCAGAGGATCGCCTCATGTCCCCAGCTCAGGGAAATACGGTACTCTCCCTCTTTTCGGAAACGAACGATTTCACATGAGCTTTCCAGTTATCTCTATCCGAACATTGACAAAGAAGAGATGCTGCGGCATTTCGACAGCGAAGAACGTCATCGTGGTCAGGCTTCTTTCGCTATTCGCTTCTCGCTCTCCTCTTCTCTTGTTAACATTTCGACACAAATGGGTTTCAGGAGGTCCCGACAGTCCGACTGGTTACATCCAGAGCGAAATAGTGATGGTGGCAAAGACGTGCGGGTCAGTTTAATCTGAAGCCTCGAAGATGGTCTCGATTTGCAGGAAGATGTCCAACGCGCCTTCCATGTTCGGAGCCGATTCTCCGTCGCCGCTGTCGGTGCATTCGAAGCTGGACTGGTCTCCAGGAGAGGTCCACCCCAGCCAATCTATGGACATGTCAGTTTCCACTAGAAAATCTGAATTAAAGTTCTCGCCTAGTTTCGAAAATCACTTTTTCTCATGAAGCTGTTTTTCAGTGGTGAGGATCTATCGATGCTGTCCGTTACAGGACTCGAAGGAGTATCTGGAGATGTGGAGAGTCTGCTCGGACCTAATTTCAAGTTCGTTTGGTCCAATAATTGCGAATAAACCGCGAAAGCTGCAGACCATTCATGCCTCCTGACGGCAACCAACACGTTGACCTCTCTTTCATGGAGATGAACCGCAATCCGATGCAGCACAACCAGTTCTACCGTCATGAATAACTGATAGAATTGACCTTTTTGAGCCCTTCCAACAGTGATCTCGAGCCTTTCAAGTTATCCAGTCCCTCCATTCAACCCCGGAGTATCGCATCCATGTGATAATATCAGAAAATTGCTATAAAATTTAGGTATTTCAACAGCATATCATAATACAAACCCAATTCGTGTAACCCCATTGTCTGACGCGTCTTTTCCCTTCGATGAATTACAAAAGTTTCTCATGTGCGCTACTCAAAATCTTTCCTTTCTGTGATCTCTCTTGCAATATTTGAAAAACTGTTTTCTGTTGCTATTTTTCAATTCTTCGTATGTGGAATCTCTCATTTTACCTCTCAAATTCGTCACTAATTTTCACTAAACAATAAAAGTTTCCATTTCTCTTTTTCTTCGTCGTAAAATTTTTTGACATTTAACTTTTCCAGACTGGATCCAAAACTTCACTTTATTCACGAAATAAAGTGAAACCAGGGAGAAGGGTTAAGAATTCTGATTTGACGCATTTCAGTAAGCCAATAAAGTAGGAGAAAAGCTGCATGACGCGAAAAATTGCAGAGAAAAAGAGGGCGGAGCCTGAGCGGCGCCGAGTTTTGCAGTCGCGCCGTCGTCGCTCATGTGCCCATGATCTACAGTATACAGGTCAGTCTTTTTCTGTTTTATTTATCGGTTAGATAATTTTCAACTTTAATAGAAATAGTAGTAAAGATACCAAACGGTGTATAAGGCAGAAATGGAAAAAAAATCATCAGAAGGAAAGTAAAAAATAGGTTTCTTGGTTTCGAGAACGGCAAGTGAAAGCTTGAAACGATATTAATGCAAACTTTGATTCGCAGTTCGAGGAAAGTGAATAAAGCGGGATCTTTGGTTTCATTCAAGAGAATTTCTTGAAATTTGTTTCAGAACTTGTTCTTCTCCCACGATTGTACAAAAGTTATATCTGTGACTCTTATTAAAGCATTCAAGACTTATGATGACAAAACAAACTTTTTTGTTTGTTGCATCCAACCTCATTTGATATTAAAAAACACTTCAAAAAATTTTTGGATGGGAAAGTTGCAATAGAGTTCAGCCCCACTCTTTTTTGAACTTCCGGAAAAAGACGCGCAAACAGTTGCCATATAAAAAGAAGAGAAGATGACGCTATTCGTGGCCCGCCAATTCAAACGAAGGTTGATTCGCGCCGTCCAGGGGTGAAATTTGTGGAAATTGGTTTACCGCGAGGGCAAAAGCCTCGGCGTATGTTCTTTTGACATTTGACGGCTTTTTCTCAACAACAAGACGGCATTTTTATTAGTGATACAATACTTCCTAGGCAAGAGTAATTTTTTTAATGAAGATTTTTTTGGAACTCTTAAAGGAAATTTATTTTTATAAAGCTTCACTCAAAAAAATCAAGTAAAGCGTCAATACAATTCAAATAACCTAATGAATAAACCGACAAGAGGCATTTTTACAGTTTTCAAATTGACTGGAATGTAAATAATATTTTGGAGTTTGAGAAGTAAATCTGTTTGACTTGTTTTTCTTAGTTTCTCGGAAGACTCGTTATGATCGATTAGACTTGTCAAGAAATCTGAGAATCAATGAGAGTCCAATCAAGAAAAAAATCATTACGAGAATAGCGAAAAGTTGTGCAAAAAAGAACAAGGCCGGGATATACAAAGTTTTTCTTGAAGAGCTCGCTCAGAACGCGAAATGACAAGAACGTATATAATGTGTACCACGGCTTGAAATTTCATCGAACGACATTCCACTGTTCCGCTGCGTCGCGAAGCGTCTTTGCGAGCCTCGGTCTCGCTTTGAATTGGTTCTCATTTCTGATAGATGGACTGTTCCCCTAGGAATACATGTTGTTCGAGCTCTTAAATGAAATGAAAAATTAAAGGCACGCAGCGGAACAGCGGAATGTCATTCGGTGAAATTCCAAGTCATGGTACACAGACTATATGGAGGTTCATTATAAGCCTGGAAAATGTTTGACGATTCTCTCTGAAAAAGCCGCTGTTACAGGCTTTATTCGTCGAAGCGATTCTTATGTCGGCGTGTAGTGCATCGCCCAAGAAAGGTTGAAAAATGACGTTTGCTCTCTTAAACTTGACATTGGGTCAGACGTGACAGAGGTCGTTGGAAGAGAGGAGAAACCTTCGGAGAAGTGCGTAGAAGGCCGTGAGAGCGGATCCAAGGCCCAGGACCTCGCCCATATCCTCATGCAAAACTATTCTAGGTAAGCTTTCATTCGATAATTTAACCGATAAAAAAGGAAAAAGCTTTTTATCGATCAAAGAAAAGTCAATGAAATTCAAGATAATCGAACGGAAAGAATAAAAAAAAGGAAGCTGAAGTTGGCTTTTTGGCCCAGCCTAAACGCGGATGGCGCAGAACAAGTCATTTGGCTTTTTGGCGAGCTCGCAAGCACAGTTCTCTCATTTCACGATAATTAATTGCATTTCGAAATTCGGTGTGAATATTACAGAAACGCGCTTCCGGAGCCTGCTCCGGTGAACGTCCTCGTTGAGATCACAATCCAAGATATTTCTGATATATCTGCTATCACTGGAACTTTTGTGATTGATTTTTGGATCAGTGCGATTTGGTTGGATAAAAGGTAAAAACCTTTTTTTTGGCATAACCAGCAGTCAATTCAGGTTAGCATTCGGCCATCTGGACCCATGTCGACGCAACTTATCTCTGGACCACGACATGGAACCCAAACTCTGGTCTCCAAACGTCTGTATCGTCAACTCCAAATCCACAAAGGTATGTCGATCATGCCTGAAACGTTTCTTTTCTCCAAGCTGACCCGAAGAAAGTCAGGTTCACGACTCGCCGAAGCCCAACATACTGCTCATGATTTTCCCCAACGGCACTATTTGGCTCAACTACCGAATTCGATCTGAAGGTTTTTCACTCTTTAAATATATTAAAATTTTTTGACAGTTAAAATTATTATTTTTCGAAAGGCAGTCGTTGGAGGAATTACATTTTTTTCATCTTTCGGCTGCATCAAAACTTAAAAAAATGTCTTGGATTTGTTGAATCAATAGTAAAAAAATGGCTGTAGGAACGGCGATTTCCCTCTTTAAAAAAACTACAGAGACAAACAAAAAGTTTATAGAGGCGAACATTGAAATAAATTAAAAAGAAACGTTTTTTTCAGAGATTTTTAAATTGTGTTAAGTTTTCAGAAACCCTAAAAAAATATTCAATCACTGTTTTTGATTTAAAAAAAGATCAAGCTCGCAAAAATAAGAGAAGGGTAAAATTCTAAACACACCTCAAAAAAAGAAGTTATAGTCAATGTTTCCCGACTTGAAAGGCGAGGGAGGCGGGGAAAGGGGCGGGGCGCGTAGCGTGTGCGTTCGCGGTTCTTGGCACGAGTTCAATTCAACGGCCAGCGAGCATTCAGAGAGCTCATTTATCGCTCTTTTTACTTCTTTTTTAATTATTTATTGATTATGTTAATTTTTGCATCAAAAAGTAGTAGAAAATACAGAGAAAGAGCGGTCGCCGAGCTTTTTACATAGTCGGCGGCGATTGAATTGAACTGGCGCCAAGAACCGCGTGCGCACACGCTACGCGTCCCGCCCCTTGCCCCGCCTTCCTCCCCTTTCAAGTCGGGAAACATCGACTATATCAAACGTTCCCGGAATTTTCAGCACCGTGCCAGATGAACTTGAGAAGTTTTCCCCTGGACAGCATCAAATGCTCTCTGGTTCTCGAGAGCTACTCTTACAACGCGGCCGAGGTGTCCCTCCAGTGGCTCGAGTGGTCTCCTGTCAGCACCATCCGAGCTGACTACAACCTCCCCGACTTCAAGCTCACGAACGTCACCTACGGCAACGTCACTGAGGTTTTCTCTTTTTTCGTAGCAGGACGAATGGGCATCATGTGTCAATTGCAAGTATTCATTCTAGATTTACACGGCCGGCATCTGGCACAGACTCTCCGTTTCTATTTATTTCGAACGTCTTTACGGGTTCTACATACTGCAAGTGAGTACTTAAGGGTTTTTCTTTCCTTATTTGGACTTCAAGATGTACCTTCCCACTTACATATCAGTTTTCATCTCATGGATCGCCTTCTGGATGGATACGAGGTTTCTGGGATTTTTATTTTTATCAAAATGCCTTCGTCACCAGAGCTTTGCCAGCGAGGATAACTTTGTCTGTTTCGTCTTTGATGGCTTTGACGTTTCAATTTGGAAACATCGTCAAGTCACTTCCCAAGGTTTTGATCAAGATTTACCAGTTAAACCCATTTTTTTTTCTTTGAAGGCTTCCTACGTCAAAGCAATCGACATTTGGATGTTCAGCTGTGTTGGGTAAGCAAGCAGCAGCGTTCAGGAAGAAGAAAACTGAGATATTTCCAAATTTAACGCACTGGAAGGCTCCACATGAGGTCCTCGCGTTTTTGGAAAACAGAGCTATCAACTTGACTAAACCAAAAAAAGTTTTCCGAAAATGCAGAAATAAAATAAATAATAATCGTGTCAAGAGAATCCTTGGGAATATTTACTCTTTTTTTTTTACAAAATTCGCAGACAGCGAAAAATCAAATAAAACCTACACACTGACTGATTGAAATAAATATTTATGATTAAAATTGGTAAAGTTGTTTGAAGATTTGGAGAAAAAAAAGTCTCTGAGACATTCTCATACAACATCCTTAAAAAGGTGAGGTAAAAGGATTAGAGAATCAAAAGAAAATAATCGATTGAGCAGGAATTACAAATATGCTTCTGCTCTGATTGCTCTTTCCGAAAACTGAAAACGGGCATCTGCATTGGCGAGAAAAGCGACAAATCTGTTACAGATTCATTTTTTGCTCTCTGATCGAGCTCGCAATCGTGGCCTACAACGACAAGATGGAGGACCAGCGAATGCGCGGGTCTCGTCACTCGCTGAGCAACGCGTTCGTCAACGGTTCTACCCCGATGCCGTACTCCTCTCGGAGGTTTCTCTCTCAAGAGAATTGCATCAACATTACCAGCAGGAACGTTATGGAAAACGCCAGGAAACCGCGTCTTGCCGACCTGAGCGCCTCTCTTGATCGGGTCGCCAGCATGGCTTTTCCGGCGGTATTTTTCTCTTTTTGCTAGCGCTGTAATTATATTCAAGATGTCAGAAAACGAAAAGTGAAACTTATGTATTTGCTTCATCGCGTTTTTCTTTCTCGAAATAAATTTCCTTTTCAGGCTTTCGCTGTGTTCAACCTCGCTTACTGGACTTATTACCTCACCAGCAGCACTGACCTCTGATCAATTCTCATTCTCTCGCATTTTCCTCAAAGTCACACTACGGGTTATTTTTGTGATTTTTATCCATTTTATTCGATCAAAATGAAATGTCAATATATCACAAATTTACAAATATGGAAAAAATCAGATTTGGCGAAAAAAAAGCGTTTTTAATTGACTAACGAAGTGATTACAAAGGTTCCGAATTATTTTTCATCAGTGTGAGAAGATTGGAAATGATGGAAAACCGTTTGATACCAGAGAACTATGTAGAAGTTAAGAGATCATTAGTGTAAAGATCAATTGATATGGAGACTCTCAGTCTTCGTTGTCAAGGGAAATGAAGGCGGCGTTGTCCCTTTCGGAGCCGCCGCGATTGGCCGGCGGCCGAGATCGTTTTCCTTTCGAAAATATGACTCGGTCTGTCATCTGCAAGTTTTTTTTAAAGAGAGCTAACTGGTTCAAAAATCTTTCCTGATAGAAAGTTTTGTATTGATTGAATGACTTGCAAATGAGTCGCCCCAAAAAGGGGAATGTGACTCAAAAAGAGTGTTCGAGATGAGAAAGCATGTTGAAAAAAGGGCGGAGTTTGAAGAAGTAAAGTTTTTAAGCCTAGGCCTCTGACCTCATCTTCTTCGTCCTCGTCGAGTCCACACGATTCCGCCACTGGAAGTTCGCCTGTTCGCGATTCTATCAGTCGAGTGTACTTGTATTCTAGTCTGAAAAAGGATTCAGTCGACTTTTGCTGATGAAATGAAAAGATTGCTGCGTTTTGAGACAAACCTTCGGTTGCGTCTGCACATGAGGAAAAGAGTAGCGATTGCTGAAAAGAGCGAGACGGCCAGGGTCGCCAGGAGGAACTTCTGCTGAGAAGTCAGGACGGAGCACGGTTCGTCGTGCGACTCGGCCGCTTTCCCAGATATCACGCAGTGTCTGGAACGTATTGGAAGATACAGCAACTGCGAGTACGACTGAAAAGTTACTTCTGGGGAATCGAGTGGATCGTTTGCTTGCCGCCGACACACTCGCCTTTGATTGTCTGGTAATCAGACGCGCCGCACACAGGGCAAGCCTGTCAAGTTTCCCGATGTGGTTTGTTTTCCAATATCACAATTTTGTACCGTTTCATCCTAGGTAGTTACGATAGCTCAAAAAAAAACTTTTTATTTCCGACCGGTTGCCCCAGGCGTTCACCCCATTCAGTTCCAACGCGGGGTGCAGCGCAAACATCAACCAAAAGTTCACTTTTTTCGGGGTTCACTGCGGGGTAAACCCTCATTTTCGTTAGAGAAGTGATTTCGAAAAATTCAAAATAACCGTCAGAGTTATTTAACACACGTTCTCTGAAATTTTTGATTAACTGTTGGTACAAAAATTTCATCTTTGTTCCTGAGAGCTCTCCTTGCTTTCATAGATAGTGATCAACCTCTTGAATGTTTAGAACCAGGTTTTATTAGGCTCCGCCCACTTTCAGGCTTACTGTAGAAAAATCTCCGTAAAAACCAAACTTTTTTCCTAGTGGAGCAAATTGGTCCAAATCAATTTTAAAACAAAATATGTTCTCTTTTGACCATTTATAGTTATAGAACTGACCCGGAAAAATTTTTCTTTCAGAAGAAAAAAATTCAAGTTTTTTGAAAAATGACGATTTTCGCAGTCTTTGAGTCATAACTAGCACTAGAACCCCCGAAGGCCTGGATTTTTATTTTTTCAATCGACGCGTTAGGGTCTTGTGAGTAGAGAAAAATGTCTAGAAACTCTGAATCCGGGTGATCCAGTTGACCTTCATCTCGAAGAACGCGGCCAACTTGAAAATGACTAAATTTTTAAAAATCATTTACTTTCTTGGGAGTAGGATTTTCTCTCACTTTTTTCTGCTAATCAGACACAATCTACTCAACACAAAATTGGAACAAAAAGTTATGACTCTCAAGCATGACGAAATTTTTTTTTTCCAATTTTTCACTTTTTCGGATTTATTTATTTTTCCTGTTCCTTTCAAGTACTGAGCTCTACTGGGTTAGGATACCAGGAATGCTCAGAGTTTTTTCGTCGTACTGATCCATCACATCTTCCCAAGTTCTTTAAAAATATTCCCAAGCTCTGTTTCCGGGTGATCCAGTTGACCTCCAAGCAACCGAAGCGGTCGGCCTCGAAGTCAAGCGAAATTAAAAAATTTTTCCAAACCGTTTTTTTTTTTGCTTCCTAACCAGTAGTTCTCATTATATGGTGAGTTTTTCAGTGAAGTTTCTAAGTTTTTATAATAGGAAAAAAATTCAAAAAAACGCGTTTTTTTACTCGAGTAAATTTGTTCACAAGGAAAGTCATTTTTACTTTGTGGTTAAAAAAATCCTTAGAAAATTTGCCAGAATACTAATCGATGTACCAGAAAAATATTCTGAAATTCTTAACCTGACCAATTTTCTAGTTTTCTAGAAATGAGTACTCAGGATCGAAAAATGGCTTATTTTTGAAGACTAGGATTGTTTTATTCAGCGTTCAGAATTTTTTCTCGAAAACTAAAAAGTTGTTCAGGTTAATTTTCTTGCAATATCTCCATCTGGTACATTGAGGAGTGACCTGGCTGACTTTCGGGAATTTCTCAACCGAAAAGTGAAACCAACTTCCTTGTAAAAAAAATAACTAACTTCTTATGAGATTGAAGTTTAGACGCAGATATCTTATTGTACTGAAATATTTTAATACTGAGCTTTCGTTGTATTTAAAATGCTTTGAAGTGTATATTCGTCCTATTATTGATTATTGTTCTGTAGTCTATGCTCCAATTGACTCTCACAATATTTGTTTGATTGAAGGTGTTCAGAAAAGTTTCCTTTTCCGAGCTTACCATCGTTGTGGCTTGCCTACCACTCTTATTTCACTTGTTTATCTGAAAATAGTCTCAAAACTCTTGAGACAAGACGCCTCATCTTTGACATGTCTTTTGTTTATAAAATTGTACTTAGAGAAGTCCCCATTGATTTCGATAGTCTCTTCTTTTTCCCCCGTGTCCGTGTGCTGCGCCGCCATCGCTATTATTTACGTTCAAACATAAGACATAATAGTAACATCGTTGCTTCGTTTTTTAGTATCAGAATAATAAATGTTTGGAACTCCCTTCCCGATGTTGTATTTGATCTATGTAATGATTCTATGCAATTCAAAATCTATTTAGAAAACAACCCCCACCTTCTCGCTGACTTTCTTAAAATATCTTCTAATTTTTAAACGGTTTGTTGCTGTTTTCAATGTTTAAATTTCCCTTTTTGAAAATTGGTTCTGTTAGAGGTCTTTTCGGCCCTTGAACTGTATTATTATTCGTATTGAATAAATGATGGGATCACCCGGAAACAGAGCTTGGGAATATTTTTAAAGAACTTGGGAAGATGTGATGGATCAGTACGACGAAAAAACTCTGAGCATTCCTGGTATCCTAACCCAGTAGAGCTCAGTACTTGAAAGGAACAGGAAAAATAAATAAATCCGAAAAAGTGAAAAATTGGAAAAAAAAAATTTCGTCATGCTTGAGAGTCATAACTTTTTTTGTTCCAATTTTTGTGTTGAGTAGATTGTGTCTGATTAGCAGAAAAAAGTGAGAGAAAATCCTACTCCCAAGAAAGTAAATGATTTTTTTAAAAAAATTTAGTCATTTTCAAGTTGGCCGCGTTCTTCGAGATGAAGGTCAACTGGATCACCCGGATTCAGAGTTTCTAGACATTTTTTTCTCTACTCACAAGACCCTAACGCGTCGATTGAAAAAATAAAAATCCAGGCCTTCGGGGGTTCTAGTACTAGTTATAACTCAAAGACTGCGAAAATCGTCATTTTTCAAAAAACTTGAATTTTTTTCTTCTGAAAGAAAAATTTTTCCGGGTCAGTTCTATAACTATAAATGGTCAAAAGAGAACATATTTTTGTTTTTAAAATTGATTTGGACCAATTTGCTCCACTAGGAAAAAAGTTTGGTTTTTACGGTGATTTTTCTACAGTAAGCCTGAAAGTGGGCGGAGCCTAATAAAACCTGGTTCTAAACATTCAAGAGGTTGTTCACTATCTATGATAGCAAGGAGAGCTCTCAGGAACAAAGATGAAATTTTTGTACCAAAATTTTTCACATTTTTCACATTTGTTCGATTTTCTGGGAGAATGCGTGTTAAAAAGACAACTAAACGTTAGAAAGTCAGTGTTCGTTTTGGTTTTCGCGGAAATTGCTTCGAAAAAACTGTAATTTTTTTGATACGGTAGCTACAAACATCACATAATGATTCAACTCGTTCATATATTACATTTTCTAATTCTATTTGATTTTCCCAGAAACATTTATAAATTAAAGTGGGACTTCATTGGAGTGAAAGCAAATATTACTTTCTTGGTTTTCTATCTCTACGCCACAGAGTTCTGTCTGCGAGCGAATTATAAACATCATTTCCATTTATTCATTCATTCATCAAGGCGTTAATAAGGCGTGCTCAATGTACCTTCAAAACTTTCAGTGATATTTAATGAGTAAAATTGTTAAGTTAAGTTTTCAATTTAGAGAAGTTTCAGATTCTTTTTCCACATTTTGAAGCTATTGCGTTCACTCGCAAATTTAGAACAACGCTGATATTTTTATTTGATTCCATAAAAACCATATGGATTCAATATTATGTGAACATTTTGGAAAAACGTGTCGTTTGAGGCACGTCGAAACTTGAAAACACAAGTCATTTCTCTTCGAGATTCTTATGAATAAGTTGAATCGTGAGATTATCACTAAATAAACGTCCAAAAGTGTTCAAAACTCGAAACTAACCTGAGCCGTTTCGATGATCACAGCGTAGGTACAACCGTCACAAGTTCCATCAGGACATCCTTTCGGCAGACGCATCTGAACGGGACTTGGTCCCTCTTGATAGATAAAAATCGAACCTCCGGCTGTTTTTTGGCCGGTTGGCAGCGTGCGACTGCGACAAAGACGATTCCGTTGGGACATGTGACGCCGGTCGAAGCTATCGGCTCATACCACAAAAATATGTCCATGGGCAGAGAGGCTTTGTCCAGACTTTCTGAAACCGAAGACGAGATTATTTCAAACAAGGAAACAACTAACCGTATTCGAGAAGCTCTTTTGAGAGATGCCAGCCCTGGTAGTCGGTTGATTGAGTCACGGCTCTGAGACTTTTAGCGAGTCTGAATGAAGAAGCGTTGAACGCTTGTTCAGCCTTGAAGGGACTTACAGCAAAGGAGAGACCAGGGCGATCTTTGAATGATTCCGGGTGGCCCCAGGAAGGGCTGTCAGACGACAAGCCGTTCCAATAACCTTTTCTCTCGACTGAAACATCTCATCCTTTTCGAAACCACACGAAAGACTTGCCGTGTCCAGGAATCCGACGATATCTGCCCCGTCGAACTCTTCTTCACACTTGACAGTTGGCGCGAAAAGAGAAACTTTGAACTGATGGTAGTAGGCGGAGCCTTCTCGAGAAAAGACGCGCACCCCCGCTAGTGTCCAGTTTCTAGCAATCGAAAACATAACAAGAAGACCTTTTCCGACGATACCTCTCAATCCAGGGCGAAAAGTCATAATGAAACGTAGTGTTTCCATTTCCTTCGATAGAAAACTTTCCATCGGTTTTGCACTCGACTCCGTCCTAATTATTGACTTTTTTTCTATTTTATGGTTTTTTGTCTATTTCTTTTCAACTTTCTTCTTCTTTGAAGATTGTAGAAAATCTGATGACTAAATGAATTCCAATAAAATGATCGTTATGCCTTCTCAAAGCTTTAAAATGGAATATCTTCTAGGCAAATCATCTCTGTTTTTTGTTCCAATCGCAATGCTTTTTCAGGACAAGGTTGCTACGCTGCCTACAGAACTGCTGAAATAGTTTGTTAGGAAGCTTTTTTCTGATAAAAAGTCTGAGATACGTATTTTTTCAAGACATTACCTTTGAAAAAAGTCCAACGCCGCATTTGACGCAACTTTCCTCGCCGATACGACTGGAGGAAGCGTTGATGGCTGTGTTAGGTGGACAGGGGATGCATAGTTGGGTCTGAAAATGAGTTCGACTCGTCCAGAGCACTGAGGAGGTCACTTTTGGATGCATGTAGTTGCCAGGAGGGCACGGGACGCAGGTCTCTCCGCCTTGTGTGTGAGGACAAGCCAGACACTCGCTCGCCCCGCCGCCTTGCGCTTTCCTGAAACATTCCTAAATTTTTTCAAACCCTAATGAATCATTTCAAATATAGAGGCTTGTCACTCCAACAAACTCACCGATGACCGACGTTCGTGACGTTGATAGCGTAGATACGAGCCTCATCCGTTATGGAATCTTCTCCAGAGGAGACTTGAGAACGCAGAAACGCAACCTGAGGAAAAGTTTTTGCCTCGACGCGGAGAGCCAGGAAACCATGAACTTTGCGGGAGTGTTCTGAGTGACCGTGTGCGACCAAACTCGTTTCGACTGCGTGCCGTTGAAAGCGGCAAGGAAGTGAAAGAATGACTCCTTCGCATTTCCCACAGTCGTATCCTGGGGAAAATAGTAAACACTTTCTTTATCTAAGTACTTCGATGAAGTAAATGACGCAGGAAGGATCGCTGCAAGACGTCTCGAAAACGATGGTGACCTGCGCCACAGGAACGGCTGACATGGACTTCGGAGCGAGTGGATTGAAAAAACCTGAAAGAAGAACAACTTGTCGAACGAATGAAGGAAGATTATTGTTTCCACCTTCATCAATAGACAAAACCAGTTCGAATGCGATCCCTCTCTGTAGAGACGGTGCTGAAATGAGCGCCGAGCCAGAGGGAATCCAAGCGTTTCCAATATCACAACTCATGGAAACATCTGCAAACCCAAGGCTTTTAGATGGATTAGTTTTGCCGGACCATCGGAAATGTATTCACAACGAGACGTAAGTTTCGGCGGCATCACGTCCCATAAAATGTACTGCAGGCCGTAGTTGGGAACTGTGTCCACAGGACATCGTTTGCACTCTGGAAACTAATGAAAAGTGGTGAAATCGTGGGGAAATGTACCGTTCCCATCGGAAAAGTGGTGAAGAGGGCAGAAGTCACAGAGTCCCTGGCTGTTCTTCGCCATTCCAGGATTGCATTTCGGACAAGGTGTCCAAGGCCCAGGCGCCGGTAACTGAAATCTATTTCTCTGACTTCAATAATTATCGAATGTCTAACCGATGCGGCCTCAGGAAGGTCGTCCCGGCAAACTGCAGGTAGCACTTTTTTGTAGGTAACCCGGCTGGATCCGTTGGTGCAAGGCTCTCGGACAGGGTAATAATCCGACTGACGACACGGAGGCCGATTAATACAGCGCTCCGCTTTTGGTCCTGCCCGTTTCACACCAGAATACATTATGAATTGGAAAAGAATACCTGAGTACTGGGACTGTGGACAGACTCCACACTTGCTGGAGCCCTTCGGAGCGAAGAAGCCGGCCTGGCAGGGAGAACACTCAGCGGCCGCCGCTGTCGAAGATGTTCCTGGAGGACAGGCCGTACACTCCCGGGTGAACGCCAGACCTGGAAAAGACTCGCATCGACGTCTTCTGCTTCGGTCTCACCATTCACATCAACTCTTGCAAAATGAACTGGTTCCTGAGATGATTGGAAGCCGAGACTGTTTGAGATAGTCCAGGAAATAACGTTGGTACCTGGGGATCAACGCTAAAGGTAACAGTCCAGAGAAGCCACACCTGTGCGCATGTCGACACGTCTTCTCCGCCAGTCTCCGTTCCTCTCCTCTTCTTCTTTTCCTTTGTTTTTCGAGTAGCGAGCCAACATGGATCTTGCAGCATCACTGGACTTTTTTTTCTTACAAAATGAGAAGGGAATGTAATTCAACCTATAGCTCTGGCATTGCTCGTTTCGGACGTCTACTTGCAACGAGAGAGCTCTGTTGTTCCGCGGCATTCTGAACATTCCAAACATCAACTAATCAAAAGCTTTGAATTGACCTGTAGGTGAACTCTACATATCCAGGACGAACGAGGTTGGCAGAGAAAGAAAGACGCGAGACGCACGACGAAGGAACGTACATGAGCTCTCCGTCCCGCACGAGCCATCCTGTTCTGAAGAAACACTATACATTTTCGAGATTTCCGATCGCTTTGAGTTTCGCAAAGTTACATCGGACGCGGCATTATTCTAGTGATACTTTCAGCGACTTCAGTACTCTTGTGGTTACTAGAAATGCTCAGAAACGTTCGGGGCGCGTCCAGTTTCCGTTACCGAGGTCCGAGCAAGACTTTTTTCTGCGTCTTCTTCAGTGAACTGATGTTTTTGAATGGATTTTGCGTTAATAATAATAATTTATTCACAGATCAGTGTCAACCCCAACGAGTTCACTTTGATCTACAATTCAAATGCGTTTATAGCGAAACCGAGCAAAAGAGCAAAAAAAAAAAATTTAAATTTGTTCAGGTAGCTCTCAATTCTGAATCTTCAGTTCGTGAAACCTTTGACCACGCCATGAACGTTTTTTTCATTTGTATATTGAACTGACTCTTTCTCGCAGACATTTTCTTTTTCTCTGCCTCCACTACTGAAGTAGAGATCCGCGTTCGCATCGAAATTTTCAATAGAAAAACCGGCAGGCAACGTGACGAAATCTTCGAAACGCACGCCGCCTCCCAAGCTGAATGATCCTGCAATTACTTCTAAATTCTCAGCTAATAACGATTCCCTGAAACCTGGATTGCACGGTCGACATCCTTGAGTCTCTAAGTCGAGATAGTGACCAGCCTGACACGAAAATGCTGAAATGAAAAAAAAAGTTGACCCCGCCAAAGATGTTGTCATACAGCAGTTGAGGCCTTTCTGGGGAGGCGGAAGATTTTCGCAGCTGGCGGCATGCCGAGGAACTGCGACACGCCATCTTTCCCCATTTTCATCACAGTTCGTGTAGGTGAACTCGAAGTCGTCTTCGGAGCATCTTTGAAGCGCTATGACTACCGGCAGAGCAATTGCCAGCCTGAATATTGTCTCAGAAGCAGTTACGAAAAATTATTATTCGACTTGAAAATCAGAATCACAAGAACCTAATCGAAAAGTTGAACTCTCTACAGATTGAACCTATTAGGTCTATAATGACAAATTCAAAAAAAGCTGTCTTTTCTCTCAAAAATATGTTCAAATTGATAAAAACAGAGCAAAGTGCTTGCTTTTCTTTCGAAGTCAGTCAAAGCATGAATTCTAAAAAAAAAAAGAAAACGAACTCACCACAAAACCATTGCCAAATAATGTAAAAACGCCAGTTTATATCATTGCGGAGGGAAAATAGTTTAATTGCCAGAACAACAATGCAGACGAGCGAATTTCTAGCTTTTTCCTTTCTAGCTGCAGCCTTCTCACTGGCTTTTTTTCCAATGCACACACACGCTCTTGGCATGCGAGCTCGTTCTTCAGTATCGATGTTTCACTGGCAGGAGCTACTGTAATCACCCATCGTGCATTTTGGCGGGAGGACGCAATCACCACAGCTCCTCAAAAAAATTTCAAAAAAATAGTTTTTTTATTTATTTTTTTGAACTTTGATATTCGTGATTAGCGTTTTTGATAGATCGGTAATTTTTTTCTTACTTTTTTTAAATGAATTGGTTAGATAAAATTTTTATTTATGATTGCAAGCGCTTACATTTATGTGCTTAAACACGAAAATGTTTTTGTTTTCAGTTTTTGACGCGAAAATTTAAAAAAAGTTCATGCCGTGTTCAAAGTGATTTCTCTAAATTCAAAATAGCTGTCAGAGAGTGAAAAAGAAACTAAATTTTAGAGATTTTGAAATATTCTTCAATTACACGGAAGTTATTTAAAATAAGGCATAATCTTGTCACTTCTAACTGTATATTTTTCAGCGAATGTGCCGGATAGCAGTATGAAAAAAAGCTTACTACTTGTTTTTCTTCATTTTTTTAGCTTATTATGCGCCCTTTCTCCACATCCGAGACTTCTGCTGATATCGTTCGATGGATTTAGGCACGATTTGTTAAATAAAACATTCGTAAGAAATTTATCAGGAAAATAGGAAACAAAAAAATTTCAGGTACCAAATATCGCCGCGTGGGCTTCTCGAGGCACTTGGTTCACGTCCGGCGTAAAATCCCAGTACATCACTTTCACAGTTCCAAATCACATGAGCATGGCGACAGGTATTTCTTCCCTTCATATTACAATGGAATTGAGGGGTTCATTTAAGGTCGTTACGAGGAAAACCACGGAATCGTTTCGAACTTTTTTTACGATACAGGGTCGAATAAATTGTAATGCAACGCCTATCTAACATTTTCTAACTGCTGCATTTTTTCAGTTTTGATTATTTCAACTATACGAAAGTGGACTCTGCTAAAGAATCACGGTCAGAATTTTGGTACTCTGCTGATCCCATATGGCTCACTAATGAACGGTTTATTTTCAGTGAAAAAAAATAATCTTTTCTGATATAGGGCTTCGAGTACTCGGTTTTCATCGGTGTTCTATTGGCCCGCAGGTGACTCTTCTTTCCCTCTTCCTCCACACAAACCAACTTTTTCTAAGTGCGTCGAATTTTAAATGCATTTCGGAGCAGCAACGTTTCAGAAGCTGGAAAGAGCGCGGCGTGCTGAAGGATTGGATGAGAGACTGCGACGACGTCTTGGAGCAGTTGACCCGAGAAGAGAAACCTTCAAACTTTGTCATATGGTGAGGCTTCCAACTAAAAGCTAAGGAGCACGCTTCTCAGGTACATTGCCGAACCAGATTCTACCCTCCATATGAACGGCTTCTTCAATGGAGAGCTGAAAAAGGTGCTCAAGCATCTAGATGAAGTCTTTCGCTACTTCCTGAAAAGGTTTAAATACCTTTCTAGATTTTTTATACCTTTTGCAGGAGTTGTAGTGTTAGAGATTTTCGTTTTTTACAGACTCGAAGATTTGGACCTTGAAGACAAAGTTAACGTGATTTTGACGGCTGATCATGGACATGCAGAGGTTTGAGAAAATTGCGAACGTCGTTCAAATCTTGTTAAGATTAAAGATGAGAAGCACGTCATGTGTCTGCGAGATTTCATCCACGGCGACGATTTTGTCTTGACCGACCACATGATTTATCCCAAAAACTCCCAACATGCCCAGTTAGTACTTCTCTCCATTTTTTCTGGCTTTTTTAAAATCCTAAGCAAATGTTTATGGATTATCAAGAACTTTATAACATAAATGTTTCAACTTATACTACTTTGCTCGAAAAAATTATCTTTGTAGGGAACTTGTCAAGAATTTGACTGATGCCGTAGAAAAGCACGATTTCAAGGTCAACATACACTGGAAGGAGGTAAGAAGGTCATTCGAAATCTTTGCGAAACAAAAGCTTGCAGAATTTCCCAGCCATGTACCACTATAAGAACACTTCCCGTGTGGGGCAGATAATTCTGGAGCCGCAGGTTTGTTTTTTTATTTCTAGTTTCGTAAAACGGTCAGAGTGAGTGAAAAGAAGGCATTTTTTTAAATTCATTCATTCAACAAGTTTATGAATATACGGATATCCCTTTGAACTTTCCCAAGTATCTATAAAAAAGTTCTTCTGAACTTTCACTAATTTTCTGTGCGTTTTAAAGACGTAAAAAAAAAGTTTAATAGGGGTTTTTGCACCAAAGTGAACTTATAATGAATGGTCGGTATTCTTTCGGATTTATAAATTATGTTTTCGATAAACAAGAACGGCATAATTCTTAATGGTTAATTTCAGATAGGGTCTTCCATTTCTTTCAGTTGTTCTGCCGCAACCTTGGAATCGTTAGTTTTTTTTACTATCAAGTTTTAAGCAGATTTTTGATGCAGTACTTATGGAATCAACGGGACTGTGAGATTCAACTCGTCGACTCATGGAATGGACCCCGATAGACCAGAAATGCGCGCGATTCTGGCTATGAACGGTCCACTTTTTGCTTCCAAAATTGCAGTTAGTCTTTCAAAATTCTTTTTATTTTCATTGTTTTGTTGGGAAGATTCTGAAAAGAAAGTTTAGAAAGGTTATTGAAGTCTGGGATTTGGAGTTTTCTATAAGTGAACTCAAACACATAAATGTAGGGAAACATAGAAAATACACGTTTGGAACTTCTAGTGATGGAGAGAAGAAGACGCGAGGACGTGTCTTATGTTATCTTCAAATATACGCTAAAATGATCTTTTCATTAAAATTTTTTTTTTTTTTTGCGAGAGGCTGATTTTTCGAATAAAACCATTTCCATTAAGATTGACGAAATTCCCGAGAATATCGACCTTTACTTGTTGATGTGTAATGTACTCAACATAACGCCCTCGCTCAACGACGGCTCCTTCGAGATAATTGGGAAGGCTTTGAGGGCCTACGATCGGAGCAACGTGCGTCATGGGACCGGCTATTTGATGGTTACGGTAGGGGCTCCGCAGATCGTTGTGAGACCTCTGCCATCTTTCCAGGACACGATGGGATTCTTATTCGTTCTCGCGCCTTCGATGTGCATAGTTATACTTTTTTTGGTGTATGGTTGCCGCAGAACCGTTCTGAAGGTAGTTATTCAAGATACTTGTTGTTAAAAAGAAAGAAGTAGAAAAGAATTAATCAATAGTTTATTAATAGGTCGGAATTCTTCTTTTTTGGATGGTCGTCAAAAAAAGCTCTTACTTGATTTTTAAAAAATAAGATGAAAATCAGTTCTTTGAGAAATTCGAAAAATTTCTTTTTCAACAGGTTTTTTTCTATAAATTTTGAGTTGAAAACTGAAATTGGAGGGCGACATTTCCTGGGGAAGAACGGACGCCGTGCAAGGCTATCGTCCGCTTCAGAACGAGAGCGCAGCAGATTTCGATGTAGAAGAAAGCCGCGCCCCTTCGAACAACCGTTTCTCCAACCTCGGACAGGTTTCCTCACTATCCAAACCATGTCTAACATCTGTTTCAGATTAACTCCGGCGCGGTTTCCATGTCAGGGCTTCTCGATGAAATGAGCGACGACGAGTTGTAGACTTTCATTCTTGTATTTAGTTGTTTTTACGTCTCCAATGACTTTAAATTGATCAAATTACTGTCTTTTCAATCCAGATTATATATAGTCAGCCATAATGGGTTTCATGAAAATAGGGTTCTATATTGTGATTTTCTATTCTTTTTTTTCTGCGGTCCTGTCATTTTTTTTTTTCGATCACCACACTCTCCCAGTTTCAATGTACAATGAACAGTTTTATTGAAAGGTTTTGTGTATGAAATATATGTGATTTTCAAGATTCGATACATTGAAAAAGCTCAGTTAACCACTTTTAGTCTGACCTGATTGTAAAGGCGCTATGTCGGTTTTGCCGAAGGACGCTGCTGGATTTTCGGACCCGGCTTACTGGAAAAACTTCTTCAAACAACAGAAATCGCCGTTTGAATGGTTTTGGCCCTTTCATTCAGTATCGTGAACTTGTTTTGTAGGTACGGAGACTACGACACTCTTGCGCCGGCCGTTTCGAAATACTTGAAAGTCTCAGACAGCATTTTTCAGATAGGATGTGGTAATTCACAGCTGGCTGCTCAGGTTGGTTCCAACAGAGTCGCAGAAAAATAGTTAGTGTATGAAGTTGTACGAGAATGGATATCGCAACGTGCGGAGTATCGACGTCGAGGATTCTGTGGTGAAGGATCAGCGAGTCCGCAACAAAGAGCGCCCAGGGCTCACTTTCGACGTCGGCGATGCGACAAATGTGAGGTGTCCGCTGTGTATTCCCCAACTTGATAAAGATGGATGCGGCCGACGAGTCCTACTCGGTGGTGCTCGACAAAGGAACCATGGACGCCCTCCTTCCTCCCGACGCCGACGAGCAAACTACACTCAACGTGACCAGAATGCTCGACGAAGTTTGTCGCGTCCTCCAGTCTGGTGTGTTTTAGAAAATATGAGTGCGAAAGTGATTCCCGATAATGAAACAGTTTATTTCATTCTCTGACTTTTATCTTCCAGGAGGCAGATATCTGCTGGTGACGTTGGCTCAGCCTCATATTGTTGATTTATGGGTCAATTATCTGTACCAAAAGTGAGCGGCTCTCGCCTTTTCAAATTAAGTTGAACTATTTTTCAGGAATCAGTACATACTGAGAGTCCACAAAGTAGAGAACAAAGTGAGTTCGCGCAATCCCAGAATTCTATCTTTCTTCTCGAGTTTAGGCGAGCGGTTTTCAAATGCCGGTTTTTGTGTTGGTGGCAACGAAACTCCGAATCGCAGGAGCTTTCAAACCGGTATAGGGTTACTGTAGTCTGGTGTGGAAAGGTTGCAGCCGATGGAAGTTTGTCGGTCAGGCTCGGAGACGATGGAGCGGGTGGAGAGCGTGGAAGGAATCAAGGCGTCGATTCGCGAGGAACAGGAGCTCTCCCAGTTCATTCATCATTGCTCAGAGTCGGTCCGCCTCTTCTGTTTTGAGCTCATGTCTGCATAGGAAGCTCGCCGATGAGGCTTCGATCGACTTCCAAGGCGATAAGCCAGAACTTGGCTATCGCTTCCGGCTCTACGTTGTGGACCGCCCAACTGCCAACAAAATAGGAACTTTTGCCGCTTTCATAGTTCCCATCGGCAGGTTGGTTCTTCGAAACCGAAGCTTACCTCTGGGAAATTTTACAGAGACGTCGAGTGGATTTTCGCTTCCGAAAAGGGCCGTATGGCTCTTCGGCTGCAGTGCGACGTCGACCGACTTGTCATCGTCTTCCTGAACCGTAGGCAGTACTATGAAGGCGTGCAGGAAATCAAGGCCGAACTGGGCCATTTCATAACACTTCTCGATAACCGCGAGAAAGATCCTGGCGTTGTGAGGAGACACCCAGAGACTTATTCCTACAGTTTGCTTCCAGTTCAAGCTCCTTTCTATTGGCGAAGTCGACATCAAACGAACTTTAGTTGGAGGAACTTCTGAGGTTGGCGTTTTTTCCATAAATTATCATGATTGGTTGATAAAAATTCCAAGTTTCATGGATCATACAAAAAAGAGTTTAGAAAGTGAAGTTTTTTGCATTCATCGACTACATTTTTCACAAAGTCTTCTTCTCGTTAATTATTTTCCATTTTGGGTGGGATTTGGACTTGATTATGCATATATGTGGAGCACGTTAAAAAAAAAGTTTCAACCAAGAATTTTTTCAATTAAAAATCTCAAAGATAGTTGCATTTGATCGGCTTTGCGTTTTGAAGGTGAATGGAAAGTGGGAAGTGGAAGAAGTGGACGTCAGCGGAAAGACCTATCGGAGGCTTGTGTTCCTTTCGACGCTCAACCTCGTCCAGTCCGAAGCTCTGACTGGCGGTTGGCCCATTTTCAGACATTTATAATGTTCAAAGTTACAGAAGGTAAAAAGGGAAAGAAGAAGATACTTCTGGACTATCTCAGCTGCGAGTTTCACCAGATGATGGTGGCCGGATTGGCCCTCTTGCCGCATAATCCACTCGCCAAGACAGACCAACCTTTGAAGGTTACTTATATGTGATTACTCTTTTCAGATCTTTTTTTTACAGTTTGCCGTTCTTGGACTGGGCGGAGGTCTATTGGCAGCCTACCTGCTTCGTCAGTTCAAACAGGTAAATTTTGTCAAAAGGAATGGTTTTTTAGAAAAGGCTTGAAAAAACAGTGAGAAATATTTTCAGGCGTCTGTAATTGGAGTAGAGCTTGATCACGACGTCATCAAGATTGCCGCGGACTTTTTCTCGTTCCCGCTTTCCGATCCTCGGATGAAGGTAAAGTGCATGAACGCACTCGACTTCATCCGCGATGTCTCAGAAGCCGGCCCTTGTGAGTTCTGAACTTTTTTCCAAAAAGAGCAGGAAGATATTCAGCGGAAAAGTGTGATGCGATATTTGTGGACATCGCTGGATCCTCTGATGAAATCGGTCTTTGCTGTCCGACTCCGCAATTCTTGGAACCCCAAGTTCTCGAGCAGATGAAGAAAGCTTTGAAGCCGAAAGGTTGGATGCGACTGAAGAAGTCGCTGACACGGTGCGTCTTTCAGGCGCTCTGCTCATCAACCTCGTCACCCGCGACGACAGCATCTCTTTGCGAACGAAAGAAACCGTCGCAGGCGTTTTTCCGACGCTGCACGTTCTTCGATCCTGTGAAGACGTCAATGAGGTCCGTATCGCCGCTTTTTTTTCTAGTTTGGGTTCAACGAACCTGTTTCTTTACGTGCGCGTCTGCAGACATTTTTCTTCATCACTTGATCGTTGTTCTGACGGTATCAAGGATGTGAGGAAAGAAAATTGTAATCTTTTTTTACTTTCGCTTCTTCTCTGAAAACGCAGGGGATTTTCATCCATTCTATAAAACGGATCATTCATAAGGCACATAAAAGGCAATGGAAATATTAGAAAAGCTAAAAATATTGAGATTTACGCAGTTTTTCCATTCTTGTACGCGACCGGGGGCTTGATGCAAGAGAGTTGAATCTTCAAGAAAATCTTTTTTTTTTTGGGATGTTTTTGGCCAGATTTCCTTGTTTAAAAAAAATGCAAAAACAAACAAAAATAATTTTTTTGATTAGGCAATTGGCAAAAAAAATCAAAACCTTTTTCTGGTCAGCCTTTTCAATTGCCTTTTCAAATTTTAACTAGGGAAAGTTTTTTACCCCCCGGTTGAACTTTCGATGAAACTTCGCTGAAATGTATTTAAAGGCCTCCTGATTGCAGAACAAGAAAGAAATTTTTCGCAATAGATCTCGTTTTTGAGTTATGGAGCTTCGAAATCCGCAAAAAACGCAAATCATGTTTACGTCTAGTTGTTTCTAAATTTTCAATAGTTTTGTATTAGAAAAAGTATTGAAGGTCCTCAGAAAAAATAGAATCTTGGTGATGAACTTCTTAGAAAGCGCCGTCCATTACTTGCAGATGTATTGCGATAAGGCATACCAGTTAATTTTATAGGTGTTGATTGGACAGTCTCAACTCAAGGACACGCCGGTGGCGCCGCAAGAGTTGACGAAAAAGATCTCGAGAAATCTGGGAAGTGTGAACGACATTGTCGACTCGCTCATGCGTATCCACAGATTCAGATTGTGATCTGTTACTATTGCGATTGTCATAATTTTTATTTTGCCAGTTTTTCATCTTTTAATTTGAAGTGAGACGTTTTCTTGCTTTATTGGGACTTTGGTTCTATCGCCAAACTTTCGTGGCCTTTTTTGAATGTCCAAATCTGGTTTTCGTTGTTGCCCTCGCCGAAAGTGCCATTTTTTGCTCATTTTAGAGCCTCCAAAACCAGTTTGTTGTTACGATTTGTTCACCATTGATCATTTACCTGTTGGAATGAATGTTTCTCACCTTTTTTGAAATCGCTCGATCGATAGAGAAATTCCACAACTGGAAAAGGGCGAAGTTCTGTTTGCATCATTAACTCTGCGGCGTAGGTGTTAGTAGGCGTTAGTGTGTATTTTAAGCATTAGGCGGTACCCGAAGCTTCCTCGACTTTGTTATATTTGCCTCAAAACTCCGTTTCTCGCCTAAACTATTTTTTCACATGCAGATTTTCATTTTTTTTTAAATTTTGGTTAAAGATAGCTTTTCTCCAAAAATTTACTCGGTATGACTCATGCTTTAAACCTAGCCGGCTATGAGATCGCCAATTCGAGGTCCCATGAGCCTTCTTTTTCCAGACCTAGGTTCTCTTTTCACTTCTGAAAAACTTTTGCCGCCAAACAATGTTATTTTCTTCCGATGACTCAGCCTTCGCCGGTATCTGCTGCGAATACGAGAAAGTGAAGGGGCCAGTTAAACGGGCGTCGCCCCGCTACCTTTTCCTTCGCATTCAAATTACTTCTCATGTTTGTTGTACAGCTGTTTCTCTGTTTGTTTTCTGAGAAAAACTATTCGAAAAGACAACGTACTACGAGCTTAAAGTCAGTTTTTGAAACATCTCCCTAGCATTTTTAGTAAGCCCACTTCATGAACATATAGGGTGCAAATAGGAAACCTCTGAATCACTACTTTCTTGAACAGGCCGGATTGAACGGAAAGAAAAGTTTACCTCTCGAACACAAATGTCAACAGAAACGCTTTTTGTTCAGGAACGCCCTTGTGAATCGTTTGATTTCCAGTTAAATAGATTTTTTTTCATCTAAATTACAGTGGCGCGTACCGCACCCAACTTCAATTTCTTATATAAAATGTCGTTTCTCAGGAATACTTTTGCGTTTTCTACTTCTCATCAATTCCGATTTCCTTGATAGTACGACTTTAGGTGCGATGCCTGAGTACGTGAAACAAGTCACGGTCACCGGGGACATCTCCCGCATTGGCACTAACGTTTGTTTCTTCTTCTATATACTTTTTCTTTCAAAGGAAAATTTACGTTCCCGAATCACAGGACGATTTGCTGCGCAAGTGGTGCGCGGAGGTGGCACAAGAGATCTTCGAGCAGAAATGTGAATTCGCCGTCGTTCACGTCCAGGGTCTCCATGCCGCCGAGGATCCAGACTACGCGGCCCGTGTCATCTGCGGAAGGTCCTTTTTGAAATAGGACTCTTAATTTCCTTTTTTATGAAGCTTCTATCACTCAATCTCAAGATAAGCAAGGTCCGATCTATTTTGCAGTATCGAGGCTGTTTGATTCTACTTTTAAAAACACCATGATCATAATAATCACGAGTTCAAACTTCAAGTGTTGTAAAGTGCAGGCCAAAAAAAAATCTCGAAAAGAAAGAAATTGCTTGAAACTTCTTAAGTTGAAAGTTGCGGTATAAATGGAACTTTGTCAAAAAAAAATACTCTCGTGGGTTCAGTGGACGATTTTCATAGTTCAAAGGTTTTCTCGACACATTTATCGAAATAACCTAGAGAGTGAACTTAGATTTTAAAACTAACCCAAAACAAAAGCAGATACTTTCAGCATCACGGACAACCCTCAAATCTACAAAATCTTCGACTCATCGCGTGCATTTTTTGACACAAAGCTGACGGTGAGATACAATTTTCATAACCTTCCATTTTTCGATCATTTCAGGGATTAGGTAATCTTTACCTGTTCCGCGATCACAACGAGGTCCAGTTCTACGATCGATTCTCCAACACTGGTTACCAACCTGTTCGCCAGACACACTGCCATTGCATCGGTTCGTCTCAGATCAAACAAAAACCCCCTAAAAAAACTTATTTCTTTCCTAACAAAATTTCGAACTTACGTCATTGCCTTCAGGAGATAAAGAGTGCGACGGGTTCATTCAGAACACATTCAACCAACAGTACGCTTTTCGCAGAGATTTTTATGTTAGCTTTTGAAATAATTGGCCGTTTCAAAAAATTTTGTTCAGAGGGATGATGGTGTGAGAGACTTGTCGAATCAAAGGACAGGATTTCTTCTCGCAAGGTTATTCTTTTTTTATCGCCCAAAAATATTAACTTTCAGATTTCGAGTGCACGGGAAAGAAATGACATTTGTCAACGTTAACCTACACTCGGTTCCCTTTGAAGTGAGCCAATACTCTGAATTGCCTTTAAAATCGTTTCTAGGACGTTAATGAGATTGCCGAACAGAAAGCCGTGACTAAGGCTGCGGCGAAACGCGAAGAACAAATAAATGTCCTCATCCAAGAGTAAGTCCGCCTCTTTCTGGACTGCTGCCGTTCATCATCTTGAGATTTGCAGGCTGGAGGCGGAAGGCCTTCGGAACGACGCCGTTCTGGTCGCCGGATCATTCAACGCACAGTTACACGAGACTGACCTGCTCAACTACCTGGCCAAGACACAGCTCGTGTCGACGGTCGCCAAGAAAGACGAACACGGAAACGTCGCCTCTATCGAGCACTACGACAGACAAGGACGAGTGAGTTTTTCTCAGCAGTGTAAAAATCAAAAGATGGACTATGTAGCCGACGACGACAGTAGAGAAAACGCGATTCGACCTGCATTCTATTCACGACTGGTTCTTCAGACTGGGTCGTGGACAAATGGTCAAGAGGTAACACATCGTATCACTTCCACCGATTATTTTTCATGTAGGTACAATGGCGAGCTGGCTAATGTTTCTTTCAAAGGGAATCTACTGGAAGAAAGTGTCTTTTTCCAGGTGATTCCACAGACTTCTTCTTGAATAAAAAAGAAAAACTTCAGCCTTCACGACACTACGAGTTGAACGAAAGTGGAAAAGAGGAGTTCCAGAGAAAACTTTGTCCCGCTTGGAGTGACCGGATACTGTACAACGAAAACATGAACGCCCTCTTCAGACACGTAAGAATGAGTGCTTCTGAAATTAAGATCTCGAAAAAACCAAAGAAAATTTACAACTAGAACGTGATCAAGATTTCTAAGAAGAAAAAGATAATAAGTAAATGATTTCTAGGACTCTTTCTGCGCCTCAGGTCTCTACTATGGAATCGTCGCAGAAAACGCTCACGTTGGACCCCACAAGCCGGTTTCTCTCCATGCTACTATATGCCTCAAGTGATAGATCTTTTTTTGGGCACCCAGTTCTTCTGCTTTAATACAGTTTCACGAATAAATATTCTAAAGGAGTCAAACACAAACGCACAAGACATTCAGAATTTCTGGAAAAAAACATCACGATAAATTTTAAACTTTTTTCAAAAATCAAGCTGATGATCATCTGCATGTTCTGAAGCCAATTAATATTTGAAGTTCTACCGCAGAGCTGGTGACATCTTATATATAGTTCTTCTCGAGGCAGGAAAAAAAAAATTTGATCCTAACTTGAGCGAAAATAAAACTACTGGAAGTTAAATCGAAGAATTAGTGAAAAGAAAAATGGATGATTTTTAAATATTACACAAATAAATACGAACATCAAACTTTTGAAATCGCAAAAAAGGCAAATCAAACTATTCTTCATTTTAAGCTTGTGCAAACTCAGAAATCGGCACCCACGCCCAAAGCCTCAATATCTACCAGGCGAAACAGCATCGGTTAAAAATTTGGCCTTTTTCCGAAGACCGTCACGAAAACTTTGAGCGAAGCGAAAATTTGGGCCGCTCGGCGAAAAAAATAATAATCAAAAGATAAGGAAAGTGCGCGCCATCAGAAACGTTTGAATTTAGCGCCAGAACTTTTACGGGTTGGGTCTTGCTCTCGAATTGTGCAAAACATTTTCCTTCAAATTGTCAACTATCCACGTTCGAAGAGAAAAAAAATGCGACAACCGGGGACTTTTTTCTCAAAAAGAAACCTTTTTTTAAAATAGAGAACGTTCTCCTTTCAAATTAAGAAAAAGGTACCTGATTTCAGAGAAATTTCTGTGCTGAATAACGGAAATCTGTAGATTTTCAAGTTCTTATTCCTTGCAAACTCAGGCGCTCGAAATTTTGATAACTTTATTTTCAATCAAAAATTTTTTCCAGTACTTGTTTTGATTCTAGTCGGATCGGGAGAAGTATACACGTAGCTACCGGGTAGCTACTTTGAATCCAATCGGTCGTCGTTTATAAGCTACTGGGCACAATCTATATAGTACCTGGATACTACCGGGTAGGCAGGCTTGTGCGTCAGGCTGGCCCGGCCCGGGCTTGGAAAAATAATTTATAATTTCATTGATAAAACTTCTTTTTTTACTTTCATAATCATAGTTTGTTGAACTAGAAGTGGAAAAAAGGGCCAGAAACGTGACTTTTGTCGTCAAAAATTGATATCTGACTGAAAAAAAAAAATTGCGCCTTCCGGGTCGGCCATTTTTTCTTGAGGCCTCGCGAAGGCCGGGCCGGGCTTAGAAAATGGCAGAGGCTGACGGGCCGACCCTCGCAAAATCCTGCGGATAGGTACCTGAAATTTCCGATCGCTACCGGCTGGCAAATTGATCGTTTATTTATAGCACCAGGGATTTTTTTTAACCGTAAGTCTTCTCAGATCTTATTGGCTTACGCTGAATAAAACAATAACTACCCGGTATAGCATTCGCATCTTTCAGTCAGCTCCCCGTTATGTCCAGGAACCATAGAGATAGTACCCGGTCGCATACAAACGACCACCGACTAGCATACGCCTTTGAAGTAGCTACCTAGTAGCTATTTTTATCCTCCTTACGATTCACCTTTGTCATCGATTTCTTTGATTGGAATTTGAGTCTAACTTGTTAAAGGAGCTTTAAAATAGCAAATACTTTTTGAAAATTTTTAGCGATCTACGAACCTTTCTTAATTTTTAAAAATATATTTTGAAAGGATATACCAATTCGTTCCAGCATTTAGTATGAATAGTGAGGTTCCACTATCATTTGATAATGCCGTGTACGACGCAAACAGTCAAGAAAAGATTTTCGACGTACACGAACCTCTGGAAAACCATTCTAGAAACTCTTTTCATAGTGTTACTCAAAAGTAAGTTTACATTTATAATAAAATTGGTTGGAATTTTGACATTGACAGCACATCGCGGGCCAGAGTTCCACGATACTATCTTCCGCCGACGCCACGTGTTACTTTCTCAATAAACTCTGAAGTCAGAAGACAAAGTTTCCCTAGGTAAAGTTGAAGGCTTTATTGTTTCAAAAAATTATCTAGAGCAGCAGATTGGGTGCGGAACGTCAGGAGAACACCTTTTCGGCGGCCGAGATCGCACCAGGATGATGAAGCTCTCATTGAGGAAGAGGACCTGGACTACAGGTAATATCGACCTTTTTTTTTTTAGTGATGAGCAGGTTTTCGTGTCATGGGTTTTTTTTTTGAAAATTTATTCAAAAATTCAAACAAACAGAAAATTCATGAGAAAAAGTACAAGAACAGGGCAAAATTCAATAGAAGACCGGTGGCAGAGACGTTGAGTTTCGTCACTATCACTTCTCTCACTTTTCTGATGCCCTCGTTTCGAAGACCGGCTTGCAGTAACTGTGGCTTTGCTTTATGTGCTAGTTAATTTTTTCAGGGGAGTAAAACGAATTTCTGAAACTGTTCTTCATCGAAAATTTCCCTTTCCTTTTTCAATTTCATTATTTCAGCGGCAACAGTCAGGGATATAGATTCTTTGCCACGAATGTGAGTTTTTATCGTTTTTTCTAATAAATCTTTATCTAAGTGTCGGTTGCTGTATATGCTAGGCGATTCCTTTTTTCGCATCCACTCAAGTTGTAATCAGCTTTTTTTCTCTGCACTCGACCTTAAAAAAATTTTTTTCGAGTTCTCCGGAAAGCAGTATAAAGTAGATATGTGGGTGGAATGAAATAGGTGATAGTGTTGATTGTGTAATGCGTGGAAAGATGATCGTCCTTTTCCGCCATGGCCATCGCCCTTGTACATTCTTTCATCCGCGTTTCTCCATTCGTTTTTTTCTTTGTTCCTTTCTAATCATAACTTGCTGAAAAATGTCCTTTTGTTGATTTCGAACTCGAAAGTTTTTTTTCAAATATCTTCGGACCTGCAATATCAAATTATATATCAATAACTCTCATTCAAATTTTTCCTATGCGATAATTTCGATAGGTTATTCCCACTTGAAAAGTTTCTCTAGAGGAACTGTTACAAAGAGCGTATCATTCCAGACGTGTACCGATTCAACTGTGAAACGGCACGACACCAATCAATCATATCTTTTTCCGTGTCTCTCCACTATTCTTCATGAATTCGTCGCAGTCTTTCGTCTTCAATTAGAAATATTATCCTTGTAGTCTTTATAGTTAAATTTGATTATCGGCAGGTCTAATTTTTTCGATCGATTCTTTTTTTACTATAATGATTCGAGTCTTTAGCGTCGGATAAAGCTATGGTCGAAATTGGGCTAATTCTTTAAAATTTTCCTATTTTTTGATAATTTTTGAATCATCGCAACATTCTTCATTCAGTTTCCTTCGCGTACATCTTCACGCGGCACACAGCCATTTCTTGCCCTTTCCAGACAGCTTCGAGGTGTTTTGAACTTCAAAAATATTTTTAAAGATCTTTTCAGACCGCTTTTCAGCGTTTGTGAATTTTCGTAGTAACGAGGAGGACGAGTCTCCTGTGGAAGTGGCCCGAGGGAACAACGAGCAGATCAACCTCTCTGAGATATTCGGTTCTCCTGCAGAGACACGGTCGACTCCGGCAGTTGAGCAGTTTGTCCTCGCGTCTTCGGCTTCTGCCAAGCGCTTCTCCCTCTTCTCGGCCGTCAAAAAAGTGCGAGTGTATCTGTACTTGTTTTGGAGAGTGTGATTGAGGCTATCAAGTCGGCGAACCAGTGGGTCGGAAGCCACTTTGAGATGGGCTCCCTTCACCGCTCGGAGGAGATGCGCCTCTGCCAGATGATTCTGGTCAAAGAGGCCGCCTACGAGTGCATCGCCGAGATGGGCAAGTGCAGCAACGTCCAGTTCATCGACGTCCTCTTTTTCCTCTCTTCAGTTTGGTAATGAGTTTCTTTTCCAGTTAAATGCCGACATCAGCACTTATGCGCGCACCTTTGTAAACCAAATTCGTCGATGCGAAGAGCTCGAAAGGAAACTACGTTTGTTTCTCGGACTTTTTTTAAAATCTTTCCATGAGTGAGGGTTTTGTTCCAGGCTTTCTTGAGAGACAAGTAATTGACTGTGTCCCTGAAATTATCCCACAGCCCATCGATTTCGGCTGCCTTGACGCACCGACGATGGCAGAAATCATGCAGCTGGAAGTCTGATTTTTTTTTTCCTCTTCTTGTCAAACGCGGTTTTTTAAAGATACGTCTCGATCAGCTTGAGCGCGAGTTCTTGGAACTCAACTCAAACGACTGTCAGCTGCGGAAAAACTTGAATCAGTCACTTGAGTTCCAGCAAGTCTTGGAGCGTGTTGAACAGTTTTTCCAAGTGGTACATATATACATTTTTTTCATTCGAGCGTTATATTTGTCTGAATTTAGCACATGGAAGACGAAGCAATGCAAAAAATCGAAGCGACGGATGAGATGGGGGTTTTTTGCTTTAGTAGTGAAAAAGGCTTTACTAGTAATTTACAGCAACCCAAGTCGATGGCCGGGGCGAATGGAGTGGAACAGATGCCGTTGACTCCGCTTCTGCCTGAAGAAGCCAGTCACAACGCTTGGTATGTCCCAAGTTTTCATTATATACGCAGTCCTGAATGGATAGGTTCGTGGCTGGAGTTCTGCCGTTGGACAAGAAACTTTCTTTTGAACGAGTTCTTTGGCGAGCCTGTCGTAGAACTGCCTTTGTCCGTACTTCGGACATGCATTTTGTTCTCGAGAACCCTTCAACGGTTAATTCTTGACTTTGTTCACTCAATTTGTTATTTTTCAGCTTGAGCCCGTTGAAAAGTGCGTTTTTATTGTTTTTTTCAAAGGAGAAAGCCTCCGGCAGATTGTCGACAAAGTCTGTGATGGGTTAGTTTCAATACATTCCGTTCAATTACCGACTTCCAAGGTTCTACGCGACACAATATCCTTGTCCGAAAACGTCGAAAGAACGACGGATGACCCTCGCAGAAACAGAGGGCCGCATCAGCGACCTGCGGATTGTCATCGACAGTACCCAGACTCACAGATATCTGGTAACATTTCCCTTTCAGACTTCAGAGTACGTGATCTGTTTAGATACTGAAAGACCTATCCAAGGAGCTTCCGAAATGGCTCAGAAGTATTCAGATCCAGAAATCCATTTTCCAAATCATGAATATGTGCACGGTAAGCGGACGGCAAAGCTTTCTTTGTTTTGAAAAATTGGTTTTTTTCTCTTTGTTTTCCATAGCGATTTTTCTTCCCATAAAGAAACCAATTTCCCTTTTTTAATGGCAGACAATCTGCCTCTCAAGTTCTTGTTTTGAAAATAATGATTATTTTTTTCCATAGAAAATAGTACCTCTGAGAAGCTTTTTTTCAAAATGAAAAATTTAGTTTCTTTAAAGTATAAAAAGAGCTATAAAAATGTTTGCACTACGTATACGGGCAAGATTAAAAGCATTTTAGCGGAGAGCAAACAAAATTTATGGGAACTATGAAAGGGTTTGTAAAAAGGAATTTTTCTCGTTGTTAGTGGATTTCTATGTCTCATGAAAGTGGTACACACAATTTAATCAAGGAAAAAAAAATATCTCTAAAATGTTTGGCGAAATCTAAAGCTTAGGTTTTTACAGGGGAGCTTCTTCATCAGAAAATCAAAATCAAGGAGGATATTTTTTATGCTTTCCTTGAAGCAGACGAAAAAAGAAATGTTAACGGCTGACAAGTTCTCTGTAACTGTTTGGGTGAAAAGAGGCTGAAAAAAAAATCTTATTTTGAAAACACTTCACACTTCCTTCTGAACCTCTGCATGGGGTTTATGATTAATGAACATTAATTGTGAATATATGTTTTCAGGTCGATACAAACGGATTTTTGGCTGCGGAGTGTTGGATTCCGCAGAAAGAGATGGACAACGTGCGCCACGCTCTTCACGACGGCTTTGTAAGTTGTATTTCTGTAAAACTGGTATTCGTCGTTTCAGTGTGTTCTGTACTTTCTTCTTATAAATCATACATGAGCAAGTGACGAACTGATTAAATCCAGAGAGAGTGTTTGACTCATAAATTTTCGAGAAGTAAGGCCTCTCACCAAGAGGTATTATTGACATATTTATAAAAAAGACATAAGAGGAGGGTTTCGCGGTCTTTAAAAATAATCGGCCCATGTATGTTTCAAACCATTTCGTCTATTCTTCGGATCTTCAAAATCCGTTTTTTGAAGAAAGCCTCGGGGACGGAGGTGTCGCCGCTTCTGAATCAAGTCTTGCCGAACGCTCCACCACCGACGCGACATCAGACGAATAAGTTCACCCGAGTTTTCCAGTCGATAGTGGATTCCTATGGAATCGGAACTTATCGAGAGGTCAATCCAGGTGGAAAAGAAGGATTTTTCGCAGTTTCGAAGGAATTCTTTCAGCTCCCTACACTATAATCACCTTTCCATTTCTGTTTGCTGTTATGTTCGGAGACGCCGCTCACGGACTCGTTCTTTTCCTCATTGCTCTATTTTTTGTTTGGAATGAGAAGAAAATAGAAACAAAGCGAATCAGGGATGAGGTCCTAAACATTTTAAATTCACTTCTCTTTTTCAAAGCAACATTCAGATTTTCAATACATTTTTTGGAGGCCGTTATATAATGCTGTTAATGGGTTTGTTCTCGATTTACACTGGAATGATATATAACGACGCTTTCGCGAAATCGGTCAACGTCTTCGGCAGCTCTTGGAGAAATCCATACAAGTCAGCTATTCATATAATGAGGAAATTTTGGAAGTTTTTCCAGTGAAACTCAGCTTGACTGGTGGGAGGCGAGACAAATCCGCAAGCGGAGGACCTATCTTCTCGAGTTTTCCCCTATCCAGGCGTTTGACACTGAGGTCAGTCTTTTCATCGACTTTTCATGTGTTCTTATTTTACTACTGAGGATGAGGGGAACAAGGTAAACGTGATAGCGATTATCAGTGTATACAGTTCAGAAGTTGTGATTTTTTCTCAGAGAGGACCTTATCCATTTGGCGTCGATCCAATATGGAACATCGCCGAAAACCGTCTCAACTTTCTGAACTCTATGAAGATGAAAGCCTCTGTGATTATCGGTATAGCTCAAATGACCTTCGGCGTATATCTTTCATTTTTAAATCATAGGTATTTTTTTTTTTCCTTGTTCCATCTTTAAATTTTGTTATAGGTTTTTCAAGTCCTACATTGACATCTTTACGAACTTCATTCCACAAATTATTTTCCTTTCTTCTATCTTCATTTATCTTTGTGTTCAAATAGTCGTCAAGTGGGTCTTTTTTTCTGCGAATCCAGGCGTTGTGTTGGGCTTTGAATACCCTGGTATAGTGATCGAGACGATCGAACTATCAAACTATACTTTTTAGGATCTTTTTGTGCGCCATCCCTACTCATAGGCCTGATAAACATGTTCATGTTGAAAGAACGGCCGGTCGGCTTTCTGGAAAACGGAAAACAACATCCGACGTGCTACCTGAACCAATGGTATCCATACCAGGTCGATCGCAGTAGATATTATGTTACTTTTTTCTGTTGTTCAGGAACTAGTAGAGCGGGTCTTGTATGGGGTGGCGATCTTTTGTGTACCGGTGATGCTCCTTGGCAAGCCTTTGTGGATATATTTCACATCTCGGAAGATCGATCGGAGGCGTCATGCCAGTGGAAACAAATCGAACGGAGCGAGCAACGGCGGTCAGTTGGTGAGTTCTTCCAGGAACTGACCATCTGAATCATCGGAAAGATGTTCGAGAAATATTAAGATACGAGCTGAGCTCCAGAAAACTTTTTTAGTCAGCGAAGTGAATAATTGCATGAATGAGAAATTCCGTGTTCGGAAATAGTATTGAGTAAAAAATGCATCACTATATTTCCATTCATTCTAGCAATTCCTGGTTGTTGGCGTCAGTTGGATGATATAACTTGATGGAAATGAAGAAGGAAATAGTAGCGTTTGTTACGGTTTGAGGAAGACGTGGAGTTCCTCGTAGCAGATGACTTGGACTTGGCAGAAGATGTGCACCACACGATGAGCGACGTCGTCGTCCACCAGGCCATACACACCATCGAATTCGTCCTCGGCTGTGTTTCTCATACCGCTTCTTACCTGCGACTTTGGGCTCTCTCGCTGGCCCATGCACGTAAGTTGTTTTTTAATCTGGAACTTTCGATTTGTTTTTCCGAAAAAAAAAAGAGTCTTGGACCGATCTTTTCAGAACTATCAGAGGTTTTGTGGCATATGGTTTTGATAAAAGGACTCAATATCACCGATCATCCCTATCTGTCTCCTGTCTGTTGTTTTTTGGTTTGGCCAATAGAGAGTGAAGCGAGAATTTTCCGTTTGCAGACTTTCTTTGTTTTTGCGATATTGTCCTTGAGCATTTTGATAATGATGGAGGGGTTGTCGGCTTTCTTGCACGCTCTTCGTCTGCATTGGGTCGAGTTCCAGTCCAAGTTCTACATGGGCACCGGTCATCCCTTCACCGCCTTTTATCTCCGAGACTGCTTGGAAAACGCGCAGCTCGTGACGGAGGTTTAGCTTTTCGTTGTTACGAATCTTATGGGAACTGTCTCAGGAGGCCGATCGGTTGGCAGAGGTTCAGCGAAGGACCGCCGAAAACTCTTCGTAACTTTTGCGAATTTGTAGAAAGTAGGAGCATAATTTGATTCCATTTTTACGTTACTTATTGCCTGTGCCAAACGGTTGAAGTTTCATTTTTATATACTTTTATATATACAAGTCGTTTTTTGCCATTTTCAGACACTTTTTTTTATTTAGTATTCTTGTTAAATATAACTAACCTCATTCAACGTTTTCGTGATTGTCGAATACTCAACGGCATCTTTCATGAAATAGCCGCTCTAACCAAACTCGAATAAATCATAAGCCGTTAAGAAGACGCAGTTCTGAGTTCATTTGTACTTCGAACATCGAAAGCGATATGTGGCTTTGGATGCTACAGCCGTTTGTTCACTTGACTTGCATCGGTTTCATGTTGGCTTTAACTCTAATCCTCTGCGCCAAGTCATCTACAGGACGGAAGTCTTACGAAAAGCAAGTCTCCTCGGTTAGATTTTTTGGGAACCCAAATGGAATTTGAAATTTCTAGCTTCGTAGTCCTTTACAGCCTACCGCCGGAGAGGAAAAAAGCGTTGCTGAAAAATTTTCTGCGCCGAGTGTTACTTCGAAATGTTCTGAAGAAAAGAAATGCAAAAGCGAAAAGAGCACCCGTCGAGATTCTATGTGCGTTGGCGGCCGCCCTCACATACTCTCAAAATTTCAGGATCGACTCTCTGAAAGTCATGAAAGGCCGAAAAGTACAGAAGCCAGCGGCCCCACGTTCTCTTAAGAAAACTGAGGCTGAGTCCGATTCGCAGCACACCGAGATCATCAACATCCCGCTGGGCAACGCAGAACAGTTCGTAATGAAAATAAGAATTGGCATTGAGCTATAAAGACAGCTTTGTCTGCCACAAAATATTCTTTCTATATAAAAATTTAGCAATTTTCTAATGTAACAAAACTATTTTTCAAATAACCACTGCACGCAAATAAAAGTTCAGTAACGAAAGGCCTATTCGTTTTTAATTTTTTTTTTCGACCAAATAAGCGTCTAGCAGGAAAGGTAATTTCACTTTGGGGCTGGAAATTTTTTCCATTGACATGAATATTTGAGCTCTTCCTTTTAAAGGGAAAAATTTTGGTGCCTCTCGGAATTTTCTTCTCAAATATCGATGAATTTCTGAACCAATTTTTTTAGAAAAGTTTCGAGCATCACCAAGTTAACTGCGCCTTCCAAACTGAAAAAGAATGACAAAGAAGCCATCGATCAAAAAGTTTTTCTACGTTTTATTTGAAATATTAACCGATTTTTAGGTTACGTTTGCAAAAAAAATGACAAACAAGAAGAAATATTCGGATAAATCGGTATGTTGGCTTTGTGATTACTAAATGGCCATTGTGAAGACTTCCAGGTGAGGTCGTCAAAAATGAAGAAATGAAAACTTCTTCTTGTTTCGTTTCAAGAATAAAGTGTCGACAAATTCTTTGTTCTCGTTTCTCTGTTTTAGCATAGACGAATCGAGAAAGGGTATCGCGAGACCCTCTGAGGTATATCGCAGGCTCTGAAGTCTCACGATGGTACCTCGAGTATACCTCTGAGGATTTTGAGCAAAATGAGAGGGGCTTGAGAGAGACTTTGAAGTACCTTCGAGATGGCTCAGATATAGCTAAAAGGTATGCCGGAGGTCTCACGATTCATTTTGAGAGCTGATTCACGGCTAGCTTGGGACGCTCAGGGGGCGTGTCATGTCTGCGCTCTCCATGAGCAAGGCGCTATGTCGTGCATTATCGTGTCAGGACCCTTTTTTCGATGGCTCAAGCCAGCCGTGAATCAGCTATACCTTTGTGAACACATTATGGTACTCTTGCGATTCGCCTGTGAGTCCCTAAATATATGGTAAGATGAAAGAGGAGGAAGAAAGGAGAAAATCCTTTTTTGTATGAAAAGGTTTCTTTGTAAAGGAAATTCACTGAAAATTCAATGAAAGAAGTGAAAAAATTCAATGAAATCAGTGAAAAAATCACGATTCCATGTTTCCGTGTTTGTTGACGGGCTACTTTTTTTTAAATCGTTATTTGGAATCTCATATACCAAGCTTTTCTAAACTACAGGGTGAAAATATAGTCTGTTCAGATTTTGAATGTCAAGCAGCTAACTCCACCCCCAAGGCTACAATATCTTTCGCGTCAATGTTTTATCTACATATGCCAATGGCCCTTTAATAAGGCTGCTTTTTTGACCTCTTTTTCTATCTTTTAGATCGAAAAAGATCAAAATTAGTCCCGCGAGATGAAACATCGACGCGAAAAGGTACCGTCTCAGCAGGGGCGGAGTTAGCTGGTTGACATTCAAAATCTGAACAGACTATAGCAATGAGGAAGAGAATTTGAGTAGCGAAACTCCCTTTTACGGCTGTAAGTTTTTTTTTGTAAAGCTCGCTTATTTGAAGTGTGACCACAACCCTTGTATTATTTCTTGTGTTTTATTATTAGTGTTTCAAAAGTTCATAAAAGGGAATATATTTCACATCATGCGATAACATCATTTCGGCGCATCGAAGGCGGGCGAAGAACCATGCTTCACAGTTAAAAATAAGTTATACTGTGGTTAGGGTCACCAGAAAGATTCTGTTTTTTTTTTTGGATTTGATTTCAAAGCTTTCTGCCGAAAATATTGAATGGCAAGGCTAAATGACCTAGAAAATCTTGCTTCTATACTTTAGAAGCCCGTTAGCTGTTTTCAAAGCGAAAAATTTGCCATGCTCGTTTATCGTATTTGCAAGGCAAAGTTCTAACCTCGATGTTGCAGTCGGGATCATAATTTTCTACCTCGAAGAGAGAAAGAGAGAGATAGACGTCTGCCAAATGAGGAACGAGCGTGAGCGAGCGCGCATGCTGCCCTCTCCTTCAAGGCCCTAATTCCTTTTCCCAATGTTCCAGACTGATGAGAAACTACTTTTAGAAGCCATCTCTAGTTCTTGACACCAATTACTTCTTAGAAGATTCCAAGCAGAAAAATCACCCTTTTCAAATATTTAATCATTGCGATTTCGAAAAAAAATATGTTTAATTTTTCATATGTACTTTTTGATGCTGGTTAGAGTTCTGCTTGATGTTTCTCCATTCACACCCAAAAATAGATTAAAAGAGAACACATGAAATACTGAAGCGCAAACTCGATACTTCAAGTTTTTTTATAAAAAAATTTTTTTACAAATTTCTCGATCCGGTGGAGCGCACTTGGCCTACGTCGATTTTTCTTTTTTTAAGGTTCTCAAAAAAACTTTTTTTTTTTCATTTTTTTCTTGCTTCACCTGTTCACTAGTTATGAGATGGGACATATTTAAAAATAAAAAGGAGTGCGGAAATTTCATTTTTGTTTGCTTTTGTTCAAATTTATTAATTCCGCAGACTATGGCTTCGCGGATACTTCGGTAGAATCGTGCAAAATGAACGACGGAAACGACCGCACACTCTCCTTGCTGCACCTGAGGAAGACCTTCAGCGAATACCTGAAGGTGCCGATTTCAGGAGCACGATGCGCAGATCCCAGTCGGCTACTGCCTTTATTTTCGAAGGTAAACTTTATTTTGAATAATATCACGTTGTTTTTGTTCAGGTCACCAGTATGTACACTCCTGCACAGCTTTTGGTGGAATTCAAAGAAATCGTTCATTTTTCCTCCTTTCTGTGCAGTGTTTTAGTCAAGGAAGTCCGTCAAAGGTGGGCTTTACTTTTCAATATTTATTTTATTTTCAAGTTAAATAGTTTTTTTGCCTTTCAAAAATTTTTATTTTTGAAAATCTCTACAGAGCTGCAAACGAGGGAACCGCTGAGGCTGCCCTGAGCATAGCACAATATCTTCGCCCGAGTTCTTCTGCCAAAGGATGGTCTATCCTCAGCGCCATCGATTTTCTCATTGCATCGTGAGATTTTTGACTTCTTTCAGTTTTTAACGAATTCGCTATAATTTCTCAGGGAAGACGAGGTGATGATCGATGCAGCATGCAAGGTTGCTTTGCCGAGCACCTTGGTTAAAACGATATACCTTTTTTTCGACCTTCCGGCCGATGAAAGCTCCTCAAAAGATGACGAAAGCCTGTGTGCCGTCGTGACATCCATCATGCAGCGTATGTGTGTCTACAGGTGGTTTCTCATCAAGAAACGAACTTTTTAATGATTTTTTTTCTGTTCAGATGCGTCAGTGACGAGTTGGTACGTAAAGACGATTTGCTCCTCCTTTTTGTCGGAACAACGTCGCCCGTGGCGAAGCACAACGTCTTGTGGAGAAAAACCACGGCTCGACTGCTGGAAATCATCGCCGCCAAGGTATTTACTTAGAAGTAAAAACTTTAAGAGAAGATTGCTTAGGAATAAATAAACAGAAATAAAGTCGTGTCAATGATAATTTTTCAGTCTTTCACGCCGTCCGTTGCCAAATATGTGATGGCTAAGAAGTGTTTGAGGACGGCTGTGAAAAATTTGGCCAACTGCCAGGTCGAGGCTCAAGACGCCGCAGAAGCCATCATTTGTATTTTTTGTGTTCTCAAGGTCCCTTTTTTTTCCTGGAATAAGCTCTTTAGCTGGTTACACGGATCTTTCAGCTGAACTCGCGTTTTTCAAGACTTTTTTGTCCTCAATAGTTCTTCTTTCAGGATTCTGCAAGGTTGACGAATCAACTATTGGACGAGTTCGTTGAGTGCAACGGGTACACAACTGTCAAGGAGTTCTTATTGAGGTTACAGGCTTTCTGAGTAAATCTTCATTGCTTCAAAAATCCAGGAACGAAAACGACGACGAACTTGTGCGTAACATATTACTCATGACTATCTCTTTGATTACGAGTGGCGCATCTGAAATGATGCCTCAGGTGCTTCTGAGACACGGAACCACGCGTTTCATTTTGTTTTTCAGTATACATCCGGTCTCATCCAGTTACCCAATTTCCAACTGCCGCTGCCCGCCGGAAACGGACTCAGCGTTAGAAACTTGGACGCTTTCGCTCTTTTATATCACGTTTTCTTAGAGGTTTGATGATTTTTGACAATATTCTTGAACCTTTTCTCTTCTCTGTAGTTCATCTCATTTTCAGAATTCAGTTTTTATAATACGAAGAAAGTAAAAAAAAAAACAAGTTTTGTTCATTTTTTTCATCAATTCAGAGTCGAAACGAAAGAGTTTGTGGTACAGTCGTCGATATAATACATTCGATTTACACGTGTGATCCCGCCAACTTTTTCATTTTGGACAAAGATTACCCTTTGGTGATTTTCATCGAACAAATGGAGCGCAAACAAGACTCCGTTAGGGTATTCGACAGCTTTCTTGCCAGATCCCTTCTCTCTTTTCAGACGAAATTGCTGGAACTCGTCGAATTGGCTCTCTTCCAGCTGTCGCACATTCCCTGTCGAGAACTCATCGGGTATATCCATAAATGAAAATAGTTTTATCTTCGCTTCCGTTTGAGTGAGACTGAATCTTTTCGAATTGATTAAGTCGTTGTGGAGCTTTACAGCTACATAAGACTCATTTGTAAAACGTTCAAGACCAGGACTTTTTCAGTTGTTGTGTTTTGATGAAGACTGAAATTGCGAGCGGTCGTACGTCGATTTGCACGGGAATCGTCCAGTCTTTCTTCCGTCTCCTCACTGTCGATTCTGTGATAAAGGTAGGTCCTCATGGTAGCTAACTCGTCGAAAAGGAGATGCCAGGACGCTTTCCGAGAGATCGGCCTTCTTGACACTCTCTGCTTCATAATCAAGCAGATTTTTGAAGCCAAGAAAGGTAGGAAACCGAAAAATCTGGTCTGCAATCCTTTTTCAGCAAGAAATATCACTTTGGGAGAGCAGAAACTGTGTCTTTTGTCTACCGATCTGCTGACAGTCATCATCAAATCAAACGTCGAGAATGCCAGTGAGAAGAAATGTTCAGAGCTCGGCTTCATTTTTCGTTTTAGAAATGTTCACGGAATGCTTTGGGCCGAAGATCCTGTTGAAAGTTGTCTCAGGTATTTTTTTTTACTTCTGAAAGAAAGTCGCTTCAAACGAGTTTCTGAACCAAAAAAAAATAATAATCACAGAAGTAGAAGAAGATTGGAGAAGTTCTTTGTTGCAACTTACAAAACAGCTTCTGATCATTGCACCTACAGATCAATACCTCACTGGAATTATTCAGGTGATCAATGCCATCCTAAAAGCTTTAAACTTTTTTTGAAGGTCTTGAACGACTGTTCGCCGGAAGAAAACTTGAATTTATGTGAGAATTTGCTCAAAGTATGTTGTCTCGTTTTCTCTAGACCATTCATTTACTCTCCAGGCGCTTCTGGGAGTTGTTCGCGAAAGTCACAAGATCCGGATGCAGTTCAGGAAAACCGGCGGTTATCTGGCTCTCATGGGCCTTCTTTTAGGCTTGGAAAAGAAGTTTGCACAGGTTGAGCCCGATGAAAGTTTGCTCATTTTGTGTTTTTCTCCTAAAACAATCGTTCCAGAGCGGATACCAAAACTTTTTTGTGATTTGATGGAGTTCGTTCACCTCATTTTCAAAATAACCACGTTGAGCATGCGTTTTGAGCCGTCCAACGCCAGATACTTCACTTCAGAAGTTGGTGCATTGTTTTATGCCCTAAAATCTCTGGTTTGAAGGTTACTTGGGAAAGTTTGGCATCGGTTCTGAGGCTAACTGGAGCGTTTTCTGAGGTTATTGAAGTTCAAACAGATGGCCAGCAGTGGAAAACTTCGGTTAGCTTCATGAAAGTCTCTCAAAAACCTCCACTCTTTCATTTTAGACTGGTGCGGTTTCGAATGAACTTCGTGCCTGTCATTCTGTGTTCCGCATGGACGAGAACGCTGAAGCGGGGTTACTATTATTTTTTCAAAAATATCAATTTATCACTGATTTTCTCCGATTTTCTCCTTTCCTATTCATCATGATGGTTTTCAGTCTTTTGCCTGATAATATGCCAACCAAAATTTTCTTCGCCTGCAGCTTCATACGGTTGATTTTCAACATGGCGTTGGATAACTATGAAAAGTTGGTGTTTAACTTTTTGTTCGAGAAAATTGGAAAACGCTCAGAATGTCTTCTGATGTGCATTGGGCCAATATGGAGTCGTTCGAGGAAAGTATCGTTTCGTGGACGTCTTCTGTTCTGGTGAGTGCTTTTTATCGTTTTAGTTCGAATATCGCGATTGATATTTTTTTTCTTAAAATTATATAACACACTTTTTATTTGTAATTCAAATCATACATTCAAACTTCGAACTAAAAAAATAGGCCGGTGTATGAGAAAAAGGAAAGCCGATAAATTTATTTTTCATTTATTTTTGTGTTTTGGTAATTTAGTCTTTTCAAACTATCATAGATTATCAGCTTCGACAATTTTCTTAAGATTCCTTACTGAAAAAACTCTTTCCAAACGGGAAGAAGCACTGATATTTTTAAATACGAATTTGAAAAAAAATTTTCGGAAAAACTGTTTGAATGGTTGACAGGTGCACCCCGGGGCGGTCCTCGCCATCCTGAACCTGCTGCCTTCGGTCGTGTGCGACGACTTTAAATGGACCATTTCTGCCCAGTACTACGTTTCCTTGTTGCTGAAGGCCCTTCTGAAACCAGAAAGAAACCAGCAACTCATGTGCCAGGTCTTTGTAACCTCTCTTCCCAGGAAAGAAGCCTTTTTCACAGGTGGAAATGCCGAAAGTGTTGCTGACCAGCGCCAAGAAGCTCTTTCTCTGCGAAGATCACATTTTACTACATCCTTTCTATTACCTCCTCGAACGTCTTTCTTATCAATCTCTGCAGCCAAATCAGCTGAGGTTATTCTTCCCACTGTTGAGTCTTTGATCAGCAAACGTTTAGGCATTTCTTGCGTTTGGATAATCCTCTGTGCTGCCGAAATTTGGATCCCGTAGATGGTGAAGAACCTTTCCTCCCCAACGAAGGAGGTCCAGTTCCACTACAGAGGTAACTTCTTTTTTCCGACACTAACCAAGCCATAAACTCTCTTTCTGCAATAGGCGTGTTATGAAAAAAAAACTATTTGAGCTGAATTTTGTAGTGAAAAAATTATATAAAAAGGATAAGGCTTAATTTCGCTAGAACCTTTGACGATAGTTGTTAAGAGTGAAAGCGCTGGTGTCGATGATGACTCCGCGAGATCAACGACTCGGGACGTCGCCTTCGTTCGTCGAGTTCGACATGTCCTTGGAGGGCTTCGGAGCCCTCTTTCTGCCTTCGATCGCTCCCTCGTTCTCGTCGACCAAAAGCGAACGTGTGTTCCCTCCGTTGAACGGCTTCACCTTCTCCACATGGCTTTATCTTGACTCGGCTTCCGACAAAAAACTCGACGCTCATCCTCTGCGGCTTTTGACCATCACTCGGTCAGCGTCATTGCAGGATGAACGTAGAAAAGTGCAGTGCTTCATAATTATTTTCGAGACTCTTCGTTTTGTAGCAAACTACCCAACTAGCATGTTTCACGATGCAGCTGAGCCCAATCGACAACAGTCTTCTCATCTCCACTGAAGAACACGACCAACCAGGGGCTGACCTCGAAAAAGAAGCTAAGTTTCAGTCGGAGAAGGTGATGGCTGCTTCCGGCGGGGTGGTTTACCTGTCTAGCGGTTTCAGTTGATCCGAGTGACTCTGGCGGACGTCGTACGCAACATGGAGTGGATGCACATTTGCGTTGTGATGACGCGCTCCGTATTGAAGCCGAGTCAGGTCTCGGTCTACGTCAACGGCCGACACGTCTCCACTCAGAAGCTGCTCTACGTCGTCCAAAACGCCGGCGGCGCCGCGGCCCAACTTGCCCAGACGCACGCCGTCAACGCCGTCGTCGGAACTCTGCCCTCTCTCCGCAGACCGAGTCGTCTCAGGTTCATTCGTCTTCCGCCCACCTAAAAAATTTCTTCCATTCTCAAAAAAGTCTTTTTTCTGAGAAAGATGCTAATTGGTCATTAAGATCTTTGTAATTAAAAAAAAAACAAACTTCTTTCAAATCATCTTTCGTATGTATCTTTTTTTGACAACTACAAAAAATGCAAGAAGATTATACAAAAAGGTGACGAAAATATCCTCCACATTTTTATTCAAAGATAAAAAAAGAGCCTTTCCGCGCCCTGCAATAAAAACAGTTTGGGACTTTTTAGACAATAAAATCTCATAGTTTTTTTGTCGGTTTTCTCTTCAAAGCTGTAATATCTTTACTTGGTCAGGCCACCAGGTATGTCCATCACAAGGACTTTTTCAGATTCCGACTGGGGCTGACTTTTTTCGCCGAAGAGCCTTTACCTGCGGAAACTGTCAAGACTATCTACCTGTTGCAACCACACTATATAGGAAATTTTCAAACTGCCGGTCTTGACCGCTCTTCTTTGTTGCAAGAGGAAAAAGTGCGAGGTCTTGGAATCACTTGGGGAAACCTGGTTTTCTACAGATGGTTTTCTCTCTTTCTGGAGCTGCGACCCAAGAACTGACCTTAGCAAAAATTCGTACAATTTTTGGGAAGTTGGACGCCGAGATGCTTTCTCAACAGGTTGGGCGTAATGTGAGGTTTGAAAAATCAAGATTTTGAAGCTCGGCATCTCGCCAAACGACACTAGCACTCCGCTCCGTATTCTGACCAACACGGCGGCCCATGCGCCTGGGCCTGGTCGAACTTTTGGTGGGGTCGTTGTGGGGTTAGTTCCTAATCTGTCTTTTTGTACCTTCAGCTTTTTTTTCCAGGTATCTTGGCATGCGAACTTTCACTCCAAGACCTGTCCCTTGTCTTCTTGACTCGATTGGCGGTTTCTCTTGCCTATACGGTAGAAAATATTTGTGAAAGAGTGAAAATTCGGCAGTGCAGGACTCATCGCGATGTCGACGGACTCGGAAGGACTCTACGCGTCTCTGAAAGCCCTCGTCTCGGCCATTCGATCCAATCCCTCGCTCCATTCCACGATCAATAGTCACAGCGCCTACCAAGTTGTTTCCTGTCGCTCTAAATCAGTCAGAAGCTTTTCTCAGACACTCGCCATTTTGCTCGAGGACAAGGCAAAAATTCTCAACTCGCACATCATGCACATGGTTTTCAATATCACTGGCACGGCGGATTCTTCGCGAGAAATTTCTCAGATTCCTCATCCGCAGGTCGATTCTTCCAATTTTCACGTTTTCAAGTTCCGAATACAGGCTTTCGAAGACGTTCTTTGTGATTTGGACGTGTGGAAAAACGCTCCGGAGGAAATTCATCGCATGCTTTTCGATCACTTCTACGAGCTTATCACTGAGTTAGTGCAATTCTACTCAAAGCTGAAGTTGGTTTTACCACCTTCACTTTTTAAACTTTTCATAAAGTGAAAAGAAAGAGTTATTTTCAAAATGAGAGGATTCAATTAGTACATTTATCCACACAAAATATTGCATTTTGGTTTTCTTTATATTTTCATTGACTTTTCCAAAAAAAAATTTGAGGTTTGTTAGGCGATCTTGTTTCTGTGTTTTCTTGGCGAAAGTGGGACAAATTGTGAGTTTCAGCCACCAAAGAGAGAATTTGATGGTTGTGCGACGGTCTCCCCTGCTTTCGCGTTTGCTCCTGGTGGTCTTCGACAACGTGCGTCTGGTCCGCTCCACGCACGACGTCGTCTTCAACCTCATCTCGGCGATCGTTCAGCCTTCCTGCGACAGCAGAAGCGTCCTCAAACTCGGCCAAATCATCGCCGCCACTCTGCCGACCTCGTCAGTTCTCCAGCGCAGCCGAAGGAGTAACGGAACAGTTTGACAGGGACAGCGAGTGCCTGGAAGAGAGCAAGCTGCCTTTTCACATCAGCGAGATCCAGACTCTGCTCGCCGATCAGAAGTCTCCGGATTCTCTGACTTCATTGCTTCTGCACCGCGTCTACGTCCGCAACCGCCTTCTCAACATTGTCGCCAACTTTTTGTCTCATTCCAACGCTTCTCTCAAACAACAGTTGCTCTCTCATTGAACTTCTTTTCCGACGGTTCTTTTCAGGATGTGCGAGCAACTCGTGCGAGTCCTCGGCTTCGACTGGCTGATGGCTTTGATGTCCCTGAAGGTTCACGCCGGCACCTTGTTTCTTTCTCTGCGTATCCTTCTGAGCATTCTTTCGCAGCCGACACTTCTTTCCAAGTTTAAAGAGGTAAGCAAGGGATTCTGTAAAGATTTTTTCGAAGCGAAAAAATAAATAATTTTCCTCTAGTTCGTTTTAATTGCGTTTCTTTTTGTGGAGAATGTTAAAAGGAAGAATTTTTGTGTCGACCTTTATGATTTTTTTATATTTTGTTTTCAGATGAAATGGCGGAAGTTATAAGTTATAATACAGTTCTAATACTGTTATAATACAAGATATAACACAACTTCCGCCATTTCTTCTATAAAAACTGTATGGTCGTCTTCCGTTCGGTAACTTTATTCTCGAAATATCAGGAAGGAGTTGAGATGTGTTTATGTGCAGGGAACTTGCAACGGAGGCTGGCTTTCCGACGCCGACTCGGTGGTTCGAAACAGGGCCGCCGTCGTTCTGGGCTTCTCTGTTTCGGCGCACGGCGGCTCCGTCGGCAGCAAGATCGACATCAACCCCGAGATCCAGAACTGCTCCGGCTTCGCGGCTCTCGAACATCTCATGGCCTCCCACGCTTCCAAGACCTTTCCCTACTATGCCATGCTCTCTATTCTGGTCAATCAGGTTTGCAAACTGCTCTTTAAAAAGTTTTTGTAGCTTCGGTCAGCTGACTTCTTTTTTTTCAACTCATGACACAAAAATGGAAAATTTAGGCGTCTGAAACCTCTCATCATTAAAATAACTTTTTTTTTTCTTAATTGAAGTAATTTTTTCAGCCCGTCAAGGAGTTCAGATTTTGCGAGCAGTTCAACATCGAACTCGTCTGGACTCACGTTTTTGGCTTGTCTTCTAACAGGTTCCTACAAAGGCCCTTTTCCAAAACTGACGGAAGTAATTCAGTTCGGTTTATGAGGCGATCAGTTCGAAAGATTTCTGTTTCGAAGCCCTCATACCGCTGTTTTCTATGGTCCGTGCAGCTATTTACTGCGGGAGCGAGGTTTTGTATATTTTTTTCAATTTTTGAAAGAAAACATTGTTTTGCAGGCACTTGCAGGCACTTGAAAGAAAAAATTGTTTTGCAGGCACTAGAAGGATGGCACGTCTCTTACCCGGCTACAGTCATCCAAATGGTCACGTTTCTTTACCAGAACTCGAGCCAGTTCTTCATGATAGCTCACTCGGAAGAGTTCATCCTCGCCCTCTTCTCAACTCTTATTCCGGTATGTTTTCCGTACGAAATATCTGAATTTCTCCGTTTCAGAACACGAATGCGATGGGAGTGAGGTCTGAATCTTCAGACAGAGACAGCGGAACACCGGATCCCGAGAAAATGGCCCAATGTCTGTCAAGATGGAGTTCTCATTTCATTCTTTTTTTTTCTAGTTCTCGCTCAACCGAATGTACGGATCGTCTTGGATTTTCTGAAGAAAGTTCTGTGCGACAATCTTCAAGTGAATCAATCGAAGACCGAGAGCGCGATCGACGTATTAATCGATGTTTGCCTCCTTTTTTTGATTTTTCCTTGGATCTCACTGAGTTTCAGAACGTTGCTGAAAACGGGCTGACGAGAAAAACCCAAGTTTACTGCCTGACACATTTAGTCTACATGGTGAGCTTCTTTGGTCTTTTTTTTTGCGGAAAAGTGCGTTTCTAGGTCTTGGAACATGTCGTGAGCACAGACTTGCTCTCTTCCTCTGCCCTCTCACCTTCCATTTCCACTCAACCTCTGGCTCAAGTCGCTTCTGGTCGGGTGCAAACGAAGTTTCGATGGGTTCAGGTCGGCGTCAACGTGTCTTTGTTGTGCGGCCGCGTCGTCGACGGCCTTTGGAATGGACTTTTCTCTGGCGACTCCCTGCGGCTTCTCAACGCCATGTACCACGTTCACGCGATAGCCGTCCGGAAGGAAAATAAGGTCCGACTTTCTTCATTCAAACTCCCAACCTACTTTTTAGGTCATTAACGTTGATCACTTGACTAATTCCATCATGCGGTGCACACTTTTTGTTCTTAGCCGACCTATAGATTGTGTCCCAGGTTCTTTTTTCCTCAACTGAAAAGTAAAAATTCTTTTTCTCGCAGTTCAACTTTCGGTTCTGGATGCGTTGTCTTACGTGATCTCCAAACGGTACATTTTCTTGGCTTCCAATGAAGCGTGGTTCTTCGCTTCGCTCACTCACTTGGTTTTCATGCTCAGCGTGACTCCAGACGTGCTTGTTCATGAAGAAGCTCCCTTAGAAAGGGCCAGTGCTCAGGTATTCCACTCCCTTTTTTCTTCCTAAGATTCTATTCGCTTTGAACAGGTTGCGATGTGCGCAAGTCGTGTATGGACAGACGTTATCGTGGCAAAAAAGGCGATTCTCGAGGAGATGTTCAAGCGGACGATCGTCAGGTACTGACGGCTTCTTTGCGTTCTTTCTAAGAATTTCTTCATTCATTTTGCGATTAATAAATCTTTTCGAAGGGCCAAAAGGCCTTTTCTGGAGAAAGCCAGTAAAGAAAGATAGAAAAAACAAGGAATATCTCAGGCGAAATTTTTCAGAAAATAATTTGGAACATTGTTTCAATAAATTTATCCTAAAGGCTAAAGACGAACAAATACTATCCAAGAAATAGTCATGACTTTCATCAGAATCAGAATGACATTCCAAATGTTTGAGCTTTTTGCAGCGAGTTGAACGCGGCACGAGCTCTGCTGGCGCATGCGGCTGGTGTCCAATGGCAGACTTTCGTCGATTCGCAGCTTCACGCCCTCCATAACAACACCTCCAAAGACCTGCAGCAGCAGATCAGCTCGGTTTTTTCTGACGTGGGGAACGATGTTGAAAGTAGTCTCCAGAAGTTCAATCGCGTTGCCAGCGGCATAAGTCGCTTCGCTAGTAAAAGGGCTCTGAGCACGACGCAGCCTTCGGTCGGATCTGCGCCTTGGAAAAATGTTTCTGCAGATGCTCAAGTCTACTTCCACGATTAATTCCATACACGAAATATGATTTCAGGTCATATTTTTGTGGTTGCGAGTGCACGTGAGTTTGTTGAAGGAGCTGGTCAGAGCGCAATCGAGCAGGTGAACTTCGTATTTAAATGTTAACTCATAAATGTACTTGTTGACTCAATTTCATTTTAAAGGTATATGGTCAGTAGAAACTGTAGTGAACTGTGAAATCCAATCTTTATTCAAGCTAATTAAAAAAAATCGTTTGTAAGAATACTGTTAAATATAATGAAAAATACTTCATTTGAATAGTTCAAACTAAAACCTCAAATATGATCGTTGTTTTCTGTTTCTTCCTTTTTCAAATTCAATACCCGAAACGACTGCATGTAAATCAATGAAAGTTTCTCGTTTAGTATTACTGATTTATTGAAAACTCAGCTTTTAAATGTTGCTTCAGTTTCTCAAGCAGTTATTCCAGATATCACGAATGGCATGCTCATGTGCGGAAGTGGTGTATGCATGACTGGCATCAGTGGGAAGCCGATCTGACTCGCGAACGCGGGGTTTGGGGACCTGAAAAGGTGTGGAATGAGTTTGAGGCAAAGGAAAACGTCCAGTTTCCCAGGCTTCTTCGTTGGACAAGTACAAGCTGGACCTGACTGAAGGACCATCGAGAATCAGACGAAAACTGATTCCTCATCGCTACTTTTACCACATCTATCCGTACAGGCCTCATCTGGATGAACCTTCTGCGGTACCTCCTCTCACAACTTGCCATCTAGTCGCTTTTGCGGTTTCAGAAGGCTCAAAGGGCCAAAGTGGCCATTTCCCACGACAGCCAGCGGTACTACGAGGCGTGTCTGGCGAGAAGGAAGCCGACCCTCGATCAGCGCATCATCGACACCTCCTTTTCGACGTCGACGCCTTCAGAAGAGAAGCCGCCGTTCACTTTCCAAGATCTCGCTCGTAAGACGCTTCTCGAAAGACGCTTTTCAAAAGTTGATTCAGAGATCAACAGCTCTCTTATTCGGAGACTTTCCATTTCTCAAATTCAACGGGAGGATAGCGAACCAGAAGGAGAAGCCAAGGAGATTTCCGTAGACGTAAATTCTTTCTATCTTTCGTTGAAGTTTTATCTTTTCTCTTAACAAGCCAAGAAACCGTTTAATTGGCTTATTCCAAACTTCAGGTCTTGAAGAGTTTTCTTACTTCACAATTTGTTCATGAACCAGATATTTACAACAAAATTATGTCTTGTCGGCTTTTCCGAGGAGAGGAAGACGTTTTGATAGTTTTAAAAGATTTCTTCTTTGTTTTTTTGTTCATTTGAAGTAAAACGAAAGGTAAGTCGAAAACAGACATAAAATTCTCTCAGAAAATTTGAAACATGTTCTTCAACTACATATTGAGAAAAAAAAAGGAGCACCATATTTCTAGATACTCGAAAAGAATGGCCATAGATTGACGCAGTGAGCAGCATTATGTTACTGTTTCAAGGAGCCGTCGGTGGATGAAGAAACGCAGGAAGATCAGAACTCGGGAGAACGCCTCAAGGAGGACGAAGGGAAGAAGGAAGAAAAAGAAGAGAAGAAGCGCGGACCAGACAATCAGACGCTGTTGCGGCTGTTGGAGCAAGGCGAGCAGCTGCACTCCATGTTCCGCTGTGCCAGGATCCAGGTGAGCGCTCCTCCTGAGACAGAAGGAGACGTCAGTCCCAGGGCCTCGAGACCTCCGAAGGACTTTTGTTGTTCGGAAAAGAACACTTCTACGTGGTCGACGGCTTCACTCTCCTCAAAACGAAAGAGATCCGCGACCTCGATTTTCTCAGTCAGGAGTGGGTTTCATCGTGGTCGACTGGCCAACAAAGCCCTTTTCAGGCTCCATGATCCCATTGTCCCTTACCAAGCAACGGGTACAACAAATGCACCGAAGTCCTCTCGACTCTGTAGTAAATTCAGTTACCAACTAATCCGCGAGGTTCACAAGAGAAGGTTTTCTTCGCAGGGAGTGTCTTTCAACGATCCGAATTCTCAGATACCTACTGCAACCCATAGCTTTGGAGGTGTTCAGCTCAGATGGACGTAACTATTTGTTGGCTTTTCCAAAGAAAATTCGGGACCGGGTCCACGACAAGTGAGTTTCCATCTTTTTTCGGTCGGAGAAGACGAGTTACAGACTGACTTCTATGGCTCACAAATTAACAGTCGGCGGATCCGACTCGATTGGAGGCCAGAAAGCCAACATGGCGATCGAAATGAGCGGCAGAACCTCCTTGATTAATTCTCTGATCGGTCGGTTTCACATTGAAGAATTTGGAAAGAAGAAGTTGTACAGGTCAACAATCGGTCACGCAAAGATGGCTCAACGGACAAATCACCAATTTCCAGTATCTGATGCATTTGAACACGCTCGCTGGCAGGTGCATCGAGTCTTTTCCGACGACAGAAAAACTGCTCATGTTTCTTCAGATCTTACAATGACTTGTCGCAGTACCCGATTTTCCCCTGGGTTCTTTCTGACTACTCATCGCCTCATCTTGATTTCACAAATCCAAAAATATATCGCAATTTTTCGAAACCAATGGGTGCTCAGAGCCCTGAGCGACTGCAACAATTTCTCAAGCGGTAAGTTTCGAAAGAAACATCTTTTTATTAAAAAAAAAATCAAAAAAATAAAGAATCGATTCAAGTTTCATTTTCTCAGTTGAATGTGTTCTACTCTTTTTCACAAAAAAATCTGAAGTTTTTCTTTTTGAAAGAAATTTAGTTTCTTTAATTTTTTTGCTGATTGAATCTTCCATTATTATTATTATTATTATTTCAAAAAGGTTTAATTTCTAAACTTCCAGTCATTTTTTCATATTTGAAAAACTTTGAATTTTGCTAGTGAAAAGACATCAACGTTACTTTATTTCCAACTAAGTTCATTTTTTTCAAGCTAAAAGCTGAAATTCAGTTTGTTTTTTTAGCAAAAAAAGACTAGAAATTCAAAATACCCAAAGGACGCTCTTAAAGGATGAACTCGGAGAAGAGAAAGAGTGTTGTTAGGTTCCGAGAATGGGACGATCCGACGGGGGAGACTCCGCCTTACATGTACGGCACACATTACTCGAGCGCGATGATCGTCGTTTCTTATCTGGTGCGCCTGGAACCTTTCACGCAGCAGTTTCTGTCGCTGCAGGTTGGTTGCGAAGAAGGTCGAAGGACGAACAAATTCGCAGGGAGGCCACTTCGATCTGGCCGACCGAATGTTCCACAGTGTGGGCGACGCGTGGACCAGCGCCAGCAGGAACAATATGGCCGATGTCAAGGAGCTGATCCCAGAGTTCTTCACGCTGCCGGAGATGTTCGACAACAAGGACCGCTTCGATCTCGGCGTCAAGCAGAACGGCGTCCAGGTCGACAACGTCATCCTTCCCGTCTGGGCACACGGCGACGCTCGCGAATTCGTCCGGTTCGCTTATTTTCTCTCTCTATTTCTGTTTAGCCCAGTGGAAATTACTGAAATACGTTTTAAATGCACATGCACTGAAAGTTTTAGGAAACGTTGTTCGAATGTTCAGTAGTTTTGAGGACTCAAGGCTCACAAATCATACAGTCATTTTTTGATGGTTGCAATATTCTATGTGTATAGCTGATTCACGGCTGGCTTGAGCCATCGAAAAAAAGGTCCTGACACGATAAGAAAAGAGTCAATGCCTAGTCGGTGGAGGGCGCAGAAAGGGCACGCCCTTTTGCGTCCAAAGTTACCCGTCGGCTAAACCACTAGGTTCTCATATTTTCATGTCGAATGAATTGAAGCTTTTTCTTTCTTTTCGGAGTCCCTTTCTTATTAATAAGGGACTATAATTCCAGTCATCATAAAGACAAACAAAAGGCAATGGAAATTGGCCGGCAGTTCATTGGGGCTTACATTGGAAAATATGATAAAATCACAAGTTCATACAAAAAAAAAACCAAAAAATGTAGAAAAAAAACAACAGTATATCCCTCTAACATGTTTATATTACGATTTTATACTATTTATCTTTTTTATACTTCTGAAAAAAGAATGAAAAGTTCATTCACACTCTTCTTTTTAGTAATTACCCTCAATCTGCTTAAGAAGTTCAAAATGATTGATAGAGTGGGGGTATGTGTTTCGATAAAGGCGAAGACTCGAGAAGAACGGTCTGAGCGGTACTGGAGGAGGAAACTCCGCCTCGGTAGCCTGTCTGAACTTTCATAACTTTTTGGCTTCCGATCCGCTCGCTACCTTCCAGAATTTTTGCGTTCTCCCTTTCAGAAAACTGACAAGGAGAGCTATGAAAAATATAGCCATAAGAATTGCGAGCGAGGCTGCCATCGCGATGTTGAAGCCCGTCAGTTTATCGTCCTCTGGTTTTCTTTGCTAAATCGAAACCTGATTGAAAAGTTTTAGAGTTTTGTGCTGATGCTAATTTTATGTATAATACAATGGTATAATCAACTCACCATTTGGTCGTAGTCCATTTGGTGCAAAAGGTGAAACAGGGCTGCGAACGCTGTGAAAAAAATAAATTTTCGAAAAGGAAGAGAGCCAGAGGATATCACAAGAAAGTGATTAGAGGATTATGCCCTGCGCATTCATTCCGATACATAGCAACATCTTTGAAACCTTTTTTCTTTCTCGCATGTTATGTTGTGAGAAAAAGGGATTCTTCACGGTTTTCTTCGGATTTGACGCGATTTCCCAGCCTTTTTCACGTTGAGCTTTTTCAGCCTCCACCGGCAAGCTCTTGAGAGTGACTACGTTTCGTCGCACTTGCACGAGTGGATCGACCTGATATTTGGGTACAAACAGTTTGGAGACGAAGCTATCAAGGTTGAATTCGCCTTCCGTTTGATAAAAACGGTTTCATTCGAAACAACCAGAACGGGTTTTTCAGGCAAACAATCTGTTTCACCATTTGTTTTACGAAGGTAGTGTGGATTTCGAATCAATCGACGATCCTCTGACTCGAAATGCCACAATCGGTAAGCCTTCAGAGATGATCTCTATATACTCACCTACTACAGGCTTTGTCAACAATTTCGGTCAAATTCCAACTCAGCTCTTCAAAAAACCGCATCCACAGAAAAAAGTTGTTTGCTTTCTTCTGGCTTGATTAATTTTCCTTTTGAAGGTGAACATCCTCGAAGGGTTCAGCAATACCCCTGGAGTTACTACTTCCAAGCTGTTCTACCACAGTGTCCAATCGCTGAAGGCCCCGCAGAGTCCATTCAAAGGTTGAGACCTTCTTATCTTCTCCTAAAGTTCGCTTGGGTTCAGAGCTACGCTCGGCAGTGGGTACTGTGGTCCAGAATGAAAAGTTCGGCGTAGTTGCTCTGGAGCAGAACAAGGTTCTGATCATGTTTTGTTCTTCACAATGAATACATTTCTTCTTAGGTGATGATCGAAGGAAGTAGATTTTTGTGCTGGGGCCTCTCTGACCGTAGCATTCGTCTGGGAAGTCTTGATTCCGACAAGGTCTGCTGTTTTCACCTTGGAAATTCAAAATGTGTTCTAAAAAATAATTGATCCTTTTTTTAATTGATTGAATTATTTGTAAATCACCTAAAAGAAAAATGGATATGTTCTCCCATCCACGCATGAGAATGTTGCAGTCGCAATGCGTGTACGAGATGTGCGAGACGGACGAAGTGACGTGCGTGGCGGTGGGCGACGAGTCGACGCTCTTCTGCGGCAGCACCTCCGGCTGCGTCACGTAGGATGCTTCTCCCTTCTCTGACGAGGTTCTTTCAGCGTCTGGAAGATCAACTACAAACCCGTCGGACTCAAGAAGATCAAGGTTCTCGATGGACATTCCGATGCCGTTACCTGCTTGGTTGGTCCTATTTGAAACAATGACATCTCTTCGATCTCTTCGAAACAATGTAAAATGAAAGGATGCTAGACGAAAAAGGAAAAGGATGCTGAAAGGAAACACCTGGAGAATATTAGCTAGAATCGGAAAACTTCTTCTTAAGTCAAACTTGCTTCGAAATTTCTTTCCGCTGGTTTGTGTATTCTGGGCGCGAGTCAAAACATTCTGACTTTTCAATTATGTCTAGTGGCTAACCTGAGGAATGCTTTGCAGGTGTCTTGTTCGGCTCACACGCTGCTGGTCTCGGCGAGCCGCGACTGCACGGTGTTGCTCTGGCATCAGTCGCAACTTTCGCTCATCCGCCAGCTGGCCGTTCATTCGCAGCCAGTCGTCGCTCTCGCCGTCAATGAAACGACGGTTGGTTCTCATATTTGCAATGATTAAACGTTTTCAAGACAAAGATGTGTAGTCTTCGAAATATTTCAAAAGTTGTGTTGAAAAAAATTAGATTAGATGATGAAAGATAATTGTGAGACAGAAATATACTTTCTTACTTACACCGCTCTGAAAAAAACTTCTTTGAGTTGAGTTCAACACACGTCAGTTCTTTTTTTAGTTAAATAAAAAGATCTATTTATTACTCTAAAAAAATTATTGCTTTGAGAAATTTTTTATGCCGGACAAAATGACTCCTATTGCAGAGCTTAGTCTCTGTCAGAGAGTATTGTGTCTAGATGTTTTCTCTTTTATCTTGCGAGGTTCTGGACGAAAATATAAACGCTATATTGGTAAAATTGGAAAAAAAAACTCTAGTAAGAACATTTGACGCAATGAAGAACTAAAAATACGGAAATAGTTGAATAAAAAATGAATAAAAAAATTGAAAGCCAACGGAAATTCTATATTGAAATCTTTTAAATCTTTTTATAAACATAGAAAAAAAATAAATGGTGCCTATAAAAAGATTAATGAAAATTCTCATTCTTACTATTATTATTATAATCGTTATTATTCGCACATTTGAAAGTTCGATAACTAAAAGTGTATATTTCATGTTGATTTTCTAGGGCGACATTGCAACAGCATGCTCCACGTTCCTGCATGTTTGGTCAGTGAACGGCGAGCTTCTGAGCGTGACGAACACCTGCGACACTTCGCCGGCCGTCGACCCTCTGCAGATGATCATCTCACTTTCCTTCTCTACGGTTTTCTTCCTCTTCTCCAACTCACCAAGGATCTGAAACAGGTGAACGAATGGGACACAGACAACGTCATCATGTGCGGAACGAGCGACGGCGTCGTCAAGATTTTCTCCTGCGTTGTGGTGGAGAACGACGGTACGATGGAGTTCCCAAACATCAACTCTAGACGGTTTGGTTCTACTCATTTTAGAGGAGTTTTTTATTGATTGGAATCAGGACGAAAGAGGTTTTGCCTGTGCATGCCAAACTGGAGAAGCAGCGACGGAGATTACGCGTTGCCGGAAGTGAGGAAACTATTTCTTCGGTGGAAACTTCGCAAAGTTCCGAAGTGCCGCCAAGTCCTGCTCACACTACGGACCAAGTTCCAGGTTTGTTTGAAGGGGAAACTTTATCTTTCATGTTGAGGACGCGCTATTACCCCTGTTTTCAGCAACTGCAGTTAAATAAACATTTCAACCTTTGAAGAGTAAAATTATTGAAGAAAAAAAAAGGAGAAGAAGTTGGAATCATAATTTTTCAGCCATAAATGGACCTAAGTTCGTTAGAGTTTTGGTCCAGCGCGCAGCACTCACCATGCACACAGCGTTCAACCGTCCGGACAATATCCATCCGGCTCCGATCACGGTGATCGCGCCCAGCAGGTGACCCGTCGCTTTGACGCGTCTCTGAAACGACATAGTTTCAGAGACCATCGGGCTCTGTTCGTGGGCGACGGCATCGGTCGCGTCTGGTGCTGGCAGTCGGGCGAAGACGGCAGCCGCGCCGACCACTGGGTCCAGGACATGGCTCGGCAACGCTGCGACAACTGCAAGCACAACTTCTCGCTCGCCGACCGGAAACACCATTGTCGCAACTGCGGACAAATATTCTGTGCCAAGTGAGTGTCGCCATCTTTCAACAGGGCCCATTTATCCCCAAAAAAACCCTGATTTTTTAATGACTCAAAAATGAGATCGGCTGCAAAATTGTCAAAAATAACGACTCAGAAGTTTGGCTGGCACGAGTTCATCCGTCCGAATAGTCATTTTTGGATGTTCAGGTGCAGCAGATTTGAGTCGCACATCACTCGGATGAACATCTCTCGGCCGGTTCGTGTCTGTCACAATTGTTTCGTGCGTCTCAAGACCCAGTCCGTCATGTGACCTTTTTTTCAAGGTTTCACATGAATTTAGGTTATTTTTCTACTTATAATTTACTTCTGTTTGTAGATAGTATTTTTTCCGACTTACCATTTGAGAGCTTCTATTTCCAGCAATTAGAAGAGAGATTGTTTTTATTAAGTTTTTTTTTCTTGTTGCTTGCCACTAAGCCCTATCTCATTTATAGCTGTTCAGTTTCATTTTTCACATATTTTATTCCATTTTGAAACACATCATTTCATGCATATTGTCTTTTGTGCTTAATTCTTATTTTTCATGACGGGTTCTGGATATCGTTGTGAAAAACTAACTGATAATTTGAAGCGACAAAATATCAAACAAGTTCCATTGATAATTTTTCCTGTTGCAGTTCAAACCTCATTTTTCGTGTAAGATATCATTGAATTTTTCGATTGAAAAAAATTTTTTTCAATTAAATAAATTATTTATTCGAATAGGAAAAACATTGAGAAGATGTGAAATACATTGAATTTATCCGTATGGGAAATAACCGAAACTTTTGATGGCGTTATCACACTTTTTCACAGAAGAGAACGTTCAAAACACATTGGTTTTCCAAGAGTATTAAAAAAAACTTCTTTTTTTTGGTTCAAATGCGACTGATCTGTGAGTTAAAAATTATACCGTATCATAGGTAAATTCAAGCCTTGGACTGGAGAGTCCTTCGCTGCTCCGCGAGTCCATCAGAGAGAGAAAAACGGACGCAGAAGTTGCGGCGCCTGTCGCCTTCCAGGTGCAGCGTCGAAGCCGATGGACGGTGGATTTGCGACGACGTGAACGCTCGAAACTCTTCGTCCGACGCCAGAAACTTCCAACCCAGAAGTCGTCGCAGCGAAACTCGAAACCGCCCAAAGAGAAAAGGGGATAAGTAAATCAATTAGAGCGAACTAACCTCGACATGAACATATAGACGGCGAAGGTTATCGGATGAAGAGTGATGAGTGTGATGTTGACGGCGGCCCGCAGCCAGACGTCGTGTACGAACTCGAGGGCGATGGCTGGCACTGGAAGGTAGTCCAGCACACGCACTATCACTATCAGAATCGTAGAAGGAGCTCTGTCAGTTGTGTTTAAATCTTCAGATACGGCCAAAGCGTACCTCGCCACCATGAAAAGAACGATGATGACTGTGAGCATGATGGTGGTGTTTTGCGAACTCTTCTGCGACTTGATGTGTCTTTTAACCCCGAAGCTGAAAGAAGAACTCACATACATTCGCCCTTCGGAATGAAAAAAAATGTTATTCGCATCCAAAAGTACTACCGTGTACTTTTTAAAAAAAACCTCCAAATATAGTTGGTTGAAGGCTTGTAAAGATATGAAAGAAAACCTCGTTTTCACGTCGTCATGGCTTCTGATCGTTTGAATGAGCAATATGGTGACTATAAATAGCAGCACACTTGGTACCACGACGAGAGCAACTCGGAAAAGGTCGAAAATCTACAAAAAAGTCTCATTACGCCTATGTTCATTTCCATTATACTGCCAAATTGAAAATAGACTAACAGATGCAAAAGTTTGTGCACCCATCGCTGTGGTGAGAGCAGAGTGGCCGATGAAGCAGCGGGCGACCCAGAAAGATTCCTCGCCTTGCTGGAAAAGCGCCAGCTCTTGCGAGAGTAAGGACAAGAAAAAACCAAAATGCAGAAGTGGTAGATGAGACGGACGTCGAAGATCGAGTGGAGGGTGGTGAGGAGCACGGCAAAAAGGAAGATGAGCTTGGAATAGCGCCGGACCATCCTCTGCGTGCACCAGCGGAGGGACTCCAGCGGATAGTGCACCGCGACGAATCTGAGGAGACTTTCCGATTTTCGAAGGATTAGTTTGTTTTATGTTTCATGGTAGAAAAAAAAATTTCTCATTTTTGTCTTTTACTCGGGTTATAAAGCTTCAAGTAACAGTGCATTAAAACTCGACTAGAAAACAAAGGTTGAGTATATCTTTTCTTGTTCTGGAAACAGGTGGTCCTGCAGTACACTTCACCCAAGTCACATTAAAAATTAAAACGGGCTTAATGAAATTCCTTTTAAGCCTGACGATCGTCCTGTTCAGAACTACATCAAAATTCAAAAAAGAAAAGGGATTCTCAGGCTTTGAGAGCTCTTTTTTCATGAAGATTTGAGATTTTTGCAATCTTTGACTTTCAAGATCTTCATCTGACATATCTAGGAGAATTGAACGTTTTTTTTTCTCTCATTTCGCACCTCTGAGACCCCAGGAGAAGGGTGAACAGCGTGACGAGAGTGTTGAAGAAGAAAGGCAAGACCTCCATGCACACCTGAAAGGTTAAAGTAGTTTGAGAGCAGCTCATAGCCCACCTTCTGCAAGTTGCAAAGGAAGAGTGTCTGGTTGAAGTCGAGGTAGTGTGCGAGGTTGTAGTAATAGATGGTGAAGGGGAGCGGCGACAGCGACATCATCAGCGAGGACACCGCCATCCACAGCAGAGCCTCGATGCTCGCCCTCTTCTGAACTCACAGCAGTCGGATGTTGAAGTGGATTGAGTAGTTTTCGGAAGTCTCACGTTCTTTTGTTGGTTGAGCACGAGAATAACTATGCTGTTGGAGAGGACGACCGCTGCGGCGAGCACCGGCAGGACGTAGCCGTAGATGATTCTCATGATCAGTTCGTTTTCCTGAATCCGAACGCTTTCTTTCCGAATATACTCTTCTATTATTTGCATTGAAAATATGAAAGCAATACATCGAAAGGATTATTTCAGAAAATCTGTTTCAAATAGACCTTCGAAGTTTTCAAAATTCTTAAATTTAGTCAAATATTAAAATTCTCTTAAATTTAAACAAAAAAGGGCGAGTCTGTCTCTAAAGCCAGTCTGATTCGTTTCTGAGTTGAAGCTCAGTTTTATGTTTGAATATGAACCTATATGTAACCTGTAATGCAAACGCGAAATGTAAAAAAAGACAGGAAGATTTGGTTTCATGAGAGCAAAAGGAGTCGAACTGACCTGGTCTTCGAACTGGATGAGCGCCGCCGAGACGCAGGTGTTGGTGTAGTGATCGAAGACGGTGAAGGGAACCGTGCAGTTGGGCGCCGGTCCTCCGTAAACCTGAGATCCTCCGAAAATACTATTTCCACTCAAATATTCTCTAATCAGAAAAATCAGAGGTCGTATGCGAGAAAATAGTAAATGCCTCTACCGTGGTTCACCCGAAAATGGTAAGATTTTTAAAAAAAATTGTAAAATGGTAAAATAGATATGCTCTCAAAAATCAAAGTAATTTATTCTCTAAAGAAAGTTCTACAAGAGTTTTTCCTACAGAGTTATGAAAACTTTTCAAATTGATGTACGATATTAGGCCATTTACCATTCCTGGGCAAACGCGGTAAGTTTGTTTACCGTTTTCTTGCATACGGCCTCAGGATTGTTTTTCTATCCGAAAAAACGTTTAGAACTGAGAACTTCTAGTTTTTAAGCTTCACATAGATATGCTGGTTATTTTCTTCTTTCTTGTTGATAAATTTCCAAAATAATTGGTTTTTGAAAGTATCAAATGTATTTACAGTAAGCTGTTAAATGACATCCGCAAACATCGTCCTTTCTGGAACGGCAAGCCCGAAAGCTGAACGGAACAATAATCCAGGCATTATTTTTAAAGTATGCGAAGGAGGCGGACAAACCTTGTGGGGATCGCAAGACTCGAGGTCCATCTTCGCATTATTCCATGTCCGGAGTGCTTCACGAGTTTTTTTCTCTTGCTCGATCAACTGCTATGTATAAAACCTAGATACAGTAAACTGTAATGCCTTTTCCAAATTGATTGATTAACGTGACATTAAATGATTAAAAGAAATCGTGCTGAAAATAAATTAATGAGTTTATGTCTGACCGGGCTGCCGCACACGAGACATTCGGAAGCCTTGTTTTGAGGAATATTAGTGCCCTGAGGCGAAACGACAGAAGGGAGAACGAAATGAAAAAGCATGGAGCAAGGCATAATTTGCCGATTTCCAAGTGATCTATTCTGTAAATTTTCCAGGGGAGCTCCCTCTTTTGGAAGGCATTCAGTGGCTACTTCGTCTCTGCGAATTCGATTTGCAATTTGGGAGTTTCTCAGAATTGGTATCCCTGAAAAAAGTCCGGAAGTACGAATCTATCAGTTGCAGCAAATACTTTCAAAAAGTCTCAAGAAATGTCTCTTACCTATAAATTGAAGATGTCGAAAAGCTTATAAAATTGTGAAAAGCACCACGAGAAATGGCACAAAACTTGTTCGCCCTCATTAGACTTGGGATAGAAAATTATTAGGCGTTGCTTTATTAAGAAAAATTTAAAGTCTGAGTCAGAATGTCCTTACATGATACACTCCGGTAATTTTCAGCTCGAAAAGCTGCAAATTTATTATATTTCATATGATTCGATGTGCCACCTCGCAAGCTATGAAAGTTCCTTCAAATGAAACGTTTTTTTTTTCCCTACACTTCTAAATGCTTGAATTTTTTTAATGGATAAAACTGAAATTGGATGACAAGATTAGAGACGTGTGCTCCTTGTAAACTAAAAAAAAATAGAATCAGAAAATTTAAGAAAAATTTCAAGCTAAAGATTTTCGACAAAGTTGAACTTCATAGCCCATAAGCTAACAATTTGACCTGTTGAGTTAGTTTCGAAGTAGGTTTTTGTCGTTTTGACTGAAATTTTTCATTTTGGAACTTGAAAAATGAGGATTTTATTGGAACAGAAAAAGCTTTTATCGGCAATATTTCGCATCTGGATCATTCGCAAAAAAACGAAAATAAATTTTTTGCTATTTCACAACGATTTTTGCAAAAACATCAGCAGAATCGTGTGAATTTAGTTTTCGGAGGTTTTATGAAAGTTAACTGACTATTATTCATGGGCTATGAGAAAACTTCTGCGACATTTCGAGAATAATTTAGTGTCTGTTTTTCAAAATAGCCCTTGAGAGATTTTTTTTACTTGTTGAGAAAAAGGAGTGGGCGGCGACCTGAAAAGCAATCGGACCGTTTTTCTTCTCGCAGGGGGCGCATCTATCAAACGACGGAAATTCAGTTGCTGCGCTTCCTAATGGGTCTTCAAATTGGAGCTGGATGAAATATACTCGAAACGGAGAGAAAAGAATCCTGACTCGATCAAAACAGAAGGAAAAGGTTGGCAAAGTGCAGAGGAAACGCATCGATGAAGCTAATTTTGCACAAGTATTTGTACATGTCATGACTACATCACACTGAATAATTGCAAAAGCTCTCGAGTGTGGCTTGAGGGATCCATCGCTCGTTCCGTTTCATATGTCAGAAAGCGAACGATAGCTGGCCCAGAGATAGAGAAATTATGAAAGAGAGAAGAATTACTTCGGAGCGTGCCGAAACGAGTTTATGGGAGAGCCATCAAGGTGCCCTTTCTCCTCTAGAGATGTTCTACTCCTGAAGTTGCTGGCTCCACCCCTCCGGGTGTACACTCGCATGAGTTAATCAACTCGGTCACCTCTTCATGACAAGAATTTCCTTTCGGAAGTAACTTCATGCTATCAAAAATTAATCAGAGTCAGAGCGACACAAAAAGGACAAAAGCGAAAAAAGTTTATCGTATGATAAAAGGTTATTGACCCGGAAGCAAGAAACATGATGATTTAACAATTTAAGTAAAATTGAGCTTTCGATAGATCAAAGTTAACACCGAGTAGAGGATTCGAAAATCTGACGTGAGGATTTTATCCGTAAACATGGAGATGAACGAAAAGAAAGCTCTCTCTCAACAAGCTTTCAATATTTATAACAAAATAAGCGAGACGCATTTCAAAAATCAAAAAAAAAGCTGTCCGCAGAAAAGACCTCATTAAAAAACGAAGTGAAGAGAAAAAAGCTTCAATATTGCGTGGAGATTGAAATCACTTTCAACGCGGAAACAGCAAAACTCATAAGAGAAAACTGCGCACTTAGCACACCAAACACAAACCAGCTCATCAGAAGATCTTATGCTCGGATAGACTCGCCAAAAATTGGAATGAATAGACATTTGAGAATTATAAAAAATTCAAAAATTGTCAAATTACTAGAGTCGAAAATCAAAAAAGAAAAAGTTAGTTTCAATTGTAAGACAATATTCCCTGAACTTTATTGAGGAAAGCTTCCATGCGGCCGCGAAATAGAACCCTGAACATTATGGTTGTGTTTAGTGGACGAGTAGAAAAGAACGAATTTCCAATATTTCCAATGAAAACAAACCTCTCGCGTCTCACTTGCACTGGCGGGGAAGGCATCAACTCGGCGAAGGCGTTTCTGATGACGTTGGCGGCGGCTTGGTTGCTCTTCTTCGTCAGCAAATCCTCGACGAATCGCTGGTAGAAGTCCTGAAACAGTCGAAAGTTCCCGTTTTGATGTCGCGAACACGAACAAAGTCGAAAGAGATGATCATGTAGAGGGCGCTGCAAGCCTCGCTGAAAATGCTCGTCTCGCAAGTGAAGCTGAGACACGTTTCGAAGACCAAGGGGAGCAACAAATGGAATTGATCCACCAGGTTGGCAGTCACCCGTGACCGATTTACCTCTTGGGAAAAGTGTTTTGCTACCTAAAAACGTTAAATTCAAAAATTGTTTTTCCATCAAATTTTGCTCATTGGCACCTTTCAAATTTTCAACGAGTTTTTACTTTTATTTTTATTCTTATTCGAGTCTTCAAATACATTTTTGAAGCCGAGCTTTTTTTTTTCCAACTATTCCTTCTCGAAGAGCTGCGCTTGAGCCGAAAAGAGCACATTTCAGCGCGCAAAAACTGAATGGCTCAGATTTTTGACAATAAACTTATGTGCCTTTAAGAACGTCGAAGCAATCAGAAAAACTTTTCCCAAACAAGGACATTGACATGTTTGCAATGGTTCGAAATTCAAACGAATAGCTGCTTCAAAAATATTTTTCTTCATTACATCAAAAAAAAGTACAGCGATTATGAAAACGATAAATAAAACCTGTTTTTTTGAACAAAAATAATTTCTTCACAAACTTTTCTTCCCGAAAAACGAAAAAATGTACCTCAGTTAGTGCTTCCAATGAAGTTGACGTAATTTCGTTTCCAAAGCTGCCAGTCATGCCGAGCTGCAGACAGAAGTGTGCTTCGAAGTGTTGCCGAGTCAACTCACCTTAATGCATTCGCACAACGAAGCGAGCAGGTCGGAGGACATGGTCGTGAGTGCCTCGGGCGAAAACTCGACCAGATACAAGATGAGGCGATAGAACTTGAGCGCCACTTCAGGCAGCCGCACGACATTCTCATTCATGACTGTGAGCAGCATCTTCAACGACTCCATCGTCACCTAAACTGTTGATTGCAGGGACTGAAGAGTCAGTAGGAGAAAGACCTGCGCGCCGGTGGAGACTCGATCCGTTTCATTCGATAGGATGTCTTTTGACAGAACATTGGAAAGTATCTCGATGAAAAGAATCTGAAAATTCTAGTTTTCTTTTTTTTGAAACAAAGAATTTATTCTTACACAACAGCTAGTCAAGCCCAAGGGAAAGGGAGGTTTTTTAATCACGATTATTAATCTTTCTTTTCAAAGTTCGAGTAGAAATAACTCAGAGGAAATGGAATGAGACTTGGTCAATCAATGAATGATTGATCAAACAACGCTTCCTAAATTATAGAGTCATACCCATTTGGAACCAACTGTAGAGAGAAACTACCATTGAATACAAAATCGGCAAGTTTCGGATTATGCTCACCTCATGGTTCGAATCGAACACATCGTTTTTAAAAACACTAGATCCTACTAAAATCTAGGAAAATTCTAACTTATTAAATAACAAAGTACAAACTTAAATACCAAATGGGGGTTAGCACCGTCTATACAGACAATCTTTTCCTCCAGCCGTTTCCACAGATCAGCTGTTAGATTTATTTGATTTATTTGATGTTTTATTTTCTGTATTTTCGTGCAGATTGCGGAATGGCGAATAAACATTTGAAATTAAATCAAAAATATAACAATTTATCGAAATTCCTCAAAATGCGGCTTTTAATCTGAAAAGCAGACTGACTTGCACCACATATTTTGCGTTTTTTTTTTCTTTCTACAAGTTTTCAGAACGAGACCTCGTAAACGAAAAAAATTGTACAAAGTAGAGAAAACTAAAAAAGTTCTCGTTAAATAGAAAAGTTCCCACCAAATCACCGGCTTTTTCCTCATCGCACTCCGTCAAACTGACGAGTCTTTGAGTATGCTCCAGTCTGTAGCCATCGATGATTTGCAACAGTGTCTCGTAAAGTCGGCTCGAATCGGCCTGAACCCGAGAAGAACTTTTCGCGACATGGAGATAGTCTGACCTCGTCGATGTAGATGGAGACTTTGGTAGTGACGTTCAACAACAACTCGAGGATGGTGCTGACGACAGCCTGAGCGTGAGCTCTTGTCCGCATCAGGCCTACGCATCGTTGCAGGACGGGGTGCAGGAATTCTGCAAGGAGGACAAGTCTTGCTGGAAGACATGGCTAACGGACGGAACAAGACAAGGGCCGAGTGGCTCTGGCTGCCGCGGGCGACGCCTTCGAAGCACTGCAACAGGTCGACGAGACCCGAGTCCACGTCACTCGACGACGGCTTTTCCGACAGTTCTGCGAACCGCTGACATAATGGCGCCAAAATCTGAAAAACGAATCGATGAAAAACCTCTAAAACATTTCTGATTGAAAAAAATTTTCGATTCGTCAAACTGATTCAAGCATTTATGTATTTATTTACTTCTCAGTAGTGCAGGACGCTCTCGAGAAAAGTCTAATGAATAAAGCTACAGTCGAAAAAGTTTTGAAAGACAGAGGAAAACAAGAAAATTTAGACAATTGGAAGACTTGTAGCTCTAAATTTGTACAGCAAACGCCGTTCAATATAAATGATGTCGACTTTCTTCCTTGACGGGTTCTGAAAAAAAGTTTTCACTATAGTTCGTGAAAAGACATTTTTCCAAACTCTTTTCCAAGGACTCTACCAAATCTCAAAAAACGAATGCTTTGTGGCGACCAAGCTTCTTCACTTTGGTTCAACTCCCCAATAAGGGCTCACCATGTTGAACATATTTTCTTGGAGCTGCGCGTCGTTGGCCGACGCCCCAATTAGAACCAAAGCTCGCATGAGATTCGTCCTGAATCCGTTAAGAATCTTCCGCATTTAAAATGTCACGGAATATTAAAAATGTACGTGTTCTAAAAACAGATATGCCTTGGATTTTTTTCCGCAAAGGTGACTTTTCGTGTGTTCGTGAGATTTATAGGAAAACTTGACTTCAGAGTTCAGATTATATGTACATGGAAGAGTAGTTGTATGATAAGAGAAAACTTGAAATAAGTTGAAAGGGAAGTTAGGATTTTTCAGAAGTTCTTTTTCACAAATTTGTACCAAATCCGTTTTTTTTTCGACCCTCCACTCTTTTTTTTTTGACCTGATGTTGTTTCATAATTAAAAAAAAATCCCAAAATACATAATTCTTGGACCAACCAACCGATTAGGTATCTGAGAAATGTCGAAATTGCTGAGGTAATCAAAGAAAACAGAAGAAGACGCAATAACTGAGGCGTAGGATTCTACGAGGCCCACAAGAGTCGCTATCGCGTCTTTGCAAAGTCTGAAAAGAACATCTTCTAGCAGAATCGAGTCCGGATCGAACTTGGCCTCTCCGCTGAACTTCGCCAGCACCGTGAACACCTTGTGAATGACAAACTCGACTAAAGTCAGCGAAAATTCGGCATCTTTCGGCATGACCAGCGGCAAATTGTTCACATCCTGCAAGGGACTGCTTGAGTGGAGAGTCTCCGGATGGTAAGCAACTTCACTAGAACAGGAACCGGCGGCGTTGATGAACCTCTTCAGGGCGAACAAAGTCGAGCGACACAACTCCGGACTGATCATTTCGCCAGAGGCCGAGGTGAAGAGTTGGTGCTCCAGCGATGCCCAGGAAAGTAGTTCACCCATCAATCTTAATGAGTTTCGGATCAAAGACGCCACTCAGAAACGTACAGAATGAAGGGGTTGACTCGCTGGTCGTAGACGGATCTGTCGTCCGTTGGATTCAATATACACATGTTCAGAAAGGCTTTTTTCGGTTCTTCGCTGAAAAAGTGCGATGAAGCCCACGCAAAACAAAAGGAAAAACTCGAAAACGGTGCCTGCTTTCAAGAGATCCGCGCTGAACTCGACGACTTCCGAAGCCAAGTGACAGGATCCATCTTCCTCTTCGCCGACCACAGAGTTGGCTGCAAACCTCCTTCGTCATCCTTCTCTCGAAGGACCTCACCCAGGATCAGCATGAGCCAGTGTTGGTCTTCCTGCCATGTTGGCATCCGCGAGACGTCGTTGCTGCCGGCCATTTGCTTCAGCTCCGAGCTCGTTCCACGAAGAGTTCTTCAGTGAAATCGGTAGGAGAAGAAAGAAAATGTGTCTTACGCAATCATGGAGCGTGTAAAGTGTCCGATGTTGTAGCACATCATCTGCGATAACGGAGTCAGGAGATCGTTAAAAAGCTGAAAATCACCTGGAACGTTCTTTTTGAAGAAAAGAAAGACAAACCACACGATCATCATTGTCGTCGACGTCGTCTTCTTCCTGACAAGGCGGTCTGGTCCCCAATGGAGGCGCCAAAACACATTGTATGAACTCTTCCATCATCCGCACCGACGGTTGAATGCAAATTTCGTTGTCTGAACATTGAGAAAGAAAATAAAGGCAGGAGATATGTATCGGTACGTGGGCCATAAGTCTAAACCTGAATAAACTTCTGAGCCAAATCCATAGCTAGACCCCTTAACAGGAATCCTACGATTCGCATTACAATCAAGCCTTTCTAAAACCGACCAATCAGCTGCTCCTCCTCTTCGTCTCTCACGGTTACACGCCAGCGACCGCGCAGAAGGACCACTACGGCGTCGTAGATCACGGACAGCGACGTGTGTTCCGAATGGATGCCTTGTCCCTGACATTCAACCTGTAGATGACCAACGAGACGAGTTCCACTCACTATGGCTTTGCTCATCGCATCGCGAGTCAAGTACAAAGTGTACTCGGTGAGGAACTTGAAGAATTGAGCGCGGAGATTCGCGTCAAGTTTCAGAATTGAGCTCAAAGGTCGATACAAAAATAAACGATTGATGATTGTGCAGAAATGATTAACTTCCCAGGGTAAAGGACCTAAATTTAGCAAAAAACAGTGAAAGTAGATTAGAAAATTCGTTTACCTTCCCTGAACAAGTCTAAAAGGTTAGAAATATACAGAGTTACATAGCGAATACTGCTTTCTGGGTCTTGAACCTGGAAGAAACTTGAGAACGGAAACAAGAAGGAAATTACCGGTATACAGTCTCCCGTCAGAGAAGCGAGTTGGATCAGACAGTTCATGCTTTTCATACAGAGATCCTCGTCATTTCTAATTTTTGAATGCAACTAAATGGTTTTTCTTTTCGAGAAAATTGGGCATATGTCCTACTTTGAAAAAAATAATGTAGAATTCATCTGCATCGAGAAGGTCTTTCCAAGCAACAGGCGGTCGAAAGGCGTTTGTTGTCTGAAAACTATACTTGTTTCTAGTGTCAAATCTATTCATTAGAAAAATATTATTGATTCTCATTTTCCTCGCTTCTGGCTTGAAAAAAGACTTTTCCTTCATCCACTATGTCCTTGGTTTTCATTGTTGAACATAAAAAAAACTTTCACACGCAACGCAACGCTAATGACAGATAATCCGTGAGTCGAGCGCGCCACAATACAAAAAAAAAAAACGCCCAAGTTCAGCACATCGACTGCCAACGTGCAGATCATCAATTAGTGGATCGAACGGGGGTGTCGGTCTCCCTTTCGCTCGATTCACAACGATCTGACGTACAGACATGCTCCGTCGCCTTCTGCTTCTGTCGGCGTGCTTCGCCTCGTTCGCCGTCGCCCAGTACCCCATCACGTTCGGCATGATGTCGAAAATCCTTCCGAACGCCGACATGGCCAAGACGAGAACAGTTCGTTTTTGTTCAAAATATCGTAATTATAACTGCCATTATCGAAAAAAAGAGACCAGAAAAACCTGAGAGAAAGCGTCAATCAAATAAGAGATCATCCAAAAAAACTGAGTAGGATGAATTTATTTGAAAAAAGCTTCGGGAAGAGGGCGATCAGAAAATAGGAAAAACATCCAAGGTTTTGGGGAATAGCAGAAATGGGAAAAATACTCTGTCGCGAGAAAAAATATTCACCAAGATTTTCAGAACATTTCAGAAGATTTTTTTCAAAAAAATTGATAAAAAAAATCTTGGCTTTTTAAGGGATTCTCTTAATTTTGGTTCTAAACAGCTGTGATAAACGTGAAATGTACAAGTTTTTCGTTTTCGATATCAATCAAGGTTCTCAGAAAAATTATCTTCCTACTAACTGTTATTGTATCTAACTTATTTCATGATTAAGTTTCTGACGAGCCTCAACGCGGACAAGACATTGGACGACAAAAAGAGACGTGTTAACTCCTGGATCCCTGCCAACTTTGTAAACGAGAAGAGAAAGAAAAAGCTGAGGTTGAGGATTCAGGGATCGGCACTGATACCGAACCTACAGCCGTACGCGAAGAGCGACAAGGCGGTGAAGGCCGCCCTGGCCCTCCTCGACCACAGAAACACGGTAGCCTCCTTCTGGACCGACCTCATGCCATTGCTGCAGAAGACATTCGATGCGACCACTGCCACTCAGGTTTTTAAACTTTTCAGCGGTTTTATTCTGATTTTTCATCGCACTTATATTTCTAATATTCGGTTGGGAATAAAATCAAGCGTTACACAACCCATAAAAAATTTTTGTGGTTGGCGAGACCTGCTTCACCATTCTTACCAAGAAAGTAGTCGGGAGACTAGAAACTATGCAATAAGCTTTTCAGTACAAGCAAATGTGGCTTCGAGTTGACAAAACCTTCGATAATGAGTTCTTCGATGTTCTCAACGAGTGGTACGCGTACTGTCACTATCGGGTGTGTTGTCGAAACTTCCAAAACAAGTTCAAATTCGGATTCAGAGCGCTAACAACAAGAGAACTGCGCTTTACAACAACATCCAGACCGTCAGCAACAAGTATGCCAACAACAGCAAACTCAACTGGAAGGTGACCGATCGCAGGACAAAAAAGTTACAAAATCGAAGTTTCTAGGTGCAAGGAGACGACTACTGGACGCCAATTTACATGTCTATGTTGTTCGGATCTTGGTAGACCTCTATTCTTCAATAAAACTTTGTCAACGTCTTCGTTATCAACTATAAATGAGGAAGAACAAGTCAAAAAAAAAATACCGTGTTGACGCAAAGAAAGCGCCGAGTGAGCTTTGAAGAGAAGTTCCAAGAAAGGATGTTTTCGGCAACTTCGAGGAACTTTTCGCAGAGTCTTTTGGTGAACTCGTCATTCAAAATGTTCTCTTGACCGTTCAAGGCATGAAGTGTGGTCAACGAGAATTCGAGAAGTCGGCGCAGCCCAGTGACCTGAAAGTTGCATCCAACACTTTATTTCAAACTTTTAATGAAAAAAGGTTGAATGTGGTGATAAAATTTGTTTTCATGGGAGAAACAGACTTTGTCAAAAACTTGATTCAGGTTTTTCGCATCGAAAACTTTTTTTGAGTAATTAATGAATACTTTGGAACTAAATGAATGGCCCTGAAAGCTATTCCTCAATTAAACGTCAGTATTCCGATAACTTTCTTTGATTCTTATCAGAACGTGTCAAAAAATAATCGTCGAAAAGACAATTATATAAGGAAAAATTTGATACCTCAAACTCTGTTTTTGCTTTCAAATGAAAGTCCCATGTGATTGAAAACTTCGAGTTTCTCCAAGCCGAGGAGAATTGTTCGATGAGAGCCGAAATGAAACGACACCCCAAAGATTGCTGCAAAACTTTTTTTTTTAGTTAATACCTTATTTTGTTAATAAAAGTGTACTTACAAGAATATACATGTCAATTTCAAAATTTGAAAACTTGTGAAAAAGTCACCGTTGGCAACAAATCTTTACCTTTTTCCGAGAAACATAGTTTTAGAAGGTTGGTAGAAACAGCGCCGGAAAAAAATTATCAAAGAATATCGTGGAAAAATGAACAGACGATAGAAACAAATGAAACAAAGAATGAAACAAAGAAACATTTTCCGGGACGATTTTTACACGTTTTCCGAGTTTATGAACTCAAACCAAAGAGCAGAAAGCAGTGTCGAAACGAAAAAAAAGACTTCTGAAAGAACCTATAAAGATTTTCTTACTGACATTTTCAACTTTGCTAGATTTATAATTTCTCTAAAAAGGAAAAGGCAGAAAAAGATTGAAAATAGGGTGATAAACAGAAGGCAAAAAGGCCCCAAAAAGGAAGCTTTCTCCACTTTGGTAGCAAAATATTTAGGAGCCCTATGCATGTGAAAGAACTTGTGTTATTCTTAAAACAGGAATGATAGAGACGAAGTGGTTACCAATTTGGGCGACTGATGCATGAGCAGATTGTGAATGAACTTGTAGAGGTCTTCCCGGTCGTTGCCGCTCAGGCTGCCCCGCTTCACGATGATGGCGATCGTCTTCAAAAACTCGGCGATGACGTAGCTCTCCAACCTAGAATTCACTCGGGTTCACCCTGGTGATTCTTTAGGACGACAACGTTTCCCGGGCAGCGACGAACTCGAGAAGAGTTTTGTAAGTGGCTTCGACGACTTGGGGATCGAGGAGGCTCCAGTCGCGTAGTGTGAGTTCGCCGACGGCCTGGGCCATCTCGAACAAAACGAAGGAGTTTTCCGTCTGATCTGCAAACTCCGGCCTTTTCCCTCACTCAACCCGACACCTACGCAAAATGTGCATCGCTTCCTCCATACTTATGCTCTTTTTCAGATCTTGGAAATAGTTTTCGGCTTGTCGCCGTTCGTCGGCCGAGACAAGATTCGGCGGCGCCTGAATGGAAATGTTCTTTCTGCTTACATTTCCTTCTCAACAGCTCACCAATAACGTTCCTGCCGCTCTTTCTAATGTAGATATATCCATTATTGTCTGTAAACGCCAAAGCCTTCTTTATTTGAAGTTTCTGAATGAAACTCGTGAAATAACGCAAAAGGAATGCAACCATATTAACAAAAATAAAACGTTTCATTTGTTACTATTCATTTAATATCGTACTAACAAATCTTTCATAATCCTGGGTCAAACATGAAAATCTAAAAGAAAGATAGTTTTAACAGGATGTTTCGGCCTTCCATAACAATCTAAACACAGGCAGCTCCAGAGATGATTTCGATAAGTTCGCGGGTAATCACTGCTTGACGGGTACGGTTGAAAGCCAAGGTCAACTTGTCGATCATTTCTCCTGGAAAAGTTCACCGTTTACATGTTAAAAACGAAACGATAAACTCATGGAAACATTGAAAAAGATTTTTTTTTTTGAATCAAGCTCTTCCAAGATCGAGAGCTGATTTATTTACTAATTTTTTCGTTCTGAAATCTAGTTGCAGTTATAGTCGAAAAGTAGTGAGAGGTTTTAAGGAAGTAACTTGACCTTTTGAGAGATATTTTGCTTCTTCGGGAAAGTTTCTAGTTTTTTTTTTAAAAACGAATAATCTCGGAAAAATGATTGAAGATTGAAATTTTTTGTTTCACGTCCTGATGTTTCCCGGGAATGTACTGGCTTGAAAACAAAAAATGCACAAAAAGAGCATACCAGCGTTCTTCGAGGCTCCATCCATAGCAGTCATTCGCGAGCTTTGTTCTGAGGTCGCCGACTCCTTCATGGCGTAATAGATGAGTTGAGCTAGAGAATATTCAGCGTAGGACTGCAAGACGTCGTCATCTACCGAGTCATAAGTTGAAAGAGCCTCTTTCGTTTTGATAGCCTGAAAAATTAATTCAGATTTAATCCAAAACTATTATTCACCTCGAGAGGGAGAATTTGAAGCTTAGAGGTCTCGTACGAAACAACCGACTTGAACCGATTGTACAGGATCGTTCCCTGGAAAGTTATCAAATAACTAAAAAAAAAAAGAAAAGTAAACTTGTTCAAAGTCGAATCCTGCATCAAGAATAGCCTTCGCAGCAATAGAAGCGTCAGCGAAAGTTGGAGGCTGACGGCCGATTTCGTTGGCAGAAAGGATGATGTACTTGCCTAAACACGCATGATTCCATAGGATTAAAAAAAATTTTCGATCTGAAAACGTAAATTAATTACGATTCAGAAACCATGAAATTTTTCAAAATTTAATAGGATCGATTTCAAACGTTTCAATGATTTAAGAGATTTCCCGTTACATTAAAAATTAGCCGAATATTTGATATCTGGATTTTATCAGTATTTTACTTTTTTTTTTGTACGAATAATCTTCAAAAATAGAAATTTTAAAAGGGAAAAATAAATATATGAAGAAAATGTCTGCCACAAAAAAAGGTTGTACAACGAGGTGAAAAATGTTTAAAAATATCGTGAGCGAAGAAAATTTGGGAACCATTTTTTTGTTGATTTTTGTCCCCAAAGTCATCTATTTTTCAAGAAACAAAACTTACGCGTTTAAACTCTTTCAAAATCTCTCAAATATTGCTGATGCTTAAAAAGTCCTCGTTCACCGTCTAGTCGAATACTTTTATGAAGAAAAAAGGAATATTGATTGGTTGATCTAACTAGGGAGCGTTTTTTACCCCCCGATTTTGCTGAAACTTTGCGGAAGTGTTCTTTACGGCCCCCTGATTCCAGAACAGAAAAAAATTTTCTCGCAATAGATCTCGTTTTCGAGTTAGGACACTTCAAAAACCCGAAATAGCGCTTTTTTGGCCTAATTTGCGTATTTTGCACACTTTGAAGCTCCATAACTCGGAAACAAGATCTATTGCGAGAAATTTTTTTCTTGATCTGCAATCAAGGGGTCCTAAAGTACACTTCAGCAAAGTTTCAGCAAAAGTTCAACCGGGGGTTAAAAAACGTTACCTGGTAAGAGAACTCTGATAAAAGTTTATACAAGAATTCTGCGATTTCCAGCAACTTATGAAACTGATTTACACTGTTTAATGCTGGAAAAAAAAGAGAAACAGCTTATTTTTTCATTCTTCTTAGTTTAGCTGCATTGAAATTATACAACCTAACAAAGAAAATACTCATTGAACTAAAGGAAAACCGTGCAAGCGTTGAAGAACGGCGCGAGACTTGTCCCCGATGCAAACAACGCGAATATCCTCATTGGGAGCAGCCTTGGAGATCATATTTTTCGCTTCCTACAAAAAAATAACAGTAATTGAAAATGAAGTTAATTACCTTGGCGATCGAAGTGTGAACAGCTCCACAAAGTCCACGATCAGAAGTGATGCAGACTACGAGATGCTTTTTTTTCTCATCGGCTGGCTTTCCAGCGACTTCTTCGTCGCCTTGTGGGTTGATGTTATCGAAGAAAGCCTTGGCTCCTACACCGTAAGCCCGAGCACCCTATAATTTTCAATTTTAGCCAAACTATGTTCGTTTTATCATAGTTTGCATTTTTTTTTTGTGCTTTTTGTGAAGATGTTTTTCAAATTTTGAATCATGGATTCACTGATCGAAAAATTCTTATCGCTAAAAAATTAGATCATTTAACCTTGGAAACATAAACAGAAACTGGAAAATAGTTACGCCCGCGGGGACCGTCGGGGCAGGCCTGTGCGCGGTTTTTTTTTTAAAGTATAAGATAGGGCATTCAATTTTTAGAAAACTAATAATAAGAAGTGATATACCTTCAACTCTCGTTCTGCTTTGGCGTACTTTGCCGCGGCAACCATTTTCATAGATTTGGTGATTTTTTGGATGTTCTTCACGGACTTCAGACGGATGGAGATATCCTTCAAACGAATTCAATGAGTTTCAATGGCTATAAACCGTCATTAACCTTCAATGTAGCGAACCCTCTCTGTTGCTCGGCATTCACCAAGTTTGATGCAACAAGTTGAAGCGCACCGGAGCCCTGTCGAAGCATTTTCAGCCTTCAAAAAAGAAAAAAACATAAAAAATCTCATATGACCAGAATGAGAATGCAAAAAGAACTTTGAAAACGACGATTTTTAAATGTTCAAAAAAATTTTTTTGATTTGTATGTGGGTCCTCACGACTTCAGGACAATTTGACAATTATTCATCGATTAAAAAAATAAAATATGTTCAAACTTTAATTTAACACGGCGTAAATAGTGCACACCGCCCGAAGACCCGGAGAGACGTGAGAATCGCGTTGAGACCCACTACTTCGTTAGAGCAAACTAGCTCTTTCTCCAGAAACTTTTTTTTTCTTCGTTCAGTTTTTCGTATCCGTTTTTGTTATTTTATTATTATGCCGTGCTGAAAATAGTTTTTGATCAAGAAAATGTTTCTTTGATTGCACAAAAGAAGTGAATTTTTTTCTGCTCAATTTGCAACAAGCTTAAGCTTATCTTCATAATAATTGATTCCAAACAAAACCACACTTTTTTCAATTAAAATTAGCGCTTTAACGGAGAAATTTGATTAGGGTAATTTTCCTTTTTATAGGAGCTATCATATCAAACCGGTGTTTTTGATTAAATCGGTTTTGATAGTGAGCTTTTATTTCTTGTGTGTCCTTCAAGTGTTCGGTTTAAACAATTCTCCCGAGACTGTCGCAGGAGAGTACTGGATATTCTTTTTCAGAGAATGAGAGAAGATGAAGAAAATTCCAACACTTCTGATGACGATGTTGAGGCCATCACTAGGAAGGAGACTTCCCTGGAGTCAGCGGCAAAAGCACGAAAGCGTCGACTAATGGCTTTAAAGTCTCAGATTCATGGGATTCCTATGCAGTTTTTTTGAATCTTTGTGAAGTTGATATATAAATTGTTTCAGAGAGCAAGATTATGAAACAAAAGAAAGTGACACGAAAAAAAGCAAAGAAGGTTTGAAGCAGTTCAGGTTTATTGTTCTGTTTATCTGTGATCACCAAGTTTTTGTTTCAGAAATCACAAACCAGTTTATGCGAACGTTGGGAATGTCACTAACGGAACTGATTTAGATGTGGTTGAAAATGAAATCGTGGATCATTTACAGGTTACAAGACTTCTTAGATTTTCATATCTATGGTCGAAATTTTCAGGACGTTGTTGACGAAAAACCTATTGAGAATGTTGATCTTTCAATGCTTGCTCCGAAAAAAATTGACTGGGATTTGAAAAGAGATATTGAAGCAAAGCTCCAGGTATTTTACATTTTTATTTTTTTTTTTTATTTGTGATGACTTTTTTCAGAAACTAGACCGAAAAACGCAAAGAGCGGTTGCAGAAATAATCCGACATCGTTTGGCTCAAGGGAAAGGAGATCTCGTTTCGACTGTAAATGCTGGAACTGCGTAATATTTGTTCTTTGTGAGTACAACATTTTCCAAAGATCTATTTTTTTTTCTGAGCAACCAGTAGAGCAAATGGGAAAGTAACGAACAATATATACATTATTAGGGGGAAGTCATGTGACAATCTATATGGATAATTTGACTTCTACAAGGGAAAAAGTTTAAGAGGTATTTGAAAACAATAACTTGCAAATAAGTATCTAATACTCAGAGGCCAATAAGAGATGTCAGTCCAGGTTAGCGAGAATGATAGTTGCGTTCTGCTTGATTCGATCTCGTGTTAGTTCGTGAAAGGGGATTTCCGCCGATCGGTTAAAATCTGAATAAACCTTTTTTCTCAAAAACGCATTTACTACCTGTTTTTGCCTTATTGTTAGCTGAGCCTCTCTTCTGAAACTTTTATGAAAAACAGTTGAAACTAATTTCCGCTTACATAAGCATGAATTATGTAGTTGTCTGCTTGTATTTTGCAAAAAAGTGAAGATTCTGCCGTTATGTAGAAGTCGCGAATAGACACAACCGATTCGAAGTAGTCATTGAAACTGAGTAACTTCAAATTGAGAACTTATCGACCTACTTACAACTTGTTAGCGTCTTGTTTGATGCTTTCCGCTATTGTTCTTAAGCTGAATTCTTTGAATCTTTTTTTTGTTTGCTCATAGCTTTCAAGCATAATAGTCTCCAACTGTTTGTCGCAGCACTCGAACCCTGAAGCTTTCTGGATAAAATAGATATTGAACGTCGAATAACCGTATTTGTTGATGTAGCATGGTTTGCCTTCTTTCACACGACGGTTCAAAGAAGACAAAAGGAAGCGAGGCTGAATTGTTCTAACGTAGAGATTTTTGACTAACAAGTTGGATCGAAAATAATAAAAAATATTCAATTCCACTGCGGTCCTCTCATATGCGTACACTCAAGGTTTTTTATCAAAAAATTTTTTGGATCATCAACTCCTCGTCCGTCTATTGGCCGAAGCTAAATAAATGTACAAAAAATTAATCGGTTGTCTTTTTTTCATGAAAGTCACTAACTGGTGATATGGGAACTGCTGGTTTCCGACGAACGCTGCTGCTCTGGAGAAACAGGACGAGGTCGTTCGGATTTTTGTGTGACGCTTTTTTGGGCTGCGAAAGAATTTAAATTGAGCCAAAGTTATACTGAATTACCTTCAGAAAGTTGTAATGCGGTATTCGAACTGGGTTGAACGTTTTGGAACCCAAAGCGGTCGTTTTGGTTCTGAAATGCAAAGTATTTTCGAAAGAGTGAGAGAATCAGCAAACTTGTCAATGGTTTGGATTGTTTGAGTTTTTAATTTAGAAGTATCCTGCGCGGTGTAATTAAATGAGCTTTTCCTTTCATTGACAGAATTCTCCTTCTGGATTCCTGGTTTCTCATCGAGCTCAACCTTTTTTTTCTGCAAGTTGAAATTATCTCAGTCTGTTTTCTTGAGCCGTAGCAGGAAGGGATGTCCGGAATTCGACTTTTTTCTCTGACGATGAGAAGTAATTAAAAATTATTTCGATAAGTTTTTGCAAGAGTTATCCCATTCCATCCCTTCTTATTTGTTTCAAGGATTATGTTCTTCGCAAAAAACTCAGAAAAAATAATTTCATAAGTGTGCCGTCAATTGGTGTATTTGGCCGTACTTACCATTTTCAATGGATGGATCGACTTTTTAACGACATCATTTTTCCTTATCCTGTTGGCCGTCGAGAGATTCGTCTGGTTTCTTGAGTTGATGTCTTCTGATGCTTTCATGATCACATTCTGAAATATCCTTTGTGGAAATATACAATGTGAAAGTCTGAACTCTTTGATGAAAAAAAAATGTTATATACTTTTTTTCATCAGCGCTTTTTTCGAAAAAGAACGAACATGATTCTGGAAGTCCAGATTTGTTTGACTCGTTTGGACTCCGTAGTGCCAGTAAGGTAGAACTGAGGAGTTTGTTCCTCTCACTCTTTTTCTAGTGACTGTCTGCAAGAAAGTCTCGTTTCGAAATTTTCGTTGGAAAATTAGCATTATTCCTACGCGTGATAAAGGTTGGGTACGCGGTTTCCAAGCTTTCTTGCCGCTTCCGTTGTTTCTGAATTTCTCATCAGATACGGTTTTCTCTCTATGTTTGGAGTTGGAGGATCGCTGATGATAATCCTTCAATAACACTATTTTCTAAATGGAGACATTGTAATTTCTCACCGTCCGATTTTGCCGTAGAGTTAGAACTATGGTAGGGTTACTGATGACCAAGTCTTTTTTTTTCAGAAGCGTTTCTGAAATGGATGGTTAACAGATGAAATTTCGAGCAAAAATTTTCCAAAATTTGTATAAAATATAATTTAGACCCATTATGTATATAAATCCAAAACATACATTAAAAGTTTTCCTGAACGTTCAAATATTAAAATAAAAGTTAATCCAAAGAGCCTTCAGAAAAAGATTTGCCCCCTATTCAAGATTATCGAAGTAAAAAGGTTATCACCGTTTTTGAACGGCGTTGGTAGCATTTCTGTTGATAGAACTGAAGAGAAGAATAAAAATACGCCAAGAAGCGACATTCAGCCGAATAGCTGTGCAATCTCCAAGCACGTTTCTACCTGAAAAATGGCCGCCATCATAATTTAATAACAAAATGCGTCAAGAAAGAAATCGCCGCTCGGAAATTTGCAGGTGAAAGGACGGCGCCAAACTTTCTTTCGGACACTTATGGAATCTCTAGCTCCGCCTCTTTGCAGCCAAATTTTCAAGAGTCTACAGTGAACTAAAAAAAATTGTTTAGAGATTCGTAAAAAAAAAATATCGGTTATTTCAGGTGTGACTTATTTTCGAGTTCTTGCGTGTCTAAAAGAGAATAATGCCTATATTTTTGAAGAACGAATAATTTCGAAACGTGCAAAATAAAAAAACCAAGAAGTTTCTTCCCAAAGATTGATTTGAAAAATTAGGCAGTCATCTTTGATTTTTTTTTTTTGTTCTTTGCCTGTTAAAGACAGTGATTTTTTTCAGGTGAGCAGTAGATTCAAACGAGTGAGTCTGAAGTTATCCAGCACGCGACCTTTTCAGCTAAATTCCTATCAGACTGTTGAAAAAAAAAAATGGCGATGGCATCTTTCTTTTTTACCTTCTGAACCTCCGAAAGGGCAAACCGGAAAATGATCCCGATTCAGAACTCTCGACCCCATTCCGACATTGAAACGTGCATTTATATTTGCGCGGCGGCCTCTCACCGTTATGCGCTGTGAAAGAAGCGAAATGAGACAAACTCTCGATTACGCTTAACGTTTTTCGTTTACAAAAAAGTTTTTTATTCAGGAGCACTTGGACAAGAAATATAATATTATAAAAACCCGTGAACATTTCTGGAGCACTCGCAAACAAAACAAAAACGAGCTAATGGAGAAAAAAGGAACAAACTGAATGTTTCACTGGTTTGTTAAAAAAAATTCTACCAAATACTAAACTTCTTAGCTTGACCCGATTTTCAAGCTATATTTATACCAATCTACATAAAAGAAAAATAATATAACGAAGCATTTATGTTCGTTAGTGCATATTTGGAGTTTGAGAAAGAAGTGAGGTGGGAAAATTCTCACCGATAATCTAGAAAATAGATTATAATGTCTTTTTTTTTAAAATAAGATATATAAAATTATCCTATCAACGAAAACAACGAACGAGGCGTAACTCGTTAGGTTGTCTAGATTATCTATTTGGAAAAAGGCATTCCAGAACTTCAGTCGCGTTTGAAGATGGCATAGAGCCAAGGAGCTGTGACTGCGGCCGCCGTGTAGAGGAAGACGACGGTGAGCAACGTTTGGAGCTTCATCTTTGACTCGATTTTCTTCTCGGTCTGGTCGAGAAGCCGCTCCATTTCGCTTCCCACGTACACCTTCAATTTTTCTTATTTAATTTGAATTTTTGATTTCCTATTATGGCTCACTGAGCGAACTCATGATCCTTTCAATACTACTCTTCTCTGAAACTTTTCTCATTTCTGTTTTCAAACTATGAACTCAAGTGAGCTGTGGATCAATAAAAAGAAAAGAATTAAAAAATGTTCTCATTTTCTGCAGTGAGCTTCATACGTTCCAATTTTGAAACAACTCGATAGAATCTCTTTTTGCTACTTTTTGGAAAGATGAAAAGCTGACCACAGACTGAGGATCGGCGTCGAGAGCGGCTTCCAGTTTGGTCAGCCGCAGCAATTCCTTCATCTCCTTGGCCATCCGCGCGTTTTCTTCACGAATAACCGCAACCACCTGCACAGGTTGAAACCAAAACTTCGAAACGAGAGAAACCTCGTCGGCGGATCCTTCAGTGGGAATCGTGTTTGCAGACGCTTCAGCCCCGCCGGCAAGATTCAGTGTCGAACGTATTTCTTTGATAAAGTGAGTGATCTGAGAAAATCGGAGTAAAGAAAGTGAAGCATAAAGATTTTGATTGGATTTACACGAATTTTGGATTCACACAGTTCCTGTAGGTTTTTTCTTCGCTAAGAAAATAAAACCTTTTCATTCTGCTCGTTGATGGACTTGGCCATTTCACTCATGTGCGCTCCACCGATCGGCAACATTTCTCGTAGCTTCCGCATCCGTAGTTCATTCCCTGAGAGGTAAGAAGTTGAGCAACTGATTTCTTGATAACATGGGCAAGAACCAAAAGAAGATTCTCGAAGATATGAACTTTCGTAAACATTTTTCACTTTTTCATCACTTCCTCTTGGAAATAGATATTTTTTAATTTGAAAGAAACGCATATAAAAATTGGAGAAACGGGGGCGGCATAGCTCAGCTGGCATAACTCATTTCTAACGTCTGCAAGGTCGTAGGTTCGAGTCCCCCCGAGGTCGACCAAGCCTTTCATCCCTCCGGGGTAGATAAAATTGGGAGCTGCATGCAGCGAAAAGGCTCGATCTCTGCTATCGGCCTTTGGAAAGCCGGCACCGTACTTCTTCCTACGACCTCTCTTGTATCTGATGTTCTACGAGCGAAATTCACAACTTCTCCGCCTAAGCCACAGCTCCTGCCGCCGTTTAAAAACATGGTCAAATCAATGAAAGCCGATTGCTCATGTACTCTTACATTGAAGATGCAATAAACAGTTTTTTTAAACAGCATATAAAAAAATAGTTTTTAAAAATTAAAAAAATAATTGACTAAAAAAATGCGAAAAAGAAACCTTTTTTTAAAAAAACTTAGAAGATAAGTATACATAGAAATTTAGAAGGATTTTCTCACACCTTTTATAATTATTTGAAGAAGCCACGGAACTATTTTTGTGTGGTTTCAAAGGAAGTAATTTGCCTATGAACTTGAAGTTTATTTGATTTCACAATATTTTTTTCGAAATTTGAATAGCAATAACTATTTTTGAAACTAATCAGTGTTCTTCTTCAGTCATCAAAGTCTTGTAATCAGTTTTTTTATGGAAAAATATATATATATATAAACAGTCCTACCTAATGACGTTCCGATGATACCGAGTAGAGCGCCGGTGAGGGAGGCACTCACCGACCACCACTTCGTTTTCTCGGCGCGTTCTCTTTCCCTTTCATGGCTCGCTCTGACTCTTAAATGCAGCACATTATATTAATAAAATCACTATTTTCGCCTCATCAAGCTGGTATGGCGATGATGGAGGGGACGAAAATATCCCCCAGGTGGTTCAAATTTCCTACACCTTTTAAGAAAATAATCTTTTTGACGAGTTAGAAAAGAAACATAAAAACATTATAAGCTGTTTTTAAGGCGTTTTTACACTTGAAACTCTTGAAAGAATTTACTTGACGTCAAAATTTTTCGTATCTACTAAAACATGGTTTAGGTTGAAATTTTTTCTCTGGAACGAATAAGTGGATCAAGAATATTATTTAACCAAGTAGGATAATCAGACCAACACATCTTGTAGAAAAAAAAAATGGGATATTACTAATCAATTAAACGTTTAAGCCAAAAATTTTCTATAGTCTGTTCACATTTTGAATGTCAAGTCGTCGCTCAAGCTCCGCCCCTAATGGTACGATAAACCAATCAGAGAGCGAGCCATCCACAGAGTGTTTTTGAATGAAGTCATTGCACTTGACATTAAAAATCTGAAAAGACTATATGAGTTCCAGTCTTTCGCTATATTATCAAATCAAAATGTTTTATTTCTCACACACAAGTACTAAATTTCACGAAATAGATGTAGGGAGAATTTGGGAACATATGTGTCGGAACTTGTGGTGATGGAGGGAAGAGGACTCGCGGTCGTGTTAACCCCCCACTTGAGTAAATTGGAATAACCTTGAAGTTATTCTTTTAAATGTCGATTATGTAGCTTTCATATTTTTGTTGGATCAAGAGTGTTTAGTTCTGTAATGTTGTTTTTCAAACCATTTCTCAAGTTTAGATCTGAACTTATTTTTTTCATACTCAAATACTATGTTTCTATCCATATGATTCCAATGATTGAATACTCTTTGATTAATGAACCGGTAGTGTATGTCAGAAAGTAGAGGCCGCTCTATTTTGAGACCATTTCCTCGCAGTTGATTCGATCTACTTGTTGTATTTTGTAAAGGGATTGGAGATGGGCACCAATAGTATCCGTAAATGAAATTGTGAGCAGCAGTTATGTCTTTCTTTAAACGTCTTTGCCAAAGGGTGTTTAGTCCAAGACGTTGAAGTCTTTCTTTGTAATTCATTTTAGGGAAAAGTATTTTAGTAAATTTCCTTTGAACTGATTCCAATCTATCGATATCCGTTCTTGTTAAAGGACAGAAAAGTTCTGACCCATATTCAAGAACAGGTAAAATCTTCAACTTGTAGCAGTTCATGAAATTAGTGTGCGAGAAGGTAAAACATCTAAAAAAAGATTATTCACAATTTTTCATGCATTTTTTTCACAATTACATTCACGTGACCATTCATTTTTTTAAATTAGAACTAAAATGTACTCCCAGATCTCTGATGAATATATCTGTTGGAATTTTTTTGAGCCATTTATTGTGCAAGAAGGGTTCTCAGTATTGGATTTACCATATCTGACATGTATACTCTTTGAACTCGATAGGACAAGCTGTCTATCTGCTAACCATTCATAAATAGAGTTTAAATCTTCCTGAAGCTTATGTTCGAAATTTTTCTATCTTTGAGCTTATCATTAATTTACAATCGTCGGCATATGTTAATAGTTCGCTGTGTTTGACTACTTTATCGATATCATTGATGTAAAGAAGAAAAAAAATAAAGGACCCAAACAACTACCCTGTGGTACACCCGAAAGTACGGGAATTTCATCGGATAAAGCTTCATTTATGCGTACCATTTGGGTACGTCCAATGAGATAGCTCTGAAACCAGGAGAGTAGCCGACCATTGCAACCATAGGATTCCAGTAAGTTCAACATTCTGCGATGTGTTACGGAATCAAAGGCTTTACTTATGTCCAGATAAATTACGTCCACTATGGCTTTTTCATATACGTTTTGAATCAAATATTTTTGCTTTTGAAGCAATTGCGAAACGGTATTTCTGTTGTTCAAAAATCCGTATTGTGCTTTGTATATTATGTTTTTGTTCCAAAGATGATTTCTTAAACTTCTAACGATAATGGATTCGAGTACTCTGCATGGGACACATGTTAAACTGACAGGTCTGTAGTTTTGAGGCTCACTAAGGCTTCCTTTCTTATATATAGGTCGAACTATTGATTTTTTCCATAAACTAGGCAAGCATGAGGTATCCAATGTTTTTTGGAATATCATTGATAAAGGTAGTGCCAAAGGGGCCGCTAGTTTTTGTATTATGATATTAGACAATTTATCCGGACCGGCAGAATGTAAAGGTCTAAGCTTCTTCAAACATTCGTATACGATATATGGATCAACGTTTATTTCTTCCATACTTCCAACCGAGCTCGTATTATTTATGAATGGTCTCTCATCGTCTTTAGTAAAAACTGAGCAGAAAAAATCGTTAAAAGCCTGAGCTTTCTCATTATCATCGTTGGTGCATCCATTTTTACTCTGTATGAAAGGCGGATCAACGAATATGGTGGTCTTATTTCTAATATAATTCCAGAACTTCAAATTCGGAGAAAAGACGCTTAGTGGAAATCTTTTAATTTTGAGGGTATATTGTTTGCAGCTATAGTAAGAAGTTGCTGTTCAGAAATAACTTTAACAGAAAAATATTTTCAAACCTGTTAGACAGCTGATGGAAAGCTTCACGCTCAGCAGTCTCCATTCCTTCGAAAGATGACAAAAGCTCTCGCTCCTTCAAAAAAAACTTATTACTTTGAATTAACTTTTTGGGCAAGTAAACTAGATCGAAAATTAAAAAAATCACCTTTTTTTATTATTGCGTGTTCTTCAGTTAGCAGCTCGAGGTACCTAAATACTGTTAGAAAAATTTTAGCGCTAGAAAAGTGTTTCTATCAAAATCGATCTAACAAAAAAATAATGCAAACTTGTCTTCTCCTCGACTAGTTCGGTCCAGATCAAAATGAATTTCTTTGAGCCTTGATTGAATAGTGTTGATTTCCGCTTGTTTTTCTCTTCTAATCATCTGTGCTTGGCTAAGTTTTCCTTCCCACTGAACATTAAAATTTCGATGTTTTTTAAAAAACTAAAATAAACCTTCATAACTTCGTCTTGAGCGAGTTTCACTGCTTTAACTCCTATGAACTCCTCATAGGCGTCCACCCATTTCTCTACCGTCGCTCTAAATATTTCATTATGAAAGGTTGATAAAATTAAACGCACCTCGTCCCACTTTGGTTTGCAGTCACTTGTGAGGCTGTTGAAACGTGGAGTTGAGAGATATTGCAACATCTAACGCAATGGTTGAAAAGGAGGCGTTGCATCCGTAATTCTAAAAAAATTAACTGTTCGAAAGGACTATAAAACTCGAAAAAGAACGTTAACAGAGAATTAAAAAATATGAAACAAAAAAATTTAATAGAATTCAGTAAAACAAAGCTAGCTTTGAAAAAACAAAAACATGAATTAAATTTTTCTTTCTCTGCGTAAAAAGGACACTTTCAGTAGTCAAACGCGCTCTATGGACAACTGATGCCGGACTTCCGGACGCTGCCGTCAGTTTATGCTAAAACTGGATTCAAAGTAGGTTCAATTGTCAGATTTTTCATGAAACTAAAAAGGGAGAGCCGGAAATTATTAGGAATTCTTCACAAATACGGGCTCGGTTTTTTTTTCTAAAACTTAAATTGAAGTCTGTTTAATGCTCATACAAGCAGTCTTTTATTTCTATTCCTCTACTTCTTATTCCCTCGCACTGAAATTCCATTCAAATACTAGAGAAAGGTCGTCGGCTGTTGATTATCCGGATAGAACAGCACACTCCACAGTTCTCAATATTTATGAATCGAAGTCTTACTCTTCTAGCGATGTTATAAACCGGAAAAATCAATGAATATCCTGAATACATGCTATAAAGACGTAATAATGGATTAATTGAACAATCTCGTTCGATTAGACGGGCGCGGCGCTTCCCGAGATGATGAAGTTTTCTTCGACATCACATTCTTTCCAAATGCGCGCATTCCTGATCATTTTTATCTTAATTTTTTTTTAATATGGAAACTTTTTTTTATCATTTCAATGCATTATTTTAAAAATCCATATTAAGCCTCGTTATACTAAAATAGATATTCAGCCTTTTATACCACCTTATAAGTTTCCTTTAGCCCTTCTTTTTTCCATCCTTAATCTTTCTGCGTTTTTAAAATAATCAAATATTCAGCGAAAGTTTCGACAGATTGATTTTGAACTCTCTTTGCAAGTAGTGTTCAGAAGTTGAATCAATTTAAAATTTGAGCTCGCCATAATTTTTCTGATTTTCGCTTTTAACCACTTAATGTACCGCTCTCTCCCTTGACACTCCGCCCACTCGAGCTCCGCCTCTGTTTTTGCTATCAGTGAACTTTGAAATATCGCAAGAATGTGGACTTCAAAGAACTTTGGACTAGTCCATCTCTCTTTTTTTCGAAGCCGTTTTAAAATAAGGCCTCAGAAGAGAAAGTTCGAAATATTTTTTTCCATAGGATTTAGTTTCCAAGTCCTCTACTATCGGGACTCTCGTTCATCATTTACTTTTTAAGTCTGACTGGTCTTATCATGTACTGTGAAGATCTGGCAACGTTTTCAGTTATATGGATGAACTAGAGCTACGGACGACTTCGGAGACATTGTTTTAGTTGAAGACAGCCGATTGGCAGTCTGCCAAACCAGGAGAAAGGTGTGCTGTAATGTACTTGTGTGCATTAGCATAGGCGGTGCGCGGCGGGTTGGCGGCTGCACTCGCGAGGGACCGTGAGACGCAGACTGGCTCTAGTTTATCTCTCGGCCGAAGTCTTTCTCCGCAGCGTCTCCGATCTCCACTTTGTTCTTGCATCTCTTCATCTTGGCGAGTCTGTTGCGGGGGACGACCGACCGAATTTTACACAGACGGTGCTTCTCCTCGATTCCTTCGGATGTCCCTCGGCCTCAGGCGCAGGTGATATCAAAGCCCACCTCGGTCAATATCCGACTGCGTGGGTGAGCAATTCCCACCGTCTCACCTTTCAATCCTTTGTTGTCTTTTCTTCCGTTTACACGGTTCTTACCACCTTTTCGACCGCCAAAAACTAATCTTTTGCACCTTTCCGCCATTGTTTCACAGTTCCTTTCCGAGTTCTTACTATCTCGTCGTTTCCGTCCAATCATTCAATTTCTTCAACGTTTTATTTATCCAGTATTTTTTCATTACATATTGGCAATCAAAATCTGAAGGTTTTTTCTCCGTCCGCTCTCAAAGTTTGTCGCTTTACACACTTGAAATTCTCAAAAGCTTTCTGAAAAAATTGGGTTATTCATTTATGATTTTTTTTAAACTTTTGTGAAATGAGAAATTGATCAAAACAGTTTGGTTTGATTTTTTCGAGAAAACTTGTTCAAAACCTTGTTCAAACCACAATTTTCGCCTCTCGGGGAGAAACTTTTTGGCTGTTCTTCTCTCAAAAAGCAACATTGTGCTATTGTTTACACATTGAATGAGCTTTCTCGGTTTCAAATTTTCTTCAGTTTCTTCACCTTTTTCATTTTTTTAAAATAATTTTTGTATGAGGGCATCCCCATTTTTCAAAATTTTTTGTTTTTTTAGACCATATAGCTTCTTTCTCGCAATTTAAACTCTCACAATCTTCGCCACTTTTTTCTTTTCTTATTTATCCAGATTTGTTTCACTTTCATTCAAATGCTTGTTACTCTTACCTTTCGCAAAAGCCGAAATAAATGACGCGACGGTTTTATCCATCTCCTTTTTCTCAAAACAAAGATTAGATTCTTTGAAAAAAATCTATCTATATCTCGCAAGCGAAAGGAATCAATATGGGTTTTCTGGGAAAGAGACGGCGTTTTGCAGATGCAACACTGAGCGACTTGGGCGATTGAACGGAAACAACGCAGAGCGCCATGCCGGTTTTCCACACCAAGACCATCGAGAGTATTCTCGAGCCCGTCGCCCAGCAGGTTTTCCTTATCTTTCTATTTGTGGTCTTGCTCTTTCCTTTTTTGTCTTTTCCTACCTGTCTCACCTTTGGCAAGTGACCGGCAAACAAACTTTTATTGGGTTGACAAAGTCAGGCTCACTTTCAAAGCGTAAATTAGTTTTTTGAATTTTTGTAAAAAAGAATTTCAGAAACCATGTTAATTTTATGTTTTTGACCCCTTCTCAATAGAATTTAGTCAGATGTAATAAGTAGTCAGTTAGCTGAAAATAATCAAAGATTCACTTTGATAAACTGAGAAAAAAAAATCCGCGTAGCTGCCTTCTTCACGATTTTTTCGATATAAAATTGAGTAAGCCCATTTTTGTTCATTTAATCGCTTTATCAACTGTTTTTTTGGGTGCAGATTCATAAATGAATAATTCTAGATTAGATGTATATTGGTGAGATCGGCAAATTTTCTCCGAAAAAGTGGTGTTTTGCTAATCTAAGTTTTCCAAATTTCATTTTTCATTTTAAATTTGCTCTGAGTCCAATCAAAAAAATTTTCGAAATAAAAGCTTTTATATTGCGAAAAAAATAGAAGTTCTGAAATCAAAAAAACAATTAATAATAAAGTATTTTGCTATTTCAAAATACATTTTACTATTGTTATATAGATTTCGAACCATTTAATTTTTTCATATCTTGAGCTCTTGATAGTTGTTTTACAAAGAGGATTTCTGAGAAAAAACAGGAAAGCGTTGATATTTTTGGAAAATTAGCTTGTGGCGCGGAAAAAAAAAATTATTTTATGTGTCACTTTGGAAACTCACAGAGATCCGTCATCTTTCGAGAAACCTAAAAACCTTTTTTTTTGTTCCACGGTCACTTGCCGACACTTTTTTCATGTACTCGTTGCCCCGGCTCGTTTTTGTCTCTGGTTTTAACGACGTCGACTGCAAAGAAGCAGCCGCCACCTGCGAGAATCGCCCGCGCTTTACTGCACGATAAATATAGAACCACTGCTACAACGCACCCGCTGCCTTCTTTCCCGCAGCTCACAACACACATAAACATTTCTCCGTTTCGAACCATTCCATCAAACTTTGATTGCATGAGTCGATGGAAAAAAAGGATTCAGATGAAAAAACTCTGAAGGTTGTCCTCCCGCCTTTCCTCCTGGATTTTGTCAACATGAGAACAACCGCATGTTAAGAACTAATCGGCGCGTGAAAATGCCGTGGCACTCGACAACTTGACTATAAGACGCGTGTTTGGGGAACAGGACGGCGAAATTGTTGATAAAACTCAACCGCCGAGAATTCGGTGTGTGCGAGAGCTAGAGCTTTTGCCTCATGGTGCGTACTCACGCACGGGAAACACACTTGAACCCCGAAGCCACGCCGAAAGACAAGGACTCCCACAGCCGCGCTGAACCTTCCGCTTTATCAAAGGATTCCAGCCGAGTATCTGACCAACCTTTGAAATTGGTTCTAAGGAAAATATTTCTCCAAGAAATCACAAGGAGAGAAAGTCGGCAAAATTTTTTTGATTTTCAATAAATGTTTCTCAAAATTTGATCCGTAGATGAAACTTAACATGCAGACAGAATGATTAGAACATTTTCCCTATTTTTCAGAACATCAGTACAGTTTTCCTCATTTACAACTTCCCACAGTGCATGCCAACTTTTTTTGACATTTTTTCAAACGAATTCATTTATTCTGAATAAGTTACTTCAGTTTTTAGACGATGTTCATACGAGTAGATCAGAAGAAAGGTTCTAAAGTTTTAATTCTATCTTCTGCGAATTTTGGTTGAACTGCTATGTTTTAGTGTTAAAGTATAACCTCAATCACACGGAAACTCCGATAATCAGCCGATTTAAGGCTACAATCAGACTTGACCCATACTCAGAAACTACAGTCTTCAGCTGTACTACATATTTCAAAAGTGTGCAAAGATATAATAGAGTCTTTTTGGATCTCAGCCATTTTTTAGTTTGGGGGATCACGCTGTAGCGTTGCCAATCTCTGATTAACAGAAAAAAAACTGAGGTTATTTCGGGTGTACAGACGCTATCAGTTGAACGAGAAAAGTTATCAAGATTCAGTTGAAAAACATTTTTTCATTAATTTAATTGAACTTCGGTTTGAAACAAATCTCTCTTTCGTTTAGCTAAAAAAATCAATATATTTTTTCATCCCCTTGCAACCTTTCCTCAGTTAATGGAACAGAACCAGACAGACTCGACTGCCGAAACGTTTAATACTTTCGCCCCATTACGAACCTAAACAACACTGAAAGAGCATGGAACGGAGAATGCATGGCAATCAGGATAATCACTCCGATTTATACACGCTTCAGCTTCACTATGTGTTGGCAGTGGCGGAGAAAAACGCCACGGGCAGAGTGGATTCGCCACGGCAGTTGGGCGCCAGCATGCCCAACCTCGGCTTCGGCTCCGAGTTGCGCGGGCTTTCTCGGGCCAGTAGCCGTCGCTCGATCCCCGAGTTCATCTATCCGGACACTTTGCGGCAGGTCGTCACCGACGACGACTGTCCTGTCTGCCAGCTCATGCTTCCTAAGGGTCGCCACGGCTGCGTACGTGTCTCGTTTGCTTGTTTTTGTCTTCCATTTGTCCATTGTTCATTTTCATTCATGCCGTAAATCGTGTCCATAATGTTCTTTTGTCAATTTGGTGGTTGTCGTGCAGATCCTATGAAAGCAGTCCATTAAAATGTACTTCTGAAAGTTCGGTTTCTTTTAATAATAGATCTAAAAAAGTTCCAAATACATCTTGCGAAGCATTTTTTGCGGCGATTGAAAGATTTTCATTAATCGACTTTTGTGCAGGATGCGAAAACAGCAAATCCTAAGAGCAACACTTTACAAAAAAGTAGAAAATAAGCTCGTAGAATCGCTGTTTTTGTTTTTGGCGCAACGAAGACACTTCTTTGTCGCAAGTTTAGTCTTTTTTTTTGTCCGAAAAACTAGGTTTTGGTTCGCATTTTCCTAGTTTCAGGCAATAGCTTCTGACTTTCCTTCATTCAAAAAAAAACTGCTTAGCTGCTCTTTTCTGCTTCATTTTTGACCGTGTTTTTTTTTTCAAAGAAACGACATTCTTCAATTGAAAAATATGAAATATGAATTTGCAGGTCTCACGTCTAGTGATCCTACATGAAGAGGCCGAAGATGGAAATGCAATGCCAGATCTCACGAGGCCCGTCGGCCTCGTCTCTAAGGCCGTCGACAACCTCATCAAGGTGAATCTCCGGACTTTTGAGCAATAATATTTGATATTTTCCGTCAAAACTTTTTTCTGTGCTCATCACAGACGCCTTTGATGATTTTATTTCATTAATTGTAGGCGTGAACTTTTTTATGGAAAGTTTTTTTTTATCATGAATTCAGTAGTAAAAGATAAAGTTTAAAAGCATTTTTTTCATTTCACCACTTCATCTGCCTTTCCCGACTTTCTGCTTCTAGTTTTTTTTTTTCTGCAAGTCAATTATTTCCGTGTTCCTGTAAGCAAAAACGGAGTTTTTAGTGGAGCGGCTGTGGCGACCGGCGCCTAATGCGGTTCGCACACATGCTTCCGCCAGCTTCCCACTGGCTACATGCCTTTCCCCCACCTTCTCCTCTAAATTTAGACACTGTTTCAGTATGACAATGATCTCATTAAAGTTATTTCGTGAAAAACCAAAAACTACACTTGTTGCCTCGTTTTCCTGTCTAGTGGGACTCAAGCTACACTTGGACAAAACTTTTCTCAAACTTTCTTCTGCAATTTAAAGTGAGCTCTTGAGGTTGGCTACGACACATGTAACCATTCGGACGACCGCATCTTGCAACAAGACATGCCGCCCGCTCTCCAGCGAGTCGAAGGCTCTTCTAGACTTCTCGAAGAAGCCTGCGTCACCTTGAAGGTTCAGAGACTCCAATAAGTTTCTGATTTCCGAGTTAGGACGTGAAAAGGATATCAGCTTTCTCTAACTCCCTTTTATTTTTTTTTTATTCCCTTTTTCATACTTTTTCACGATCAATCTTGCAAAGCTTGGCTGTTTAATTTGTTTACTTGAAATTTAAATATTCTCTGAAAATCAGCCAATTTACTCGTTAATATAATAGATGATCCTTTAACTCCTAATCTGCAAAAAAATATTTTTCGAGCCAACGCTTCAGATATATACTTCTTTCCTATTTATTAGTCCCAAACTGTGCAGGTTTCCCACTTATATCAAATAAAATTCAGGCATCAGCCTATTTTCAAATGATTCCAAGTTTTCAAGTGGAATGAGACCAATTGTTAATTATTTTCTCTTTTCTGCTTAATGAAATAACCTTTTTTTGTTTTTAAAGGGAGATCCATTCTCGGTGCCGGCCAGGAAGAAGCTGATCGACGGCGCCCGGGGAATTCTCCAAGGAACGTCGGCTTTGTTGCTTTGTTTCGATGAATCCGAAGTCCGAAAAATCATTCGTGGGTGCAGAAAGGTTACTTTCAGATTTCTTCAGTTAGAATAATATATTTTGCAGGTTCTGGATTATTTGGCTGTTGCTGAAGTCATTGAATCGATGGACGACTTGGCGCAGTTTGTCAAGGTACTATTGTCGGTTTTTCTCTCAAAAAAATCTTTGCTTCAGGACATCTCGCCATGGCTTTCGCGAGTCACTAGCGACGTCAACACTCGCCAGCTCGAACTGACTCATCAGGTCCATCGTGAGATCCTCATCCGCTGCCTCGACGCCATCAAGACGCTGTCACCGATTCTGATTTGCGCGATGAAGATCTTTATCCAGATCAACAACGATCCTGCGCAACGAGGCTCAGCCGAAGCTGCGGAAAACAGAAACTATCTCTCGCAACGGATGACCGACGAGATGAACGAGATCATCCGAGTGCTGCAGCTCACGACCTACGACGAGGACGAGTGGGACGCAGACAACGTGACTGTGATGAGGAAGGCCCTGTCCGCAGCCAAATCGCTGCTCACCGCCGCTCTCGATTGGCTCGCTGACCCTCGAGCTCGGGCTGGCGCCATCGGCGAGAAGGCCATCCGACGCATCTGTGAATACGCCGACCGCATCGCCGCGCGTGCTCTGCCTGAAGATGGTCATAGCATCAAGGTGGGCAACTTCAATAAATTGAATCGTTGGTTCAGTTCTTGAGAGTTGTTTCTTCTCTAGATCATCTTCAAATTAAGTACTTTTCAAACGCAAAATCTACACATAAGTCTAGTTTTTAATTTTGTTTTAGAGAATTTTTGAAAGGTACAAGAATACAGGTTCTACGTGTAAATTTCAAAATTTTTTTCAGAAACAGCTTACCGCTTGAAATGCTTTAGTTTGAAACTCTCAGATTTTTGAGAAGAAATACTTATGAAATGTTTTTTCATGGCGAATCTTTTTCCAGAGATCAATCAACGAGATCATGTCGATGACAGACTCTTTGTGCGATTTGCGCAACTCAGGACGATACGACAGTGAGAATTTGGCCGCACAATGCGCTCAGAAGCTGAAGGACCTCGTCGGAACGAAGCACAGCTCGGGATTGATGAGCGACGCTCTTCAGAACGCCCAAAGACATGGCGGAGTCAATCCAGCCCACACTGCCGCCGGACGACTTGAGCAGGCCATGAGGTTGACTTCAGCTCAGATTCCCGATCACCAACTGTCTTCAGATGGCTCGACAACCCGGGAATCGACGATGGAGGTCTTGGACTTCAGGCTCTCCGGTTACTGACTTCTGACGCCAGGAAACTCGCAGATCGGCTCAATCCACAAGACAGGTTCCTTTCGAAACATTTGACCTTTTTTGTTCTTCCTATTTAGATGCTCACTGAAAGCCTTTGGATAAAATTCTATCTTAAAGTTTTTAGCGGAGTTGAAGTCCACTTCACATGTGATTTTGGTTTCAAACAGATTCACCTTTTGAGTAGAAGAATGCTGTTTATTTAGCCTTCTAGTGTAGAAATTAACGCAATTCTTATCTTCATTAGAGGGTTCTTCGAATAGCCTTAAATTCAAAAACCCTAAAGGAAAGTTGACGCTCTGTTTTTTCCTCGTGATGCAGTTAGTTGAAGGAACAAGCTGCTGGGACTTTGTTCCGACATCGACCGTTTGGCGAACCAACTGGCCGACCTGGAACGTCGAGGACTTGGAAACACACCTGAAGCTCACGCCCTCCGTAACCAACTCAAGGACCGACTAAGGGAACTCAGCGACTTCATGCGACGAATTCTGACCGACCGAGTGGTGAATATCTGGGTGAAGTATATCTCTCCAATGAGAAACCGTAGGTGGAAGACTACGCCGACATCACTACGCCACTAAAGCAGTTCGTCGAGGCCGTTCATGCAGACCAGTACGATCCCAACCGCGAGCACAACTTCACGGACAAGTCGCATCGGCTGAACGACCACGCCCACAGCATGACGACAACTGCGCGTCTTGTAGCCACTTGCGGACCGTCTAAGAGCAAAAAGACGGTCGAGGCGATCATCGACACGGCTGAGAAGGCATTTTCGTCGGAGAAAGCTTGAAAACGAAGAAACGTTTCAGGTTGACCAAATGACTCCACAGATTATCAACGCCGGTAAGATTCGGCTGCACAATAACTCGGACCACGCAGAACAACACTTTGAGAACATCCACAGGTTCGTTGCGAAGACTTTTGTGTTCGAAAAACAAAACCCGTGCCAAACGTAGAGATTATTTTCAAAAAAAAAAAAATTATTTTGTGATTTTTTTGTTTTTTAATATTTTCATTAAAAATCCCCTTTTTTTTCATTTTTCGCGGTTTCATTTTCACTGATATAAATTAAATAAATCGAAGTATTTGTCATTTTGAAACAGAATATTTTTTGACGGGATGATTTGGACTTACACAGAAATGTGTACTTCAAAGAAAATTCAATTTCTTTGTACCAGCTTTTCTCTTGATAGATTTTCCCTAGATTCTTGATTGAGGGAAAGAGTAAGACAATAAACTCTGAGTTTTTAAATGGAAAATATGGGAGAAAAAATCACCAATTATCACCAAAGCATTATTTAGTGTACAAAATTCATCATTTTCTCACAATCAGACGCTTCAAAAACAGAGAAGCGCATTCAGCAAAAATTGTTACGAAGAAAAAAGGCAAATGAAAAAAAAACCGAAACGATGACTATAAGTTTTTTTTTTCACGTTCAGGTTTCATTTTTTCTTTTTTGAAGGAATTTCAGATTTTGTATTTAGAAAAAAATATTTTTATGAAGTGTGGACTTTTGTGCCATGAGTATGCCGTTAGATAAAGACTAACCTGGTGACTTTTCAGAGGCTCCACAAGATATTCTGTTTTGTTTTGTTATCAGACTTTCGGTGTTTATATTAAAGAGTATAAGTTTTTAACTGATTGGTTCACCGCTAGTTATATCTAAAAGTGGAAGAATGAGGATGTAGTCTTGGAGCAATTGGCCTAACTGTGTGCAAAACGATGAGTTTTGATATCTCTAGAGTAGACTGTTCGTGGTAAATAACTGAATTTCTGCAGACAGTACGCAGACGCCCTCCACAGACTGCGGTCACACGTCGACGACGCCATCGACACCGGCGAGTTCGTCAGAGCCAGTGAAAACGTACGCATTTCATTAGAGCGAATTTGTTTCTCTTTTCGTGAGACTCATTGATTGGTTGAAGGCGATGCGACGGTACACTAACCACTGCGAGTCGGCGATCGGCTCTTCGGACGCACAGGGAATGGTTGACAACACCTCCCAGATTGCACGTCTCGGAAATCGCGTGCTGATGACGGCCAAGAACGAGGCCGACAACTCCGAAGAACCCGCCTTTGTCGACCGCGTCAACACGGCCGCCTCACAGCTCCACTCCGGTTAGTTGCACAAAAGTCTTTCATAGGTTTTTTTGAGTCATGTAGTCGAGAACTGTGTAGCCTAGGTCTTGTCTCGGAAAGCTCATTACTTCTTTGTTTATCATCAAAACTCCTACCAAAAAAATTGGTTTTTTGTTGGCGCCTTACTTTTTTTTTCTTTCAGTTAAACTGGCCAAAAATGTGCCATTAAACAAATGATGGCGCTTTCAGCTTTTCAGTTGCTCCTCTGTGATTTTTATGGTTATTTAGAACTCAAAATGTAAAAATTTTTTTGGAGTTTGTATTAAAAAAATTGAGAAAAAAATGTGATTTTTTTGAGTCTAAAATTTCCGATTCTAAATATAGACAACATTTTTTCATCTCAAAAGAGTGAGCGAAGAAATGCCAACAACCGTTTGTAAGAATAGCTTGCACTCAAATTGGAAAAGTTTCTCGAATTAGATAATTGATTCAAAAAATATTCCCTTGATTTTCAAGTTTTGGACTTCACTTCAAAATAGTTAAAAACACGAATTTCCGAGAGGTCACAGTTTCTTAAAAATGGTTCTCTCATAATAATTCTTATACAACAGTATAGTTGTTATATAAGAAGTTCACAACACTCCGAACGTTGCTTCTGAAAAATAGAGCGAGTAGAAACACGAAAACGAAAAAAAGCGAGAAGGGATGAAAGTTTGCCAAGCGCCCCTACGTAATAAGTGTGCAAGCAAGAGGCTCTGATCATCTACCGCCCGCTCGTTTTTTGTTTCTTCAACTCGACGTTTCCTCCCGCAGTTTCTCCTCAAAAACCATTTGCCATTCCTCCAATTTGTGTTCGTTTCTCGGAGGCTTGGCCATTTTTCCGCTGAAAAATGCCTTATTCCCGATATTCTTCGTCTTCCGACGCTTATGAGTCTGAATACGATGAGTACGACAACGACTCCTATGAATATGTTTACCGACGGGTTCCCTACAACCCTGTTGTATACATTTGTGAGTTGCGAAGTGTAGAACAACTATCGGAAAAAAGTTCTAGTTTTATTTTCAGTGTCAGAAAAACCATCGCTTGAATTTGCTCCTCAGTACATGAAAATGGATAATTTTGAACTTTATTCGTCTTTTTTTTTGTTTACTTCGAACTCAATGTTTTGAGAAACTACAAGGTTAACGTTTAGAACACAAACTCGTTTTTTCGCGGAATTAAATATTTTTCCGGTAAAGTCTAATTCATGTTTTTAGACTATCTTACTAGGTAGCTCGAGAAAATTTAGCCGTTTTATGTGATTAAACATCCATAACTATCTTTTTGAGAGTACGTTTGAAGAGAGGATGCTCAAGCTGTGTTTTTTTTTTTGGAAAAGTGTAAAAACAGGCTTATTTGCTTATACTTCAAAAACGCAACTTGAACAAAATCTGATCGGTTTTCATTTCTGAGTGAGAAAAATAATCACTACCTTGAATTTCTTTTCAAAGCTCTGATTTCTTGCAAAAGAAAATACAAAAAGAGCACGCAAGCACGAGAAAAAGCAAGTCAAGTTAGGCGCAGACTTGTTCTGCGCCATTTGGGTTTTTATTTATAACCTTTATGCAAAAATAAAAACAAAATAAGCTCAAATAAGCCAAATAGTCAGACTGAGTAATTTGAAACTGTTTGCAGCAATCCCACCGATGGTGAACCATGCAAAACAAGTGGCTCTGAATCCCCGCGACCAGTACGCCTCGAACCAGTGGCGTGGTGCCAATGATCATCTCCTGAACTCGGTTCGCGCCGTCGGAGACGCCATCACCGGAGTTCCGATGAATGGCGGCCGGCAGTCGGCCTACCAAGAGAGCATCTCTCGAGCTTCCCCTTACACGCCAGCTGTGAGTTCGGAGTTCTGTTCTTCAGAAACCAGAAAAACCGTCTCTTTCAGCCACCTTCATCGCAAGTTCTGCGTTCTGTGACAGCCTCTCCGCCGCAGCCTCCCATCGTCCACAACAAGATGATCATCCGCGAGGAAATTCCAGCGCCGCCGAGACCGCCGCCGCCAGTTGAACTGTCGCCGCCTCCGAGACCTCCACCACCGCCGGAGTACGACGAGGAAGAAGAAACTCGCGCCTTCTGGGAAAGGTATCATTCGTTATTTCTGAAGCAATCTCACGCATACTTATACTTTTAGATACCCTCTTCCTCAGGCCAGCCACCAACCGATCCTTTCAGCTGCCCACAATCTCCACAACGTTGGTTTTTGTTTGTTTTATGAGAAAAAATGAGTGACTGGCTGATGTTCCAAAGAAAACTGTTAGGCTTTTTGATAAAATAGGGGGGATATCCTCACAAAAAATATCCTTGTACTCTGCAAACAAGTGGTTCAAAAAGTTCAATGCTGAAGAAACTTTCGCTTATTTTTAGCGGGGTGTATTATTTTTTCAAAGCTACAAAACCATCAAAATATTTTTTTAGTCACAAGAATCAGAGCTTTAGATATTTCTGAAGCGGGCCTGGCACTTAAAATTATTTTCAGGAGCTGAAGCAATGGTCGAGCCAGGAGAACGACATCGTCGCGGCTGCGAAGAGGATGGCGATTCTGATGGCACGACTCTCCCAGCTGGTCCGCGGCGAAGGCGGCACCAAGAAGGACCTGATCGACTGTGCCAAGGCGATCGCCGACTCCTCAGAAGAAGTTACTCGACTTGCCGTTCAGCTTGCACGACTCTGCACTGACATCAAGATGCGCATGGTCAGTTTCCCTTTAAATCCCTTTTTTCATGATCTTACGAGGAAAATCGAATTCTTTGATGTTCAGGCATTACTCCAAGTCTGCGAAAGGATCCCAACCATCGCTACTCAACTCAAGATCCTTTCCACCGTCAAGGCTACGATGCTCGGATCAGCGAGTGAGTCTTTACCGTCTTCTTTCGAATATTTACCCGTAAAAAAGGAACTTTTTTGACGGCCCAATAAAGAAAACTAAGAAAGTTAATTGCCTTTCAGTGACAATCGGACCATACGGACAGCCTGTTGACGGTAATTCTATTCTAAATTCAATGATTGAGAACTCAAACCGCATGGAGTTTATTTTTATTAAAAAATTGATCGACTTCTTTGATTCTCTAAGTGTGATTTACTAACAGTGATCCCCCTTTTGTGTGATGAATTTTTCATTGTGAGAACCGTATCGCAAATTTAACAATTCTGGGAAAACTCGAAAATTTACTTTGGCATCCAAATCTCATTCACTAACCTGTAAAAAATTTTTTGCTTCAGAATGGCCAAGTATCTTCTCGAGTTTCTTCATATAAGATTTTACAGTGATTTTGTTGTTATTGCAGTACTGAAGGGACTTTTACAGGCAGCGAAGAAGACGAAGAAGCGATGCAACAGTTGGTTTGCAACGCCCAGAATCTGATGCAGTCTGTCAAGGTGCGTCGAAACCAAGAACCATAGAAGAAGAAGAGTTTCAGGACACGGTCCGAGCCGCCGAAGCGGCTTCTATCAAGATCCGCACCAACTCAGGACTCCGCCTCCGCTGGCTCCGGAAACCCATGTGGTCCAACTTCTAAAAAATATCGCCTTTCCAATTTTTCATCCAAGAACTCTGCTGCGTGCCTTGTGTTATTCCAATTATATCGAAATTTATATTGCATCATCTTTTTCTTTTTTTAATTTTACATTTTTTTAAATGTCCATTTCTGCCTTTTCAAAGAAAAAACCTCAACGGCATAATATTTCAGTGCCTTAAAGCTGATTTCTATCATCCAAATGTGCCTCCATTTTCAAAGTGCCTATACAGATATGAAGAATTAATTGATTAGGTAAAAAAAACTTCAGTTCATCAAAATTCTCAAGTCCTTACTTTTTTCATGTATTAAACCTTCCAGAAGTAAAATTATATTCAATGTATCCGTGTTTTTGTGATGGAATTTTATTATTTAATATGAAACGAAACTGCCCGTGTCCTGTCCTTTTCAAAGAAACATTTTTTTGCTAGTCCCCTCTAAAATAAAAATTTGAAAATGTTTATCTCTTGTAGCTTTTTCTTGAAGAAATGTGTGGTAGAAGCGCTCTTTGAGAAGTAATAGGTTTTTTGCATTTGTAATCATTTCCGTCACCAACACCTGAATCAAATGTTAATCTGAAATTTTGACATTTTCCCCAAAAATCTTGACAAAATGCCCTTTTAAGTTCTGCGCGTCTGACTACCTTCTGCTTTCCACAGAGTCCGACCGAATCTGACACGATGTTTTGGAAAGAAAAAATAACTTTGGCCGCCCAACAGAACTTTGAATGTTTCCAAATGTATTGAGGGCAGTGTAGAAAGAGAAGAGAGGAAAAAACGGCCTTGTGTATAATTTATCAGCGCCGGCGAATCCGGAATGAAGTCGGGCGCAGAGACGATTTGCCGAGGGAGACTCAGGTCGTTTCCCTTGCACACACGAAATGCTCGGCGATGAATATTTGAAAGCGGCATCATGAAAATTGCATGAACGTTCGGACAATTCATGAATTCGCTTATTATTTCCATTCGTATTTACAGCGTCAAGTCGTCATTTTCGCTTCATTTTTATTTCGAAAACCTTTGTCTTATGTTTCCAAGTCGAAAAGCCGTTTAAAGGCCGCTCAGACTCTTTTCTGGGATGCTGGAGCATGTCCTAAGGCGCTAAACTAATTGTTCTGGTGGGGATTTCCACGGTTTGACAGCGAAAGTTTTCATAACTTCATACCAAAAAAAAAGTGTCCAAGCGAGGCTAGTAAATCTTTTGAACATACGTTTTAAGATCTAGAGTGAGGTATGCCAGAGTGATGACGAACTTTCTCTAATCCTAAGGAAAAATTGACTTTGCCTTTAGTCTGCGCCCGATTTAGGGACAGAATCCCAGAAATGTCGGGTTAGGAGCAGGTGAAGCTCCAAATAAAGAGTTTTAAGTGACCTTTTTAAGCGACTGAGAGACAGCTGCCGCCAAACTAAATAATTCCTGCCAGGTCGAGTTAGTTTCTCTGGAACTTGCCCAACGTCTATATTTAATTTCTCTTTTCCATTACCTGCCTGAAAACAATTATTCGGGAAAAAAGCTCTGATAGACTTTGGCGGAGCGAAAACAGCCATTATCGTGATAAGCCCCGTGTTTATTCATGCTCCACAGAATAACTCAATTCGGCGCAATTAAAGGCAGGAAATTACCGCCTCTGTGAACGGAAAAGTGGGCGTGGCCTGAGTGGATTCAGTGATAAGTTGAAGCCCCGGCCGACGCAATCGCGGTACGATGACCACGCAACTTCGGCCACCCAATTTCCCACTGTGAGTATGAAACCCGATCACCATCTTTTTTTCTTTCAATCCATTTTCCTCGACTTGAAACGGCGGGATTCGGCATTTGCAATTGTGCAGAGCGGTTGCGATTCGTTCCAGCGAAATTTCAAAAATTATCGAACTAGTGAAACTCTTTCACTGACTGACCCCATCTATCTAAAATGAAATCCAGAAGAATTATTTCTGAGAGTTATTTGAAATAAATAATTAATTAATTAAAATACAAAAAAGTTCGAACTGGCGCCAATAACGACTCCCGAACGTTTTGCACAGGAACTGCCGCAGCCGACCATTGCAAGCCAAGAAAAATGAATTATAAACTATCCGACACGACTTGAAACGATGTGGTCACATATTGATGAAACAAAGAAAACCGGTTTGGAGCTCAAAACAGAAATTGAAAGAACAGAAAATTGTAGGTATTAAAGTTTTAAGTTTGGTATTAAAGTTGAACAAACAAATTTTTTTTTCTTTTCTCATGTTTTAAGCTTTGAGATTTTGATATAACCGAAATACTTTTTTTTGTGAAAATTGAGCTTGAAAGAAGAAATTGCAGAAATGGACAGCAAGAAGAACTACTCAAAGTTTACGGATCAGCCAAGGCGAGCCTCAAGCGCCTAATGCCCGAACCTCCGGTAGGTTTTAATAACGTTTATTTACTTCTTTGCTTCAATTACTTACAGTTTTCAAAAAGTCTCGAACATAAAAAAAATTTCAACTCAGATCTTTTGTTAGGAAAGTTTCCAAAAGGAGTCGAGGCTGTGGTGACACAGTGTTCCCAAACGAGCGGCAGCTGTGGTCAGTAGGCGTAGCTGACTGCAACAGCGGCACGGTTTATTGCAATAGGGGCGCGGGAATGAGAGTCAAGTTTTGTGGATTTAGTGGTTGGAAAAAGACCATTAAATGATGTTTTTCCTAGGTTCTCGCGAGTTTTCGAAGATTTTTTTAATGTGTATATAATTATAACGAACAAATTTAAATGAAAAAAGAGACGAAAAAGTTTTTGCAAAACAAAATATCTCCCAAAATATCGTTCTTTAGGAAAACTCGTCAAATCGAACTTCCAAAGGGAAAATTGAGAAAAAGCTCACAGCACTTCTCTTGAGAAATACCACTTGAACGTTTTAAAACAAAAACAGATACATAATAGCTTGTACGAATAAAGTTGTCACCCAAAATGACATTTTTCAAGAATAAATTCGTCGAATACTGCCTCGAAAAAAAAATTTTGAGAAAAATCTCACAGCGTTTCTCTTAAGAAAGTCCATTTGAAAATTCTAAAACAAAAAAACAAACGAAATATCTTATGCGAAATAAGTTGTCATCAAAAATGTCCTTTTAATGCAAATTTCTGTGACGAGAACAATCGAAAATCACTTCAAATCTCTGGAAAACGCGGTAAACACGTTTTAAGAACACATACAGCGTGAAAAAATACGAAAGAATGGTAAAATACGCAAGAAAAAGAGAAAAAACCGTATTAAAAGTGAATGAAATTTTGTGGGGGTGACACGCGCCGCACCGCGTTGCGTTAGAAAAAACTCGCGTTTTCGCCCCATTGCGACGACCTTTTTTTTCGCTTGCCGCCGTCTCTTTTGGAACACTGTGGGTGAGAGAAAAGCAGACAAATGAGATTAAGACCGAAGAAGTTCCGACGAAACGACCTGCGGTTGTCTATTCGACATCGATGCCGTCGTGCAAAAACCCATATCAGAGTTCTTCGCCGGCCCCACAGATCTTGCCTACAGAGTCCAAGGCAGTCTTACCAGAAGGACTTCACAAGGTATACATATTCAAGGCTGGAAGAGCTTGCAGATCTTTTGTTTTCGAAGCTTTACAAAACGTATCACAATATATTAGATGCTGTTCTTGTTTAGATTTTAAAGAAACCTTGCACTCCGGAAAAACTTCTTCTTGCTACTTGAAAGAATTCCAGAAGTCAGAGCAGTCGCCAAGAGTTGCACGACAAAGCGCGGAAGCGATCCGAGTCCCGGATTCCTCTCCTTCTCCGTTCTGCAACATCAACGCCTACCTTCACTACATCCATCGTATTCAGCAAAATCAAATTCCCAATTGTTAGTCTATTTGCTGTTGAAGAGCTTACGGAAAACAGGAAAAACTTTTTCTTACAGTTGCTGGTCTGGGAAATTCGAATCTCCGTCGTCAGACCATTGGACCTTGCACTGTTTCAGCGGATGTGAGTGGTTAGGAACATAAAAAAAGCTGTTTTTTCATAATTCAGCTCAAATAGTGAAGATGAAAATTTGAAAGATCGAGAGGTTTATTCCGATCCCCTTGATGTACTAAAAATTGCCTGTTTACTTTTTCCTAGTCCATCCACTATCTTTTGAAACGGTCAAAATGAGCAGTTATGAATTCTCGCTAGAATTTCGATTCCCTTACTTTCGGAAAGTTGATAGTTTTTTAAAAATGTTATAGGAAAGTTATGGCAAAGGATACTTTCATTATGATGGATGCTATTAATTCCCATTTATCTTCGCACTGACTTCAGGTGGCTCAACACATGGCGAGAGTTAGAGCCGCCAACGCGCTACGGCCTCCGACAGGATTCGCGCCCTCACAATTCGTGACCAACCTCAACTCGCTGCAACATCTGCTGATGGGTCAAGTGACGTCACCACTTACAATGCCAACAGTGCTTGGCGGAACGCCAACAACGCAGCCACCACACACGCGCCTCTACTCGGCCCCCTGCTTCGAAGGTCCCGAAGGACCTTTGTTCCAGGTGCGTCCTCTAGGTGTCTTCATAGTCAGCAGAAGACTGAAAAGACTGAGAAAAGCTTTTGAGAGAGATGCACTGAAAAAAACCGGACTTTTCGCAGAACTTTCTTGAGGCTGTCCGCAAGTCAGAGGCGCAAATGGCCAGGGCCTTCGGTGGGAACTGCAGCTGGCCGTCGTTGTCTTGTGACTGAAATACAGTCCAATCGAAAACTCGATCTCGCCCAATTGTTCTCGTTTCTCTCGGTTGTCCAAATTATTCGTTATTCGTGAATTTCACATGTTTCATTAATGATTGCGTGAAACCTTTGTTGATAAAACACGATATTGCTTCATTTCAAAAATGTCGCTTTTCAGTAACTCTCTTCAAAAGTTTATCTTCGGCTTTGTTGCAGCCAACGCAATCCTTCTAGGAATTATTATCAGGTTTTCGATAGCAACTGCAAGCCATTGAGGTCGGAGAGGAGCTTTTTCTAGAATGTACCCCAATGACTGGCTCTACGTAATTCTGCAACTGGTCATACCGCTTCTTGTCTGGGAAACTCTGCTGTTTTTTGTGGTCGCACCAGAAGAAGTTTTGACCGATCTGCTCGGCGAAAAAAGCAGTGTCAGCAGCAATTCGGTGATTTTCTAAGATATCGAAACTAAAAAAGTTCGAAGTTCATTACGATGAGGAAACTAACTGAAAAAGCTCAGTTATCAGAGGAATATGAAGATCTGCTCAAAATGAGCAAAAAAAAGACAAATTTGCAACAAAAAAAAATCCGAGACTGGAGGATTGATCTCAATTTCAGCCAAAAATTCAAAGCCTCCTAATTGATAAAAAAAATATTTGGAACATTTTCATGAAAAAAAAATTTGTATTCGCCTAAAAATATGAATTAGAGAGTTCTCAAACCTCTAATGAACCGGTTTTATTCGATTTTATTCGAGAACAATCACTTTCAGATTTCGAGTCCAGTAAGGTCAACGATGACGCGAGGTGGACGTGTACATTCTTATGGAGACTTTTAATTCCGTAGAAAGCGTAAAAAAATAAAGCTTTTTTTATTTGGTTATATAAGTTCGAGTACAAACTACGTATAGAATCAATCACTGAGCAATTTACCCTACATATGGGCCACAGGCGTGAGTTAGAAAATAAAATAAAAAAAAAATGAAAAATTGAGGCCTGAGATCGACAGTTTTGGTCAGGACGACCTTTTGAACACGTTCTAGTTAGAGTAAATATCGGGGTTCGAGTTCACAGGGGTTAGAAAATGAAATTAAAACGTAAGTAAGTTAATCGAGCCTCTCGAGAAAGTCCAAAATCTTTTCTATCGAACGACAGCTGCTCTGCCCGTTTTTCTTCGTTTTCTATAAAAAATGAGTTATCACTATCGATAGGAAAAAGTCGAGATACTGACCATTGCAAATCGCATGAAATCCAAAAACCGATGAAGCTGTTCCGTCATAGGCGACAAAGTTCCATCGCGCATACATTTCTTGACAAGTTCTACTTTTTCCTGCAAAAAAGTTTCATTTCGGACGCGGAATCAGATCGAACTTCGTTTTGCTGCAAAAGACATCCGATGAGAAGCCCGACGTACGAAGCAACGACGCTGTCTTCCATGTGCGTAGACGCCTAAAGTTTCTGATTTCAGAAAATGGAAAAGAAATCTTCAATAAAAAAAATTTCGATATATTTCGTCGCTCACATAGTTGGAAAATTTCAAAAAGTACATGGTGATTTAGAAAATTGTGAGAACGGTGACACACCAAAATAAAGTTTATAAAAAAAATTTCCGAGCCCTATAAACAAGCATTTTCAAAATTTTCGAATTTTCTTATGTTAGGCGCAGACTTATTCTGCGCCATTTGGGTTTAGGGGAGTTGGAAAAAATTTGGGACGTCCCCGGTGAGTTATTTGAAACAAATTATGTACTGCAGATCTTGAATTCTGACAAAATGAATAATTACTGTCACGCTGGCCAGGCGTCTCAGCGCGTGTAACCGTACTGGGCCCCTTTTTTCGGGTTCTCAGATTTGCTAGAACGGGGAGACGCAAGAACAAATAAGGGAAAAAAAGTTTAGTTTTAAACCTCAGAAGGTATTATTGAATTTAATTTTGCAAGACTCTCGAGGAGGAGTCGTCGCCTTCAATAACAGTTTATTCACTGCCATTAACAGAAATTAGGAATTACAAAAAATATAAGTGGTCAACTTAGGATGGGCAGAAGGATAACAATACGTGGGAATGAGTCAACCCCAACGGGTTGACAGGTACCCGGAAATATGACATTTTTCATAGTAGACGAAAAAGACTATCTTCATAAAAAGCTTGAATCGGGAGATCGTTTTTAAAAAAATGGTCTGCCCATGTATGTAGGTGCCCCAGCTATGTTTATTTCAAAAACCTGAGACTTGTTTGTGCTGGAACACTGGCTCAGCTGTGACTGGAAAAACGATTGAACAGCTGTGCTCATATGAGAACACCCGCTGAGATCCTAAGCACGGCTGGTTTTCTTAGGAAAAAACCCTTGCAACTCCTTACAATCAATTCGAAAATTTGTTCAGCATTTCAACAGTCTACTCCCTATCTTCTTTGTTTTTTCTGCCTGCTAGAAAAATGCTTAGTTTGGAAAACGGTTTTGTCGTTCTTTCAGATTTCGTTTAATGAAAAAAATAATTATATTCGTACGATAAATGTGATAAAGAAAAATGACCTTGCTCATGACTTGCTGGACAGCGTTGACCATGTCTTCCTCGCCCATGCTTTCAAGCTTCGCGCGGTCGAGTCTTCCGTCTTTCCGAGCGCCTTCCTCATCCTCCTCGTCGCTACCCGAACCATCCTCCGGATTTTCCTGCGAACTCAGAATATTCTGAGAATTTGAATAGTTTAAAAAAACCTCAAAAGCGAGTTCTTTGTCCAAATCCTCGTCGACCGTTTTCGCTTTAGATTCCCTATCCATGAACAGCTTAAGTCAGAAAATTTTCCTATTTATGAATAATCTATAGCGAAAAAACCTTGGCTAATGCTTGAAGAGCATCTGTTTCTTCAACTTCTTCCTCTTCAGAAATATAAACCTATTCGAAAACATTATTGAATAAGATTTAGGTCTCATAAACCTTGATTTGAGCGTTAATTATTGACTTCCTGTTGGCATTACATCTCTCAACCAGATTAACTAACAGCGAAGTCATCTGAAAGTTTTTTTAGCTTTCGATTTCAATTGAACTTGATGAAAACACTCACTGTCACTTGAATGTCGTATTTCTTATCTTCAGAGGCATATTTTGGCGCCAGAAACGTTAAAGCGTTCGAACAAGAGACCAAAAATCCCTCTATCTGACCGAGCTTCGAACAGCAAAGTTCTAAAACGCATAGTCAAATTCATTTAAAAATTTAGAATAAAAGATTCTCTTTTTCTTTCTATAATTAATAACATTGTAAGGCAAAAATGACTTTTCGGAAAGAAAATAAGTATCTTTAACTAACCATTTTCATGTGAAAGATTGATGAGCACGTTAGTCAAAAGAGCAAGGCAATTCATATAAGACTTGGTGACAACATCATTGGCGTTCCTTTTTATGACGCTCGAATGGATGACGTCGAGAAACCTGACAGACAGGGGAATGATTCGAAAGATCGAAATTTTACTCACGTTGCACAGGTCTTCACAAGAATGCTGCCCCGATGGGAAATCAAAAACGCTTGATTTTTTCTGTGCAGCATGGAACACTGGAGAAATTGAATTAAATCTTGGAAAAAAAATAATAAATGAACAGTCGTACCATTTCTATAGCGCGAAAACATCTGTCGAGGAGCATCAATTCGTGACAAATAACTTCGTCCGGCTGAGCCACCTCCTGGCTTTTTTCGATTTCAGCAACCATTTTTTCAACTAAAATTATCAATCAACTATCAACAAAAATGAAAATTTTCAAACTTTTAGCCACAATCCACTGGAGAACACCTAGATTGAGCAGTTCTGTCTTGAGAGCTTCGTCGTGTGCATTCCGTGAAACAACGAAAACTAAGGCTTCTAGAGCCAGGGAGGAAGGCTGAAATTATAAGAAAATGCTCATAAAAAATTGAAATAAGAGACAAAAAACAAGACTGTCAAAAAAATAACTCACAGTTAGATCTTCTTTCTGCATGTCAAACACAATACGTTTCCCGCCAACTTCAATCTTCTTGAAACATCGAAAAACTTCCCAAACCTAAAACTTTCATCACGTGTTTTTCCCCGAAACTAAGAAAACCTGGTCCAAAAACTCTTGTTTTTCTTCAGAGGAAAACTTTTCGACGCGCAGAAGTTGAGAAAAAAGACGAAGTCCATTTGCATCAACTTTTACATTGTTAAAATCACGGGAGAGCAAGTATATTACAGAAGCGGCACAAAGTGCGAAAATCTGGAAAAAATACCATGAAAAGTTAGCAAGCGTAAAGCATTTGAAATAGTTTACTTAGATTAGATAAAAAAACTTACATCATTTTCAGGTGATTCAGAAAGGGCGCGGATGACAGTGTTCGTCATTCCTTCACTTCGGATAAAATGCCGGAACTCCGACGAAACACATTTTTTGGCCAAAGAGACAGTGCTTAAAGAAGTTATTGAAATGAAAAAATTAAAAAGCAAATTACACCTCAAGCATTTAAGTTTGAGCTTTCCATCTGACCGAAGAGTGCTGAGAATGTACTCAAGCTCATGTTTGAAGTCGTCGTGTTCCCCTGATTCGAGAATTTCGTGCGCTTCTTTCACATTTCTGATGCGGCCCCCACCGCCAGCTGCTGTTGCGTAAATCGGTCGCTTCTTGAAAGTACGAATCAAAAACACTCTCTTATAATATCCTCACTATCGCCATTGTATTCACTGTCTTCGTTGATTTTACTTCTTGAACTTCAGAAGATTTGCTGCTGGTCGAGATTCCACTCTCTTCATCCTCCTCGCCCACATTCCACTTGTGATTATAAACAACTTTTTTGTCTTTCCGAGGTATAAACTTTTCGTTTGCTTCTGAAAAGAAGAATCACAAATAACCCAAAAAAAAAACTGTTCCGATGTACCTTGAACTTTAGATTTCTTTGACGATGGGGCTAAAAGAAGCTCATCATCCTCATCAAATTCGTAAGAGCGACCTTTCTTCTCGAACCTTGTCGTACTGTCTTCTGTTGCCAATGAAGATGATCTCAACTTTCTAAAATAAAATTTATTCGAAACTCTATGGAGCTTTGAAATCAACTTGTTGATAGAATCGGTAGAAGACTGACTGGAAGGGAGCGGTGGACTTTCATCTTCACTGCTCGAGCTTGATAACACCTGCTTAAATGAATTAGTTCATTAAAAAAAATTTCACAGACAATCTCAGGATTCCCATCTGTTGAAGAACTTTCCGGTATGCTCACTTGTGGAGAAAAAACTTGAATCGGTGAAGAATCGTCGGAAACTTAAAATTTTCAAATGAAACGACGTTAAAAAACAAAATGAACCTGAAGGTAAAATGTTGTCGTCAGGAGGTACTTCAGAAAGATTTACTTGACTTTTTTGAAAGCGCTGACGGACTACTCTTAAATATTTGAAAAAGTTAGCTTAAAACAAATCAACATACGGCTTGGAAAACGCATCATCATCATCGTTAGATGTGCTGGAAGGCTCATATGTTCGGAACTTTTTCATTTCACTTTTTTATCTTTGGTCGAATCCTGGAGAGACACTGCAACACATGCCTTATTAACTAGGAAGAGCGGGGATATATAGAGTATGAAGAAAACGAAAAAGAGAAAACACCAGAAAATTATAGAATAGATATAAATAATCTCTTGCTTGTTTTTTTATTTTTATTGAGAAACTGCTCTGCAGCGAGAAGAAAATGATAAAGGAAAAAAATTTTTTTGAAATTATTTTTTTATGAAGTCTTTTTGAATTGGGGTTTTTGATAATTGATGAGAAAAATGACTGAAATGTTTTTTTCAATTAATTTAGAAATCGACTTTTTTATAAATTTAAATCTTCCTTCGTAAATCTATTACAGCTAAAATAAAGCTATCGTACCCTATCGTTATTGGACGCACGCGGATCTAAGTACTTGGCAGTGTGCCGAGATGGGCGGAGCATCGTTCCCGCGCTTTTTTTGATTTGGCGTCCTTGCGTGCTTGGTCGGATCTGTTCCATTCCTTCGATCAGTTTTTCTTCGCCATTAATTTTTTTATATTCATAAGATTTCTTATATATATATTTTTTTAATTAGAAGGAAAACTGTGTGGACTTTTTAATAGCTTTGTCTAGAGAAAGTAATTAAAAAAATTTTTGTGGAAAAAAATGTCTTTCCAGAAAAAAAATTTGTGAGGTTGAGAGGATAAGTGGAACCCTTAAGAAAAAAAATAAAAAAATTTTTTTGTCGAAATTGTTTCAAGTATTTCTGAGATTTTTGTCAACATTTCTCAATCGCATTGAAATAATCTAGAAATAGCGATTATGTGTATTGTAATAATTTTTTTGTAATAATTTTTAAACATTTTTTTGTAATTATTTTTAAGAGAAAGGCATTCAATTAACTTTAATTAAATACATTTTTTTGCAATCGATTTTTTTCTTTAGTTATTCATTTCTCATTGAAATAATGGTTTCAGAAAAATGGCCGGAGGCAAGGGAAAAAGCTGGCAAAAGATTCTGGAAAGTCGAAGTCTAAAGTTATTTCGCGCAGTGCTAGGGCAGGACTTCAGTTTCCTGTTGGCAGAATTCATCGTTTTTTGAAACAACGGGCCACATTGCACGGACGCGTAGGCGCCACTGCCGCTGTTTACAGGTTTTTGACATTTTTTTTTCTATTGATAATTTGAACCATTTCTAGCGCCGCTATATTGGAATATTTGACTGCCGAGGTTTTGGAATTGGCCGGCAATGCATCGAAGGATCTGAAAGTCAAGCGTATAACGCCTCGTCACTTGCATCTCGCAATCCGCGGTGACGAAGAGTTAGATACCCTCATCAAGGCGACCATTGCTGGAGGAGGTAAAAACTAGTTTATTATCAATCAGTTGGAAATGATGATGTTTCAGGTGTCATTCCACACATCCATCGTTACCTCATGAACAAAAAAGGTCAACCTCAACCAGGACAGAAGCCGCCAGCGCCTTAATTATGAATTTATGAAATTGTATTTTTTTTTACCTCTACACTGCCAATTATTAATATTGTTTACCTTTTTATGTACTTAACATCTTACCAACGTGCATTTTGTGGATATTTTGTAAACATCGCGAAGAACGAATAAAGATCTCATTCAAGATTTAAGTTTTCAGTATTTTGCAAAACATGTTGAAAGCACTGAAGTACATTGCCGCCGCTATAATGGTGCGTCATAGTTTTATTTGCCCGGGTCATATCGATTCGCAGCCTCGCGTCTCCCTGGTTATTCAACGCGTCACCGCCGTTTTCGCCTGCATTTTTTCAGCTTTTTTGAACTTTTAATTTTTCAGAGGGAGTTATGCCTCCTCGAGAGCCTCAACCATCTAGCACGGCTCAGATTGCCAATGGTGATAATAGGACCGAGGAGAAACCTCTGAAAAATCGTCCCAAGGGTAATGCATCAGATGGTAACCAATATAATTTTTTTTTATTTTGTAGCAAGTAACTTGAGGCAACAGAAGTTACCTGCTTGGCAGCCGATATTGACCGCATCTACAGTTATACCAACAGTTATTGCGGTTGGGATAGTATTCATACCTATAGGAATCGCTTTGTTTATTGCATCCGACTCAGGTTTCCGTTTTTATTCATCTAAAGCAGGACTTGCTCTCGATAAAATCGCTTATTACTTTTTTCAGTGGAAGAAAAGAGAATCGATTATACAGACTGTAATTCTGTTTGCTCTATAACCTTCCAGCTTGATGAAGATTACACGGTTATTTTTTAAAATTTTTGTGCCAAAAAATTGCACTAGAAATAAATGTTCTTTGAAAAAAGATGTGGCATTCATTTTATGCTAAATTGACTAATCTGTAAATCTTCGAAATTCAACTGTTAAGGGCGACGTTTATCTATATTACTATTTGGAAAACTTCTATCAGAACCACCGAAGATACGTCAAAAGTCGTAGTGACCGGCAGTATCTAGGCAATTTGAACGTATGTTCCCAATTTTGTAATATTTCAACTAAGATTTCCTCTTAGGAAGTTGGTGATTGCGACCCTTTTGATAAAGACAAAGCGACAGGACTTCCCATCGCGCCTTGTGGAGCTATCGCAAACTCAATTTTCAATGGTTAGTACTTTTTTAAACGGATTGCTATGCGTTTTTCAAATCTTCCAGTCATTCTAACTCAATGACTGGGAGCTCTCAATTTTATTCTCGTTGAAAAAAAAAAGTTTTCTGAGTTTGCTTGTTTTGGGGCTTCGTTGTTTTTGTTTACGATCGATTTTCTGGAATTTTTTCAGTTTTTACAATGGATCAAATTGGGATAGAGGAAGAATACTTTTTGAGTTTTAAAAAAATGAAATTATCTTTTTTTTTCGCTTTGAAACCTGTCGTTTGAAACTTCTGTTGAAAAGCCGGTCGTATAAAGGCAGTTTAGAAATGTTTTGCGGTTATAAAAGGATAATTTCTGAGCTTTTCTTAAATACGCTCCTTATCTCAATAGATAGGTTCTGAACAAAATTTAAAAAAAGAAGTTGAAAAAATTTAAAAAAAACCGGCCGCCTTTTAAAGATTCAACTGTGATTGTAAATGTGGTTTTCAGACACTTTTGAAATTTATTACACGCCTCCAAACATGATTGAGCAGCGTGTTCCCACTACTGTCGATGGCGTTTGTTTTTTTCTTCGAATTGTAACTATTGTGATTTTTTCAAGGTGTTATGGGACGTGGACAACGACCGGAAGTTCAAGAATCCTCCAATTCCCGAGGGAAAAAAACTCTCTGTGATGCTTTTTGCGGTCTGTTTTTAACTTTTCAGTTATTGTTTGAAAAGTGTTTGAAGCGTGAGATTGAGATTATAACTTTTTAAAGTCGAAGTTTCATATGTTAAGGGGACGGTGCCGCCTCCAAACTGGAAAATTCGGCCATGCGAGAACGGCGGCTTCAAAAATGTCGATTTCATTGTGTGGATGCGTACGGCAGCGCTTCCTAATTTCAGGTTTTCTTTAGCTTAATAATGTCATTCTTGTCCAATAGGCTCTCATTCAGTTATTTTTCGTTTCAGAAAGCTGTGGAGACTTGTTTCTCGAACAGATTCTTTCACTAACGGACTTCCTCGGGGTCAATATCGGCTCAAAATTGACAACAGTATGTTTTTTTTCCAACTGTCAATCATTCTAGTTTTTGGAAATCTGGTTTCAGGGTGACAAAAGATGATTAGGTCGATTTCAATATTTTTGTTATTTAAAATTCGTATATTTCAAGTTTTCCACTGAACTACGTGTTTTTCATTCTTCTTTTCAAGTTTGAAATAATAATCGAGAAGTTATTATATTATAATAATCTTGAAACGTTAAAAAGTAGTTCTGTTGAAGTTGAAGTTCACATTTAAATCTGTACGTTGCGCGCCGCACCAACTTTAGGCCTAACAAGGGCTGTGTGCGCGGTGAACATCGAGTTAGAAATTGAGGCTTTTATGGTAGAAAGATCTAGGGGAGAGTGCTCCAAAAAAAAAGAGAAAATCTGCTAAGCGCCATAGGGTACCGAGAAAAAGCTCGTCAAAGTTTTGCCACCACGTGTATGCCCGCGCTCGGACTGCACAGCCAGCAACTGGGAGCGTGGTGAAGTGGTAGTGTTCTTGAATGGCGCTGACGCTATGCTAGGTTCGATTCCTTTTGACGTGAAAATTTTTTTGCTCTTGTTTTTTCAATTCTTCTACACTCTATTATCAAAAACAGCAAAAAACGTTTGAATTGGAGGAGAAGATTGAAAATTGGAAAAGAAGGAAGGAGAAAGCACAAAAAAAAAACTTTTTTGCGTCAAATTTAGTTTTTTCATTGAAAATGTCGGAAAAAAAAGTTCTGATAATTGGTTCATGGCTTTCGAGATCACAACACGATGGAATCTAAGCAAAAATATAAGTGAAAAATCACTCATATTTCTGTCTACCATAAAAGCCTCAATTTCTAACTCGATGTTCACCGCGCACACAGCCCTTGTAAATGGAAACTTTAAACTCTGAAAACTCGAATTTTTTATGGAAGCACAGAAAAATCACATTTCTATCAGATTATCCGGTGAAATCGTTCGGAGGCCGCAAAGAATTTATCATTTCCACGACTAGCTGGGCTGGTGGCAAGAACAATTTCCTCGGAATCGCCTATCTTGTCGTTGGTACGTTCTTATATTCAAAAAATTATCCTTTTCTCTTCAAAGCCTTCTATTTTCATTTTAGGCTCTTTGGCCATCGTCTTAGGTGTCGTTTTCATAATCATACACATCAAATTCGGCCATTCGTACGTCTCTTTACTTGAATTTTAAAATATATCCTTTATTTTAAGAATGAATGAACTCAGCAACGTCTCAGCGGGACACCACTGATTTACCGTTTGACTGTGTAAATTGCCAATGTAAACTTTTTGTCGGGTTATCAAATCGAGCGAAACTCAATTGCCGTTTCTGTGATTCCTTTTATGCACTCAAAGCAGTTACTTACTTCACTTACCCAGAATAAATAGAGTTACTACCATGAGTTTTTGTTCTCATTCCGAACTCTTTATATTTTGCTCCCCATCGAGCTATTTAGGGAATAGTACTGTCCAGTTGACTTCGAAAAACCGGGCTTGGTTATTATTTTCATTTTAAAAGAACGTTATTCGTGTTGTTCGTGGAAAAAGAAATAGAGGATGGTAATCCTCAAGGGTAGAAATCTTTTGGTGTACGGGCGATTGGGCAATGCGAAGCTGTACAAATATGCGGATGTGCTGGGTTCTGCATTTTCCCGCTAGTATTCCCTTCGATGATGTCCTCTGAAAATAGAGAAGCAGTCAAGAGGTTTTCTAATTTCACTTTGATTTTTTTTCGCGTCAAAGCTGAGGGAGAAATTTCAGTATGAGTCGCGTATACGTCGGAAATTTGCCCTTCGATGCGACTGAAGTAGAGGTTCTATCTTTTCGTTCCGAAAATAAAATATAAGTTTATCATCGCTCAAGTTCGCTCCAATTTTTTTTAAACGGAAAGAAAAAGAGTTTTATTCAGATATAGTCGGACGTTGGAGCATGCATATTCATTGAAAAAGTATGAAAAGTATCAAGTTGTCCTTTCATTGATAAAAACCATCGCCATGATCTATAGTAAATTTTGCTGAGTAAATCTTCTTATGAATGTCGAACTAAATGTCCAAACTTGTAGTTGATCAACTTGAGAGCATGGTCTTACGGTACTTCGTCTCAATCTTCTGCGCGTAGTCCGTCCAGTTGCGCTTTGCCAAGCTCAGGAAACAGCGGATTCTGTGCTGGGGCCCGCAAAATAAGAAATTGAAAAAAAATGGAAGTTGTGCAAGTTTAAAGGCATAGGGGCAGTAAAAAACGATGTTTCAGTTCAAAGCAGTACTTTGTAGACCTTTTCATTGCGAATCTAACGGTGAACTTGGAAATGTACCGAACTTCCTAGTTTTGGAGAAAAAAATAGTTCAAAGTCGGAGAGAGGAAAGCTTGAGTTCCCGCCAAAAGGGCGCTTTGCAGTAAAGTTGCTCTATGGACAACAGGCTTCGCCTTCTTTCGAATTTTCGCTTTTTTCTTCGTTTCTTCCAATTTTCAATTTTTTTTGTCGTCACCAAAGTTCTTTTCGCCATTCAATAATAGAACAGTGTTGAATAAAAAAGTTCCTAAAAAAACAGTCTTGTAACTAAGATTAAAGCGTTAGATTTTTTTCATAATTATTTTTATTTTTATATAGTCAATGTTTCCCGACTTGAAAGGGGAGGGAGGCGGGGCAAGGGGCGGGACGCGTAGCGTGTGCGCACGCGGTTCTTGGCGCCAGTTCAATTCAATCGCCGCCGACTATGTAAAAAGCTCGGCGACCGCTCTTTCTCTGTATACTACTTTTTGATGCAAAAATTAACATAATCAATAAATAATTAAAAAAGAAGTGAAAAGAGCGATAAATGAGCTCTCTGAATGCTCGCTGGCCGTTGAATTGAACTCGTGCCAAGAGCCGCGAACGCACACGCTACGCGCCCCGCCCCTTGCCCCGCCTCCCTCGCCTTTCAAGTCGGGAAACATTGACTATAGCTGTTTGGGAATATTCTGCTAAGGTCTACTTTACTTCCATAATTCATCTTGAAGCTTCGTGAGGTGTTCTCCCGTATGGGTTTCGTGCGGAAAATCTGGATTGCAAAGCGACCTCCGGGGTTTGCCTTCATTCACTACCAAAGGCCACTCGACGCGCTTGACGCCGTCGAGTTCCTCGATGGAACGTCAGTTTTCTCGGCAGTCTGACGGTTATGCGACCATTCCAGAAAGATCTGCGGTCTGAAGGCAAGAGTCGAGCTGTGCGAGGACATGGAGCAGATCAAAAAGACTACAGGGTTGATGTTCATATAATTTCGGTTATATAGCCTGTGTACCGCGACTTGGAATTTCACCAAACGACATTCCGCTGTGCCACTGCGCGCCTTTGCGAGCCTTGGTCGCGCTTTTAATTTTTTTTTTATTAAGGTACTCTACTTTTATGTGCTTAAACAGCAGTAACAATCAATTGAAAGCGTGGACTTGTTTCGAAAGTCGCTTTGCGAAGGCACGCAGCGGAACAGCGGAATGTCGTTCGGTGAAATTTCAAGTCGTGGCACACAAACTATATGCAGGAAAAGCTTCAGGAGAAGACGTGAATCGACGTCTAGCAACAGCGACGAGGACCGAAGACCACGGTTTCTGGGCCTTCTTGATCTTTTAACTGGTTTTCACAGGAAAAAATCCACAAAGAAGCCACAGAGAGGAAGGAAACGCGCCAGTTTCAAATCTCCTTTTTAAACTGTGATAAATACCTTGAATCGAGGTGTTAGAATGAAACAATAATTCACAAAGTTTCAATGAAGTTTTTTGTCAAAAATTAGTTCATGGAAATTGAAAGGGATGATTTCAAATGACGGAAAAAATACCATAGAAGTGAAAAAGGGCCATAAATGAGAGAGATAAAAAGTATTCGCCACATCAGTGCTTATCTCGTCCGCAATGCCGCCGCCCTTTTACTGTCGGCACAGCGCCCAGCTTCTCCTCGCTCTGTCGACGTCATGAATTTCCTTCTACTTGCAGGTTTTTTCCGTTTATAGTAGAACTAAAAGGAAACTCTTAACTTTGTGCTTGGGAGTTTGAAAGTTGGATCGCATACTCTTTAATGTACTAGGATATGATTCTGGAGTCTCAACCTGTAAAAGTTTCTAGTTTTCGGAAACGAACACGTCAACGTCAATGAGATTCAGGCTGGTTCAGGCAGATGAGCCTTTTTTTTTGGAAAAAATAAGGTTTTCCCGTTTGAAAGTGGTACTTCATCAAGGATTCATGCAATGGTAGTTTGAAAGACGGTTTATTGTGAAAAGAGGTACTTCATAAAGCTGAACCGATTTGCTATTACAAGAGTCGGAACAACCATTGAAACTCGGAATCGCTACCACAATAGTCGAAAAGCTTGAAGATTCAATTTTTATCGACTTTTGCTTTTCAACAATTCATTGCAGCGGCCTTCATCGGCTTGGCCAGCGCTCAGTTCGGTAAGGACAACTGCAACCAACAACTCTTTCAAGCCTGTAACAGCCATCTGGGACAGTTCTGGAGCGTCGAGTTCGTGTCGTCTCATGGTGTTTTTTGTTCAGCGGACAGATTTCAGCACTTCCACGGCCTGGAGCGACATCAGCGTCCTCGATCGGATCACGCAGAATCTTCTGCCGTCGCCGTACCCCATCGACAACCTCGTTCACGTCTGCAAGTAAGATGCCAACAAAAAATGAGCGGTTTACCCCAAAAATTGATAAAGCAAACACAAAGTTGTCCAAGTGTTCAATCTTTCCCATTAGGGAATGGTCTCAGCTCACGATGGGACTTATAAAAGAAACTAAAAACGCTAGGTGCTCTTTTTTTTACCTTGAAGATCTGTGAAAACTTTGTGACTGCACAAAATTTGAAAAATGATCGAATTTATTTCAGTGGTTGGTCTAACTTTTACGGATGCCTCGGCCCTCAGAACATCAGAAATTGCCTCGGACTCGTCGGATTCGTAGGCCGTGGAATGGCTCCGCAAATGGTATTATCTCAGTTGAGCCAGAGAAAATGTCTTCCAGGCTTATGCATACGAAGGATTCCTCGCCGACTGGGGTTTCAAGTGCGGAGCTGGCTTTTTCGGTGAGAAAGGTGCAGAGCGTTCGAACAAACTTGTTCAGCGGTGTACGAGGCGCCGAACGTGGCGAGCTGTGTGCAGAACACCTACGTCAACTACCAACAGGAGTCCCAGCAAGCCTTTGGCCCTTACCTCACCAACACCACCAATGATCCCGCTAACGCCTGCACGTATGAGCTCGCATCTGTTCTCTCTTCTCGGAACACTGAGATCGTCTTCCAAGAGACCAAAAGACTTGAAAATAGGAGGGCTGAAGGGTTATTTGGTGATCTGAATCCTTTGCTCGAATTTGTATGAGGAGTATTTGTTGTCCCTTCTTAACATATCAACGTTCTCAGTTAGGGTGAATTTTTGGCAGGAAGCTGTTTTCAGATACGCTCAAAATCTGATGAACAGCCTTCAGAAGGTCTACCAAAACGGTCCCTGCAGAGCCATCGATCCCGTAAGTTTTCTATGATTCTTCCGACCTGATGCATTTTTCAGTCGGTCGCCGGCTGGTACGGCTGCACCTCGGCGCGCGAATACACTAACGCCCAGTTCTACCACTGCCGCCACATCACCCAGTGCGCAAGTAAGTTTTTTTAAGGGAGCCGCACTTGGGATACTACTCCGTAGCTCAAAAAGATTAGAAAAATATGAACTTACAATGGGAACAATATGGACCGCAAAAAAAGAAGAATGGGATTCAAGTGGTATGAACTCAGACGAATCCTGGGAAGGTGTTTGGATAGGTCGGAAGATTAATGGAAGCTAGAAGGTCATGAGAAGGCTTTGGGAGGTGTTCAGAAGGTAGTTGGAAGGTTTTTTGAAAGAAAGAAAAGATTCGAAAGGCCTGCCAGAAGCCTTCCAGCAGACTTCTGAAAGGTGAGTAGAGGTGTTGGGAAGGTAAGTGGAAGGAATCACTAGCTGGGAAGCTTCCAAACACCTCCCGAGGAACTGAAAGTTGGAGTTTTCTCACTTTTACCTGACCTTTTACCTGGTGAGAAAACAACTTAACTAGAATTTTAGTATGCTCAAATATTTCGACAAAGAAATAATTTTTTTTCTTCGAAATATTCGAGCTTCTGAAGTTTGTCGACTTTAAAGAATATAAAAAAACTTTCATTCATCCATATTTTCAGCACCCGTGTCGCCAGTTACAATGCGAATCAACGAACAGACCGGAAAGTCTGAATTCCTTACCGGTAAATTTTCTTTCAAGTATAAATCACACAAAAACAAAAATAATTGAATAAAAAGGTAACATATCTTCCTGTTTCAGGTCCAACCTACGTCGTGGAGAAAGACGTAGCTCGCATCGACAAGCCGCAGCGCTGGATCTCCGTGTAAACTTAATTTTTTTCTTACAATGGTTAATCTTTTGTCCGTATAAAATATTTTGATTTGTAACTCATTTTGATAGGCAAATTTTTTAGAAGTAAGATTTATTCACAAGGGCAAATTGATCAATCACTCATCCACTTTCCTTCTACAGTCACAAGTTTTCCGTCGATCTTTGTCACGTAGTCGGGGATTTTGTAATGGTGGACTCCGTCAACGACTTTGTGGTGGGTGTCGAGATACTCTGACGTCATGAACGGCCCTCGCACAACTGAAAACGTCATAGTTTCGAAGTGACGTCATGAAACTGACGGTCGCAGGTGTTGCCGCAGTTGGGGAATTGGTTGAGGGAGAAGACGCGGTTAGATTCGCAGGCCCACCAGACGTCGGCCGAGTTGGTCCGACGACATGGAGACGTGCTGAATGGAGCCGACCAGCACTTGATCAGGCTGTCCACGTAACTGTGCCAAATAAAGAGTGGACCTTGGGGTTAAAGGAAAAATGTTGCGTTTCGAGTCTGGCTTAGATCACGAATACGCGGTTTGGAACCCATACGGAACTTGGCATCTTATGTAATTTCCCTGTTTTTTGTAATATGAAATTAATTCTGCCAACACAAAACGGGTTAGATTTTCTATTCACACGACGAATCAGTGTAAAACTTTTTCAAGATGAAGATTATCTCATTTTTTTGTGTTGAAAAATCGAGATTTTTTCCTTTGTACCGGATTCTGAAATTACCAACTTGCAAAACTTCTCATTTTTTCAAGAAGAAACACTTCCAATTCCCGACATTACCTATCCAATCGATTAATGATAACTTTTTTTGATTTTAAGACGTCCCTTTTTGAAAAAAAAAACTGATCGAGCAGGTTGAGATTGTTCGTTCTCTGGCATATCGAAAAGGATTTTTTTTTTCAATTTTCAATGAATTTCTAATATAGAAATGACCTTCTTCTTAAGCATAATTGAGTGAGATTATCAATGTGGAGTAATTGAAAAAAAAAAAACCTGGAGTTTTTCCCACTCTGTCGAATGCCCATTTATTTTCAAACTAAGAAGTTTTAGAAAGAACGCTTACGTGCAACCGTTTTTGGCGTCGTGTGTCACTGAACTTTGATAGGAGTTTATGCAGCCGATCAACGTGTTCTGATAGTTTTTCATGACTCTCTGCGCACATCCCAGACCTTCGTGCAGCAACGCTGGAATAAACGTGATTCATTTGAGTATTTGAATGAATTTGAAAAAAAAAAAGCCTTGGAAAAAAACTGACTGTTCACGCCGGGTCCACAGTTGAAGCCTGCGTACTGAGCCATCGTTCCATCAGAAAAATAGGCCTGAACATGAAAAAAAAGTTTTGAAGAGGATTAAGAATGTTACATTAATGAGATCGGTTTTCTTCAAAAGATTCGAAATATCCAGACATCCTCGGTTACCGTACATACACGCGTTGAACGTTTCCAAGGCACTGAGAGCAAAGTTGAGAAAAGAAGAGGGAACCCAGACTCACTTGCAGACTTGGACCATATCGGCCGTCGTGCCAGGGTTCCTGCCGTACATGTACAAGAAGTAGTTGTACATGATGGTGTAGTCCTACAGAAAGCTGGTTGGAAAAAGCTGGTATTGTCCAGAAACCTTGAAAAGTTGGGAGGAAACAGTGTCATTGAGTCCGACTTGCTGGGCAAGGGTGTACTGGCAAGCGAGGAATTGCGGATCCCTGCAGGACAGGTCCTGACCGGCTACGGCCAGGATTAAGACGCACGTTACTGCAAGCGCTCAGGTTCATCATCAATCCATTTTGAGAAGCAGTACATTGTTTTCAATGACTTTTTTGAGCCGATTGTAAACCGACCAAATAAGAACGTTTTTTCCATCGAAATTTTTATGGGTTCGAAATAAATCGAAAAGGCCTTTTTTGGTATCGACTAACTAAATATATATATATATATATATATTTAGTTAGTCGATACCAAAAAAATATCAATTACTAAAAAACCATAATCTGGTTAGAGCTCGGAAAGAAGCTGATCTCTTTGCTGGTGTGATTTCTCCAGCTGTGAATGAATTCAAAATCTAACTGAAATTTTGGCGATTTGATTGTAAGAGAACCTATCCGCTAGAGGCTGTTTGAACCGAATGCCGTATCGGAAAGCGAACCGCAAATTTTGATCCAGATACTTCAAAACTGAAATTTCTTACGTGCAAGAGAGCGCAGGAGAAGCATGGCAGTCTGTAAAGAGTGTAGGTCTTATCGCACGGCTCCATAAAATCGACGATATCAGGCCTGGGCCACCACGTATCGTCATCTTTCTACGGAAACTGAAAAATTTTAGAAAAAGCTATGGGAACTTCGAATCCTCGAAAAATTATTTTTTCTCGGAGATTAGTACACCGGTCACGCAATTCGGCTTGCTTCTGCTAACAGAATGGGCGGTCTTTTTTAGCCCTGGCAAGGCAAAAAGGATAATAAGACCACAATTATGCTATAACACGTTCAACACCACGGATGGATTTTTTTCGCAAGAATAGCAGTCAACCAGGACGACAACACTGGATGACCGATTGCATAAGATCTCCTGGAAAACGTGTGGTCCACGCTTCGATCAATAAAAGGCACTAAAAGGCAATAAAATGTCGAAAGCGAAGATGGACCATCTAAGTATCTAAGTAAGTAAGTAAGTAAGTTAGTAAAAGTTCAAATGTCGATTAATCTCAAACTTCGAAGTCGGACCTGATCTATTGAGAACGCTGAACGGGTTCGTTCAAGGAAGTAAAAAAAAAAATGACGTCTCCGCTGATCTGGTATAATTTGATTGAGAGCGAACGGAAGGTCGTGACAGATCGGATCCGATAACCTCCAAAAAATGAACTCGTTGGAAGTGACTCATTTCTCAAAGGCTTGTTGTTGCCATGCTTTTGGTTTGGACTCGCTCCGGAACGGACTTTTTCTTTGTTTTTGGAGTTCGGATCGCGCGGCAAAAGTGACCGTCTGAGAACAAACAAGCGACGACTGCCGCCGTGTCTTTCTCGACCAGAATACCTGTATTTGGGGCATGAAGACGCGATGCGCGTCGCGTCGCGGTCTGTCTGATTCACCTTCACTCTTCGCAGATAAGTCATCAATCGTTTCGGCCCTCTGGTCATCGTCTTTTGTTTGTTTTCCATTGTTTTCTTCCTTCTTCTCGTATCAATTTTCAAAACTTGGTTTTTCGAATCGACTCTAGTTTTAACTAAAAGTACGGCATATGGGATTTTAGGAAGAGCGAGAAGAAAAAAAAAGTCAACCGAGTGTCTCACGTTTCGACGTTTTATGTTTCTCCCTTGTCCTGGCACGTCAAATGCTCATTTTTGGAGTTTTATGACGCCCCCGAGCACAATTTTGCTGAAAAGTACTCAGGAGAAGTCTTTTGAACAGAAAAAAATAAAACAAAAAATGGCGAGTTTGTTTTCAACAGCGGAAAACATGCAAAAAAAAGACAAATCAAAAGAAAAAGGAAACTCGTTTTGCTATAAGTTGAGCAACGTTATTTTTCTGCGCTCTCTTCTCTCCCCCGACACTCTCTTGTTTACGTGTTGTTTTTATGTCTCTGGGACCGCGCCAGTGGGGAAAAAAGAGGGAGCAGACACGTCACACGGTTTAAAAGTTGTTTGTGAACCAACTGTGATCGAAAATTAGGCAAAATTTGATGTACAGTACCGCTCAAAAAGTCTATTAAGTTTTTGGTTTTTTTGAGGATATCTCAGCGAGTACTTATCCGATTTATATATAACTTTCAGGGATAATGTAAAATATACTTTGAAACATATACGGTATACAAAGACATGTCCGCAATGACTGTGACGCGTTTTAGGAATTTTTTTGAATTCAATTTTTTTGTTTTTTTATGCTTTTTATTTTTTTATTTATTTTTTTATTAAATTTTTTTAAAAAGTAATAATGTTGCCATATGTTTTTTTCATGTTTTTCAGACATGGGAAGAACCTCTGGAAAAAAAGGATTTGACTGATAACAGCAAAAAGAGCCATCGTTGTGGGTCGTCAAAATGGACTGACCATGATGACGTTGGCAGGAATGTTCGGCGTGACAGAGGCGTGCATTTCTCCGTTCCTAAAGCGTTGAAAAGCTCAAGATGGCTTTACTAAGAGCCAACGCACTGGAAGACCACGTGTCACTGATCGTAATGACGATAGAAACATTTTTGAAGACGTCTAGAACCAATCCAAGACTCACCGCCCCTGCGATCAGACGGGAAGTTTTTCTTGAATTCGCCATCTCCGCCATCCGTCTGGTCCGTGAAACGACGTCTGAATGTTGCTGGAGTCATGGGAAGACGTCCAGTGAAAAAACCGCTGATTTCTGAAAAGAATCGAGCCGGCAGGGTGACGTGGGCGAAAGAGCATCTCAACTGGACCCGTCAAGACTGGAACAAGATTCTGTGGTCCGACGAAACGGTCTTCCACCATGTTTTACAGTAAGTAATTGGTATTTCGGTTGATATCTGGACCCAATTGGTCTACGTACCCACTGAATTCCGTCACTCCCGAAGAGGAGGAACTTGCTTTCGTCGGACCACAGAATCTTGTTCCAGTCTTGACGGGTCCAGTTGAGATGCTCCTTCGCCCACTTCACCCTGGCGGCTCGATTCTTTTCAGAAATCAGCGGTTTGTTCACTGGACGTCTTCCCATGATTCCAGCAGCATTCAGACGTCGTTTCACGGTCGAGACGGATGGCGGAGATGGCGAATTCAAGAAAACTTCCCGTCTGATCGCAGGGGCGGTGAGTCTTGGATTGGTTCTAGACGTCTTCAAAAATGTTCCTATCGTCATTACGATCAGTGACACGTGGTCTTCCAGTGCGTTGGCTGTTAGTACAGCCATCTTGAGCTTTCTGACGCTTTAGGAACTGAGAAATGCCCGCCTCTGTCACGCCGAACATTCCTGCCAACGTCATCATGGTCAGTCCATTTTTGACGACCCACAACGATGGCTCTTTTGTCGTTATCAGTCAAATTCTTATTTCCAAAGGTTCTTCCCATGTCTGAAAACATGAAAAAAATCATATGGCAACATTATTAATTTTTAAAAAAATTTAATAAAAAAATAAATAAAAATAAAAAGCATAAAAAAACAAAAAATGGAATTCAATAAAAAAATGCCTAAAAACGCGTCACAGTCATTGCGGACATGTCTTTGTATACCGTATATGTTTCAAAGTATATTTTACATTATCCCTGAAAGTTATATATAAATCGGATAAGTACTCGCTGAGATATCCCCAAAAAAACCAAAACTTAATAGACTTTTGAGCGGTACTGTACTTATCCTTCTTCAAGCTAAACCCAGTTCTATCGCGGTATCTGATAACCATATCACCAATTCGAGGAGAAAAACAAACATAGGTGTGGACGTGGGACCGTTCTAGGATGAAGGAGTTGCGTCGCTTCGGCGATCAGCACTACGAGAAGTTGCGGAAGGGCTGTCTGAAGAGCGGCCATCTCTTCGTCGACACCCTCTTTCCTCCGACCAACGGATCTCTTTTCCTCGAAGAAGGCCGCAGTTCCGACATCGTCTGGAAGCGACCTGCGGTGGGTCCTAGAAGAATATTATTTGGTCAATGAGCATTTTCCTTTGCTTGAGCCAAATTTTTTCTCGCTCAAGTTCAGTTTTTTTTTCTTTTCCTACTGAACTTAATGTTGTTTTATGCACTCATTGTCAAAAAAAAACTGATTCTGACGCTAACTAAATGATAAGTTCTTAACGAAAGCTACAAATATTCATTGCTCCGAGTTTACCGATAGAAATTTGACTCGCAAACATCGAATACGCTTCTGACTCTTAACGTCTTTAATTTCAAAATTTTTACCTCTACGCCTTTAAGGAGCTTCATGAAGACCCACACTTATTCGTTGAAGGAGCTTCTGCAAATGACGTCACACAGGTTTTTATTTCGAAGCGCATTCGACGATGTTCGGGAGCTATTTTTAGGGAATTCTGGGTAACTGTTGGTTTGTTTCTGCTTGCTCCGCTTTGACGCACAACCAAACACTTCTAGATAGAGTGAGTTTGCTATTTTACAAATATGTAAAAAAGAAATTCCTCAGGTTATTCCTTACGGCAACGCCCAGGAGTGGAGTCCGAAAAACCGATACGCAGGAATTTTCCGTTTCCGATTTTGGAGATTCGGCGTTTGGGTCGAAGTCGTCATAGACGATTTACTGCCAACTCGGTTAGTGAACCCTTAACTATCTCTTATTGTTTGCCTTTTCAGAGACGGAAAGCTCCTTTTCGCTCGCTCTAAAACTCCAAACGAATTTTGGTCAGCGCTTCTTGAAAAGGCGTTCGCAAAGTACGTTCCGCTACCTCCTCCTTATCTTTTTTTCTTGAATCAAAATATGAGTACCAAATTCAGGTTGTATGGATGCTATGAAAATCTGGTTGGCGGCCATTTGTCGGACGCTTTGCAAGACGTTTCGAGCGGCGTTGCTGAAACTCTCAACGTGAAGAAATTCTTAAAAGAAGTTGGTCTTGTGCTCTTTCTTTTGAGGTATTGGTGCTTTTAACGAGTGAAAGTAATTCCAAAAAAGCTCCTTCCTTCCTAACTTCGGTGTTCAAAGTGAGGAACTTCAGGACATTCAAGACAAAAGCGGAAGACTGTACGACAATTTGAAAACGGCGTTCGATAATGGGGCCTTGATCGTTGCAGCTATCGCGGTTCGTGTTTTGATATTGGAATGTACAAAACAATAAGAGAGCCTTGATAATCTTGGCGTTGCCAGGCTCGAACGAAAGAAGAGATCGAAGAGTCTCTGGACTGCGGCCTGGTCAAAGGGCACGCCTACGCAGTGAGCGCCGTCCTCTCCATCGACCTCAACCGGATTCCCAACAGGAGCAGCATTCGGTGAGTCTCACGACATTTCTGAGCTTTTCGGGCGCTTCCGGACTTTCTCAAGCTTCTCAATGTCGTCAGAGACATATAATTGCATTGCCACCCCGCTGATCGCATGTTCAGCTCGTTGTTGCTTGGGTCCAAGGAGAAGCAAAAGCTGATTCGGCTTCAGAATCCGTGGGGAGAAAAGGAGTGGAACGGCGAGTGGAGCGACAACAGTTCTGAATGGCTCAATGTTCGTTTTTCTGTCTCCAGGGATTATTCATACAGTTATCTCAGGTCTCCGATGAGAAAAAACTGGAGCTCAATGTCACAGTTGACGAGGACGGCGATTTTTGGTTGGTTTTAGAATTTTCTTTTCTTTTCAAAAAAAATCTTTTCACTATTAGAAAGAAAAAGGAAATTTCAGATGTTCTTAGACGTGCTATTTTCTAGTGCGCAGGTGAATTGTTATAAAAAAGAGTTTTTAGGACTCGATTAAAGATTGAAAACTCTATCTTTTTCCTCACAGATAGTTTTAATACGGGACAAAGGACCTGTAGAAAATGCTTGCAACTTTGACGGTTAAAATAAAAATCGCACAGGATGCCGTGGGAATCGTTCGTCTACTACTTCACGGACATTTCGCTGTGCCAATTGTTCAACACCAACATATTCTCCCTGTCGAAAAGGTACCATGAAGAAGTGGTGCACGACGAGTGGACGACGCACGGAAAGAAGAGTGGCGCTCCCGACGACCGCGCCGGCGGCTGTCTCAACTTCCCGGCCACCTTCTGCAACAACCCACAGGTGATTCGTGTCTTCAGAAATTTTTTTTCCTCATTTCATTCCTCTTGAGAATGAATGAATGACAAAACAGGAAAAATACTGAAAGAATCAAGAGAATGGCTCTTTCCTTTGATAGTTCTATAGAATTAGTCCAGCTTTCTTTGAAACATCAGAACAGGAACTTTACGAACATTCTGTAATACTTTTCGCCCTATTTATGTCTTATCAAACTTTTTCTTAATCTGATTTCATCCGTTTCTGTTCAAAAAATACTATTTCACGTTTTTTATTTGTATTTAACGTTGTGATCTGCACACATGCACTCCTGGGCTGATGGATGAAGATAACCTAATACTAATGTCAGTCTCTCTTCATGATTTAATGAAACATTTAAACTTTTTGTTTTGACTTCTTTTTTTCAAGTCTTCTGCAGCCAGATGCTTGACTAGAAAAACCTACACTCACTGATCAGTTTCTGACTGCTTACAGTACTCTTTCGACGTGCCGATGGACGACTGCGAGATCATGTTCGCTCTGACTCAACGAGAAGTTTCCGAAGGGATGAAGAAAAGAGAGCCTTACGTCACGATCGGCATGCATCTCATGCGTGTTGAGAACAACCGCGTCCACCGAGTCCATCAGGTTAATCTTTTTTCTCCCAAAAGATATTCAACAACATTATCGAGCTATGCAGGCGATGCAAGCTGTCGGGACGTCGGAATACGCAAACGCCCGGTCTGTATTCTTGCACCTGAGGTCGTTGGCTGCTGGCAGATACGTCCTGATGCCGACGACCTACGCTCCTCGGGAGCAGACCAACTTTTTGCTCAGGATGTACTCTGACCAGAAAGTCAGACTGACACCACTAACAAAGGTTCGTTCCTCTGCAAATCGAGGAATCCTTGACGACTTCAGCACTCTCCGAAGCTTGGTTTGTTCGGGTGCAAATCTGCACAGAGCGTCACTCGCATCACGATTCACGGCGCTGCTCTCGACCTTGCAACAGACGGTATGACTTCTTCAAGTTCAACTGAATCCTCAAAAAATTCAGGAGTGCGAGCGTATGCAGTGCTTATTTGCAACGGGAAAGAAGTATCGAACGGCGACTTCTTTGCCGTCGAAATCTCCCATGTGGAATGAACAATTCGTCTATCACAGGTCGGTAGTAGCCCTTTATGAAGAAAGAAAATTTCGAAACTCTTTGGACCTTGTAAAAAAGACGATGCACGTGTTGCAGGAACGACCAGCGACAAAGCTATTTGGTGGAGGTTTGGGAGGATCGTCAGATGGCCCGAGATCATCTCATCGGCCGCGCTCCCATCGTCGCTCTCATAGACAACGAGAATCGCCAGTCCAAGTATGAGCTCCTCGACGACTCCCGTCGAACCACCGCTTCTGTCGATGTCACTGTCTCCGCCTTCGACGACCCTATGTACCTCTGACGCATTCTCATTCTTAGATACATCGCACGAGTCTTTATCAAACCAAACATTCCTAGATAGAAAATTATGGAAATTTAAGTCTTCAAAAACCAGTATCTGTAAATAAATAAGAAAATTTAGGCCGGTTCGGCCCTTCAGTTGTCATACTGTATCACTTTCAGTTCAACTAAATTCCCTCTCTTTACAAGTTTATTGTCTACAATTTATGGTGCTATCTTGCCCTTTTCCAGTGATACCTTTTTTTCTCTTCAAATTTATTTCAATGTATTTTTCATTTTTGGACTCCGTACAACTGTTTGAATTCTTGTTATAATAACTTTTCGATCTCATATCAAAATTTTAGAGTTTTTTCAAGTAAACGGTAGCATTTATTTATGAAACCCGTTTTCGAACTTTTCTCGATGCTTTGAATGGGTAAAAAAATAAAAAAAGAAAAAAAGCTGCGTTTGGAGAAAAAAATATTTGGATGAAAAACGAGATAAAGCCATTTCAAAATGAAAAGCCAGACGCCTGACTTGTCCTTTCGAATCGTCACAAACCCAATTCCAAGAAACGGTTGCCTTTTAATATTACTAGTTTTAGAAACAACTAGACCATGATTAGATATTTATGAGGAACTTCCAAGAAAGATATTCGAAAAATGAAAATTCGAGTTGAAATTCTATTGCATATACTCGAAACGATTGGCTAGTCCTAATCAACCCTCGGACTTTTTTGAGATTCGTCAGATCCGCCCATCCGATTCTCGGATGTCTACTCGATCCTCGTCGACTTTCTGTCGATCACGATTCTGACTCTAACCTTTATCGTCGCTGCCATAGTCATTTTCTGTTTGCCAAGGTTCTGAAATAATCCTTTCTCACAGAAAAATTCCAATCATACCGTTGAATTTGATCTAATAAGTAAATTTCTTTTCCTTTGAACTTTGGAAATTTCTGAAATTTCTGAAATTTTCTCAATTTCCGTTTAAAATTAAGATAAAGGCGAACATTTACACTTAAAAAAAAGACACCTAGCGAGAAGTTAGAACTTCGCAACGTACGCGCTCCAAAGTTGAACATTTGTGAAAAAAGCAAACTTCATTTCTAAATTTAATTTTTTGAGCGAGCTGTTAGAAAATTTCATAGTCAAAAATAACATGAAGCTTTTTAGCTTAACAAAATCAACAAGCGTAAAAAATCCCACATTAAACAGAAACTTTTGTGGCTGTGTTTAGATAAGGTGTGAATTAGAGGAAATCGAATTTTTTTTCTACCTCGTGTTAGAGGTACTCTTAATGACATTGGACTTCCGGAACAGCGGGAAGAAAGAAGAAGCTGTGGATGCGGAGAAGACGGCGGTTTTCGACGAGCAGGACAGCGAAAAAGAGCACATCTTCGACGAGGACGGCGTCTACTGCACCAAGCGTTTTCAAGGCATTCCGGTCGACTTCTACATCTTTCCAGAGACATGAGCTCTTTTTCAGAGCGACAAGTTGGCCGTCGAAAAAGGCATCATAAAACCGGAAATCTACGAAGAGCTTCGAAAAAAGGGTATGATGTATAATTTCGACATTTCCTGCAAGTTCAATTTTTCAGGAAAGTCCAAAGAAGTTTCGCATTAGTTGTGCTGGAATAACACAATATCTGTTTCGAAATTCCAAAAAAAACAAAACAATGAATGAATAAATATTTATCAACGACATCTGAGCATAAGTATACATTATTTTGCATAAGGAGCCATGTTTCAGGTCTTTATTTTTCCTCTCTCACACCCTTTTCATATCTAAAACATGTTTTTCAGGGACCCGGACTCACTGTTCGGCTCTCTCTTTTTTGATTTTCTCTCGAAGTTTTCAATTTAAAACTATGAAAAATTTTTGGACAAAAAAACTTCAAACAGCAATTTTTTTGAGACATGCGAAGAAGGAAGGCGTCGAGTATGAACACTTTAACCAAAAATATTTTTCTTAATAAATTTCTCTGCTTTTTCCCAGTAGGGAACATCACAACATTTGAGCCGGAATAAAAGAAAAGAGAGCTTTTTTTGCGTCGCTGCGTAACCGAAACGTAATGTCAATGGAGATGTGAAAGCTAAATTTGAGCGGTTCAAGAAAAATAATTATAAATATATTTTTAAGGCTTCTATGACAAACTTCTGAGCTAAATCACACCGGATATGGGTAAGTAACGGCAAAAATAATATATGAGAAGTCGCCAAGATTCTCAATGGCGGGAGTACATTATTGAATCGTGCAAAATTTGAAGTTATTTTAAACTCTAACTAATCGAAATAAAAAGTGGAGAGATTTTAGTTGGATGGTTCAAATCCGAGTCATTTCGTCATCAAGCCGTTTGGTTTTGTTAGTATTGGGGCTGGCTGAGAAGACGGCAGCAAGTTTTTTGGCGAATTGGCGTACAAAATCGGACTTATCATGGTCGGCGACGTACATAACTTGCTTCGCTACTCTCGGATTCTGCAAAACAAAAGATTCAAGATTGTAACTTTCAACAGAAAAAAAGAACTGCGCGAGTCGGAACATACGTCGAATATTTGAAGAGCTCTGAGAGCGCCGAGCCGTGCTTGAGGTTGTTCCGCCTCCAGCAAACAAAGATATGAAGAAAGCAGGTCCGAGAGGAGATGACCACGTGCGCATCGAAGGTAGCGTTCTGGAGGAGTTCAGCTGATTTCTTCGATTCTCCCAAACTGACCGATTATCGTGACAATCACTGGCTGATCTTTGGTGAGAAGCATGCCGAGATGCTTGAGAGACTCCAACGGAGGCACAACTGGTACGTTGGCAAGTCTATCGACGACTTGGGCCACTTTAGAAGGTTGTTGAGTGTCCAGCAGGGTGATCATCCAAGCTGAAGCACAAGGGTTCAAAGTAGAAACGATTTTCGCAAACCGTCGTGACCCAGATTCTCAATGTACGGCTCAAAATTACGTCCTTTGAAGACGCCGACAAAGTGAAACACCGTAACGAATCCCACGTCGTCTTGCACATTGTCGTTGAAAAGGCGCACGATTGACTCCGATACTGGAAGGAACGTGAAAAGGAAAGAAAAATAGATGGCAAAAACCTTTATTGACGAGATGAGGATAAGTCTGTTCGACGATGTGAGCTATTTGAAGTCTAGTTTGAGACTTGAGCTGATCTCTCGGCACGAGCAAAGATGTGTTGAGGGGATAGCACGTCGAAAGCCACATCTCCTGTACCTCGGCACAAGCGCCGATCTCCGAGAGAACTGAGTTCGGAATATTTTGGAAGCTTCGTTGGGGAAAAGTACCATTGGCTATGTTAGGGAGAGCGGGCGCTGTGCGAGCGATCCGCAGCAAATCATCGAGGGTCACCGTTTCGACCTCGAGCCGTTTCAGCGTTTCTGTTGTGGTGTAAACCAGAGGACAGTCCGGCCCAATTGAATCCAAAGTCTGAATAAAGCTATTTATATCAATCTAGCGAAAAAAGAATCAAAACATATGAATAAAATGAAGTGTTTTTTTTTCCTTATAAAAATTTTTAGAAGATTTTATCCAGAAGAATAAATGCTCAGATCAATAGAAATTTTATAACATAAGCCCTCTCTAGATTAACTTCTGCCAAAACAGTGTATTATAACATGAACGCAACCCGTTTCAGTACATTTCTCATAATTAGAACTGCGAACTGACTTTCATGCACTTGGTTATCCGCGCGAGATGATACTTCAAGCAGACGTCGACCTCCGCGCTTCCAGAGGCCGTGTGTTTCGAATCGTCGTCGCCAGTCTGCCAGAAATGGTCGCTGTCCAGATACAGCTGCTCTATTTCCGAAGCGTCAATCATGGCTCCCAGAGATTTTCGACGCTCCTTCAACTAAATTTCCACGTGAAAAAAAATGAGATTGGATTTGGAGACCTGTCGGAACCGAGAGCCTTCCTTGCGACCGGCCGACTCTCCATACTTTTTGCGCATGCCCTCGTTTAGATAAGGCGAGTACTGCTGTCGCAACGAGTCGATTCCACTGTCGTTTTCGGAGCTGCGAGAATGGGATTTTGGACTTTTATGATGTTTCTGCTTACTGAACGTCGTTTGAAACCAAGACGTTATCATCGAGCTCATCTGACGCCGTGGAAGTAGTCATGTATGTTGCAGATCGGGCCATCGATGGAGAAGATCTACGCTGAGAGCCTCTCTAAAAGGAGTCTTTAAAGAGAAAAACAGACATAGATCACTAATGCCGTGTTCAAAGTAATTTCCGCGAAATGCAAAATGGTCTCTGACCCTCCAAAATTTAGTTATCTTTTTCTTTCTCTGACGGCTATTTTGAATTTCGCGGAATCACCCGAATTTTCAGACTTCCGAATCATTTGAATCGCAAAAAAATAATCTTTGGCCTAATAGTGGAAGGCACCTGAAATATCAAGATAGAGCGAAAACGAACTCGAATCCAGACACGCCACTGTTGGAGGCCGTCGAGTAGCGACTGCAACTCGCCGTACTCGTTGATGAGACGTTTGGCGACTGGCAAAAGTTCGTCTATCGCCTCCAAAAGCTGCGAGAATTCTGCCGAAGAACCGACGCTGGCCGTGTCACCATTCGCTGCGGCACTGGTGAACCTGAAGCTATTTGAAGAAGTTAATTTAGGTTTGAAATACTTCTTGTTGAAGTCGCGGATGCTGTCGGGGCTACTGGAAGACGTGGCCGTAAGATGAGCCAAGCTTTGACTTCTTTTGCCAGCAATCGTGGATGGCAAGTGGGAGCCGCCAAAGTGCGAAGAGGAGGAAGGAGCAGGCAACGTGCCGGAATTGAGCGCCAGGTTTGACGTCGAGGCCGGAGTCCTTCGTAAGTCGAGCGTCGACATCTGAATGCTCATTTTCGGAGATTGAAACGGTCGAAGACGCACCGCTTCTACGGAGGGAATTGTTTTGCTGACGTCGAGGTAGATCGAATCGAGGATGTTCGTAGACGACCTCCATTGTTCTTTCATCGCCGCTCTTCAATTCAATCAATCTTTTCATCTTTAAAATTTCTCTGTCTAATAATTAACTTGAGACAACGCTCATGATCAAATAATGTTTTCTTGTACATAAATATAACAGAAAAGGTTTAAGTATGAAGTGAAAACTTCATCCAAATGTTCAGTTATGAATTTCGGTACCAATGAACTCCAACTGAAACAAAATATTGAAAAAGGTCTAACCTGGCAGCAGAGCCACGTTTCTTCTCTCGGAGCGCGACTCGTGGCTTTCGTTCCAGGGTATTCTCGTTATTCGGCGGCGGGACCAACTGCGTCTTGTTCGATGTTTTCGACGCCAACAGTGGACTGAATTCGAAGGGAACTATGCGGAAAGTAGAACGGAAGACATACATCCAAGTGACAATCAGCTGGAGCTTAATGGTGCCCATAGAGTTGAGGTTCATGGTGACAAGTTGAGGCTGCGAGGAGAACAACTGACAAGGATCGAAGGAGCGGTCATTCAGGGATTTCGATTTGAACAACCGCACTTCAGAAACCTAAAAACAGTTTTTGTTAAGGTTAGCTGAAGAAACGGATCAAGAAAGTCACCCGAACGTCGATGGAAGCATCGGGCTGACAGGCCATAACAGCCTGCGACTTTTCCCATTTCTGTGTTCTGTCCGGTTGAGTTTTTCCTCTGGTTTTCCATTTTTGGTTGGCGTGCCGAATCTGCACTTCGAAGACGTCGCCAGGAGTTATTCTCGCGAAGCCAACGATCGCTTGAAAAAAATCAAGTTCAAAATCCCAGAAACCCTTCAAAAACAAAGCTCGTGTATTTGTTGAGCTTCCAACTTTTTAGAGCCTCCAAGGAAATGATACCTTTGATTTCTACGACGACGCGGCCCATCAAGTTCTGAAGTTCTGCATCGATGGCCGCCGTCGAGGAATCTGTTTTTGCAGACGCAGATGAGGAAAACGCCGCTCTCAGCTCGCTCAGACTCGACGATTTAGCTGGACAAAAAAAGAATAGAATCTGCTATAAAAACCTCAAAAGATGGTTTTAGAATTGACCTACCTTTCATGTTGTTATAAGCTCCTGATCTATATGTTTCATGAAGCTTGTTGAGTTTTTTCAATCTTTCGTTGTAAAGGGCCAAGTTTTCTTCAGTCAGCAGCAACTCCTGCAACTAAGTTACTAAAAGAAATTTTGGAAAAAACAGAAAAAGTGACTGCAGTTGGCAAGGGCAGTCCTTGTGAATCATTACTAATTGGTTTGAACATAAAAATATACTATAAACAAGATTAAAAAAAGGTTGAAGCAAAATTTTAGAATGTCGAGAAAGAAAAGATGAAAGAGGCGGCTTCCGACCGACCGAAATGGAAATCGCTTGCACAAACACAAAAACGAGGGTCCAAGGAAGCTTCGCGCCAGGTTTCCCACCTTTTCCTCATGTTTTGGAAGATCGCCAGAAACTTCCAAGGCCCCATCACTTTCCCTATTTCAAACCGTTCAGTTGTTACAATATTCAGGGTTCATGTCAGCGTTATTGTTGAAAATTTCATTTTTCTCAAAGATTTTAAACATGAAACTTTGCTAATTATTCATATAGATCGACAAGTTTTGCAATAAAATCTTCAGACTGAAAAAAAAAGATTTAAAAAAAGAGGTAGTCGCAATTTATGACTAAAGCCATTGAACCAAAAAGTCCAAACGCGTCAAAATAATTGAGGACTGTCCTCATAAAACTCCTCAGCCTACAAAGGTCGCCGAACAATTAAGCGCAGACGTTTTTTTTTCTTCGGGAACCGTTGTCGACCTGATTCTTTCTTTCATACTTCTCAGGATTGATAGAGGTAAAACAAAGATAAAAAATAAGCTCAAAACACGGCTTCGATGCGACGAATTGAAAAATGAAACATTCTATGAAAGCAAACGGACGTCGTGTAGGAGTTTGGCGTCTTGGCCGACGGCGGACGCGAGTTCAGACTGGAGCCGCGAAGATTCCGCCGAGAAATGGGCCACGAATGACCTGAAATAATTCATTTCGAAACTTCTACTTTTGATTTTCAACAAAAAAAAACGGAAAGCTTTTCAAGCCCTGGAGATGAATCTAGCCTCCTAATTCGGAATTCAAAAACATTTTAAAAAGAAAACTTTCAGATTCTATCTTTGATTGAAAAAAAAAATTAACATACAGAGGTTGATCCAAAGTTGGAAAAAGGGTATTTTTCAATATAATGAACAATAAACAGTATGTAAATCGCACAATTCAGCAAGAAAATAAAAAGAAAAAAAAATCCAATTTTTTTTGAGAGCCAGGCTGATATGCCTTTTTTTAGAAATTAATATATAATGAAGATAAGGGTGCTAATGACAACAATCAATCGTCGTGAAGGAGACTTGTGATTTTGGGGGACAAGAAAAACGGAAAAATAGATGGCTATATAAACATAAAATACACTTGCCATTTCGTTGTATATTGGTATCGATCAATTGAGTTTTTAGGACCGAAATAATAAAAATTTTTCAGAGGGAAGGATCGGAATATGAGAGGAAATGCAAAAGAAGCAGCCAAAAGACGGATACAAATTGTACAAAAGACGGGAAAGCCGCGGCGATCACCGGCCGACGGGGAAAGTTACAAGAAAAGACGAGCGCCGACGAGTTCGAGTCGAAATCGAAATCCGGCAAAACGGCAAGGAGGTGGGAATTTAGAAATCGAACGCAATATAGTGCCGTGTTCAAAGTAATTTCCGCGAACTGCAAAATTATCTCTGCCTCCCTAAAATTTAGTTAGCTTTTTCTTTCTTTGACGGCTATTTTGGACTTCGCGAATAACTTTGAACACGGAATGAGAAATAACAACCAGCTGGAGAAGTCATGATTGGAGAAAAAAGGAAGCTTTTTTTTTCTAATTTCAGTCTTGCTCCACCAACTCACTTGAATCCTTTATTGAGCGCGTGGAAGACGACTTCGCTGCGCTTAGTGGGCATCAGAGAAGACGTCGGCGAGCCAGAAGACGTCGGTACCGACATCCCTCCCGACGGCGCCATCTCGTACGTCTACAAACGAGCCTATTTTGATTGAACATAAAAAGATCGAAAAGATATTTCTGGAAACTCTCTCCCGTCCATCAAAACATTTCTATCTGGAAACTACCTATGAACGTTTAAGTTTCAAGGAAAGAGAATGTGAACAAAGGAAAGGTGCCAAAACAAAATTACTGAAGGAAATTATTTTTCTGATGAAATTGAGCAAACTTCAGAGCGATTTCATAATTTTGTATTTCTTTCTCTTGAAATGGGAAAACCTGAAACTGCAGAGCCTTCTATCAGCGTTGAATGCTGTAATAAACCATATTGGCGATTCTGGAACCAACTTGAAAATCTTTCAGCAAGATGTTATCGAAGCAAGTCTAACAATCCGTGAGAAAACTAGAAAAGAATCGCAATAAAGTGGCTCAATAATCGATTGGAAGCGGTCAATCATGCCTGCGGGCAGAAGAAAATGAGGCGAGAAAAACGAAGCGAGGAACAGGACAAGCAAAAGACGTCGCTGCGTGTGAAGCGACTGCGGCCAACAGAAACACGACGGAAAACACTCGAAACACAGGCTCGTCGATGGCCGATTCCCTGCGGCTATTGGCTCTTTCAGACCCTAAACGACACTTTTTCTTGAGTCCGAGCTGCTCGCCAGTCACAAAAAACCACAGTCACATGAAAAACTGCGGAAACACTTGCGTCAAGAGTCCTTCCAAGCCGTTCAGATAGGAGTGCCACAGTTTGTCACACAAATAATGTTCGTTCCAGATTCTCCCTATCCTCTCGTTTATCGAAAATTTATGCTTGTTTACTATAAAAGAGCAGAACATTTTCGTGTAAACCTTTTCTTCCTTACTTAAAATTTATTGAAATAGAAAACAGTGAAAGCTGCGAAAAAGAAAGATATCGGACAGGTTGGATGTCACATGCGCCAAATAACCACAAGGGAAACAACTTCAGAAAAAGCAACGGACGCGAACGAAGAAGTTGAGAAGCCGAGCGACCGGTCTGCCAACGTCTTGTTGCCATTCAGAAGACGTCAATGGCAACGTGTTTTTCCAAAGGGCGTCCGATTTATCGCATCATATCCTCAGCAATTGAAAAGATGAGCGTTTGTTTAGCGGAAATCGAAAGCGCGACGAGGTTTTAAGTGCAATTTTCAGTACTTGAAAGACTTTTGCCTTTCATCCGCCAATATCCCTTCTCACTTTCAAAATTCAAAGAGTCCTGGTGGTATAGAAATTTCAAAATTTTAAAAATTTCTGCAAATCAGGGTTTCCGACCAATCTGCAAGAGCCAAACAAACAAACTGTTAGAAAAAGCACCTTTTACTTACGACTTAAGTTTCAGCACATGATCTTCAGATGACACTATAATCAGCTGAGAGTTATTGAGTTGAGGTAATCATAACTATTCGTAAAGAAAAAGTCGAAAAAATACTGAAAAATCAAGAGTTGTTTAAAATCTGCCTAGAGCGAGCAAAATAGCATATCCTCCATCAAGACACGGACAGCAGCGTTCGTCATTCATTCGGCTGTACAGAAGAGATGGCGTGCCGCTCAAATCAATACATCAAATGCAAATACGAAGGAACGATGAGACGCAATGTGGGCTCTGAACGCCGCAAAGTGCTGAATGTTACGGTAAATACTCGCCGTGACGTCACAACTCGAGAAAAACAAGCGTGAAAGAAGCCAGCATGCAAAATTCCAGAAATTCTGGAAATATGGAGAACTTTTTTTGAAACGGGGCGGTCCAAACGGTTCATTATTATTTCTGTGAAATACGAAAGTTAGAAAAATCCGCCGCAGGAGTCGAAAAGATGAATACGCAAATTTTGTCAGTCAGAAAACTACTCCAAAGCGGTTGAAGAATAAATCAGCATATGTCTTTGTTGAGAACAGAGCTTTGTTTGCAGAGAAAAGTCGACGAAAAGTGTTTTTTGAATTATTTCGACGTACAAGGCCGATGGAAAGGTGCGCGAGGCTTTGGCACCGTGCCGATATCCTCTCCGATCGATAATTGGCGTACGGAGAGGTCTGTCCCATAATGGACAGGTGAGATGAGCAAAGAAATATACGCAGGCTACCGATAACTGCACCACCGGCAGCAGGCCTTTTTTAATCAAAAAAGGTGCTCCCAAACTGACCATAGCTGCTCTTCGAGCTGCTTGGAGAGTGTCGAAGTCGACGTAGTTGTGATGCTGAGGACCCATGAGCAAAGCGTCGGAACTCGCGAATTTGGCTCTCTCGATTGTTGCAAACCTCCTGCAATCTCGCATCTTCGGAAACTTGACACCTTCCTTGAGAACTGCATGCAAAAACACACATAAATTTTAACCCTCTCTTAAAAACTTGAAAAAAAAAAACAGAAAATTGAAAGAACACTCTTCCTAAGTCCTCCTTTTTGAAGAAATTTTTTGATAAAAACTTAAGAGAAATATCAAAAAGTTAAAAAAACTGCTTTAAACGAAATCCATTTTGAAAAACCATTCTTTCTTTTACAGTTTCTGATGAGTCTTTTCGGCCGACGTGTTCATGGACAGTTTCTGGAAGTCTCTGGAAAGTTTCTGATATGGTTCTGATATGACGTTTCCCTACTGTAAAATCGAATCTTTTTGTTTCAGAAAAGCGTGTGAACAGAACGGCCAACATCTTTGTTTAGTGCCGCGGCATGCAAAAGCCATTTACCTGTCGTTGTGGAGTATGTGGCCGAATTGCGCCTTTCCCACGGTCGCCGGTCTCGGCAAACAGCCGTTCCGCCAGCCGAAAGAAACCTCGTCTGAAGGCATCCCTGCAAACTTCCATCATTACTCCAACGCAGATCCACTTTCTAGAACTCTCGGACATCAAAAATAAAGAGAGGGAATGTAATAATGATACACATAAAAAAACTCCACCCAAAAATTATCTGCCTTGACAGCTACCCACACAAAAAATGAAGTCAGCTTTTCGTTCCGAAATGATGGAAATGTTAAAAGCGACATGTGGATGGCACTTAGCAGGACGAATCGTCTTTTTTTTCTTTTTCCTTTCGTCTACGGCATTCGATGCGACTTTTTTTCCCGATGAAAAACTTTCGAAAAGGTCACTCGAAGCTTTTTTTGAGTCTGGCCAACGGAAACCGTTACCCTCTAACTTTTCGAGAGTCGGTACAAACTTTTGAATGTGCAATCGAAAATATAGGAAGCTCTGCAAATTACAGCTTTTTAGTTCTCTATTAGTAAAATTATGAAATTTTTTTCAGTCAATTTTTCCGAAAATTTCAATGTTCCGAGAATAATGAATTTTCTTGTTATTTTGAGTCCATTAGTCGAAAGAATATTGCCAGCCGGTAATCAACAAGTTTACTGGAAAAAGATCTATTTTTGTTTGATTATGTAATTCAATGAAGATTATGTTCCTTTTTGTATATTAAATCAAGATTGAAAATATTTATACTTAAAAGGAGATTATTTCGTGTCGTCTGACTAGGGAACATTTTTTACCCCCCGGTTGAATTTTCGCTGAAACTTTGTTAAAGTATACTTTAAGACCCCCGATTCCAGAACAAAAATAAGTTTTCTCGCAATAGATCTTGTTTTCGAGTTAGGACACTTTAAAAACCCGAAAAAGCGCATTTTTGGCTTAATTTGCGTATTTTGCACAATTCAAAGATCCATAAATCGGAAACAAGATATATTGTGAGAAAGTAAAAAACGTTCCCTGGTGAGTGGATCCTGAAGAAGAGTGAAAGCCAGACTGACCGTAACTACGGGGAAGAGTCATCGAGTACATGACGTCTGGGGCGGCGGATTCTGAAGCGCAGACGTCGTCGCGTTGGAAAGACGACGACGAAGAGCCGGTCGGATAGGGGCGCAGCTTCAAAAGATCTTTGTTCGTAATCGAAGTGTGCGTTAAATTTATAGCTAACGACAAGGCGCTAAACAACTGAGTGACCCTATTTACTCTTTGAATGGACCATCAAATATTCTCTTACAGTCCGAAACTGGAAAGAGCTTCAAAAAGTTCGATACTGAAGGAAACCAGAAAAAAAAAACTAAACGAAGGCAGCGATAAAAGGGCACGGGATAAGAAAAAGAAAAGTCCTTTTCCGAACCCGCAGATATATTTGTACGGTCTCTCAACGACATTCACGCGTCCGAATGTGTAACATTTCAATTTTCTGCTGATACTCGCACAGTTTTACGCCGTTTTTAATGCAAAATCGATGCGAGATGTGGCGCCGCCAAAAAGTGCTAAAAACAGAGGGCATTTTTTTTACATTTCTATTAAAAAAATTTGAGAACTGACGAAAATCCACGGCGAACTGGGAAATTCATCTTCTCAGAGTTTTTTGGTGTGTGAGAATTGATTCTAGGTTAACGAGATTTCTAAATGCCTCCACAGCAGTTTTCTTCTTCAGTGTTCGAACTGAAGTTCATTGATAGAACAGTGTTCACATGCAAAAATCAGTTTTCTAGAAGTAAAAAGAAGAAAAACGGGCACTCGAGAATAAATACAGTGGAAAAATGCTCCCAGTTGTACAAGGGCTGAAGCGTCACTTCGTACAGTTTTGGTGGGAAACGCAACGGCCTCTTAATATTTCAATATGGAGCGCCGCGTGGGAATCATGAGTCAGAATCTATTTCGAAAATGCATATTTAATTAAACGGCAACGACACACCGTCGTACACAATATTCTTGATCAAATGCAATGAAACGAAGCCGTTTCAAAAGCATAAAACATAACTTTTAACTTTTTCCAATATTAAATAAGTATTTAAAAGTCTTTTGAAAATAATTGAAAGTATGTGAAAGATTTGAAAGTCAGACCTAATGAAAGAAAAAAAAAACAATTTTTGCCAAAGAAAGAAGCAAAACGTTGAAAAGGTAGATTTTCGAAACAAAACACAATATTTTCCCGTGGCTGATACCAACTATCATTTTGAACAAAGAGAGAGAGAGAGAGACAACAAAAAGGGTAAATGAGTCAAAACAAGTGATAACGAGGAGGCGGAGCCAATTGATAACAATAATCGGAGCTTACTCATAACCTCGTAATCAGCACTCACTCCCTCGGTGCACGTCGTCTAATTTAGAAATCTCAAAAGCAAGCTGCAAAAAATAAGACGCGCTATTTTAAGAGGAACAATGAACTGTACAAGCACCCTTCAAAAACAGCGACAATAATTCGCAGCTTGAACATTTTTTTCTTTGATTCAAATTTACAATAAAATTGAACACCACGTCAAATTAAGTCAAGAGGGAATGGAGAAACTTTACGATGACACCAATTTGTGAAGCTACTTATATGGCGGCTTACTTTAAGCAGCTAGACCCCTGAAGATTTTTTAAAAGTTTTAAGAATAGTAAGAACCAGCAAGCTCAATTTCTAAAAGTTGTGAAAGTGTAGATTACAAGAATATAAAAGGAAAACGTGATGAAGAAAAACATGATTCTGCGGGCAAGTCTGATTTTTGAAAACTCCATGAAAGTTTCAATGGATTGAACCTTCTTCTTTCTTCAGTGAAATGAGTTCTTATTTGTTTATAGGCAAGGCGTTGAAAAGCAAACTGATTGGAAAATTTTTCAGCGTTTGGAACGAAAAACTATTGATGCGATTTGAAATTGAAAAAAAAAAACACTGACAAAAAGATCATGTGCGAGGTAAAAAAAAAGTTTGAATTGAAAATCATATTAAAGCCGCCATGGCGCGCCAGTTTCAGGTAAAAATGGATCACTTAAGTGTAGTTCAAAGAAGTGTGTAGGTTCAACTTTCAAAATGGAAGCGCTTCAAACTTTTTTCTTTTTTGAAACTGATAGGGAAGTCTTGTATTCAGATGAGCAAAGAATAAGTTTTCTAGAAAACAACCAACCCAAGCAACTCTTGAAAGTCCGCTGGACGATGAGGAAGGAATGGACGATTTTCGAGCGATTCGCACCTGCTTTAACAGTTTCTGAAAGAAAAAAAGACTTTTTTTTCAAACTTTTTTCCAGGATTCGCAACTTTGTCATCTTTATTCGAGCAAATTGTTTTGTAAGTTGAAAACCTTTTTGTGACTGACGAAAAAAACTGTTTGCGGTCGGTTGGTCGTCCAACCGGGATGATAGCTCTGCACCTTTGAGAATCCGTCTAAGGAAGAACTGAGTTCTGAATAAACGTAGTGGATTTTCCGCTGACGTTCAAAGGAAAGAGAACCTTTGCGAAGGTTGTCGCGGTATTGGACTGCATCGTATGAAGCGTAGGTCGCTGAGCCGCTAGCCGATTTCAAACTTCCGGCACTGAAAACGATCAAAAGCCTCGATGAATTGATAACTTCAAGTAACTTGAAATGCCAGCCAACAAAGAAACTCCAGTTCAACTCAGTTTTCAAAAACCCTTTTTTATTGATGGAACGCAGCAAAAAGCGCACGACAGGCCTCAACGAAATGACATCCGCGTAAAAAACTCGATAAAATCGTGTATGCAGATCAAGCAGCACTAAGCATCAAACCAGAAAAAATAGTTGAATCGAAAGAGAGAATAGGGAATCGCCGCATATGGGTTTTAGTTTTTCGGCGAGAAGAACTACCCAATGAGGCGTCTGATGACGTCGGAAGATAGCGACGAGACTCGCGGGCCAGCCTCGATCTCAAGGTTTACAGCCAGTGGAGCACACAAATAAAGCCGATTCTACTTTCAGAGCTTTGGAAACCTTCACAACTAAATCATATACTTCATCTTTTAACTGTTTTATTCTACCCGAAAATTTCCACGTATATTGATGTTTATATATTGTTAATGGAACTTGACTTGTCAAACATTCTTTGAGCAATAACGGCTCATGTATCTTTTCGCTTCTCTGGTGATGAAAATTGTTTCAGCTTTGAATGGTCTGACGTTTCTACTCTGTCCAGAGTCAACGAAGCTCAGATCATGATTTCAAACTAGGCCGTGTAGTAGACCGGCGACTTGGAAGGATCAAAAAAGATAACACTCGCAAAACCATTTCAAAAAATAACATTTCCGACAGCAGCAGATATAAATTCATATGAAACGAACAAATACTTGCCAACATTTTTCTAGCAAAAGTTCACGATGAAATGGAATCTGTGGAATGCGTCGTGGATCATATTGTTGAGTAATTTTCCGATCCCTAAGTAAACTCGCATATGGCTAAATATAATGAGCAATTGAAACTGATTTTAAAGCAAAGTGCCAAAGATACAGACGCATCGATAATTCTGTGAGCAAAGAAGGAAAGCCTCGACACGAGCATGTTGACGGGGTCATCGGAGGGTTACTGCGCAGTTTGATGGTTGAAGGCCGCCACGGCCCAACAGTTTTGAGCATTGTTACTCTTGATTTGCCGCATAGCCCATTCATCCTTCAACCATAGGTACGATAACCGTCCGCCAAAGGTGCTAATTTAACTGTTTTTTTCTTTCTTTTATCCCGACGAGCTTTACAAACTTTTTTTCGATGGTATTTTATTCAACCGAAAACTTAAGAAAAGTTAAGAAATAAGTTAAGAAATAACTCTTTAAATAGAAGCACTTAGTTTAAAAAAACAAAAAGTAACCCGAGGCAGAATCAGCAAACTCCCCAAATGAACGCAATTCGCATATTCTGTTTGTAATTATCACATGAACATAATCATTTTTTCTATCTTCCCAATATATTTAGCAAGTGGAACACAAACTCAGATGAACAATCAAACCTATGCAAAATTGAAATATGCGGAACATTTTATAATTACTCAAAGCTCCTAAAAAAGAGTGAGCTGTCGTTACAAAAGTAAAAAAAAGAAGCTGTAAATTCATAAAACTGATTGGTGAAGCTAACTGGATATAAAATTATATTCGATCTTTCACTTCGACCGTTCAAAATTGTCTCATAAGAACCCAACACCGCTCACCTGTGATACCTGTGTCTTGCGTTGAGCATCGCCTCAAGTAAGCGATTGACCACCGGAAGCGTTTAGAAACCGATAGCCAATCGATAATCCAAAAGCGAAGGGGAAAAGCCGAGGACTGTCGGGACCAAGGGACAGTGAAGCAAACAAATCTCGCCTTCGCCATCGATATGTTTATATTTTTTCAGTTTTTGGCTCTCCAGAGCGCGATCCAATGTGATACGAGCGCCAGCATCGTTTCCAGATATCGCGGGCTGGCATTCAGTTCGCCGTCGTCAGCAAGTACACTCATCGTTCAACTCATCGACTGAAAGTGCTCTGTGGAAAAAGGAATAGATTAAATCATGTCTTGGGAGTTATTATATTCAAAAAAAGCCTTTTTGCAGTTACTTGATTTATTGATAAAAGAATCACAGAAACGCTAGATTGTCAGTTTGGGGTTAAAAACTAAACTTTTTCATCAGATTTTGTCTCTTTTTTGACTGGCCGCCTCATTGAAGAGCGACTCGGACTCGAGGACGCGTATTAAGTTGAAACTACGGGGGAACTCTTTTAAACATGCGCGACGTTTAAAAACGCTTTAATTACAAAAAACTTACTTTGCAGAATGCCGAAATAGGCACTACTCTTTGCACGATTTCAGTAGAGGCGGTCGGCGCGCAATACTGTTATGATATTCGTACGTATTTCGATGAGACGGGTCAAATGATTATACTTCTAGGCTTAAAATCAAAAATTTTGCTAACGTCGGATTATACCCAGAAATCAAAAGAATAAATAAAGAAATTTTTATGGCGTGTTCATCGGAAAAAAACGAAAATTGTTCTGAAAAGCAAAAAAAAAATTGCTCCAAAACAAAAAATAGTGGTGTTTTGGAACAACTCTGGTGCGCCGATGAACTTGCTTATGCGTTTTGAAAAATGTTCTGTTACACCGATGAACGCGATTAAAAGAAGATAAAAAGATTAGAAAAGAAAAAAAGTCAATGAACTGAAAGGATGGGAGAAAGCGCGCCCCAATGATAGCCGATTCACTTTTTTATGCCGTGTTCAAAGTAATTTCCGCGAAATGCAAAATACCCGTTAGAGAAAGGAAAAGATCACTTAGCGCCGCTAAATCCAGACGTGGGGGCTTGCCTCACGCGCGCGCCAATTCAAAAAAGTGCGCTGGCGCACAGAACCCAATATCCCGCATTAATGTATATCCTTTTTTCAGTCAATCTTTCCGTTTATATTTTTGTCGAAAGATTGTTTTCGGTTAATTTCGCCATAAAAGTGAATCGATAAAAATATTTGAAATAAAAAAAATAGTCAGTGGGGTTCTTTTTCTTTTCGCAATTTAGTACTTTATGTCACGTTTTGACTATAAATGTAGTTCACATTTACATTTAAAGGCCACTCGAGGTATCCATATAATCAGTAAATGTATAGAATAAACGGTGCGATAGCTATCGGAGTGCTATTCGAAAGCATACAAAGTGCCCATAAAGAATTTCAAAAAAATTTCAAAAGTACTGCTGTTCATTTTTCAGATTAATGTCCTCTGTATTTTTTCGCATAAACTGTTTTTCACTATAAAATAGTTTATAAAGTTTCATTCCTCAGATACCATTACTATGGAAATGACGACGCTTCCTTCAAGACGCTCTTGTTTTTTGAAGACTTTCGAAGTACACAAAAAAAACAAATATTTTTTTAGAAGCCTGACGAGGGCAGTGTGTCAGGTGAGCATCACAGATATGGTTCAAACTTCTGTGGTAGGTAGTCCCAGGTATGAGTATTGGAAAAACAGAAAAAAATGATCTGCTGAGCCTAAGGTACCGAGAAACAGCCCTACGAAAATGTACAGGAGAAGCTAAAAAAACGATTTATCTTTTGGGTTTTTTTCGTAGAGAGTTTCTTTCTCGCGTTTTTTTATGATATAATGAACAACACTAGACTTTTTAAAAAAATCGAAAAAAAGAAAAACAACTAAGTTTTTTTGAGATATCACTGTACATTCTTGACAGGCTATTTCTCAGTACCCTATGGCGCTTAGCTGATATTTCTTTTCATTTTTGAGTACTCATACCTAGGACTATTTATCACAGAAGTTTCAACCAGATCTGCGATGTTCACCTCATACCTATTCCTGGTGAATCCCAGTTTTTTTGTGTTCATATTGCAAGTAAGAGCCCTATCTACGATCTAACAGAAACCGTCTCTTTATCCGTAAGGATTTGTCAATTTATTAATGTTAGTTGGTAACGCCGCAGATAAGTTTTCTGAGAAAAAAAAAAATTTAAACCGCTTTTCTACTTGTTTCAACCATTGGAAATTCTGGCGTTTGAAGACAGCCCCATAAAAACTTAATTATATTGAAGGTAGTGCTCCTGAGATCCTGAAAATTTACAAAAATGCTTCGAAATCAAGAACAACAGAGCATTCTTCATCAACTTACAGTTCATAATTTATGCGCACCCTGTACTTCTGAACTTCTACTTTCTGAAGCCCCCTTAGCCATCGCAAATGGCAATAGCATTAGGATATTAGTGGTGTGAACAGTAGTAGTAATGAAATTGCAGAAACTTAGCCTCTGTATTTCATTCATTGATTAAATGTAGCATATCTCGATGGAACGTGCACTGGATAAGCCGGTTGAACAGTGAGGTAAAGTTCGTTTGATCAACATTTACTTGCCGGTATCACTATGAAGGTGAGTGAAGCACTGAAGTTGGCTTTGAAGCTTCAAGATCTCTTCTCTTTCGTCAAAATAATGCAAGCTCAAAGAGGAAAGAATTGAATGAAAAGATTCTATAGTTTCTCATAATTCCTTGTCTTTCACCGTTATAACTTTGCTGAAGAAGTGCATAACCTCAGGTATACCTTATAATAATCGTGAATATTCCCATTTTTTTCGGCAACATCTTTTTTTGAAAAAGTTTTTCTGCTCTCGTTTTTTTGCCTGCACAAAAAGTAAACTGTAGATGGTCTTCTTTTGTAACTAATAAACGGTAGCAGCGCCACTAAGGCTACCGCGAGGCTAATCAGTGGTCGTTTATTTGAATCAATTTTTTGTTATAGCCTATTCCGCGCCAGATTGTCACGTTTTTCTTTCCGCCAAAAAGACCGTATACCAAATGAAATCAAATTTCTGCTTTTATAACGGCAAGAAACAAAGGTCTTGAAGCGAAGTTGGTCAAATTTGGCCTTTTGGCGGAAAGAAAAACGTGACAAGCTGGCGCGGAATGGCCTATAACCGTGCTAAGACCTGCTGAGCTAGTTAAAAAAGGCTACTCGGTAACTATTTGTATCTCTATCACGATTGACCAGTGGAAAAAAATTTGCGAAAAAACTATTTTCATTTTAAAAAAACTCGATTATTTTTTATTGATTCACTTTTATGGCGAAATTAACCGGAAAAAAAATCTTTCGACAAAAATATAAACGGAAAGATTGACTGAAAAAAGGATATACATTAATGCGGGATATTGGGTTCTGTGCGCCAGCGCACTTTTTTGAATTGGCGCGCGCGAGAGGCAAGCCCCCACGTCTGGATTTAGCGGCGCTAAAGATCACTATATTTTGGAGAGTCAGAGATCATTTTGCATTTCGCGGAAATTACTTTGAACACGGCATTAATGCCGTCTCGGACATGGGTAACGCGAAACGGACGTGCTCCGGACGTTTCTGGGCGATCCTAGGGATCCCTTAAGAGTGCTGAGGCTACTAAAGTGGTCACTAGAAATGCCCCGACACGTCCGATTCGCGTCCTGTTCGCGTTACCAAGGTCTGAGGTGTTTGAAGTAATTTCCGCGAAATGCGAAATTGTCTCTGACCCTCCAAAATTTAGTTATCTTTCTCTTCCTCTGACGGCTATTTTGAATTTCGCGGAATCACTTTGAACACGGCATACAGCTTTTCAATTTTAATTTTCCTCTTTGCGCAAGGCTTTCTGACATCAGCTGACTTATATGGCCCGTTCACGGCTGACTTGGGACAGTGAACGGGCGGTTTAATTTTCGCGGCGAAGGTAGATCATGGCGACTATCAATGCGCCTTCCACAAAAAGCTCATTTTATGATGCCGTGTTTAATTTGATTCCGCAAAACGCAAAATGATCTCTGACTCTCTAAAATTTATAGTTATCTTTGCCTTTCTCTAACGGGTATTTTGCATTTCACGTAATCAATTTGAACACGGCATGACTTATTTCTTTTTATTTTGTATTTCGTTGATTGAAAGAAAACCTGAAAACTAATGAAGTCAATTCAAACGAAAAGTAAATTCAACTTTTTTTTAATTTAACAGAAACAAAAATAATTCACCAAATTAGGCTCTTATTAAAGGCGCATGTATGGCGGCCATGATCTACCATCGCCGCGCAAGTCAAATCGCCCGTTCGCTGTCCCGAGCCACACCCAACACTAAGAATAATGTCCCTAAAGGCTTGGCCTGCGCCTAATAAGAATAACTGACGAGATAAACGTGAGGTCGGTGGCGGTACATTGACGAACTCGCAAAGAAAAGTGCGAGCTCGCGCCCAGAAAAATGCGAGACCGGCGCTAGAAAAAAAGCGAGATGTTTGCGAGCTCGTAAATGTACCGTGGTATACCGCCAGTGTCTCGCGTTTATCTCGGCAGTTATTCTTAGTGCAACATAATTGCCGATAGATATCGCAGCGGGCCGCAGGCGATATAGCCAAGAATGCTTGCTGCGATCTCGCCAACATTTCGCTGCGACCTCGTCAAAGTCTCGCTGTCACAAAAAAATTTGAAATTTCAAAAAAAAATTTTTTTGCTTTACTTTTGACTTTTTTTAATGAAATATAATGAAATAATGCAAATTCAAGAAAAAAAAATTTTTTTTTAGAAAAAAATCTTTCAGAGAGCGATATAGCGCAACACGTTTGCGAGGTCGCAACGACAGGCGAGCGATATTGCTCGAGGCTCCCCGCGCGCGGCGCCGCGGTATAGCCTTACTCTCGCTGCGATATAGTCCACAATATTGGGTGCAGCCGTGAACGGGCTATATAGCACGTGCTATAGTGCTAGCACTTGACATAATAGCAAAAAAAAAATGAGAATGGTTGTCTCCCGCGATTTTTGAAAGTTTTTTGTACTTTGTCTCAGGTTTGCTCATTATTTTTATTCCACTCGTGCTCGAAAGTACCCTTATTGAATTTGAAAAAATGGCGTCATCTTTTCTTGAAATTTTAAGAAGCACGTTTTATGGAAATTATTCGTTATTTAGTAGTTTCCTGAAGCTCGGGCAAAGTCGGAATGGTGGCCCTCAAAAGGACTTAAAACGAAGA